TCTAATTAATAGAATTTAAGTGTCACCTAATAAAGCATTTATAGGTAAGATTCTATTAGTTAACTATTTCAGGGTTTAGGGATGTAAAGTAGTAGTCTATATAGATCCAAGGTCCTAGCCTCAAGGTCTAAGAAGAGACAAATTAATAAACAGGGGGAAAGAGGTTATCTTTATAGGTTATATAGATAGAACTATAAAGTAATAGTTGTTTTGGGAGCCTAATATAAAGGCTGTTAAAGCTCACTCCTAGGTGGATTTCTTTAAAGAAGAAAAGGGAGGGGATATAGATTTAGGCATTTTAACTTCAAACCAATCTAGTAAAGCCCCCTAGAGGAATCTAGTTAGGAGACCAAAACAACTAGCACCTCCTACCTTGTTATTAGGGCTAATAGATTAGCTACCACCTAGAAAATTGTTTGTATAGCTCCCTCTACCCCTATCAGACAGTAGGGAGTACTAGAAGATAGATCTAGAGGGGACTTAAGAAAATTTAGAGAAGGAACCTAAGGCTATACCTTAGGAGTTATCTAAAATTCCACCTTAGGGAGAATCTATAGGATTAGCTAACCTAGATGCTAGCTATTAGGGACCTACCCTAAGGAGCTAAGCTTAGAAAAGGAGAAGGGATCTAGATAATGAAGGAGACTAGAGTACAAAGCACTATAGGTCATTTATCTCTATAATGTTCTATCTAGATCTAAGTATAAGCTAGGCTAAGGAATTTTTGAATAATATGGAGGAGTATGCATTTGCTACAGTAGGCCTAACTATTGCTATATAGTAGTAAGTACTAATCCCAAAAACATATAGGGAAGCTATATCTAACCCTACCTAGGGTTATATATAGAGAGAAGCAATCTAAAAGGAGCTTTAGGCTTTAGAGATAAACAACACTTAGGAGCTAGCTATGCTACTATAGGGTGCCAACCTAGTCACTTCTAAGTAGGTCTTTAATATAAAAAGAATAATTAGTAGAGCTATTGAAAAGTTCAAGGCAAGACTAGTTATAAGAGGGTTTTTATAGAAGTTTAGTGTTAACTTTATAGACACCTTTGTACCTATAGTTAGGCATAATACACTAAGAGTGTTTATAGTAGCTATGTGTGAGAAGGATCTGGAACTGCACTAGATTAATATAAATAATACATTCACTAAAAGTACCCTCTTAGAAGACATCTATATAATCCTACCCCTAGGTGTTAAGATTCCTCTAAACACAGTCCTAAAGATTCTAAGAAGCCTATATAGACTAAAGTAGGCAGCTAGAGATTGGAACAAACTCTGTGTTACTAAGCTAGAGTAGATTGGGTTTATATAGTTAGAAGTGGACCTATGCCTTCTTATCTATAGGGGGAGGAATATAATAGTCCTTACCTATATAGATAATATCCCTATTACAGCTCCAAAGCTGTTAGATGTTCTCTAGTTTAAGGGAGAGTTTGGAAAGGTCTTTAGAATCAAAGACCTTAAGGAACCTGAAAAGATCCTTAGTATAAAAATTATAAGGGACAGAGTGTAGGGCACTCTGAAACTTAACTAAGGATATTTTATCTAAACAAACCTTGCTAAGATAAGCATAACTAAAGATAAGGCCCATGTTATATACTCACCTCTAGACAGCTATAAGAGCCTAAAACCTTTAGGCCTCTAGGATAAGAGGTGTAACAAATAGGAGTACTAGAGTTATACTAGTACCTAGATGTAGCTAATAACAATAACAAGGCCAGACATTGCTTTCCTACTTAGGAGACTAAGCTTATATATTACAGACCTATTAAAGCAACATATAAATATACTAAAAAAGCTTACAAGGTACCTAAGATTATACCTAGATCTTAGCCTTTACTATAGGAGAGGAGGAGGTTGCCTTTAAGGCTACTCTAACTTAGACTATACAATAGACAAGGTGGACAGAGTGTCTGTCCTTAGGTATGTCTGGTTCCTTTGTGGCTTACTAGTCTCCTAGATAAGTAGAAAGCAAAAGTCTATTATAACATTAACTATAGAAGCTAAGTATATAGCAATAAACTCGTGTACAAAGTAGTTACAGTTCCTAGCTACATTACTTCGTAAGATAAGCTGTCCTAAGCTTGTTAGAGAGTGCCTATTTCAGCTAAAGATTAAGGCTAATAATAACACTACCTAATTACTTAGACCTGTCCTTATTAAAGGGGACAATCAGTTAGCTCTAACCCTTGTTAAGGATGCTTACATCTATGAGAGATCAAAACACATTAATATTATATACAACTTTGTTAGAAATCTTTGGTAGTAGAGGAAGGTTATAGTAGAGTATTGCCTAACAAAAGAGATAGTAGCTAATAGACTAACTAAACCCCTAAATAGTCTACAGTTCTAGAATTTTGTAAAGCAACTCTAGCTAGCCTAGTAAAAGGAATAGCTAAACTAGGAATTGAACCTAGGTCTTTAGAACCCTATCGTACACTCCAATTATTAGACAGAGCCTAAGAGCGCGGGGACGCCTCGTAACCCCTAAACCATTTAGCTAGAACTAAGAAGTATACTAATTAGGTGATAGAAGACCTAGAGTTTGTTCTTATATTACTTTAGTTAAAGGGTTTCAATTCTTTCCTCCGGACCTAAGTAGGAGTATTATGAAATAGCAGCTTAGGAGGAAAGTAGGAGTAGGCCTAGTAGTAAGCTAAGTAGTCACGTAACTAGGTTACGTAACACGCTAAGCTTAGTAATAGTAGCTAGAAGGGGGAGAGCGGGCTTCTCTCTCTCCTACCTACTACCTTTATACTAGACTATCTTAGATACCTCTATATAAATTAGGTCCTTCTTCTTCGATTATTAAGTCCTTACTTCCGCTACAAACTGCGTAACATATCCTATTCTTAATACTTACTAATAATAACGACGACGACGAGCCTACGTACGTACGAGTGCCTAAAAGCAAGCTAGTAGTAAAGTAGGAGGCACGTATAGCAATAAAGAAGGAGCCTATAGATTTAAGTACTATTAAAGAAGGAACAGAGATTGCTCCTACGGATTTAGTAGAGCGAGTCGCTAGCGAGTCGCCGGTAGCGACGGAGATTTAGGGCGATAGGTAGGTTACTAGCTTACCTAAGGATACTAAGGCTACGAGTGTACTAGCGGAGCCTACGAGTACGCCCCCGAGCGGACTAGCGAGTACTACGAGTACACTAGCGGAGGCAATAAGGAATAAGAAGCTAAGGAAGGAGTATGTAAGGATTCCGGAGTTTCAAAGGGTTATAAGGGCGTTAAAGAAGCTGTAGCGAGTCGGTAGCGAGTTGGTAGCGAGGCTTTAAAAGGATAGAAGGGCGTATAGGGTTAATAGTATAAATATAATAACGATTAAAGGCTTAGAGATCTCTAATATTAACATTCTCCCGACTCGTAGGCTAAAATTAGGTGGACTCGCGGGCGATTTAGGGATTCTACGATCTCTAAGATTCGTAGTATTATAATTTGCCCGACTCGTAGGCCTAAAATTGCTAGATTCGTAGGCGATTTGATCGCTCTAAGATTCTATATATCCTAAGCTGCCCGACTCGTACGGAATCGTAGGCTAAAATTGGCTGTACTCGCTATAACTCGTAGGCTAGAATTGATCTACACTATCTACTAAGCATATTTGCCCTTGTATTTAGCTACGAACTACTCGCTACCCGGTAGCTACGTAATAAAGTCTATTATATAGTAGAGCTTAGCCTCTAGATTATTAATACGCTTATAGGCAAACCCTAAACCCTCCTTAAGCCTAGCAATCTTGGTTTAAAGACTCGTAGGCTTCTACGAGTCGCCTATCTCAGCCCTAGAGTCACCTATAGTAGCCCTAGAATTACCTACAGTAGCCTACAAGTCCGGCTTAGGCTTTAGCGAGTTATCCTACTTATCCTTCTACTTCTCGTACTTCTTCTAGAGCTTACTATCACAACCTAGGCGACCGTAGCGCTTATAGAACGCGTATTAAGTGTATTCCTTACCTTTGTAGATAATATAATCTAGGCCTCTCGTAGTATACTACTTGTAGCCGCTAGGCTTAGAAGATAGTATACCTACGAGTCGATTAGATTTTAGTAGCGAGTCTATACAAATTAGAAAAAGTATACCTAGATCCGTCTCTATTATCTCGCTAGCGTAAGTAAACCGCCGTAGGCTATTAGCCGCGGACTTACGAACCTACTTATTACTAGATTTAAGATTGTTTAAATAGCGCTACTAATCCTTATCGGAGATATACTAGAATGTAGTCTTATCCTACGTCTCTAGTTTACGGTAGGACTCGCTAGACTCGCTAATTAGCTTTTGCCTATTCTTTAGGCTTCGGATAGCTTACCTTAGGGCCGATATAGTTACTACTAGGGCGCTCTCGGGCGTAGACTAAGGCGGAGGCGAAGGAGTAGGTTAATAATTAGGCTAGTATCGGTCGTAGAGTCGTCTATAGATAAATGTAAGAGTCTCCTAGTCGATTAATACTATAAATTGTCGATTTGCGAGTCTACGAGTACGATCTAGGTAGGAAAAGAGGTCTAGGTTCGCTAGATAAGAATGCCTTCTTATAAAATAGCCTACTTATTGTTAGTAGCTGCCTTATTGTTCGATATTGTGGACTCGTACTTACAATAGTATAAGCGCGACAATAGCTTTTAATTAATATAAAGCCGCGTACCGCTATTAACGGGTTTAATATAAAGCTAAAAGCTGCGCCTGACTTTATATTGACCGTTTACGTCGACAATAGCGGTGCGCGACACTCGTGGAGCCTTATTGTCGCCGTCGTAAGTTGTTATTGTGGTGGTAGAGTGAGTCGCGACTCACTGCGAGTGCCGCTTCGGCAGTCGGCAAAACCATTTTGCGGATTTGTAAGCTCAGGCCACCGCCCTAGACTCCACGAGGCACCTTCATCCGGAACGGAGTCAAACATTATCGTCCTATCTACACAATAGAATCGAACCACACATACAAAACTTTGCGGCAGGATTGCTCCATGTTCATCTATGCCCTGGCCGTGATCATGGAATGCACTCCCAAGCATCCGCCTCCTTGTACCGCTTCGGATCCTTGCAGAAGTTTCTGAGCGGATACTTGCAGTGCTTCCTCACGAAGTCCACGCCTTTGCTCGAGTCATCATCGACATACTTGACACCCGACAACGATACCGGTGCAGCGCTATCGCCCTTTTCGACCCAGTCAATGATTCTCTGCAGGACGTTGTACTGCGGATCGCTGGTAACATTGTTGGAAGCACCAGCAACAGCTCCCTGCCCAATACTCCAAGCCCCGATGCCACCACCGCAATGCTCCATCCCGCCGATTCGGAAGAAGCGATAGAACGAATCTAGCTCTGCCGATGGCTGACCCATACTGGCGACAACATGCTGGTAATACCGCGGCGAGTTGAATGATGTGATGATCTGATCCATCTGACCGTGGTAATGCAACAACTTGCCGCCGCTCTTCTTGAAAGGCGAAAGATCACCATGCCAAGTTCTAATATTCCCGGCATTCTTCGCAGCTGCATACGCCACCAAAGAGGCGTTCAGTGTCAATGGGTCCCATGTAGGATCATTTAATACGGCATACCGGATCCAGTCCTGGGTGTATGGGAACGATTGCCCATTGAACTCAATGTTCGCCGCCAGCTCCTCGGCGCCAGGTTGCATTCTCGGGTACACTATCGCTCCACGCAATCCATAATAATCTGCCAGAACCCTCGATACTGTCTGCAGTTGCGGCGTGGTGAGACAGGCACTCGTATTCGTTGCATTGCAAGCACATTGCAGCGACACGGGCGTATAAGCGCAGAGTGCCGGGTCCTCGAGAATGCCATCTTCTACGCCATCGAGCTCATCACACTGTCTCAAAACATCCTGGTGTACGATCGCCCATTTCGATGGAGGAACGAATCTCTCGCTGGTATTTGAGCCCGTGATGGGCAGGAAATGTCCGCTCCAGCTGCTCAGATTATTGAAAGCGAGAGCCGGCGCACCAGCAACGATTCCATCAAAGAGATCCGGGAAATCTTGAGCCATTTTGAAACCCTGCCTCCCGCCAGTCGAGCAGCCGATATAGTACGACTTCTTGTAATCTTGCTGATAAAAGGCTTTGGTGAGGGCTTTCCCGACAATGGTCGCGGTATGCAAGCTCCTCCAGGCGAAATCGATCACCACATCTTCATTCCGGTAGAATGCTTTGCCGCTGGTACCATTATGGCCGTTATTCGCCCCTACAGTCGCGAATCCGAAAGACGTTCCGTATGCCATGTCCTCGTACTGGATACATCCGTCCAAACCTCCATTTCCCGTAGCCAGGAATCTACCGCTCCAGTTGGTCGGCAGCCAGGCTTCAAGGGTGATCTCCGAGCGATTGGAAGTCGCTACGGACATCGCGACACGGCAGAGATCCACGGGGACGACTTGGGATGCGCGTCCACATGTTGCCAGTTCGGAATTCTGTTCGAATGAAAGATTTGTTCCAGTTGGGATATACCTTGCGAAGTTCAGAGTGACGTTGGGGTATGTGAAAGTAGAAAAGATATCGGAACAAGCAGAGGAGGAGTTTTGTAGAAGGAGTTGTTGCGTGCTTCCTAGAGCACTGAAGAGAGCGGCGAGGGAGAGGAACCTGGCGTTGACCATGACGGGCAAGAGAGGAACAACTGACCACCACGCCAACAATGCTTGGGAGACGCGTGACTTTTTATTGTACATTACATACCATACCCATGGCTAACGAAGCGAGCTTGGCGGATATATATCTGCGACGTGTGGGGTCCGCAGCCGCGTTCTTTTGAGGGGCAATGATCGCTTAGCTGATAGGAAAGCAGGGGGAAGTTTTATGCGACTGGTAATGTTGTGGCCTTCGAGCACTTCGTTAGCCTGGTAATGTTACGAAGATACCGATCTAAAGATCTCGACTCAAGTGCCGATTCCCATCAAGTATCAACTAACTCATCTATTCCCAGCATTTTTGCCATGGGATCATCCTTGTTCGTCCTCTCCTTTCGGTACTTCTCCATTTCCTCTTCCGTCACACCAGCTTTCATCTCGTCTAGTCTCCGCCTGCTCTCATCCATCTTCTGCTTTGCCGGTTTGTCGACCCCATTCGGAACATGTTCTTCCTGCCTCTCCTCTTCCCTCCACGCTTCCTGCTTCTCTACCTCTTGCGCATTACCAGACTCCTCAGCAGAAGGCAATGAGAGACCCTTGCTGAAGTCGTCTGCCTCCTTCAGGGCCTTTTTACCTTCCTCGCCTGTGCAGAAACTGTTCTTGACAGTACTGTGACAGCATGCATAACCCCACGTGAAGTCTTTCCACCAGCTGCCCCAGACTGACGTGTGGTTGTTGATGAGCACGTCCTCGGCATACATGCTCTTCTCCTTTCTCTCAGGTTCGCCCTTGATCTTACCCCGCTCGTCGTACTCCACATATCGCTCATTGCTCGTGACTTCTGCGGCAACTGGGCGCTTCTTCGAAATCCCATCCTGCGAGCCGTACTTGTCCGTGAGGGCCTTCTTCTGCGCCTCTTTCCGCTGTATGTCTTCCTCAGCCTTGCGCTTGCGAGTCAGAAGCGCCTCCGTCGGGTTCGCCTGGAGATGGATCTTGTCTTTGTCACCCCGCGTCTGCGTCTCCCACGCATATGTCTGTGCACGCTCAAATTCTTCCGCATCTCCCCTCGCTTTCGCAAAGCCCTCACCAGCATCCACAGAGTCCGGATCTCCGTTGCCAGAGTCAATCATGCTTCTAGTCTTCGGGTCATATTTCGCACTGTTCAAATCCAAATTCACGAGATATTTTGCAGTATCTTCTCGTAATCGTAGATTTCTTGTCGAAGAAGCCTGCTTTCGCCCCATGTCACTTTCTGCCTCATAGCGATCTCCCTCGTCTTCTTCACCAGCGACTCGCTTCTTCATCTCTTCCATTTCGTTGTACTCTTCGATCACCTGCCGATACTCGCTCGCTTCAAAGCCGTTCCAGCGGTCGCGCTTCGCATCCCAGCCCAGGCTGATGTCTTTGACATTCTCATCTGCCGCAATGTGCTTGCCTGTCCACTTTGCGCCGGCTTTACGCTTCCTCTGCAGGCAGTCCTTTTCTTTATGGCTCATCGAACCGCAGTTTTCGCATGCGCCTTTGCGGTATTTGGTCGCGGCCGGGCCCTTCTTGGAACCCCGATCGTACCATTGTGCTGTCGCGAGTGGATCGTGGTTCTTTTGTGACTGGAGACGTTGATGCTCGAGGTAGTCGGCATCGGTCGCGGTGTTGTCGTCGATATAGAAGGGCTTCTTCGCGATGAAGGAGGGGATGTACTCGTTGCGCTCGTTGGATTTCGAAGTCTTGCCATCGGCCTTGCCGGATCCTGCTGGGTTGGGCGGCATCTTGTTGTGATTGACAGCAGTGGCTCTGGTGGGTAAGCCAGAAGGTTGGATGAGAATGAACGCGGGATATTGATGCCTCAGGCCACACTAGCTTACTAAGATGATGCGTCGGCGTTTTGGGCGTAGAAGATCCACAGCTGCGCCCATTGTGAATGGATATACCGCGTAGAACATATACTACCATCCAAGACATTCTCTTCCTTCTGCCCGGCCATGCACAACCCAATCTTCCACGACTTCCATCAGCCGCAAATGGAAAATGGCTAACCACCTTCAAGTCACTACCACCCATCTCCAAGGGAAATCGCGCACCAGCATCACGCTCTCTGACCACTCGGACTTGTAGCATTCCCGGCAACTGGGCTATTGCCGTCGCCACTCACATTCACCTACTACTACACAGTAGCAGCAGCTCACATGCGCCGAGACTCGAAGCAATCTGATGCGTACTGTTCCCCTTCCCGAGAAGAAATGGAGTATTTCGAAGCGAACCCGAAACCCTTCAACCTGGATCAGTCCAGCACCGTAGCGCGCGCATTCATCGAGCATCATGCGGCGCAATCTCGACGTGTGGCCCTCGTGACATCTGGAGGCACGACGGTCCCACTGGAGAATCAGACGGTGCGATTCATTGATAATTTTTCTGCTGGTACTCGAGGCGCGACCTCTGCCGAGTACTTCCTCGAAAATGGATACGCTGTCATCTTCCTGCATAGGCAATTCTCGCTTCTGCCATATTCAAGACACTATTCTCATTCGACGAATTGCTTTCTGGACTACATGACCGGGACTGAAGATGGACCAGTCGTGGTGCAGAGTAAATTTCAGGAACAGATGGCTTCCGTCCTTCTGCGCTATCGCAAGGCCAAGAAGGAAAACACATTACTGCTCTTGCCATTCACGACCGTTAATGAGTACCTGTGGCATTTGAGAGAACTCGCCATGTTGATGCAGCCATTGGGTGCGAACGGACTGTTTTATCTTGCAGCGGCAGTGAGCGATTTCTTCGTCCCAGCCGAGAGAATGGTCGAGCACAAGATCCAATCGGGCGAGGAGTTTCACCAGCAATCTGCAGTCGTCGATGGCGACGTAGGGCCGTCAGAGGAGGAGAAAGCTGGCCGCAAGCCTGCCGCGCACATGCAAGGAAAGCGACTCGTCATCGATCTGGATCCTGTGCCCAAATTCCTTAAGTCTCTGGTTGACAGCTGGGCTCCCCGGTCAATGATAATTTCATTCAAGCTAGAGACGGATCCCAATCTGCTTGCGACAAAAGCCCGATCGGCTTTGGAGAAATACGCTCACCACCTAGTCATTGGCAATCTGTTGAACACGAGGAAGTACGAAGTCTTGTTCGTCTCAGCTGGTGGAGGAGAGAAGTGGCTTCGTGTACCGCCCGCAAGAAGGGCGAAGAGTATCACAGGTCGATCAGAAGATGGTCCTCTGAATATCAAAGAAGGGGACCGGGAACCTGCTGTCGAAATTGAGAGCTGGATTGTACCGGAAGTGGCCAAGTTGCATTCGCACATGATAGAGCATGGAGATCCAAGGCATCTCAACGGTGCTGCATGAGTATTATGGCTACTTCGATAGACTGTATACGGAGAGCAACATAGATTGGCGTTATCTTCCCGATTGTATGACCCTGGCCGGGGCAGCATCTCCTGTCGCCATCTCTCCACAAGTCTTCGAGACGGTACTGTTCAAGCCGACTCGCACAGAACACCCTCATGCTTTTGAAATGAGCGGGCACAACAAGATGCAACACGCCAATGGTGCAAGCCTGGGATGCCGTACCATGGTAACCTGTTCGCTTCTGTCAAGTTTTGATTGATAGTCCATCAAAACTCAAGCCATGAAGGCGGTGAAAGCCAATGCGTCATCCCACCAGATTCTGCCACCTACAATTCTTTGACCCGCGCATTGCTCAGATTGTCCTCCGACTTTCCCGTGAACGATCCACGTACAACTGCTCGAGGCTCTACGACAACAATGGCTTCCAAAGGCACTTCCAAATTCCCAGCCAAGAGATGCGGTTAGTGAGTCCTCCGCCCTGAACATCTCCTCAGCACAGCGCACGAAGCTGCTCTTGGGGAGGCATACAACACCACACCTTGCGATAGATCCTATGGAGACTTTCGGACTAATGAATTATTGTTAGGTGTCCTCGGTGCCACCGGCTCCGTCGGCCAACGATTTATCCTCCTGCTGGCTCTCCATCCGCACTTCAAGCTCACAGCAGTTGGCGCGTCACCCAAGAGCGCTGGGAAGAAGTACAAAGATGCAGTGAAATGGAAGCAGGCCACGCCGATGAGCAAAGAGCTGGGAGAGCTGGTAGTGAAGAATTGTACAGCGGAAGAATTCGCTGGGGAGGTGGATGTGGTGTTCAGTGGGCTGGACAGCGATGTCGCAGAAGAGACAGAAATGCAATTCGTGAAGGCAAACATTCCGGTCTTCTCGAATGCGAAAAATTACAGGCAACATGAAAAGGTTCCATTGGTTGTACCGACGGTCAACCTCCCCCATCTGGATTTGTTGCCCCACCAGAAGAAGGAATTCGGTCTTCAGAAGGGCTTCCTGGTTTGCAATTCGAATTGTGCTGTTATTGGCATAGTGATTCCATTCGCTGCGCTGCAACAGAAGTTCGGACCGATCAATACTGTGTCTGTTACCACAATGCAAGCTGTCTCTGGTGCTGGGTATCCTGGCGTTAGCAGCATGGATATTCTGGACAACATGGTCCCATACATCAAAGGAGAGGAAGATAAGTTGCAGCCAGAAGCAAGGAAAATCTTGGGAAGCATCAACAGCGAGGCCAATGCCTTTTCAGAACAGTCGAGCATGCGAATCTCCGCCACCTGCACGCGTGTAGCTGTGCTCGACGGTCACACAGCTTCGGTGTCATTACGATTCGAAAAGCGACCACCGCCATCCGTAGAGGAGGTCAAAGCTGCATTCAGAGATTATGTGCCTGACGTGCAGAAGCTCGGCTGCCCATCCGCACCTTCACAAGCCATCATCGTGCACGAGGAGCCTGATCGTCCCCAACCGAGACTGGATCGAGAACTCGAACGAGGCTACGCTGTGAGCGTGGGAAGAGTCAGAGAAGACGAGAGCGGGATTTTCGATATTCAATTTGTGGCACTGAGCCATAATACTGTCATTGGCGCCGCGGGAAGCAGTATACTGAACGCCGAAGCCGCAGTGCTGAAGGGATACCTATAAAATCCAGCGTCACGACCGAGACACCAGGTAGGCTGGCAATAGACATAAATAGTCGCGGTTACGGATATGACGAAATGGATGCATTAGACGATACCCCATGTTGCAGCTTGTGATTTTGGCGGGACCTCGCTCGATCACGAGCTGACATGACACCTTCATTGACTTTTAGTTGATTTACACGGCCTTTCATGCTTACTTTTCACATGCAAATTTGCGTACGACCCGCTCAGACTCAATAGAAGAGAGGCGACACTTCGCCGCACCTTTTCTGACTGACAACATACCACAACGCAAGAGAGCCACTACGAAGCACCTCCACGAACGAGCTCCAAGCGTCACCATCAAACTATGGCCTCGCTAGTCGAATTGGTGCAAAGTCTCCCTGCAGAGCTGTATAACGACATCTTGGACCTCACACTCACGACGAATAAGAAGTTCGTCAAGATTGATCGGTGTAAGATCAGGCCAAAGACCCATATCGGCCCGTGACGGATACGTAAGGTAGAATAGACTACAGGCCGCCAGCCCAGCTCCAGATCAGCAGAGCACATCGCGCCGCGTTTGAGAAGGCGTACTACTCCAAGACCGTGATCTTTCACAACGCAACCGGTGCCCATGACTCGAGGGTCCTCATGACGTGGTGAAGGTCACTTTCTGAGCCTAGTCTCCAGCTCATCCAAAATATCAAGTGATGGTGTTCAATGAGCGGGTTTTCAGTTTCTAGGCAAATGGATCTTACCATTATGATCTCAAGCGCTGACCTACACCGGAAGCTGAAATTTCCTGCTCGCGCTTTGCCTGGAGCGTGTCTTGATCGTCTTGGTAGCGTGGTGCGGTTTCAGATCGAGACGTAGTTCTTCTCTCAATGGATGTCTCTGGATGAAATGCGGAGGGAACACGGCTCTTAAAGAGCGCCATGTGTGAGCTGGCCGGCGAGAACACCGCACCGCAACGGCGGCGCTATCCCTGACTCCATCGAGCCTACTGCGCCATCGCCTGAATCCCATCGAGCTTACTGTGCCATCATAAATTCCAGCGCTCCCGACACGAGCTGCCCCAAGCAAAGGTCGTCTGCCGACTGATAATGAAACTCGATCGCGTGTACTTCAACTTTTGCTACTTCTCCCACCAAAAAGCACCATCACAACAACGGCTAGCCTCTCAACTGGATCAAGCTGCTCGATTTATACATCTAGAATTTCTTTCCCAATGCGCGCAGACGATCTTCGGAAGATTTGAACGCGTACGACTTGATGGATGGACAGAATATTGGGATGACAGGCGGCGATGTGGGAAACATCATGATAGATGAGACCGAGTGGCGATTTGAACCAATCATGTTCGAAAGCTGATTTGTGCTCAGATCGGACAGGACAAGAACTCTACTAGCTTCCTTGGCGCAGTTTAGTGCGCATGTGAGCTTGCGGGTCAACCCGCAGGAGCCTTTTCGCTGTGTCGCATCTTTTGCTGTAGTTTTTGTTGTCCGCAGAAAATATGACGCAATAGGAGCATTACTTCTCGGCATTATGGCGACATCGACGGAACTGTTGAGTGGCATGCGAGATAGGGGAGGGCTACGCTATTGGGCTCCTTGTTACCATGGTGTCCGCCAGTGCTATGGAGAAGATAATGACCTTCTGCTATGTAGAGACGCTGGAGATAGTAGTAACCCTACCATGCGTGATGCGTGGAAAAGGACCTGAGACTTATGAACATCGCATTGTCTCTTCTCCTATGGTTTCACATTATATGATGAGTCGTTACGATCACGGCTTTGTACATAAAAGCGGGTTCGATCCCTAATATAGCTGACAACTTACGAAAATGGAATTGTAAGGCTTCCTTCGAAGCTCTTCGAGATCTGCTTTGAGCTTAGCCTTACCATGACCGACTATATCATCAATGTGGACAAGAGCTGCAAGCCACCGAAACAATTCCATCTCGATAGAGACTTTCTTCCTCGATCAAGTCGACCTCGACTACGTTCCCGAATGGCTAGGTATTCTGGTCGGGGAAGATTTGAGCAGGATACGTACCATCCGCTGCAATTTTGGAAGACACGAAACGCACAGCTATGACCTTCAGATCTGGCTGCCTTTGATTCAGCGCGGCAAGTTGATACGATCTATCCATGGACAGGCGAGTAAGAACGAGATTCGTAAGCTTGATCTCTGTGAAGTCTTACATTGCAGAATATAGGACGATGATGGTGTAGAAGACTGGATGACGTTCTGTATGATGAGATATGTGGCTATCTGAACTTCAACCAGACGCCTGGGCGCTCGTTCCCAAACCGGGCACAATCCTAGAGATATGATGAAGTAATGACATACGGCTATGCTATGGTGTTTAACTCAATCCATCTTGGGCATTTTCCTTGACGTTGGCGCTCAAGGACACTAGTCAGAGCTTTTGACATGTGAAAGTCTTGGCATCGATCTGGAATAGCTGGACATGTTCTACAATCAAGAAGGAGCTTGTTGGGAATCATCTGAGTCAACGTAAAGCTGAAATTGTCTGAAGCCAACTCAAGCTCAATGTTAGTGGGCAACACACGTAAACAGCCCCTGAATTTCATCTCCCTCACAATCGAATTCGCGCGGCGAAACTTCGGCTCAGCCAGCTGATACGACAATATTAAACCCGACTTGTTAGTATCAGCATGACTCAATTTCGCCCCACAATATCCACTACCCAAGACACCAACAACAACATGGCAACGCTTTCCGGGCATTTGCAGGGGTTAGCTGCAAAGGATCTCACCCTGACGACCGACTATGAAGAAGTCATCAACGACGAGAACCGAGGAAGGCATCGCTAAAGAGCTTCTCGTTGATTATTTGTTTGTTTGAAGTCTAAGTAAACATAACCTTATGCGCTGACAACAAGCGTAAATAGTACATCCAGGATTTGATGCAGTGACACTACGTAGATTAGCGGGTGGAGAGGTCGAGGAGATGTGGTGCATTCGTGGTTTAGCATATCCGTGCGAGATAATATCGTAAGAGTATGAGTGAGCGATGCCGCGATGACCACAGCAAGCAAGCGCTACTAGATCGCTCGTCATGTTGCACTCTCTGCTCTTTCCGATCGTGCAGACATTGGATGCGCTCTCCATTGCTTTCCCTGCAAATATTGTTATTTCTCCTCTGGTGTTTGACCGCGGCATAGCGTTTCAAATGGCGAATGAGTACTTGAATTGTGTTCAAAATTTCACATCCGGGACGGTCAATTCAATGTCGTCCCAACCGTAGAACCATATGGACGTACCCTTCCGTCGTGGTATGCGAGCATCGTAATAGCTGTACTGCTCGTCCAAAGACGTTGAAACAATCTCATCGACGCCGGAGACAGCTGCATAGTCCTTGCCGACCTCCATCATGGGTCCACAGTTTTACGACGCAACCTAGTGTTCTTCAATGCTTTGGTGGCGTCTGTGAGTTTCCAGTCGATGTAGTCCAGTCTTGCGCTTGCGGTAGCGGAGCTCAAGTCGGCCTGAATTTGTCGAGAAGCTCGAAATCGCGGACGGTGACCGAAAGGGTGGAAATGCCACAGTACTTCGTCTACAGTTACAATCTGGCGACCACTCCTGTGTCTGGAGCACTGGTGGCCATTCGTGGCTCTAGCTGGTCCCTTTGGGACGAGGCAATATGTGTGCCCATCGCAGACATTTTCTTGAATGACTCCTGTTCCAGGGTATGACCAGAGAGGCAACACCCTGTTTATACATCGTCTTGCCGTACGTTCTCCACACGTGACTGCTGCTCAATCTGCAGTGTGTGTCATGACGTATTTCATGAACTCTTGTCTCGGTCCTGATTCAATCTATCTTTTCAATCAGACTGGCGAATGTCTCGTTACATTTCATGGAATCTCTTTCAAACATGTGCAATGGGAGATTGAGGCCGACGGAAAGATTCAAGAGGCGCGCTAAAAAGGGCGTTGGAAAGGGAAGGAGGAAAGCGGCAATGGCATGGACGTAAACAGATACCGAGTACCTTATGGACCCACGTCAAACATTGATGGAGATTGATGGCCGGGGTATTCGGGCCGCTCAGGAGGCACTAATCACTAGCAGCGTAAGCTTAATTGTGCCGCAACCTCACCTGTTGCCTCCTTGACGACCAGCTGCAACATCGATTGAGTGCTCGTGTCAAATTCTTTCATTGGTCTAATGATAGCCTGCTGCTTTCATACCGGAAAGAAGCCGACCTCGTAGCATGCACGCTGGTCCAGTGCGTGTTGGTACCGACCACACATTAGCTCAATGCCTCCGTGATGTGCAGTGGACGAAGATCTGCACCAACAATCGCGGGTTTCAAGGACTAGTCACAAGCATACGGTGGAAGCCGTTAGCTCCTCGCATGGCTATGGTGATACAGTCGTCGAAGTCAGCTCCTGATCTTCGGATCTGCTGTGCCTCATCACAGCCTCCGCATGCCGTCTTCTACTCGTCACTGACTGTTGCCGCCTTCTCTGAAAGATCTCTTCGGAAAGATGCGTTGCTTAGGGAATGAAGAAAGGTACGTCGAGCTTCACCTCTGCTGGTAGCCGTACCATACCGCCGACGGAGACATATCTTGATCAAAGCGACTGCGATGCTCTCGATACCGTGGCAAAAGAAGGCTTTACTATGCATGATCAGCGCGACATGCAACGCATGTGTAAAACTCAACAGTTCTGCCGCAACTTCAAGCTACTATCTTCCACTGTTTGTCTCAGATGCGGGTCCTGATTCAAATCGCGGGAGCTTCATTCACTTACCCAGTGGTCCTCTTTAGGGCTTCACGTGCTATGCAAGGGCACTTGGCAAATACGTATGACCTCTGATACGTAAGCACTGCTCGCTGGCGGCTTAGTTGGATCACTCTGGTAGCTTTGCTCGTGCTATACGGGTCAAACTTCAAGTGTGCTATCTCTAGCTGTAATGTCGTCGATGGCCCCAACAGCAGGCGGGCAATATCATTGGGTAATCGAATACGGACCTCGATCTTCTCAAAAGATTGTCAGCTATCTCTCTGGTAGATCTCGGACGGCTTTTGTCCTCCGACGACCGGACTGACGTTCTACAGGTTGACTCTCCACCATTTCTTGGCAAAGTATGGTAGCGCTGAATTGCTTTCATCGGCACCATCGTCTATCGCTTGTCACTATCAATCACGACTCTTACAATGCGACTAGCTAGCAAGCCACCACCTTGATCTTCGCTTCCTGCATGGGCGTTGCTTTCTTCAACAATTTCGGAGTAAACTACCTTCCACTAGCTGAAAACATCTCCGTCGCCAGCGACTTTTTGGCTTTCTTCCCCATCATGATCGTCACACTAGTTCTTTGCACCGAAGACTACACCGGAAAAAGTCATCCTTACGTTTACGAACCATGGACCGGATGCCCAACGGTGGCTTGGGCTACGCTCGTCGGTCAGGTCAGCTCCCTGTTCAGTGTCCAAGGTCATTTTTACCCATTCCAATAGGCACATACGCTCTGCTCATGGATCTATCCAGCCCTTCACGCCCCCCTCAACGCCCTGCTCTCCATAACCTCCCCAAAGTCCTCATATCCCTCATCAAAATCGTCAGCACAGCAACTTTCAACGCTATGCCATCCCTCTCCACCGTCGTACTCATAGGGACATACCTCATTAGCATCGCCTGCCCACTTCTCCGCCGCATCTCCAACCCTGCCTCTCCCCCTCCTTCGGGAAGACAGCTCTCCCGCAAAACTGCGCAAAACTGCATAGCTCTGGTTTATGCCACGTGGAGTCTTCTCTAGGGCTTCTAGCCGAATAGTTATACTCTTGACGAGAACAATCTCAACAAGACTTGTTCGTTATTTGCAGGGCTTCCTGGGTCCAGAAACAGTTTGCTTTATCCTGTATGCAAGGAAGAAATATAATAAATCCGTTGTTATCATCCAGAATGAAATGAGATGAGAAGTTTCCGGATACTCAATAAATCTTTTCGTTGAGAGCCTCGAACCTGCTGTGTTTGCTGCTCTTTAACTTTTTTCGCCCGTCTCGTCTCGTCTCGTCTCGTCTTCTACTACCGATATGTTCGCGTTTCAAAAGATCTCCTCGATATCTATCTCCATATCGTGTCCTGTCCAAAGTCAAGAAGTCGTGCCAGATTCGGCTGTTTTTTTCATCGTACACTTCGGATCTCGGATACGAGCGATTCGACATGCCGCCCAAATCAGTCAGGCGCTCCCCCTTCGAAGCATGTGTGGTGTGGTGTGGTGTGGTGTGGTGTGGTGTGGTGGTGCGCCTGCGACCATACAATTTCATTAACCTTGTACTATGTTTTGGTGGGGCATGGCTTCTGCGAAGCGAGGATACGAGGCGCTAGAGCTTTAGAACTACGTTCAGTCGAAGCCACCACGGAGTCTGACTTGGAGGGTAGAGTAGGGAGACGAGGTTTGAGCTGGAGTGGAAAAAGGGGAGCCTCAAGGGCAGTTTTCGATTTTGTTTCGCGATTCGTCGAAAACAACACAATAGAATCTCGCGATCTGTAGTAAGTCTATGAGATGCCCTTGCTGCCTGCCTGCTTGCCTGCCTGCCTGCCTGCCTACCTGCCTACCTGCCTGCACTTGCAAGTTGTGACTGATGCCGTCGTCAGCGCACTTGACCTTCCCTTGCGGTCAACAATGTTAGATTCGAGTAGTTCGAAGTTCGAAGCCTGTCGGAATGCCAAGAGTTCGAGGGTATGAGAGTGGTATCTGGTTTCGAATGCGGTCTCTTTCTTCATAGGACTGTGCACTTTGTCTTCTTCGTCTTGACGGGCGGTCGCGGGCTGATGACGGCTCTGTATCCGATTGTCAGTATCCTGTGCCATATGAAACTGCTAATGATGTCTGCGCCCATACTTGATAGCCTCGTCGAACACGCTCTTCAAGTTGCGCTGCGTGAGCGCGGAACATTCCATGTACTTCACTGCTTTGATCTCCTTGGCCACTTGTACGGCCTGCTCATACTGAATGGGCGCCATTTTCCGTTGTCGCAGCTGTTCGCGGACTTCTGGGTCGTCTCTCAGGTCGAGCTTGGTACCTACGAGAATGATGGGTACGCCGGGTGCGTGATGCTCGATTTCGGGATACCACTACTGCTGGTCAGCAAGACACGTTTCTGTGATTGAGGCGGAGAGTGGTCGCACTTTGGCCTTGACGTTGTCGAAGGATGAAGGGCTGACGATGGAGAAGCATATGAGGAAGACGTCGGTCTGTGGGTATGAGAGTGGCCTCAGCCTATCGTAATCTTCCTGACCGGCGGTATCCCAGAGTCCTAAACTTATGGGCTTGTTGTCGACCATGACACTCGCTGAGTAGTTATCGAAACTTGGATGCTGTCAGTCCAAGCAAGCTGCTGAGGCTCCGAGATGCGCATAGCTTACACGGTAGGAATGTACTCGCCGGGAAAGGCGTTTGTGGTGTAGGATATGAGGAGACATGTCTATTCTTCATCAGCCAATGCTCCTCGGGGCGCATTGTGGTTGGATTCACCTTTCCGACAGCACCGTCACCTGTTACCACGCACTGTATACAGCTCCATCAGCATGATGTACCCGCGTTGATGGCTTGGACAGACGAGGCGCACCTTCAATGACTGTGTCGCTGGAGTGGCCATCTTGGTTGCGTGCACGTGCTATCGCGCGACGGTGTGTGAGTGCACGCGCGTCGGACGTGGTTGTAATGTACAGTCCGTTTGTGCCTTGAGAGTGGTCCCCGCCTCTGGCTCGTCTGTGCGTGGAGAAGCTCTGGTGCTCTCCTGCGGCCCCAGTCCCTGGATGGCGGGCGTGGGCGTTTGCGTTTGCACAGGATCCTGGCTCTTGCTCCTTACTGCCGTCGTGTTGTTGTCGCGGAGAAGCTGCTTGCGCCCGGCACAAAGCTGCGGCGCCGATATGTGTATGTGGGTGGGTGAGGTCTCGTTCGTCTGGTCGTCGAGGTATCCACACGGAAGTGGCACGCCAGTCGCCGCGAGTGGAACTTGGAAGACAGGAGAGGTGTTGGGCGCGGCCCGTCGCGAGTTCACTCCTCCGCTTCGGGTGCGGGCGAAGACGTCTCTTTCCTCTGTATCTGTACGACGGCGGCGGTGGAATGGAGATGGTGTGCGAGGGCAATAATGTCGGTGTGAAGTCGGATGCGGTGCAGTGTAGTAGTGTGTGTGTGCCTCCCGGGGGAGATGGAAGTGCAGAGCAAAGAAAGCGGCGGCGGGCAGGCCCAAAGTCAAAGCGAATCCCTGCCCACCAAACTTATTAGCGTATGATTCCGCCTCTCCTGCTGCTGCGCGCTTAACCACCAGCCCACACATATCACCACATCCACTCCATCGTCACCTGCATCCTGATTGCTGCGCTTGCCGTGACAGCTGCATCTCCGACATGTGACGTCCGCCGACGTGGCTGGTACTTGGAAGGGAAGGGAAGGTAGCCTGCAGCCGCGCGCACGCCAACTGGGGAAGTCGATTGCATGCCGTCCCCTTGCAGTCACGCCCACGGACCTCTCGTCTACATCCAAGTCATCCCGGTGCAATGGAAAGCTGCCTTCCAACCCATCAGTCACAGCCGGCCACGGACATATCGCCCGAGACTTAACATATCGCTTACGTAGACCTGACTTCCTCGTGCGAGAAAAGTTCAATCTGAGAAGACTGCGACTGCGAGAATAACTGCGCCCACTTTCCCCGTGGCTGCAACACCAGTGCCACCGTGAACGCTTCTACGACGAGCAATGCAAGCGGCTGTCCCTTCACACACCTCAAACTTCCTGTTACGTGTCTGGATTGCACCTTCTGGGCAGACATCCACGTCGTCACGGCTAATTGGACCCTTGACGAGGATGGAGCCGCTGGCAGTGTACAGGTCAATGCCTCCAGCCTTGGAGCGCACATCGAACTCGCTTCTTATATCACAAACTGCTGGGATATCATGATCGGCGTCCTGCCTCCGAACATGATCCGGACGGAGAGTATCCGTATCGCCGGTCTTGGAGCAGCAAAGGTGAAGTATGGTGCTTTCCTCGCCGGAGGTTTCACGATCGAAAGTGGGATCGGATTAAGTGGGTTTGGGTCGCATACGCAGGTCCGATTCTCACCACCAATACCAACCCCTGGAATATCGATGTACCTCCGCTGACGGCACGATTTCCATGCACGCAGGTACCCGATAAAGGCGCGGTGGCTTCTATTGGTATCTGTTCCGGCGGTTGGGAAGATGAAAATTCTGTCCATGACAACAAAAGCACCACAATCACACGGAAGAACTTGTACGTATCACCAAGGCTTATCTCTACACCACTGGCGACCGAAGTTCTTATCGGAGGAAATCTTTCGCGTTTGATTAGAACGTCACTACGCTATCGGAGCAGAAAGAAGCCGTACACCTGCCGGCATGCCGCAAAAGCATGTAGCAGTGCTGCCGAGAAACGACGATCTGTTACCCGCATGCTCTGTAAAAACCGGCCATGGCCTACGTGTCAGCCAACCCCAAGGTGATCAGAAAGGTACAATGCGGTTCTTCTTACCCTGGAAATACGCCCTCCTGTGGAACATAGTCAGCGCACTTCTCCACTGCCTCCTTTGCGCAAATGTATGACCCGTCTTCATTAACATACACAGCTACTCCGGCAACTCTATCCCGAATCGACAATTCAATATGGCTCGGTTTTCGCTTACTGGTGCCATTGCTTTCAGGCTTTTTTATTTGCTTCTAGGCTTGCTGGCATTGAGTTTGATGCGTTTACCGATGTTGGCGCTGGGCACGCCGCTTGTCAGTACTTGTTCATCGGCGATTAGCGCGGCTTGTTCTACGGACGAAGGGACTGGGGATATGCTGGGGACATTGATGTATGAAATGGGCGGGGAAAGAGGTGGTGTGAAGCAAGTGGTGTTTCCTTGTGGGAAGGTTGAGAAGTTGAGGGATGGGGTGAAGTAGACGTGAGATACCCCTGGATTCGAATTGGTAACAAGCTGGCTTTCTCATTTCTCGAATTCAGCGTCCGCATTGTGACTTGACAGGAAAGCTTTCCCTTATATCTCAAGACAAGAATTGCTCACTCGCAGATCTCCATCACCGTCAAGTTCGACCCAACGCTCCTCGATCAGCTCTCCTTCACATTACCAAGCCTTCGTGCTCATTGCGTACCCGCCAGTCTGATGAAGCATTTTCAATGTCAGCCTTGAGCTCGTGGAAAGGTTGCCACAGAGAAGATGTATGTAGTTAGTGCTCTCAACAAGGTAGCGCATCTTATTGGCCCCCGAGCGGAAGGTTTCGTAGGTGAGAGATTTGAGCCAGGCATGCGCGAATCTCATGTTGTCGTTCGTTCGTGAGTATGAAAGTCGTGGAGCCATAGTAGATGGGTGCGCATATCTGGCGGCTGGCGCGGTCGGTTCGGAGCTGGACTGGAAATATGTAGTCTATTAAGACGTCCGCGCGCTGCGTGGATTTCTTGATCCTGACTTCGTCTCCGTCGCAGTTCAAGATGAGAGCCTTGATGTGCTCGCGGAGCACGGCCGGTGAAGCTTGCACACGCTCCTCGGATGTGAGGGATTCCATTTTGAGAGTGATGTTTCGTGTTTTTAAGCTCCCGAGCGCACACGTTGTTGTGTTGGGTCGAGAGTGCGCTCGCGAGGAAAGCTCGGCTGGAGATCGGAAGTCGGCAATCACATGTTAGTGCCGATGTTGAGTCAGCAACGCACGGACCATTGCTTCGAACACGGCACGTTTCCATTGATGTGACGACTACGCGACAGTGGGATCTTGGAATGAGCTGGAGCCATTCTGGGGGCAATGTAGAGAGGTAGAAGTGTTGAATACAAAGCTGCATTTTCCCAGGTTATGTTACGCCGCTGCAGGCTGAAAATATCGAGATGGGATTCAAAGGATTGCTTTGAATTTAATCAATGCGATTTCGCGAGCCAGTATTCACTGATATGCATCATCTCATCGAACCAATGAGACTTTCCTCGTATATGAAAAGTGATCTCCTCATCTTGCTCGTAATTTTGTGACCTTGGATTACCACTGCTTTGCAGGAGAAACATACATTATGCACCTGTACGTAGCGAAACCAGCAGTTTGGCGCGTACTTGCGAGTTGCCCTACATGGAAGAGCCTTGGGGTAGTTGTTAGCGTTGACTCCGAGCAAGCTCAGTTACTTGATGCCGAACGTCTCATTCTCTTTCGTGATGAGGAATGGAACGGAGGTGTAGTACTCGTTGGCGAAGGACTCTGTGGTGGCGTGGTTGACTTGGAGCTGTGCTGGCGACATGTAGCCTGAAGAACGTGCTGAGACGCCACTTGAAGTTCAGCGAAATGCGTCAAACCTGGCGTGATCTCTATGAGCTCCTCCGCGTCCGCGGTGAAGGTGAGCGCTTTACTCTCGTCGAAGATTTCTGCAGGCAAGGCCTGAATGCGCTCGGTGAGGGAGTCCATCCTTGGACGTGGATGTCTGAAAGTTGGGGGTTGCTGTGTCGTGCTCAGCTCTGCTGTATCGAGAAAAGGTCTGGCCGAAAGCAATTCGTCACCTGCTAGCGCCGGATGATGAGTAAGCGAAGCACGTGTCGTGCATTGCGGCGGCCACACAGCGATTGCTGAATCCTTGCAGGTCCACACATGAGTAGAGTCAGATAGATGTGCAGAAGCGGTCCAATGCCTCTCTACCTTTGCGCACGATTTTCAATCTATTTTCTCGCCGGGCCAGAGCTAATACCAAGCGAGTATTTCGAAGGTGACACACAAGTAGTGGCTCATGACCATCAACACCCCACAGAACTATGCTTATATTGGTTGGGACACACTCTGTCGCGCCGTACTGCGGTGTCAAGCTCGAGCCATATTCCTTTTCCGTGAAACCATGGCACACAAAATAGACGCCTCGCATGGGGAAGAGAAGCAGTTTCTTTTTGGCCACAGCCCGCCGCTTTTGATTGACAGGAAACTTGGTGCCAAGAGCACAATGCCTCAGAGGTACACCCTTGAGTATTCAGTGACTCTTGGTGCACAGAGCATGGGAGTCGAATCTCAGATCGCATAGAAAATTCCGCTTAAATTGCGTCAAGCCATGTGGAGTTAGCAGATTGTGGAAAGAGTCTGTTGAGACTGTAGTACCCCAAGCGAAATCTGGCCAGTAGCACGGTCGATCTGTAGCTGGAGCGGTGGCTCGGATTCTAGGTTCCTTTAGTCAAGAAACGGCATCGGGAAGAGTGGCTGTCTTACCGCTGTAGAAGTGGTCAACGTCATCTTTTACCGCTGTGGGAACCAATGCCTTGATTTTATCATATATCTAACTGGCAGAGCTTGGATATGGTTCGCTAGAGTTGCCGTATCTGACCATGAAATGCTCCCTACAAGGTCTCGCCAAGAACAGAATTCCACATACGTGTCGCGTACGCGTGTGGTGAAGAGACTGACGTTCGTTATTTGCGTCAATCTTGAAGCCTCGGTTCGCGCATGCCTCCTTGCAAGAATGCCCCCAATCAAAAGCTAGCCATACTCGCTCTGGAAAAGGATCTCGTCTTATTGGGAAACGCTGATGCAGCGCGATGGACGCTTGATGAGACGTGTGGTTGATGGTGTACGCCTTGGATGAGAGAAAGGAAAGAGGTAGCGTGACACGGGAAGCGGGCGGGAGCAACCCTGAAGTAAGTGAACTGTGGACAGTCTTGGCGGCTGCGGATGGTTCCGGCGGTTCTCTTCCAAACCTTGTTCCCGTACTGCGAACATCACATACTCCGAGTAATTGCACAAGACCAACAACCACCGCGCTCGCAATTCACTTATCGTGTCGCTTAATAACTGTGACGGTCTTTCCGATACGTCGCATGATCCGCCGCGGATGTGCTGATCAAAGCACGCGCCCCATCCCTTCTCCGCTATCCTGAAATCTTTCCAACAGCTCCTCTCCGCTCTCCCGCCGAACAGCACCCAGCCGCAGGGAAACATCGCAACTGGACCCGACCTCGACCCCGACGCGTATCGACTTCCACCCACCCAATTCAATGCGGTCTACTGGTATCAGCAAGAGCTCGGTCGCCACTACCCCGTTACTAGTATCGGCAGGCCAGGTCTGAGCGTTTGGACCTAGGCGCCGTGAGCCTCATCGGAGGCAGGGACATGGCACAACCTCCTATGGGAGGGCAGGGGCATATGCCTCCTGCTCTCCCAATGCATTCTCATCGGCGAGATCAGTATCACTACCACCACCACCCGCAGTCGCCGATGCAATCCAACTTCTATCCGGGCTACCATTCGTATTATACCCAACAGGCACCCTACCGGTGGCAGCCTCCGTATCCGCAGCAGCACTATGTCCCTCCGCCGCATATGCAACAGCCGCAATACCAGCCGCGCTCGCCGATGGTTGTGAGTTCGCAGCCGCAGCCGCAGCCACACGCCCAGGCCATAACACCGGTCACTCGACAGCAGAACCCGATGCCAAATCCTCCGCAGTCAACGCAGTCGCCGAGACCTATACCGCCCTACATGCACCAGCAGAAGACTCCAGTCGCTGCGTCTCCAGCGCCACAGCCTGAGGAGCAGCGTCCAGAGACACCCGCTCAGCCTACCCGTCGACCATCGACGGCTACCAATCCGCTTGCACTCCCACCTCAGCACAAGGAACCATTCTGGCCAAATGTAAGTTGCACTCATCGCTCTTTGAGGACCTTTCTAACGATGTAGCTTCCGTGGTACTCAACTCCCGAGGGCCGATCTGCGTTCCCAGCGCGTGCCGTACCGCGGCGCCGGAGAAGACGCAATCTGCGCTCGCCCAATGCAGCAGTCTCTTTGCCTACCAAAGACGAGGTAGTGCAGGATGAAGTGCCAGCCAGTGCGGATTCTCAGGCTCCTTCTGCAAAGGAACCAGCCTCCGAGACCTCCACCATCGCCGCGCCCTCCGAGCCCGAGACGCCCGCTACTTCACAAGCTCCGTCTGAGAGTGAATACACACACGCATCTACTTCATCAACCCCAGCTCAGGCATCCACATCTTCGCCCAAAGCAACAGCCACACAGCAGCACGGTCGAAGAGACACGCGAACCGCGATCGCAGTCCCGGCAATCCTCGGCCTCCCGAAAGCAAAAGAGGCTTCCCCTCCAGCAACTGTGGTGAAGCAAGAGCAGAGAGTAGAGACGCAGGATAGCGCCCACGACACACAAACGGTCAAGGCTGAACAGGTCGCTGCAGAAAAGCAGCCGGCAGCTGACGAGTCGTTGACGCTTAATACACCACCTACGAAGCCTGCAGGTCCCAAGTCCTGGGCTGAGCTGCTACGGCGGAACACGAAGCCTGAGGCGCCAAGCGCAATTCCCAATGGTGAAGTTGTGCCCAATGGCTTCCAACTGCCCAAGAGTGCGCCATTGGCAGAGGCGCTCAAGCAGTACAACGTGCGCGGCGACACGAAGATTTCTTTTATTGAGCCCAGAGGGCTTGTGAACACTGGAAATATGTGCTACATGAATTCGGTAAGCCTGAATAGATCCGCAGTAGCTGGAACTCTTCTGACTCGCGACAGATTCTTCAAGTTCTAATATTCTGCGTACCATTCTACAACTTCCTCGAACAGGTCCGGCAGCGCACGGCACATTCTTTGAAAAGCGACACGCCTCTCGTGGACGCTATGATCATGTTCATGACAGAGTTCAAGGGTTTGGCTAGCGCGGAGTCGGTTGTCAACCTACGTTCCATGCTCAAGCAGGAGCAGCTCGAGCAGTTCGGCGATCCGATCACGCCAGATTATGTTTACAACGTCATTCGGAAGCTACCACGATTTGCAGGCATGAGGGTAAGTGAACAGTGAGCCCCGTGGATGTGAGCAGCAGATGGTAACTTCCAACAGCGAGGACACCAGCAGGATGCAGAAGAATTCTTGGGTTTCCTTCTTGAAGGCCTCCATGATGAATGCGTGAAGGTCATGCAAGGACAGGCCGATGATCGACAACAAGCGAACGGAGCCACCTCACCGAGCACGGTCACGTCCCCAGAATCTACAGACGGCTGGATGGAAGTCGGGCCGAAGCAGAAAGCATCCGTCACCCGGACTGCTGGCCAAGAGGACGAGCCTTCTCCAATCACCAAGATCTTTGGCGGGAAGCTGAGATCAGAGCTTCGAGTGCCTGGGCAGAAAGACTCCGTCACATTGGAGCCGTACAAACCACTGCAGCTGGATATCGGTGCACAGCATGTCAACAACATTGTCGATGCGCTGAAAGGACTGACCAGAACCGAGGCACTGACTGGCGACTTTGGCGGACGAGGGACCACTGCAAAGAAGCAAGTGTTCATTGACACTTTGCCGCAGGTCCTGATACTCCATCTGAAGCGATTCCAGTATGACAACAGCTTCTCTGGAACACAGAAGATCTGGAAGAAGGTTGGTTATCCACTGGAGCTGGAAATTCCCAAGGAAGTCTTTCCACCAGCCAAGCGGGGTGGTTTGGCCGTGCATGGCGGCCTTCCGAAATACCGTCTCACCAGCGTCGTCTACCACCACGGCACATCCGCTGCAGGGGGCCATTATACCGTCGACGTGCTTCGGGAAGACAACCGGGATTGGATCCGCATGGATGACACCATCATTCGACGCATTCGGCCTGAAGACGTTGCCGAAGGGGGCGCCGAAGAGGACCCAAAGATCCTTGCCAAGGCTCTCGAGCAGCACAAGGCCGATCAGGAACTCCAGAAGCAGCGAAACATGTATCAAGGACTTGACGAGGCGGAGAAACAGCCTGAAGAGGAGAAGCCTTGGAACGAGGTCAACGGCGGGCCTGGGCATGCGAAGAAGTGGAGTGCACAGCTGACGTCGAGCGTGGCCAACACGAATGGCACAAGCACACCGACTAGCACAACTGGAAAGAAAACTCCCACGGCGAGGAAGGAGGGCGTGAGGGACAACAAGGTCGCGTACATCTTGCTCTATGAGCGGATTCACGATTAAAAAACAGAATCGGCGCTGCAAAGAGATGGCCAGCTGAGTTGGATCTGAGTTGCTCGCGAGAGTGGATGCTCTCGCTCCGCCGTCTTTCTATGTGACCAGAAGAAACAAAATCAAAAGCCCGAAAACCCCCTACTTAATCGCTCGCCCACACAAAATCACGACGAAATCTACCACATGAGCATTTGGCGACAGCGTCGAGCACTGACGTCGCTGGGTGTATTGACGAAGTGATGCGGGCTGCCTGTACTTGTAAGGAAGGAACGACTGATGCATGCCTGCGAGGACGACCTTTGACAGTTGGCTTGAATGAGTCGAGCATGGCGGGAGGGACTGTAAATAGTCTTAGTGCATTCAGTGGAATGATGGGCATGTGATTAAGCTTCAGGTGTCTGATCTCATTTCTGTGGCTTCTGTACAAGTCGCATATCTCTGTCGTGCTAGTACTTTCTGTGCATAGTGAAGCGCTTCCCATCATCAATCCTTCCCAGGCAATTGGGCCGGATAGTCCGCGCTCAAGTAAAGTAAGAGTCCCTACTTCCACCAACGCGACCCAAGTTCCCCGTCCTTGTGAATCAGACGTTGCGGACGGCTTTGCTGTTGCTCAAGTCCACAGATTCGTCGTACCTCTTGTTCGGCTTGTGCACGCGCTCGCTGCGGCGTGGCTCGACTGCGCTCGCAGCGGCTTGAGAAGCAGTGACTTCGGCTTGAGGAGCGGAGATCTCAGCTTGACGAGCAGGGGCGGCACGCGGGAGAGACTTGAGCTGCTTCTGGGAGCGGAACGGAAAGCGTGTGTGGATGTCGTTCTGGGACACGGGTGAAGAGGCGAGCTCGTTCAGCGTCGCGGAGTGGGCGTTGCGAAGTGCCATGTCGGTGTTGCTGCCCGAGCGGACGCTCTCCGAAGACGCTTGCTTCTTGAGATCGCTTGAGGCTCGGCAGCGTCGGAGAGTGTTTGGAGTCCGCTGGCCGTCTTGAGGCTGAAGCTGCAGCTTCGCCGACTTCTTTGGTGCGGCCTCCTCGCGCACCATCGAGGAGGAGTTTCGCTCGCGTGCGGTCCGCTTCTGAGCGGCGGAGGCGGTGCTGTCGACCAGCGCGGTTGCTTCTCTGGCGATGGTGGTGAGAGCCTGCCTCTGACGGGTGGCTTTTGGGGTCGCGTCGTACAAGTTTTCGTCGCTGCCGGGCTCGTCGCTGCGACCGCACGTCTGCGAGCTGGGGTTTGGCAAAGCGCTCGGAACGCGGCGAGCTGTTGGGGCTGTGCCAGGCATCTCGTCAATGTATGCCTGTTGCTGGGCAAGTAAAGCCTTGTCCACCCTGTATAGAAAGTCAGCACGCATCACAGTGAAGGGAAGGATGTGAACTCACACCCTCTCCTGAAGCAGCTGTTCGACTTGAGATCTGATGTCTTGCAGTTGGTCGACTTCGCCCTTCAGATCCTCTAGACGACTGATACGTTCCTTCAGTTGCTGGACCTCGCTTTCGGTCGGCTGGACAAGGACGTCATGGAAGTCGCTGCGAGGGTTAGCATCATCTCGATCCGCAGAGCAGGAGGTGGCGAACTTACAAGTCTGACTCTAGCTCGTCCGCCTTCTTCTGCAATTCTCCGAGCTCTTGTACACGCTGGGAAACGTTCAGCTTGATCGTCGCTATGTCCTCGGAGACCTGCGCGACGTCCTTGCAGACCTGCGCGATCTTCTTCTGCTCATCTTTATATTGGTCAGCGAATTGAGCGACGGCCTCGCACAGTCGGTCCATGGTGGCGAGCGTCGCAGTGACTAGCAGTGGCTAGCGGGCTTTTGTTGTCGGCGTGGATGTTGAAGGCGAAGTGAGGGTTGAGGTGGATGGCGAGAGTTATGAAATATCGTCGTCGGTCACACGTCGGCTCGCTTACCGCTAGCGCGCGCTGGACCCTGAAAGTCGTTTGCATGTGAACATGTTTTGGAAGGAGCGACCCACGCTCTTTCCTATTGCGGATATGTAGGGCTCAGACTGCGGAGATTCGTGTGGGGCGTGTCGGTCTCTACCATCGTAACGCACCCTTCATCGGACGGCCTCGGCTGAGCGCATCCTCTACCATGTTGGTGAAGACTTCGGGGCGGGCAAGTCAACCATACCTAAGGCGAAGCAACTTCCAAAGGGCTTGAGCATACTTCGACATTCTGCCTCCACCAATGGCGTTGATGTAGTCGGAACACTCCGATCGAATGCCTACACAATGACAGTTTCGGTTGTCTTGAGAGGATCTTGTCCGGTAGCCCTTCGGACCTCTTTGGGCAAAGCCTCGATTTGGCTCAAGTCCGTCATTTTTATCTCCCAATCCTCGATCGTCGCGGTCGAACCGGGCTACAAATCCTGTCCGTGTGGTTGCGAACTATCTTCCAGATCTGCTGTCTTTCTTGCTGCCTTCTCGTCGGTCATCGTCTTCAAGTTCTCCGTGCTCGTCACGAACGGCATCAAAATGATCACGGACTGGCGCTCGATCGAGGAATCTAAGATAGTCGAGAGCGATGACGGCTCAACCCCGTCTACGAGCTCGGTGGTTCGCTGCACGAAATTTTGGGGCCAGGTATGTGCTTGCGCTTGACATCTTTGCGTGATTCTCGCTCTCTTGTGCTGTTTGCTTTCATCCAGGAGATCTATCAGCAGCTGTCCCAGATAAACCAGACAGCGATGTCCTTTCCGGCGAGCTTGAGCAGAAATCACAACGCCTCCCCTTCATATCTGGCCATGGAGACCAGGACAGACTCCTTAGAGATGTCCGGAGGGTTCGAAAAGTCATTGCGATATGTGTGAAGACGAAAACATTGAGAGGTAATACTCTACACCTTTCATCGACTCCTTGAAACACCATTCTCCGTATCTGTTGCGGTCATTACTCGCAAGTATCTTCAAATCGGGTATTCTCTTTTCAACGCGGCCCGAGCGCTTCTCTAGACTTCGCCCTCTTTTGTACATTTCACAGCCCAGATTGAAAGAGTCATGAGCTCCGAGGCACCGTCCTCCTCTTCTGCATTCGCTCTAGAGGCATGATCATGGGCCGTCCATGCCGCATCTGCGATTTTCGGAAGGCTTCTGTGAGGATCGGGGAGCTTTCGGTTCGTATGGTAGTTCCAATACCCATGAAGAAGCTTTCAGGCATCAGCGAAACACCCTCAGGCAGCTGCGTAAGACTCATCATACCCAAACGTAGCTGCGGAGCCCACCATATATTGTCCCAGTGTGCGCATCATGCCATTAGGTCCTGGGCCGTATCTGATTATATTTGTTGCGCCGAAGATGAAACCAATGATCAGTCCGACGGCTATTAGGCATCAGTACCCCATTGCGCATGCTTCAAATATCGACTTTGACTTACTGCCACCCATCATGGCGCCCATCTTGGCTGCAAGTTGTTAGTAGTTGCTTGCAGGTTGTGGCCGACCGCTTCCGACTGTACCTTTGTCAAAGGTCGAAGGACCCGACATGCCTCCAGCTCCGGCAACAGGCGGCATCTTGAATGATGTTTATGCGATTTGAACGATTCGGCGTTGGATCTTTGATCGAAGCTGCACTCAGAGACGTCAAGCTCGGCAATGCTTGCCGAGGCCACGTGACCAAACCATGTTGGAGACTCGGTTTCGTGTGGGGATGGCACGAAACAACGACGAGGAGCTCTTGCTTGCAAACTTCACCTACCCTTACCCTGCACTTCCCACCCCGCCGACCACGCGAGGCCGCCACGCGAGGCCGCCACGCGAGGGCGACAGCAGACGAGACGGAATCGACGTGTGCGTAGGGCGACTGCGGATGCGATAGTCGGGATCGTTCACAGCGACCGGGTTCGCGGTGGTGCCGCCCTGCGACGAGTCGGCGCCAGTACAGCCAGCGTCAGCGAACAGCGTCGCGAATCGTGCTTGGACCTTCTCCTTGTGTCTGCTCTGCCCAGCAGCTCCAGGCAGGAGGTCCTTACTACGCCGCCCGGCCTGCATTGCGTTGCGTTGCATTGCTTTGCTGACACACGACGCGGCTGCCCGCTGCTACACCACTGCAACCAACCTGCCCTGGCCTTCACCTCACCTCCGTGCCATCATCGATATCACCGCTGCCACGCTCCTGCCACCCGTCCATTTCCTCTCCACCGCCGCCGCTCGCAGCTTCTCCGCCACGCCGAGCACACGACACTCGCCCCGTGCACGTTGCCGAAGCCCGCCCTGCCAACCTGGCAGCCAACTCACCTCACCTCGCTCGCGACTCGGCTATACAGCAAAAGACGGCATCCAATATCATCCTATACATATCAATCGAACACGTCATTGGTGACTGCTGGATTGCAAAGGAACCCGGGACGAACATACCGCGCATTAAACACCACCCATACGCACAAATTCAGTCGCAGCTCCCGCGGCCTATCCCGACACGCAAATGACGGCAGTTGCTCAGCCGCTCACTTCCTTCCAGCCCAGCACCCGCATAGGATGGACCACTAGCGGTAACGGCTTTGGCGCGATGAACTCGGATGAGGTCAGCAGAATGTTTACCCCCGGACCTCGGAAGACTGCCCAGCGGCAGAACTCGTCCTCGTCAATCTCCTCCACCGCTTCTTCGACCAGCACGATCTCTGCAACTTCGCAGCAAGGACAGACCAATGGCGCCGTGCAGCCCCCAGCAAGCGCAGAGGCAGGCAGCTGGGCGGCGAGAAAGAAGCCGGCACGTGGACTATGGCCGCCTGGTAAAGCTGAGCCCGCGACTGGAATCTCTACGGCGCGGCCGCAGATCATAAACTCGGCGACGTCAGGACACACGGCTTCGTCAGCCATATCCGCTTTACATGCACCAATGCTGCCCTCGCAGCAGTTGGCAAACGGCAATGGTCAAGCGAATGGGATTCTCCGGGAGCAGCCACAAGCAATGCCGCAGGCAATCCTACATCTTATTCCCATGAACGGCACTTTCGAGCGCAAGACCATCACCGTCCCTTACGCACCAGATGTTTTGCGGATTGGACGGCAGACTAATCAGAAAACGGTACCTACTCCATTGAATGGATACTTCGATTCCAAGGTTCTTTCGAGACAGCACGCAGAGATCTATGCCGACAGACAAGGTCGTATCTTTATCCGAGATGTGAAATCCAGCAATGGCACTTTCGTGAACGGCATGCGCTTGAGCCAGGAAAATAAGGAGTCCGAGCCTCGCGAGCTGAGAGAACAGGATGTTTTGGAGCTAGGCATTGATATTGTATCAGAAGATCAGAAGACGGTTGTACATCACAAGGTGGCTGCGAAGGTGGAACATGCTGGCGTGTATGGCCAAGGAAATGATGCGTTGAACTTTGGCGACCTTGACCCGAGCGCCGGACCTGGTTTAATGCCCAATCCACACCAACTCAAGCGAACCGGAAGTCAAGGTTCTATCAATAGCCGAGCTTCTAACCCTGCAGTCAGTCAAGCTGCGATGGGTATTGGCGGTCTCACTCAGCCGCAGCACATGAGGAGTTGGCTCAATCCGATTACGACAGAGCACATTGTGAGGAAATTGAACGTAAGCAGAACGGCTGGCGCGGAGTCTAGATCACGCTGACCATTTCCAGCACGAAATGAAACTCGCGGCGCAGCAGTCTCAAGAGATCGCGCGGGCACGACAAGCCATCGAGCATATGCTCGGCAGCAGAGCCGATCCTCCCCCGCCACTTCCCGAGAAGAAGTCGAGTTCGGAAAAGTCGAGGCCGTCACCTACTAAATCGAAACTGGATCTCATGGCACATTTCTCGGAACCTCCAGCACCGCCTCCTCAGGCACCTTTACCGGAAAAGCCAGACGTCGCACGTGCTCTTGCAGATCCTATCATCCAGCCCCTACTCCGCCGAAGCGATACCGCAAGAACGCACTCCGGCAGTGGCTCCCCCACACGGAACGACCATTCGGGCGACATCTTGCGACTCTGCGAAGAGTTAAAGCTTGCTAAGGGAGAGCTGAGCAACCAAAGCGAACGGATGAAGAACCTCGAGAATCAGCTCGCCCAAGAGCGCACTGCTAGGGAGAGTGCCGAGGAGAGAGCTCAGAGGTTAGAGCAGCCCAGGGATTCTCCCACAAATGATGGCCATCCGAGCGCCGATGATAGCTCGATCTCTCGCGAGGTTAGCAATCGTAATCCGGATTCAGCCTTACAAGAACAGCTTGATCGCTTGACGCGATCCATGGACGAAATGAAGCACCAGATGGAGCAATATCGCCAACGTGCAGAAAGTGCTGAAGCTGAAAGAGACGAAGCCCGCCAGACTCTCGCCGAAATGGTGGAACAGAAGCGCAAGGAGAACCTGGAGGAATCCAACAAGAGTAGCAAGTCACCCGCCAGCTCTCCCCGGTCACTGTGGATATCATCGCCTCGTCAAGAGCCCCAATCTGCGGAGCCAAATGGTCACGCATTAGCGCCAGTGCGTGTCGGAAGCCCAACTTCCATCGAATTGCTGGAGCGAGCTGGAGTCGAAGAAGGGAAGCCCATAACACCGGCTCAGGTGGAAAGACTGCAACAATTTCTGACACAGGAGGTCTTGGAAATTCCGAATAGGCCCAACGGGCCTGGACATATTGTTGCTCCTCTCACTAGTTTTACTGCGGTGGTCCTCCTTGGCTGGATTGCGATGCAATACATGAACAGCTGGCCGAAAGTCGTGGATCGATGATCGCCGATTGCTGCAGCATCGTCTCGAGGCCCGAGGCATTCGATGCTCGAGGTCAGCAGGCCTCGGAGCAATGATCGCATCACAGATGAGTGCCCTGAGTGGCATGGTAGCGAGTTGCACCGTCAGCAAGTAAGCGACTGCCAAGCGCCGAGCGTCCGCAAAGACAATCTGAATGCAGACATCGCTGCGAATCGAAACAGGATTACCTGTGGAAGTGGCTTGACCGGAGATCGGATGGCTTCTTGACGATCTTTCGGGCGCGTAGATTGTATCGATTGTCGACTGTTGCTTGTACGGAGTAAAAGTGGTGGCTTGGTGGAACTTGGACAGCGTACCAAGGCGAAGCAACGCAAAATTCGGACGGAACGGCACGAAAGCGTTGTAATTTTTGTTTCCTGTTTGGTGCATCATGGGAAACGGTCGAAGCACTGGACGGATGTTCGAAGCGCTTTGGCTTCCGGGGTTTTCTTAACTTGGAGGGCAGAGCATTGGATGGTCAGACTTTGGAGAAAGTTTGAGGATGGCGTTTGATTCTTTACCGCGCTTCCTGGAGTATTTGCCGTCGAGCGGACGCGATTTCTCTTTTGTTGTACATACCACTCAGACAGATGGAAAGGGGCTTGGTTGAAGGGGCGAAGAGAATGGAGAAGAGTTTTGAAGACAACACTCCTGGTTCCATCTCGCTATTTTGCGTTTCCGTGACTCGCATTTAGGATATTGCAATCTTGTAATCTCTCACAGTGCAGGACAGGCTGCGGTATTTCGAGGGCTTCTACCCTTTCATATTGCGAAGGGTTTCAATCTCGAAGTAGTTACGCTTGTGAGTGAACCTGGATCCTCTCACGTTCTTTCTAAGTTCGGATCTACTCCAATCTTGTCTCGCTCTGCCTCGCTTTCACATGTTCCTCAAATCGCCACCATGTTGTACAAACTGAACTCGTATGAACGTCCACGGCATGTCGGCTAATGTGGCAATGGACGGCACAACTCATGAAGATAGATGGTGCACAGCGCATGCTGCTGATGACATGTGCGCATCTCGAGGAATAGGGCACACATTCACCCGGACGTGCCTTATGGATTGCCACAAGGATGGGAGACAAATAAATCCCTTCTCACATTCTCGTCCGGCTCCACGTGTGGGGAACGGCTGACACTCCCCCTTCGCACATCGGATTACTCTGATTTTCGGCAATGTCGGAAGTTCTATTGGCCTAAGGAAAGGTAACAAGCCCTAGAGCCCTACTCTGTGCTAGAGGAGCCGCTTAGAGAACGGAAATGGTCGTGGCAGTCTTATGCCTTCCTGTGTCTTGTCAGACCCGAGCGCTCTGGTGGCGCTTAGGGTTGGCAGACGTCAGGCGATCAGGGAAGAATTTGCTGAATTTAAATCCTGAAGTGTGCTCAATAGATGCTTGTCGTATGTCCTTTGGGTAGGTATAAGGGTGGGTGGCGATCGCTGCTATGACTTTTGTACGAAAGCAGGGCAGTCTCGACCTCTTCATGTTCAACGACTTGCTTAATCGCGTATGATCAGGGATTACCGTCAAGAAGAAAGTGCCATATCTTGGTTTCTACGGATACAACAGCAGACGACACAGGATCGATCACAGAAACTTTTCGCTTTGCAAAATGGCTTCGTCACTGGAGATTCTTCGGCCAACACCCTCATCGCGATCATCCTACAGTATTACATCGGAGTCGTCCATATCCCAGGAGCTTGAGCATCAAACACTCCGGATCGCGCGCAACGAGACGGCCAACAAGCTTTACTTTTCTACAGACTTCCACGCAGATCATAACGTTCCCAGAGGCGACGTCTTGAGTGTCAGTGCAGATGTCGACGAGGAACGAGGCAAAGCTACTGTGGGGCTGTTGCTCAGTGCGAGAGGCGAAAGTGTGATGATCTTATCTTGGAGGAGGGAAAGAGGGACCTGGAAATGTTATCGACAGTCTGCGATGAGAGGCGTTTCGGGCTTTAGGGTCTGAAACCAATGGGCTTTTGTCTTGATCTTCTCGACCGGCATTCGAAACGACGTCTCAAGGCTTGCAAGTCGCTATATTCATGGCCTGCCGCACTGCACAAGTTCAACCCGCCGGGACATTGTTAGATCCCGGAGACGGACGTCGGTGTGCTGATGATGTTTTCGGTCATCATTCGGCGACTGCCTGGGCTGGAGTTGATTGCGGATGACGAGGGTTATCTGGGAAGCTGCGCGAGCAAGGTCGTTGCTGGGGATGAGGTTTGGTTGCTCTCCGGGACGAAGGTGCCGTTTGTCCTGAGGAGAGCTGAAGGCGGGTGCTACAAGATCGGAAGCAAGGCATTGGTTCGGTGGGCTGAGAAGGGCGTCGCTGGGGACGTGGAGTCTGAAGTTGTGCATTGAATGCGTTGGAACTGTACCTCCAAGTACTTTCCCTTGCATCCGCCCGTATCGAAGGGTGATGGGCGTTGTTTGCCCCTGAACCGGCGCGCGCTGCTTCCTCGAGATCAATTGTCTGCTACCGCTGCCTGTCAATTGATTAAGTTGTATAGAAGGGAATGTATCGTGGGCGGTGAGAATGGCAAGGACATGTTATTGAGACGTATTGTTACCTGGCCAGTACAATAGGAATGCTGACTTAACAATAGGGTGGGTAAATCGTGATCCGCGTGGGGAGCTCTGATTGGGCGGCGTTTACTCTCACTCTGGCGGGAAACATCAGGGCAACATCCATCTATCTTCCCTCCTTCCTTGACTTCACGAGACAACCTTATCTTCCACACACAACTTCAGGATTCCCTTTCCGACTGACAACATCGCCTTCGCTACTACCACTGTATCCCCTCACCGCACATACATCAACACAGCAGCTTGCAGTCGACGATATCAGACCCCGCCTGCCTCGCGTCCTGGCGGTGGGCGCGTCTTATTTCGCCCAACACACTCCCATTGATACTGCCAACGAGCTCGACAATCCAATGGCGCCGCGTAGAAAGTCCATGACGCGTGCAGCTTCCTCGGAATCTTCGATCGGATCCAACATCATCGTCAGCCCGGGCAAGTCGAATGAGAGAGGCTCCGAGCAGCCATCCGCCTCGACACCACCTACCAGCGTCTCCGACAACCACAGTATGCAGTCTTCAAAAGTTACGGAGGAGAGTGGCAGGCGTTCGCGACGCGCGCGTCGAACCGTATCCTACCATGTCAAGGAATTGTCTGAGAAACAGCTGCCAACAGAAATGGATGGCTCTGGCACCGGCTCACGCAAGGCGTCGGGACTCTCCGGGCGCACGCTCGTCAACAGGAAGAATGACCACGCAGACGAGGAGGACGTAGAGTTCGGCGAGGAAGTGGACAAGGCTCTGAAGCCTGATTGGGAGATTCCCGCCGATTCTCCCAAGGGCAAGCTCCCAGCTAGGCCGACGCGGAAGCCTAGCATCAGAGACCGCGCTAGAAACGCAGCTGGAAAGATGACCACGGCTCTCGGAAAGCGAACTCGAGACATGATGGAAAATGGCAAGCGAGCATTGGGCCTACAGAAGGAGAAGGAGAGTCCACAGAAGAACAAGTTGCTTAAGGAGCTTGATACGGGCACGAGAGGCGTCCTAGATGAGATGGATCTGGACGATCCGCCTATCCTGTCTCCGCGGCCATCGAAGCGCGCGAAGACGAACGGCAGGGCACCCGCACAGACACTTCCACCAGCCACGGCACCAACTGGGCCTTTGCAGAAGACCTCCGATGGCAAGAAGGTCAAGAAGTGGCAGAACGAGGGCCTGTATGTTGGACAAGAAGCGGACTTCGATACTGCCAAGAATCCTAAGAAGTTGCAGAAGAAGCGTCCAGCCTCTGCAATGTCCGAAGCAGAGTCTGGTCCACCTGCCAAGAAGCCATTCATGCCTCTGCCTATGTTCAGCTACCTTGAAAACAAGCGCCCGTTTACGATTCCGTACGACGTATTTGCGCCTTCGCTGAAGAAGGGCGACGAGCGGCCGAAAGACTGGCAGAAGCTCAATCGCAATCGCCTGATTGGAGAGGCCAAGGACGTATGGGAGAAGGAAGAGAGACTCCCGCAATCCGCTTGCGTCTGCCGGAAGCCGGCGGGAGGTGAGCTGGGATGTGACTATGACTGTTTGAACCGCGTCATGCAGTATGAGTGCAACGAGGAGAACTGCAACCTCGACCCATTGCTCTGCAGCAACCGTCCGTTTGCCCAGCTGGGAGAGCGCATCAAGAAGGGGGGCTCTTTCGACGTCGGCGTGGAAGTGGTCAAGACCGAGAAGCGTGGCTTCGGCATCCGCGCGTGTCGCTCTTTCGAGCCCGGTCAAATCATCATGGAATACACCGGCGAGATCATCTCAGAGGCCGAGTGCCAGCGCCGTATGCTCGAGGTCTACAAGGGCAAGCAGAATTACTATCTTATGGAATTGGAGCGCAACTTGGTCATCGATGGAACGAAGGGTAGCATGGCTCGCTTCATCAACCATAGCTGCGATCCCAACTGCGAGGTGCGCATGTTGAAGGTCAATGGCACGCCACGCATGGCCGTATTCGCAGGCGAATCTGGAATCATGACCGGCGAAGAACTTACATACGACTACAACTTTGACAGCTTTGGCGATTCGCGGCAAGACTGCTACTGTGGCGCGAAGAATTGCCGGGGATCTTTGAGCAAGCGTCTCAATGCTGCCGAGATGAAGAAGATGTTGAAGGAGGAGACGGAGAGGAAGCGTAAGGAAGTCGAGGAAGCGCAGAGGAAAGCAGCAGAGGAGGCTAAGAAGAAGGCCGCCAAGGCTGAGCGCCCAAGCGGATGGGTCGGCTGGCTTGATCTGAATGATCCCGCTAATTTGGAGCGGATGAGGGAAGAGAAGCGTCAGAAGGCGGAGGCCGAGAAGAATTCCTCCCGAGCACAGCGTTTGGCTAGTCGCCGTGGATCTACGTCTGCGGTGGTGGAGGCACCAAAGGAAGAGAAGGAGAAGGAGAAGAAGACGGCTTCAAAGGATTCTCCCAAGAAGAAATCTCCCAAAAAGGAGTCTCCCAAGAAGGAAGCGAAGCCTTCGGGCAAGCGCAGAAAGACCGTGCACACCGTACAGGAGGTGAGATCGCGAATCTCTAGCAAGGTTACCATGGACCCCGAGACTGGAGACGTCTACGTCCACGAGTCGGACGATTCGGATATGGAAGAGCTCGCAGCGCCTCGGACGTCAAAGCAGCTTCGTAGAACGTCGACTGGTTCGCGCTTCACCGAGGACCTCGAACTTGAACAGCGTCCCGCTTCTCGTCCAGGCTCGCGCCACAGCACCCGCGGTATCATGAAGCGTACCGCTTTCTCCGTCAAGTCTTCGATGGAGGTCCAGCGCAACGCGATTGCTGAGGACGAGACGATGCCGCTCGTCAGCTCCGCTCTGGCCGAGCAGTTGAACGGCGGTGAGGGCAGGAGCATGAGCAAAGTTACTGGTGGCCGCAGCAAGGGCAAGCAGCGCGCTAGCTTTGTCGAGGAAGATGTTGACGCAAATGCAGGGGCTGAAGAAGACGAAGACGCGGAAGAAGGCGAAGAGCCAGCGTCGAAGCGCAAGTCCCTCCTCGAGACCGTCACGAATGCCGTTAAGAACGGTCGTCAGAGGGCTCTTGGTCGGGCTAACAGCACTGGTGGCGGAAAGTTGAGGCAGAGTACGTTGAACTTCCCCCGGGTCTCCTAAGAGGAACTTGCGTACGATACTGGCTTGGCTGGCTTGGCTGGTCGAAGAGCCATGGTCAGCAGGTCGGAAGTGAAGACGGACTACATTGAAACTTGCGCAGCACACTCTTGTGGGGTGCGAAGGAATGCATTGCATGAGGACCGGGCTGTCTGGGTATGCGGAGGTTTGGAAGGCGTTTTTCTCTCTGCTTTGCGATCAAGACTGGCTGAATGGCTGATGCGATGCTGAACGGGCGAGGTTTGGGAGAATGTCACGTTTGCTCACACGCATGGCTTGTTTGGTGATTGATGTATTCGAATCGCGATGGGATCAAGCGGTGGTGATTGATGGGAGCGTAGCGTAGCGTAGCGTAGCGTAGCGTTGGGATCATTTTCGACAGACACTGGTGGAGTGAAAAGATATTTTGGAATGCATGATTTTGAAAATGTTCGGCCTTGTAAGAAGTCCGTCCCCTTCTAGTTTGCTTGTTTCGATGCTACCGCTACCGCCACCGCCATCCGTCTCTCATCACACATACAGCACGAGGGATTCCCCTCACCACACATACAGCACGAGGGATTCCCGCCGTGTGGAACGAAAAGTCGTCACACAGCATTGTTCGTCTCGAATTTCGTGGACTTACTCGTCGTCGTCGGCGTCGTCGAAGCCGAAGCGAGCCTTGACAGCTTCGAAAGCGGAAGGCTTCGCTTCGAAATCAATCGTCACCTGTTCCGTTTCATCCTCATTCGACTCACCTCCTGCCTCATCGACCGGCAGCTTTTCTCCGACCATCTTGGTGAGCGCAGATACCTCTTCAGGCTGACGTGGCGGTGGCGAAGGGGGCGTGACGGAGAGACTAGGCGGCATAGCCTTCCCCTTCGAAGACGCATTCCGCTCCATCTTGTCGGCCTCCTCCTCGAATGGCTTCTGCGCCCAACCGGGAACAGGCGCGTCCGCGGCCGGGTGTTCACCTCTCACTTCCAGCACATCACCACGACGGATCACACCGATGTCGGTGTTGACCTCTGGTAATTGTGGAAGCTGAATATCGCCGAGGAGATCCAGACCGGGCTGTTGCTTCTTCTGCGCGGGCGCTCTGGCGACAGGTCTTGGAAGGGAAGAAGAGAGCAGAGGAGGGCCAGAAGAGCTGCCGGTGGCGATCTGGCCCAGCTCGCGAGCGAAGAGCCAGGGGAAGGAAGTGAAGGGCATATTCTCGAACGTCAAGTAGCGGAGGGGCACTGCGCGGCCACCCTTGACTGTTGCCTCTTTCGATTCGGCAACGGCTTGGCCGACTTCGTCGGCCGTCACGGTGTACATGGCGACGAGGAAAGGTTTCATCCTTTCCCAATCGCGCTCTCTCGGATTCGTGCCCGCTCTCTCGTAGCACATCTCCTGGTGCTGCTGTCGAAGCGCACGGGCAATCTCGCCGATATTCTCGGCGAACTTGTAATCGTTGATGTCCTGATGATGCTCCAGCACGAAACCCGTCCAGACTTCGAATTCCGTCCTGATGCCGTGGGCGGCCATGATCCGGCGCACGGCTTCGTCGTAGAGCCCCTTGATTTCTCGTGCGCCCTGCAGCATCTCTTCGCTCGCGTGGCAGGAGCTGAGAATCCGCTGGTCGAACGGCATTTCCCACGCGGCGTGGAAGGGCTCTCGCTTGACTTCGTCGTACAGCTTGCCCAGGATCTTGCGGGATTGGTAGATCTTGTGTTTCGACTTGCCTTTCGGCTCCGCCCAGTGTGGCCAGCGCCTCGTCCTCAGATCCTCAGGGACCTCAGCCGGCACACCGGTCTTCGCAAAGTCGACGGCCTTGGAATGCAGTTCGGCCAGCTGGAGGCATTTGTCCCCCTTGATGCCATCTGGATTCTGGGGATCGTCGGCCCAGTACCGATGGGCAACGGCGATGCGGTTGAGATTGTCGTACTTGATGTGCTTGACGAAGAAATTGGTCATGTCCTCAACGGTGACGGGACCATGGCTCTCGACAGGTGGGGGAGCGGTGTAGTCCATTGGAGCATGATTCCACTCTCGTGGCATCAGATCCTTGTCCCACATGACGAGGTAATCATCACCATCCAGATCGCCGCCCGAGCACATGTTCGCAAGGTCTCGATCGCCGGTCTGAGGGAGTACCACACAGTTCTTCAAATGGTGGAGAGCCGGTACGTTCACTGCTCGGACGATACGGGCATCTCCAGGATGGAGGGATGGGTTTCTGGCAAGCACACAGATCTCCTCGACGACTTTCCACTTGCCTTGAGCGTCAGGGTCCGGAATCTGTAAGAAGATCTCGGGAAGTGTTGACTCAATATTCTCTTTCACGAGCTCTTCATCGTTGGTACCGCAGCTCAAGACTCCAGCGGTATCCACACGACCTTCGAAATGGCCGCGCAGAGTCTGCGTCTCGTCGGTACCACCGAGAACAAATGCACCATCTTCGACATAGATCCGGGCCTTCTCTTTGAGGTATTTCAGACTCCAAGAGCGCCATAGACGTAGGCAAGAAATCATAAAAGGCTCCTTGGTCTCCATGAAGCCATCGAAGATCATAGATGCCAGCGTGATGGTCATCTGATTGAAGTCAATGTTCTTCTGCAACAGCTCCTTCGCCTTCCTCTCGCTCGTCATAGCCTCGGACAGATCGGCAAGCATGGCTCGCAGCTTTCCCACGAAAACTTCGTCCGGCACACCGAGTGCGGAGAGTACCAAGATCAGCTGCGTGTTCAAGTAGGCGGTAGAGAATTGCGAGATTCTGCAGATCTCCAGACCGTAGAACTGAGCAGCGAACTTCTCTTGACTTGGCCTAATCTCAATGGTCCGGCCTTTGAGCGCAGGGTCGACGGCTAAGACGCCTTTGCAACCAGCCAGACGAAACTGAAACATGGCAGGATACTCGAGCTCCGTATTGGGCAGGCTGAAGTGGCTGGCAATCAACCGAGCCAGAAACGGAGAGATCTTTCCAACTCCATCGGTGAAGCAAAATCCGTTACGCTCCACGTCAGGTATACGGACAAGATCGACGGTATTGGGAATGGCTCTCGTCGTAGAAAAGCACTGGCCGAGTCGAGAGCAGTACTTCGCGACGACTTTGATATTGCGAAAGTTTCCCATCCAGTCGCGAATCATCTGCGCCGATAGAGAGGGTGTCGAGCAAAAGAAGTACGCCCCATGCTCGCGAAACTGCGAGTTGCCAAAGGCAAGAAACTCGTAATGACGATCTCCGATCCAAATGCCATAGGCCATCGTTCTCTTGATACGCGAGTACACTTCGTCCAAGTGATGAGACTCGTCAGCGAATATCCGGCCTTTGTATTTCTCGTCCGTGAACTTCACACGCAAAAAGTGACTCTCATACTTGGAGAACTGGCGGATGATACGATTCGAGGTCTCCAGCACTGGCGTAGAATAGTAAATGGTGCTCGGCGTCACGTTGGCAGAGGGAATCTTGATGCAGTAGCCCGGCCGCTTCTTTTCCACCACAGAGACCTGGTTTTGCAGACGAAAAATCTGATCTGGATCATGGTAACGAGCCTGGGACTCTGCAGCCTTCTCGAGAATCTTGCACGCCCTGAGCTGGTCTGTTACTGCCAGTGTGGACAACTTGTTCATGAACTCGGCGTTGACGTTGCTCTCGTGCAACACTCCTTGGCTGAGACAAACCTCGAGCCGGTAGCGAACATCGAACGGGAGGTTCACTTCGTCATTGGCCATTACTTGTAGGTCGGACAGGGATGAGTACTTTTCATCTACCGTTTTGATGGCTTTCGAAGCAGGATCCAGCGCGGACCAGAGAGCGTTCGGGTTGCCATAGTGCTCCCGACTGTACTTCAAGGCCTTGTCATTCTGGATCTTGACATTGTGATCAGCCAGCGCCTGGAAGATATCATCGCCCATACTGGCCTTGTCGATGACGAGTCGGTAGGCCAGCCAGCGTGCAATATCTATTATGCAATTCTCCTTGCGAAGTTTGACCCCCGATTTTCTGCCCGTTGGATCCTCGTCGATATCGGTTTGTCGTAACCAGATGTTCTTGTCGTCCCAGACAGACTTGCCTTTCTCATGCGTGGCTCGAATATTGGACGTCTTGCGTTCAACCATAGGTGGCATATCCAGCGTCAAGATGAGCGCTGCGGTGTTACCCTCTTTCGGATGCTCTACGCTTCCGTCGCAGATTTGGGAGGGGTTGATCTTCATTTTGAAGTGCCGCTCGAGCGTGCCGCCCGACGTCGCTGGCATCGTGACCGAAAATGTGAGGAACAATGCCTTCCAACGCAGATCCAGAGTAAGCTGCGGAACGAAAGAGGCCGTGGCAGTCGACGAATGCATCACCAACATCGAAGTCTCATCTTTCATGACGCCGAAGTCGGCTTGCAGCAAAGGTAGAAACATGCGCTCTGGGAAGGACTTCTTCGTGGACACGCTTGGATATGTCGTCGGCATCTCGGAGCGATCGATGGTGTCAACATATTCGACATTGTTGTTCGGCCCTATGCCCTGGATGGTCCTTCCCACCCATGAGACATCAGCTGGTGCAGGTCGGAAGAATATCATGGCAGTCTTGTCGATACTCCTCGGCTCGTGAACTTTGATGTAGGAGATGTTTCCAAAGCGCTCGAATGATCTCCACAGATCATAGGTTCCCCAGGTCAGAGGTACGCGGTGGATCGCGATCTTCAGCTCCATTCGGTTACTGGGTGCTCTGGCTTGGTTGTGAAGTCTGAGAAGCTGTTGTTCGTGATTTGGATGTGGAAAAGTTGGTGGTCCTCGGTTCTGTCGTCGATTGAAAGGGTGCTGCTGAGGCACTCGCTGCGCCGCTACTCCTCGACCAAGCGTAACAGCATCCTCCGTCTGGCGGCGCTGCTGTGGTTGGACGTTCTGTGTCATATACGGCGAAGATCTCGGCGGACTCGAGAAGTGACGCAACTGTCCGGCTTCTGGCCTAGGTCTCAGATGCGGAGGCAGAGCTTTGGGAGGAGAGTCCGAGGCTGCACTAGAGGGCGGAGTATCGGCAGACTGAGATGCTCGTTTGGATAACGTGTTGTTGAAGGCTATGCTCCTGTGGTTGTGTTGTTGATGTTTCGACTGTCGATGCGGAGAAGAAGTAGGAGCATACGAGCCTGGCTCGAAGATGTCGCTTGAGCCTGAAGGTGAAGATGAAGATTTTAGTAAGACTTGTGACAGCCAGAAGCTCTTCAGGTGAAAGCAGCTGATGGTCAAAAGGCAATGCCAGTGGCAGCGGCAATTATTGTGTGACCAGAAGGCGACTCCCTTATCCAAAGCTGTCGTAGCAGGTGAGGAAGAGCAGCCGCTGGTGACTTCTCTTGTTAGATAGGTCAGAATGATATGAGAAACGCACCATCACTCGAGCCACTGGCGGTGGTATTCTGCTCCTCCGCTTCGTTGGCCATCTTCGTAACGTCGTGCCGATTCGACCAAGGCCGCTTCGCCGCTTGCTCTACGATGTACGCACAATGAATGCCATGTCAGTGTCTTTCGAAGTCCAAGTTCTGAAGGTGAAGTTTCCCGTTTGCTCTCACGCGCGCGCCTACCCGCTCCAGCACGTTTGCCTAATATCGGCTCCATTTCGGGAAGTCGCAACCCGCTAAAACGGGTAACATGTGAAATCGACGTAATACCAGCAACCGAAACCCCCCATCTCTTAGGCTCTGTCTATATCAGTAGCGGGTATCGTATATCTCCTCATCCATAACAAAGTAGTCCGCAACGCTACGCCCATGAGACTCGTCATGTCCCCTCCTTCCCCTCTCGCCTCCTCTCAATCGCCAGAAGCACATGCCTCATACGGATGGGCGGTTGCCGCTTATACCCCTTCCTCTGCCGATTCAACTCCCTTACGAGAGCCATACTCAATCTTTCCAGAATCCATTCAGATTCCGTCTTCGTGCTCATCAAGGGACTCTCTTCACTAAGCCAAGACCAATCCTTCAGCGGATCCTCATCGTCGGACATCTGCCTCTTCCGAGCTCTGTGGGGCCGTGATTTCTGCGGCCCCCGCCAGGCGTATCCATTCTTGCGTTCGGTTTCGCGGTCCACGACGCCGTCCTGGAAGAAGATTAGTGCGATGAAGTGTTTGAAGGTCGTGCCGCTGTTCAACGGGATGCGTACCTTGTCTGCCTCGACAGTACTGCTGCCCGAGTCATTGAATTGCGCCTCAATCTGCTTTTCCCATTGTCGCCGATCTTCCTTATAAACGCCTGTGATAGGATGAGGGGGCGATTTTAATGGCTCTGGAACGAGGACATTGGAGATCTTCTGTCCTTCAAAGTCGAGCGCTTCATCATCTTCGCTGCCCATTAGTTTCAGGAAGTATTCCCATTCGTGCCTGGTCTGATCAGCAAACGGAGTCATCTTCTCAACCGATCTACTCACTGCAGTGACAAACTTACCACGAGTACTGCTTGGGCGGCGAAGCATTCAGGTCTTTCTGCACCTGCCTCATCTCCCTTGACAGGACATAGTTATAGAAATGGATGTCCCTCTCCAATTCGTTCCCTTCTTCTTCGTCCTTCTTCGCAGCCTCAAGCTCTTCCTCTTCAACATGCCTTTGCAGCCGAGTAGCTAGCCTGTTCAACATTTCCTCGTAATGTCTCTTTCCCTCCAACGTCTCATCGTGTTTCGTCTCCCCTAGAAGTCCAGGAGGAGTGAACTTCGACAAGACTTCTTGCGCACCGCTGGTGAGCCGCTGGATCGTGCTTTTGCCCTTCTTTTCCGGGAGCAGAGTGAAGCTGGCAACCCAATTGGTCAAGTCGGAGAAGCTCTTGACAATGGTGTCGCCCATGTTCGAGATGAGAATCGTCAAGGAAGGCACTGCCAGGAGGGACCAGATCACAAAGAAGGCTTTCCCGGAATTGCTCGATGGTGTAAGATCACCATATCCAATAGTCAGCAGGACCACGAAGGTGAAGTAAAGCGCTTCGAAGTAAGTCCAACCTTGCTCGTCTCTCTCGCACACCATGAAGATGACCGCGCCAACGAACCAGAGGAGCAGTACGAAGAACAGAGACGTACAAAGCGAGAGGTATCTTCTCTCACGCTCTGCAGCGAGTTGAACTTTTCGCATGACGTGGAACTCTTCCTCGCGGCGCTGAGCCGGTGTGAGAGAGGGATCGGTTCTGAAGTTGGCCTGCGCGAACCATGAGATTTTGACAGTCTGCTTCCGCTTGTCCACGTTATGAACAGCATTCTCCCTCCGCTTCTCAGTGATTCTTGCTGCAATCTTCTCCTTTCCTCTCTCCAGCACCAAGCTCCTGATCGACCCAACCACAAGACCTACAATCAGAATTCCACCAATCGCGAACGGAAACAGCAGCCCACGGCCGACAGTTGTTTGAGGCGAGTAATCTCCCAGACCGACAGTGAGCAATGTCACTTGGGCCCAGTATACGCCGTCCAGGTACTTCCAACCCTCGATGTGACTGAACACAAGTGCTCCGAGAAGTAGGTAAAACATGAAACTTATCGTCTGCAGCATGAGCGTTCGTTGAGCAGGTGTAAGGTCGAAGTCTCTCTTGTAGTGTCCCGCATGAGCTCCATACACAGTGAAGCACATAAGCAATCCAACCAGAAGGTAAACCGCAGCCGCGAAGATGGCATAGTAGTAGGCCGAAGTCAGAGCATGTCTGGCAGCAGGCTGCGCCTGCGGATCCGTGATGTAGTAGTCCGACGAAGAATTGATCGCCGCAATGTCCGCGACAAGAAGAATCCCCGCCAGAATAAACCCAACAATCGTCATCGGCTGAGCGATCGTGAATTTGAGTCGCTTGGCCATATTGAGGAGGAGCGTAGCATTCCCGAGAAGCGCGAAAAGCAGTGATACCGCATTGATTGCAATCAACCACTTCGGATCGGTCAGTCTAATGCCATCCGCGTCCATCTTCGCTTCCGGAATGAAACTTCGCCAGCTGTAGACCAGGGCGCATATTGAGAAGCCGTTGGCTACAGGTCCGAACGTAGCAGCGATTAAGGGAATCGCGGTAGATGCAAGCCACCAATGGCCCGGGACATCCCTCTCTCGCTCTTCCCCCCGTTCCTGTTCGCCATCTTCGAAGTCCTTGTCTATCTGAGTCGCATCGCTGTTGATCTGTGTCGCGGCCTCAGCGACAGGTTCGCCGATGCCAGGGTCGATTGTGCTCATGACGAGCGGAAGAAGTGTGCTAGTAGGGCAGAAGGAATGATCATCATTAAGGTACCAGGTAGAGTTGGAGGTGGAAAGTCCGCATCAAAGGAGAAGTGTGTGGAAGGTGAAAGATGGAGTGGTTACAAAACAAGGTTCAGACAAAATAAGCTTCAGACACAACAAGCTTTTGGGCCGCGTGACAGGTGAACGGTTCCAAGGCTTCCGGACGTGCCTGTGCTTGTTGTATGACGCGATGGGCAGGCACGAGGACGACAGACGAGCTTTCTTGTGTTGCAGGTCGATGATGAAGCATTCCTCCGCTCTCCAGTCGTCTTCACCGCGACTATGACACTGCCTTTGTATGTTTCTTGCCTGGACGCGCGGCCAAACACTCTGGGGATGCTGCATTCCAGAACGCCCAGCGGGGTCGTACGAATCTACGTATGTGGATGTGCGGGTGTAATCTATTTACAGACGTATCCGGAAAATAGATATGATGGAGGATCATCTCTCAGACGGCATCAGAGGTGATCAGCTCTGATAATTAATCAGAGGCTTTGTGCCCCAGCAGGTAAGTCTACAGAACATGTCAGCTTCCACAACACACACAAAAATCATTGTCACATATGTGCTTACCCTTTGTGGTACGAATGGATACGCCGTGCCACGGATTCCTTACGCATTTGGGCAAGCAGAATCCGAACCTCGTCCGGTTTCCAGCCCAACACACGAGTGAAGGCTGCGAGGGTGAAGCCCTCGAGACCTTCGAGCCAGTTGAGACAGCAATACCTCCCAATCTCCTTCATCTTGGGATCTTTGGGCCAGTCGTTCATTGGCCGCTTGGTAACCCGAAGATTTACGTTTTCGAAGCCGGCGTCTTGCATCCACTGCTTGTATTCCTCCGCCTTTGGAAATCTCCTCCCCATCTTGCCGAACGCTTCATGCATCAGGCTCGTCCATTGCCTTAACGCAGCGTCCTCGCGTAGAGTATCGTCGTCGCAAAAGATGTCAATCTGCATCTCGACGGACTGCAGACTTCCGCCCGGTTTGAGAGCATCGAATGCGCGCTTGTACAACTCGGGCCAGTTGGCGACGGATCCGATGAGGAAACGATGCTGGATCATGTCGAAGCGGTTGCTGCCAAACGTCCATTCCTGGTCGAAGTCGTCGATTTCGAATTTGCAGTTGGGAGGAACCCAGCTGGGCCTGGATGAAGCGTGAGTCTTCAGCACATGATGTCTACTTGCTTTGCACACGACACATACTGCACTGGACTGAGATCGGTGCCGAGCAGCTGGCAGTTGGGATAGTGGTCGGCCATTTCTATACACCAGATGCCGGTACCACAGCCCAGCTCCAAGATCTCGGTGGGATGTTCCACGAGTGGGCACAGGAACAGCTTGCCGTCCATCTGCAGCTTCTGATTGTGATGCTCGATGTCCATACGCTCCTGCTCTTGCTCATCGTTGGTGAAGAGGTACTTGCCGGCCTGGTAGCCATGGTACCTCCTGCCGTGCTCGAACTGGTACTTGGTGACGGCGGAACGGAGGGAGGTGCTGCTGCTGGCGAGCGACTCGCGGTCACCGCCAAAGGTGCTGTCGTGGTCGTGTTCGTCGGCCTCCATCACGCCTGGATCCGCCGGGTCTGCGGGCTGTGACTGTTCCTGTGCCTGCCCCTGTGCACGGCGGGTCCAAGTCGAATGGCACAATTTTCACCATGGCCATGGCCGCATCCACAGCGAGGGCGAGGGAGTTGCTTGGTAGCGAGCATTCCCAATGCAGTGGTCTTGGTATGCCGCACGACCGCCTCCAAGTGGAACGAGCGCGGGCCGCCTCTCTATCCTTACCTCCCCTTAGTAGTACCTGACCTGTATCCTTGCCAGGTCAGGTGTGCTTGTACCTGTCGTGGAAGGGAAGCGACAGGCCGAGCTTGGCTTCCCTCCCGGCCCCACGGAGGCTAACCCCGAAATGGACTTGGCTCCCTACCTTGACGCCTCGTGCCTGCCCCGATCCCGACCACAGTACCGCAGTACCACAGTGCTACTGTACCTTACTCTATTAACGGTCTGCCCATCAAATCCACCATCAATCAATGTCGTCCTCCTCCCCTTTCCTCATGCCCCATGCCTCACGCCTCCTGCCTCCTATATAACTATCGCCTCTCCCCTTTCACATGCAAAATGCAAACCAGCAACGCCTTCTCCTTCCTCTTCCACGAGGGGACGCGGCCCGATGACCGCCACCGACAGCTCCCGTATTACTGTAGGTAGCAAGCAAGGAAGGCGCCACCCTGCCCATGCTCCTCCTGCACGCTGCCGCACCCGCCCGATGCAAGTCCCCCACCCTCTTGCTCTGCTCCTTCCTCTGCTGACACTCACCTCGCCTGTTCTGGATCTCTCCCGTCACATTCCATATGTTCTCAGGTCGGACGGGACGGGAGCATCCTTCAATGGGGCTCGACCCTCCGCTACAGCTGAGAAGTCGTGTGTGTGTTCGAGATGTACCGCAATGCTGTCCCGTCTCGCCATCTCTGACTTGTGGCTACTCCTCCGACAATGATGGCGAGAGCAACCAATCATCGTCCGTCGACGTGGCCGACAGTTCCGAAGAAGGTCCGCTCCTCCAGGACGGCTCTATCCATCCATGAGCTTTCGTGCATGGGAGATGCTCCAGTCGCGACCCACGGACCAAGACTTCCGCACATCTTCCCTAGCTGCAGGCCTAGCCCTCTGCACGCGACAGAGCTCACCCACATCTGGCCCGGTCGGATGTCTGATTGGCAAACACGGCGATGCCCTCGGTTGCGATAGCAAACCGTCAGTCGTCAGTACGGCCAGTGCGCTCGGCGTGAATATGGCGCTGTTATGGATAACTTCGTCAGAGCGGTAAAAGGGGGGAGAGAGCTCGGGAGAAGGCCATCTCACCATGTATAGTAAGTATCGATCTGTCAGCTATAGCTCGAAAAGCCCGGCTAATAACCGATTTAGGATGCTATACTGTAGTTTTGGTTTATCTCTAATTCGGCTTGAAGCTTTGTCTCAATCAACACAAACGCCCAAGGGGACCAGTCTAGTCTGCCTGCCGCCAACGTGTCGTAGATAAAAATCGACATGTCGCCTAGATCATCCATCTGAATGTAACGTCCAGTCGTCCCAGCGGTCTGGTATCTGGATGCTGCATCCCCCACCACGCGACGCACGCACCTTTGCCCCGACACGCTGCGCTGCGCTGACATGGCTCAACTCACGAATGGCCATGGCAATGGTACCAACGGGATCACTGCCCATGTCCGTGGCTGTCATCTTATCGGCAGCGTTCCCCTTCCGGACACTGAATCGGTCTTCCGCAGCTTGACAGCTCTGCTCCCCAACCGATTGAGACGTATCACAGATGGCGAAACTGGCAAGCGCCAAGGATTCACCACCTTCCAGGCCGAGGTCTTCGCAGCATACCCGCCCATGCTGACGGAATTCACCCACAACGCTCCAATTCAAGACAAGCCCTTCACGCCAGAGCAAGTGGAGGACGGCATCGCGATATTGAAGAAGGCTGGCATTCGGACGGGTTATGACGATGCTGCAATCGAGAGCTATGCCACCTTCCGCAAGCTGCGAGACGAGGGTGTCATCCCCAAGGGCGTCAAATTCCAAGTCTGCATGCCGACAGTCGCCAATGTCATCTCTCCCTTTACGCAGAGAGCTTTCCAAGCTCAAGTGGAGCCGGTGTACGAAGAAGCCTTCTTCAAGGCTCTCCGGAGGATTCAGGATTCGATCCCACACGAAGACTTGGCAATCCAGGTCGATGTGGCGCTGGACACGGCCTTCTGGGAGGCCACGAACCCACGGACCAGGAGGGAGAACAGTGGGCTGGAGTGGTTCCAGCCGTGGTGGAAAGGAGATGTGAAGCAATACCAGACCGACTACCTCGTCCGATGGGCTGCTCAGATCGATGCGGATGTCGACTTTGGAATGCACAACTGCTACGGTACGCGAACAAGATACATTGTGGTTCACAATTTCCTGACACTCTGACCAGGTGACATGGAACACAAGCACTGGCACGAGCCTACTTCGCTCGCAGTCGTGGTCGAGCGCGCTCAGATGTTCATGAAAAGCACCAAGCACAAGATCAATTTCTTCCACTGCCCCGTTCCCAAGAGCGCCGAATCTTTCATCGACGCTTACCTGGCTCCTCTCAAGGAGTTGGTTCCCCTCTTCGAGCAGCACGGAACGGAGGTCTACCTGGGCTTGGTCCATGAACACCAGCCCGAGCTGACCCGCAAGTACATCCAGGCCGCTGCCAAGGTCCTTCCCGACGGCTTCGGCATCGCGGCAGAGTGCGGCGGCGGCCGGATGAAGTGGGAAGATTTCGAAGACATGTTGAAGATTTCCAAGGAAGTGTCGGAGCCTGTGCTGGCGGAGAGAGGTTTGTGGAAGTTGTGATTGCGCCGTCGACTTTACTGACCAAGGCGGGGTGAAAGCTGAGTGACCAAGTACAAGTACGAAGTACAGTACGTCTCCGGACACGAGACTGCGACGAGATACCATCGATGGCTCTCTGAGAAGATTGCATCTGTGGAGCGAGGTGGTAATCTGGAGAGGACCTGTAACATTCTTGACTGGTGGCGTATCTAATGACGATGTGCCGTCTGCTTTCTCTCCGACGTGTTATTGAAAGATAGGATATGACATGGCTGATATGACACAGCTTTCTTCATTGCCGTGCCCAGGTGAGTGATGTGGACGACGAACTTTGGGTGGTGCCGGAAACATAAATTAGGAAGAATGACGAAACGGACCAATCACGGTGGCAGATGGCAGTGGCTGGCTACGACACCCCTCCAGCATCATCAGGTGCGCAGACCACCACACCCTGGACAGAGACATGATTACTGCTGACCACAACATTCATACATTGAAAGAGGCTCACAGTACCCGTATCATGGTAAACTCGACTACTTCTGCTTCACCAGCTGGACACCTGCATCTTCGAAGCTGAGGGCAGCAGAGATGTTTCTCTCGCTTGGCCAACTTTTCGCCTTCTGCATCCCGGTACTGCAGGTATCGGCGGCTGGCATCGTCCAAAGAGCTTCTCCGCAACATGGATTTGAAAAGCGCTCGCCGGCTCCTCCGGATGGATTGATCAAGCTCCATATTGCTCTCAGACAGCATGATCGAGGCGCTGAGGTCGAGAAACGATTACTGTATAGTTCCGATCCTCGGAGTCCTGGCTTTCGACAGCATCTGAGTGCCAGGGAAGTCGCGGAACTCTCTAAGCCTTCGGATGAGTGCGTGCAGGTTGTCGAGGCATGGCTGGAGGAGCATGGCTTGCTGAAGCATGCGGTTTTGGGCAGTGGTGGGATTTTCGAGGTCGACGCTAAGGTGGAGGAAGTTGAACGATTGTTAAATGCGACTTATTCCACTTGGACGGATGGGACGCAGCAAGTTCTGCGGACTGAAGAGATTTCTCTACCGGAGCGGCTGGCGGGACACATTGATTTCATCACGCCCACCATCATGTTTCCCCGTGCTAAAGCGCGCGAGAAGGCTTCGCGGACTATCCCACTCTCAGAGGGGCAGAAGATAGCAAGGAGAGCTACTTCTAGCTGTGGACCAGAAGACGACACGACCCCGAGATGCATCCAGAAACTCTACAACATCACCCATACTCCCGCTCCCAACCGGACGACTTTCGCCGTCTACGCCACCGAAGCAGCTGTTTTCTCCAACATCGACCTCCAGAACTACCTCCATGCCTACCGCCCCGAAGCCGCCGGCGCCACCTACACCGTCATCGGCTCCGGCGACCCAGCGAGCGGACCCGGAGGCATCGAATCCAAATTCGAAACAGCCCTCGACACACAAGTCCTCCTGGGCCTCGCGTGGCCCGCCAGAGGAATTCTCTACAATCTCGGCGGAGTCTTTGGACCTGATGTCGGGAAAGAATACGACCCTTTTGTGAAATTCCTCCAAGAATTGGTAGCGAATGAAACCGTGCCTTCGGTGGTGAGCTTTTCGGAATCTCAACCGGAAAATAGGGTAGAACGGGATTATGCGTTGCGGGTTTGTAATCTGATGGCGCAAGTGGGCATGAGGGGTGTTACGCTCCTGTTTTCGAGTGGGAACAATGGGCCGAACGGTAAACCACCTCCCTCCTCCCCCTCATCCACTCCTATGAGACGGACTGACACGTTGCAAAAGGCGACACCCCCTCCGGCCCTCATGCCAAAATCTTCGAACCCGAATTCCCCGCCTCATGTCTCTGGATCACCGCGGTAGGAGGCACAACAAATCTCTCCCACGAACAAGCCGCCACGCAGAGCACGATCCCTTTCCTCTCGTCTTTGGGCTATACCGCCTCCGGCGGCGGCTTTTCCAACCTCTTTCCCGCCCCGGCGTGGCAATACCCCTCCGTCCAAGAATACATCACCCGCCACGTTCCGCAAGAGTATCAAGACCCCTCGCTCGGTTTCCCGGCTCTCGGCGCCGTGAACCGCGGCATCCCCGACGTGAGCGCCCTCAGCACACAATGGCCGACCTATTCCAACGCGGCGCCCGTCGCCATCCCCATCGGAGGCACGTCCAGCGCGACGCCGACTTGGGCGGCTCTCGTTGTTATTCTGAACGATTATCAGCTCTCCCGGAACCGCTCGACTTTGGGCTTTCTTAATCCGTGGTTGTATTCCCTCGACGCCGGGTTGAAAGATATCGTGCTGGGGGGCAATAATGTTGGGAAGTGCGATGTTTTGCGGGGTTGTACTCTGACGGAGGCATTGTTGGGGTATAATGTCACGCGAGGATGGGATCCCGTGACGGGGTTGGGGAGTCCGAATCTGGGGCTTCTGATGGCGGAGTTGGATCGGAGGGGTTGCTGATCTGATTGATTGAGGTTCTAGGTGGATTTTTTCGGCATGGGTGGGTTAGGTAGGTATGTTTATCTATAGGTTAGGTAAGGTTGTTGTTGTGAGTATCTAATGTCTTGGGACGAATTCCTTTTAGTTCTAGGTATATAGCATATCATATCCGGGGGGGGGGTTTGAACGCTTTCATCAACGAAGATTTTCCTAACAAGTCAATAATCATTGTTATGGGCTCAATGGATCGGATCGAATCCCTCGCCACCCACGAACGACAATGCCAACTTTCCGGCCGCGTGCGGATAGCTCTTGACGCATGGAGTCGGATATAAGCCGATATGGTCATCTATTGTATATAAATGCCATTGCGTGGAAATCCCTCCCGGAGTGATCCGTAGCAAGGACCATCATGGTCATTATCCTTAGGTGATCACGCACATTCTTAGCAGAGCGTGTGGACTCCATGCGATGCGTCGAAGTGGAAGCCCTTAGCCCAGACACTTCAATCCAGAAAGAAGTTCGGCATCATAGTTTTTTTTTTTTTTTATGATTCTGCGTCGGCTCATAGTAAGTCGACGAGCAAGTTCACTTCACATTTTATCACCAACTCCTCAACAACACTATCATATCCTCCGTCGGCCTTTCCCCTGCCCATTGTCACTGTTCGAAACCCCCGGCAAGAGCGAATCGGATCCTCCAGGAGCAGAGACTACGTCCGTGAGGTAAGCTAGCAGCGGTCTTCCGACCTATGAGTCTACGACGACGAAGCTGAGGGATGTTCATCCTGACTCGTGGAGGCTATCAAGTACCGAGATTCCTCTCCAGAGCTGGCCGCAGAGAAGAAACAGACGACATTCTTGTCTACAAAAAAACTGCGTGGAGAGCTATTGACGGCAATATTCTCGTCCAATTCGAAATAGCTCCAGTGCATGCTCGTGTGTGGAGTCTTTGGCGGGTATTTTTTATTTTCTAGAGGTTCTTACGGCAATTGCACCTCGGAGGGAGAGAGGGGGAGGGAGTTCCCGGTGGTTTGGGAGTGATGAGGCTATTCTGGCGGATGTTGTTGATGATAAGTCATATGGTGAGGTTGAACAGATGATTCGGATGCTGAGGGCGTTGGTTGGTTGGTTTGTCTGTCACGGGAAACTTGTGAGAGGTCGGGCGGAGAAGTATAAGCTGCAGACTAGGGGCTCGATTGTCGACGGTGAGGGTGCTGCGGTAACAGGGATGGAGCCAGGTAAGTAGCCACGGCGATTCAACTTGCTCGGGAAATCACGTCGAGCGAGAAGGCGCGTGGTAAGTCTCTTTTGGAGGAGTTTCTGCCTTCGATATCGTCTCTTTTGCCCAGCTTCTGCTTTTTTATCAATGAGGTTTGGAGAGGCGTGGATGTGTAGGAGGTAGAAGATTTGGGTGTTTAGAGCGGGGATGAGGATTTCGATTAGGGGTTGGATCTGGGTGATTGCGGCGGGTTGGGTCTCCAAAGGCGGTGGAGGATGTTGAGTGATGGTGATGCTGCTGTAGCCATCTTTTGTCCCGGAAGAGGGAGTGTGGGTGGTGAGGTTGGGGGCCGTGATAGAATTCGCCAGGGCTCGTATACGTGCGAGTCTCCTATAACTCCGATATATTGAGCGCAAGCGTAACAGCTCTCGCTGCTTCGTGCAAAGAATCACGAGCTACCGCGAGGGATCTCAATCCTTCGAAAGCTTCTCTGAGAGATATCCAACATTCTGCCAGAAATCTCTCGCTTCCTCCATCGTAAAAGTCTTGCTCACTTGGCTTCTGGTCTTGCGACCTTCGAGTTTGACATTCTTCCAGCCGAGCATTTTGCTTGTTAGCGTTCCCTCAAATGTTCTACAGTCGTTGCCCGAGAAAACGATATAGGACATGTCCGTTTCGATTTCCGCATTCTCATCATCAGACTTGGTGACGTGACCTTTCCAACGCATCCAGAATTTGGGGTTGCGAAAGGAATTCTTCTCGAATGTCTTGGTGAGGCGGTTGAGTCGCTCCTCTCGGGATTCTTGGGTTGTTTGCGAGTGAGTGTCATCGTCTTCGTCAATCTCTTCTTCTTCTTCTTCTTCGTTGTCTTCACCCTCTCGAGGCTGATCTTCTTCCTCTTTGTCATCCTCATCTTCTTCTCGCCTCTCAACGTCCTCCACGATTCTCCGTAAATCTTTGCGACTTCCACTCAGGATTCCAACACCAGATATCGCCGTTCCAAACTTGAAAGAAGCCACCAAGCCGTCTTCACTTGGGGTGAGACCTTGTATCAACAGCCATGAAGTCTGTCCACCATCCTGGTCGGGGCTGGGATGGACATCCTTTGATCCCACCTGGACAGCGTAGTCGTTGATTGCTTTGAGTACATTGAAGGATGAAGCGCCTTTTCCTCTTCCTCTGCCTTTTCCGGAACGTCCATGTGGTATTCGACGTGACTTCAAAGCGTCACCGATAGGATCGTCCTCATCCATAGCCAAGGAGGAGTTGATGTCGATGGCCGGGATGTATCCGAGATGGATATTCACCGTCATCAAGTTTAACTCCGCAATGCCCGGATTCGGCGGACCCCACTCGGCGTCAACTCAAACCACACTCCTTCAACCACCGAACATAAAGCATCCCACCTCTTTCTACTCCTCCCCACATGGCTGCAAGAACATTGCGAACATGGTCTTCCGCCTCAATCCCATCACGTCTCCTAATCCCTAGACCTCACTGCGTCAGCTGCCTGCAATGGCGCCGAGCATATCAAACCTCCACCTCCACCACCGGTAGCATCCCGGGTTACGCCTTTGCATTCGACATCGATGGCGTCCTCGTGCGATCTTCAGCTCCGCTGCCCGGCGCAGGAGAAGCTCTCTCGTACCTCCAGAGGGAGAAGATCCCATTCATCCTCCTCACCAACGGCGGCGGCAAGAGCGAATCCGAAAGAGTGTCAGACCTGCAGGAGAAGTTGGACGTAGAACTCGACACGGGCATGTTCGTGCAGAGCCATACACCTTTTGCGGACATGACAGAGCTCCATGACAAGACTGTTCTGGTGGTGGGAGGGGATTACGACAAGTGTCAACTTGTTGCACAATCGTATGGTTTCCAGCATGTCGTCACACCGGGGGATATCGTCACGGCGTATCCGGACATATGGCCTTTTGCCAAAGTCTTCTTGGAATCGGGGTATTACAAGAGTTTCGCGAAACCTTTACCGAAGCCGATCGTTCCTCACTCGACCAACGTGGCCGAGTCACTGAAGATAGATGCGATCTTCGTCTATAATGATCCGAGAGATTGGGGCCTAGACGCCAGCATCATCTTGGATACATTGCTCTCCAGCCAGGGCTTCCTTGGGGCTCCTTCTCCCAAGAACGGCGATCACTCTCTGCCGAACAACGGCTACTTACAAGATTCCCAGCCGCACCTCTACTACTCCAACCCGGACATGTTCTGGGCAACGTCCTATCACCTCTCGCGCCTCGGCCAAGGAGGCTTCGAAGCAGCCTTCCAAGGCCTCTGGAACGCCGTGACCAGCAATGCTGCCCTGAACAAGACGATCATCGGCAAGCCTTCCCAGTTCACGTACGAGTTCGCGGAGCGAAGATTACGAGCGCATCGGAAGAAACTCTTTGGACAGGTGGGGCTGAATGATCCTTTGAGGAGAGTGTATATGGTTGGAGACAACCCGGAAAGCGATATCCGCGGCGCGAATGAGTATAAGAGTCCGCATGGGAGTGAGTGGAAGAGTGTGCTTGTCAAGACCGGAGTCTGGCAGGAAGGCACGGAGCCGTCGTATAAACCTTATACAATACAGAACGGGGTCTTGGATGCGGTTAGGTGGGCCGTTGAGGATGCGAAAAGAGGGCAATGAGGGCAAGGCGTTTGGTCTGTGTTGGCTCTTTGCATCGTTAGATTGGCATTGGCGTCGCGATACCCATCATCCTCTAGCATCTTACCTACATACTGTCTCTATAGAGATAGAAGTGCGTCTGAGCGACACGTTTCCGTCGTCTAGCACACGTCCTCCACCTCTCCCGTCTCACTCACCATCGGTCCCAGATCGCCATTCAGACTTCTCCCAAACAACTCCAGCAACATCTGAAAACAGATCCCACTCAAGGCAGGGTCATACCGCCCCTTACTCAGCTCATCGCGGATAAAAGCATGCTGAGCCCAAGCCGGCTCATAGAAGGAAAAGACAATCCCCGCATCGTGCAGAGTCTTGCGAATCAGATCCCTTCCCTCCGGTGGGACGTGCGTATCCCGCTTCCCGAAAATCAACACCAGCTCGCCTTTGATATCCTTCACGCGATCGAGGGAGTCGTCCGTCTTGCCGTGTCCGAGGGTGTGGCTGTGGATGTCGGTGGCGAAGTAGCAGACGGCCGCACGAACGCGCTTGTCGAAAGCGGCGCGGAAAGCGAGATGTCCGCCGAGACACATGCCCGTCGCTCCGATGCCTGGAAGAGAGAGAGAGAGAGAGAGAGGATGAGTTTGAGTATTGTGGGTTGATATGATGGGGGAAGGAAGGGATCGATATGGGGGTAACTTACGACCGTTGCATGTTGGGAGGGAGGTGAGCAGGTCGATGGAGAGGGTGGCGTCTTCGTCATACGCGGAGACTTTCTTTTCGATTTTCCAGGCGTTGCCCGCGTCTGTGCCCGGGCCGTCGTAGGCGAGGGGTTCTGGGCCGGTGAATTCGTGGTAGGAGGAGGGGGCGGCGACGATGTAGCCGTGGGAGGCGATTTGGCGGGCGAAGCGTTGGACGGGGCCGGTCACTGGAACGGGGTTTGTCAGGATCGACGTGCGAATGGAGGGAAAGTGTTCTTTTCTGGGGCAAGGGCTTCGCGTTGTCTGGAGGCACGAGGATGTGAAAGAGAAATGGACATTGGAAAGAGAAGACGACAATTCGCTATACCTTGATAGATCTCGCTGAAGACGACGACGCCCGGGAACTTGGCCTGGGGATAGTTTGGTATGGTTGGATGGAAGATGAAGATTCCTACCTCGATGTCGATGGATCAGCCTCTACAGAAGGCTGATGGTGTGGAGATGGAAAGGCATACGCATGTCACCGCCATGCTTGGTCGGGACGTCCTTGTGAGACTCTTGGATCAACATGTTGATGGGAGGATGTAGCGTGCCGGGTGTGTGTGAGGAGCCCGTGACTGATGTGACGAGGGAGTTGTAAGAGGTACTGAGTAAGGTAATGTGGTAAGGTATGTGGTAGTAGTGTGGGAGTGGACGAGGAGAGCAAGCGCCACGTGAAGAGCCCGGGTGTTCCCGTTCACCCCGCCGCCGTGTGTCATCGCCCGTGACATACTTCCCGCTTCCTGCTTCCTCTCCGACACCACCTCAGACTCCCTCTCGGGTTGTCTCTGCGACATACCAGACGCCTCCCTCTTACATCCACCACCACCAGCCGACCACTCCTGCCCTCCGCCCCCCCCGCCAGGCACGACCATCGCTGCACGGTATCCAGCACCGCCCGCAGCCTCCCCCCTCATCCTCCCTACCTTATCCGCCATCCGCCCGACGCCTTGACTGGCCGCTGGGTCTCATGATGTCGAATCCGCCTTCTGCCATCTCCAACAAGTCGGCAACCTCGTCATCCAAGGCTCCTCAAATCTCGAATTCGAGCCAGCCCCCTCCCGCTCTCTCCTCGACCCAGCAGGTCTTCTCCAACGACTCCTCCGCCCGCCGATCAGGCGGTGGCGGGGGCGCCTCCAAATCACCCGCTCCACGAAACAATCAGTCCGCCAAGCCGAAGCACAAGGCAGGAAAGCGATTCCGGGCGCTGGATGAGGATGCAGAGGCTGAGGCATTCAGCATGCAGAATCCACACGGCCGTCGCGGCCAACAGAGCATCACCCACTTGATGCAATTCGCTCTCCCGCCTCGACCCAGCGCGCAGCAGCAATATCACAGACACAGCTACAATGGTCCGAGGAGGAACAGACAGTACAATTCCACCTGGGGCTTGGGGAGCGGCTATCATGCGGTGGATAAGGCCAGGTAAGCACCCAAGTTGAAGCTCGAAGGCGACGAGCGCTGGTCTGACTGGCGCAGATATATACACGCCAACTACCGCTTCATCGTCGATCCTCGTGGCGACTACCATGCTCAAGCCCAGGACGCCGACGTACATCTCGACTGGAGCAATGTTCTGCAAGTTATTGCTTCTTCCAAGACTCAGACAGCGTCATGTCCTATTTGTCTGAGCGAGCCCACAGCACCGCAAATGGCAAAGTGCGGGCACATTTTCTGCTTACCATGTCTGATCCGATATATGCATTCCGAAGACGGCTCGGGTCCTCCTCCCGAGAAGAAGGCGAGGTGGAAGAAGTGCCCCATTTGCTTCGACAGCGTCTACGTATCCGAGACTCGACCTGTAAGGTGGTACACTGGCCAGGAAAACGATCAGCCACGCGAAGGCGGCGATTTCGTCCTACGTGTGGTCAAGAGGAAGCCGGGAAGTACCCTTGCCATGCCGCGCGAAAGCGCCAACAGCATCGGCAAGGATGAGGACATCCCGTGGTACTTCGCTGCCGAGGTCATGGACTATGCGAGAGTCATGAAGGGGAGTGAAGAATACATGCTGCAGCAGTACGATGAAACACTGGCAGCCATAGAGCAACAAGAGAAGGAGGATGAGTTGATGTTTGGTGAGGGTACCGAGTGGACTGGACGCGCGGTTCGCATGATGCGAGAAGCGAAAGAGAAAGTAAAAGGCATTGGCAATCCGCCTGCCCAGCCGCAGAAGCCAGTGCCTTCGGAAGCAGAGGTGAAGCCGGACAGACCACCAATTGAGTTCAACAAGAGCGACGAAGGCGTGCCTGATATGTACCTGCAGAAGCATGCTGATGGACCGTCTGCTCCTGTTTCTGCGGAGTCGAGCGAGGAACAGAGCGAAGCAGCGTCAACGGTCAGCGACAACATTCCACGAACGCTCACCGAGATGCGGAATCGACATACACAACGAGCGGAGCCATCGGAATATCTGTTCTATCATGGACTACTGCACTATTACCTATCGCCGCTCGATATTCGCATCCTGAAAGCTGCGTTCGGCTCCTACAACGCCTTCCCTTCGAGCATCCTCCCACGAGTGGAACGAGTCTCCAGCGGACACGTGGTGGATGACGAGCTTCGCAAGCGCACCAAGTATCTATCACATCTTCCGTATGGCTGCGAAGTCGGCTTCCTTGAATGCGACTGGAGAGATGTGGTCAGCGCGGCTGTGTTGGAAGAGTTCAGGCCCATGCTCGAGAGGAGGAGAAAGCGGAACGAAGAGAAAGACGCACGGGAAGAGAAGGAGCGCGTGCGTATTGAGAAGGCCGAAGAGCGAGAGTATGCATCGATCCGATCACGAACGCGGCCGTCTATACCGGATGCAGATGGGTTCTTCACGTCATCCCTGCCGAACAACCTACACTTTGACGGGCCCCATAGCGACGCAACGTCGACATCACCACCTTACCCTTCCAACGCGAATCGTCCTGGCTTCGGCTCCCTTGCGTCTCCTTCCACATCCCCGAGCATGCCTCGCACTGTCTGGGGCACAGCTGTAGTATCGCCATCGAGTCCCGAGCAACACGCTACACTACCACGAGATGATACATTCAAGCACGGTGAAGATGACGGATGGCTACAAGACTGGGAGAAAGATCTGCTTGATCAGCAAGAGCAGACTGCTCTCAATGCCAGCATGGACGGCCTGAACGTCTCGGTAAACGCCAAGCCTTCCGGCAGCGGCGGAAAGAAGGGCAAAAAGAACAAGAAAATCACTCTGATGAGTACCGCTAATGGTGCGAGGAGAGGTGCATGACATTGACAAGCCCGTGACTTGTCTTGAATTTGCTCTTTTGACTTTCTGAGATAGGCAGCCACTGCCGATGGCGATGTACAGCTCTTATTGACACAATCAAAGCTATGCAATGCAATACACGAAGAATAATCATCGGTGAAATGAAAGAGTTCCCTTGTGTTCGATCAAAGTCCATGCTCCTCGTCGGACCCACCTCGGCCCCTTTCGTCGCACCAGCATTCAAATGGAAAAATCTGTCCCCACCCTAGCACATACGGCCACAGGCGCATGAAAACTCGGAACCCCGTCCGCTCTTCCAAAGATAACCATGCGACCGCGAGACTAGTATTGCCGTGGGTGACCAGGCGAGAATCCCTCGTGCTGTATGTTTTTTGCTTTTTTCTTTTCTTTTCCCGTTTCTTCTCTGTTTGTCTTCTTAAAGAACAAGAGCAGACCTAATTAATTAATCGCTTGTTCAAACCGAAATCGAATTAGATCGGATCGGATCGGATCGCCGTTTTTGATGAACTCGGCGGTTGTAGTTAGATAGAAAAAGGTGGACTTTGGGGTTAGGGGTGTCTTTGATGTGGGATTTTGGAGTTCGGTGGTGGGAAGGAGAAATGGATGGGCGGAATCATCTTTATCGTCATCGTCATCGTCATCATCTTCCGGGGTTGATGGTGCTGATGATGATGGCCGCCGTTGGATTCGGAGTTATGAGATGGATGGTAAGAGAAAAGGAAGACGAAGACCAGACTCATAAGAAAGCTAGTAAAAGAACCAAAAAACCCCTGGCCCAAAATTCCAAAAAGTAACCAATCCCATCTCTAAGGGTAGTATCATACCTCCTCAAATCAAGCCTGAAATCTAAAATGCAACCTCTCCCGCCTCGGCAAGAGAATCGTATAAACAAGACACTCCTCATCGCTATCCGGGCAAACCCGCGCGCGGTTCAAATCTTTGAAATAAGGCCCCGTCGGGCCGCTGGTATACGCGCACAGAGCGGCGATGTCGAGGAAACATTTCTGGCGCGCGTCGCTTTCGGGCGGCATTTCGTCGCCCCAGTGGCCGGTGAAGGAGAGGAAATTTGCCGGCGCGGTGGTGGTGGTATTGGTGCTGTTGTAGGCGGTGAAAGTGCCCGTGTCGTCGGAGGTGTTGGAGGGGGAGGAAGAAGGGGTGAAGGAGAAGTAGTATGCGTTCTGCGTGGGGTCCCAGAGGGTGCCGTTGTCGGTGTGGTCTTCGATGGGGCCGTAGGGGAGGGTGACGCCCGGGATGGTGTGGTCGTGGGTGCCGCTCTTGGCGTAGTTGGCGTGCGAGCCGTTGGCGCAGTAGGTGACGGGACGGAGGGCTTCTTTGCCGTACTTTTCCGTCGCGGCGTAGGTGAAAGCCTGGCCAGAGGCGTGCTGGCTGTACCAGACTTGGAGCGGCAGGCCGGTGGTGGAATTGAAGCGGATCATGTTGTGTTCCCAGTCTCCCACGTGGTTGCCGATGTTTCCGATGAAGGGGTCGCCGATGGAAGGGTAATCGCCGCCGTAGTCGAAGGCGTAGAAGTAGAAATAGAAAGCGTCGAGGGTTTGGTTCTCGGGGTGGGCGGTGGTGATGATGACGGAGGAGACGGCATTCTCCGTCTTGCCGTTGGCATCTGGCCGGACGCCGGAGAGGTATTGTGGTCGTGGATTGGTGGTGGGATCCGAGTTGGAAGTAAGATAGACATCCTGTCCCCCGTTCGAGTTCTGCGTACTGTTCAGATCGTCCAGGTTCTCCAACGTGGGAGCCGCAACATCCAGCTTTGTAAAGTTCAGATCAGGATGCGTGTTCTCGAGCTGCGCACCGATATCCGCCGGGAGATAATTCTCTCCAGAATACAAGTATACCATGGGCGCATACTTATTCACATATCCCGGAACCTCAGCAGCAGCAGCAGCAGCCGCCAGGCCTGCGAACAGTAAGAAAGACAACATACTCAAACCCGAGACGTGGACTGAAGAACTGCGTCCGTCCCCTGCGTCCGTCCCTCACAGAGCGGGTTCGCAGATCATATACCTTCCATCTCACCTCACCAAGGTACATGAGAAGATCACAACGTGCTCCAGTGCGACCTCTCCATCAGAAAGTCATGCAGGTACGAAGCGCCACCGACGCCGAACGCTTCAAACCTAACCTACCTACTACTGGAGTAGAGTAGGACCAAGACGGAGAAGAGCATCGGCGAGAGCTGCCCGGAAACAACCAAGATCAGCATCCGTCACGCCGTGTCAACTGATGCTCCCGACCCAGAACATAACCACGTCTTCGCTGTCCAAACTATTGCATAGGCTTGGATGCTCAAATGTCCGTCCTGGACCAACGAAGTGGAAGAAGCCGCCTCGGTTTATGGTAATCTGCGATAGGAGCAGTACTGCAAAATGTCTCGGATGGTCGCATCCGAAGCAGGTGAAGTCAACTCCAAGCACGCCTCAGATCCGGAAGCTATGATTGGTCCAAAACTCACAACGTTCTGGTCCACCGAGTGGATCATCCGTCTGGCCTGCATCTTCGTCACCAGATGAGTTGCAGCTTCGGAGAAAAGGCCAAACACGGAAGTTCGAGGTTCGTGTTGTGGAGGGATGAAGTGATAGGTCGTGATATTCATGGCGTGCGGAAAGGCGGTAGCGGCAAGAGGGGAAAAAGGAACATCCGTTGTTTTGGTTTTCTGTACACCCAATTATCTCCATCATCGCATCGCACATCTTTTCCAGTAGGAGTGGCAGATGGAGGGCTAGCAGCGGAGTCTTTCCTGCTCATGACCACACCATACCACACGACACCATGACCTCTGGGCCTTTTGAATTACCTGTACCAGTTGAGTGCCACTACAAGCACGTACCCCACCCATCCTTACAATATTCCGTAGTAATAATGTACACGCGACTCCACGCTTGCTGTCTCGGTCCTCTAGATCACGTACTATGGAAAAGGCATAGTTAGCACACGACCTCCAGACATCACCACGTGGAATGAAGAACTCACCGGAATGAAAATATACGGAACCCTCCTCTCATACTCCAGCCACGCATCGCCGTACTTCTCCCGACACCGCTGGAAATCCCGATACGCACGATGTAAGATCATCGCCGCGAAGAAGACCGGATAGAACCATGGGAACGGACTTTCGAACCCTGTGATCAGACCCCACGTCAGAGCGAAGTACATATCCGCCGTGTAGTGTGGCTTGCGAACCCACTTGTACCAGCCGTCGACCAGGATCGAATCGCCAGTGTCCGTCTTGATGTGATCCGGGTTCTTGACTTCTTTCCATGGCACTTGCGGGAAGCTCTTGCGGTCCGAGTAGTGGCCGCGCTCCCTGGCACGGAAGGACTTCTGCTGCGAATTGCCCGTGTCCCAGACCCAGTACATGAAGAGGTACGAGACGTAGAGGAAGACGAGGACAGGCTTTGACCAGCGGTAGACGGATGGGTCGTGGTTCGCGAGGTAGATCGTGCAATGGCAGTAGCTGAGCGGCACACCGGCCAAGTTCCAGAAGATGAGCATGAAGCCCCACTTTTCGTAGTAGACGTCCCAGCACACCACAATCATCTCCTCGCCTTTGCAGCAGGCGTTGGCGTAGAGCCAGTGCGCCAGGAGCAGGAAGCCGACTTCACCAGTCACGTAGCCGTAGGTCTCCCATTGGCGAGCTGCGGCTGCAAGCGTGGTGAAGAAGAGGATGAACCATGGAAGGCGGACCTCGAAGAACATCTTGAAGTCCAGCCATTCGAACATGCGCGGGTTCAGCTCGGCTCCCATGAAGAAGTCGTAGATGTGATAGCCAGTCATACGGTGCTGCGCGCCTCGCTGGAGAGCAGAAATGTATGCCACAACAGATACCACGTAGCCAGAGATGATCGCCACGGACATGATGGGTCCGAACTCGTCAATCACGGTGTAGAGCTTGAAGAGCCCCGTGAAGTGCAAGACGCCAGCCACGACAATCGAGAAGTAGAAGCTCCAGACACCGTTGCAGTAGTAGCGAAGCTGCTTCCCACCCTCGTGAGGAAGCGGCTTTCCAGTCGAGTACACACCCGGCAGAGTGAGATACAGCACCGCCTGAAAGATGAGGAAAGTCCAGTAGATCGCCCAGGCCTTCGCGTGCGGGAACGCGCCAGTATACGCCAGATGGACCATGTGCTTCCCGAACTGGCCCCAAGTCATGCTGGGCTCGGACGGGAACTTCCCATCATAGTACGTCGCTCCAATCCACATATACCACATCAGCACCGGGAACCCAATCATCATGGCCGTGACACCAGGCGTCCCGCCAAAATCAAAGTGTGGGTTGTAATCGATCTTGGGATCCGAGCCTTCGAGCCATCCATCAATGACACGTCCCTTGGGCGCGCCGTTCATGTGTCCATTCGCCGTCTTCTTCTTCTCTGTCGTCCGCCCACTGGGGAGCGGCGCGGTGAGGGGGTCTCTGCCTGTCTGCGCCGCATCTTCTGTGGGCGAAGGGGATCGCGCATCGCTGTCGCCGGATTTCCGCGTCCGCCGTTTCGTCGTTCCGGGAGTCTCGACGAAGCCATCGGGGACCATGGACTTCCTATCCATCATCCGACATGAGTTCTAGCCTTGCAAGGGATGCGAGCTTTGATGGGCGATATGTGTACTGACCTAGGCGTCTTGCCCGTCTGACTACGCGTGACCCGTTCAGACATTTTGTGTGCCTCCTCAAAATTCTGCGTTTGCGCCGGGATGCGCGGGTGCCTTCCTGGGAGATCAATTGGGCTGCAGCAGGGCGGACCGCAGATGCGACAAAGCGCAGAGTGGGTTTGACGTGGATGTCAAGGTTGGCGGCGGGAAGTGATCAGGAGCTGGAGCTGTGAAAATTGGCGTGTTGTTTACATTGAGTGTTGACATCTTGGGAGCGGCCGCTTGTCTTCCGCGGAGCCGTTCGGCTGGTCTGCATAATTTGATTGGCTCTTTCATGAGATTTCATTGCTCATCACTTCGCTCTCCTTCTTCTCTCTCTCTCTCGTCTTGCGACGGCATGGTCCAGTATGAAGAGGTACGGGACGGCAATGCGAAGACGACCTCGTCACCCAATACTCAGACCCTTGGTATAGGATATCAAAAGCTAGGTAGTAGTGCCAATGGCATCAACATCAAGCTCCCGACCCTGCAGTGTCAACATTGACATCACAACGACATCTCCTCCACTCCCATGAACTTCCTCAAACGAACATTTCTCACCACAGCAGTAACCAAAATGAAGCTCGACCCAGCCGTAATTTCCCTCCTCAACCTCGACCCGGAGACAACTTCCGTCTCCAGCGCCGGCGGAGGCGGCATGTCCAGCGCCTCCACCAGCAAAATCTCCACCACCCTCCCCGATGGCTCCAAGATGAACTACTTCATGAAGACAGGCAAAGGCGCCGCCGCGGAAATCATGTTCAAAGGCGAACACGCTTCCCTAAACGCCATCCACGACGTAGTCCCAACCCTGTGTCCCAAATCCTTCGGCCACGGAAAATTCGAGGATTCGAATAATACTTCTTTCCTCGTGACCGATTACCTAGATCTTTCAGGTCGTTCTTCTTCTGCCTCAAGTAAAGGGATGGCCTTGGCTCAGAAATTAGCAAAACTCCACACCACTCCAGCCCCAATCCCCCAGGGCTACGAGAAAGCACAATTCGGTTTCCCAGCGACGACGTGCTGCGGCGACACCCCACAGGACAATACTTTCACCTCTTCATGGGCAGATTTCTTCGCCAATCACCGCCTTCGCTCCATCATGAAACAGAGTCAGAAATCCAACGGCGCGGACATAGAACTCTCCTCCCTCGTGGAAAAGACCTGCACCGAAGTAATCCCAAACCTCATCGGCGACCATCACCTCAACAACGGCAAGGGAGTCACACCCGTAGTCGTTCACGGCGATCTGTGGAGTGGGAATGCGAGTACGGGAAAACTGCCCGGAATGCAGGAGCCTGAAGAATTGGTATACGATTCTTCCGCGTGTTATGCGCACTCGGAATTCGAGCTGGGCATTATGAAGATGTTTGGGGGGTTTGGCGGTGGATTTTTGAAAGAGTACCATGATTTGGTACCCAAGACCGAGCCGAAGGAAGAGTACGAGGACCGGGTGAGATTGTATGAGTTGTATCACCACTTGAATCATCATGCGCTGTTTGGAGGAGGTTATCGGGGCGGTGCGGTTTCGATTATGAGCAGTTTGATCGGCAAGTATGGCGGGAAGAGCGAGTTGTAAGATTGGGCGGTCTGTCGGATGGAAGAAACTTGGATCTGTGAAGATAGGTAGAAGACAAAGGAGAACCACTTGCTTTGCACGCATATGTACAAATCGATCCATTGCAGCCTTCTTCAGGCTGTGTCTTTACGCCTCAAAGTCTTCAGTCACAACCACCCGATGCATCAGACATGACAGTAGGTCTACTCGTCGGACTTCTTGTGGTAGTTGACCTTGGGGTTCCAGAAGAGAGTCTGCCCACATCAGCATAAAGAAATTCTCCTTCTCATTGTGCTTCACGCGGAAGCTGTACGCACCTTATCACCATCGCCCCAGAAGAAGTTCTTGGTTCGGATGTTCATATATGGGTATTCCACGCGCTCCTCAAGCGGTGGCTCGTGCTTCTTGTGCTCCCAATGCTCGTCCCAAAGGCGCCAGGCGTTGACGCCGGCGATGATCAGGGACGGGATGACGATGCTGCAGGTATGTCAGTACTTCGCAAGATTGGGTCGCAGATGGGAGTTCGGTGGATTGTGCCGCTAGTGCGATGACTGGGCGGCCAGGCCGGGATTGGGAAGCGTACTAGATAGAAAGCTTGCGCCAGAGATCTGTGAGAAGCGTATGTTAGCCTCTGTTCCATGTGCTCTTTCGGTAACCATATTCAAAACTCCGCTCCACCGCCGTGTTCCTTCTCTTTGCTCCTCTTCCGCGGCGTTGCCTCGCTGATATGCACCTCTTGACCACCCCTTCGATACCCTTCCGCCTTCAAATCATACCAAATATCACGTCAAAGCTCTTCACGTACCTGAAGTGGCAGCAGCATGCTCCTTAACAGCCTGTCGCTCGCGGTTGAAGGCATTGTCGGCGGGTCCCTGGAGGGTGGACTCCAAGCGCCGCTGAGTGAGCTGGCGCAGAGTTGGTCTCGCGGTACGGAGGGCGCGTGCGGTGAACATCGTGAATGGTGGTTGTCTTGTTGTGCTGCCGTCAAATGGCCGTTGCTTGTGATGTCGTCGAGCTTGCTCGCGAAGTTCCGGAACCGACCTTGGCGCTCTGACATCGATGGTCACGTGAGATGAGGGCATGGAACATGGCTCGGGGATAAAGCGCGGGTCCGGTTTATGCAACGCCACTGTCCTGCGATTTCTCTCCCATGCATTTCCAGCAACGAAACAACATTACCGTCATGGCACTGAATCAGCAACGTAACTGGGACGTCTCGATGGCGGAGAATCTGGTGCACGTCAGACGGAATGGTCAAGGCGGAGGGAAGCCGCAGAAGGGCGAAGCAAGAATGGAGCAGCATGTGAAAGAAGAGCCGAAAGTCTGGAAGACGGAACCTGTCTATCTCCCGGACGAGATCATCATTCAAATCTTGGAATATGTCTCTCGTTTCCGCGAATCGCAGACTACTCTGGCCGCTTCTTGTCTGCTATCACGACAATGGTACGCAGCCTCAGTATCGTTCCTCTACGCGAATCCATATCTATACGGGAAGAATTTCGAGCCCTTCTATAACACGATTTGCCCGTCCAAAAATGCGCACATTCGACACAGCTGGCTTGCGGGACTCGTCAAGGTGCTCGACATGAGAGCGCTAGTACACCAAGCCCGTCCTCGCGATACGGCTCGTCTACTTGGCCGAACCAAAGACAACTTGGAGGCTTTCGTTGCGCCAGTAGCAAGCTTTGGACTAGCGTGCTTTGCATCTCTTGCGAAGGCTCACCAGCTACGGATACTGGACCTCACGCTGGTATCTGAAAGTCCGGCTCTGCTTCAGCTGCTCGAGAAAGTGTCTCGCCTGCCGCATCTTACTACTCTGAAGCTGCCGCGGTCGTCAGGATTTGGTACAGAAGTCGATCCGACCAAGGTCGTGTGGCCGCCAAATTTGGAGCACCTGAGTCTGAGCGGCGGCATCGATGCGCATTTCCTGCACGGTGCTGTGGCATTTCCATCGACCCTTCGCAGCCTAACAATCGAGCACTGTCCGAAAGCCAAAGGGTTCGCCCTGATGCATCTACTTCGAACAGCGGTAAGGCCACTCCCTAATCTGGAGCAGCTCAAGCTCGCCAATCTTCCGAGGCTGTCTGGCAGCGCGCTCGACAATGTTCTGCTCATACTCCCTGGTCTCACCAGACTCAGCATCAGCGTCGACTACATTACACCTGCCGTATTTGACTTCGACGTCGGGAGTCACGAGGAAGTCATGGAAGCCTTTCAAATTACCCCTGAGGATATTCCTCCTACCTACCGACATCATCTGGGCATGGATAAGAAATGTGAGCTCGAGGTCCTGGAGCTCACAAATTCTGGAAACCCTGGCGTCGAAGACAAGGTCTCGCCCATCGATGTGCTGATTGCCATCGACGAAGGCACTTTACCCAACCTGCGACAAGTCAGAGTCGCCAATAGTCTGCTTTGGCATTCGAGTGCTACCGCGAGCGACTCAGAGGCTTTAGCCGATGCACTGCAGGAGGCTGCAACCAAGCGCAAAGAGGGAGGAGGATTGGAGACCGGAGTCTGGACGTTTGAGGGATGAGGTTGCATGCGGCCTTCTATTCCAGAGATTGTACGATGGGACGACGTCACCAATAGCCGCAAGATGAATGCACAATGTTGCCAAAATTTCGGTGCCGAATCTTCGCTCCCAAGTGTTTCGCACAAAACTTCGGAAACTCAGGTTCAGCGCATCGGCCAATTTCCCGCGTGGCAGGCCGATTAGTTTGTATGCGCGAACGACTGACAGGCAGCATGTTGCAGGAGAGAACCTTTTCAATGGTTTCGGTGTTCACGTACCTCTCTACTCAGCTGGCGACGTCAGTTTTCAGCAGTAGATCGGCACTTGGCGGAAGAAGGATCCCAGCTGAGCAACCAGGACAGATAGCACAGATAAGTGCAAGAGCTATATTGAGTTTTGAAGGAGCCGGATCTGGTTCTCTTGAATCCTGCTCCAACTGCATCATGCAGCTGCGAAATCCGCGACTGGATTGCAATCACCGAAGGATCGATTCAGCTTTCAAGTCACTCCTCCAGCGTAGGATTCAGGTAGGGATTGGGCCAGCAGCTGAACAAAGCATAAATACGAGTTTCTAGACCCATGATGATATTGTCCAGCCATCACATCCGTTCCAACAGCACTGCTTGTTGATTTTGGACTTTTCTTCTGCGGCGGAAACACACCTTGCAGCCGTGCAGTTCTCTTGCTCTCGAATTGACAAAATCGCAAGGACACAATAGCTTTTACCATCAAAATGCAGACTGATGCCTCTACTCGAAAAGATTCCGCCAACACATCTCCCGAGTCCCTGGCCATCACCAACAGCTCCCTCGACATTGCCATTATCGGCGGCGGAATCGCAGGCCTCGCCACAGCTCTCTCCATATCCAAACGACAACCTTCTACCCACAGAATCACCATCTACGAATCCCACCCACTCAGCGAAGTTGGAGCCGGAATCCAATTATTCTCCAATGCGACCAGAATACTACAGCAACTGGGTTTGGAAGATGCGTTCAGAGAGGTGGTGAATCAGCCTAATATTATGGAAATAAGGAGGTATGAGGACGATGAGGTGATAGGTGCGTTGCCGCAGAATCCACAGAATGAATGGGAATATGGCAGTCCGCACTGGCAGGTTTACAGGCCTGATTTCCAAAGGTACGGTCTCCCCCTCTCTCTCACTGATAGAAAGACTATCCTGTCTGACATTTCAATCTAGGTTGTTGGCAGAAGCGTGCTATCGCGAGGGACCCTCAAAGATCCGATTCGTCTTCAACGCCCGTGTGAAATCTCTCTCCCTCGAGACCAGCACTATCCACTTCTCCGACGACTCGTCCGTCTCCGCGGATCTCATCATCGCCGCCGGCGGCTTACGAGGTAAAAGCCGCAATGCCATTCCAGAAAACAGAGATGTGCTCGCGGAGGCTTTCCCTGAATTCTGCTTCCGCGCTGCGATTCCTAAATCCAGCATGCTGCAACATCCAGAAACGGCAGAGCTCATGAAACCTGGCGGCCTGAACATGATCTGGTGTGGTCCTGGCGCTTGCGTACTAGGATATCCGATGGCAGCTGGGGAATTGTATAATGTCGTTCTCTCGGTGCCGAGACCGCCGGACGCAGAGGCTGTTGGAAACTGGTCTCAGAAAGGAGATCCGGCTGAAGGAGCTGCGATTCTGGAGCCCTTTTGTGAAAGAGTCCGGAGGTAAGCCATCCCTTGTTTTCTCTCTCTCGTCTCGAACCAATCCATCGGTCTTCCAACTGCTGCTTTGTTTTGCAATTGCCAACTGATCTTGCCAGGTTATGGAGTCTGGTGGACAACTGCAACAAATGGCAACTAGGACGTCTCCCGCCTCTCCCAACTTTCACTTCCCAGCAAGGCAATTTAGTCATAATCGGCGACGCAGCGCATGCCATTTTACCGCATTCAGGGCAGGGAGGCGCCATGGCTCTCGAAGATGCCGTCTCACTTTCCACCGTGCTCGCCTCTGCAACATCGAAGAAAGATCTTCCAGCTGCCATGCAGATATTCAACACCCTTCGTCAAGACCGCCTGTCCTTCATCAGACGCTACGCGGCCGCAAACCAGCAATTCCTCACGATGCCAGATGGACCGGAGCAACTCAAGCGAGACGCCATGTGGAAGGGCATGACGGAGGCTTGGCGGAAAGAATTCCAAGAGCTCGGGGAGGAAGGTGTGAGGAGGAAGAAGCAGGCGTTGAAGGAGAACGTGGTGCCTGATTCGGAAAGTGAAGATTTGAGGAGTCCGGAGACGAGGATGTGTGTTTTTGGATATGATGCTGTTGAGGAGGCGAGGAAGGCGTTGGCACAGGCTGGTGTTTGAGGGCTAAGAGCTAGGGATGGTGGAGCTGGGTTGACAATAGAGGGATGCATGACGAAAGTTTCAGTTGTTCGAGTTGCTTCTCGTTCGACGTCTCCTGGCACAGAGATGTGTTGGTAGAGATGCTTTGGGGCACTTTCATTCACCGCTCGGTCGAGCGTTTTACATGGGCAATCGGCTTCATGGGGACTAACATTTTCTTCTCTGAACTCATGTTCTCCAAGACTACGCTATCGAGCTGGCAGATAGAGTTATTCTGCAGATGAACAGCTTGGAAATGGAAAATCCACTCTATTTCCGCCAAATGCGGAGCCAATGGGGAGTCGGAAAGCAAGAAATTGAGATCTGACAGCATGGAGATAGGAATTTCTTTAAATCTCCATTCAAGACAGCGTCATCCGCCTTTCGGACAGCATTTATTGGCATTTGACGGCATCCGGAGGTGCGGCCAACGTCGGCAGCTTTTAGACAAAGAAAGTCCGTCCTAATGCCCAAACCCAAGCGAGTTGTTCAATAAGCCCTTTGTTCGCCGCCACACTCGGCACTTTCAACCCTCAGGTTCTACCGCCTGCCGAGTGACAGCACACATCTACCATGGCGCAATATGAGCAGTTGGACAGCCGCCGGCGGAGCGAAGGCAGCGTCGAGAACCTCACTACTCCGGACCGAGAACAATGGCACAAGCTGAAACATCCCGAGACGATCGGCCAGCGATACGCACGTCACACCATGGTCGTAGCCAAGTATATCATACTTCATGTTCTGGTTCCGTTCCTGTCAATCTGGATCGCATTGCGGTTGAGCGAGGGACACTCCCGCGGGCATGGCCGTGATGAATTCATACTGGAGAGGACGTACGGCTCTGACGCGCGGTTCATGAGCCTCGACAAGAAGTTTGATTATGTCTGGGCAGATGACATGAAGCTCAATATCTACCCGCTTCCCAAAGATGGCTCGCTCGGTCCCGAGGTGGACATTGCACGGGCTCAGGGCATTGAGACCGGCTCCATTGCTATGTAAGTAACGTAAGTACCAACGAGAATGGTCAACAAAATTTGCTCACAAGATCATCATAGGTTTCACAATCTTCACTGCCTCGCCATGATACGCATGACGCTTCAAGAAGCGCACTACGGAAATCCTCCTGGTCTCGATTATCACGATGATGATCACTGGCCGCATTGTCTTCATCATCTGCGAAAGGCCATTCTGTGCCACGCGGACGACGTCGTAGAGCTGCCGAAGTGGAATAACGGATCCTTAGGGGCGCCGCTGGTGAGTGGTGTAGCAGATGTGAGGCATTGTCGAAGCTCAGATGCGATGTACCAGCTGAGAGACCGTCTTGTGTCTCTTGGATAAGGGGGAAAGAGCGAGAGACCCGGCATGTGAAGGTTGCGTGGATATCTGGAGGATGCGGCGAAAGAGAAGGATGAGGCGCACCTACTGCGCGACGGCGGAAAAGTTGGAGTGCTGGAGGAACGGAGGAGGCGACCGCAGTCCTACCTCTCGTTTAGAAGTAGGAGGTATTACTTCCGATACACTAAAGAACTCCCTGTGGCCTGTAGAGTCCTGGGGATATCCAAGCATTCGAAGAAATGGCCGCAGGCTCATGTCCCCTTCAGAGATATCAGTCTTGATGTACTGAGCGGCTCCTTGAGACCTCAGCATGCACTGGCACTGGAGTGCTTAAGATATCCAGGAGTCCGGATATTGACCGAAGGCCAATCCCTACCTTTTAAAGAACTATCAGTTACGATAGACTGAACAACTCCCTGCTATCTCAGCTTCCACTGAGATTCTCGAGATACCGGAGAATCGAAGAATTACCCGAAGGCTCGTATGTGAGAGTAATGTAATACGGGCCATGCTTGGTGGCCGCACCATCAAGCTAGCCGGTTCCGCTCTAGCGCGCCATGACCTCATCTTTCACGTGCGGCCGTGTCAGGACGACAACAATCATCACGTCCGGTTGATGCGTTAGTGTTCTGCTCATGCCGCATATCTCCACACCGAAAACATGACAAGCGAGGCTCATGATGGGCTTCCGAACGCTCGCCTTCACGTACATCTTCGGCGGGCTTACATTCCTCCCGCTGCTGCTCGCCGCGGTATTAGCAGTAGCGTGGTACCTCCTCCCTCGCAGCGACACCATCAAAACCGAAAGTCGAGATGATTTGAAGGACGTGGATCCTGAAGAGCTTGCGAAAGAGACAACGAAGAATGAGAGCATCCGGAAAGAGGGCGTTGGAGAAGCGGCCGCGAATGGAACATTTGCCGTACTGAGGCACTACGATTTCCAGGCGGCTGTAGCGGCATTGAATGCGCGGAATAATGGCAACGCGACGGGGAATAGCAGCGGCCCCAGCCTCGACGGTGTCGCGGCTGGGGATGGAGGACCTACTGGCTCGTCCGAATCGGTGTACCAGAGCATGTACCGTTCCGTCTTCGTAGGAAATAAGAACACCGGCAGCAGCTCTCTTCTGGACCCAAATGATCCTCAGCTAGGCTCACCTGGTCGGCGCAAACCTGTTCCAGCCCACATCATGTACATTGTCCTCCGCCATGGCCACCTGATGCTCTACGATTCTCCCGCCCAAGTAGAAGTAAAACATGTCATCAGCCTGGCTCACCACAAGGTCACATTGCAAGCTGGGAAGCACGGCGCAGATGAACTTGACGAGAGGCAAATCATGGAGTCGGATCTGTTCATCAGACGCACAGCAATTGTGCTGACGCCTGTGGAGCTCCCCAACGGCACCCTCCAGCAATCGAATACTCCAAAGCCGCCTAGGCCATTCTATCTATTCGCCGCCTCTACCATTGAGAAGGAAGACTTCTACCATGCTCTCTTATCAAGCCGCGATAAACCGCCAATTGCCCTACCGATTGACTCTGACGCTCTTATCAAGTTACAGTCGACGCTACATTCATCGTCGTTGACCCCGGAAACCCGCGCACTGAACGCTCTGCTCGGTCGTGTGTTCCTTGGCATTCACAAGACAGATGTGTTGATCAACTTCATTCGTGGAAAGATAGAGAAGAAGCTTGCGCGCATACAGAAGCCTACCTTCATCCCTGTGTTGCAGATTCGCTCCCTGGATCTCGGTGATGCTGGTCCTGTCCTTTCCAACCTGAAAATGCGAGATCTAAACATCTCCGGCGACATGACGCTCAGTGCCGATCTTCGCTACAACGGCGGTCTTTCGATCACCTTGCTGGCCGTCGCGAAATTGGATCTCGGCCAGCGTTTCAAGACGAGGACAATAGATCTGGCGTTGAAGGCTACGTTGCAAAGAATACAAGGTCAGATGTTGCTTCGCATTAAGCCGCCGCCGTCAAATCGATCGTGGTTTACTTTTGAAACCATGCCAGAGCTGGAACTGCGCGTTGAACCTGTCGTCAGCGAGCGCAAGATCACGTATGGTTTCGTCTTGAGGGCGATCGAGGAGCGAGTGCGGTCTGCTTTTGCTGAAGGGCTTGTCAAGCCCAACTGGGATGACGTGCCCATGCCATTCCAAGATACGCGAGGATGCCATGCACGGGGGGGCACGTGGAGCGACCAAGGCGAGGAAGATCACCCGGAATTGCGTCGACCTGATTCGTCTCGCATACTCGCCGACCGCAATGGCAAGACATTGTCGACGCCAGACCTTGGCTCTGAACAGGATACCGCCATCTCCTCTGGTCTAGCGTCGAGCTCGGAGGTAAACATTGCCAAGCTACGGCATGCATCGACCATGCCAGTTAATGCTCGCACTCTCGCGCGTCCTCCAGAGTCTACCAGTTCCAGTTCAACTGCTATCGAAGCAAATACAGACAGGATCTCTTCGAGCACCCGTCCGCCCAAACCGCTACGCTCGTCCTCCATCGCCTCGCCGTCTCCCATTGTTGGCATGGATGAGCAGACTGTGGAGCCCGTGCGGGCAGACGATGAGTCTCTTCGTCCATCCACTACTCAAAGAACGCTTTGGTTGGGTAGAAGTGGAATGCCGAAGCCGCCAACGCAAAAGGCTGCTCTGGAGGAATTGAAAGATATTCGCGATCGTGCAGAGCAACAGTCTACCAGTCCTTCCACGTTCGCTGCGGAGGATATGGAGCCGCGATCTCGCTCGAAGCTAGGCGACGCAAATGCAGACGCGGCGTCACTATCTAATGATCAGCAGTCAGATCGGACTGGCTCAACAATCTCCAACCCGCCTCGTACCTTTTCCACTCGTGGTATGGACTCTGGGCAATCGACGTCGCCTTCTACAAGCTCTTCTGCGAGTGTTTCAAAGAGTCAGCAACCTCAGCAGAGAAAGACTACCATACTCGCCGCGGCAGGCGCGGCCACTAACGCCGCACGTACGTGGGGATGGAACACTTACCAAAAGAACAAGGCAGCTTACCAACAGCGACAAGCGAAACAAAACCAAGTTCCGAGTGAGCCAATGGGGCGAGGACAGCCTCTTCCGCCACCGGGCGTTCCACTGCCTGGTCCGCAAAAAGGTCTCTGGGGAGGTGTTGGAAGCATGGGAAGAAAGCCGTCTGGCGCTCCTGCCTTGCCAGCAAGAAGGCTTGACAAGGCCGCTGCTGCTGATGTACCGAGCATAGAAGGTAACGCTTCGAGCGAGGTTCGCCACAAGACCCATATCCCCCACGATGGAAGGGATGTAGAAGACGAGTTCGGCACATGGCAAGAAAACCCTGGGGCGGGTGATGGTAACGCTCAGATCCCAGATGCAAGTTCGGGAGATTACGCGTATCAAGACCAAGTCCAAGAAGACCTGCTTGACGTTGGCGCTGACGACGAAAAAGCTGCTGGCCAGGAGCAGGCGCCAGCGCAAGAGCGACGGAAGTTACCACCTCCTCTACCTGCACGCCGTCGGGAGAATGCGCAAACACAGCAATCGCAAACGACCGCCAGCGAGAGAGAGCAGACCTTTGCGCATGGCTCGTCGGCCGACAGCTCAGCTGAAGATGTTTCAAATGCCCCGGCATTACGAGTACCAGAAGCCGAAGTGAATGCAATCGCTGCCGAGAACTCTACTGACGAACTGGCTCATGGCATGATGGACGACACAACGCATGTGAACGACATAGATGCCGTGAAGACAGAGCTGCACTCAGAGACCGATAAGAGTTCGGAAGGGTCAGGCGGATGGAAGGCCAAATCTCAGCAAGCTGATTCAGGAGAAAGGCTGGGGCTCGATCGGACAAATACTGAAGAGCGTTTCATGCGCGGCGAGGACGTTACTGAGGAGGATTTCGAACGCGATCAAGCCAAAGCCGACTTGGGCCACGGAGAAGGGGTAATGGCAGATCCCGAAGCCTTGACGTCCATCACATCGACCGACAATCAGAACACAAGCCCCGAGGGAGACCTTGTAACGCAGCGTATCCGAGCCCAAGTGCAGAAGCATAGTCAGGCAAGCAGAAGTCCTCCAAAGAACTGGCACGGCGCTCCTCAGGGTACTGCTGTGGATTCTGAAGATAAATGAGACATGTTTGATGCAGCCTGACCTGCTGAGATTCGTGCTTTGGTGACCTGGATTGGCCGGCATCCAGCGTTATGAAAGCCACACCGACGTGCATTGTTTGCCATTCATCTCCGTGTGGTCCCGTCTCTTGTTTCTCGATTCGTCTTGGTGAGAGCGGTCGTCGCCTTGCTACAGCCAGACCATCCGGCGATGCTGCTGCTCAACGCTTTCGACCTGTTGCCGTTCCGCTGCAGTTGACTCTCAGTTGCCGTGGGCTCTGTCTCCTCCAGAGGGATGCCTCCCAGAAGACTCCTTGCTTTCCGTGCCGCTCTTTCCTCATCCTTGGTGAAGCCGTTGCCAGGGCGACGAGAGGGAGGAATGTAATGAACCTTGCTGCCAGAGCTGCAACTGTAGATGTAACTGTCCATATCCGTACTCGCCCTCGTCGCCCTCGTTCAATTATGATGGCGTCGCCCTCGTCGTCGCCGCCGCCGTACCCGCTGTCCACCTGCGTCTTCGAGCGTCCCTCCGTCCTCTGAACCGCCCGCCGATTCGCGAGTCGGTCGCACTCTCAATGGCCTTATATCCGTTTTCGAACCAGATCTCACGCCTCGCTGTCTTGCCTGTCATCACACGGCTCCTGGGCAGCTGCTGCTTCCAGCCGGTGGCCGCCCTCACCCAGCACTTCTGTTCAAGATTCCAGAGATCCCAAGTCAGACTTTTCTCCGAATAACCGAAATGATCCGATACAGCGTGCTCATGGATAGGCTCGTGGACATACTCTTGGCTGGTGTGTCTGGTTGTTGCCGAGTTGCTTTGGACACACGCCAAGTTCCAGCTGTCATACCCTCAGCCCGTCACGGGAGACCCTGTCTCTACACTGATTCAGGCGCAACTCAGTCCGCCGGTCCAATACATCATCCAAACGGCCTCTTGAGCCTCCGATAGTGATCTGGTACTTGAATGAGGGCGTTCCATTCCTGTTATGGACGGCGAATGAGTGAGAAGCGGATTGTACATTGAGGCGGGATTGAAATGATAGATCAAATGGATAATCTCTTTGAGAATACAATACCTGAGGAGTTGGATAAGATGACCCTGTTGTCATGCAACACTGCCTGTGATAATGCTTTTACTGCCACGGTCGGCTTGCCATAGATCACTTCTGATGCCCATCTGATCTTCCAAGAGCACGCAAAGTGATTGAAGAAGATCTAGGATGCATCGATGATCTCGTTGGCTTCGTCCCTGTCGTCGTTCAAGCTATCTGGCTGGCAATTGTGCTCTGTGGGAGATTTTTGAGAACGAAAAGCACTCGTGCAAGCGGAAGCACATGGTACATTGATGGAATGAGCACTGTAGGATACTGAGAGCGGTTTATGGGCCGGGACAGAGTGGTGCGGCTCCCGCAAAGAGCATGGAATGGGACTCTTCTCCCGTACACAAGGCTTCAGAGGCCCAGTGCCGATCGAATAAGGCTTCCCGAGAGACACTAGTGGTTGATGAGGATCCTTGAAGATAGTCTGTGAGTTCTTGAAGACTTTTGAGTTGTTCTGGGCTCCCCATCGCTGCCAGAATGGACCTGAAGAGGCCATATCTGCCTCCAGCCCAAACAGCAAATTGCCATACAGGGCCGCCACGACTCTTTGTGGGACAGCAGAAAGCAATAAGGTACCTTCTTAACACGGCAAAATCATTTGGGAGTGGTCTGGACCCTCATGCGGTACTGCAATGTTGCCGCCGCAGGCCAAAAAGCCAGCCACTGCGCAATACTCACTGGGCGGCCGTCAACCCAGCCTCTCTGCTGGCAAAAAATACTGATTCGGTGTAACAGAGCCCTCCTGAAAAGATTCTGACCACCCGCCGGTTCGTGCACCTTCTCCTCAAAATCCGCACTCGGAGCCAGAGCGGTCGAAAAGCATCATTCTGGACCACCGAGGAACGAGTACATGCGGCGCCTCTGCCTTTAGCATCTCAATGGGGTACTTGAGGCCGTAGAAAAAGATGTGCCAGTAGGATTTTGCAGATACCTCACCGTCGTCGAGTTCTGGACACCCCTCTCAGAGTCCATTCCACCCGCCGCTCGACCCCGACAGTATGCGCCATTCAGACCGTCGGAAGACCCAGAAGGAGTCTCAAGTACATATTTGAGGCTTCTGGATGTATTCTGAACTCTTTTCTCCCGTTCCTCCGCCTCGAAACCTCCTAATCGGCCTTCTCGACGGCTTTGCGACACCGCCAGCGGGCTGGCGGATGAAGATATGGACAAATGAAGAGCAGCGTTCGAATCGAAAGGTCATGTTTGGTCAGAGAGAGCTTGGAACGCATGTGTGTGGCATAAGGTGGCTTGGTGGTGTGCAAATCCATGGATTTTTGGACCGGCGGCAACATCATTGCACAACAATCCGAGCAAGTGCGCAAAAGCCGTGGCCGGTCAAATGAGGCCTAAAATACTACTAAGATGGTCTGCAACTTCTGCAGGTCGATAGCACCACGTGGTCGTCGTCGCCAGCCTCCTCCCGCTGGATGCCCTAGCCCTGCCAGGTCACAACTATACCTTAATACATTCAAAGCAGACCTTCAACCTGCTCTAATGGTCTCATTGAATGTACTCTCGGGCCTCGTACAGTTTGCTGCACATTGTTTGCTGTCTTTGCTATGGAATGGTCACCATATCGCTCTGGGCTAGGCCAAGCTGGCGACCTTACTATCAACACGTAACAGTACCAATACACACTTCCAAAAGCATCCGAGGGGCGGAAGAAAGACTATGGGAATATTCTGGATGCGTTTTACCGTAACTAGTCCCACTTAGACTCTCACAACCTCTGGCCGGGGGAAATAATGCTCTCGAAACTGAGCATTTGGAACTCAACGCACCACGAATTATGAAGACTTGAAAGTCTCACAACGATCTAAAAGTATTCTTCTACTTTGTCTGAGGTCCTGGATGTACTGCAGCAAATGCTGGTCGAGATCGAACAAGGTGTGGTCTGAAAACTTTGCCCTACCTGGCTACCATATGGCAACGATGAACCCGCAGCCTAATGGTAAAACATCTGAATGACATAAATGGGCTCTGCTAAGAACCTCCGATGCTTTTTTTGGTTGCAAATACTTCGTACACCTCGCTGCCGCCACCTCCTGCACCGGGGCCTCTGAAAACCAGGCCAGATACATACCAATGCACCCGTCCTCCCCATGTCCCAATGGCTGGGGGAGAATCTTGAAGCTCTGTTCGTTCTGATTCCAGCTGGTTTTTGCAGATTACGGACGACTCTCGGACGGTATGCTCAAATCCTCCATTTCGGCTTTGAGCTTCTTGGGAATTGCACAATGACTATTGCATATGCCACGTCTAAGGGACCCACAATCTCTTCTTCGATCCTATAGCTATCTCCAGTGCAATTTTGTAGGCCTCAAGCTCCTTGTTGACCTCGCTGTCGTCAGCGGTCCTTCAACACCCTTTCCTCCCGGCTGCCGCATCGAGACACCCAGCCACGGCCAAGCTCCCTTCTCATACATTTCTTAGCCTTTAAGGTATGGAGAGCAAGACTGATAATGTTTCTAATTTATCTACCGTAACCTCAGGAGCTCCTTCCCGATACGGCAGGAGCAGCATCCCCAAAAATTTGCCCCCCTAAGCAACACCATCATGACACCACACTTCCAAGACTACAAACTTACATTGATAGAATCGTGAAGAGACGCTCTACATGCTCCAACTTGTTTCAAGAAATATGGTTGATGCTGAAATTCTGACCGAAACCCCTGGGATTTGCCCAACTCTTACATATCTCGACGAGCACCTCGTATTTTGCACTTTCCGACACCACCATCCGTCTCACCGTACCCATTTGCACCGTCCCTGAAAATATTATGCTCTCAAACCTCGTGGTTGTGTTGCACTCGAATGCAAGTCCAGCGTTTTCCATCCTCCTGCTGAAGCCCGCTTACTCATCAGAAATCTGGTCACCCACGGTCGAAATTTTGCTGCCACAGCTATTTATCTCCCAGCCAGGCCCTTTTCTGATCCTTGCTAGCGTCACAACTTGAGGCGCATGCACTCGCTGCTCATTGGCGCATGCGCCACGTCGTCGCCTGAGGAACACCGGAGCTGCTCTTCGGACCTGTATGGAGCACACCCCTGGACTCGAGTTCCGCTCGGAGAGAGCAGGATCCAGACTGGCGACTAGAGATACGTCGAGTGAGTACATGTCGTGAGACTGCCCAGCATACAATGAGCGCGAAAAACTGTCGAGACAATCCTCCTGTACCTCTGCAAAGCCTTGGAGCAGAGGTCTCAACGTACAGGCTGCACTCATGTTATTTTGTATAAATAGGTAACAAGAATGGTCCAACGCGTGTGGAACAGCCCTTGATTCAACGTAGAGGTCGTAATATGCGATTCAATAGGTACTCAGCAGACGATTAGAATGGATGCTCCGTGAGCTGATTTCTAGCAGCCCCCCCAACGCCGCAAGCACGTGCAAAACTCTAATCTTGCACGGTGAACAATTGTGGCTTTCAGCGCCACACCGAGAATGAAGTTCTTGCCGTTTCTTCTGAAACTTGTTTCCGAGACAACATTCCTTTCAACCCCGCGCATACCGCATTCGCACATCCCTTTGTTATTACCCTTTCACCACACCCAAACAATCAGAGCCACTACCGCCGAAATGGCTACCGACGCAATGACAGACGAATTCCGAGCCTACCTCGAGCGCTGCAGCGACGAGATGGCCAGTCAAATCATCAGCGTCCTGCTGCACGCAGGAAGACACTCAGCGTCCAGTGCAACGCCCGACATGACTGCCACCGGCTCGGCTGTAGCGAAGGCCGGCAGGAGGCAGCGCACGCAGGCGAGACCTGCCGTCGCGGCCGGCGGGCCAAAGAGACCGCTCAACTCCTGGATGGCATTTCGCAGTAAGTGCATCTCCTCCTTTCCCATTTGTAACTGAAGCTGATCCATCACAGAGTACTACAACGCAATGCTCGCACCGCACACTCAGAAAGCGATCTCCAAGGCCCTGACGATCTTCTGGCGTGAAGATCCCTTCGAGGCCAAGTGGTAAGCAAGTGACCTCTTCTCTTCACCCTCGTCACGCTAACTCCTGTCCAGGGCCATTCTCGCCAAGGCATACAGCATCGTGCGCGGATGCCGCGAGAAGAAGGATGCTCCGCTTGACGACTTCTTCGCCATCTGCGCACCACTCATCAGCGTCATTCCGCCAGAAGTGTATCTGGGGTGGATGGGATGGCAGTTGGGCCCGCCACCAGAGGGCGAGCAGGTACATCACTCGCATCCAATTCTGCACAGGACTTTGCTGACTTTAGCGTAGGAGAAGGTGCTGCAGATCACACGCGCCTTCACCCCAAACCTCGACAGCTTCCCCGAGGAGTACACGACGACCACACTCAGTGTGGACGACCTGGTCAACCACTGCTACGCCATGGGCTACGGCAATGCCAGCAACAATGACTCGCCGAACACGAGCACCCAGGGCTCACTCACCATGGTCTCCAAGCCAACTGCCATCACAACCGACGACAAGGACGAGACCGCACACATGGCACCCTTCGCTCAGACGAACACCACTCCCGCCTTCACTGTAGCCGCACCTGCGGCCGGCCAGGCAACACTCGAGCAGGTGACCGAAGCCATGGAGATGGCTGGCGCCGGACTCACGTACAACAACGTCTTCGATCCAACCAGCGAGGGTGCTGCCTTCGGCCCCGCCGTCCCGGACAACACAGTCGAGGACGGTGGACGCTACGAGTCCTGGCCGGCCGACCAGGCGGCCGAGGCCGACTTGTTGTTGGCGCAGAACGAGTTGGGCGCTCCGCTGAACTGGGACCAGTGGGTCAACGAGAACTTCATGTGAGGGCCGCGCTGGCCTCACTCACGGCGACTCGAAGCGAGTCCGCCACTTTGCTATTGGGAATGGACACGACTGCTCTGCAGGATCAAGCCTCCGCTTGACACATCGGCCTGCGCCGCCGTTTGTACGTAGCTTGTCAATAAGAAAATGCTTTGTGTAAAACCACCGTCTCATTTCTCAAATCCTCCCGATCCTCTTTGGTCAGTGCTTTGAGAGCGACACATGATATGACCAGGAAATTATGCATTGCCGAGTTTAAAACCACTGATCAAGGCACCGACGTCGTCCTCTAGAATAACATGGCGTGTTATCATTCGTCGGCCGCGCGATGAAAAATTTTTGGTGCCTTCACGTGCTTGGCACGAGTCATGTCGCGCGTCAAGAGTAAACGTCAAAGCTTGCTCAGCTGAGCTTGCTCCTCAAAACAACAACACCGCCATCTTTGTTGCCGGCGATCTTTGCTCCGCGCAAAGACAAGCCTCCTCTGGGGGTTTACCGGCAACAATGGACGGCATCGACCTGCTCAAAGCAAATTTTCCAGAATACTTCACTGACTACAAGAAGCCGCCAAAGTACAAGATTGCAGAGCTTCCTGGCGACCGCGGTATTGCAAATGGTACGTGATCGTGCGCGCCGAGTCCTGCAGTGAATCTGACTAACAAGCGCAGATGCTCTCATCGAGTCGGGCGACGCCGTCCAGTGCGACCAGGAGTACCTCAACGGCGTGCTGGATCTAGCCGAGTCCCTCCAATGCCGAATCCTCCTCTGGGTCTTCGACACGGAAGACGATGATGATTACATCGAGCATCTCCGCATGGTCAATGGCGAATTCAAGCTCGTCTTGGGCGAGTTGAAGCGTCTCCGGGCAATTCCACAGCTCTTTCCCGATTCGAAAACATACGCCAGCTTCTTCAAACAAGCCAACAAGAAGATGCACAGGGTGGAGTATCTCATGCAATGGAAGCTGAAAGATGATGCATCCATCAGCGCCAAGCAGAAGGAGAAGGAGAGTGAGCCCGTGTCCGCCGCTGGACCAACCAACCCGGACACAGAAGCCAATCAAGCGCCGTGGGCAAAATACTGCTGCGCGCATGATCCGCAAACATTCCCCACTCCTTCAAAAGCTTCAAGCTACGTACCAGATATGGAATTGCAGGCCATGCAGTTCATTCCACGCGCAGGCTTCGAGATTGCAGAGCATTGGCGCCGTGACACAGAGAAAGCAGCTCGGGACATCATGGCGGTCTCGAAAGATCCGTCTCGCCTTCAGAAGATGATTGTGAGTCTAACTCCTTCTCGTAACGGTACTCAGGCTGACCATTTCTAGCCTCACAGTCATCACATGAATGAGCCCAATCCAGTGCTAGGCAGCGAAGGCAAGCGGGCTACAGTCACGTGGCCAGTGCGCAACGCTCAGACTGAAGGGCAGGGAACGGAAGATGCCATTGCCCTCCAGGGACAATTCATGGCTGAGATGGATGAGCCGGACGGGATTCGAATGTCGGGTCCATTTGCCCTACTTAGGGGCCTGTTCGTTGCCGAAGACGATACCGAGCCGGACAGCAAGTTCGAGCGTGTGTTTGGACAGTAGTGCAGTGCAGATGATCTGAAATTCTACCTGATTTCATACTCCAAAGATGGTTCACTCGGAGGATGTTCTCCATGACGGATATCGATCGAGGAGCTTCTCCACGAGTGCACTGTCCTCATGGCTCTGTCGAGCTTATAATAACGTAAGCTTTTGCTAAAGTGCTCGAGATCGATCGGACACTGATATCCATAGCTGCTCTCGTGGATTTGGTAATTTGTCATTCGCGATAGAGCACGTATGATCTGAAACCCGCGGAAGGTATGCCACAAGGCTTGTTCGTGGCTTTTACGTTGATATAGCATTGTCGGAATCGCCATGACATGCTCGCAAAATGAGTCCAATGGCCATCTCGATGACTGCTATCGCCGACATGCCGCTCGAGGACTATCCGTGATCTTTGGAGTCGCTGAGATATCCGAGATCACAGCCGTACACGGGCGCGTCATTCCAACAACGTTCGTCGCGGGCCTGCACGGAGCACGAGAAGTTATGAGAACGGGCTCGTGGGGACAAACGGCGATGGTGTGACGAGGCTCCGTTTTGCGTTTGCTTTTCGGTATATACATTTCGGTGAGGACTCTGGAGATATCGGTATGCAATCCCTTATCCAAGATCTCTTTTACCTCTTGCCAGTGTACAACTCTCTGCAGTGCTGCTGCTTTCTGAACTGGTTGCTGAATTGCTTGAGATGTCGATCAAAGGCACTCCTGGAGGGCCTCTGTGTGGTGTGAGTCGGTGCGCAAGGCTCCCTAATCTTGATCCTATCTTGATCCTCGTACGGTACGGCTGTTTCTAATTTCATCTGTCTTGCACATGGCACCGAGCTCGAACGCTTGCAACTCCAAACAAGTTCTGCACCTGCGGGGCTCGCGAGCTCGTCAACTTCAGTTCAAATCGCCTGCTGTTGGAATCATTGGCAAAGCAAAATCTGGGTATCATTCTTGTTATGTTCTTCTCCCTCGCGGAACTCGTCACTCGCCTGCCGCTTTGACCGGAGATGCAGTCCCACCCTCTTTCTTCGGCTGCCAGTCCGAGCACCAGATGAACGTCGCACACCTCCATTGCGTTCCTCGCTCCTTCTCCCCACTGGGTCCCAGCGGTCTCGCGCACATCCAAAAGCTCCTCCCTTGATTCGATCCTTTCTTCTTCGTTTGCATGGTCTTGCAGGGCTCCGCGTGGCTCTCACAAAGTGGTGCGGCGGGCTTCGCAAACAATGCTCCCCATGACTTTTGGGTCTGTTCAGCAGAGGCCATTTGAGCAGCGAATTGACGAGGGGATGGACTAGCATTTTCATCATCGGTCTGCTGTATGCTAGCTGGTGTTTGCGGTGCAGTGGCGGCCTCCCCAGCTTCGCCTGATGGGTTCGCATCTTCCGAGATATCTGCGGGAGGCGTGCAGGGCAGGTTTGAAGCGTCTGCCTCAGACTGATCTTTAGCAGCGGGGGGATTCTTGGCTTGAAAGAAGCCCTTCAGACTCTGTTGGCCTCTGGGTCCCGCAGTCGACTTGGGCTCAACCTTCTGGCGTTTCACAGTCTGATCTTTTGCACTCGACAAGTTGCGCTTGACCGGCGATGTTGTGGTCCTCGATACTTTGGCGGCTTGTGGAGCAAAGCTATCATGGAAATCTTGAGAAGTAGATGTGGCGAGAGCGCCGCTCGTTCCGCTCGCGTTCTTCGCGCTGGTTTGTTGGTTAGTTTGCGTCTTCTTCAGTGTAGGTGCAGCGAACATTGATTTAATGCTGCGGCGCTTGTCAAACTCGGGCATTCGTTTAGCAGAGAAAGCCGGCGTGGTCGCTAGTTTCCATTCGATCTTTCGCTCGCCGTTCTCGAAGTACCCTGGGGAATTCATAGCGTCCAGCAAATTGACTCGCCGGTCCCCCATTTCGACCTCATCATGGAAGTCTGCGTACACTGGGCAGTGATCGGATCCGAGCAGTCCTTCTTGGATGTTGGCGTCCTTGATCCAAGATTGCATGAGCGATGAGACCAGCACAAAATCGATTCGGCTACCATAGTTGCCAGGCCGAGCGTTGATCTTGGTCTCCCAGTGTGTGTACATGCCCTTACGCTCCGGGTGAAAGGCTCGCGTGGTATCCCAGAGCACACCCGTCTCTCGCCCTTCATCTCTTTGATCAATCACCTCTCCGTCAATGAGCAGCTGATTGAAGATGCGGCGGTTGGGGCCCAACAGATACTCTTCTCGCGTCGCCTGAGATTTTCGAATCTCCTCCAGTGCGGCTGCCGAATCTATTTCATGCCGACTGACGTTGAGGTCTCCGACTAGCACCACGTTCTTACCCTCTCGGATTAGATTTCGTATCCGACAGTCTAGAGCACAGATGAAGCCGTATCGAAAGTCATCTCGCAGCCCGTTGCTGTTGGCAGGAGAATACACGCCGAAGAGGACGAAAGCTGGAAACTCTACCACGACACACCTCCCCTCCGCATCCAGTATTGCAGGATCAACACCGAGTTCTGTAATCTGGATGGGTGTGGGATATCCTCCAATGTGCTCGCTGTCAGGCAAGTCTCGATAAGCCACTCCAGAGCCCGAAGGCAGGACCCCAAGCAATCCCTCCTCAGCTCGGACGGGAGCACATACTGCATTGCGTGTATATATTCCCACTCCAGAATACCCTTTCTTGTGCTTCGGCAGACTGAAATAACAGTCCCATCCATCCACCAACACCATATCATCGCGTAGGTCCTTCCGTTGAATCTTCAGCTCTTGCATCACCACGATGTCGCTTTCGAGGATGTCGAACATGGCAGAAAAGGTGCGCGCCTGGTTCCATGGCGGGTACGAGAAGGGATTGCGTATGCCGTTGACGTTCCTAGAAGCAGAGCATTAGCAATTGAGCGGACGTGTTGGCGCGGAATGTCAACAATGCTTCCTTTACCAGGTGGTGAGTCTCATCTTGGCCACTCTGTTCCTTCCTCAATCCGCCTATTGCTGTGATGATAGAGCATCATCTGTCGGATCCTCGGGCTCAGTGTCTGACCTTCAACGGAGAATGCAGCGAGCATGTGACTGACAATGATGAACGCGAAAGTCACACGTCCTGGATAGAGGTGACGTCGAGAGCGTGCCGAGCCGAAATGCCGATCCAAGTGAAGTGCATGGACTTCCGGACTTCATCGACCATTCACGCATCACAAGAGTGCAGAGGAACATGAGGAGACGTCGTCGAAGATGCCACGCTTTCTGACGCCTGCACGCATCTGTTTGTTGGTTGCCATTGATATCTACGGCGAGGAGCCTCCGCCAACAGCATCCGCCATAACCCTGCTCGACTTCATCTCCCAGCATGTTATTTCCTCCGCCGAACAGAATGTCGACGACATTCAGGAGCGGCGTGCATTCGCTTCAGGCGGCATGGAATTCTTCGAACAATGCCTGCGCCCACTGGCGTCCAGCATGCCTGGTCGAAATCTTTACGACTCGCTAATCTACCGCATCTGGCAGTTCAACTCGGTCGATTCGCTACACGCCTTCATAGAAGAAGTCAGCCTAGTGCGAGTACGCCCCTCCCGAGATGCACTGATTCAGCCGCATCCCAATGCTTTTACTCCAGCCTCCCCGCTTGGCCAATATGTCCGCCGCTGCTGGGTGGAGTTTACGCGACTGCAGTTTGAGGACGCGCAGGCTCTGTGGAAAATGTTCACTACTTATCGAGAACCTACGAAGCACGACTGGACACTGAAGTATCCGGAAGATGCCCTCAAAACCGAGCAAGATGTCAATCCTGTCTGTACAGTCCCCGCTCTACCCACAAGAGCCGGCAGTGAAGGTGTAGCGCAAGATGGCGCCAGCGCAGCTGTGGTGGACGCCGACATTCTACTCCATTTCGCAATTCAGCGACTTCAGAAGGAAGGCTCGCGGGTGCCAGCAGATGTCAAGCTTCGGATTGAGCAGTGGATTGGGGACCAATTGGATTCCAACACTCAGTCGCTGCACTTCTTCATGGCTTTCTTCGAACATTGGAGAGCTGGCCAGTACACAATGGCGCTGGAGAATCTACACCGCTATTTTGACTACTCACTCGCGGGTAAGGCGGCAACAGAGAACATGAGGGTCCACTATCAATACGCACTACTGCATCTGAGTGTACTCCATGCGGACTTCGAGTGCTGGGGGGAGAGCATCGATGCGATGAACGAATGTATTGCGACTGGTAAGTTACGAGTTGGGTGAATGCTTTCGGCCATTGTACACTGTGTCTCTTTCAAGTGCTGATCATCGACAGCGCGGGAGAATCAAGACGCCGCCTGCCTGAATTTCGCGCTGTCGTGGCTGCTTCACCTCCGTCATGCGCATCCCAGCAAGCGCGGGAATTCTTTCGGAACTATCGCGGGTGTTGTTGGCAGCGGCGGCAGTGAACACGACGAAATTGCATTCCTTAAGCAAAAGGCGAAAGATGGGAAGCACTGGATGCTCCTTAGCAGCACTCTGCTTGAAGAAGCAAGACTGGAGCTGTACAGCGTGAGGACGCCTTATCATTCACACATGATCTCCCACTGACTGATACCAGGGCGGCAACAGAAATCGAGCCCAAGAGCACATCCTGCAGTCAATGTATCTGAATGCCCATCATGACCTACGCGGTCTAGCACCCGCAAGTCTTCTTCTCCAAAGCGCTTGTTATCATCGGCTGGGTGAGTGGAACGAGATCGATTCTGGAAGGAGACTGAACACTGACGAAGCAATGTCAGGGCAAACCAAGTCTGCAGTCCTCGACATCGAGCTTTTGAACACCGTATACCTCAAGCAGTGTCCGAAAGGCGAGTATGTGCGCGCAACATGCCGTCTGGCAGACCTTATGGCGCGGAGTGGAAATTTCAGCAGAGCGTTGAAGCATATTGAGGGTCAGATTCCCGCAGCGAAAGGATTGCTCAAGCAGGAGCAAAGACTCAAAGCCTTTGCGACGCTTCTCCAGCTGAAGAGGTCAATACAGCGGTGCGCTCCCACCAAGCGACAGGGGTGCAGTGTTGCGAGTTGAAGCCGTCGTTGTGCTAACTCTATACAGGAACCAGTTCAATGTCGCGGATGCTCACCTGAACCAATTACGCCCCTTCTGCTCGGGGAGCGACCCTGAAATGTCATTCGAGGTCAAGGTTCTTGAGATCGAGAAACTCGTCCGACAGGAGCGGTTTTTGCCAGCTCTCCAAAAGGTCAATGAGGAGCTAAAGGTCCTCAGAGGCAGAGAGACAGGTAAGATCTCCTCCCAAACATTCACTGGGTCTGCGGCTGATACCTCAAGACATTGCGCATCGCATCTACTTTCTGCTCCTGAAAGCTCGGATCTTCGCAGCGGGCGGTCAGGCCAGTAAGGGCTTTGCCATAGTCCTCAGAGCCACTGCCACTGCCGAACGACAGCTTCTCGTCACGCTCTTCATGGAGGGCGTAGCGGTCCTGAGCAAAGTCCTCATCGAACTCTCTGAGTTTGGCGCTGCGCGAGATATCGTAGAAGCAGCATTACCACATGTAAGGTGTCGTGTCGTGTCTTTATAGACGTTCCCAGAGCTAACAAGACCAGGCCATCGAATCACAGAACACGGAGCTCACGGCCCGCTTCTACACGCTGATGGGAGAGGCATGTCTTGGGTATGCTGGACATGAATGCCCGCACGACTCCAACGAGCAGACGCTCACCTTGCGGCGGGCGCAAGACTTGTTCGAAAACGGCCGATCTCGTAAGTGAACGGAAAAAAAAACGCCCCCCTCTGCATAGCTCGTCGTTGACGACGGCTGACTTCCATGGTTTTGCCTTCCACAGTATTTCAGCAAACTGAAGATCTCACCGGCATGCTGCACTGCCTCGCCCTGAAATCTCAGATTGCTACGTGGACCGGCGATGAGAGTTCCGCTCTGCAAGCGGATGAGATGTACTCGCAGCTCCTGATGGTCCAATCTCAGGCAATCCCTTGAGCCCCTCGTCTCGTCAGCCCCCACGCCCCGTTTTCTTCGCACTTGGAATTGTCATCACGCCTTACATGGACTTACTTCCCAGAAAAGTATGCGAAGGCCTGCAGTCGTCCGGATCCGATCGTGCGTTGGCTCTCTTGCCGCTGCACCGAATCTTGGACCCGGCACTGAATGTTATGTAGCAAGCCACAACGTTTGCGGGCCGAAGCAACCGCCACATAGGTATAAAGCACAGCTTGATTGATGGTGCCAAATCCTTGATATGCGCAAAAGTGAGGTGGAAGCCGTGACCACCCCACCCACCGCAGAGCAGAGCAATGGAATGGCTGCCCTGTTCCGGCTCGACAGCGACCCCCCCCCCCCAAAAAAAAGGCAGAAGAAACAATTTCAGGTCGGCCAGTGTCATTCATGCGTGTGGTGGAGTCTCATCATATGCAGCCACAGGAGGTATGCAGGAGGTATGCTAAACTTGTAAGATACAACTTGAAGGCACATAGAGATTAACAAATGCCAATGCCAATTCGAATCTGCCCTTTTTCCACCACAAATGAATGTGACGGGAAGTTTGTGTGGACCCGCTTGCATTCGAATCACTTTTAGATAGGACGTGGCATGCCCATGGCGTTGCATGTGCCTTGTATTATTCAGTCCGGCCATCGCACGCAAACCCAAACCAATTGCCCGGACCCGGATGATTTGTTTCGTTTCTCGTATCGTTCGTGGGCTGTGAGATCCAGAAGAAGACTGAGACATGGACCATCACAGCAGTGAACGCCTTCCTCGGTTCTATTGTTACGCCTTGCTCGATTCTTTGCTACTCAGAGCCGGCGCAGGGTGAGAATTTCAATGCAGCACATCGTCACATGGAGGGACCGATTGATCGGAGAGCGTTCTTCAGAGTGATGATCCAAGTTCCCAAAAGTAGCATCATTCAGGAATACATGAGTAGTCCAGCCCGTCCAATGTATATCAGAGATGTCACGGATTCTTCCCGCTCACAAGTTCCTCCAACGCCGAGGTATCATATAGTCACCGTCCCGTCCTGGCATCTCCTCCATCCTCAAGTCTCGGCCCATTGTGGAACGTCTCCTCAAACTTCTCCTCACCGGCTCCATCAACTCTTCCACCAGAGCCAGGGGTCTGACCGGCCTGCCTGCTCACCCTCGGACTAGGTCCATCCGCGCTAGGCGGCGGTCTGGCGACATCCGCGGCAGTAGCAGCATTATCCTCGTCAAACTCAAAGTTCTGCGCTTCCTGCTCGTCGAAGTCCTGGCCGGGGTTTGCGGTCTCGTATTCCAATGCTTTCACGAATCTGTAGAAACCGACTGCGAGCAGAGAGCCCAGGGCGGGTCCGAGCCAGTATATCCAATGGTATCCGGGCCAGTTTCCCAGGACCACGCAGGGACCGAAGGAGCGGGCTGGGTTCAGAGAGCCGCCGGTGTAGAAGACGCCGGCGAGTTCGGCAATGAAGAGGGAGAGACCGATGCCGATGGGGGCGATGAAGGTGCCTTTGTGCTTTTCAGCGGCGAGCATGAAGATGGTGATGACGAGTTCGGCGGTGAGGAACATCTCAATGACTGTGAGGGTAACATTAGTGTGTGCTTGCCGCAGCGTGTTGGCCATCATGAGACTTACAGAGACCGCGGACGACGCTGGTGCCGGCGCTGAGGCTGGTGGAAACGGCCATTGGGCCGGGGAAAAGAGCCTGTACGACGCCAGAAGCGGCCATACTACCAAGCAGCTGGGCGATAAAGACAAGGAGGGCGCGGGTCCAGGTGACGGCTCCGATGAGAGCCATACCAAGGGTCACAGCTGGATTGAAGAGGCCTGCAAGTGGTCAGCTGATCAAGTCCTCGGAAGGTATCTGACGGGCCAGCTTACCTCCACTGATCCTGAAGAAAACCCAGGCATTGACAGCCAAGCTAAAGCCAAAGGCCAGAGAGATATATATCAGGACCCCCGGGTCGGGCACCTGGGTGAGAGTGCCACCGCTGGTGCCGGCACCCGCAGCACCGGCATTGGCGACCTGTGTAGCGGAGAAGGCGAAGAAGAGGAAGAGGAAGGTGCCGATGAATTCTCCACTCATGGCAATGAAGTGATTCCGGAGCCTGTTAGGCATGAAGCCGATGCAAGGGACGCGGAGCTCATTGTTGTGGTTGGGACGATCGCGCCCTCGTAGTCCGGGCAGGTTGATACCGGTGTTCTGGGACTTGTCGAAGTTCATGGTGAGCGGGCGGTCTTTGAGTGGAGGAGGAGGAGGAGGAAGGGTAGTAGCGGTTGGTGCTCGCGGCGGGGCCAGAGGGGCCGTGGGTCTCGGACTGATGTGTTTAGGGGGAATGGACTGCCGAGAGGAGGAAGCGGTGTGGTAGGAAGACGGGCGTCGGTCGTCTGAAGCAATCTTGACAACTTTCCGAGGTAGGCGAGAGCGGGGTGTGTGGGTGCTGAGGCTGCTCCAGGACTAATACAGGACGTGTTCGGTGGATGATTGCTGAGGCTGAGGCTGAGGCTGAGGCTGAGGCTGAGATGCGAGGGATAGATCTGTGCGATAAGGTATAGGTGGTGGTGGTGGTGGTGGTGGTGGTGGTGGTGTTGATGGGGTGGAAGAGGAGGGGCCGAGAGGAGGGGAGAGGGGGAGAATGGGAGGACGACGGGCAACTCCCACGCTGAACGCAAGAGCGAAGCAAATAAGATCTCTCGCAAGAGCGAAGCAAAGATGAAGATGAAGATGAAGATGAAGAGGAAGAGGAAGAGGAAGCGAGGCAGGTGTGGGAGAGACGAGGCTAGAGAATTGGAAGGCAGCTGGAGTCGAGCTCTTGGGAAGCTTCAGCAACGGCGACCACGAGATTGTGGATCCGAGTGTCTGTCTATGTGCTAGAGCATCCCGAGTCTCGGCTGGCAGTGACGCGGCAGCAGCGAACTTGAAGTGCAGACGACGGCCCGCGAGCTTCCCGTCTCGTCTCGTCTACACTGCCAACCCATTGATGAGGGCAAGATCGTAGCTGTGCTAGCTGCCCGCCGCCGATCACACATCATCGATTGCGCTTCAGCTTCACCCGCCACCGGCACCAGAGCCGTGCTGCGGCAGAGGAGAGAGAGAGAGGTAGGGAGATGCCTTCTGGTCGCCCGCTCTAGTCAGCGCCATCTGAACATGTACCGACGGTGTGCGGCGTCGGTGAACGGCAGGCCAAAGTCTGTTTGAGCCGCATCGTGGGGGACCGCTCCGTCCCCGGATGATCTGCATCTGCCAAGACATCCATCCAGAGCATATACACCATCATGATGTATGTATGTATGTAGATATATCTGTTGCTTCGATGGAAGTCATATGGGAGTTGTGGAATTGGCATCTACCGACGATGCTGATGATACGCCGACAATAATGATATCAGTACCACAGCGACGACGATGTGAATGGTCGGGCCTTTCTCGATATTTAAGGGGATGAAGTGAGGTGAGGGGAGCACGACCGGACCCTCCGAGGACACCCCTGCAATCGAACCACTGACTGATGCCTGAGGCTGCCATAGGGCATCTGTCGACGACCACGAGGACTGTCAGGATGATGGGAGCAAGTCCATCCCACCATACTGTAGCTATCTCACACCTCCTGACCTTTTCTCTTCACCCACGCTCCGGACTGCGCAGCCTTTTGATTGGTTTCATAGTGACCAGCTTGACTCAGCCCAGGCCGAGGAGCTTCTCTCGTCATCGTCATCCTGCCGCTGGAACGTCCCGCATCCACCAACACCACCACCACTCACCATCTACCACCCCTCCGCCACCACAACTCATCTCCGCCCCCTTCGCTCCACCACAACTCTCCGCCCACCGCATCCACTCCAGCAGTCATCACCGCACGGCTCTACACATGCGAATGTCAACCTGACCAACTGCGGCCCCGGTCGCGCCCCGCCGACCAACTACTGCCGAACAATCCTCCACCGCCATCCATCCTCCCGAACAGGCGCACAAACAGCATACCGGACGAGTCTAGACACATAACGTACCATGCGACCACTCCGATTTCTCATAACCCTCGTCTCCTTCATCGTCGCCTTCTTCCTGCTTCTGTTCGTCGGTCCCTGGCGCGGCAAACCAAGCATCCGGGACTCCGAGGAAGAGAATGGCAGTATTGGCACATACTTTAACTGGCGAACGCCCTCCTCCCTCTTTCCTCCTTCAGCTATCATCAGCCTGACAGATGACAACTCCACCAACTTCGTCGCGAGACCTGCCGCCTTTGGTCCGCTGCTTCCGGCAAAGAGCTTGAGCGGACAGCTATGGATTGGGAGCGGCTTCGGAGATGACCATCTGGGAGGAGAGGGAGAGCTCGGCTGTAGCGACGTCCCTGGTTGGGACGATGGGAGCTGGACTGCGAGTAGCAGTGCGAGCAGCAGGAAAGTATTCTCGGATGGCAAGGGAGCTACAGCCGATAGCCCACTGTCTGGGTCCAATAAGAGCAAGCGGAGTTTGGTCGAGGATGAAGACGAGCTGGAGGAGGACGAGGAGCAACATCCGAGTGAGAATGATGGTACGGACGACTACCTGCACCATCCCTTACCTGCGAGCGACGGTCTTAAAACAAATGGCGAAGCGGCTGGAAACACCAAGAAGCCAACGCATGCGGATATCCAGTCTTTGCAAGAGAGCGCAGAGATCGCTGGCAAGATCGTGCTGCTCAGTCGCGGCGGCTGCGGCTTTCTCGAAAAGGTCAAGTGGGTCCAGAGAAGAGGCGGCATCGCGCTGATCGTTGGAGATGATATTCGAGGAGGGCAGCTGGTGACGATGTATGCTCGAGGCGACACATCCAATGTCACAATACCCAGCCTGTTCACATCGCACACAACCGCGCAGCTGTTGTCCAGCTTGATGCCCTCGGATGGCTTTTCTTACCCCGACCAAAGACCTGCTCTAGGAGGGAAGGGCAAACAAAAACAAGACGACTCACGCGGCGGAAAGCAACATGATGCTGACAAACCTTTCTTCACGACTACGACCGCAACTGCCAAAGCAACGCCGACACCGAAGCCAAAGCAGGCGGTTGACGACCGGAAATTAGCAAAGGAGGCGGACAAGGAACAAGACCAGAAACCTTGCGGGTGGCTCTCAGGCCTGCTCAAGGGCTGTACAGACAATGGCCGAGACAGTCGAAGACCGCCCAGCAGCGGCAAGAATGGCTGGATTCAGCAAGAGGAGTTTGACGATGACGATTACGTTCGCGCGAAGAACGGTAAGCTTCTCAGCACGTCTTCGTCGTCTTCGATATCGCCAACTTCGACACCAAAGAAGGCGCCAAGCGATGGGTTCCAGATTGGCGTGCAAGACTGGCGGGATCCAGATCTTGTTGCCGAACAAAAGGAGCAGCAGATGCGTGCTTCATCATCTCCGGTGAGCTCAAGCACTGCTACTTCATCCAGGAGCAGCGCAACCGCTGCACCAACGTCTCTCAAGGGTGGCAGCATTACGCCCGGAAGTGGAGAGTATGCAAAGGCGAACCACGAGGCTGTTGACATATCATCTGCGCAAAAGTCTCAATCGAGAGAAGGCGTGATATCTCAGCAGACAAGCAGCGATCAGCAGGACAGCTCGCGCAGCTGGCTTGGTCGCCTGCTCCGCTCTGATGCGGGTAAAGCTGCCAAGGCCGAACCTGCATCTCAGATCGACACGACGAAAGCCTCCGAGCTCGATTTCCATCGCAAATCTGACAGTTCGCATCGTCAACGTCCCTCTTCGGATGGGCGACAAGTGCACCACGGATTGTGGGTTACCCTGTCACCTACTTCCATGTCCACCTCACCCTTCTTCGATACATTGCTAGTCCTGGTTGTTTCGCCGCTAGTGACGTTGACTGTCGTGTATGCACTTCTGTTATTGCGATCGCGCATTCGGAGGAGGAGGTGGCGGGCACCAAAATCTGTCGTCGAGCGGCTACCGGTGCGAACGTACCAGACCATGCCAAGCAGCACGACGTCTTCGTCTACATCATCAATTGCATCGCCCAATGTAACGACGCCTCTGTTACCATCTGCGACCCGACCCATCAGTACTCGCTCTCGACCCAGGGCGCGGACGGCTTCCGAGATTGCACAGGGCTCGTCGATGCGCTCTGACGACATGGCAAGTCCATCTCTAGATCAGATTGAGGAGAAGCGTGCCGCTGGCCTGGCAGAGTGGCGAAGAAGGTACGGCGGCAAGCAGAGGGAATGCGTGGTGTGTCTGGAGGAGTATGTGGACGGCGTCAGCAGGGTAATGAGCCTACCTTGTGGCCACGAATTCCACGCCGAGTGCATGTAAGTCTCAACCTCCCCAAGCGACTAGCATCGACGGCTAGACTAACTTTGCTCCCAGCACACCTTGGCTTACAACCCGCCGCCGTACCTGTCCCATCTGCAAAGGCGACGTCGTCCGTTCTCTTGCTCGATCTGCCGGAACACCTTCGTCTTCTACGCCACCGCAGCGGTACCGCGACGAGTCCGAGGAGGAGGAGGAGGATGTCCAAGAACAAGCTGTCACAACGATCAACGAAGATCCCGCTGCCCAGCGACCGGTCTCGAGGGAAGATGAGGCATTTGAGGATTTGGAACGAGGGGTGAATCTAACGCCGCCTCCAAGGGAAGAGCCGGATCGGAATCGATGATGTAGCCGTTTCCCGTGATTTGGGTATGATTGATGAGATGGGGTGGGAATGGCGTTTTCGGTTCGGGGACTCTTGTGTGTAGTCGTCTTCTTGTTTCTCCATTGATACCCGGACGGATTGATGGTGGGATTCGTCCAGATCTTTCAAATGTCGACGATCCCTCACACATTTCGGCCTTCTGAGCCAAGCAGGGACTTTTTCAAAGCCCGACACTCTCGATCGGCGTTTGAGTATCCCGACCTCACCTCACCTCACCTCCTGCACGCCTTCTTATCCCTCCACTATCCGCCAGCCTTTTCATGATAACATTCCTAAGCGGACCAGCCAACCGACTGAAAGATGGAACCAAAGTCTCCAGACTCCGTCCTTGCTCCCGATATCGACGAGAATGCCCCAACCACCACCACCAAGACGTTATTAGAAAATGAAAACGAAATCGAAGAAGAAAGAAGAAGAAGAAGAAGAAGAAGAAGAAGAACTATGGATCTCTATTCCCGCCCCCCCCTATCTTCCTTCCTCGAACTCCTCCTCTCTAGTACTACTACCGTAGAAGCTCTCTCTAATAATAACTAATAACGACGAGAAAGAAGGAGAAGGACGAGAAGGAGAAAACGCGAATCGCCTCTACCTCGCGAGATCTCGAGAACGAATTAGCCTTTACTCTTATTCTTATCCGAAAATCCCCCTTCTCTAGTATATAAAATTTTTATAACCTTCTTTATCTCTCCCTCTCTCTCTCTCTCTCTCTTCTATAGGTACTAGTATTAGTATTAGTATTAGCGAGATCTATAAACTCTCTCTCTCTCTCTCTCTCTCTCTCTCTCTCTTCTCTTAGCGTAGCGTTCTATCTCTATCTCTTATCTCTAAGTATCTTCTAGCCCTCTTTAACCTAAATTTTAATTTTTAATTTTTTTTTTTAGGTATTATAGGAAAATATACGTAGTTAGGTAGAGTATACGTATCTATATATATATTAGTAGGCTACTCTACGCTTTTCTAAGAGAGTAGGTAGGTTTTAGAGAGTTAGAAGATTCTTTAGATAAGAATATAGGAAGGAAGAAGAGGAAGAGGAATAATATTAGAGTAGTTTATACGGCTTATAGATAGGTTTTTTAAGTTAGAGAGAGAATTAGAGGTAGAAAGAGAGAGAAGAGAGAGGAGAGAAGAGAAAGAGAGAGGAGAGAGAGAGATAGAATATTAGAGAGAATTCTAGAGAGAATTTTAGAAAGTCTAAAAGAATAAAAGAGAGAGAGAGAGATAGGGTTTAGATTAGAAGAAGAAAGAGAGAGATAGAGAGAGGTAAGTAGGTAGATAAGAGAGAGAAGATAGGGTTTTTAGAGCGTTTTTTTTAAAGTTAGAATTTAGGGATTAGAAGTAGGAAGAGAGAATTAGTATTCACTTTTTCTATCGTACGCTTTTATTTATCCTCTTTATCTAGGAGATCGCTATAAATAGGTAGAAAGTCGACTTTTCTAACTATTTCTACTAGAGTTCCTATGGTAGTAATCGTTTGTCGCCGATCTTCTCTCCTTCTAGTTCTATATCGAGATATTTAGGAGACTCTCCCGTCAAGCCGAAATCCGAAAGCACAGTACAAGAAAAGCCAGTCGCGAAGGAGTTGTGCCCTTTCGTCGGTGTGGTGTTGTGGAAGCAGGCAGCATACCAAATCTAGAGGCCCTAGGGCTATAGTAGTCTTCGTGCACGCCTATGTGAAGGATCCCTACACTTCGAATAGAGCGGCCGAGGCTTAGCGATAATTGTGTTGTGTAGCAAGACAAGCGGTGATCTGTGAGGGGTTGCCGTGTATATTCACGGAGAACCCGTGGCGTAAGAGGAGTTTGAGGATGTCGACATGTGCGTGTCCAGCAGCCATGTGCAGGGCTGTTTCTCCCGTCAGGAGAGAAAGACGGAATCGATGATCTGGCCAGGCGCTGTAACGCCATCAGCCCGGCTATATGTGAAGTGATATCCCCATGACTGCCTTTCGTGTGTCAAGAGAGCTTCCGCGATTTCGAAAATCGTTCTCAGAGACGGCCATGTGAGGGAAATCAAAGTTCCTCGTGCACGCAGATTTTTTGTTTGGGCGTTGTGGTGAAGCAAGACTTGGATAGGTTGTACTTGTCCGCACGCAACTGCAAATCAGAGCGATGTTGCGGTCTGCTGCTCTTACATAGCGGGATCAGCATCCGCTAGAGTCAAACCGTCTAAGACTTCGGTGTGCCCTAAGCTAGCCGCAACCAACATGACTGTACGAACTCCAGCAATTCATTGTTTGAAACTTGGTCACTTTTCGATCGATGAGAAGCTTCACATAAGCCGATCGTCAGTGAAGCGGTTAGCAAGATCTTCTCCTTCTTTCAGCACCGCTCGACAGAATGGTGTTTCACATACTGGGCTCTCAACGTTCATCTTGGCTCCGGCAAGGCTGAGGGCTTCGACCGTGTTCTGCGCTTGGATTTGGATAGACAAGCATGGTACAACGCGATCATGCCATTGAGGTTCGGCTTATCGAGCTTAACATCAGATCCTCCGATAGTCGAAGGACAAGAGGTGTATAGTCATTCGGAGCCGCTTCGTAGAGGTCGTTCTGGTATCCGCTTCTGGTGGGTGCGGCAATCGCACTACGGCTTTAGGTGGTGTTGTGGATATTGTCTGCTCATATGAGTACAAGTGTAGGAGAATCTATCTGGAACAGTCATGATCTGTTGTTGTAGATATTTTCATTGTGTTGTTGAGCTTGATCTTTGGCGGGGAGTCTGCCAAAATGTTTTGATGGCCTTGCGTTCAGCAAGATGAGGCATCATCGCGCAGATGTGTCGCACTGCATGTGAGATGACGCACCACTTCTCATCCTGAGCCTCCATTACGGCTGTTCGCCGGATTGCAGCAGATGGGCGCGGCGGAGTGATGTTGATGTTGATGCTGATGTTGCCGCCGACATCGACACTCGCTCGCGCCCGCAACGTCCCGAACCTCAACTCTATCGACAACTCTATTCATAACTCTATCCACAACTCTATCGGCCCCTCGGATCTCCTCCCCGAAGCTCTATCCATCAACTCAAACCACATCTTACCCCCCCCCGCCGTTGAAAGAACCACCACACCAGCAAGACCAGAGTGTCCTCTCTCGCCTCACATCTCCAGCAACCATGGCCACCCACGGCCACTCTCTCCTTCGCGTCCCCCAGAACCTCCTCCAGCGCCTGGAAACGCATTTCCGCGCCCAATCCACCACCGCCAACGCCCTGACCGCAGCATCCGCAGTCGCCACTCTCGTCGCAGCCTGGCTCTATACCGACTATCGCGCCTGGACGGCCTTCGGAACGGGCGGAACACCGCCAACACCCTCCGGCTACTGGCGCATGACCAAAATCCGCATCTCCCGCCTCCTCTCCAGCGACAGCCTGCGCGACGCCTCATCCCTCAACCCCAACACGCCCAGCTTTCTAAAGATAAAACTCCCATCAAGATCACACGTCGACCGTCCACGGATCCAGAGCAGGACCATGCCCCAACGTCAATATCCATCCTCCCCACCTCTCCCGCGAGACGTCAAACATCGCCTCCACACCCTCTGTAAGAGCTACTCCGACCGCTACCCCGACTTCCTCACCCTCGCGCCCTCGGCCGTCGAAGGCTTCTCCGCGGACGCAATCTACGCCCACCCCGACCTGCCCCACCGTCCCGCTTCCGCGTCCGATCGATGGCTCAAGAATGAAATCGCACACGCCCACCACGAAGATGACTCCCTGCACGTCTGGCTGACCGAGGCGGATTGTCGCGCCGTCGTCGAGAGCGGATGGGGCGAGCGGTTCCCGTTGGCAGCGGACCCGTTTCGGATTCTGCATCCGGGGCAGACGTTTGTTTATGCTCCGAGACCGGGCCAGGGCGCCATGGCGGATGTGGATGTTATCGAGGAGATTTTTCGGGCGGGGATTAGGCACGTTACTGGGGAGGAGATCTGATGTCGGTGGAATGGCGGTTGGAAGGATGAATGCGAATGTTTCGGAACTGCTGGTATTGGTCGGAATAGTTCGTATTCTTCCTCTTCAACGGCCACGGCAACTTGATGGTCTCGTTTTCTGTTGGATCGAGTACTTAACTGATCTCGAAGGACCTTCTCACGTCTCCGCTCCTTTCTCCTCCTCAGCCGCCATCGTCGCAGTCGTAAAGGAAACCGTACTCTTCCGTTTCCCTTCACTTCTCGAAGTAGAAGACATCGAGCTCTTCCTCCTCTCCAACTTCGGCCTGGTATCCTCAAAAGCCTTCCGGGCCAAACCCCTCATCTGCTCCACCTCTTCCCTGCCCCCCTCACCAGCTTTCAACATATCCCTCCACTTGACCAATCTCTCCGCAGTCGCAGACTCCCCAACCTGCTTGATCATACGACTCGTATCCTTTCCCGAGCTCATGAAGAGTCCATCCCGTTCCTGCGCAAGCAGGATCCAGATCAGGTTCTGGAGAACATCCGAGCCTCGGGTCATGCTCGTGAGAGATTTCACGCAAGCACGGAGGGTCTTCTCTTTGACGCGCTTGAGCATCTCCTCGCCCGGCGCTTCGACTTTGAGTTTCTTGGTGAATTTGCTGACGGCTGCGTGGAGTTGGTCAAAGTTCTTTGCTTCGGCGGTGGATTGGCGGAGTTTGCCGTGCTGGCGTTCTCTTTCCTTGTCTCGGAGGAGAGTCTGTTCCGTGGCGGCTTGGATCATCTGAGGGATGACTTCGCGCTTGAAGTGGTCGGCGATGAAGTCCTCGAGGTGCTCTTTGAGCGTGGCGTCTTGAATCGTCTCGATCCCTGATGTGTATAATTGCAGCGGGACCAGCAGTCGGGCTTCCACGAGCTGATTGACCTTCTCTTGCTCTTCGCTTTCCAGCTGTCCAATGCGCTCCCTGACAGCCGGCAATAACTCGTCCACACGTCCACTCTGCGCCAGCAGTTGCCAAAGCTCCCTCTGATCTGGCGGACTCAACTCATTGTTTCGAAGAGCCTGCATTACTAGTGCGAGATAGGACTTTCGCTCTCCACTCTGCCAGATCTCTTCTGCTCGAGACACTAATGCCGCTTCGATGATCGCGAGCTCTCCTTCCAAAGTATTTGTCTCGATCAAAAGCTTGGGTGACGGGGATGTAGTAGAGCTCTTGGGTTGCTTCTGGCCCGTAAAGAGTGACAAAGCTTCAACATTGACCTCGGGGTGCGATTTCTCGTGTTCGTCCAGAACGGCCTGATCGAGCGAAGGCAGCTCGGCAGTGTCATCTTCCGAGTCGAACGAAGTAATGTCTTCTGTTGTAACTACACAGTATTTGCCGGCAACGAGTTTGCCTAACAGCTCCGTGATCCGGTTTTCCCGAATCTGCTCCAGGCGCTCCTCAACGGCTTCCGAGTAATTGGCCGGCACGTAGACAGCATGATCTGCCTCAATGCGAATGTCGCCGCCAATCCTCGCGACTACGTCGCTCGCGACCGCTTCAAGAATAGGTAGTGGTACTTGCTGAGAAAGCGCGGCGGGCAAATCGCAAATCTCTGATCCGGCGCTCCCAATTGCATCCTGCAGTCTCTCTTTCAATGTTTCGAGAATCCCTTCACCAACGATGTATTCTTTGCCATCGCCACTGACTCGCTTCCACCTTCGATGTCGCTCCTTGTCGATGAGATTGTCCAGACTTGCAGAGGCAATATCGTGGTCGACCGAGAAAGTGCCCACTTCAACACCAGACTGTCGCACTTCGTCTTCGAGTATATCCAGAATTCGCCTTACATACGGCTCCGGGAGGACCTGCTTCCCATCTTTGCTTTCGTAAACCGGGCCCTTGAGTTGTAGCCATACGAGCTGTTCGGCCTGGCTTTCAATGCCAAGCAAATTCGAGACGCTTGACTTGGGGATCCTTGACTCCCACGTCTGCAGCAAGTAATCAAGCTTGCGGCACGCCTTGTACAGATTGACTAGATGCTCTCCAGATTTGCTCCTGACCAGTGAAGGACGACCGTCGCGGACGGCGAGAGGCTGGAAATTGGCCACCAAGGCTGCGATGTCTGCGGAGGCAAAGACCGACGCCATCTTCTTACATTCCCCGAGTTCTGGCTCAAAAATGGATATTCTTTTGAAGTCTTGTGAGGTTCATGATTCCCTTTTCCGTGAAGTCGTGAATGGTCGCGTGTCATGTGGAAAAGAAGCTGCCTTGCTCGCGTTTGACTTCACATGGGCAACCCGGGCCGGAAACTCGGCCCGACAGGCGCGAACGGGATCATGCAATTCCACCGAAGTATCCCCGACTTCACCTCCCGATACAACCTCACTCCCATCACCGCTTCTCACCTTTCACCATCACACGAAACCATTCGCAAAAGCACCAACATCGCCATGGCTTCCTTCCGCGCCAAACGCCTCGATCTGGGCTGCTTCATCAACAACAAGATCATCCGCGACCACACCAAGCGCAAAGTCTTCGAGACCCACGAGCCCGAACGCCAAGCCCTGCGCTACATCATCCGCAACCTCTCCCTCCCACAGCGCACACGGGCGCAAGCGCAATTGCAACTGGCGCAGATGCACTGCTATACGCGGCCGACGCAGATTCGGAATCGATGCCTGATGGGTGGGAAGGGCAGGGGTGTCTTCCGGGAGTTCAGGATGGCGAGGGTGAGTTTGAGGAGACGCTTTGTTTTTTCGATTGCGAGGACTTCGAAGGGAGCGATGTGCTGATGGTGGGATGTAGTATCAATTCCGGATGAATGCGCTCGAGGGGAGGATACCGGGTGTGCAGAAGGCGAGTTGGTGATGGGTCGATGGAGGAGAAGAAGAATGAGCTCGGATGAAGGCATATTGTACAATGAGAGAAGAAGCAAAGGAATTGAGGCGTTGTTGAGAGCGATGGAAGGACGCTACACAGCTCTGATTGGATACCGTATGGCTTCTGCTGAACATGGCGACTGTCGCAGTGGTCATCGATATCACGGCCCAGCCTGGCCTTGTACAACGTATACGAACATGATTGAAATACTCTATTCATCTCAACCACCTGTACTTCTGAGTGGCTGCGAACAACGGATACCTGCTGACTTATATGAAGCAAACACGTCGCGACTTTCCTAGTGGATGGTCGTTCTCCTTTGGCATATCCCAGCGAAGACAGAGCTCAACAGATCGTCAACTCCCGGATAGTTCATGATTCCTGCCCGCCCCACAACTGTGTAGCCTTTCGTATCGGGCTTCTGGGGACCAGAACCTCTCTCTCAAGCAAAGCATGCACAAAACCGATACAGCCGTCGCTCACGGCCTCGCGAGAGGAGAATCCAGCCGAAACCCGAATTTCGAGCGAAAATCATCGGAACGCGGATGGCCGGAGAAGTCGATTACATCCAAAGAAAGGAACTCCACGACCTAGTGAGAAGTCCAACAGAAGGATATGATCAGACTGTCCTTCGGCATGAACGAGATTTCCTCGCTTGGTTTCCCGCCCTGTGATCGATATGCATTGGAAGGATTTCCTTATCTCCTTGTCCGACTACAGCACTGAGTGGCGTTTTTCCGTCGATCTCAGAATTACCAATTTGGATCCGCGCCGCAGAGAAAGGAGACCCTTGATTGCGGGGATGTCGGTTTGCTAGATGGCGATTTTTGATAGCCGGGCCCGTCAGCCCTCTGCGGGACTTTTCCACGGGGAAGCTCATTGACTCAGAAGAGAAAACATATTGACCGGCGAACAGAAATCCCCCATGGCTGATTCTGATATCAAACCGTGATCCCAGACACGAAGCTAGCTATATAACCTCCAGCCGACCCGCTTCCCACTGCTACTCGGCCGCAGCTGTCTACCATCCATCCATCCAAGACACCACAACCGTACCTCTCGATAAAGTATATGTTTGGCGATTTCTCCACGCCTCAAGGCGCTTGCAGCCCACCGGCTAACCTCGCGAGCAAAAAAAGTCGAATAGGCAGCTGAGAAAGGTTTCCCACGTCATCTTCACCGTCTTGCGTAATCGCTTGTTTCAATCAGACGGGGGCTCATCGTAGTCCTTTTTCCGAAAAAGCCCGACGGCGGAGATGCCCTCCTTTGAAGTCGGCGACTTCGAGAATTCGTTTTGACGATTCCGTGTGGCAAGCTCGTCATTTGCGGCTCTGCCTTTGCTGATTCGATGGGACTGCTGTGCCCACACCCTCATAATTCGGCAATGTCTAAGGACCATCTCGTTTGAGCTAGGCCTCGGTCGTACGGTGAGGGTGATTGTTGAGTGGAGAGGCTTGAATTTTGTGTGTCTTTTGCTGCTGGGTACCTGATCTTACTGAGCTACTGATCTGCGGTATCGTAGAGGTTTGATTACTTAATTACGATCGCATCGTTTGGATAGAGCCGTGGGCAGAAGAGCTACTCATGAACTGGAAAAACATCTAATGAAGAGTACATACGTACCGTACTTCAAGTTTCGGGGAATGGAAATCTAGAGCTCCATGGATCTCGTGTACGTGAAGTTGCTTTGGTACAATTCAACCAGATGATCTACGAGATTTCAGTTCAAGATTGCTCTCCAGAGTCACTGTATCCGGAAAGGAAGTCAATAGATGGCGACTTGTTCCCCTTGCCTGCCTCTGACTGCCGTACAGTCTCTAAGCTTTTCGACGAAGGCTTAGCTGCTCGACTAGGGCCTCCAGAATGCGCTCCTCCAGCAAACCAGTTTGCTAATGCCGGAAGATTTCCCTTGCCTGCCTCTGACTTTCGTCCAGTCTCCAAGCTCTTCGACTTTGGTCCCTCAGCAAACCAGCTCGTCAAGGCCGAGCTCGCCTTGCCCGCCTCTACCTTCCGTCTAGTCTCCAAGCTCTTCGACGAAGGCTTAGCTGCTCGACCAGGGCCTCCAGAACTGTGATCCTCACCGGCAGGACTTCTGTGTCGAACAGGTAGCGCTCCTGCGTTAAGTTTGATTGGATACATTTCACTTTTCATAGCTTGTGGTGCCTCACTGGCCGGGTCAATCTGTTTGCTAGCCTCGTCGCTTCGTGATTTCTCGTTGAAGGCCCGTAAGAGAATCTCCCTTTTGCGCTTGCGGCCGGGCCGGTTGGCCACTTCATGAGGCAGCAGGCCTCTGCCGTCTGTGATCGCTGGATCTGCACCTAACGCAAGTAATGTGCGAACGGCTTTCATGTTTCCAAATTCGGCCGCGTGACCCAAAAGTGTTGACATGTTATCGTCTACCGCGGGCTTGTTGACATCGCATCCGGCTTTGATCAACGATTCAATGACATTCTCACACCCATCCCGTGCTTTCACGGCTTCGAACAAAACGCCACGTCCAGCTTTGTTGGTTGTAGTCAGCGAAACGCCTTGCTCGAGGAGGACTTGCACGCATTCGTTCCGACCCGCTCCAGCAGCGATACAGATCGGTGTTCTGCCCTCGAAGTCTGTTGCTTCTAGACTGGCTCCGCTCTGCAGTAGCTTGTAGATGCTTGTGGGTTTCCCATGCTGAGCGGCAAGATGAACAGCAGTACGTCCGTCTTTATCCTTTGCTTCTATTTTGGCGCCAGCATCCATGAGCACCTGCAAAGCTCCAAGATTAGATTCAATGGTAGCGGCCATGAGGGCAGTCCATCCACGCGAGTCCTGCGCATTGAGGAATCTCTGGGCGCGGGTAAACGTCTTGACCCATGCACCGCAGCCTGACCAAGACGCAGCACCTTTCTGCTCTGAAGTAATTGCACACTGAGGCTTTGTAGCCTCGCTCAACAAAAACTTGACAAGGTCCACGTTGCCACTCAAAGCTGCGCCGGAGAGGGATGTAAAGTCAAACCACCTGCGCGAATCTGGAGGCGCTGTATCGTATGTGGAACCGATCCTGTCATCGTCCATCCAACCTCTGTAGGTAGTGGTAGTCAGAGCTCCATGAGTGACGAGGAGCTTCACCATCTCGATCCGACCATGTCGAGCGGCTGTTGCCAAAGGCTGCGTCTCGAAATATCTTGGCTTGCCTGGCTGTCGAAGAATCCCTTGATAGTGGAGGCGGTTGCAAAGGTCTGCTTGGACGATGGCGAATTGATCGGGCGGTGCGCCATGCTTGAGGAGCTCTGCAAGAATCTCTACATCGTCTTGATGGCAGGCAGCATGTACGGGGGAGCCAATGTAGCCACCTGATCGGTCCGCTCGAGCACCATGTGCAAGCAAGATGTCGATGACATTCCGCCGCGACTTGATCACGGCCAGACACAATGGGCTACCGTATCGAGGACTCAGGGCATTAGCATGGAGCTTGAAGTCCAGAAGCAACTTTACGGTGTCCTCGAATCCCGAAAGGCAGGCATGATGAAGCGCGGTGAGACCATCCGAGTCACAATGATCCCGGTCTGCAAGTCGTTCCGTGATGAGATATGCCACTCGGCTTGTTTCGCCATCTGCAGCTGCGCTCAAGAGTGCTCCATTGGTCTGCGCCTGCTGCAGTACTGCATCCTCCGACTGCCGCTTGACCGTGTAGTTGTACGTCTGCAGGTTGTAGACGTTTCCATTGTGTACACGCGCCTGATGGCGAGCTGTACTGTCGCCAAAGGAAGCCATGCCGACGGGAGACTTGATGGGAAGTGATCGAGATGACGGGTTGATGGTGGCCCACGGCGTGGCACTGCATGCTCATGAGTGGAGACTCAGCTGGCGCCGCCTGCATGCACTCGGCCACATCTCAGCCGCGGCCGCCTGTAGCCTTCTCACGCCAGAAAACCTCATGATAATCATAATGAAGTACGAGCGCTGATGGTGGGAAGTTGGCGATTGTTTCCCGTCCATGTTAAAATTGTCATATCCTTACTGGGAGAAGCCATCCACATGTCGCTCCCACCAGACGCCGTTCACTCGCATCTGGCCTGTCCTGCAATGGAGCATCATGTCATGTCGTGTCATGTCATCTCCTTTCTCTGACCGGGCCGGGAAGAGCTAGAAAGCATCGAGAAAGAAGGGTGAAGACGCAGATGAAGTCGCAGATGAAGACGCAGATAAATGGGATTGATTCACCTCATGAAATGCTCATCAAAAATTGGACGGCAAGAAACGCTCGGACGCATCGATCGTTGGCCTCAGGCATCAATTGCTTGGCGTGATGTTTCCTCTCCGATCCGTATGGACTCTTGTTCTTCACCAACTTCATCACTACTTCATCACTACATCTTCACTACATCTTCACTACATCTTTACTATATCTTCACTACATCTTCACTACATCTTTACTATATCTTCACTACATCTTCACTACATCTACCTGACGACTACATCCGGAAGAGGAACCAAGTTGCGCTTGAGTCCGCGCTTTCACAACATGAATCGGATAATCCTCGCTTGGAAGCGACAGCCTATGCTCTGCTCATACCGGGGACCTGGACTTGGAAGCACGAATGTCCCCTTTGCATGCTCGTGCCAAATTCGCAATGCCCACACCAGCGAACGAGGTCCTGCTTTCACCCAGAAAGACGATGCCTTCATCATCCAACACAAGCACCAGAAAACGCCGGAGCGCGAGATAGCTCGCCTTCTCGGCCGTCCAAGCGTCCTGGCTATCAGGAATCGCGTCAGAAAGCTGCGACAAGCCGGCGAGCTCTCACCAAAAGGGAGACCTGATCCTGTCCTGTGGACTGCTGAAGAAGATGCAACCCTGCTCGCCATGATATTTGCTAGTGTGCCGTACACAGAGATTGCAAGCCGGCTTGGCCGCACCAAAGTTGCCTGCCAGAATCGCGAACGACACCTCGAGGTCAAAGCTTCTCCATCCAAGGATAGCCATGACGTCGATTTCTCCCAAGACGAAGGTGAGCAGCGCAAAGCTCAGCATGCCCCCGACCAAGATCCGCCCCACTCAAACGTGCCGACAAATTCCAGCTGAACAGATCAAGAGCGGTCAGTAATGAAAATATCCACTGAATGAGGAAGAACGGAGAGACCATGTCGCTGGGAGCAGGATTCCTGCTCCGGTGTTCGAGAACGAAGCATCGTCATCCGATAAACGGCAGAGGTCTCTAGCGTACGCCAAAGGGATCGAGCCTCCAAGAACAATCATCAAGAGTGCAAATTCTGGATCCGAACCGCTGTCATCCGGCCAACCATACGCTGTACCCCTCTCGGATCCGAGCATATCACGCAACGCCGAGCCAAATGAGCCGCGAGTCTCATCACCTGTAGAGCAGACTGATGTGAGTAGCTGACCTCTTGCTCAGAATTTCCGCAATATGCACGTGATCTGCGGGACTTTGCCAGCGTCGGAAACAAGGTTTATACTTCACATTTTCACATGCAACCTCAGCTCTCACAGACTGATTCGTTTCCATCCTCTTCCTACGACGGTACCAGCATGCGTGGGTCCATTTCTGTAGGAGAATCTACGGGCAGTGGAAAGGACATCATCGCGATGCTACTGTTACGCAGGAAACGCCGATCGGAGGCATCGGAGAAAAAGTCGGAGCAGTGTCGTGGCATGATTCCCATCACTCCGATGCGGAAGGTTGTGGCGGAATGTCCGAATATCGCCGCAACGACGCTTTAACGCCGTTCACAGAAATCAGCACGCGTGGTGAGTGTGGCGGCTGAACGCGACAACGCTGTGCCAGCGCTTTAACGATTGCCGACACAGTAGCGCGTCCGAGTCATGTGTTGCAACTGCTTGCAGTCGAACTACAGTAGTAGCTCTAAGACAAGGATTCGTAGATGATTGAGCTGTCTGCGAAGGCCGCCCTAGTTTACTTCATCTTGCCACACTGCAGATACAATGATCGGGAACGGTTTACCTGGCACTCTGCCTGAAAGGGACTCCCAAACCGGAATCTCTGTCCTAGTTGTCGGTGGAGGAGTAGCTGGTCTACTGGCTGCTTTAGAATGCTGGCGCAAAGGACATGACGTACGGATTCTTGAGAGAAACACTGAAGCGACTCAAGCAGGTACATGACAACCACCTGGCGCGACGACCAATAGACACTGAGCTGATGGTATTCCATTACTTCAAAGAATTCTACTGACGAATGCGATCTGTCCATGTAGGCGATGTCCTTACGATTGGATCTAGCGCAGTCCGCGCATTGCGACGATGGCCCGACATGTCCAAGGAAAACGATCTCATCTCTTATGAAATGTGGCTCTCCTGGCACAAGATCAATGGAGACCTAATCTCTGGTCCGGCGCCTTTCCGCCCAAACTTCGACCCAGAAAAGCATGCTGGATACAAAGATGACTTGGAACCGCGCCCGAAAGTCTATCGACATCGCCGACACCATCTCCACAAGATGCTGACGGATCAGGTGGAGCGAGCGGGGCTCACGGTGGAATATGGCAAGAAGGTACTCCGGTATGAAGAGGATACAGAACATGACAAAGCATCTGTGGTGTTGGAGAATGGAGAGAAGATCGAAGCCGACGTGATTGTAGCTGCAGACGGTATCGGGAGTAAGTCTGGGCCTATCACTCTTGGATATGAGGTTCGAGCGAAGCCTACGGGGTATTCGATGTACCGGGCACTGCTTCCTGTCGAGCAAGCTACCGCTGATCCCGAAGTTGCGGAAAAGTTTCCTATAGTGGAAGAAGGAGGGGCTTTGAACCAGATGTGGATGGGGTTCGCTCGCATTCCATCATCATCACGAAAGGCTCATTGGCTGATTCAGCTCGCAGTGACGGTGTCTTTGCACTTTTTGGAAGAACACAGACGGATATGATATGGTATCTCACATATCCGGTACATGAACCCTGCTCTGACAGCCCTAGAAGATAAGGAGCATCGTCTCACTGACCACACCCACCAGAACCGCGGCACAAGCGAAGAATCCTGGTCCAACGTCGTCTCCCCCGAAGAGGTTCTCCAAACAACATCCTCCATAGACGGCTGGCCGGAACTTGCCAACCGCCTGATCCGAAACACCAGAAAGGACCAAATCCACAATTTCAAACTCATGTGGCGCGACCCTCAGCCCTGCTGGGTCTCGCCCGGGGGACGAGTAGTCCAAGTCGGCGACGCAGCGCACACCTTCCTCCCTTCTTCGGGCCACGGTGCGACGCAGGGAATGGAAGACGCCGTCTCCCTGGCCACGTGCCTCAGAATGGCCGGAAAGGAAAACATCCCCTGGGCAACAAGAGTCCACAACAAACTCCGGTCCGTCCTCTCCTCCTCCCCTTCCTCTCCCCTCATCCTAACCCCCCTCCTTCCTTCCAAACAGTTTCGAACGCGTCTCCATCCTCCAACTCCTCGGCGTCCTCAACCAACAACTCCGCAACAAAACCGCCCACGCCGACGAATCCCAAACGAAACCCATCGGAATCCTCGGCAGTTGGATCTGGCGTCACGATCCGGAAGCATACGCGCGCGAGAATTTCTTCCAGGCGTGGGCGGCTTTGAGGGATGATGGGGGGCAGGGTTTTGAGAATACGAATATTCCCCCCGGATATACGTATCAGGCTTGGAGTATTGATGAGATTTTGGCGGGGAAGAAGAGGATGGAGATGGAGGGGGATTGGGATTGATTGGTTGATTGATCGATACTACTACTTACTATAGACTCTGCTAGGATTTGGATTTCTGAGAAATTTAGCACGCATGATTTTTGCGATTCCGGTGCTGGCTCGACGCGTGTGTTGAACAAGTTTTTACTTTAACCACGATAAGTTATTCTTCTTTCAGTGCGGAACGACATGTTAACATGAAAATATGGCAAGAGAAATGCGACGAGAAGTGAGTACATAGATTTCGAACGTATTCATCATTTCATATTATCCCTCCGTTTGTCCCAGGCGCCATACCACCACTGTGCATACGAGCGCGCCATGTCGTGTGCTGTGGCGTCGTGGTCTTCTCTTGTCAGTTACAAGACAGAAGCGTCAGCTTGCGCAGGCAGGGAGCCGCTTCATCGACAACGACACACAGAACGTCCTCTTGGAGTCGGTGTCCGACCGGGACCAACGGGAGCAGCTCCGGTCGTTAACGCGAGGCGCTGCTTTCGCGCTGCGTTTCAACCTATCACCATGATGCCACAGTCGATGCATCTTCTTTTCTCCATTGCCGCCTACCGCGTTGCTTTACTTCGACGGCGGTCCCTTGCGCAGGACGGGCGACACGAACACCTCATCGTGCCCCGTAAAAGTAACTTCCACGCCCTTGGGCATGCCCATCGCGCGAGCCCTGCGCATCCACTCCGCGGTAGGCCAGGCTTCAACCGGCCCGCCCAGTTTCGCCTGATACATGCCCGCGAGATCGGACAAGAGGAAGCGGTTGGCACTACAGTAATGATGCACCGCAAAGTCCTCCTGCTTGGCGCCGCCGCCGCCGAAAGCAAAAGCATTGGCGACGAAATCGGGCACCACGTCGGAGACGTCGAGGATGTCGAGGTGGCCGATCCATTTCTTGGGGTCGAGGGCGGGGACGGCGCGCATCTTGGTACAGTAGCGGTCGAGAGCCACGAGGGGGATCTCGTCGGGTGCGTCTGGGCCCATGATGTTGGGGAAGCGGTGCACGACGGTCGGGGGGCCTTGTTCGGACTTGGCCGCGTGTTCGAGCAGCAGTTCGCCCATCCATTTGCTTGCGGCGTAGCCGATTGCGTTGCCCATCAGAGACTCAGCGTCCGTCGGTGGCGAGATACCGGAAGGTGGGATCTCTGGCAGTTCATTCGAGTCCTTTTGAAGCATCGCCACTGACGACGAGGAGATGAAGTGGACCGGCACACCGCGTGGCCGAGCCATGGCAAGGAGAATCTGTGTCGAGATGACGTTGGGTGTTCGGACCGCCTCGTAGGATTTGAGGTGATTCACTTCGGCTCCAACATGGATGATGAGATCGGCCGTCTCCGCGAGCATGACGAAGTCATCGATGAAAAGGCCTAGGAGAGGCTTGGACAGATCGCCCTTGTACTCGCGGATCTTGTCGTCCTGCACACGAACGCCACGCGACCGGATACACAGGCAGTGCACTTCGGCAATGTCAGGATCGGCGACCAAGCTGCGGATCATATGCGTGCCCAGGAAACCGGTGCATCCCGTAAGAACGACACGGCGGTTTTGGGTTCGAGGCGGCTCGCGCGACTTGACGATGCCGGGTGGTACGTGTGGGTTGATGCCCTCGAGGAGCCGGTTCAGTTCCTTGGTCCAGTCCATTTCCGGTCCCTGAGAGACCTTCTTGTCAGCACCAGCATCCTTTGCAGAAGCTCCGCCTTGAAGTTTGCGCCAACCGGCAAGGGCATCCTCGCACAAACGTGCAATAGATTGGCCCGCCGCCATGATCTTGAGAATTGGCACTTCGACACCGAGCTCCTTCAAGAACCACTCGCGGACACGGACAGACACTAGAGAGTCAACTCCAAGGTCTGATACCGGTGCGTCACCAGCGATCTTCTCTGGATCAAGCTGGAGCATATTGCCCAGTGCCTTGGCGAAACACTTCTCCAGAACTCCTTGAGCCTCTTCCGCCGAAGCTGCAGCCAGCTGGGCGTCGACTTTGACGTTCGCACCATCCTCTGCTACCTCGTCGCTGTCATCTCCCGCGCCCTCCTGTGCGAGATAGCAAGACAGGCGAGGATCCTCATGCCACGGCTCTGTAAAGGTTGTTCGGACTCCCGTGATGAGCTCTGCCGGCTGTTCGGAATCTGGCCGCCCACAAACGATGGCCTCCGCCAACAATTCGTGCAAATCAGTCTCAGCTTGTCTCTCCAGACGTGGCAACAGAGACTTTTCAATTGCAGCGAGGTGTTCCCTTTCCGAACGGAAGATATAACCAAGTCCAGTCAAAAATCCAATGACGACGGAGGAGCCGGGCAGTCCGCGGGCGCGACGCTGCCGCACGAGACTGGCCATGTAGTGGTTTGCGGCACTGTATGCCGATTGACCCAGAATACCAACGAACGAGGTCGCTGAAGACAAGACGATGAAGAAGTCCAGCTCGTTGCGGTCTGCAAAGACTTCGTCCAGGTTACGGGTTCCAAGGACCTTCGGAGCAAGCGTGGCGTTGAAGTCATCCCAGGAGATGTCGACGAACAGGCGATCACGAAGCACCATGGCACCGTTGATAACACCTCCGATTGGTGGCAAGGCGATTTTGATATTGTCAATGGCAGCTTGCAAGGCCTCTCGGTCCGTGACATCGACCTTCATGGTGCGCAGTCTGGCTCCCTCCTGAGAGAAGAATTCGAACACGCCGGCTGGCACACTCGGATTCCTGCTGGCCAGGACAACGTGCTGGGCGCCATTGTCTACCATCCATCGAGCAACGGAAATGCCAACATCTCCGGTCATACCGAAGAGCAGGTAAGTCCTGTGCGCAGAGAAGAGGTCGCCATGATCAAGGGGTGGCACCGAGGTGCTGACCTCGTGGGCAGAGGACCAATCAACCACGACCGAGGAACCCATCCCAGTACCCGTCGTCTCTGATACTCTGCTGATGGGTAGTATTCCATTTGAGAGGCCCAAAGATCTGATCTCAGCATCGTTTTCATCATGGTCATCGTACTCGGAATGATCGAGATCCTCCTCGTCTTCCTCATCGGGTACTGTGAAGGTCTTTGCTGCAAGCTTGCTCAGCACCACACGGTCCAGCGCAATTGTAAGATCATCTTCGACCTGGCAATCGACCATCGCAGACTTCGGCAAAGAAGCACTCAGCAGCGCAGAGAAGGTTTTGTTCTGCGAGGCTTCTAGGTCGATGAGCGTCTCCACGCCCTTTGGTCGCAACGATCGCACATCACGCTCACTGCTATAGGGGTGAATGAAAATCTGCTCGTCGTCATTGGCGGAGGTCGAGTTGGATGTTGTCTGGTACACCTTGATATCTTGCTCGTCGGCGATGTGGGCAATGGCCTGACTGAGATGATTGGAGGCACCATGGACCCAGATAGGACTCTTGGCATTGCCGAGGAGCTGCGTTGCCATTGCCTGGGTCGCGAAGTAGCGGAGACGTGCGGCGTCTTTGGAACCGTCTTCGCTCTCGGGGACCTTGCTTGACATGCGGTATACAACACTGGTTTCGTTGATGGTGATTGCAGAGCTATTTGTGCTCGAGAGGCCGATGATCTTATCTCCGGATGCCGCATCGCGACCAATGCACACGTACATGTCCGAGAAGAGAGGGTGGAGAGAAGACGCTGTGACCTTCAGAAGCACTTCGCCTGCCTTGACCGGCTTGCTGACGGCATGATGCAGAAGTTCGAGTGCGCTGTCTCGTTTGCTGAGCTCAATCGCAGCTGTCGGAGACTCGAGGCTGGTCGACTTTGTAACTTTTCGGATCCTTGCGAGAGAGCGTTGATTGATGAAATCAAGAGGGAGGACTCTGGGCACATAGAATGCCCCATTCTTCACGGCCAGGTGCGGCTCGTGGGTCCAAAGAATGTCATCCGAACTGCTGGGGGATACGGTAAGTCGCAGGAGAAGATTTGCCGCCGTGGACGCTTCGAGAGACTCTGGGTTGTCGACGTCCAGGAATTGCAGCTTCAGCTCACTGCGCTCTGCCAGTAGAGTACGTCCTAGACCAACAGTGATATTCGCCAAAGGCTGCTTGCCAGACGCCGCTCCTGATGTCACCCAGAGCACAGTGCCAGCATTGCGGAACACGTTTTGCATGGCGTCAAATCTCTCCTTGCTCATGCTGCCAAATACGGGCTCCTCCAGATCGGCGAGGCAGAGCACTGCTGCTCCATATGGAACGCCAACGCCCTCAAAGTCGCCATGCTGGCTGACAGAAGCACCGCCGACGCCAGCGAGCAAGGTCCTCGACGTGGAAGCAAGTTCTGAATCGCCAATGACAAGCACTCTGTCCAGCTTCGATAGCGCTGCTGGATTCGAAGCCGCAGCAGCAAGCGGGTCACGTAGGGTTTGGACAGTCTCGTGGACGGCCTGGGACATGATCACCGAACAGTAAGACGGCGTTGAGCTGGTGTCAACTCCGGAGAAGCCGGTCTTCTTGAGCAAAGAATCCCATTGGTTGAGGTCGATGGTGGGTGCCCAAACACGGCCATCCTCGATACCCAAGAACCAACCCGGAAGTGTGCCCATGAGGAGCTGGATTGGCAGATGGTCGCGGGTGATTTCCAGCAGCATCAAGTATCCACCAGGACGAAGCAAGCGACGAGCGTTGGTCATAGTCTCCTCCAGTCTACTGGTAGCGTGGAGACAGTTCGAGGCCAGGATGAAGTCGTATGAACCCGGCTCAAACCCTTGCTCCTCGGGGTCCTTCTCGATGTTGAGGGTCTTGAACACCATGCGGTTGGCGTGTTGGCTGAATTTGGCCTTGGCCTGCTCGAAGAATCCAGCCGAGATATCTGTGTATGTGTACGAGGTGTATTGATCCCCAAGTCCGGAAAACACGGCCTTGGTCGTTCCACCTGTTCCAGCGCCAATTTCGAGCACCTTCATACGCGGATAGCGGTGTGCCAGCTGCTTGACCAGAGTTTCAAAATCTATATTACCATCGGTGAAGCCAACACCTTCCATGTAAAGCTTGTCCAACATGCCATCCTTCAGCATGACTTGAAGCGCAGGCATAGTCCCACGGGCGATGGCTGGCAAGTTCTCTCCGACAGCATTCAGAATTCGTATGTCGTTGTTACCGGCCACCACATAGGGAGCGCTCCATTTCTGCACGTCCTCAAGTGTGTCCTTGGCCCACTCAAGAGGGATGTCGGGATGCTTGCCCGCATCAATTATCGGGAATAGATGATCTCGCACCCACTTCATCATGTGTTTCCGATGCTTGCCCATAAGCATTAGCTCCAAGGGCTTGATCATGTTTTTCAGTCTTCGAAGCCAGAAATGGGCCACACGAATGAGGAGAATGCGGAGATCGTCCTCTTTGGGAGTCAGCTTGGTCTTGAGCCCGGGCTCAATGCCAAACGCTGGATCTCTCAACCAGGTCTCCCCTGCATAGACCCAGCGCTCCAGTGCTGGTTCCAGAGCGGTCCACTGCACACCACGCATCTGTACCTCGACAGTATCATCTGTCGCGTTAAACAGGTCGACATCGCCGGTGAGAGCTTTGGCGTCCGCAAAAGTCAAGTAGCTGTCCGACTTCAAGGAGCTCGATGCTGCAGAAGAGGACATGGTGATTCGCACGCAATCAACGCCTGTGGGAAGATACACTGTCTTGAGTCTGCCGTCCTCGGGATAGGAAAATCCAGCCAAAATGCCTTGAATCGCCGTGTCAAGTGCTGCGGGATGTAGCGAAGCACGCGAAATGGTGCTGGGCTGTGGGAGATCTGGCATGGAAACGACAGCGTGATGGAGGTGGCGGTCCACGGAGCCTGACTTGAAATGCCCCGAGTAGTTATAGCCCACCTTGTTGAGGGATGTGTAGAATTGCTCCATGTTCAGGGTGTCCATTGGTAGCAGGGGCTTTGTGCGAGAAGGCAAGGCCCTCTTGTGGGGTGGACCAAGCAGGATTCGGACGCTCGCACTGAAGTGGTTTGTCAGGCCTGCTACAGGGCCATCGAGCTTGGACACGTTGACGTCGCCACTGTAGCATGCCACTTCAGCGGTGATACAGCTTGTGGACTGACTCGTCACTTTGATGGTAAAGACGACTTCAAGACCTGGAGAATCTTCTTGCAAGCTCATGGCACGCACAATCTCGACATTGTGTAGCTCAACCAGATGTAGAGACTTCTGGTCATCGGCAAGGCGGACGGCAGCTTCGTAAGCCATTGTGAGGTAGGCGGTCGCTGGGAATAGAACCTCGCCCTGAATGGTATGTCCACGGACCCACGGAAGCTCCCTGGGCTTGAGAACTTGGTGCCAATGGACTTCTCGCTTATCCTGTTCACCGAGCACAGCTGGAAATCCGAGAAGCTCGTGGCGACTTTGATGCTGCTGGGTGCGGAACTTGTGGGAGGCTCTTGACTCACGCCAAATGAGGCCGTTGTGGTCGAATGGATATGGCGGCAGACCCTTGAGGATCGCGACATCCTTTGATATGCCTTCTGAGAACGCCGCATGGATGCTGTCGAAGGTGATCATAGGTCGCTGCATAGGGAATGAAGTCCAGAGAAGACCCAGACCGTCAAGAAAAGCTTCCACCGCACCCTCACCACGCTTGCAGACACTGCCATATGGGAGCTTCACGCCAGTAAAGGACTTGATCACCTCGGAAGCTGGTCCTTTCAGGGCTGGATGAGGTCCGACTTCAAGCGCCAGATCCAGGACGTACGGTTCCTCGGACACAGCTCTGCTGACTGCTTGGGAGAACTGCACCGTGTTAGTAAGATTGTCCACCCAGTACTGGCCTGCGAGCGCTTCCCGCTCGTCCTCCCAGGAGCGACTCCGGCCATTGGCGCCCCAGACGCTGGAGTACCATCTACATTCTCTTGAGCCATCGCGAACGGAGACTCCGCACTTGCGCAGGGACGCCAAATAAGGCTCCGCGCAAGGAAGCATGTGGTGAGAGTGGTATGCCTTATCGACCGCCAATAAACGAGCAAAGGTGCCTTTCTCGTCTAATAGCTTCTTGGCATCCTCAATTACATCTTCGTCTCCCGCCAACGTACAGCTAGTTGGTGAGTTGCTGGCAGCCACCTTCAGCTTCTCAGCGCCAATCTCTTTGCAGGATTCTGTTGCTTGCTCCAAACTCATGCCAACCGCCATCATCTTGCCGAGCTTGCCACCAGTGCCCTGAGCAAGATGAGAGTGAAAGCCTCTGTAGTAAGCGGCCCGAATGGCATCTCCAGCGCTCAGGTATCCCGCAGCGTATGCAGCGCCGATTTCTCCAGACGAGTGTCCTACTACTGCAGCAAATTTCACTTCAGCTGCATGAAGCGTATCTACGAGAGCGACTTGAAGCGCTGTGCAGAGCGGCTGCGAGAAAGCCGCTAATCCAATCCTTGAGCATTCCTTGGGCGCAGAAAGCTCGTTTATGATCTTCCAATCCGGCCGGTCGCCTGCAGGCAGCGTATCGAGACTCTCCTGCAGCCGGTCCAGAGTTTGACGAAACACTGTTGATGTCTTGTAAAGCTGAATACCCATTGTAGGCCACTGCGCTCCCTGTCCGGTGAAGACTCCCAATATCCGGGGTGGAAGGGCGTCAGGAATCGCTGCAGTGCGCGGTGTGTTCTTGAGACTTTCCGTGGCGCCATCAAGTTTGTCAGCCAGTTGGACAGTGGAGGTGGCTGAGAATGCACTTCGGAACGGAAAGTCAGCTCTCTGAAACAGTGTGCGTGATAGCCGACCGAGAGGTATATCTCCATGCTCCAAGACGTAGCCCGCCAGTCGAGCAGCTTCGGCCGACAGAGCCTGAGCCGAATTTGCAGAGAGGACGACCAGCCCGGCCTGATTCGCCTTCGATACTTTATCATCCTCCGCATTCTCGCCATCATAACTTTCGATGATGGCATGGGCATTTGTGCCGCCGAACCCGAAGCTGTTCACGCTGACCCGGCGAGGCTGACCATTCGAGAGCGCAGGCCAGGGTATTAAGGATGTTGGAACGCGGAGCTCGTTAGCAAATGGCCGTATCTTAGGGTTGAGGTCGCGGAAATGTAAGTTGGCAGGAATGTGGCCGTTCTGGACCGCCAGTGATGCCTTCAGGACACCAGCAAGACCTGCAGTGCCCTCGGTGTGACCAAGTACGGTCTTGATCGAACCGACCCAGAGCTTCTGATCGTCGGCGCTAGATTTCGAATCGGGGAAGAAGGCGTCGTGAATGGCTCGCGCCTCGATAGCTAAAGCATACAATCAGTCTTCCGAAAATGCCTATTTTTGCATATGGAGTGGCTGCATACGGTCACCTGCTGGTGTACCAGTACCGTGGGCCTCGAAGAATTGCGGGCGATCGCGTACTGGGTCCAGCCCGGCTTTGGCATATGTGTCTCGTATTAATTTGGTCTGTGCAGATGCACTCGGCATTGTAATACCTGAATTTACAGATCAGCAAGGCGAGAACGACAGTGCTAGTAAGGGCATTGAGAATATCGCACCTGGCGTTCGGCCATCAGAGTTGACACCGGTTTCCCGTATTACACACTCAATATGGTCGCCATCTGCCAATGCTTGGCTCAGAGTCTTAAGCACGACAGCGGCGAAGCCCTCGCCTCGCGTGTAGCCATCAGCTGAAGAGTCCCACATGTAAGATCGTCCATTTGGCGACAACATGTTCAACTAACATTAGGAGGGAGCATCAGCCTTTCTATAATGGACATCTCACAATCATTCCCTTGGAGCAATGCACATACCATTGATTCTGCGATGTATGGCTCAGGTCCAAGGATGAGATTTGTGCCTGCGGCAATAGCCATGTCTACTTGACCGCTGCGAAGCGACATGACTGCTTGGTGCAGTGCCACGAGCGACGAAGAGCAGGCAGTGTCGAGAGTCATCGATGCACCTCTCCAGTCGTAGAAATATGACACGCGGTTAGCCAGGATTGCGGTAGAAGCGCCCGTCGCGTGGTATTGCGGTAGGCTGTCAACGCCTCTCATTGCAATATATTGGTAGTCAAAGCTCATGGCTCCGACAAAGACGCCTGTCGACGATCCTCGAAGCTGTGGCATGGAGTAGCCAGCTGCTTCCACGCCCTCGTAAACGATTTCAAGAAGACATCGTTGCTGAGGATCCATTGCCTCGGCCTCCTTCGGCGAGATGTTGAAGAAGTCGCGGTCAAAGGCCCGGGGGTCATCCTGCAGGAGATAGGCATGCTTCGCATTCGTACTCTGTCGATGCAAGGTTAGTGGAAGTTGTTGCCTCTGCCGGACCCATGATAATTTTTCTTCTTACCCCATGGTACAGGGGATCTGGGTGGTAGAAAGCCTTCGAATCGAACCGACTGGGAGGCACTTCTTGCACAACATCCCGCGGTTCTTTCAGAAGACCCCATAGCTTCGAAGGTGAGCTGGCGCCGCCTGGAAAACGACAAGCACTTCCGACTATGGCAATTGGCTCTTGCATGGGCCTGACATCTGATGCTTCTCCCATTATGGAGATCACTGTAAATGTTGATGCTGTAGTCAGGCTAGACGGGAAAGTTGATGCAGAGTTACAGATGATACCTGGGTGCGAGCATGTTATGTCAAAGAGCAAGAGCAAGAAATGACAGTTCACTCAACCACTGCCGCCAACAAGAGGCGTGGCTCCGACAATTGCGTGGGCGTGTCGCTCGTACCTCTCGTCTCGGTCTCGGATCGGCAGCACTATAAAGCTAGAAGCCCCAGTGCTCCGGTCGGTTCCCGATTCCTTCTCCGGATATCTGAGTAAGACAACATAGTGGCATAGTGTGCTACCGGCGAAATAGCGTGAAATGCAATGCAGCATATGGAGAATGAACTTACACATTCCATAATCGTCCATACTACCTTTCTATAAGCGCCCCACTAAGCCATCCAGCGGACGACTCACAACCCAGGTCTACCAAAATGCAAGCGGGCGCGACGAAAATGAAGGCTCTCGTTGGTGGCGACGCTGGTGGCTACCGGCTTGCCGAAGATGTCGACATTCCTGCTCCCAAGCCTGGCGAACTGCTTTGCCGTGTGTATGCGGTAGCTTTGAGCCCATACGATGCCAAGATTGTCGACTTCTCGAATATACCCGGCGCAGTCGGCGGCTGTGATTTCGCTGGAATTGTTGTCAAGTTAGGCGAAGGGGTGACGCGATTCAAGGAGGGCGATCGCGTCTTTGCGGTGACATTCGGGCTCAACCCCTCAGACAAGACAGCGGGTGCTTTCGCCGAGTACGCTCTGGCAACAGAAGACCTCAGCTGCCATGTTCCGGAAAGCTTGTCTTGGACTCAGGCAAGCTCAATGGGTCTGGGTATAGCTACTGCTGGTCTTGCGTTGTTCCAAGCCCCGGGCCTGGAGCTGGACCTTGCGCATCTCAAGTCGGCGGATGCCGAGAAGAGACCATACGTTCTCGTGTCGGGTGGCGCGACAGGCACTGGAACCATGGCCATTCAGTTCCTGAAGAGGTGAGTGAAGGAAACCAGCTCAAGCCGCGCCAAAACGGTCCCAAGCGTAGGAGACCTCTCGACTGACTCTGCTCTTGCATCCAGTGCCGGCTACACGCCCATCGCGACATGTTCGCCTGCCAACAATGCCCTGTGCAAATCCTATGGTGCTGAAGCCTGCTTCGACTACAACTCAGCGACGTGTGGCGCCGATATCCGCGAACACACCAACGACAGCTTGACCCATATCTTTGACTGTGTGACCGACGCTGCAACGATGAAGATGTGTTACGCAGCGATGAGCTCTTCCGGCGGCCGGTACATTGCTCTCGAAGCCCTCTCTTCGATTGTCAAATACACGCGACGAGACGTGCGCGCGGACTGGCTCATGGCTCCTACGATTACAGGAGCCCCGGTCCAGCTACCGGGCTCATACGGTCGTCCGAGGACACAGGAACATCGAGAATTCGGCAAGAGGTTGTTCTCGCTGGCGGAGGAGTTGGTGCAGGAGGGGAGGATCCGGAATCATCCTGTTGAGGTTCGGGAGGGTGGCCTGGCGAGCATCCCTAGATATGTTAACGATTTGCGGCTTGGATACGTGCGAGGTAAGAGACAAGTCGTTCCGCTGGTCGCGTAGTAGATGACCGAGGTGGAAGCATCTTCATCGAGACGATGTATCGAGATAGAGAAAGTAACCTAAGGTGGTTCGCGCTAAATTCATGTCACGTGGCGTCGTGGGAGCTTCGTGGCGAACTCTTTCCGACTTCAGCTCTTCCCCGTCTACAATCTACCTCCTCACAATCCAACGCATCAGACGGATGTTGCATTTCTCCCTGCTTCCAAAGGATATGATTCGCTCTCCCGCCGTCCTGAAGGCCTCGCAAAGCAAGAGACGACACTATGCACCACCACGGTCACATGTGCTGACCCGCATGTCGTGCCCAGAAAACCCCCCGGAGAACAACAGTAACAGCTCCAAGTTACAGCCGTTGTTGACACGGCTGACACATTGTTGGCCAACGAAGTGTGAATAGCTCGACTCGAAGTCGGCTGTGTAGTCGGTGTCTTACTTGTCTTACTTTGTAGTATTACTAGTGCTTCACAGCGCCGGTTCCGAAGTCCCTAGTCAACAGGTATCGCCGGCGGCTCCTCAACGAGTGGTCTTCGATGACACTCTGCAGAAGCGAGTGGAGCCTTCTCAGAGGCGTGCTGTGGAGTATTAGACCCGGCAGACCGCATGAAATGTCACGAAGGTTTTGGTGTCCTTGTCAACTTAGTCGTGCTGCAAGCCCGCCGCCGAAGTCGCTCTTTCACAGTACAGTAACGAGACATCTCTCAGACGGATCAATACCACTCGCTTAAGCAGCGATAAAACAGAAATTAGAAGAGCAGAGCACACGCGTTCCAACGCGTTCCAACAGCACCGCAATTTGGTAATCAGGACCACTATCACGACTGTCGCTACATCAATTGTCAACAATAATGGCGGAGCGAAGAGACGTAGAGTTCAAGACCCTCAGGCGTGTCACCTTGCGCGGATGGCTATTTCCGAGCGAAAGACGAGGACCGGGGATCATCATTTCTGGAGGGGTATGTCACTCTGCACCTTGTCGAACATGTTCGCGAAGCGGTTTCGATTTTGTACTTACGACAGCCGTCCAGTTCAACATGCCCAAGGAGGTCGCAATACCCGACATCGCCCAATGGTATCAGAAACGAGGTTTCACAGCACTCATATTCGACGGATACGGCATGGGCTCCAGTGATGGTGAGCCCAGAAATGATGTGAGTAGTGATGCTCTCTAGTTCTATTGATTGTTTCTAGACCCTTGCTAACCTTAACATAGACCGACCCGAACCGACGAGTCGAAGACTTCATCGACGCCGTGACCTTTCTTTCCCAGAACCCCCTCGTCGACCCCGCAAAGATTGTTCTCTGGGGCCTCTGCTTTGACGGAAACATGATGCTCGCCACGGCAGCGACGGACCGCCGCGTCGCAGCCGTCGTTGCTCTTGCGCCTATGATTGACGTAACCGGGGACCCTGAACGTCGCGAACCCATCCTCGAGCTGGCCCTGGCGGACCGCGCAGCACAGCTGGAAGGGGAAGAACCCATGTATCTACCCATGATCGACGAAGATGGCGTGATGCCGTTGGGCCAGAAGACCGGCCTCGGCTTCTTCTCCACCGTCGAGCAAATGAACCTGCCCGTCGAGAACCGCGTCACCGTGCAGAGCTTCATGCGGGTCGCGAACTGGGAGATCTGGCACCTCCTACCCAAGATCAGCCCGACACCGGTCATCATGGTCACACCCGAGAAGGATCAGGTGTACCCCATGACGAAACAGACGGAAGCTTTCGAGATGCTGGGAGAGCCGAAGGAACAGCATGTCATTCCAGGGAGAGATCACTTCGACTGGATGTTCGGAGACATGGACGGCGTTTTCCAAAAGCAGCTAGATTTTCTGGCGAAGCATTTGGCGCTGTGATCAGCAGAGAACCACTTTGACTTTATCGATGGCGTTTCGAGACACGTGTGGGAGCGTAGGAACGCCGATGATAACCGGGCGAGAACGATGACAGACTCAGCAGTCTTGGATGACATGATTCAAGAGCATGGATGGCGTGTGAAAACCACTTGCTGATATTTCCAGACAGCATATCATATCTAGATATCTAGATGCAGAGAAAAGTACATAATGTTCGTGGACGTAAAAACTTTTTGGCATCTCGAGGTCTCTCCGAAAACCTCTTCCATCCCCATAAAGAGAGCCTATCTGTACTGGTCGAGGCCCGATTTCCATCTTCTCTGCTCATCACAACTCCCACTGCGCTGAAATATCGTTTCTCATCTCATTTCAGGCATTTAACCTCTCCTCCATATGTGTCTGCAACCGCTGAATTACCCGCCTCAACCGCTCATGCTCACTCGGCAACTTCCTCATCAAATCCTGCGCGAAATCCACAAACCGCGCCGCCGCCGGGGGGCCCACGCCCACGCCCTCGCTGCTGCCTTGCTCTCCTTCCGCATCCGGTGTGGGCTCTTGCACGGGCAAATGTGTGATGGAAGGGAGCCTTTCCGCCGTTGCAGGATGTGATGAAGCGTGTGATTTCTCGCTTGCGATCTGGAGACTCCGGTCCAAGCGGTTGACCAGGTGCATGATGAGTTGCAGCACCATGACGAATTGGGCGTAGGAGGCTTCGTCGCCGTGGATGGCGGGCTGCAGCGCACGCTGGGGCTCGGAGGCCCCGGCTACGAAACCCACTAAGCGCTGGATGGAAGCGCATATGGCCCGGAATAGGGCGAGGACGTGCTGGTGCGAAGCTAGGGCGAGGAAGATGAGGCCGTATCCGGTTGCGTGGTGGAAGTCGCGCTCATCGCCGGGAGGAGAGGTGGTGGTGGTTGGGGAAGAGGAGGAGGAGGAGGAGGAGGACGAGGTGAATCTCGCCAACGGAATATTGTTCACGATTTGGACGAGAGCGTTTGCCGTTTCGAAGGCTTCGTTGATCTCCGGGGAGTTGACCATCAGCGGAAGACTGCGGCCGGAGTTTCGGTGGAGTTGGCGGGTCGCCCGGGAGGCACGTGTGTTCACAGCCGTCACTTGCGCGATCAGATCATCGATCGCCGTGCCCTCGCTCTCGTTCCGAGAAGAGGCAGAGGCAGAAGCAGACGAACTACCGGTAGAGGAGGCCTCTTGGGTTCCAAAGTACCCTTCACCGCCGGAGCCATCCTGCATGCCGGCGTCGGGGGTTTCATTCGGCTTTGGTAGAGCTGGGGAGATCGACGACGGGCTCGCATGGGCGGCGTTATCCCAGCTGTAGAAATCTCCGTCGTCGAATTCTGGAATGTTCATCTCTCCCATGTCCAGTATAGGCATTGGGATGTCCCCAAAAGCGGCGCCTAGCCCGTGATCGCTACCGCTTGATCCAGACAAAACGCCATGAAGGTCTTGTCCAAAGGAAAAGGTTCTCGATGCAGGCGAGCCGACGGCAGCCGTCTCTCTTCTTATGCGATTGTAGGAGCTTGTTCTCCCCTTTCTCTGCTTTGCTGTACAGCGATTGGTCAATGACTGAGCCTGGCCAAGAGAAGATTGTTCGAGATGTGTCCATCACATACAACTGTAAACACAAGGGGCATCTGCCTTGGCGCATCGCTCACAGATAGCATCGTCCGCTGAAGTCTGTGATTCGCCTCCAACTTTTAAGCAGCGCACCTTTTGCTGGCGACAACGGTCGCAAGAATGCCGGAGGGAGCCTGAGGCCGTAGAAGAAAACATGTTTCTGCGAAAGTGTGCAATCGCACGGAAGATGTAAAATGATGAACCAGAAGCCGGCTAGCTGATAATTCATATGGAATCCTTTGGAAGGCAGAATTTAAAACCTTAATACCTTACATGGTTCAGCCCTCTGATCGCTTCCCCCAACACAGCCAGGGTGTTTCGGGTATTTAATGGCGAGCGATCGCCTACTGATCTACAGGTTGTTAGCAGCACACCTGGCGGGTCTGATACCCCTCCTAGGTGCTGGTGGACATCAAGCGATCCGAGAAACGCATTCTCTAATTCCATCTCGCTCGACATGGCACCTCCTGCAGAAATTGTGGTGCGACTTTGAGCGAAGGACAGAGTATTCTTAGACAATGGTGCTGACAGGTACTGCTGGCGATCCAGTGGTATCTCACGCTCCAACTAGCGCACTGAGCTTAGGTATTTGCGAAAGGTACTCACCGGGTACAACTTTCCACCGGAATGGCCAAGGTTCAGAATCGATGATGATCTCGCCAAGACCGGATCAAGTCGAGCTGAGACAGCTGCATATGCTTCTACAAAGCATACTCTACAAATTGGTCTTTCTGTTTTGTGTGTCGTACCAAGAGTATGTTGCCAGTATTTGTGTAAAGAGAATCTGTCACCGCACAACTCGGAGACTCTTGGCATCTCATGATACGCCCACGCTAGGCACCTTGAGGTACCATACCGTAATAAGGTAGTTATTAGGGAGGTAGGTACGTACCGACTGTTAAGGTTAGTAGCTACCGAGGGTGGGGCAACCTTATCTCAGCAACCTCCCGTCCGATGCGAGCCCGAACCCGAACCCTATTCCCACGACACTTTCCTCTCCTGCCAGCCCTCACCTGGTTCTTCAGCAAGGCTTCGTGCATCCCGCCGCCTTTCCCCTTGCGGCCCCTCAGGACTTCGTGATGAAGATCAGGCTGTCACAGCTCGACTCATCGTACTTGCGGATATCCCGAATCTTCAGCCCGACCTGTCGCTCCACCAGATCCCTCCACAAAGCTTCCGGGCGCTCCTGCGCGGCTGGCATGGCCATCATGACCATGTCGTAAGCCGCCACTTGGACGGCCATATCAACGTCGGGTACGACCGCCTCATCGATAATGAGGATAGAGTCCTCCGCCATGGCATCGCGAATGTGGCCAAGGATGACCGAGTTCTTGCCGTCGTTCCAGTCATGAAGCACGTTCCGTATATAGAATATCTTGGCACCCTTGGCCTCGGGCGTCTCCGGCGTCATGAAGTCGTGTGGCTGGATTGTCACCTTGACTTCACCAGTGCGAGGATTCTTGCGAGCCAGGTCGACAATGAACGGCAAATCTTGAAGGATGACGGGACCCGTGAGCTCCGGGTAAGCTTCGCGGAAGGCAATGGACTGGTGGCCGACAGCACCGCCGACGTCCACGAACTGGGCTCGCCCCTTCTGAAGATCTTCCGATGACAACGCGACGTCGAATCCTTGCATCAGCTCCCTTCGCGGCATCCACGGCGCCTGGCCTTCTCTCTGCACACCCATGAATCCCATCACCTGCCCGTCGTCAGTAAGAACGTCCATCTGATGACTGCTCGACGACTGACCTTGTCACTCCACTCTTTGTTCTCAGCAAACCATTCGAAGATGTCCTTGGTGGTATTGTAGGCCATGTGGAATGGCGTACTGGATGTGTCTGACGGGTTCTTGTATCCAATCTTCTTGAGATATTCAGGCAGCGCATTGAACATCGGCCCACTGAACTGCGTCTGCACTTGAGCTGCACCTTCGGCGAATGGCGTCGTGAGCGCAATGGTGTTATTGGTTGCTTGGAAAGCGTTTGGCCCAGGTTGACCAACATATCCCCATGCAGCCAGTACTTTGAGGAGCCGTGTCAACAGTGTTACATCGGCTCCCGTGGATTTCGACAATTCTTCGGCCGAAAACGCTCGATTTGGCTCTTTTGCGAGTATCCGAAATAGCCCCAAGTCAGTGGCAGCGACTCCTGCTGCAGCTGCGCCATTGGACCAGAAGATGCGAAAGTTGGTCTCACGCGGTGGTTCTGAACGCCACATCAATTCTTTGGCAGCCTTGTAGATTTCTCGTCGCGCATCGGCATCCTCTGGCAGGTTGCTGGCAAGCTGCCGGATCGAATCTGCGCTCATTCTGACAGTGCTCGCTTAGTGCTGGCCGATAGAAAGTTCTTGGGCTTGGATTCGCTTGTGCTTTCACGTACGCTGGATGTTTGATTGCACGTCATATGGATGGCTTTCACATCAGTCTATCGGAGCCACTGTACACTCGGAACGGCAGCGATACGACGAGCCCGAGGCGCGCTACCGACTCCGATCTCAAGGTCCGACAGCGCGGCCACTCTCAAAGCTTTCGTCGAAGGCTAATGATCTGGTGATCCTTACTAGCGACATGCTTCGGTCCGCTAATCATTCACATTCCCAGTCGAGGACTCATGTTCGTTGGGCGTTAGGAGAGTGGAAAAATTAGGCACCGAGGCAGCAACAAATTTGAGTTCAATCGGCGTCAAGCTCCGCACTTGCTTTTGATCTGGCCACGTTCTTCATCTTTGCATTCGTCGAGTCTATCTACTGAGGAACTCAGGACGCGCTTCCATCTACAGCTTCTTCTTGGCTATCATGACACCCTGGCCAGCGCCGGTATAAATCCTCGTCTCCTTCAGCTCCAAACCTGCCCGCTCCAGCAAAGCCCCATAATCTTCGCGAGCACGACCCTTGGATTCGTGACAGGAGTAGGCGGCGATTGCGGTCGACGGGGTCCACAAATCGGGCTCTTGCGGACTACCGTCCTCTTTCAGATTCACCCATCGGTGGCACTGCACAAAGTCCACAATCACCAGCAGACTGTCGGGACCCATGGCCGGAACTTGTGAAGACAGGATCTTCACAACTGCCTCATCATCCCAATTGAGCAGGACGAACTGTATGAAATACACACGGGCTCCTTTGATAGGCTGCTCGGTGAAGAAGTCGTAATCCATGGTCTCGATGCCGGCCTCTCGTGCCTTGGCAGCCTTTGCAATGACCGCTGAACGGTCTTGTAGGACGATCTTTCCGCCCAGCTTGTGGACTTTTTGGGCCTCAATGGACTGCCCGCCATCGCCACCGCCAATGTCAACGAACACTGTCTCGTCTTTCTTGGCACCTGCGGCAAGTTCCTCGTCGAAGCGGACGACATTGGTCCATTTCGCAGTTACCGAATGGTTAGCCGCCATGTAACCGTAAAAGATGGAGTGTTTCTCTGGACGGCTCTCCAGAAAGTCGTAGAAGGTCTCGGTTGTGTCGTGAGCGACTTGGAAAGCCGTTCTTTTGCCCGCACCAGCTCCGTGCTTCAAAAGCTGATGAAGCTTGCCATAGGCTGGTCCGACAAGTTCGTGCCAGCAAGTGGTAGTTACGTCCGACTTCGGATCCAATAAACTGTGAGTGAGCTTGGTGGGTGCGTAGAAGTACTGCTGAGGCTCAACTGCTGCACCGTGGTAGACGTTGTAGTCCATGATGGAACGGACAAGAGGTCTGTTCAGGCCGCTGGCTTTCACGAGCTCTTCAAGTGGCACCGGATTGGCGAGGCTAGCTTTGGCCAAAGGGGCGAAGATACCAAAGGAGTTGCTTAGGCGCGTGGTGACGAGTGGCAAATGCGAGAACATGACACGCTGCATGGACTCCTGGCTCGTCTCTAAGGCTATCGACGCCTGGCGAGTAAGGCGCTGGAGCTCCGAACGCTGTGCATCGTCGCCATCGTCGACAATCGCTTCTGGACTTCTGACCAACAGCTTCAGCTGCTCGGTTAGGTATGTTGTGTCGACTTTGGGTGCCGTCATAGTTTCAAGGTTGCGAAGCTGTCCAAAAAAGGACAAAAGCTTGTGCACTGATGAGGGAAGGCAATCAGCAAGAAGGTGCCAGGACCTAAAATCGATATTGGAGATCAAACTATGGTAAGCACAGGATTGCCAATGATGCGCGCCCACTCAGTTCGCAACAGCGAGCCGAAGCCATCCTCAATGTTGTCGGACTCGCAACAATGTTCGATACGAAACGCGATACGACGGAACTTCAACCCGGCGTTGTTGGCTGTACGAGACACCGACCCATACCGCCGATGGCCTGACTCCGATCGACATATACCGATCCGAGTATCCTGCATCGGGCCCTGTCGACGAATTGCTCTGCTCCGCTGAGCAGTCCTGGGTACCAATGTACTGCAAGAGTCATTGCTCACTTTTCGCAGTAAGTTGCAATTTGTGTTCCATTCCTTCGCGTCGGTTAGCATCTCAAGTGCTTTCAACACCTGAGATTAACAAACTACGCCTTTCCTTTTTAACCGTGTCACAATGGCTGCCGAACGTAGAGACGTCGAATTCAAGACTGTGGATGGCTTGACTCTCCGTGGTTGGCTATTCCTAGGTCCCAAGGGTGGTCCTGCAGTGGTTGTCAACGGTGCAGTATGGTTTCGCACTTCGTCGGAGCCGCGAGTCCTCACTTACGTCGATCTCCCCTCCCGAATAGTTCAACAGCCCCAGAGAAATATTTGTTGCCGCAGTGGCGAAATGGTTCGGCGAACACGGCGTGACGGCTCTTGTCTACGACGCTCGCTCCCTAGGCCTCAGCGACGGCCTGCCACGAAACGATCTTGATCCACAGAAGATCACTGAAGACAACCACGACGCTGTGACCGTGAGCACACCCGCAAGGACATCTCTGCTCTCGTGTCCATACTGATCGTAAATATAAAATCCAGTTCCTCCAAGACTCCGGCCACGTGGACCCCGGCAAAATCGCCATCTGGGGCTTCTTCTACAGCTCCCTCATCGCCCTCGAAGCAGCCGCCTTCGACCCGCGCGTCAAAGCCGTCATATCCCAGGGCCTCATGCCCGAATGGACCCTCGATCCCGCGCAACAACCCTCCATCATCGCCTCCGCCATCCAAGACCGCGCCGCCCAACTCCGCGGCAAACCACCCACCTACATCCCCCTGCTGAACGAAGCAGGAGACCACATGACCCATTTCACATACCTCGCCGCCCTGACGCCGGAGCAAAAAACACACCTTCGCGCCTGGGTGCCCGCCGCGCAGAAGATCGCCCCGAGCTTCCGACCCGAAATGACGCTGCAGAGTCTCTACCGCCACGCCAAGTGGAGGCCGCTTTCGCTCTTGCAAGCCAGTGGCATCACGACTCCGGTGATGGTCTTGACGCCGGAGAATGACGAAATGGTGGACCCGGGCTACCAGAAGAAGATCTTTGATGGCTTTGCGAGTGGGCTGAAGAGGTATGAAGTTATCCCGGATGTGGGACATTTGGATTTTTTGGCGAAGGTGGAGTTCGATCGGTTGTTGGGGGGACAGTTGGAGTTTCTGAAAGAGGCGATGGAGTTCTGATGATGGAGGAGTTGGGAATTGTAGGCTGCTGCTAGTGCTCCTCGCCGACTGCGATAAACAAACAACACCCAGTATAGAATTGGGACAAAGAAACGTGAAGATGTCGTTCAAAAAACATTCATTAAAAATCGCCTACCACACGGCGTCAGCCTCTCGAAGTCCCATCAACCAATCAACCTCTGCGTGTTCATCATCATCTCCCCAACAATCCCCAGACTTTTCACAAATCCATCAATAATACATCCTCAAACATGTCACTCACTCTCACGCCGCTCCGCCAGCAATCTTGTTCGCGTTCAGCCTATGCCATCTGGGCATCAGACTGAACAGGAAGGAAACGCCCAAAGCCGCAGTCGTGATGGCGAAAGCAACCTTGATGCCCTTCATGTACGCCACGAGAACACCCTCCAGGACTTCTCCCTGGAAGACACGGCGCAGCTCGGTGGCGCCCGTTGCAACGACGACGGTCGGATCGAGGGTGGGGACGGTACTGCGGAGCTTAACGATGAGTGCGTTGACGAAACCGGCCTGACCGGCTGAGAGGAGCAGAGCGCCGCCGACGGTTTGGAAGACTGCGAGGAGAGGAAAACGTCACGTCAGCAGGACAGACAAACAGAGTACGTAGCCATATAGCGTCTGGGCGCAAGGCAAACAAACTCACAGAGCAACATCGCCGTCCCAGCAGCTAGATCCATGACATCCACCGTGCCCTGGCAGACGATGATGGGCACCTGGAACGAGATGCCATATCCAATACCCGCCAAGAGCTGATACCCGATCCACTTGCCAGATCCGGTTCCCATGTCGAGAGTATAGAGGAGCCCAGCGGCGACGGTCGTGATGGCGGAGCCAATGGGTAGAAGAGGAGTCGAAATGCCCGTCTTGGAAATGAAACCACCGGATAGGATCGTCACGATGCTGAAAGAGATGATCAGCGGCAGATTGCGAATCCCCGACTGCGAGGCCGAGACGTCGTCGATGGACTGGAAGTAGATGGGAAGGTAGTAGAGCGGAACGAAGTAGGAGCCGCAGAAGAAGAAGCCGTAGAGGTTGTTGACCCAGATGTTTCGCTCACGCATGAGACGTACTGGAACCATGGCGCGATCACCTTGGAAGACTTCCAGAGCTGCGAAGGCGATGAACATAAGGAATGAGCCGACGAGGAGGCCAATGACGGTAGCGGAGCTCCATGCTTTGGTTGCTCCGCCGTATTGAAGAGCCAGGATGAAAGAGATGAGGGCGCCCATGATGAGCATGACGCCCAGAGGATCCATCTGCAAGAATTTCTCCTTGATCGTAGCCTTGGCTGGTGTCGCAGCTGGAGGAGTCTTGAAGAACACGAGGATGATAGCCGCGGAGACGGCACCGATTGGGAGGTTGATGTAGAAGCACCTAGCGCGATCGCATTAGAACCAAGGCTCGAATGCAGTAATATCCTGTCACACTCACCATCGCCATGACACCTTATCCGTAAAGGCACCACCAATCAGCGGCCCAACAATCGCAGCAATGCCATACGCCGCACCAATAAGTCCAGTGAACGTCGCTCTGGCGCTAGGTTTCGCAGAGAAGGCGACTATGGTGTAAGAGCCAGACGAAATGCCTGCAGCACCAACACCAGCAATCGCACGGCCAATGATCAAAGCCTTCGAATTCGGAGCAACGGCACAAATCAGACTTCCCACCTCAAAGATGAACAGGGCCATGAGAAAACTGGTCTTGAGGGGACAGTACTTGTACACCTTTCCCCACATAGATTGGAAACCTCCAAGTGTCATAAAGAAGGCGGATCCATACCATGAGATATCGTCAAGACTGTTGAAATCGTCGGTGATCTTGGGAATGGCGGTTGCTACGATCGTCTGAAGGATTGATGATCAGGATGGGATCGAGAAATTTTTCTCGCATGTGTGACGGAGTCAACGTACTTGATCCAGAGAGAACAAGAACACGCTGAGCACCAGAGCAACAACAATGAACGCAAGCTTCGCGCCGGTTGGAAGATTTGGGTCGTCAGAGTCTGCGGGTGTATCTTCTTCCGACTCAGCTTCTTGCGCAATTCCCACTGCAGTAACACCGTCGTCCTTGTTGAGCCCATCTTCCTTGTCGGTATCTGAATCGACAATCGATGAAGGTGCGTTGTGGGTTTCGTGTTGCGCTGCAGTCCCGGTAGCCGCCCCAGTCTTTTCGGGGGTTGTTGGCGAAGTCATTGTGGTGAGTGTCGTATGGTTCGATGCCACTCCGTGGCCTCGCGGCTGTCGTGGTCCCAACAGTGTTATATCAATATAAAGTGCCGTATCCCTGTAGGAGGCGGGTGGATCCGCAGAGTCGGGAACACATCGGGTAGGACTAGGCGCCAGCTCGGAGGCCAGCGTGCTGCACCTGCGCAGTCCGACTCCGACTGATCTGACCCGTTTCTATGAACGCTCGCCGTAAATCCGTGTAAAGTCCGCAGCCATGCAGGTGAGACATCGCATTCCATGTCAGGGGGCCCACTTCGGCTTGAGCTTGAGAGACAACCGGAAGTCAGCAAGCAATAATTTTTTGTTGCATCTAGCAAGTCTCGCAGAATCACCAAACGGCTTCCAGAAGAGCTGAAAGGTCGCAATGCCTCCTCTCTTCCCTACCGCAGGCGCCCTTAACGCCGCCTTTGGCAGCTATGCGCCACAGTCTGGCCTGCAGACCACCGAGGCTAGGCGCTCTCCATACTCCGTCAGAGAGAACCTGTACCAGTCGTGGAGCGTCGCCGGCGATGCTTCAGGCAAGGCTACAGAGCTGAGCAATGCCGCTACCAAGGAGCTTCAGAAGGCTTCCCAAGCTGCGCAGGGCAAGTCTGGCAAAATTGAGCTGTATTCGGGCCAATACTACGCAGCGTGAGACCTCACAGCACTTCCCACCGGCTGTCCACATTCTCGCGCTAACGATCTCGAGCTCAGATGCACCGTTGGCGGTTTGCTCGCATGCGGTCTTACCCATTGGGCCGTGACCCCTTTGGACCTGGTGAAGTGTCGCCGACAAGTCGATGCGAGCCTGTACAAGGGCAACTTTGACGGCTGGCGTAAGATCATTGCTTCCGAGGGTGTGAAGGGCTTGTATACCGGAGGTGGTCCAACTTTGGTGGGGTACTCGGTCCAGGGAGCTCTGAAGTATGGATTCTACGAATACTTCAAGAAGCTCTACTCGGATATCGCTGGCCCAGAAATCGCCACCAAGTACAAGGCCGGCATTTACGTCGCTGGTTCCGCTTCTGCCGAATTCATCGCTGATATGGGTCTTTGCTCCTTCGAGGCCGTCAAGATTCGCATGCAAACGACGCTGCCACCATTCGCCAAGGGTACCTTCGATGGTATCAGCAAGATCACTGCTGCTGAGGGCACCGCCGGTCTTTTCAAGGGTCTCTACCCGCTCTGGGGCAGACAGATCCCTTACACCATCATGAAGTAAGGCTTGCCAATGGTGCTTGATGTTTTGGCATTGCTGACCGGGCTCGCAGATTCGCCTCGTTTGAAACCATTGTCGAAATGATCTACAACCGTCTCCCCGGCCAAAAGAAGGACTACAGCTCTGGCGCCCAGACCGCTGTGGCATTCAGCGGTGGTTACTTGGCCGGTATTCTCTGCGCAGCCGTCTCCCACCCAGCCGATGTCATGGTCAGCAAGCTGAACTCTCAGCGCAAGGCTGGCGAGGCTTTCGGTGCCGCAGTGGGCAGGATCTACAAGGACATCGGTTTCGCTGGTCTGTGGGCGGGACTTCCCGTTCGTATCGTCATGGTTGGTAAGTATTAAGCAGCTCGGATGAACTCGACAAGAGCTCGACACTAAATTGATCTTAGGTACCCTCACCGGTCTGCAATGGATGATCTACGAGTAAGCATTCCTGAGAAGAGCGTTTTGTGTCGGAAAGCTGGCTGACGTCGCACGTAGTTCCTTCAAGCTCTTCATGGGATTCCCCACCACCGGCGGCTCCGCACCACCAGCAGAGAAGAAATAGACTGCTAGAAGACGATGTAGTCCTTTGTAAAGATGGTCCCATCTTCCGGCGGAGAAGAGACGGGCCTGTAACTTTGACAGAGGATGCCACAGCAAGAGACTTCCAGCAGGGATACAGAAGAGTGGTAGAACCTCTGTCGCGGGACAGAGAACTCGATGAGTGTCTTCATCATCAAGAGGTGTTCCCAGCGATCCCGCTGGTGTATGCAGAACCCTCTTTTGTAGGTATAGACGGGAGTGTTGTGTCTGGCATCTCGAACGCATCTTGTTTGTCTCCCATTCCGTATGTACACGTCATGAGGCTCAGGCAGATATGCGCTCTGGAACCGACGCACTCGCGTGTTCGCTCGCTTGCTGTCGAATTGGTGAGGCATCGGCTGGAGTCCGGCTGTTGGGAGCGAGGAATTGTCCAGCATGCTTCGGCGGCCGATCGTGTTGCCCGACGATGGCTCGGCACTCGTGTGTCTCGTTATATCAGCATGGCAAAAGTATGCTCGGCTCCTCTGCTGTTCAGACTTCAGTGTACGTTCGTGTGAAGTCGAAGTTGGCAGATGAGAAGTACGAGGCCATGACGTCACGTGAGTGGAGTGGTCAATCCTCACATGACCTCACTTCGTGCTCTTATATCTTCGTATACAATCACGATAACATGACAACTCACCAGCTTCTGTACCGTCATGAACCGCGACTAGTGGGGAGATGTAGGATCACAGAACGCGAGACAAGCAGCGGCGATAATTGACCAAAGCGCCGAGTCCTTTTACAGCGCGTCGCGTCTTCATGAAGTGTATCCTTTGGCACAGCTCTGCCCACTGACATATCGATTCTTCCACCAGCTACAACATGTCCACCTGCAGGAAGGCGCAATAATGCCACGCTCAGCTACCTCAAGCTGGGCTGGGCTGGGCTGGGCTTGTCTTCCTCGAGCCTGACTGAATGCGAGCGACTTCAAGTGTCTCTCCTGGACATTCCTGGCTCAAGACTCACAACTCGGATGATTCTGAAGCAATGCTGCGGACCGAGAGCCCGAACAAAGCCATGCATCGCCAACCTTACATTGAAATAATGGCCGAGCACAAGCAGATCCGATTGCTGCGTCTTCAGCCGGGTCACCGAGATCAGGATCAGGATCTACAAGCTACTCTTGAGGCTACGGCTCTGCATTCTAAGCGCTCGATCCAATACGAGGCCTTATCGTACACCTGGGGAGCCAGCACCAGAGGCGACAGAAGTTTCCTTGACCAGATATGCCTCTCCTGTACTGATGATCTAGCTGGTGCCTTGCGACGACTGTGCCAGACCCAAGATTTTAGAATCCCCTGGGTCGATGAGTCGACAGGTTGCCATTATGGGCGACGTATTTGCACAAGCTTTTCTCCAGTTCTCGTGTAACTCGGCGAAGACATAGCTGTCAAGCCTTATGAAAGCGATGTTTATCAAGAGCTCGACTTTGCTCTCGAAGGCACTGCGCCATCTTGGTGGGATAGGTGAAGTGACACCGATCTTAAAAGGGACGCCTGCTTCCAATTGCTCACATGTTCACCAGTAGAGCCTGGGTTATCCAGGAGGTTATACTCGCCCGAGAGATCGAAGCGCATTTCGATCGTCCTCACCTATCCTGGAACAACTTCTACGACCACCTTCTGCAATGTGACCATGGACGCAAAGGCTATGTTTCCGTTGCTTCTCCTCATTCCAAGACACCAACCCGCGAAGCATCCATTACCAGATGTCGAGCTTTAACGCAACCATGATTGCAACACCTTGACCAACGGTGTCCGAGACGATCGTCAGTTACACGAACAAGGCTTCCTCCACAGATCTTCGGACAAATTCCACAGCACACTCAGTATGCTGAAACCCGATTACCTGACAATCGTACAGCCTGACTACCAGCTATCGTTAGAAGATGGGTTTATCCGTGCCACTCGCGCGGCTTTCGAAATTGAGGGAGACCTTGCCATCTTACAGCTTGTAGGCTTCCCCCGTCCTCCCAACCTCCCGTCTTGGGCTTTGCACTTCACGCGTGCCAATGGTGTCAATATAGTAGAGAACTGTGGCTTCGGTGGACTTCGAGACGAGGTACGAATCGGAGTTCTTTCAAAACGTCCAAGGCCCTCAATTAATCCAGCGGAGCTTGATTCAAAACATCTGACAACGAAAGGCGTACTCTTTGAAACTGTTACAATAGTAGGAAGAGATTCTGGAGATACGGGTCCAACCTTGCCAGAAACCATTCGTTTGGCGCTTCGATCCTTATCCCAAGCTCCAGGATATAATGGGCTCGGGAGTGGCACATACGAAACGGCTATCAGAGAGATAGAGCAAGATTTGGAGCTACATCTAGGCCACACTGAGCTGCTAGACGTTTTGATACAAGCATTCCGTTTGCGGTATGAGATAATTGACCTCCCTCAACGAATTCGCAGGGACTCGACGCATTTAATGGACGACATACCGCGCTTCTTGCAGTATGCCAGTACTGCTACGAGGCGCTGTCTTGGGGGTCGTGGGACAGCGAGTGCCTCTTGACTGGCATGTCCTCTGGATACCGGCATGGTTATAGTGAGGACCATCGAATACAGAAGAACCAGATTCAGCAGGAAAAGGAGAAGACAATGAGTGAATGGGATACGGTGCAGATTCTTATTACAGAAACAGAAAGTGGCCATCCCATTAAGTAGCTTACAGCGCGGCGACGACGGTTGCGGCCCAACTATCGATGCTACTATCCTCACGGTGCCTCCAGAGCAGGTCAACAGTGTACGAGAAGCTCGTGCTGCTTTCGAAGTCCTTCCTTACAACTATGCCGATCTCAATTGGAAGTATCCTGGCCCAAATGGCGCTTAAATCGAATATGATGCGCCATCCACGAACTGCTATCAGAATGTTCCTGCTGAGACCTATTGGGGAGCATTTCCGAGCTATCATCAGTACTAGGACTACGTACCGTCGGTAGCAAGGTCGTTGACGATCGTCAATGATTACCATCCGTATGTGCAGCCTCCATCCAAGTCAGCTTTCGCCTCTCCTTACTATTATATGGGGCACCAGTGCCATCTGGCATATTGATGGTGAGTTACGCTTGGGCGCTGAAGGGCTCCGAATCTTATCGACCGTGCCTAACTGGTGTCTGGGACCCGCCTGTCGCCTTGCAACAAGCGAGTGAAGCGGTGGGGGCTACTCTACCAGCTGGAGGCTCTGGAGCAGGGCCGACAACACCTGCTTCACCTCCAGCAGCGTCCATGCCAGCTGCACCTGCTCCCTCCGTCACTGCCCCTTCGGCTCCGACTGCTGACCCGCAAAGTAACCCGCCGCCTGAAACCACTCCAGCTCAGTCCTCTGCAGCGGCACTGGTGGCTCAGTCTGATACATCACCACCATCAAGTGCTGCGTCAGCCCCAGCACCCCAGCACTCTGTAATCTCAGCTAGCAATGATCCATCTCCGGCGCCAGCGAGCTCCAATACGCCGTCAAGCGGTGCTGCAAGTCCATCACCTGCATCTTCGGCTGCAGGCAATAATGCATCAAATCCGCCTGCCTCTGCTAGCGCCCCTGATCCAGCGTCGCCAGCTCAATCTCCAAACTAACCAAGTTTCCAGGCAAACAGCAGTCCTGCGAATTCTGCTGCATCGCCTGATCCGTCTGCAAATCAACCTGTCAATCCTCAGAGCCAGCCTGCTAACTCTCCTGTTCCAGCCAATTCCCCTGATCCAGCCGACTCCCCTGCTCAGGCCAATTCTCCTGCTCCAGCCAATTCTCCTGCTCCAGCCAGCTTGCCGGCAGCGCCTGCTCAAAGCTCAAACCAGCCAAACGAACCAAACTCTCAAGGAAGTCAGCAGAGCCCAACGCCAGCGACCCAGCGACCCAGCAACCGCCTGCTCAGAGCCCCAGCCAGTCAAATCAACTAAACCAGCCAAACCAACCCAATTCGCCAGGCGCTCAACAGAGTCCACCGCCAGCAGCACAGCAAGTCTCTGTTGACAGACAAGCGGCGACGGTCCAGAACAGTGGCTCGCAAGTCATTGTTGGCGGACAGACTCTTACTCCAGGAGGAGTCGCCGCCACGGTGAATGGCCAACAGGCCAGCGCCGCATCAGCTGGAAATTTGGTGATTGGTACGAGCGCAGCAGCCAACACGGACCCGTTGGCGCAACAAGCTACGCCTCCAGCACAAGCTGCGCCTCAGCAAGTTACTGTAGGCTCTGCCGCTGTAGCAGCCTCTCCTATTGGCAATTCATTCGTGCAGGTTGGGAGCCAGACGTGGGCAGTTGATGATCCCGCCCAGACTATCAATGGTCAAGTCGTAAGTGCTGGCTCCGCTGGTATTTTTATCGGCACCGGGGCGGCGGCATCCACTGTTGCACTGCCTTCTCCTCAGGGCGCATCTCAGCCTCCGCAAGTCACTGTCGGCTCAGCAGCAGTCGCCGCTAGTTCTGTCGGAGGTTCTGCAATCCAGATCGGAAGCCAAACCCTTGTGGTTGGTGGCCTAGTTCAGACCGTCAATGGACAAGTACTATCTGCCGGCTCTTCAGGTCTCGTAATCGGCACCGGCTCTGGAGCTTCTCCAGTGGCAGTCGGTGCTCAGCAAATGCCCCAGCAGATTTCAATCGGATCTCAAGATGTACAAGCCACGCCGTTTGACTCTTCCGCTATCCAAGTAGGAAGCCAAACCCTGACTTTCGGCGGCTCCGCACAGACAGACAATCAATGGCCAAGTCGTCAGTGCTGCAAGTTCTGGTCTTGTGGCATCATCTTCGGCATCAGCGGTCACCACGATCCCAGTTTTGCCTTCTGATTCAGCCTCGAGTGAATCGATGAGTAGACCGACTTCCTCTTCTGGCATAACGACGGCCTCTGCAGCGACATGAAGTGGTAAATTCGGCGCTACAACTACTTCGCCTGCTGCTGGCACAAAGAATACAGCAGCAGGGCGATCGCTTCCCATGACAAGCATGTTTGGGCTTGGTATTGCTTCGATTAATGCTGCGTTGTTCATTTAGCGTACACGATGATGAGTAGATTATAGAAATCGCACGAGGTTCAGATTGATCCCGATGAGCAGACGTCCATGCTTCCCGTCTTAATTTCCACCATGTTGAATATGCGCGAACCGAGTCACTATTGAGTCTCATGAGGTACCGCTGAGCTGTATGCGATTATTATGAGTGTGACGTAATACATGGATACTAGTGTGTGGTCTGTGCTTGAAGCTGACATGTGAATGTTATCCACGTAGCCTGCGTTTTTTGGAATAGAGGCAGAAACCTTTACTGGTGACAAAGACGTTAATCTGTGCCCAATTTTGCGCAGAGCTTGATTCATCGAACCGAGACCAATGCTACTACCACGAGCACTCGAACGGTAATCGAGAATGCGCCTGGGGATGGCGAAATACAAGGGGAAGTCCGGGCCGATTAGACTTTTGGAGACTATTAGACGACTAGAAGATCGACTGGCAACAATTCTTCAGCTCCAATTTGCGAAACCGCACTAGAAGAGCATACTGATTTACAGGACGCCCTTCTACGAACGCGCTTCGCAAAGGCCTGCGGGGATGATTAGAATCTTAGCCCATAAGAAATGCAAGTAGTAGCAGGATATACTTGTAATACCTAATGAAGCTGAGTTCTGTAGTTCTAGAGAGCTGTACCTATATCAACACGATCTCGTATCCATTCTTCGGGATTCTCACAGCTTCGTCGTCGTTACCGTACTTCCGCCTGATGATCTCGAAAACGATGAGTCCCGCGCTTGTGCTCGGGACCTGGCGTATGGTGCTCATGAAGAAGTCCCTGTACAGCCAGCGAGTGAGGCCCCCATTGCGACGTGCGACGACCAGAACATGCCTGATGGTCTTTCGATAAGCTGCTGCATATAGCCTGAGCGCTCTCTTTTTACGCTCTCCGGGTTTATGGTGGTCGTGCGAGTCTATCCACTCCAATCGACCGTGGTGAATCTCCTGCAGCCGGCTGAGCGGGTGCTGGATGACAGCTTGTGCTACTGAGGCCGCAACTCCCGCGAGCAGTAGAAACGCGGGCTCTACCATGTAATGAGGCCGTATTTCAGGTCGTCCGGAAGCTGCTCGTTGCGCAGAAATGGCTTCTCTCTGCACGGCTGACAATTTCGCCCAGTCTCCGTACCAGGTACTGACGAAGCTGTAAAACGCTTGAGACTTGACTGTTTCAAATGTGGCGAAGAACACTCCTGCTCCTAGTGAATCCTTGACGAATGACAGGCCCCATCCAGCCATGATACCACGTGCTCCAATCTCACGGGTCTTGCGCCAGCCATATTGCCACATGTTGGTATACTTCCCCTCCATCATCTCCTTTGCTTGGAAACGTGTTTGAAGCGCATCCACTGGCGCGGCGAGGAGGCTTTGGATAGACCCTGCAACGAATCCAGCGGAGAAGGAGATGCTAGGTGGCGGCGGTGGATAGACACGTTTTGTCGATATCGAAGACGGCTCATGCATGTAACACAGAGATTGCAGATAAGCGGTATAAAGGACAGCGCCCACAGCGGTATTGGCGATGAGGGGTGGTAAGAACTGGTTGGGGATAAATGTCCAGCCATGGTGCCGCACTGCGTTATAGAGCAGAGCCGGGCTGGTCATTCGCCACGACCAAGCTGCGCCGCCTTGAACGCTTGGGTTGATGGCTCGCGCATATCCCTTGAGGGTGTCAGCCCATGAACTTGAGGTTGGATTTTAAACTGAGCGTACCATATAACTACAGAAATGTCAGATAAGACATCGCTAGCCAGATAATCATAACTAACTCACTCTATCCTTGGTTTGAAAAACGCCTTGATGGGCGCCCGAAAGTAGAATGTCAACATTCGAGCACCCAGTGCCCGCATAGCAGCTGCTGAGAAGCCGGTGCTAGCATGTTCTTTTCCTTTCTTCTTTCTACGAGGAACCTCGACAATACCGCCCTCGCGGTAGGCATCCCGCAGTGAGCCATCTGCTCCGACAGTGCTCATTGCCCGGGTGCGGTTCGTTCATGGGTCCTATCTTCTTCCGACTGAGGTTCATTGAGCGGCCCGCATCTTTCGCGTTTCACGTGAAGAAGCGGGGAAATGAGATAGAAATGCAGATGTGAAGGCGAGAAGGTTGGATCTCGGACTCACGCGTTCTGCCGAGAAGCTCAGACCACCGAGCGCACCCAACCTCATCGCGAGGCGGCAACCTCGACTTCGCGACACGCGCGCTCTTAAACGCCTTGTCTTCCACCTCGCCGTCGCCCACTTTCCCCTTCCTTCTTCCATCTACACCCCCGCCGCCTGGCATACGACAACTGACGCTTCCAGCGGCATCACGCAATCCATCAACGAAGATGGCGGAAGAAGTCAGCATCGACAAGACGGCCTTCCACAACCGCCTCTCCTCGCTCATTTCGGCATGGAAGGGCGACAAGCGCAGCGGCAACAATGTCTTCGGCGATGCCAGCAGTATCGTCGTCGTCATGGGAAAGAGCGACGAGACACAAGGCTTCCACAAGGCGAATGGTCTGCAGTTCTGGCTGCTGGGCTACGAGTTTCCGGCTACACTGTTTCTAATCACGCTCGAGGCCATGTACATCATCACCACCAAGAAGAAGGCGACATATCTTGAGGTGCTAAAGGATGGCAAGACGCCAGTCGAGATCATCGTGCGAGGCAAGGATACCGAGGAGAATGCGAAGCAGTTTGAGCGGATCAACGATATCATCAAGAACGCGGGCAAGAAGGTCGGAACCCTGGCCAAGGAGAATTCTGCCGGTCCATTCGTGGCAGAGTGGAAGAGCTCGTTTGGGGAGATCAGCAAAGAGGTGGAGGAGTTCGACATTAGCACAGCACTGTCCACGGTGATGGCTGTCAAGGATGAGAATGAACTGCGCGCGATCCGAAATGCCTCCAGCGCTTCTGCCTACGTCATGCGCGACTATTTTGTTGAGACGATGTCGGACATCTTGGACAAGGAGAAAAAGATCACACATCGGGCGCTGTCAGACAAGGTCGCGAACAAGCTTGACGATGAGAAGTTCTTTCGGGGCATCAAAGGAGTGGGCAAATTCGATCCGATGCAGTTGGATTGGAGCGTCAGCCCAGTTGTGCAATCTGGTGGCAACTTTGACTTGAAGCTGACCGCCGAGCCTGATGACAACAACCTCCACCAACCCGGCGTCATCGTTTCTGCGCTCGGTCTACGATACCAAACTTACGCCTCGATGCTCGCGCGTACATACCTTGTCGAACCGAACAAGACACAGGAAAATGTCTACAAGCTCCTGCTCAGCGTGCATGAGACTGTGTTGAAAGAGCTGAGAGATGGAGTGGCATGCAAAGACGTCTACAGCAAGGCGATTGCTGTAGTCAAGGCAAAGAAACCAGAACTTGTCGACAACTTCGTCAAGTCTGTCGGCGCTGGCATTGGTATTGAGGCGCGTGATGGCACGTTGAACTTGAACGCCAAGAACACTCGCCAGGTGAGAGACGGAATGACATTCTCCATCTCCACTGGATTCAACAACCTTGAAAATCCCAACGCCAAGGACAAGAAGCGGGAAGGTACTTACTCGCTGTTCCTAAGCGATACTGTTCGCGTTAACAGCGGAGCGGATGCGTATTGCTTTACCAGAGACACTCCGCGCGACATGGAGAGCATCTCGTTCTTCTTCAACGATGACGAAGAAGAGGAGAAGAAGCCTAAGCCCAAGAAGGATCCTCGCGTAGGAGCTGTTGCAGCCTCTAACATTACCAAGACCCGTCTGCGAGCACAAGGCGGCACAACGGCAAACGAAGAGAAGGAAGCAGCCCGGAGAGCACATCAAAAGGAGCTCCATGAGAGGCAGCAGAAAGAAGGCTTGGAAAAGTACACTGAGGGCCATGGCAACCTGAATGGTACAGAAGAGAAGAAATTCAAGCGATTTGAGTCATACAAGCGCGATGCACAGCTGCCGGCGAGAGTCAAGGAACTGACCGTCCTGGTCGATGCTAAGAACAATTCCATTCTCCTGCCGATCATGGGGCGCGCTGTCCCATTCCATATCAACACGATCAAGAATGCAACGACCTCAAATGAGGGAGGCTTCTGCTATTTGCGTATTAACTTCTTATCCCCGGGCCAGGGTGTTGGCCGGAAGGATGATCAGCCTTTTGAGGATCCGACAGCACAGTTCATCCGATCCTTGACCTTCCGTAGTCACGATGTCGACCGCATGGAGGGCGTCAAAGACCAGATCACGGAGATGAAGAAGGAGTCCGTCCGCCGAGAACAGCAGAAGAAGGACATGGAGGATGTCGTAGAGCAGGACAAGCTTGTTGAGATCCGTAATCGCCGACCGCACAGACTGGACAACATCTTCATGCGACCAGCAATGGAGAGCAAGCGTGTTGGCGGCGCTGTTGAAATCCATCAGAATGGTCTCCGGTACAACCACCTCGGAAACCAGAAGATCGATATTCTCTTCAGCAACGTCAAGCACGTTTTCTTCCAGCCCTGTGCAGGTGAGCTGATTGTCCTCATTCATCTGCATCTCATCAACCCGATCATCATCGGCAAGAGAAAGACAAAGGATATTCAGTTCTACCGCGAGGCCACCGAAATGCAGTTCGACGAGACGGGCAACAGGAAGCGCAAGCATCGATACGGCGACGAAGAGGAGTTCGAGGCTGAGCAGGAGGAGAAGAAGCGTCGCGCCCAGCTCGACAAAGAGTTTCGCGCCTTCGCTGAGAAAATCGCCGACGCTGGCAAGAGCGAAGGTCTTTCCGTCGATATGCCATTCCGTGAGCTCGGCTTCAACGGTGTTCCCAGCCGAAGCTCGGTCACTATCCAGCCCACCACTGACTGCTTGGTCCAGCTGACTGAGCCACCCTTCACGGTCATTACCCTCAGCGATATCGAGACCGTTCACCTGGAGCGTGTACAGTTCGGCCTCAAGCAATTCGACATGGTCGTTGTTTTCAAAGACTTCACGCGGCCTGTGGTGCATATCAACACAGTCCCTGTCGAAGCACTTGATGGCGTGCGCGACTGGCTTGACAGCGTCGACATCCCTTTCACCGAGGGACCGCTCAACCTCAACTGGGCTACTATCATGAAGACCGTCATTCAGGATCCACATACGTTCTTCGTCGACGGTGGTTGGTCTTTCCTCTCCAACGAGTCCGACGATGAAGACGACGAGGAAGAGGAAGAAGAATCTGCCTTTGAAGTGAGCGAAGAGGACCTGGCTTCCGATGAGAGCAGTGAAGACGAATCTGAATTCGATGACGACGCTTCAGCCGAAGCCAGCGACGAGGAAGTCTCGGACGATGAAGGCGAGGACTGGGATGAGCTTGAGAAGAAAGCTAAGAAGAAGGATCGCGACGGCGGTTTAGACGATGAAGAGCGGAAGAAGCCGAAGCCAAAGCCTAAGAAGCGATAGGTCATTGGTGAGTGGCGGCAAATCTGCGATTGTGCTGTTATTATATTGGGGAAAACGAGCGGGCGTCAGGTTTGATACCAACTTTGGCTTTTTTCTGTTTTATAGAATTCTGAGAAGTCACATAGGTTATGGCTCCGTAGCAGTCAGAGATTTTTATCGGGCTATTATGGAATGCCTTGCATGAAAGCCCAGTGACGGAGACGCTTCCCTCGGTATGCTTCGCTCCGCCGTCTACCTTTTCTTCATCACTGGACACGCACTGACTATGCGGGCCATCCCCTTACTTTGCTCCCTTTCCCGGAATGATCATCGTCGTTCCTCTCTTACCGAAACACGACTGCAGCTACAGGGCTAGAAAGCCGGGATGCCGTTAAGTTGGCGATGCCGTATAGAGTCGTGCGTCAAGACAATCAGGAGCCGCGCGAATCACGATGCTGAGCCACTGAGAGAAGCGCTAAAAATACCTTCATCACCGCAGAAATCGCACCTTTGACAAGGAGATTTCCATTCAAGTGGCTTCGGCGTCATCTGTAAACAGAAGCTTGCTGACAATGTCACGCTTTGGACTGGCCAGAAGCTTCCCGCCAAGTCGCACGTGAAGTCGACTAGTCACTAGCGTGAAGTTTATTTCCCGAAAGGTGAATTAGACGCCTCAGCACGACGGGCGCAAAGACCGAATGACTGACCTCCTAGATGAGATTTTTGCCCCGTGGCTTTGCTCTGCTCCTCTTTTTTACGATCTCTCTTGATTACGCGCAACCAAAATGGAGGACACTTCGAGATGTGAACCATGCATGCCCGTCGCGGCGATTTTCATTCCGAACAGCGTCAATGCGGCCACGAATGATCACATCAAGAAAGAGACTACCCTGCCCGACATCCCGACAGGAATAGTACTCCACATCGCCGAACTTGTGGAGCCTGGCGATCTCAAATGTCTGCGACTGGTGTGTCGAGGTAGACATGTACACATAATCTCAGATTTGCGTTAGTGCACGCCGAGGGATTCTTGATGTACTAACAAGTAACACGGGTAACACCGACTCAAGTCCGGCCTGTTGATGTAGCAGCCAAATTGCATGAAGCTAAGATTGGCTGATGTTGGGTAGGTACTGGCTGTAGGCGGCATCTGGTTCAAGCCCCAAGCCGGGACCTCGCCATGCCATGGAACTTGCTACAATACCGTGACAGGTCATACACGCCTGTCTATATATGCAACGCAGTCAAATAGCCATTAGGTTCCACAGTCTGCATGTAACGTAGATACACTAGCCCAGCGTAGGATCGATCTGCCTCCTTCTCAAATGCAGACTCCTTGTGCACTTTGTCCGGCAGGGTCATCGATGTAGAGTGTGATTGCAGTGATGGCAGGCCCAAAGGTAGAATGTGCAGCGACTTCAAGTGCAGCGACGAGACTGTTATCGTCGTTATATAGGACGATAATGCGAGAGAAGCACTCGCGAGTATACGTTCGCAGCATCTTGGAGTTGACCTCTCAACATATCAGTCTACGCGATTTGTCAGTAGGAGGATTGATCGTTAGATCGGGGTGTCATCTTAGGTCTTTCAGCACATCTTTCTCGGAGAACTACGCAATGCGCTCGACCAATTCCGTGGGCAGAGATGTAAGCGTCGCTCTGTCGTCGCTGGCCTCGAACGTCTTTACTGTCTGTGCGATGGATGAGCGTGTTCTAGTTGATGATCGCAGGTGGTGACTTGTCGAAGATGATGTGTGGCTATCAGTTGTTTCCAAGGGAAGGCGCGAACCAGGTCAAAATTTCCTATCTAGGTTCCTCGCACACGCGAAAGTGACGTAAGCGCCAACATGTGACAAACAAACACCATCCAAACTGGAACTTCGAGCTTCATCCCACCTACTCTCTGACAAACACCCCACAAGCACCGCAACCTCGCTCACTGCAGGTCTGCAGCCAGAGACCGTCACCAGGATGCCTGAACTCCTCGACATCGCAGTCGAGCTCGTCGAAAGCATCATCGACCATCTCGACCCACTAGATGTTTCCAACTTTCGCCTTGTCAGCCGCGCCGCCGACGATTATGCCGCGAGGGCCTTCAAGGGGATCTTCTTACCCTCGTGCCGCGTCCTTCTTTGCGACCCAGTCAACCTCCACCGCACTTTGGCACTCGCCCGCCACCCGAAATTTGGTCCCTGTATTCGAATCCTGTTCATATTCATCAACTATGTCAGCATTCCAGAAAAATGGGGAGAGCGGGTGGATGAGCATGGCACTTCGCCCAAGGAGCGCGGCGAGTCTCCCACTTCGTTTGAGAAGAAATTCATGGAGACCCAACAGCGGCTCATCATGACTGGCGACGATGAGAAAGCTCTGGTCCACATTTTCTCGGCGCTGAAGGTACATGGAAAGCTCAGAGGGATTGGACTCAACGACGCAACGACCGATGGAGAAGACTGCCCTCCGCCTGTACGCATGTGCAAGATCCTTGACGAGTGCGAAGAGCGTGTCTTCGTCCCAGATGCAGATGACGATCGCCCATTTCGCATCGTGATGGACAGCCTGGCACATACCGGGCTTCCGATTCATAACCTCAGAATGTTTTGCAACACGTGGGGACTCCCGATGCCTTTGATCAATGGGTCCGAGGAGAAGCTTCGCACGATGAAGAAGGCGTTGCATCATACCGAAACCCTCGCGTTACGGATTGCAGATTGGGAGGAGGCAGATCAACTGGACGGGGGACACTTTTCCAGCCCATGTATCCGTACTGTGGCCGCATTACCACAACTCCGGGTCCTGCAGCTGTTTGTCGAACCCAATTCATGCTTACACCGTTCTGGACTGTACAGTGGTCGCGATCTGTGTGAATGTCGCCCAATGCACGAGCTCTTCGAAGCCGTTATGCCGAATCTAGAAATCCTGATGTTGAACAACAGCATCATCGACTTCGAGGAACTGAAGAAGTTCGTCAAGCGTCAGCCTGCTCTAAGAATCCTCGAGCTTAATGGCGTGCTTGTCCGGGGATTCAACGTTGAGGAGCTGCTGGAGATCCAAGAAAGATACCGTGTAACCGATGACATGAACGAGGAGGAGACAAAGCAGCAAGTCGAGCGGAAAAAGCAGGCGATGGAAAACAAAACGACCAAGTTTCGTGAAGAGATTGGAGTGGTGGGCTCGACAGACGTCCTCTTCTCGTTGACTTTCTAGCCTGTATAACAGAAATCCTCTGGCTGGGAGTCGATCGACGCTTGGAAGCTATTACGGGCGGTGTACCGCAGGGCGTGCATGAGTGACTGAGAGGGAATTTCGGCGGAAGTCGATCATCGCAGCAGTGCATGTAGCTTCACCGTGCAGATATCTGCAATCGAAAGAAAACTTGCATCAAACAACCGCCCACTCCACCCTCCTTGCATCAATCTCCTCTTTCGTCAACGAAGCAACAGCCCTCCTATCCATGAGCCCATACACATACGCTCCTCCAACAAACTGATACTGCAGTAGTCAGAGATTGGAGGTTTGAGGTGTCGGCAACTTCTCGAGCAAACTTTACGGCCAGTTCAATATCCTCGGTGCTAGGACCAGGCTAGATGAAGAGGTAATATCCATACCCATGTGAGGACATCAGACTTTTTTTGGGGGGCAAACTGCTGCTTCGGATCATCTGCGCTCTGTTGATCAATGTATATCGCATCCGCTCGAATATGTACTGAGAAGTCTGAATTTTCCGGCGCGTACCCTGGAATCGCCCTCGCTCGCATCCCACGCAACGCCAGAGCCAGATTCGGCACACGGTAGAGTCTAGGCTGCTCAAGAGTGTACCGGTAGATCCAGCGTGCGCCTGATGTACGAAAGTTCCAAGGTGCCCCCAGCTGTAAGCCATAATGCAGCCAAGACAAGCTGAAAGCCGATCGATGGGCTGACCGGCGTCTTCTGTGAAGAAGAAGAAGATGTCTAGAAAAACCGGGCTTCAACGGCTATAATCGTGACTGTATCGTTTCAAGGCATCGTAAGTGAGGATCGAAGAACAGAGCAAGGCCTCCTCCAAAGGATTGAGAGGAATGTCAGGCCGAGTTTCCAGAGAGAAAGATCACGTTACTCGCTAGTTTTGTCCCAGTGAAGGGGGCCCAAGGAAGAAGTTATCCGATAGCATTTATGCCCCTTCCGAGACTTTTCGACCGACTACACAACCGAACAACCATACGTTCGCTCCGTCTTCGCCGCGGTTTGTCGCCATTGATATCAATACTGTACAATGAATCTTCACAGTTTCTCTCACATGCCTTTCCAGCCCTTGCGTTTTTCCAACAAAGCCGGCAACCGTGGGCTTCTTAAGATTTGTACCCGTTTTTCAGGCGCCAAGGTGCTTTTCCAAATTACCCAACAAGTCTTCGTCTGCGTCCTCGGATTTTGCGGTCTCGGGTTCTGGTGGTTGCTCCTGTTTGTCTTCTACTGTCTCCGGTGCTTCGTCTTTGATCGTTTCTGACACCTCGACTGCAGGCGCAGGCGCAGGCGCAGGCTTTTCTGCGGTCTCGGCTGAGGCTGAATCGGCTGCCTGGGCCACAGCGCTGTCTTCTGCGGCTTCAGGAGGGTCTTCAGCATTTTTCGCGTTGGCTTCTAAGCGGGCCTCGTCCAGAGAGACAGCAGGAGGCTCTGCGAGAGAGGCAGACCTACTATGCGAGGTAGCTAAAGCCACTTCCGGCGAGCTCGAAGCGTCTTTTGGCGCTCGTACTTCTGCTGCTGGTACTACTTCTGGTGGAGGCTGGGAGGTCTTTTCCACCTTCGTTTCCGGCTCCAGCTCCGGCTCTGGCTCCTTGGCCATCGTAGCCGCGGCGGCCTCGCTCAGCTCTTGATGCTCTTGAATTGCCTCGCCAGTAGGTCTGACATCTTCCATCGGCTGAGATTCTCCAACTTCCGCAGGAGGTGCCGAGGAAGGCGTCTTAGCCGGAGTCGTTGGCTTCGCCGGCGTAACAGTTCCAGTGCCCGGTGCATCCTCATCTGATACCTCGCCGACCTCCCTGTCATCGTCCTCATCGTCACCCTCATCACTGCCAGAGCCCTCCTCACCTTCGCCTGGATGCTGTTGTTGCCTTCGAGCGGCTTCCTCTACGGTGACATCGGCGCCCGCTTCCTCTCCCTTGGCAACGTGTTTGACGACTTGACCAGGTTGGGGAACAATCTTTGTCGCATTCGGAACAATGGTCGTATAGGTACTACCATCCGGGTTGGTAAAGGTAACGCGCTTTTTACCGCGCCCTGGGCCACCCTTCTTCTTGGGAGGCGGCCGGTTTCGACGAGGGACCACAGCCGGTTTGAGATGTTCCGCAACCAGCACACCTTCCTCATTTGCTATGCCAACGCCTTCGATGACGGTGCCCGGTGCTGCAGTGACTGGCTTGGCATCTGGAAGTTCGATAGACTCCGGCACCTCGCCCTCGACGTGTTGCCCTTCAGGCACAAGGACTTCGTACAGAACCGTCTCTCCACTCACATCGGCTCTCTGCACCTTGGTCTTCCGCATGGCGACAACCGCTCCATTCTGCTGATCGGGAGCATAGAGGCTTGACAGGCCCCTTCTGCGTTTTGCGAGGAATTCGAAGTGTTTATGCTCCTGTACAAGCATATGGTCCGGGACAGGCTTCCACTTCTTCGCCACATATACTCTCTCGTCGAGATTGGTCTTGGCATTGACATCCTCGGCGACCTCGTCTTCGGGCCTATCATCGTCTATTGCGTCTGTTTCTTGCTTGCGCTTCGTGCCGACTTTCCCGGATCGCGCCAGCCGGAGTAGATGCTGAGTCCAAGTGTTCAAAAGCTGGTAGTCCCGTGGCATTGGCGGTTCGCCCCATTTGTCGTCCTGACCAGGCTGCGTTTCTGAGACGGGTGGCGCGAGAGATACCCGAGCATATTGCTGGCCCCATTGTTTGACGGGAAGACCCTCAAAAACATCGTTGTCGGCATTGGTTCGTCCTGACCGGTTACTCCGGCCTGGCGGGCGGTACTGTTCAAGGTAGGACATGGTAAGCAAAGGCTCAAGCGAGGCCATCAGGAAAGGAAGAGCAACACAACGCGGCCATAAGCCGGTGTGAAGATGGACTTCTCAGTGGGGTCGGAGAAGATGGAGTGCGTGGTACGTGACAAGTCAAGCTTGAGGCGCATGAGCATGCAGACGGCCCCGTAGCAAGACAGCCGCCGTAATATTGGGTCTGCCGTGCGTAACAGGTACAGGCATTTGCTGCGACTTGTCCGTGAGGTACCAAAGTACCGGGCAAGGCAACGTTCATCAGCAGATGCGAGGATGCGGCCAAAAGCCAACGCGATGCCCTGCAAACTGTAGATCACGAACGCGCCGGGATTGAGGGGGGGAGTTTCAAATCTATGAGACGGGAGAGGTTTATTCGACGTACTGCGCTCATTGTTGGGATCCGGTTGATTGGTGGGCGAGTGCAGCACTGCTACAAGAGATCCACCGAGGGAGAGAGCAGGCGAGAGGGTGTCACGGCCAAAACACCAAAACCCAATACGCCCGGCGATCTCTCAGTCTGGGCGCCAACACCCGAGTAAGATGGTCGTCGCGTAAGTAGAGCAAAGGATGATAACGATATAGCGAGGGAGGTGATGGCGGTATTCGTAAGCGGGATAGAGCAACGTCGCGTTGAAGTCGACTTCGCGAAGTCCCAGCCGCCCCGAATCCCAGAGACCTGCCTGCCTCAGGCATCAATATCGGACAGTCGGACCCCCGCCCTCGCCGCACGATCCCAGCACATTAAGCGGGAATCAGAGAGATGACCTCACCTCCCTAAGATATCTCTCAATTGATAAAACAATCATTTCGTCAGCACCACATATCACGCCACCAACCCCTACACCATTGGCGCTGCTCTCAGTGTTATGTCGCAAAGCACCGCCTTCGAAGTGCGATCCCTGTATCGAAATCTCCTACGAACATCCCGCCAATTCGCCGCCTACAACTTTCGCGAGTACGCCAAGCGACGCACACGAGATGCCTTTCGCGAGCATAGTACGGTGGCGGATGAGAGGAGGATACAAGAGTTGGTGCAGAAGGGACTGAAAGAATTGCAAGTGTTGAAGGTGCGTTGAAGAGGCGAGAGCGATACGGGATGGTGTCGGGGCTAACGATGGATTGTGCAGAGACAAACAGTAGTATCACAATTCTTCCAGTTGGATCGGTTAGTAGTGGAGGGGGGCAAGACGGGGAAGCAGAAAGGCAACGAGGGCGATATAGTGAGGGACAGAGATATGGCGTGAGTTTCCAGCTGTTCTTGCGTGTTGAGGTACGAGCGGCTAACACCGACACAGGTGGGACTGATTGAGACTGTACAATTTGGTATCGACGATGCATTTACGGCGCTTCTACTGGATGTACAGTACATTCTCTGGCTCCTTCCGCACCCTGTCATTTTGAATGTTCGACCAAGTTAAAGGCGGCCTTGCACACGAGGCCAGCTTGTGGTGTGTATTGCTGGAAGTAATGGTACGCCCAACGCAGGCCCACTAACCTGTTGAAGATGGAGACTTGTCCAGGCTCCCTTGGTATGAAAAGATCGACTTCTTCCGTATCAGCACGTCAAAGGCCAATGTCACGCTAATTTGGAAAGTACTCCTTGGCGGTTCCGGGCGTTGGCATGCCCTTCATCCGCTCCGTACTAACTGATGCTTGCGCTGATGGTTTAAGTGTGCCTCTTTTCACGAACCAGAGTGTACTTTCCAGAGACCGGCATCCACTTCATGAGGGCCGCTCTCGCGCACGCGTCCACGTTGTTGCCGGTGAGATCGGTCAGTGCGACATTGCGAAGATTCACCCGCCTTAGCGCCAATAACTTGTGCTGCTTCGCGAAGGCAATCAGGCTCTTGCCGTCCAGGCATGCGTCCTTGATGCTCAAGCACTCAAGGGAAGTGAATTTCTCGTGGAGAAGGACGTTGATCGTGCGCGATCGAAGCCAAGGCGCGATACTGAAATCGGAAGGCCTCCCCGCCCATCTCGCGTCGCCTGCTACGCGCAAGTCTTTGAGGACTGGTGCGGAGCTCAGCGTCTTTTCAAAGCTCGACTTGTCTTCCGGAGTGTGGATGAAGTCATCGAAACTGAGGTGAAGAGATTGAACAGTCGTCAAGAGAGAGTTGAAAGCAGACATTCCAGGTCCATTCAAATCAATCTTCGACAATGGCAAGCTCCAGTCGAGCCCATAGCCTCCGAAAGTAGGAACCTCGAGACCAGAATCATCAATTGCTTGAACAACAGCAAAGAAAGCTCGGGAAGCATCTTTGGCGTGAGAGACGGGAGGCTTCATATGAAGACCAGCAGCCTCGCTGGGTGGGCAGACCCTAGCTGTCGCGCGGTCGACAACTTCCACACGCTCAGGCTTTGCGTGTCGCTTCTTCAAGATGGCGAAGAGTTCCGCCAACAGCTTGAAGTCGCCGTCTCGTTGCTGGAAAGACACATGTTCTTTGAAGGCCTTGTTCTGTTCGATGAAAATCCCATCTCCTTCAAAACAGGGGTGCCGCACATCCGCCGGACCCATGACTTGGTCGACCAGGAAGTACATCGTCTTCACCGCGGAGCCGAAAACAGGATGCTCGGCGACTTCGATCGCATGCTTCAGGCTCTCCTCGATGCTGACATAGTATGCTCGGCGCGTGAAAAGCGCCTGTGTGTAGTTGCGCAGAACCTTGGACGCGCACTCGCGGTTGGTTAGGCGGAGAGCTTTGAGGGATTTGGTTGGAAGACGTTCAGCGATGTCCTCGAACAATTCCGCAGGAATTCCAGTAAGGCAAGGGTCGTTCTCGGCCATCTTTGCTGTTATACGACTGGAACCGTTGCTTCTGAAGCGATGCGCACCTCGTGGTGAGCTTTGGGTACGTGTTGATGCTGGAGATGGGGTTCTTCGAAGCCGCCGAGTTTGCTGACGCGAAGTCCTTGGTCGGAAGAACAGGCGAAATGGGATGTCATGTACGTGCTTGAAATCCGCTGTGTCGGTTCTGTTGTTGTTGTTGGTGGGTGAGTGAATACCTTAGAGAACGGAAGACTAATGTTGTGCAGCGAATTAATGGAAGTGGGTCCTTCGGCGTTTGCTGAAGCGCGACAGCACGTGACAATCAACGCCTTCACTCGCACGTTCACCTGAGCTAGTCACTGATCCGCTCGAGTACGGCTCTACTAGCTTTCACTCCAAGTTCATATCGCCTCAATACGAGCGGCACCGCTATTGAAGTCGACTTCGAATATGGGCTCCTCGAAACCACCTGGAGACTCCTGGGCGCAAAGGGAAGGCCAGAAGAAGTGGGAATAGCATCCCAAATCTAAAAATTCGGATCGATCCCACGAAAGGACTTGCTTGGAATTAAAGAGCATCAAGGGATTGGAGAGTCCGCCCGTAGCACCCATATAATCTCAAAATCTAACCCGCTCGGCTGCAACAATTCCTTGCACTAGCTCGACGCTCTGTGGGTCCAGAGTCTTCCTCCCAGTGCAGTCCGTCGGTTCGGTGTGGAATGTGAGCTTCTTGCAGTCCGGCCCAAGACCGGGGTGCTGAGCAATAGCGACGGCTGAGTAGTGGATACTGCTGACGCTGGAGTGGTAGACCCGGTGGGCGAAGTTGCTTTTGTGCGAAGGGACGTATAACCTTTGAGCGCGCGCGGCACGGTCTAAGGTAAGAGTCGGAGAGCTTGAGGTGCGCTCGGAATGCGCTCTGCAATCCTCTCGAAGATCTCCACTGGAGTTGAAGGCAGAGTCGGCGTCATATTCTCTATGCTGAGATTGTGCTGACGAGCGTTTGTGTCGAAGAGCAGGCAAGTAGGGTGACGGAGTACGCTTCGTAGGAAGTAGAGATTTTAGCGCTATCTTTGTTAGTTTGAGTTTTTCGATGTGTTAGCGGACAAGTTATCTGCGTAATGCTGAGGAGGTTTTCGGGCAGGAGGCAGAGCGTCGTAGAGCGTCGTAGAGCGTCGTTGACATGTGGTAGCGCGCTGAGTTCGAGCTACGTGCAAAACCTCTAGGTCGTACATGCGTCAGGGCTGATGATATCCTGTCACGATCTTGTCGGTTCAATGTGGAAGCGATCTTTTCGTACTTGGGCTACTAAGCTGCAACGAGCGCTAGCGCTACATTGATCTCCATGTGATTGCCAAGACTCTTGCCAAGACTTCGCAGAAGCTCAGCTCGTATACTGTATCAACGCATCAGGTGAGTATCTGCTTCATGTGATATTCCTCGTGGGCGGGTATGTGACTTAAAGAGCTAAGATATCTTTGCAACTCGCTCTCATCTCCACCAACCACTTGAACTCGCTCTCATTAAGCCCGACGTAGTTCACCCCCAGCAAGCTCGCATCTTTCAAAATGACACCCAACTTCGCCAACAGTCTCCTCGCATGATCTTTCGCACTCTTCATGTCGACATGTCCCATCGCGGTTTCGACTTTGTCAAACTCCTGCTGGGCGTCACCGATGATGAGTTTCGCCACGGTCGCACTGACGCCAGGTGGTGCTTCTTCGTAGAGCTCGTCCGAGGAAGAAGAAGATGTGCAGGAGTCCCGTCGCGTGTCATCTTCGAGCAAGATAGCTCCGATACTGGCAAGCTCGACGAAATTGTGCATCGTTTTCGCAAAGCTCGGGGGGATTTGCTTTCCTCTGCCATGCTGGGCAAGATTATCGCTGACCGCCTCGAGACGAATGCGAGCGAGAGCCTTGGCCTTCTGGATCTGCGTCGGAGACATGATTGAAGTGTAATGTTCCTGAGATGGTCTGCGAGAACTGCCCGGAGAAACGTTCGGCGTGTGGGTTGCGGTCGAGCTGGCGCAACGGCGGAACGGCGAGTTGGCTCGCGTGGTGTCGGCGAGCAAAGCATTCATCATGTAGGCGGTAGAGTCTCTTTTGATGACGACTGGGCTAGTTCTAGATGCCGAGTTTGTCCTGCTCACTGTTGGCCGGTTGCTTGTTGGAAGCGGAGGCAAGGATATGGAGCCTGCGCGGTAGTCGCGAAACGGGATGCTTGATTCTCGACGGTCAAAATTCTCCATGGCTATGCTGCTGTCGCTCGCGAATCTTTCCTCTGGGAGTAGACGGATGAACTCCATGATGTTGATGTCAGTGTCAATGCTCACATGCTCGCTGTTGCTGTGAATAAGTATGCCGTCCAGGCGTTAGAATTGGGAGGCAAAGGAGGAATCTATCACAACGGCGGGTCCACCACCCCACCTTAGACAGTGCGGTCAGACAAACAAGCAGGCAGCGTCATGGCCGCATGCAGTAACACGTTGGGCACGAGAGGAATGTGGTGCAAAGGCGGAGAAGAACCTATGGATTGTGCGAGACTGCCGACGGTTTTGCTCGGCCTTGTCGCTGGTGAGAACGTCTGGTCTCATTTGCCGACGCGTAGTACAATGTTCGCTTCGCATCGATTGATGGTGTAGATGCGTCTCAGCGATGGAAGAGGTGAAGTTCAATTGCAATGGGGAAGGATCTGACGAGACGGCCGGTTTGGGTATAGCGTTCGAGCCGGCAGCTCCCGGAGCCATCAAAGATCACGTCAAATTTTGATGGAGCGGCGCCTCGGAGAGTTTCTGTACAGAGCCCGGTTTTTTACCGTCCGATCAAGGGCGACGACATCATCCTTGGCCTCTCAGGCATCGAGATCGACGGGTACTACCAGTGTCGACACCAAAGAGATTTCTTGAGCTTCAATTTGCCGTCGCTCTCATCATCAAGATTATCTTAAATCTCGCCGGAAAACATTTGCACGAGCGACCCGCCGATCACAGGAAGAAGGATGACCGACAGCACCAAGATCGTCGTCCAGCTCTTTGCGAAAACTGAACGGCCTGCAGAAGAGTGGAAGGGATTACGCGAGGCTGTAGTGACCCATGTCAACTATCTTATCAATGGCTACGAGGGGCCCAGCTCGCTCAGCGCCCGCTTCCTGGACCAAGCCTCTGAGGCCACAGCAGGAAGGGTCGTCGAGGTCATTGCGAACCTCAACAGTCACGGCAAACAGGTGGAAACACTGTCGCTACGCCAATGCAAGAACATCACCAATGACGACTGGTTCCAAAAGTTTTCCGCTGCCAACGAGGTAGAGATCATCTTGCAGCCGTACAACCTTTATGTCTTACACAAGAAGCCTGGTCTCGCCGTCTTCGACATGGACTCAACACTTATCCAACAGGAAGTCATTGACGAGCTCGCACGGGCGGTAGGACTGTACGACCAAGTGGCGGCCATCACAGAGGCAGCCATGCGAGGCGAAGAGCCCTACACCGATTTCGAGGCCTCGCTACGAGCTAGAGTAGCTCTCCTGAAAGGCGTACCGAATAGCATATGGGAGAAAATGAAGCGAGAGATCATCACCTTTACACCAGGCGCGCACGAACTGCTTCGTACTCTGAAGAAGCTGGGTTGGAAGGCAGCTGTACTCAGTGGCGGCTTCATACCGCTGGCCATGTGGGTGAAGGAGACGTTAGGATTGGATTATGCCTATGCCAATCACTTGGTGTCGGACCCGGCGCTAGAGCAACTCACCGGCGAGCTGGTGGGAGAAGCTCCAATCATTCATGGACAGAAGAAACGGGAGCTACTGCTTCAGCTGGCGAAGGAGAACGGCATCCCCACCGAGCAAGTCATTGCGGTCGGTGATGGCTCGAACGACCTACCCATGATGGAAGTGGCTGGTCTGGGTATCGCTTTCAACGCCAAGCCAAAGGTGCAACTCGCCGCTCCCTCCAAGCTAAATAGCAAGAGCTTGTCCGATGTCCTGTACATTCTTGGATACTCCAAGGAGGAAATAGATACCGCTGCCGGCTCATAGTGAGAAAGAAAAAGCAATGCAAGACTACGGGATCTCAGAATATCCGCGGTCCCAAGGTTTGGGCGGCTCGAGATAGTCTTGAGGCACACTCTCTGGAACCTGATACTTCTCCGCCCATGCTCTTACATCATCGAAATTACGACAGACGTGCCGAGTGTTGAAATCGACGAAGGCTTCAAGCTGTGCTGCTGTTGAAGGCTTGATCCAGACTTGACTCATGACACCAATATCCACAGTTCACATCAATTGCTGGTCTGCGAATCAAGATTCAAGAGGTCAGTCCATCCCATCATGTTCCTGAGACAAGTTCTCTCAACGAGGTACTCACGTATCGCATCAAGACAGTGCGCTAGATCCAACATCAGCGACATTATCCTCAAACGCAGACGCCGACACACGTGAAAATGTGCTTCTGCACAATATGCTCGCTATTCTTCAAAGCATCTTCGCCTCTCTTGCGATAGTACTCATTATTGTCATGCAACGTCTACCAAACCACATTCTGTACACATCAGATCAGCGCAAACCTCACCTCAGCCGACGCAGGAGAACAGCATCCAAACGATGCAACTGATACAGGCCCTCCACATTAGCCAAATACCCACCCACCATCCTTCTCGTTCCTCTTTACCTGGTCAGCCGCCAATCCCCGTTGCGTCGCAATCTTTCCCTGCACAAATAATGGTCTATAGTCGACACCTAGCGCTTCCCAGGCTGTATCAACTTCTGACCCTCCTCTTAGTCGATACACATTCTCCTTGAGCAGCGAACCATTGAAACTGGTCGTGGAGTAGGGGTTTTGGACGTCGTTACTTAGTGGGATTGGAACCGAGGCGTGTTCGATGCAGAAGTTGGAGAGGGTCGTACGAGTTTTGGATTCGCCGGCGAGGTAGTCGAGGGGAATTGGAAGGGCCACGAGTGAGGCGAGCTCGAACATCTTCCGAATTCGCCGAAAAGATGCATTTAGAATGATCGTCTGTGCGCAAATGTATCTTTTCGGAGTCGTTGCTCTCAAGCAGCCTTTCGTCTGCCTCTCGCGTCGTACTTTGGAAGCAAGCTTAGTAATTGGCCATCACATCTTGTCTCTACAAAGCTATCGATAACAAATTGATAGTGAAAAGACGGAATACCTAGACCCAACAAGCGAATCTTGCCGCGAAAGTAATCCTCGCCTGTACTGAGAATTATGCGGCGCAGGTTGATACGAGAGCAGACACTCGTCAGCCCCATGACTTGGCTTCGAGGTTACACTGCGACACCCAGCCACGAGTTGTGCTCTTCAGCACGGTGGCACCAGGGCTGCGAGACGAGAGCATGTTCGCTGTTTCAGCGATGCATGTGGGTACCACGCAAACTTTGGTGATGGTCAGTCGGACTCACTGATTATAGTATCTTCTAAATCATCAGTGTGGCTCGTTTGGCGATTATTCCGCCTACATTGAGGAAGAGTGAGGTCTCGAGGCGGCGCTAGGCATGGCGGAGGGTATTGAGATGAAGACGAAGTCCGTGCAGGCGGGAGAGGCGAAATAACAGGGGATTGAAGTGCTGCTGCAAAGTACTGGGACGTCAACAGCTTTATCCATTGAGGATTGAAATAAATAGTTACAGGCAAAGCCTTTCATTGGCAGACAGTAGCAAGTGGCGCTGCGACATGCAACCTGAAGGTGCTCTGTGTATCTGGTTTTTGTGATGTGCTGTAGGCAATAACATGCCCAGCATTAGCCGACAGTATCAGGAATATACTGCGACATGCAACCCGCAGGCGCTCTGTTTTGCTTTTCTTTTCTTTGCTCTTTTGAAGTCCTTCATTCCGTACTTCAAACGACTTCCAATGGCCTCCTTTTCCCATATGCTAGCCCTTCCCGATCCGTTTAGACGTAGAACATAGTTCCTTGCACGGCGGGATTGCAAGGATTGATAGCGTTGCGTGGCCAATCCGGGCTGCCACCCGTAGCCAGACGATTAGCAACAGCGGTTCGCTTCTGATCATCGGTCATGTTTGGGTTCTGAAGACCGGAGGTTCCCGCGACGAAATTAACGGCTTGATCTCGGTTTGGATGACGGCCAACAAAGTAATGCAACAGCCAACATCGAGCTCGCTGGCACAACTTGTCGGCATAGTACGCAGGAGTAACCAAAGACACCGGAGTGAGGGAGGTCGCATATATCCAGCTGAGGCCATAGGTCTAAGAAGATCGTCAGTAGAAGTCTTGGAATAGAGAGATGCTAAGTAACTTACAATGCGCTGAAGATCATCGGGGCTGAGGTTCATCTGGTTCTCCAGAACGAAATAATGGCATGGGCGTCCAGTGCCTTGCAAAGGCATATGGCTTTGAAGGAAGAAGTCAAAATGGTTCGGAAGACGGACTCTGGGATCGTCGACAACGAGACCTGGCTTGAAGTTTTCGTTGCGATCAAAGTGACCGTTGCGATTTTCGAATACTGTCTTATCGTCGGTTGCAGGAAAGAAGCGCGTTTGATGGCGCTTGGTGCAGACGACAGCGGTGTTGAGTGGTTTGTAGTCCGGTTTCCCAAAGACTCGGCCAGCCTCTTTGCTGGCGCGCTCGATAGCAGCCAGCTCGTTTTGCTTCACAGTTGCAAACTGATTTTCGCTTACGCCGTCGCGGTAGAACAGAATGCGATCCGGCAACGTCTTCTTGTTGGCCTTGTTATGATACCAGTGCGTCAGTCTCTCGAGCATCATGTCGTACATATCAGTGATATCCTGCCAAAAGTCAGTATGTGCGGTGATCGACCGTGCCCACAGACTTACCTCTTTGCGACCAGCCTGAGGACGCACTGAGCCTGGGAAATTGAAGCACTCTCCATTGGTGCTCGCAACCACAGCAGCGATCGAGGGACAATACTCCACGCTGGCGCCTCCCGGATGAACGACGTCAGCACCGACCATCATGGTCATTCTATCGCCAGCGTGAAGATGCAGTTTCAGAAAGGTGTCGGCCAAAATGAAGTTCTTCCCGCCCAGTTTCGCATTGAACTTCAAGGCCAGGTTTGCTTGAAATCCAAGGTCATTACCCATCTTGGCGACGTTGACTCTGCGCGAACAGATTCTGTTGATGCCTGCATGAATGTCGCCCCATCGCTTAATGGCAGCGTAAGTGTTCGGCTGTCCGTCCATGACGACCAAGACGGTTTTCGCGGTGCTTTGCCCATATGCTGCATCCAATTGCGTGTCCGATGCTGTATTGGCGTATCTCACAGTGCTTGTACCAGGACGGCAATTCATGCGCAGTCTCTTCAACTCTTGCTCAAACCTCAACAGATCAGACGGAGCAAGCGCTGCGTTCTGTTGCCCGACAACGAGTACAACCAGATGCTGCAGCGGCTCGCTGCCTTTGAAAGCCTTGCGCTCCATGTTCCATTAGCCCTTGGCTCGATGAACATCGGTACCTGTTCCATTGAGAGCTTGAGAGCACTGGAGATGAGGCAGCTGAAGCACGCGGCCATTGACCAGAGTCATGGTTGGAGCGACTTTTAGGATGTTGTGTTGCTCCAAGTTCGTCAGCTGAAGCAGCTGTCCCCCATGTTCTTGAATGTGCCGAACATTGCGTAATGGTGGTGCCATGCGAGCGAACTGTGGCAGCCCCTGCGGAACGCGCATATCCTCGTCCGGGACCTTGCCGCGATGATACTGACCTGGTTCTACCCACGGCAGCTCCATTGGAATCCAAGTGGGCTGGAGTCTGCTACCGACATTCACAACGGGTAGTTCGGGGAATTGAAGCGGACGCTGAAGGACATTGGTGTCGAAGTGATGCTGCACAGTGACCGTACGGCCGCCCTGGTTAAACGTCTGCAGTCGGGCTGATTCTCCAAAACCACCAATACGCTTCAATCGTCCTAATGCACCGTTGGTGATTGGTGATTGGTGATAAGGGCGCCTTTGGATTCGCAGGATCTGGTGGTTTGTACTTGTATCTGACTTGGACTTGATTGAGCATGGCGCGCATTTCTGGCTTGAGATTATTCAATCGCTGACGAGCGATCTGGGTTGTAGGGCGAGTATTGAAATCTGCGCCAAAATAGCGACGCAAGAAAGCAATGAGATCCCCCTGAGGAAAGAATGCCGTCGTTGATGAGTTCAGCTGAAGCGATATGTTTCCTGTACCTGGTCGAACAGAGTTCGCAAACCCATAGTGCCATTTTAAGCCGGACGGCAGGTTCCCACCGGGGTTGGTGTCGAAGATTCGGTTCTTGCCAACACGAATGGTATTCTGGGCGGCGAAGTGCCGAACCATGATGTTGAGAGCCTGTGTGAAGTGCCCATAATTGAAGTTGCCAGCAGTGCGCCCATTGATGTAGTCAGCAAGGTCCGCCCTGTTCAAAATTCTCACCTCTTTGAGTATTGCAGCAGCATTGAGAAGTGTGTTGGCCGCTGTCTGGTTGGCAAATTGGAATTGAGCCAGACGTTTGTTGGTATGCCGATCTCCCCGTACCGGTAGAAGGAGGTTTGGATTGACCACGTATCGCAACGGTCCCGCGGTGACCAAAAGGTTGTCCAATCTGTGCAAATCTGATTGATATTGTTCCCGTTCGCCAGCGCAGCCAAAATGTTGCCAATCATGATTCTCTTCACACTAGGGCTTGTCACCTTCCTGTTGTTGATTCTTGGGAGCGTGATTGAGTACACGAAATAGCTCGTAGCATCTGACATCCCGCGAGGTGTGATGAGGAGCCTGTTGACGCGGACCTGCACTCCGTTGCCTGCCTCACCAAGGGAAGAGCAAGTCGCATATTTCTCATCAAAAAATGATAACTGAGGCACTTCCTCTTCGGACTCGTAAACCTCATCGGCCGGCACGAGATCGAGAGACTTATTCTGGCTGTTTGATGATTTTTGCCGAGAGTCCAGAGACAGAGAGGCCATCGCAGAAGAGGGCGAGGCCGCGGTGGTGGTTTTGTCAGACATGACCGTAGGAGGTGAGTGTGGAGTGGATGAGTTAGAGTACTCATCATTGTTCTTGCCTGGCGCGCCAACCTTAGCCGAAGCGGCAGTGGGAGCCTTGCTCTGGCTACTGCCTGGGGCATGGGGGTTGGCTGAAGAGCTCTTGTTCCGAGACATTTGAAGTGACCGTGAACAAGAGAAGAGCAACTGGTGCTGATTCGAAAGATTTGATCCACCGCTACACTTAGCCTGCTTATATCTTGAAGTGCCAGCCGGACCATGATTGCTGTTGTCATTTGCTTGCCCTGCCGGAAAGTAGACGAAAGCTTTGAGCTAGCAGACAGTACCAGCACTTCCTTTGAGAATTGGTGTCAATAGATAATGAAGTCTTGAAAACACCACGATTGCTTTTGCGATCGATACAGAATGACCGCTTAGAACAAATACCCTGAAGGTGACAAGTACGTTGAAAGGCGCGTTTGAACGGCGAAACTGGAGACAATTACGACACTGCTGGCTCGATATGCAGACAACGCGCAGACAAAGTGCAGAAGATATGCAGAAAATGCAATTGCAGTTGTCGTACGTTGGCAAATGATCTGTTTGGACTATTCGAGTGGAAATGTTTGGAAGGGGACGCGTTGCATGTGGAGTCATGTCGCGCGCAAAAACGTCACGTGCACAGCATCACGTGAGAGGCTCGAGTGATTTTCGTCATGATATCACTCCACCTGTTCAGCGTAGATTACTAAAGTTGTATTACTAATAATCAGAATTGGTATCCATCCTCGTCAAATTTGCGGTTGATGCCAAACGACGATGCGTGTAGTCCTCACCATCAGCATTGTTCCAGGCCACCACCGCTGGGCTGCAGAGAAAGACCACTTGACGCCCATCCATCGCCTCAGAACTGTCTTCAAGTTCGGAATTGTGCAGGCGATTTGGCTCCAAGACCTGGGAAGATGCGTAATATGAGGGAGCAATTACTTGCGAGTCCACAACCTCCAGGCAAAATCTGCCGCGCTGTGCATTAGTACTCCAAGCTCCGAGCACGGCTCCTAAACTTCCGACAGCGGTATCAGCCATTTCGCGAAATCCAAGACACATTTTGACAAGGCTATGCGCTGCAACTCGCCGGCTATGTTCAGCGGTTGTGTTGACTGTCGAGCTTGCGGAACAGTCAATCACTGGAGCATCCAAAAGGCGAAGCAACTTAGATCGCCATCCATTCGTGCCAGGCAAATCTCCTAGCAAGTTGTCAGCTCTGGCTCAAATGTCTGAGCATGATCCGAGATTAGACTTGCCGTCCGAGCGTACCATATCAATCAGGCTGCCCAAGGCTTCGCCATGTTGGTCAAGCAGGAGTTCATCCTGCCCATTACGCCCAATGAATGCGAATAGTGGATTGTTGAACAAGGTCATAATGATCAGGCCCGACACTGCCGCGGCAAGCAACATTGCAGCCGCCTTGCCCGGCTTTTGGACTTTTGGACTCGCTAGAATGTGCTCACATAGGACGGCCGTTGAAGGTGTGCATCCTGTTGCGAGAACAAATTTCTTGAATGCCTCAGTCTGCAAGATGGACAAGACATGCTCACTGGATACCTGGCATGCTTCTCACTCGACTGCTTGACGCCGGAAAGACTTGTCTGCATTCTCAGATCAATCTCAGAGACTGGATCTGGCATCCAGTATCCACTCTCTACCCACTGGAGCTTCTGCCTCTGGAACATGTCGACTAGTTCCTTGAGCTGGCTCACCTGGGAACGTTGACTCTCTAAGACTGCGACTTTGGACCTAATCTCGCGTCCGAGCCGTGCTCTTCTTCGTCACTCTGTTGAAGATGGTCCCGTAGAAGGAGGTTATCCTGGGTGCTTCTACTGAGTCTATGTTTGAATTCGTCCGTCACTCGCTGCAGCTGAGCTTTGACCTCTGTCTCCTCTTGTCTGCTTTGTGCCAGGTATTCCATAAATGCCTCGCCATCTTCGAGAAGCAAGCTCACGAGTACGATGACCCTTGCTTGGAAGAGAGCGAGGGGGCTGGCGTCCTCCATTTCCCGCCCAACAAGACTGCGTTGGAAGTCTGCGCTGACTTCTTGCGAGAGGTGCATCTGGTCAAACATCTCTCGGCAGAGGTTCTCTCATCATTGCCACTGGAGCGACAGAGCGAAATCGCAAACCCTCCGAGCTGCCCAAAAAGCCGCTGGAATGGCCACGTTGAAACTACACCCCGACGTTGATGTCTTCTTAATCCCAGAGCCAGAAGCTGCGGCTGTCGTGGCCATCAGCACACTAACCCAAGAAGGATCAGAGCAGCAGATCCAGCCTGGACATAACGTTACTGTCTGCGACTGCGGCGGTCGTATAGTGGACATGACGACACATTATCTTTGTGGGCGGGCATGGGACTTAGACTGACGCACGAGCAAGGGTCTCACTGCGCCGAGACATTGCCTCAGGCACTCTTCCAACCACCAGCGACGAAAGTTTACCGTTCCAGTCAGGTTGGTTTCTCGCGCTGCGTGCACAATAAGCACGTGTAGGTCAGGGATGATGGCCCACAACCCGATAGCGTCGACCTGTGTGCTGGTGTTAAGCTAGACACGTGTATGAGTGGGTCTGCGCACCAATGGTCAAGGCCTCTACTGTCAACTTAGCTTGATTCACCTACCTCATCGGTGGCGCTGTTTACGGCTCAGGGCGTGCTTCGCGGACCCCAGGCCATCCAAACCTGTCTCATGGTCATTAGAATCCTTCGAAGTACAATCTCGCTTAGACAGTTGTTGGGACATTTACAAAGCTCCTGCAGCGTTATAACGCCTTGCATATTGCATGAATGCTAGTAGTCCAGACTCGGACCGACCTTGCCGTGCCGATCCGTCTTCGGACGGCAGTGAGCATCGTGGAGTAAGTGCACCGTGTACTTCATGCGGTGAGATCGAAGAAGATTCTCTCGGCGACACCGCCATATCAGTATTCCTAAGCATGGAGTGGCCAAGGCCAGGCTATATGCACGGATTGAGGTTTCGCTTAGAGACGTGAAGTCGGGACTTAGGGGCCGCGCTAAGGTGGCTCCTCCGCATCCTCCTGCGTCACGAACGGGTAGCACAATTGTCATACCGCACAGTCGGAGAACCCGGCATAGGATCCTGCATTAGGGGTCGATGATCGCGTGGCTGCTTTTGATTACACGCATTCTAAGGTAGGCTCTAGCACAGGGGCTTACGAATTAAGATAGATGAATACAGATTTCTTCGTAGAATTACTAACTCTATTACATTATCTCTAGCTCTGTACTACTACTACTACTATAGCTCTAAAACTTAGAAGCTATTTATAATAGATTATTAAGACTAAAGTAAGCTAATATACTATCTAGAACGTTATTTAAGTATTAGAATACGTATAGAGACTAATATATACTGAAATACTTCTATTAGATCTAGTATTATAAAGAGTAGTATTCTAATAGACTACTAGTAATTATATAATAGCTAGTACTTAACTCTAATAATATAAAGAGACTAGTACGGTTTTTACGGTACTTGTTATACTACCTATCTATCTACTAACTATTATAGAAGTAAGTATTTATACCTAGTAAGAAGGATATAAGCTATTAGATTTAATAAACTTGAAAATAGGCTTAAAAAGACTATCTCAGCTTATATTAGAGAATATATAGTTATAATTGTCTATAGTAGTGAAGTTCTAGCTACTTACATATGTTATATGTTGCGAGAATAGTATAGCTTGTCCGATAGAGACAACGCGATTCTGCCGCTAAAGGGCAGTCCGAATAGCCGACCAAGGATTTCGGTTGTGAGCCACCAAACCTGCCAGTGAGCTCCCGCATATGGCCCGGCGCTCCCCGTGCACCATGGGTATAGGGCTTACTGGAAGTTATCAAATTTCAAGATCTGAAATGCATATTGTATTTTTTGTTTTGGCGGTGAAATCTGGATCGAGCAAATGCACGTGTGCCACGTCGCCTCTTTGTGAATGCAGCTACTATCGGATCAGTCACATTGCGCCCAGTCAGAATCAAGCTCCGCGGCGCAATGGTTCATTGGGGAGATTCCGTTAGGCTTATAGGAGGCTCCGCCGCGCGCGCTCGCGCCTGCAACGGGACAGCCTGGCCCGCCATCCATAGGTATCTTTCTACGGTAGAATCCACGGAGGCATCATGACTGTTTCTCACCGTGATGGATGCAGATGACGATGCGGTTGTCAGTTGCCGTGCCGACGCGTCATGTTCTTCGACATAAGCTTTGCGTATTCTGCAAGCGGACGTGCACCTTCAGGAGCGCAACCGTTCTGTCGGGGCGGATATAGTCGCTAACTCGGCGCTCCTTAGTACACTTCAAGCTGCAAAGCGGAAAGGGAGCTGATCGAAGTGCTTGGCAAAGTCGACGATTGCAAAGTCGACGATGTTGGCACGAACGTGATCAACAATGCGACGCTGCCAAACGTCGGATTCTGCGCCTTCCGCATCCACCTGACCCGTCCCCGGACAGTACGACCGGATTGATCACAGTGGTTGTCTAGGAGGAGCATGCTGTTTTAGATGTTCCCAATACTCTTCATCAGACCCTAGCCATTGGTCTCTCCAACGTCTTGTGCCGCCTCAGTCTTCCCCGGATGATCTCTCTTTGGATAACCAGTCTCAGAGTTTTGTAAATAGTCCAGTCTTGATCCCATTGGTCGTATGGGCCCTATTCCGCAATGCCGAGCTGGGCATCGACGCAACGCCTGAACGCTCCCCCTACTCGGCGGCAGCGCTCGTGCACAAAGATGTCACACCAGACGTGTTGCCGGGCCGCCCACCAGCTCGCAAACTGTCTTCCAGATTCGGGATAAACGTCATGGCATCGTTGCATATGAGACGAAGGCTTTCGGAATACCCAGGCGAACGGGCGGACCGCGCGGCTTGGCGAAGAAGATGCGGTATATTCTGGCTTCCAATTCACGGACACTCCTACTATGGAGGCTTGACGTGAGTGTGCCTTCGCAAGAAGCATATTCGTCTCAGATCATCTTTCATGCGCACCTAGGTGCTTGCCGTTAGGGGCATTTGCAGTCTTGTTGCGATCGCTCTCAATGTCTTTGGGGTATTTCCGTGATCTACGTTGCGCGTTGGTGGGAGTTGCGGAGGTGTAGGTTTATTGTGGCTGACGTTGGGAACATTGACAATTGTCATTCGCCAAATTCTTCGGGTATGAGAGACAGTCGACTTGAAATGGTAGTATCGACGTCGATTCATGGGCGTGATGTCGCACCGACCAGGCGGTAGGAGCATACATTGTTCGAGGGTGAGAGCACAGCACTACGCTAGTGTTGTACGGAGCGATGGCTCAGAGACTCAGGTATAAGTATAGGCTCCTCGTCCAGGTCAGTAGTTGAGAACGCAAGACAATCAGTTCCAATCATCTACTACTCACATTCAATCATTCTACCACTTACCAACTCCTCCGACAACTATCCAACCACCACCATGCAGTTCACCACCATCGCGCTCATCGCCTCTGCCGCCCTCGTAATGGGTGCCCCCAACGGTAGCTGGGGTAAGGGAGGAGACAAGGGCAAGGGCGGTGACAAGGGCAGTGGCAGTGGCAGTGGTAGCAGCAGCAGCAGCAGCAGTGGCAGTGGCAAGGGCAGTGGCAGTAGCAACAGCGGTGACAACAACATCTGCTCCAACGACATGAAGGCAGCCTGCTGCCAGACGACCGACGTCTCCCTTCTGAACGTCCTCGGTGGCTCTTGTGCTCTCTCCGTTGGTAGGTGAACCATAGAACGAATCTTGAGGTCTTTCTGGCTTACACTTCAAACAGTCAACGGCCAGTGCAGCCAGGGCTCCATTGCTTGCTGCTCTGTCGACCAGCAGACCGTAAGTCGCCAGAACATCCCGAAAGCAGGATCACGTACTGATTTCGTCAGGGCCTCATCAACGTGGGCAATGTCTGCGTTCCAATTACCGTCTAAGAGTTTCAGGGGCAGAGAAACTGGGGTGGTTCATCCTTTTCCTCTCTGGCTCTCAAGCTGCCGGACGGTAATGAACGCTACAAGACCTCGTAGTGGATTGATCCAGGACTTGGAAAAGTTGGGAGCGTGGCCCAATTTGCTCATCTGGAGGCATGTGTAGCTATGCGAGCTAGTGTTTTCAATGGTCAATTGATGCTACGATTCTACACGGACAAAGTCTTTTTGATCCAGCTCGAGTTGAAGTTGTTGTGTCGACCATCTGCGCTTTGCGGAATCTTTCGAAGTGGGTGTACGGTGAATATGTTCGTAGTGACCAGCTGTTTAAGGTGCGATATCCTCCGTTCTGCGACGAAGTGAAGTGTACGGAGATGGTGGTACAGAAACCGGAATCTGCCGCGGCGTCGGATTTCGGAGAAAATTACCCCCTAGCTTTAACGCTAGTGAGTAGTCGAAGATTAGCCCCTTTCCACCTCATCTTAAACTTCATTCGACTCATTCTTCCGTGCCTGTTAACACCGGACAAACTCGACATAGGGATGGACAAAAGACAACAAGATTTGCAGTCACTTGGGTGTCGCAAAGCAATATCGATGCTTCTTGGACCTCTCTAGGCGCTGATCAGTCACGGCCTAGGGTGCCACCCTCGAAAAGGCGTACCTTCCTCGTTATGAAACTCTATACGAGGTAGACTGGCCCTGTCAACCCTCAGAACCTGGCTTTTGTCACTTGAACACCAAGAAAAGCACGAACCGTAGCCAACAAATCCAAGCGCCAGCGTTTTCGGCAGATGCGGATACGATAGTGCCATCGCCTACGCTACACAACTTGTTAGGAACAAGGAACACGATGCGTCTACGTTGGAGCCTGGCAACCACGAGCATGCCACTATCGTGGCACTATCGTGAGGATAGATTGATGATCCAAACTTCTTGCAATATCTAGCGATCTTGTCAGGAGCGATTCGGGGCTCAGAGCAACACATCAAGAAGACACGCTTAAAACGGTTTCTTAATGGCGCTCCGTATCTCAAGGTACAACGCTGTCGATAACCTCATGTTGCACTCCCTATCCATCCGCCATCATCCTCGCCGGGATGTCGCACCTCTAGTGCTTTTGAGGCAGTGTTAACATGTCTCTTCTCGGAAGATACGGTCAAAACGGTCTCTCAATGGCGCTCCGTATCTCAAGGTACAACGCTGTCGACAACCTCATGGTGCACTTCCCATCATCCGCCATTATCCTAAGCGATGCCATAAATACCGCTATCTTCGCTCCAAATCCTTCTTCAACAACGACACACTCATTCCCGACCTGAGCACCCCATTCCTATCCGAAGATGCAAGCCCAAGCCTTGGTTCTCGCCTGCATAGCAGCCTTGGTCGCGTCCCAGCGATCTGAGGTCAATTTCAGCGATGTACCTGTATGTCTAGGTGAAAGAAGCATTGGTCGTGGCAATTCGCGTTGTTGACTATGTGTAGGAACAATGTTCCTATGATACATATTGCGAGCAAGTGATTCGCGTGGCCAGCCAGTGCCCTCGTAACGGTAAGGCAAAGACGACGCCATTGGCTTCTCTCTCACAAATACTTACGATGTGGCAGGCAACGTCGAATTCAACGGTGATATACAATACCTATCTTGTGTCTGCCCCGATGAGAACTTCCAGTCATCTATTGCACAGTGTTACGCCTGCGTGGGACAGTACAAACAAGGGGGAGGTAAGGGGATGCTCAATACATTACATGCTTGTTATTCCATAATCCGAGCTGACAACTGTCGACAGACATCAAGGAGATTTACAACGTGTGTACCACCTACAACGATGGCGGAGATGATTTTGAGTGAGATGTAGGCTGGTTATCAAGTTGAATCTGGATGGAGTTTCTGCTATTGTGCTAGACAACGCTCGCTAAACATATTTTGCGAATATGAACTCTTTGCTTCGATTTCTTCGTATGTTCGCATGCGTATGCTCCGTATGCTACAGAGACTTTGACAACCTCGCCGCGCCCGTGCAATGATGAAACGTTCCGTCCAGGATTGGTTCTGATACGCGATTGCCTTCGATTTGTGTTAGTCGGAACTTGCCATGAAACTGCGTGTGAAGATAAACACGCGGACACTATTTATAGCCGCTTACACAGCATTATCCTGATTTGGCAAGGTGCTCTCTAGGTGAAGTGAGCACTTCACTCCTCCACGAGCATCCACCTCACACATACACCACCGCATCTTAATCATCGTTCATGTTACTCACAACGCGCTCTTCGTCGTTGAGCATTTCAGTTGTGTAGCGAAACTGCGAAATATGTCACAACTGAGAGGTGTGACAGAGCAGTGTCAGAAAACCGGTTTGCTGCAGGACCAATACACGGTACATCCGACCATCATGACTCGCCCATTGGAGCGTTCCAGGCGTACAAGATGCTTCCCAGCGTCACGAGCTGCGGACCACCGCTTACGCAAACATGAAGCTGCCACATCTCTTCCCTCGTTTGCAGGGTGAGGCATCGCCGACGCCACACAAGCTACTGTACACACCCTAGAGTTGCCACCGCGTGACAGTAAGCAAGCAGCTCGCGCACATGGGAAATTTCTGTATCTTTTCGCTTCGTCCCTCTTGATGGAACGCCACCGAACACAAGCCTCCATGACCAAGCAATAATGGAAGGCTTACTCTCGTGGAAACGGCTATGCTTCCTGCTAGGAGGCTTGATCGTGCTTCAGTTCACCTTTCTGTTCTCCAGCAGATTAGGACGGGATATGTCACCGGATATCCTAAACAAACTTCATCATTCTCGGCCGTATCACGCCAAGCCTCAACCCGTACAGTCCACGAGCCAGCAGATCACGACCAACTCCTCCGATTACACCCAGGATCGTTGTGAGACTGAGTTTCCAGATCTGTACCTTCCCATTGACAAGACTGTGTCTTACTGGAAGGATCGCGGTCACACCATCAACTCCAAAGATATGGACATCTCATGGCGCCCCGACGGGGCAATACGTATCCTCATTCATCAGAACGAACTCCGGGTACTCCAGACTAAAGGAGTCCTCACACGCAGAGACTACCACATCCGCGCTGTCTCCATCTTGAGTATGATCCAACGTGCTTTGGAAAGCGCGACCCGAGCAGGCGAGATCCTGCCTACGATCGAGGTACCACTCATAATGGACGACCGATCTGGCCTCAAGGGACATCCAGAAGCTACCAATACCGCCTGGGCTTGGGCTTCTAACAGTGAGAACGCCAATCATGAACGCCAATGGCTCATGCCGGACTTTAATTTCTACAGCTCCCCTTCCTCTGGCTCTTACGCGGAACAGCTCCGCATGGCGGAGCAGATGGATTCTGATTTCGAGGACAAGATTTCCAAGGCGTACTGGCGCGGAGTACTCTGGACTGCGAAAGAGCTCCGCGGTCCACTCCTCGATTCAATGAAGGGAGAATACTGGGCGGACGCCGCTGCGGTGGACTGGAAGACGCGGGAGAATATTGTTGCTATGGAAGAACATTGCCGATACGCTTTCAACGTGCACACCGAAGGACGATCCTATTCCGGCCGATTGCCCTTCCTCATGAACTGCGATTCGGTACCCATCATCCATCCCTTGAAGTGGACGGCGCATTTCTACCATCTCCTGGAGCCAAGCGGCGAGAATCAGAACTACGTTTCTGTCCGGCGGAATTTCAGCAATCTCAAAGAGGTCGTCGAGTACTATCTCGATCGACCGCGGGAAGCGCAGCGGATCATCGAGAACGGGAAGAGGATTTTCAGGGACAAGTATCTGACTCCCGAAGCGACCTCTTGTTATTTCCGGCGGTTGATCAGGGCTTTCGGCGAGGTCTCGTTCCAGCCGAATGCGAGTCGTCCTGCGAACAAGATGCTGAGTTATCGGCCGAGAGGGATGGCATTTGATGCCTTCGTGCACGTGAACGAGGATTACGATGATGAGAAATGGAGCGAAAGGTGGGACTGAGTTGCCAGGTGAAGATCTTCCGATGCAGGGGAAAGCTGCACCCGGATCAATCTGAAGTCAATCTGGATAACGACTGCGTCTGGGATAGGGCTCACACACTCCATACATCAAGCTGCAGGAAGACCTCAAGGAACTGGAAGATGCTGTCCTCAAACGTGACCAGCGACCAGGAAAAGCAGGCCCAGGAGCTCGAGAAGATGTCCGAGATGCCCATACGCTTTCAAGCTCGGGACAAGCTCACGTCGTGAGCATATGGAAAGGCCCTTTAGATCGCATCAAAAGCGAGCAGAAAGCCCTCCATGGTCGTGAACCCCGAACAGCGCGCAATGGTCTTCCGTCAGCCACTGCTCGCACAAGACATGATGGCGTTGGTGTCGTGGGAGTGGAGGACACAGCGAGACCCAGCGCCTCTGAAAGAGCAAGATCCCAGGGAATCGCTCTCCCACATCTCTGCATTGCTCGGCCAATAGGGATCATCAATGTTACCGAAAAGAAGTCAACACCAGGAATTGCACAAGGAGCCTGAAGAGCTAATTTCGGTGACGGGGCTTCCACCAGTCCGTCCGCTCGATGTTCAATCCACATCCATATCCATCATTCAAGACACCGAAAAAAAATCCGAACTTCTCCACGTCCTCTCCATCCTCAAATCAAATCAAATCTTCATTCATTACATCTCTTACCTGCCTACCTACCGCACCCCAAACCCCAAACCACTTCAAACCCCCTTCTTAAGACCCCACGAATTCCTTCTCCTCAATCTCCTCTCCGGGCGAATGATCCCCACCCCCGCCCCCACCACCACCACCGGCCTTCTCGCCCTTATTCGCCTCCGCCGTCTCTTCCGGGTCCAAATCCTCCTTGCCCTTCCTGTACCGCCGTTCCGTCCACACGGGGTTTTCCCCCTTGGCGTGCGCGGTGGCGAAGATGGCGTCGAGAGTTTCGAGTTTGTGGCCGTTTGTTTCGGGGAAGAACTGCAAAACAACAAACAAAAGAAAAAGCGGTCGGTCAGCGAAAGAAGGAAAAAAAGGCAACGTGAGGGAATGAATGAATGGATGGGAAAAGAAAGAACTCACAAAGTAGATGACGGGGATAAAAGCGATATTGAAGCAGAAGAAGACGAAATACGTCTTCCATGCGATCTTGTTGATCATGATGGGCGCTAGCTGCACCACGGCGTAGTTGAAGAACCAATTCGACACGGTCGAGAGGCCGGCTGCCTGTGCGCGGATGCGGATCGGTGTGACTTCGGCGGGGTATAACTGTAAATCATTTCAGAAGCCAGATCAGCAAGACAGCTCTCACACACATCCCATGGTTCGGAAAAGTAAAAGGGAAGCAATAGAAAGAAAGAAAAAAAAAAAGGAAAAAAACCCACCCAAGTAACCCCCAACCACCCGAGCGCAAAGAACGTATCATAGACAAAGATAAAAACCGTAGCGGCGTACGCGGGGGCTTTATTCTGCTTGGTGGCGTAGGAGAGACAGGCGCCGATGATGCAGAGGGAGGCGGCCATGCCGAAAGCGCCGAAGATCATGAGGAAGCGCCGGCCGAGCTTGTCGACGACGAAGAGCGCCGCGACGGCGGCGAGGAAGTATTCCGTGCCGAGCCAGCCGGTCATGAAGCGCGAGAGCGTGCCGTCGAAGCCGAGGGAGGTCTCGAAGACGGTCGTGGCGTAGTAGGTGACGAGGTTGATGCCGCCTAGAGAGAAAGAAGATCTCCAATCAGTATATGTAGAAGAATGAAGAGAGGGGGAGAAGGGAGGGAGATATATATATACCAATCTGTTGAAACGCCTGACTGAGAATCCCCGCCGAAGCTCTCCAGCCATTCATGGCTTTCCCATTACTACAGAATTCCCTCCAGGTGAGCTGTCTCCCCTCGTCTTCGCGATTGATCTCTTTGATTTCCGCGATATCGTTCTGCACCTGTTCGGAATCCGCGGGACAGTCTTCGAGACGGCCCATGATCTCGGCGGCGGCGGCGTCGTGGCCGTGTTTGAGGAGCCAGCGGGGCGATTCGGGGAAGAGGGCGATGCCGAGCAGGAGGAGGACGGCGAAGAAGATCTGGAAACCGATGGGGAAACTGAGGTTTTGGTTTGTTTGTTTAGTGCAGGGTAAACAAATTGGGATGGAGGGCTTGGGGGGAAGGTGATCTTACCGCCACTGCAGAGACCCATACTCCGTCACGAACCAGAACCCATAATTCAGCCAGTAGGAGATGACAATCCCCAGCGTAATCAACGCTCCCTCGAACAGAACGAGGAACCCGCGGATCTTCGGCGGTGCAATTTCTACCATATCACACCCGTTTCATCAGCCCACTCTCCTCCCTCATTCCCCCTTGCACCCACTCCCACATTTTTCGAGAAGGGAAAACTCACCACTCTGATAGACCGGAATCGTACTCGTATTCATCCCATTGCCAACCCCGGTAACAATCCTCCCCACGATCAACTGCGCCAGCCCAAAACTGCTCGTCTGGATGATCGCCCCGACAATCATAATCGAACCTCCTAATAAGATACTCCTCCGCCTTCCGATTTTGTCCCCGAACCAGATGATCCCCACGGCCCCGAACAGGCATCCGATTTCATAGATGGCCACGACGAGGGATTGGATCGCTCCGGATTTGTTGTTTTGGTTCATCTGCGGGAAGGTCTGCAGGAAGATGGGCTCGGTGATGATGCCGGACATTACGCCTTCTGTTTTGATTTCCCATCTATTGTCAGCATGTGTGGGCGGTGAGTGGTGAGTGATAGCAGGGAGGTGCTTTACGGTCATATCCCAACAACAGAAACCCAGAAGACGCGGTGACGCAGATGCCCGTCTGGAGCCATTTGCCCTTCAGGCTCTCGCCCAAGAGGCCTGTGTGGGAGAGGAGACTCATCCTTGGATTCCGGTACGCAGAGTCCGGAAAGGAAAATACCACGAGCGGTGACCCACAGTCGCGTGTGTGGGTATATATACGTCGGCTCTTCAAGTCCCGACAAGCATGTCAGCCGAGCATGATGAAAAGCAAAACTGCCCAGAATTATTTGCGTTCCGGCTATCCAACCAGACGGTACGGGAGGGAACTCATAACGCCAACATCCCTCTGATGCCGTCACACAATGTAGATCCGGACGGGGAGTCGAATGCGGGGAGAAAGTCAAATATCACTTCCTCATGTCTTTCTCTTTGTCATTTTGTGAGCCTTTGCACTCTCGTGATCAGTAAAGCAAGCGCATCGCATGCATGTGATCTCATCATCTATACTTCGAGCGAACAACGTCGTCGCGTAGACTGCCAGTGTTGATGGTACTGTGGAGGCCGAGACGAGCAGACTGTGAAAGTTCGACGTAGGAATAAGCTTCCCCATAGACGCTTAACCGGATCAGAGTTTCAGCCTCATCGTGTGATCGCGTGATCTCCATCCTGGGTCCTGGCGCTTCGACGAGTGCTCCGTCTCGAGAGTCATCACGAGACACGGGACATGTTGGCAAATGATCCTGGAGCCGATATGAGAGCGGAAGGTGGGACCTATCAGACATCCTCAGCGAAACCGCCATAAAAGATTCTCTCTCATCTCCATCACATATCTATCATTTCAGCAGACACTGGTCTTCTGTTTCACGCTTTTCTTTGTAGCTTGCCATCAATTGCTATCCCATCGCAACTCACTTCAGTGCAGGGAGCTGCAACTCATTATGCTCTTTCTCGCCTTCGCTTACAACTGATCAAGCAGACCCTCCGCCTCAAGCAGTAGCACAATTTGGTGCACCGCGGTCCTCACATTCTCCTTGCTGATATCCACAACCAGATCCGCCTCCTTGTCCTTGGGAGCCTCGTATGGATCATCAACACCAGTAAAACCCTTGATCTGGCCTTGACGGGCCTTGGCGTAGATGCCACGTCGGTCGGTCTTCTCGCAGTACTCGAGAGGTGTGGCGACATGGATGAGGTAGAAGGAACCATGCTTCTCGACCACCTCACGCGCAGCTTTGCGGGATGAGGTGAAGGGTGCGATGGGAGCGGCGATGACGGCGGCACCGGCGCGCGTCAGCTCGGAGGCGACAAAGCCGATGCGCTGGATGTTCTTGTGCCGGTCCTCGCGGGAGAAGCCAAGCTCCGAAGACAACTCTGAGCGGACGTTTTCGCCCAGAAGGAGAGAGACGGAGCGGCCTCCCTGCTGGTTGAGGGTGACATTCAACGCACGCGCGATGGCGTCCTTGCCCGAGTTGGTGTATCCGGTGAGGAAGACTGTGAAACCCTGCTTATTGCGGGGTGGATGTGACTCACGCAGAACTCGGACGACTTCTGGGTACGAGAACCACTCGGGGATGTCGCCACCAGTCCTCAGACGGCGACGGAGCTCAGTACCAGAGATATCGAGGGTGCGGACATCCTTAGGGACCTCATCCTTGGGTCGGTACTCGTCCGAGTCTGGCAGGTAAGTCATCATCTGGAAGGGAACGACCTCAATGCCGAGCTCGTCCTTGTACTTCTCCACAGCGTACTGAGCGTCGTATGGGCCGTAGATCTCCTCGCCCTTGCTATTCTTGCCCGGACCAGCGTGGTCACGGCCAACAATGAAGTGAGTGGCACCGTGGTTCTTGCGGATGATGGCGTGCCAGATGGCCTCACGAGGCCCACCCATACGCATGGCCAAAGGAAGGAGACCAAGGACAGCCATTCCGTTGGGGTACCGGGGAAGCAGAGCTTGGTAGACACGGACACGAGTGAAGTGATCAATGTCGCCGGGCTTGGTCATACCTACAACGGGGTGGATGAGGACGTTTGCTTGTCGCTGGCGGGCGGCACGAACGGTGAGCTCACGATGCGCGCGGTGCATTGGGTTTCTGGTCTGGAAGGCCACCACCTTGGACCAGCCGAGCTTGTCGAAGTGCAGACGGAGTTCGGCCGGGGTGTATCGCAGTCCAACGTAGTCGTAGTGCATGAGACGGTCAATGGCGTCGATCTTGCCTCCCACATAGTAGTCGTGGGTCTGGTTGAAGAGGTACTTGACAGCCGGGTGGTCTGGGTCACCACCAAAGACCTCCTTGGCCTCCTTCTGCTTGTCGGGGGTGTAGACGTCCTCGACGTTGATGATGGCAAGGTTGCGGTCGTCGCGGGAGTCGCGCAGAGTGATGCGAGCACCTGGCTTGACGCCCAAGGCTTCCACGTCCTCTTTTGAAATGTCCAAGCAGATGGGCATGGAGAACAGGGCGCCGTCCGCCAGACGGTTGTTCTCGACGACGCCATTGTAGTCCTTCTCGTTCATGAAGCCCTCGAGGGGCGAGAAGCCTCCGCTCAGCAGGAGTTCGAGATCGCAGAGGTGACGCTCGCCGAGGACAATGGCGGGAAGAGTCTCGGCCTCTTGGGAGAGCTGTGCTCGGCGAGGGGCATCGCGGGCGATGAGGTCCTTGAGGACGCCGCCGCTGGGGACAATGTTAGCATGCAGTGTTGGGCAGGAGCGGGCGATGCACGTACTGGGGAGCATTGGCCATTGTGAGAGATGTGTGAGAGGGATGTGAAAGTGAGAAGGGCTCGTAAGCAACTTTTTTTCCGTATAAGCTCTGGCTTTAAGCCCGAAGCAGACCGAGTTGGAGTTCCTGCAGCTCACAGATGCGCCTGCCTTGCCCGGATGCCGGGGTCGCTGTCCGAGATGATGCAATACCTTGACCAGGCCAAGCCAAGCACAGTGGAATTCCGTCGATATCGGCGTGCAGAGGGCGACGAAGGGGAGGAGTGGTGTTTGGGAGGAGGAGGAGATGGAGGCACTGGAGAGGAGGTGGACGATCCAAATACTCCTCGGAGACAGAGACCGAGACAGGGACAGAGACAGGGACAGGAATCTCTCCGTGGTGGTGAGTACAGTAGGAAGCCACGCACGTCGCGTGCACAGCGTGTGTCGCGGTTTGATCTGCGTATTTGATGAGGAATCCACCTCTGCGGCTCTCGGGCTGCCTCTGCACATCTGCATCCTCTCCGGCACCTGCACACATGCACACTGCGAGGCTGCGACCACCTGCCACGTTATCCCAACGCGTGGTCTGGGGAAAGCCGAGACATCCATCCGATCGGTGCGGACGGAAGCTCTCACTCAACCTCACAAGCGACGTGTTTGAGAGGTACATCATCCTCGTCAGCTCACACGAGACGAGACGAGACGCGAGATACAGTAGTACGTAGTATGTAGTATATGGTAGGCCTTGTCTTCACCACCACCATCACCACCACCACCACCACCACAACCTCCCCCTCCCACCAATCCCATCCCATCCCATCCACCAACCAGCAAAGTACCACTGCCTATCCTATCACGTACAGTGTATACATCACTCTCTCTCTCTCCTCCCATTGGCTTCATCACACGGCCACCCACGCACATATGCACGCCGTCGCCAAATAGTAAAATGCGCATGTACATTGATGTCTTTCGGCCCGTCGCCGAACATCTCCGGCTCGTCGCCGACACTCCGGCGTTGACAAGGTGCATGATACCGTTGGGTCCTGCGACTACTTTCTCCCCCCCACCCACTTCACTTCACTTCACTTCACTTCATCCTCTTCTTTTCTTTCTTTCTTCCTTCCTTCCTCTTCATCGTTATTATCGTACGGGAAGACATACCCCTCGAGGTGCGATGCAGCGTTCGAGCAGACTTCTACAACACGGCTTCAAGATGCGAGACGGACTCTCCGCCGCGTGATGGACGAGATGACGGTGCCGCTTCCACGGCGGCAGGCAGGGGAACCCCCGAGACGGAGAAGAAGATAAGAAGTAAGTCTAAGTTCTTCGAAATGTTCTTGTTGCAATAAGATTCTATCTGTCACTTTCAGCAGATGCTCGCTCAATGGCGTTCGTGCTTTTCTTTTCCCCCCCGTCAAATCAACTCTCCAACGCCGATGCTAAAAGTCCCCTAGGAGTCCTCTCCGTTCCGTCCAATGCCGATACCCATCACACCATCATCACAATCATTCTCCGGTCCACTTCCTCGAGTTTCCTCACCACCAGGAGAAGGAACCACAAGACCCATCACTGCTATGAGCTGACCTCGATGTTGAGACCCTTCTGGATGGCGTCGCTGAGTTCTTGCTGGCGTTTCTCTTCTTGCTCCTGGAGGAACTGGGCATATCGACTTCGCTTGTTGTGGATGCCGCACTCCGTCTTCGCGCGACCCTTCCATCGGCCGGCACGCTCATCTTCGCTGTCGGTGACGGGTTGCGTGGAATGCCAGTCGCCGACCGAGCGATACCCTTGGTCGAGGAGATCGTTGGTGGGGACCTCGTTCTCCTTGATGTATGCCTGGACGTCCTTGAACGACCAGTTGGCGAGCGGGTTGACCTTGATCAGGCCCGCGTCATCCACCTCGACAATGTCCATCGACGACCGAGCGCTACCCTGTGTCCTTCTGCGGCCCGTGATCAATGCCTGCACGCCGAGTTCCCGATAGGCACGCTGTGCTGGCTCTACCTTGGCGACGTAGTCGTACAGCTCCTCGTCGGCCTCCCACAGTCTCTCGCCGTGCTTCGCCTCGAAGTCGCTCGTCGTATCGCATCCTTCCGGCTTGTATGCGTGCACAGTCAAGTGGGCGTACTTCTGCTTCACGCGCTCAACAAGATCAAGAGTCTGAGGGAAGTGGTACAACGTGTCGAGGAAGATGAGGTTGATGTCGGGCTTCAGCGTGAAGTCCAGTTTGGCGATCATGTCCATGATTGCGAGGCCTGTGAGACCGAATGCCGAACTCTGGTAGAGGTTGGGCAGGGACGTGATGCACCATCTGAGGATGTCCTGCGGCGGCAGCTTGGCGAGTTGGCTGTTGATGAATCTGAGGTGAGGACGGGTGAAGTAGACCTCCTGCAGCGAGGCGGTGGAGCCGCCGCTCGCGTAGCCGGACTCGCGGTCTGTCGAGTTGGAGCGCTGGCGGTATGCCATTGCGTGAAAGGTGAGATGGAAGTGAGGGGTACTTTGGTAAGTGCAGACTTTTCGATGTTCCCTTTGACAGATGTTCTGCCTTTCTGAAGAAGGGCACGGAGAAGAATGGGGGGTGAATTGCAGCAGGAAGAGGTGGTTCAACGGATTGATTGGCTGCTGATGTTGTTGGTTGTTTGATGAAGAGGTGGGTGGTGGATGAAGAGGAGAATGGCAAGAGAGGGCGTAATACTTACCTCCCCACGCTGGACGCCCATCACGCAATGCCGCCTTGCCGTCGGTTTGAAATCGAGAATTGTTTTGAAGCATTGCGTGCTTCCACGCAGGTTAGCGCATTACCCTTTCCGGACACGGATCCAGATTTCCTCGCCATCGGAGCCAATCAGCACACGGGAAAGTTCCTGCCTCAGGAATTTCCAATCTTGTGCGAGGGGCGATGCCGGACTTCGACGACGGCATTCAGATGCAATGCATCACACCGTCATGCACAGTCATCCGCAGCAGCTTTTGGTGGAAAGTCGCGAAATCTGGAGTACTTTGGAGTTCCGCACTTCTACCGGTAGTAGTCCTTGAAGACCGATGAAGCGCTGAGAGATCCGAATCTACTGTCTGTCTCTCTTACTCACAACGGAAGTGCCGGCGATGATGGAATGCTCCTCGTTCGGTCCACTCGCTTTGTTCGGCCGGTTCTGCAATTTGCGGGGAGAGGAACCCGCCCAACAAACAGCTTTCTTTGTTCCATCACTTGCACTACCAGGAAGACTTGCTCTGGTGCCACTACGATTGTTGAAGACGACAGGCCTGACAGGGCTCGTGTGGTGAGTCTGTACGGAATGCAGCACACGCGTTGATGTCACCCAGAACGCACTTCGATCATGGATTAGTAATCAGAGTGTAAGCCTGTCTCTCTCGTTCCTATGCATAGTGAGACGGATCGCTAGCTTCTCATGCCGGGTAGAGTAATCAACGCTGCCACGCGATGCTTGGTAATTCTCACTGCCGGAAGTCGCATCTTCTGCGAGTCAGATGACCCATTTGCGTACATTTTCGGCACGCTTGCGTGTGAGTACCGTTTTAGCATATGTGCCATAATAATGTATCTGCGGCATGTAGCATGAGAAGAAAGTGACATCGTATCGATGTAACTCTTACAGCAGCTGCTGCATGTAGATCGCCAAGATATGCGTGATTGACGTACATGTACTGTGAGAACGGGTTCGCACGTGGCAAACACGAGTGCCGCATGGGAAGAGGGGACCGTAGTATGATTATTAACGAGGTCTTTTGGAGATCACTACTACTTGCAAGCCCTAAGGCTGTGGTGTACACGTTCTTTCTCGGTACTGTTCTGACGAGGACTGATTCCCGGTATCGACTCTGTAGCGCGATAGAGCTCGACATGTTCAGGGTCCTCTCAGTCTTCCGGATGTAGGTTTCGAAACAGGTGTTTCTGGCTCCAGTAGTGTCGAAGAACGTAAACTCACAGGTATCTCTCTTTCCGTGCCAAAAGGCCGGACCTGGGTAAACGGGAACGCTTCCATGAAAACAAGGACATCAGCTGAGTGGAATCAGCTTAGACAAGTCCATCATCATTTCCCTCTTGCTTCGAGCTCTTTTCGTGTTCTCTTCGCCACTTCTCTCGCTTTCTCTCCTCCCGTCTTCTCCCCATGATCAGGTTTCTCGTCCTCGCAGTCCAACGCTACATGCTGCATTCCCCCTACACCTCCCGTACGATACAGAAACTCCTGCGTGAGTGTCGGTCCTCTGACGGGTTGCATAACTTCCCAGACCATCTTGCCTTGTTCGACAGAAGCCAACTTGGATTCGAACGAAGCTGTCTGTCCGCAGAACGTCTGCTCGGTGACATTCGATGAAGCAAAGCGGTGGATTTTGCATGGGTCAATGACAAGTTGAAAGTGGAATTCTTGCTGCTGCGGAGGGTTAGGAATTGGAAGTCATCCTATGAGCTTCAAAAGGGTGAGAGGCATCTTATAGCCCAGGGAGACCGGCCCATGACGACCTGGCGGGCGTCATACAGCAGAGGGGATCGCCATCACTGTAGATTCTCTACACATCGGAACGTTGTTTGTCTTCCGGAGAATTCTGGCAAAATCCGGGGCAACAGCGAGTCGGAGAGCGCACAATCAGTGATAGCAGCCGTCGATATGACACTACTGTGCTGTTCGCCGTAAGCACCTGGGCAGGTGTGCTTAACAGATGGACGTCTGATTGTCCATGTTGTCTTCATGAGCAGCTTCCATCGAGAGCGTGTCGTCCGCTGAGGGAGGACATGAGGTCCAGTGATGGTTTAGAGAAGAATTTTGGAACCGATCGAAGTCGAGACGAACAATTGAGTTTTGAGATTGAGACTGGTGTGTGTTGCTTGGCCCCACTTTTCCGCGGGGCATCGTTCTTCCACCTGCTTCGAACCTTAATCCACTGACGAGAATACCTTACCACTTTCTCCCCATACCGAACCCTCAAACCCCTGACGACCCTACACCATGAGCGACGCAGACCTCGAAGCAATCCGCCACGCGCGGCTCCAACAACTCCAATCCCAACAAGGAAACCAAAGAGCAGCAGGCGGCGCAGCCTCCCCCTCCAACGCCAACGGAAACCAAGAAGACGAACAAAAGTACACCACCACTGCAGCCATTCGACGGCGCTGAAAAAACATCCCTTAAGAAAATGTCACCACTGACACAAGAATCGCCAGGTCTCGCGAAGCGGAAGCCCGCTCTTCCATCCTGGCTCAAATCCTCGAGCCCCTCGCCGCCGACCGTCTCGGGCGGATACGCATGGTGAACCAGAAGCGCTCCGAAGACGTGGAAAACCGCCTCATCATGCTCGCGCGGAGTGGGCAGTTGCGACAGCGAGTGACGGAGGAGCAACTGAAAGAGATTCTGAGCGCGGTCGCGGAGCAGCAGAATTCCGCGGGGGGAGAAGGAGGGGGAGGGGCCAAGGTTACCGTTCAGAGGACGAAGAGGTGGGATGAGGATGATCTGGATGATTTGCTGAATGAGGACTAGGCGAGCAAATGCTGTGCGGTGGAGAGTGATGGTGGACCGGAAAGGTGAACTGGATATGAGTACAGGTCGAGCTTTTCTAATGGGATTGGACACGCATGCGTGAGGGCGTGCAGCGAGGCGTTGAAGGAATCGAAGATACCCGGACATCAAAAGTATCCTGCAAAGAATGTGGAACGACGAAGTCATCAATCCGTCATGACCTTCCCATGTATGCATCAACAGCATGCACCACCTGCCACCACCTTCCCTTCAACAACCTCACGGCCTCCGCCTCATCCTCTCCCACAAACAGTGCCTCGACCTCGACAATCTTTTCCCTGGCGAAAGCTTTCAGTGCCAACAGCTTCGGTCGAACCCATTCCTCAACCCTTTTCGTCTGGTCCGCAGCGAGATCCTCGCCGTTCGCGATGTAGTATTCCCACTCATTGGCCGTGTTGAGAATCGCACGCACGGCGACTTGGGTTTTGAAGCAGAGTTCGTTGGTGGCGGGTACGAGCGCGTAGTTGCCGAGGAAGCCGACATCCTAGGGTGCAAAAGCCGACATGGTCAGACAACACGAAGAAGCTATGGGTGTGGGGAAGGGTGGGGTACCTGTAATGCTCTTTTAGTCTCTGGTGACATCTCTGGGAGAAGGATGTGGTCCAGACGGATATCGTCATCGGAGGGCTCGCCTGGTCTGGTATCGATGATAAAACCGTAGTGGACCAAAAGTTTGTCGTTGGAGTGAGGACCGTATGTCGCTAGGATCTCTTCGCCAGCTTCTATGGTATGCATTAGCTTGACGTGTCTAGCTGTTTTGCCGATGTGTGGTTTCATGCCCACGCCATTCGATCGCGGATTCCGTGCTAGGAGCGTAGAAACAAGGAAAGACGCAGCGACAGGACACCAAATCAGGAGACGGAATGGAAAGAAAAGAATGTTGGCGAGAGCGGGCAAAAGGCAGGACCGTTGCAACTCACCATAGTCACGATCCGCAGTAACCTCATACCCCTTGGGCGTCTGTCTCACATTCACAGTATCCTGTCCACTCGCCCCATGATTCATGTAATCGACGAAAGGGCACAGGACCATGTGACCAGGCCTACTGCCCGCGGGCTTGAAGTGGAAACTACGGGCTGTTCCTCCACAAAGAAAGTCAGCGGATCTCGGAGACCGACGAGCATGGGTATGCGGAGTTTACGGACAGTTGACGATGGCCCAGAAGTAGTCGAAGTCCGGAGAGGATAGCGCTTGTTGAAGCGCTGTTTTGTCTTTCTGGTAGTCTGCTTTCTGTCTGTCGAGCGGTTGCTGCACGCTTGGTGGGAGATGGGCCTGCAGTTCTCTGCGCCAGAAGAGAGGCATGCTGGCTTTAAAGTCGGAAGGCGTGGGCCATGTTGACCGCCATAATTGATACTGCGAAGCTGGATTGGAGCACTCGTTCATTATTGAGAGAGTGAGTTGTGCTTGAGGAGACATGGGTACCGTTGTTCCTTTCGATGCTGTCGCTTCGCTCTCGGGCTTGAACATGGCCTTTTCAGGCACGAAAAGAAGTCGCTCATTCTTCTTGATCTTGCCAGTAGTCACAAGGCCTATCCCTCGTCCTGAAAGCGAGGCGGGTTTGACGTTGTGAATCTGGACACCCCGGTCTTGGCTCCATTTTGTGAAGAGAGTGTGCTTGTCGTCTTCGTCACTTGAAGCCTTTCTCTTCGTATTGGCGATATCCGACCCGGTGGCACGACGTTTTCGCGACGAGCGAGTGCTCGATGCATCGCTAGTCCCATCGCGCATGATTCTCTACCTTTTGGCATTGAATGCGGAGTGGAGATAGAAACTGAAGTAGTTGCATGTGTAAGTAACGTAGGAGGAACCCGCATTTTGGGTTTTGACCTCGTCTCGAGCTTCCTTGAATCTTTTCGTCCACCATCAACCGATCCATCCACACTCACGACCAATTCACCCTCACTCAAATCGACGCCGAAATGGACTCTGATCTCCAAGATCAGCTCGAAGACCTGTCTACCAACATCACCACCCTCGAAGCCGCCCTCGCGCCCCTCCTCGATACCCCATTATCAGCGACTTCCTCCAAACTCCCGCTCCTCGACAAGGCGAAACTCTACATCCTCTCCACCTACGCCCTCGAATCTCTCCTCTTCTCCGCGCTGCGCCTCAACGGTATCGACTGCTCTTCTCACCCCGTGAAAGCCGAACTCAACCGCGTAAAGGAATACTTTGCGAAAATCAAGAGCGCAGAGGAGGTTGGCGCGGGAGGACGGAGTCTTGGAGCGGGACGCTTGGATAAGGAGGCCGCGGGCAGGTTCATTCGGCATGGACTGCAGGGCAATGAGAAGTATGACCGGGAGAGGCGGGAGAGGACGCAGAGGGAACGAGCGGGTGCGAAGAGGAAGCTGGATGCTCTGAGCCGTGTGGGGACGCACACGCGGTTTGACGAGACGGTGAAGAAGATCAAGGAAGAGGGGTTTACCGTGGTGCAAGCGAATGAGGCTGACGAAGATTCGGGAGACGAGATTGTGGTCACTCCAGCACCCAGCAAGAGGCAGAAAGCGAGCAGTGAGGCGGATGAAGGGACTGGTGACGAGATCGTCGTGACCCAACCCTCGCGCAAGACCAAGGACCCGGACGCCTTGGACATCTTGGACCAAGCCGTAGCTGACAATACCGCTGCTGCTGCTTCGGATGCTCTGCAGGAGTCAAAGTCCCAGAAGAAGAAGCGGAAGCCCAGAAGTAAAAAGAACAGAAAGTCCGATGGTTGAGATAACGCCATTGTTGCGGCAGGGGACGTGGACTAGGACTATCTCCCCTTGGAGCAGCATGAAGCCGAACCACTGGTCCAGACGTCGAAGTATGTCCTCCACAAGCAAGGACTGAGAAGAGTTCATCGGTCAGGGCCTTCCCCTTTCATAGGGCATGGCCTCCATTCACATTTTCGTGCTTCGATACGATTGTGTACGAGTGACTGGCGTGCTATGGCAGAGCGAGGCACAAGTATTCCACAGCAGGAAGCTCGTGTATCAAATTAGGAACTGGTGGCATTCGTCTTTCGGTTACAGAGATGCCCTTTAGCGAGCATCGGCACAGGACAGAGACAGGGAGATTGCCGAATTAGTAGCTCAAAAATTTGGGCACATGTCCACTTCTGTATCCTCCCTCATCGCTCATCCCTCCTTGCCCAACCAACTCAACGCCCCAGCCACATAAGCATCCACCGCCACCCTCATCGTAGGCTGAATCACAGGCGCAAACAACCCAGAATGATTGACCGGGATCCCCTCACCCAGCCTCCCTTCTCTTTCACACCTATCCCACACTTCCGGATCCGTACCACCATACATGAAGAAACACGTCGGAACATCGACCGCACTGCCCAAAATCCCAAAATCCTCCGATCCCGCGAGTTTCGCACAGCAAGGATCATATCGTATGCCATGTTCTCCTCCAGCGGAGGCGGGAAAATGCTCCGCGAAAGACTTCTCCAATTTCGCGGTAATCTTCTCGTCGTTGATGGTGAGGGGAAAGGAGCGGGTATTCTGGATCGTGGGAGGTTGGACCGCTCTGCTGGCCAGAGATTCCGCTTCGACAATTCGTTTCACGCTCGAGAGCATTTTCTGGCGATCTTCTTCGCGCGTGGCACGGATGTCGACGGCGATGCGTGCGTCGTCGACGACCACGTTTTCGGCATCCCCGGCTTGGACGCTGGCTACGGTGACGACGGCGTGCTCGGCGGGATCCATCTCTCGGGAGACGATAGTCTGTAAGCGGATGATGGTGTGTGCTGCCATGACGACGGGATCGACGAGGCGCTCGGGCATGGATGCGTGGCCGCCTCGCCCGTGCAAGGTGATGCGCATACTGTCCGCGGAAGTGGCCATCAAGCCTCTTCTGGTACCAAGTGTACCAGCGCGCCAGGGAACAACGTGGCCGCCCAGGCAAACATCCGGCACAGGGACAGCGTGTTTCTTGGGATCGTACAATCCGTCATCAATCATGGCCTGCGCACCCGTTCCTCTCTCCTCAGCAGGTTGAAATGCCAGAATCAATGTTCCCTTCCAATGTTCTCGTGCCTTGTGAAGTGTCTCAGCGGCTGCCAGGAGAGCTGTGATATGCATGTCATGTCCACAAGCATGCATGACAGGCTTTTCAACGCCGTCGGCATCCTTCATTCTCTTCTTGCTCGCGTATTCTAATCCCGTTCTTTCTTCAACAGGAAGGGCATCGAAATCGGCACGCAGAAGGATTTTGCTGCCCTCGCCATTCTGGAGAAGACCGACGAGGCCGTGTCCACCAATCCCTGTACGCACGTCGAAGTCAGGGGAGATTTTGTCTTTAAGGTAGGAAGCGATGGTCGATGCGGTTTCGGATTCCTGGTTTGACAGTTCAGGATTTGCGTGGAAGTGTTTGTAGAGATCTTCGTATTTGGAGAGACCTGGCCGATATTCATCGACGAGGGAAGAGATGTATGAGGCGGCCATGGCGTCGGGCTCGCGAGAGGAAGAGAGAAAAGATACGGGATCAATTGAGATTCGAACGGAATGTGTTTGTACCTACATGAGTCACGAGGTTGTACAACAGTGCTCGTGCAGCTGTTAAGCCCTAGCAGGTCTAAGAGGTGAAGTGCAATGCCACGCGGGCAAGCTCCACTGAGGGTGAGGTCAGCTTTGAAGCTGTCCCACTTTGGCAAGCCGAGGCGTGCGTTCAGAGTCGGAAGTCATAATAGCAACCTTGTTTGCGCCTGGCTTCGAGAAGCAGGTTTATGCCGGACGGTTGGTGGAAGTCCACGACTGTCGGTACTCCAGCAAGTCTCGCTGTCCGAACACTTCGCCAATGACTGCCAAGATCATGTCCAGTGTCGCTTTGGTATTGTCGGTGATATGAGACGTAGATTGTGGCGTTGACGAGCGTCGGTCATCGCCGAACATATGACTAGTGCCGCTCGTGCTGGACGATGGTCGAACGTCTCCTGCGACATCTCTTGCTCGTTCTGCCTGATCGACTGCCTCTAATTGAGCAGCGGTCTCCGGATCCCAAATGGCAAATTGCAGAAGGAGAGCCTTCTTTCCCAGCTCTCGCAGTAAGAAGACCTGATCATTCGTCATGGTGCCAACATCGTCCAGTCGGGCAAGTAGGGACCAGATCCAGACGCTGGTCTTGTTCTTGATATTCTTGAGCTTGGTCATGAAGTATCTTTGGGTCAACGCGAGGAGCTCGAATACAGTATCTTGGTCGAGGGAACGCACCTGAGCTGGTCGGGGTGTCTGGGAGGTTAAGATGCGATTCCAGTCTGCGATAGCCGCCTTGTTGTCTTTGGGAAAGGAGATCGGATACACATCACCAAGTGCAGCCAGGGCTCTGGCAGAGGTAGCACGGTGCATCTGTTTGCGTTGTTCGAGGAAACGAGCCTTGAGAGTGCGGGTGTAGATGACGCAAGGATCTGTCTCGTCCTCGGTGACATTGAGTCTCTCCGGTGTTCCAATGAAGGCTTCGTCGTCGTGGAAGTCCACTGCCTTGTGCTCATCATGGTGTGGTGAATCTTCGGCTTCTACCGTTGTTGAGGTCTCCACGAGCGGCGGACGGGGAGCAGTAAGGATCTCGGGGATACCTTGATTTTCAGACCTGCAGACACATGTTAGAATGGTGTCGCTCAAGTAGTCATGGTATAAGTCGTCCTTGAACCCATTGGAGAGCTCACCTGACCGCTTTGATGTACACCAAGGCATCGCCAGTCGCAAGATCAAACTCCTCTTCATCATCTTCCCGTTGGTCTGGACCGAGTTCCAGGTTGGAGGACTGCTCATTCCTTACTTGGCGTGTCGCGGCCTCGCCCACTTCACGCGCCTCGCTTGTTGGTGTTTCGTTCCAATGCTCTCTTTCAGTGGCCTGACGAGTAGTCTCGACTACCTCAGCGCCTGTCCTCGCATCACTCTCGACTGGCTCAGGCGAATATGTGTCCATCTGATAGTTCGCCAGGTGTGCAGCAGCTGCGGGAGCGCCAGTTGCGGCCTCTACTGCGTCCTGAATCTCTTCCTCGTCGTCGTCACCATAGCTGAGCAGGATGCGCTTATTCGGGTTGTAGAGAGATTCGGGCCCGGCTTTGGGCTTGTCGCGTTCTCTTCGCCGTTTAGTCATGTCGATTGTTGCGCCGAGTTGTTGTTTATTAGATGAGGTTTGGTTCATCAAGGTCTGGAAGAGGGTTACGATTTGACTTTCTTGGCGCCGGAATCTTTTCTAGCGACGCGAAGAAGACGCGACTTCATGCTTCAATTCAGGTTCTCTCCTTCTACCAACATTCACGTCATACTCTCCGATACTACACATGCTCACGGATATTGGTCTACGATTTCATCACCCATGGTCGGCGGCTTTCGCTTACTGACAAACAGCCGCCATGCATACAGACCACGTCTGGTGGAATCGTGTAAGACGCCAATTCTCCTCTATCTCGACGACGCAGGACGTGTTGAGGCCTGAAAAGCACTCTATCGTGCTTCATAAGTCTGTAGGCCTGTACTTCATTCACTGGAAATGTCCACAACATTGCGGCCTCCCTGCGTCTCTCAAAAACATGGTAATAAGTCTGTATGCAGCCTTGCTGCTAGTGGCAGCCTTACAATTATAGCTCAAAGTCGCGTGTCTTTCTCAGAAGCTCTCTGTTGCTACTATCACCCCGCTCGAGAAGAGCTTTGAGAGCAGAGTCTTCAAGAACGGCATCCGCAAGCGTCCAGCTCGAGCCGCTAGAGGCAAGGCATCTAATTTGGACTCATCCTCTCGATCGGATCCAACATCTGCAGAATTCCGCAATCCTCAATCTTCTGCGCTCGCGCCTCGATCCGGTGATCGTGCTGTCAAAGTGATCGAACACTTGTACCGCGCTCTCGAACGATTATGGGAAGTCATGGATGGTCAGGAGAAATACCATGCTCCATAAAGGGTCTTTTCCGCTTTCCACTACAAAGGTTGTTCGAAGCAGCGGTGCTAAACGCGGCCGTCTAAAGAAAGTCACTGGCGAGCCCGCGCGAAAGGGAAAGGGTGACGAGAACGATGCCTGCGGCTAAGAACAGTAAACATGGCCTGGTGCTAGGGACTTTGGAGGTATAGCACGCCGAGTACCAGGCGTCTATAACGTCGGAGAGGAAGGAGTCGGGCGAGCTAATATCGCGCGCTCCGGGCTAGAGCTAACAGCATGGCTACTATTGGCTTTTAAGTCTCTTAGTAGGCGTATCGTCCATCTCTTCGTCCTCGGTGTCGCCAAGAGTCATAAAAGTGTCAAGCTTCTCGTATCCTGGAGAGTTGTACACATTTTGAGGCTCATCCTTCTTAAGATTCTCTCCCAGCCCGCGGTAGATGTCTCTTATGAGCATTGTGGCCTATGACCGTCCGAGGCTAGCCATCTCTTGAACTAATGTCATCTCTCCCGCGCTTTGGAGCTGTCAGCGCTGTGGCTTCAAGAAATGCCGCCCCGCAAGACGCAACCTTCCCGAGAACATGCGGCCTCGCTCCTCGACCTTGCCGTGGAATTACGGAACAGAATACATCAGTACTCATCTCCCTCTGGGAACTTCTTCGATCTATAAGCTTGAAGCGATGTCTGCAAAGCGCCCGCTGGGATAGGCTACGAATGGAAAGCAGCCAACTACGACACCGAAACATACTTGCCCTTCGCATGAAACACCTCAGTAGAGGCTATTGTGCCTCTGTAGTAGATCTGGATGCGTAGACTATCGAGCGAAGACCCAATGCAATTGGAAAAGTCTATTAATCGTATGGCGAAATGCGCGTTGAGTATGTTGCCTTGGCCTCACTTGGCATCTGAGACCACTTTGAGTGGCTACGAACGCGAGAGCGTTAAGAGGGATATTATGGAACATGCATGGAGCTGTGAGTAGTGCAGGTGGGCGTGTGGGAGAGCTACTTGTCGCATACTCCATCTCAGGAGTATAACATATATCCCGGTACAGTTCGACTCCCAGCTGCCGCGGAACAATCGTACTTTCGGGGTAATGAGCGAAGAATGCAACCACGGAGTCAGTGCATCTCGTGCCACCTTCGATTTTGAGAAATCATCCTTGTCGTAGTCGTCTAGGACGCCTTGCCGCGTCGATATGCTAGCCTACGAAACTAGCATCGTGCCCTTACTCCTACACGTCTCCTTTCAGCGGATCAAGGCTCTCCAAGTTTCAGCCTCCTCCCTTCCCGCCAGACTTTGAGATGTGTGGCTCGTCGTGGTGGGAAGAGCGCTTTGAATAGGAAACGCTAGATGTTGCTTTTCCTAAACCATAGCAGCAGCTGCCCCCTTCTAGGCGCTACTTTTCTAGAGCATAGACGGTAGGCGCTATGCTGCAGCGACGGGGCATTTCCTTTGGCAATCCATCAAGAACATGAGGGGGAGAGCAGAGGAGTTTGATAATGGACAGGAGCTACGGGGTGTAGCGGGTGATGACGGCGGACATAGGGGGTATCCAGACCCTGTTGATGGTCCTGGGCCGGGTAATGGTCCATCGGCGGCGGTAGAAGGTGATGGACCAGTGAGCGAGGGTAACGGCTTGGGCGGTGTTGGTGGTGAGGAGGGTCGACCGTCGCAAGACAGTTCGCTTAGTTTTCATACTTGTAATAGTTAATATTTATTCTTTCTCATCTATGATTCCAGTATCCATGCTCCCCATCGACCTCGAGCTTGCCATGGAACTACACGCAAGTCTCGAGATGTAGTGCACTCATCGCTACCTACGCATCCGTCTGCTGTGTCCCTGACCTGTTCTCAAAGTAGTCTGGCAAGAACTGGGACAGTATGTAACCCCAGTTCCGAGGCCAGGACTTCGTGGACGTACCAAAGGGCTTCTTCGTCCCGTCTTCATAATTTATCACTGTGGGATAGAAATGATCTGCAGCAAGCTGTCCGGCTTCCACCCGTTGGCGTCGATGCAAGATGTCACCTATGCACCCGCCGACTTTCTTCTTCCAGTGGCACACGGAGAACTCGGCGCTTCTTGCTGCATCTCTGATAGCGCCACTTCGCTGGGACTCGTAGGTCCGTCCTCGGTCGTTCATCTCGTAGCTGATGTTTTGTAATACGCACCACTTGCGGTTATTCCACTCGAGATCCATCGTGGCTGCCTCTATGCCGGTGATTTTTTGGAAGTAGATCGCCCGGACTTCATCGATGGCGCGGACGAATTTCTGGCGTAGCTGCTGGTCGTCAATGGTCCGAGGCATCACGATTTGAATGTCGAGATACAGCTTCTGCGCAAGCCTCTCCAGTCCTGCGGCTTGAATCACGCCAAAACAGCATCCTTTGTACCGACCACGAGCAGTGGTGTACTTTGTAAGATTCCCCATTGCGTCCAAGACGCTTTCCACCGGGAGATGGAGGTACTTGCAAGGCTCGTGTAAGTATTGCCAAAAATACGAGGCCAGCTCATGTCGCTCAGATGGAGAGGGCATGATGATTCCATGAGCCTTGTCGAGGTCCAGAAGGTAACTGTGCATCGTCGTGAAATGTTCTCGGTCGATTGCGGACAACTTCGAACTAGAGTTGCACTTGTAGTCCACCGAGAGCATGAAGACCATGAAATTCTTGACACGTGTGGCCTCTCTCTCTATCGCCGGAGTGATTGGTCCGGACCTCTCTTGGGCAGTGTGATCCATGATGCGAGTGAGAAACTCATCTGGGCTGGTCTTATCTACTGTTGAGTAAGAAGGCGGTTGTGTCCCTGTGTCGGAGCCCATTGCTGTTGGTTGGATCTTCGATGATCAATCAAAGGTCACTTGTGGGTGGCAATTTGTGTGATCGCGGGTAAAGATATTATCAGCAGGATCGCGGACGAACCTTGCATATATATAAATCCAGGGGAGCACGGACCACCGGCTCATTTGTAGTCATCCTGAGGACGCTGACATTTCCATTGGTCTGGAAATTTCGTGTGTTTATCCAAAACGGATGTCCCGCATAGCTTCTGCTGTCAGTCGTGTACAAAGGCCCCGCGAAATGTAAATGATCCCGACGTCAAGCACTCAGTGCGCTTTCATGGCAGCGATTGCGATGCCTCTGCTGAGCTTCATAGCAAATGCCTTGTCCCTGACCATTCCGTTCGATGTTATCATGTTGATACTGACTGTACCTAGGCTTGGAATACTGAGTCGGAAATGAAGGGAGTCTCCATGGCGAAGTCGTTGCGATCCCTCCACGCCAACATGAAGTCGTAGCTCATCTTCAGAGTCGGACTCTAAATCATCTCAAGAACTCGAGCGGTCGTCTGAGCAGCCGTTGTAAGAAGAATACGGATCGCGTCCACAGTAGCTGTCATGGAGCCACGTTGATCCTCGTCGCCGCTCCGGTGGCAGCGACTCTGTACGCCGCACTCTCTTCCTCAACGGCGATTCGCCTGCAATGCCACCGTCCGCTCTGCGTGCCGTTGTCACCATGATGTCGCCGAAGAACATGAGTGTGCAGAAACTGATCCGCGAAGTCACCCGCCTGCGTACCGGCAGCGTCGGTGCCTCGTCGCCTGTTGTGCCTCCGGCTTTTCTGGACCTAATCACGGGTCTCCCACCGTCCGAGTACAAGGGACAGGTATACGAGTCGATCCTCGTAGTCGCGGATCTACTGTCCAAGATGGCGATATATATTCCTGGTTTGATGACGTGGTCATCAAAAGACTTCGCAGATGCATTCCTTGATGGAATGGCACCGAAGTTTGGACTGCCCAGAAGTATCATCAGCGATAGAGAACCGCTCTTCCCATCCGCCTTCTAGTCAGAGGTATGCTTCCAGTGCCAAATGGTGTCAAATGAAGAAGAAGTTGTCCGTGGCATACCATCCGCAGACGAATAGTCAAACGCCCCACGACCGCATTCTTGGTTGTCTATCACAATACCTTCGCAACCCGCTTGTCCATATCGAAAGCAAGTGACTTGGGACGTCTCCGAGTGCTTAGTCGCATGTCCTTCGAGGCTCGCCGAGATTCGTAAGGGATCACTGTTGCTCATCCGCAGAGACTGGCCAGGTTGGGTCGCTTCTCCGCGAAGGTAAGGTCAGGTCCACCGTGCCAATGGAATGCCCTTTGCGAGGTTGAACGAGCCAGCAGCCACGGAGAAGCGGAAAGTCAGATCTTCGTCGCAAACCAGAACAGATCTCGCCGACCACGCCCCGACATTAGATATTCGTCGCAAACCAGAACAAATCTCGCCGACCACGTCTCGACGAAATGATGCCCATCCAAGGCCGTACAGCCCGCTCAACCCCTAACCAAGACACCCCGATACCTCATCTTCCCACTCTCCAGCCTCTCAAAAGCCTCCCTCACACCCTGCTCGCTCATTTCGAATTTCTCAATCCAAGGCCTCACCCTCACCCCCTCTCCTCCTCCTCCTCCTGCCACGAAGTTCAGCATTTTGAGATGATTCTCCCTCGAGGCTTCCGTGGAAGCAATGAGACGATGCCCCGGCAGGACGAAGGGCATGTACGGAATCGTGAGAGGCTCCAGTTGGATGGTCATGAGCACAATCGTCGCCCTCCTCGCGAGGAGCGGGAGGAGTTTTTCGAGATCGGGAACGGCGTTGGAGGTGATGAGGAGGATGTTGATATCCATCGGAATGGGGTCATCGCGGATGTCGCCTCCCAAAGCGGTCCCATGGTCCAGTCTTGCGGCATGTCGAAATTCATCCGCCCCGAGAGCAAAAGCATCTGCAACTTTTCCTTCACTGTTGGAAATAGCCGTCACCGCACACCCCATCGCCTTGGCAAACAGAATCCCAATATGTCCCAACCCGCCGATGCCCACAACGCCAATCCGATCCCCCGCCTTGGCCCCAGCGGCATCCAGAGCCTCAAACACCGACGCCCCAGCACACATCAGCGGCGCCGCATCTTCCGACGCAATCCGCTCTGGAATCGGATACACGAAGTCGGCGTCCAGAATCCGGAAATCCCCAAACGCTCCCTGGTCCAGATCGGAAAACGCAAAGCCTCGCGCGGAGGCGCAGTATTGGCGATAGCCGGTGAGGCAGGTGGTGCAGTGGCCGCAGGAGGTATGCAGCCATCCCCAGCCGACGCGATCACCGACACGGAAATGTTTGACCGCGGGGCCGATTGCTGCGATGAAGCCGATGCCTTCGTGTCCGAGACCGCAGTGCTTGGACTTGGCGTGGACGTCTGTGAAGCAGATGCCGGAGTGTGTGGTTCTGATGAGGACGTCGTTGTATCCCAGGCTTTTCTCGGTCGTCTTTGTGCCGAAGCTCTGAGTGGAAGAGTCGAAGTAGTAGGTCGTGAGGGTATGAGTGGGAGCCGCCATTTCGTGAACAGCAGAAGCCACCGCCAATGTTCTTGAGATGCATGTCACCGATTGATGAGAGAACTCCATGTAAGGTGATGGAGGTAGACGATGACGTCTAACCAAGCTTCACGCCGGCAGGGCTTTGCCGGCAGATATGAACTCCCGTCCATCGCGAACTTGCATAAGCCTCCCGAAAGTCATCAAGCAAGTAAGAGATGTACACCAATTGCAACATGATGAATCCAATGCGGAACTCGTCTGAAGGAAAGAAGAAGCATGTGCTCAGGAAAAGGGGTCAGTCACGGAAGACTTCGAGACTCAGACTTTATGCCGATGATCTGCCGGGAGCGTATTAAGGAACTAGCACTTTCATTCCGATCGTATACCTTATCCCTCGAAGGCTAGTCGGGAAGAAGAGATTGAAAAGTCTATACTGCAATGCTTTTGGGTCGACGTTCTTGTTCCGGTGCTGTTGATAGTTCATCAACATTGCATCGAACCTTTTGGCCCCATCGTAAACACGTCGTATTCAGGCCAGCTTTTCGCCTCAAGCAAGGCGCCGGTAGCGCCAATCAACCAAGCTAGCAGAGGAGAGAACCTCGATAGCACGTAAGTCGTTGATGTACCTCTCGCAGCACTCAACCAAACCGCCTCGAAGCGAAATCGAACTCAGGCCCACTTCTTGCCCGTCAACTTCTCATACGCCTCTTGATACTTGCTCGCAGTCTCCTTGACCACTTCCTCCGGCATCGAAACTCCCGGCTTGCCCTTGAGCCCCGACGAGGTGAGCCAGTCACGGAGGTACTGCTTGTCGTAACTGCTCTGCGACCGACCGACCTCATACTGGTCCTTGGGCCAGAAACGCGAAGAATCCGGCGTGAGGACTTCGTCGATGAGAACGATGTCCTTGGTCTTGGGATCGAGGCCGAATTCGAACTTGGTGTCGGCGATGATGATACCGCGTGCGTCGGCGAAATCGCGGGCCTAGAATGAATGAATGACCAAGTCAGCATACCCATTCTCCTCCTTCCCTAAACTCACGTAGTCGCGAGAGGGAGACTCACCATCTCATACAACTCCAGACTGATCTTCTCAATCTTCCCCGCCACCTCCTCGCCCACAATCTCCACCGCCTGCGCCTTGGAAATATTCTCATCGTGTTCGCCCTGCTCGGCCTTGGTACTCGGAGTCCAGATCGCCTGCTCCAGCTTCTGACTCTCCCGCAGACCTTCGGGCATCGGCATCCCATGCACCGTCCCCTTGGCCTTGTACTCGCTCCAAGCAGACCCGGTGATGTAGCCCCGCACGATACTCTCGAGGGGAATGACCGGGGTCCGCTTGACCTGCATACTGCGCTCCTTCAACGGAGCCTGCACGGCCGGAGCAAGTCCCGAGGGAAGGTGCATGGCGAAGATGTGGGTTTTCAGATTCGGGAATTCCTCCGCGATGAGGCGGAACCAGAAGCAGGACATCTGTGTCAAGAGGGAACCCTTACCGGGGACGCCCTATGAACATATTAGTTATCTTTCAATTCTTGATTTGGCTTTCTTTGTTTTCTTCCTTTCTTTCTTTCCGGAGGAACTCACATTCTCCATCACAACATCATAAGCCGAAATCCGATCCGTAGCGATAAACAACAACGTCCCCGCGTCCACTTCGAAGATCTCCCGCACTTTGCCAGACGCAATCTTCCTGTAGTTCGGAATCTCGACTTTCGTGATGACTCGCTCCGTTGCAACCATCTTGTCGCCGAGTCTGTCGTGAAGCGTTAGTTATGTTGTAGGGCTCGAACGTCGGAGCAAAGTCGGTGATGTTGTTGGTGGTGGATGATCGAATCGGTGATGTTGTTGGTGGTGGATGATCGAATCGCAAAAACTTTGTATAGAAAATTTCTAGGCAGCAACCGCGTTTCGGGTGGGAGGTCGCGTGCTTTATTAAGTAAGGTACGCAGGCGCACGACCCTGTGCCGCAAGGTGAATCTCGAAGACGGCTGTGAGGTGAATAAAGTCTTTCAGCTGACGTCAATAAAGTACTTTAGCCCGTCACAAGCCGAGAAGGTATAGACGTGAATATGGACGCGTTGGCGCGCTGTCACGTGACGTTGTGTTCGCTAGTTCTAATTTCGTGTCATTTCGGCGCGCTTCTATTAGCAGCGCCCACAGATTGTATATCTACAACAAAGCACACAGCCGTTGCCCGTGTCCGTACAATAAGAAGAACGATCCCGTCTCGTCGGTCTCAGCCTGGAAACACCCAATGCGGCCAAATTGCTACTGGCCGAAGAATTTCGCTAAACAAATAATTAGAATGTAATCATCCACTGCTCCGCCTCTGATCTCGTTCTTCTTCAATCCAGTCCAGCACAGTGCAGCTGTGAAAGCTTCGACTCCTCTGACTCGAATGCAGAGAAGAGACATTCGTGACTGGTGTAGAAGGTCTCTTGGGCGGTGAGAACGCGTCAACACTCCATCCACTCGGAACCCAATCGGGCATTCGACCAGCTCCCACCCTCTAGAGAGGAGTCGGATACCTCGAATCAGGCGTGAGGCCGCTCGTCGCCGCAGCCATTGGACCTCCACGCAATGACGCCGCGCCCCCTCTTCCCCTGCCTCGCCCCCTCCCAGGTAACCCAACGCCCGGAAGACTGAAATCGGGATTTGCGTTCAGAATGACATCCTCTTTGCGCCTTTGAGCAGCAGAAGCGGAGCTGCCACCAAGGGTACTGGCCATTCCCGGAGGGGCCATCCCAGGCCCTGGTCTCCAGTTTGGATTCACGGGTCGTTGTGATACCGAAGTGAAATGGCTGGCTTCGCTGCCCCCAGGGCTCCTCGCGCCGTCGGGTATGGGTTCAAGGCCTTGGCTGTTGTCGGAATGCGGCCGGTATTGCTCCAACGCTAGAGACGATGAGCTGTTGGAATGGTTAGCGGGTCCATGTCCGCCCGCCGCGTAGGCATCGGGATTCAAGTAGTTCGATGGAGGGATGTTTTGAGTAGGAGGAGGGGATTGCATACGTCCTGTGAATTGGCCAGGTCCGGGCGTGAGCGCGTGGGGAATACCGCTCTGCCGGTTGGCATGTGGATTTGAATCAATCGCATGATACTGTTCTGCCGCAACAGGTGGTGGTAGTGGAGGCGCGTCTGCTGCGAAGCGCGGATCGACGTCTTCGTAGTAATTTTCGCTGTTGGATCGATGGTGTCTCGCGCCATTGGCTGCATGGCCGGGCGACGACAGCGTTGGCGATGCCGGTACTGGCGACAGCGGCGGAGCACGAGACGATGGTGCAGTTGCGTAAGACTGTGGATCGGAAGAGGTGGTCTCCATCGTCGCCCGCAGGCCTGGCTGCTGCTGCTGGTTCTGATCGAGCGGCGCGGGTACTGCACTCCAATTTGCGCGTGGTGGAACGTATCTAGGTAATTAGCGGACTAGTTTCGTCCTTCGGTATCAATGGTTCACTTACTGGTCGGAGTAAATGCTGGCCGGACTTCTCGGCTCGCTCCTGTGACTCTCCTGCCGTACTGAACCTGGTGGAGGCGATTGATGGTCTCCTCTTTGCTGCAAGCCCACCATTCCTGCGACATCTACGTCGCTGTCTCTCAAACCGTACTGGTGACTGTCTTGGTGTGTTGGAGATACCTGTGGGCTGCCAGTGCGCTCGTCCATCTCGATCGCCTGACCAATCGTTCCAGCCAAAAACTGAGCGTCTGATGGCGGTGGAGGATGATTCATTTGGGGAGCAGGTCCATTCCGTGTAGCGCCGGCGTAGTAAGGGTCGAGATCGTAGCCTGGAGGTCCGGGGGGCGGGCCTGCGCGAGGCATCGGCCCTGCCCTTCCCATCATGCCAGGTGGTGGCCCGTAGCCTCGACCACGGCCGTTGAATCCGGGAGGTGGCGGACCATAACCTCCTCGTCCGCCTCTCGGTCCATAAGCACCCCTTGGCGGCCCGTACGCTCCCCTCGGTGGTCCATAGCCGCCTCTCGGTGGTCCGTAGCCTCTGGGAGGTGGTCCGTGTCCTCCTCGACCGCCGGCATATCCATTAGATCGGTTTGACCCCAAAGAACCTTGCGAGTTCTGATGCCTCAGTCCAGGAGCGAGAGCCATGCCCATTTCTGCGCCGAGAGGAAGGGGATTGCCGTATTGATCCCTACTCGGTCTTCTAGGCATGCCGTTCGGATGATCATTGCTAGATCGGCCCATTGGCATAGGAGGCGCATTCTCATCTCTCCCGTACGGCATCCTTCCACCATTCGAGCTTGCGGATCGTATGCTCGGATCCCTGGTCGGGTTGAGCGGTGTTCTGTCGTCCATGCTCATGCCACTTCCACTCTGAACCTGCGATTCATGCGTGTCATGTCTCTTCATCTCAAACGCCCCAAATTGAGCACCCTTGTCGACGGCCGTACTCCCGCTCATGGGAGGCGGGCTGTCTGCCTTCGGGAGCGACTCGGCTGCCATCACGCGCTGCTGGTGCAGATTCTCGTAGTAGTTTTGTCCGTTCATGTCGGCGTCCTCTTCGATGCGCTTCTTCCTCGCCTTCCTACTGACCAGTGTCCTACGCATGGCGCATGTTACTATGCTCGAGCCAACAATCAAGATGGTAGCTGCCAGCACAATCCAACCGCCCCATGCCATATGCGGAATAAAGAGCAGGATATCCACCAGAAAGGCGAGCAGTGTGACCAGCAGGGTCGGGAAGGTCAGAATGAGCAAGGCGAGGAGGAATCGCGGCGAATGGCTTGGGCCATGGAAGTGAGCGGCGACGGCGAGGCCGAAGCATATCAGCGTGAGGAGAGCGGCGACAGGATGGACGATGAGGATGGAAGACAGACTCGAGCGGGTCGAGGCGGGAAGAGACCAGTCGGAGTCGGTATCACCGCCCGAGAAGAGGCCATCTGCATTACCCGCTCAGTCAGATATTCAACGACTGTGATAGGAGGTCAATACGCACCTGTGGAATATCCTATCCGCGGGCCTTCGCATGTGTCTCCCTTGCAATATCCGAGCACTCCCAAATTATAGCCCTGGAAGGAGCCCAGCGGTATTCCCTTGATAACGGGTGTTGACAGCGTGCTGAGCAGCAGTAGCACGAATGCCGCCAGAAAGATGATGGATAATGGGGTCGCGGGTCGTAACATGGCGGGCAGAGTGGTGTGGCATGTGGTTTAACGAATGAATCGGGTGGGTGCGGTCGATTTAGGAGATGACTGCCAGATCTCGTCGTCGCTATCGCGGGCAGGCGCAGCGCGCACTGCTGGTCGTTGGTTCCGCTGGCCCTGCCGTGGTGAAGCGATCCTCTCACCACTCGATGTGCGATTCTCCTCCTTGGAAAGCTGCAGTGGCTCTCAGCTGGAGTGCTCGTGGGCGGGCGGTGGTGAGGCGCTGGCCAGGCGCTGGGCGTGAGGGGGGCGAGGCGGAAGGGGAATATCGATGAACCCTGTCTCGGCGCGCCGTCCGGGATGGATGCCGTACTCCTCTGTCAAACCTGACCAATGCGTCGCGGTGGGTATTATTAGGGTTCGCAGACCGTATGGATTGGTTGGAGTAGTTATTAGGGAGCGACAGCAATAATAATAATTCTTGATGAATGCGCCTCCCCAGTTGCGAGCCAACTCCTGCCCGCAGCGCCGCTGGCTGTCAAATGAGGACGTTACAGGGGCTAGCTGCATACCAACCGACCACCCACCCACCCACCTACAATAAGAATACCCCTCTCTCCCTCCAATACACCTCACGGTACAGATCAGCACACACCTGACTAACCGAAATACTCCGAGACCAGCACCTTCAAGACCTCCAGGAATCGTGTTGGAACATAATAAGACCGCCCTGATCAATCGCACACTCATCAAACCCTCTCGCCCGCGTTTGGAGATTGTTGGTGTAACACCCTTGCCAGCCACCCAGCACACACCTCAACCCATGTTCCCTCACCACACGCTAGCGAGCATAGCACGTGAGCCCGCAATCCGCCAGTTGGTCCGTCGATGAAACAACCTCTGCGCTTGATCATGCATGAACTGCACCAGGGCTTGGCCCGCACAGCACAGCGCAGCACAGCACAGCACAGCACAGCACCATACACCTTTTCCTCCTCTCAGCCGTCGAAAGGTGTGCGCAAGCTGAGGGAGGAACTGTCCCAGCTTCGCGACCAATCACTTTGCCGCCATCCACCATCCATCCCAGGGAAACAATCATGCATACTGTACGGTCCGCCCAAATCTTGCGGCTAATGAGGTGCCTGTTTCCACGCCCAAGTGTGGTGGCACAGTGCCACCGGCACCATTTCGCGTTGCGTTTCGCATGCGCTACACAGACGTGCAACCACACAATGGACGTCACAGCTGTCATACAGAGAAAAGCCACCTCACGTGGACGACAGATTGTGACAACTGTCTGAGCTGTGTGAAGAGACCCATGCCTCCTTGCCTGTCTTTCTCGAACTGCTCAGAGAGCCATTCCGTGAAAGCATGCTTCCTCCGAGCACATGCGACGGTGCGACATACCCCCCTCTCACGGATCCGCCTCCGCCAAATCATGCTTATACCTCTCCTTCGCCCTCCGACTCGTCTCCCCAAAATCCACATGCGGCGCCGGATATCCCAACTTCTCAAATTCCTTCCTCTCCAACCGATGGTACGGATCAAAAACCGCCTTCCCTCGCACGTCTTTCAACTCGGGCACCCATTTCCGGATATACTCCCCTTCCTTGTCGCATTTCTCCGCCTGCACCACCGGGTTGAAGATCGTGTACGAGGGCTCCCACCCTTGCGTGTTGTTACACAGATCCCAATCGATCAGCTTCTCCGCGAAATACCTCTCGCCGCGACGGTAGTCGATGAGGAGATTCGCGCGGAGGTAGGAAGAGACGTTCATCCGCAGACGGTTGTGCATGTACGCCTCGTGATTCAACTGTCGCATCCCGGCGTCGATGAAGGGCACTCCCGTCTTCCCTTCTTCCCATTTCTTATAGCCTTCTTCGTCCGTTTCCCAGTGCACAAAGTCGAATTTGAGGTTCTGGGGTAGGTTGAGGGAGTTGTGTGGGATGATGAGCATGATGTGGCGGTAGAATTCTCGGAAGACGATCTCGCGCACCCACGAGGCTATGCCCGGGTCGCCGGCGTCGAAGTGCTGGTTGGAGTTTGCTTGTAATGTGCGCGCGAGGGTCTCGCGCAAGCCGATGATTCCGGAGGCGAAGTAGGGTGACAGTCTGCTTGAGGGATCGCGTGCGGGCTCAGAGCGATGGGTCGCGTAGTGCTTGACTTTCTTGTCCAGAAAATCTTCCAGGCGTTGCATTCCGGCTTGATGTCCCGCAGGCCATAACTTCCTGATCCTCTCTCTTTCTTCCTTCGACGTGAAGGCTTTCTCAGTTGGTGCTTCGGGAATCGCACTCCCAAACAGCCCTTTCAATTCCTCCTTCGCAGCTTTGTCATTCCCTTCCGGCTCGGGAACAACGTCCAACAATTCAGACGAGTCTTTCGTCTCCGCCAGCCAAGCCTTATGATAAGGCGTAAAGACCTTATGCGGTCCCCCGGAACCCGTGACCAGACTCCCCGGCTCCACAACCGTCTGATCATGCCAGAGCCCAAACCCCACCCCTTCCTCTTCCAATGCCTTGGCCACAGAAATATCCCGTCGTAGCTCATCCACTTCATACTCAAAATTCGCAAAGACCTCGCCAATCCCATTGCCCTTCACAAACTCCACCACCTTGGCCGTCTTCTCACCCCTCTCCTCCGCCGTGATGATGTGCAACGGAATCCCCTTTTCCCGCTCCAATTCTTTCTGCAAGAGTCGTAAACTCTCGAGAAGGAAATCGACCCGCGCCGGGGACGTTCCGTGCCAGAGGATATCTTTGGGGCTCCAGAGGTAGAGCGCGATCAAGTGTGCACCCTGCGTTTCGCTTGCTTTCTGGGAGGCGGCATGCAGGGCTTTGTTGTCTTGCATGCGGAGGTCTTTGCTGCGGAACCAGTGGAGGATGGCATTCTTCTTCTTCGTGTTGGGTTTGGGTTCGATGGGGAGGAGATCGGTGAGGGTGTCGTAGGGGGTGGTTTGGTCGATTTCTTTGGCGCGTTTGGTGGAGGGGTGTTTGAGGACGTCGTCGGTGGAGGTGGAGCGGGCGTGTTTCTTGGAGGCGGACATGGTTCGGGTGGTGGAAGCGAGCGTCCGTCGGGATGGGATGGAAAGTCCGTTGGGGGTTGTAGAGAGGAATGGACGAAAGCGGGAAAGGAGAGGCATGGATGGAGCAGGAGATCTTGTTGTGCACAGGGAGAGCCATCCCTGTGCCTGGAGACTTACATTTCAGAACTTACGTCAGGTACGGAGAGGCGCCAAAACGCATCATCGAGTCTTTGTGGTCCTGTTCCTGAGAGCGGAGGCGAGACATCGTGGACCAGATCTGAGATCCGATCGCGCTAAGATCTCGCCAAGACTCCTCCGATGTCATTGGTCAGAGCGTCTTCACAGGTGGAGGGGCAGATTCTTCCGAGCTGGAAGTCTCGCCAGTCGACAGACATCTTCTCCATGTGTTGTCTGCGAACGTAAGTGAATAACTCCCCAAGCAATGCTGGCAGTTCGCTCAGACAGACAGATGGTGTATTGTCCAGAATTGGGATGATAATCAGGTCGGCTATCTTTCTTCACTCTTTCCCTTCGCCCACACCGAGCTTAAGCTCCATCCTAATGCGGAGTTGCAGAGTGATGCTGTTGATTTTAGGGGGTCCCTGTTCTCCCCGAAAATGTTTTTCAGCGCTGGTATATCTGCCGTGGAGAGCAGAGTAGACCATTGAGATTTTCCTTCGTCTCATCATATCTACGTTACTACGAACTGGGATCCATTAACACGAATCAGCATGTCCGGACACACTCGAGCGAAGACGGTTGTTACGGCCGTGATACCATTCACGCCTGGATTCTCTCCTTCAGATATCTCGCGGCTAGAGAAGACTTTGAAGGAAACCAGACCGCCCCGCGAGGATGTTGTTCCAGGAGCTGGCAACGATTATGGCATGCCGACAGAATGGGCACAGAGCCTCTTCAGCTACTGGACCAACAAGTACTCTCTAGAAAACGCCATGAGCCGCATACAGCAGTGGCCGCACTTCATGACGCACATTGAGGAAATGTCAATCCACTTCGTACATCAGAAGTCGAAACACCAGAATGCCATTCCATTGCTTTGTTGTCATGGTTGGCCGGGATCGTTCTACGAATTTAGCGAAGTGATCACGCCGCTGGCGGAGGGGGATGGAAGCGGGAAGGGACCTGTGTTCGATGTGGTAGTCCCGAGTCTGCCTGGGTTCTGTTGGAGCTCGGCGCCGCAGCGACGAGGTTGGACGATGAAGGACACGGCCCGGATCTTCCACAAGCTGATGACTCGTCTGGGACACGATAAGTACTGCGTGCAGGCCGGAGATTGGGGACAATTCATCGCGAGAGAGCTCGGTGCCAAGTATGCCGACTCGTGCAAAGTCATCCATCTGAATTACTGTCCTGGAGCGTTGCCAGAAGGGGTTGAGCTCACCGAGCGAGAACGCAAGTGCGCAGCCAAAGGCCAAGATTGGCGTACTGCTCACGTTGGCTACGCAGTGTTAATGCGCACGCGGCCTCAGACTCTTGGTTGGATGCTGATCGACAATCCGCTTGGCCTGATGTCGTTCGTGGGCGAGAAGTTTGAAGAGGCCGCATCACCTTCTGTCTCCTCCACCGCGCCCTGGATGGATCACGTCTTGACGACAGTCTGTCTTTACTACTTTACCCGATGCATCATGACAAGCTGCCTGCCGTACTATGAGAATATTCGCCACGACCAGTTCGCGGAGTTTGCCATACGGAACGAAAATAGGATCAAGTGCCCTTTTGGGTACACTTCGATGTGGTATGACACTGCACCCAATAGTAAGCGGGCTGTAGAGCGAACCGGTAAGTGACTTACCTGGCCAGATGGTTGACAAAGCTGATTTGTGCCAAAGGAAACCTAGTCTGGTATAGGGAGAGAGACTATGCGGGGCACTTTGCGTGCTTGGAAGATCCGAAGGGGATGTGCGAAGACATCCGAGAGGTCGTGGAGAAGCATTTCCGTTGATTTGAGAGGCTGTGCCGTGAAGCAAGTGAGTTGGCCCGAGTTTGTGGAGTTAGGGGCGCGAAATTGTGGCTGCTGAACTGCATGCACGCAGCCAGTTTCGTGATGCCACGCCTGGACAGCGATTCCGTATCCGAATGTCCTGGACATGTTTTGTGCGAGACAAGCTGATGGAGTGTGAGATAGTCGTCGGAAAGCACATGTTGAGCCGTGATTTTCATTGCTCCACGATCATTTCGAGTGCAGTATCCAGATTAGAGCGGCACAAGCAAGTGCTCACGAATCCTGCCATCGGGCTCGGTCATCGCTCCTTCGTCCGTTGCTTGGCGTCTTGTCGGGATAGAGCAGTTCATAATGAGCGTTGACTCGGCAGGCGAGATGAATGTGAGCCTCCGCAACCCCAGATCGGAATCGCTGAAAAGCCGTTAAACTCTCGGGAGAGCAATTGTCTATCCATCTAATGCCATCTGCTCTTCGGTAGCGATAAGAAGGTGATGTGAGCTAGACGCGCCCTGCAAAGGCCATAGTTGGGCCTACCAGTTGGAGGCAGGCCAGCGGTGGGGCGACACTCCGCCCTTGCTGTTGCAGGCTACTATGCTGACTGCGCCGACTTCTAGAAACGCGTCAATTGCATCTCATTGGTGAGAAGATGCTTCCGGGGCAGGTCTTTGAATTTTCGATGTCGTGCAGCGAACAGGACTTGGTGGCTGTATCGAATGCGGTGCAACGTCCAGTTCAGGTCGTCTTCGTGCTCAAGCACAAGACAACGAGCACAGAAGATTCTGTGGCATGCTCATGCGATGGCCACGCGCGAGCACAAGTCGTTGTGCGAAGATGAAGTGAGTGGGAGGGAGAGAGCACAAGAGACGACCCGAAGTTTTCATTCACATGGGTAGCTGCACTTGGAAAACGCGCTAGACCCCCGTAGGCAGGAGTTCCGTCCGTCTCGAGGCACGCAAGGGCCGGTATTGGCCAGCCTTGGCCAGCTACGTCTTCGGTGGCGCCTTCCAAACTCCTTCCATATTCGCTCGCAGGCGGCAGGCGGCTTCTGAAACACTTCTTCAAACGACGACACCCGATTCTTGCCTTCACCTCACTCACACTGCACCGCCTTCACATGTCCTACCCGCTCTGCCCTACCACTCCGTACCACCCACGCGAACACCTCATGGCACCGGGCAGATTAGTCGGAAATGGGACAGGCCGCCCGCCGTACCGCTCCGTGGTACAAGACTGGGACTCATGGCATCCCCTTCCCGGTCGCTCACGCCTTCCGTGGTGTGAAAGGACGGACAGGTCAGGTCAGAGCTGAAGGTTCACTCGTCGGCAGCTCCAGAAGCATACCCAAGCTGAACCTTCACTCGGCAACTCTTCGCAAATGTCGCTTCGAGGTACACCTCCTCGGCCCCGCCTGAATGCCTCTGACTCCAGTGGGTCGTTCAGACGAATTCGCTGATCCCGGCCCTCTCCTCGCCTGGTGGAATTCCATCCAATGCCCTAAGACCTGAGCCATATCAGCGACATTGGGAGGCGTACTGGATCCTCCTCCTCAGCGCCTCCCTAGTAGTCGCCTCTCAAGGGGTACCTGCTCCGAGCACGGGACCGCTCTCGCACGGGATCTCTCTCGCATGGGATATCTCTCGGACTTCTCGCCTATTACGACCAACGTTGGACATCCTTGTTGAGCTCGCACGGAAGGCGTCCTGCCACGCCGGGAGTCAGCATCAATGCTGAATGGAACAAGTGCGGAAAGTGGATGCACTGGCGGAGACCATAACGATCACCAATCATTGCCACCGCGTCTGACCCGTCTCGCGTGCCACATTGGAGGCCATTAGTAGTCAAGATGCTCGACCTGAGTATAGAACAAGACGATAGCTGAGCGGGCAACTCCTGGGTCACTCCGATGTCTTTGACACGAGCAGTGGAGCAAGGCTTGACAGCTGTATGCATATTCGCATTCCTGTCGCTCGTTCTCTCTGCGACGCTCGTTGCCAATCTGGCCTACCATCTCATCCAATGGAAACGAGGCACCTATTCACGAATCAACCAGTTCGTGATACTCATCTTCAACCTTCTCCTGGCCGACCTCCAGCAGTCTACTGCCTTTGTGCTGAATACGGAATGGTTACGACTCGGCAGGATCGGTGTGGAGGGTCGCATCTGCTTTGCCCAAGGATGGTTTGTCTCCACTGGGGACCTGGCAAGCGGCGTCTTCACGTTCGCAATCGCCATGCACTGCTTCGCCGACATCGTGCACGACTACCGCATGGATTACACACGCTTCATCCTCTGCATCATCGGCCTCTGGTCATTTGTGTACACGTGCGCGATCATTGGCCTGGCGATGCATCCAGGCGAGCTCTACACTCGAGCAGGCGCGTGGTGTTGGATCAGTGCGAAACACAGAGAGTTACGACTGTGGCTGCATTACCTCTGGATCCTCGTTGCCGAATCCGGAACTTTGACCGTCTACTCATTGATCCTCATCGTCATCCGGAAGCGCATCAGAAATGGCTCCTACGGCACCAGGGAAATGCGATATCGAGCTCAGACAGCTGCACGATTGGTGGTATTCTACCCCATCGTCTACCTCGTCTGCACACTGCCGCTCGTGGTCGCACGCCTGAAATCCATGGCCGGAGTAAAAGTGTCACGTCTGGAATACACCATCGCCGGGGCCATGATCACCTCCAACGGATGGCTGGACGTCGTCCTCTACTCCCTGACCCGGCGGGCTCTCATCTTCGGACCAGGCCTGACGAGCGCAAACGTCCGCGCCCTGGAAGCTTTCAACCACACGTACAGCAGCAACTGGCGAGCCGATAGCATGTTCGGCAACACGACCACGATCGAAGCCACCCACCCCATCACCCACGTCCCTCCCTGTCACCATCAAAAGCGCGCAGCCAGTCGCTCCGGCAGTCTCGCGAGTCTGCCCAGCTACCATCATCTCAAGCGCTACAGCAGTCGAATACACGGTACAGGCACAGGCACAGGCACCGGTACAGGGACAGGCCGACGACCGAGCATCCTCCCCTCCATTCTCCACGCGACGGATAGCCTAGAAGACCTCTTCGACGCGCAGGAGCGAGGCGGAGGCGGAGGCGGAGGCGGCGTCAAGACGGAAACGGTAGTCGAGGTCACGAGGACGGACTCGACGGGCATCTTGCCGCGGAGGGACCCCGTGAGGAATCCTTGTGCGGCGGGCGACGAGGCCCTGACGACGACGACGACGACCACCACCACCACCACCACCACGACCAGCAGGCCGCGGGACAGCTTCGAGATGTCGACCACCAGCCGGGGAAGAGAGGCCGTGTCTCCTCCGGGATGGAAATCGGATCCGGCGCCGTGGGAAGACGTCGTGTTGGGGGAGTGGCCGAGGGAGAATACAAACGGCAAGCCATGAGACTGCCTGCCTACCTGGCAGCCGAGAGTGATGCAATGCAATGGAATGGAATGGAATGGACAGAGAGGCTCCATAGGAATAATACAGTGGTGCCCGCAGTGACTGTTCACATGAAAAAGAAAAGGCAAGAGATACAAGCGATGCGCAGAGGAAGAAAAACACAGAGTTGGAAAGAGACACGCAGAATCTCCTGGTGACGAACAGGAATGCAAGGCTCCCTATTCTGCTGCAGAATTGCATGGAAAGAGACACGCAGAATCTCCTGGTGACGAACAGGAATGCATGCAAGGCTGCCTATTTTGCTGCAGAATTGCATGGAAAGAGACACGCAGAATCTCCTGGTGACGAACAGGAATGCATGCAAGGCTGCCTATTCTGCTGCAGAATTGCATGGAAAGAGACACGCAGAATCTCCTGGTGACGAACAGGAATGCAAGGCTCCCTATTCTGCTGCAGAATTGCATGGAAAGAGACACGCAGAATCACCTGGTAACAAACATGAATGCATGCAAGGCTTCCTATTCTGCTTCAGAATTGCATGGAAAGAGACACGCAGAATCACCTGGTAACAAACATGAATGCATGCAAGGCTTCCTATTCTGCTTCAGAATTGCAATACGCCAACCGGGCCTTGCCGTGGTATTCAATTCACGGGATTCCTGCTTTTGCGGGCACAGGTAAGGATGACCACCTCTTCCACCTGGCGAGCTCTCTACACCTCAAACCCCGGAGACACGCAGCACGAGGCCATGTGGGCATTCACTCGCTGTCCATCTCATCATCACCATCACTTCCAACACTGGCTGGATGCTCTTCCGTGGAAAGGGGGACTCCATCATCTGCCACGCCAAAAGTCAGCACTACGTGCGCAGTGCAGCCGAAGGAGGAAGCTCTCCTCACGCACCCATCGAATCCTTCCTCACAGGCGCGGGAGAAGCCACGCCATCGATAGCAGCAAGCCTTCCAGCACTCTTGGCCAATCCCGGGGACAGCTCCGTTCCCCACCGCGGAGCAAACCTCCCACTACCCACCTTACCTGCTGCTCGCCCTGCGGGAGTCTTCACCATCGGAGAAGGCGGCAACGGAACCTGACGCGGCGACATCCCCTAGATCCGATTCACGTCCTTGCCCATCGGCCTCTGAGGTTGTGGACAGGCAATCTCAGCCGCTACGTGCAGACGAGCAGATCTGCTGGGCGATTGGGCACAGACTGAGGCCGGCTTCTTGCCCGGGAAGAAAATCTCATCGCCAGTCCAGGAATCCGTAGAATCCGCTTCCTTTGGCGAGGGAGGCGGTGCCGGGGCGACTTTGGACAGGCTGAGGTCGAGAGTCTTGCGGCGTTCGGATCGCGAAGGGGATGGGGAAAAAGAAGCCGCGATGGCGCGTTCGAGGTCATTGAGAGGGTCTTCCCCGTCATCGTCGTCGTCGCTGGAACGGGGAGGAGATTTGGATTTGTTGGTCTCTTGTCTTGGTCGTTGAACTAGATCATCCGAAGCTCAGCGATTGGGATCCGTCAGTATACCTTGTACCAAGGGCAAACTTACGAATCATGCCATGACTTTCAGGATGACTCGGCATCCCAAAGCGGCTGTGCTTCTTCAACATGTCGTCTTCGCTCAAAATCTCCTCGCACCCTGCCACGACTTCCTCCTCTGAGAGTCTTCGCGCCGGTCGATAGGGTTCGCGATCCGGGAAGAGTTTCGTTCTTGCGCCGGGGAGATGAGGATACTCGACCGTGGGTTCTTGATCGCGAACGAGGAAATGGAATCTTTCGTCCTCTGAATCACCCGTATGGCTGGAAACCACACTCTTGGAATTCCTCAACGGCGAAGAAAGTCCAGATGCCGCAACAGCTTTCTTCTTCTTCTTCTTCTTCTTCTCCTCCTCCTCCTCCTCCTCCTCCTGCCTCCTCGGTTCCTCCCGAGTAGTCCGGAACGCCTGGTTGAAGTGCTGAAAGATCTTCAACGCTTCCGGTGGGATTGGGGGAGAAGTCGTCGGGAGGTCCAATATGGGCTGAGATTGAGATTGAGATTGAGATTTGGGTGATGAGGTGGCTGCATCTTGGAAGACCTTTCGGATCTGCGAGGAGCGGGAGGGACGTGGTGGGGTGGTGGAGAGGTGATTGCCGAGACGGGATCGCTTGCGAGCGGTGTTGGGGGAGGGTTGGGAGTGGGAGTGGGAAGCTGGGATTGTGGTGAAGGGGTGTTTGATGACGATGTTGCCTTTCCGGTTGAATGGGAGGGATGGGTAGAGGGGTTTCCCTTCTGATGGGGGTGGGGATGCTGTAGACAGGTTAGAATGAGGGGATGTCTTGATGATGAAGTCGTGGCGCGGTGTGGGTGTACCGTACCTGGTGTTGCATTCTCTTTGTCTGAAGCTTCGAAGTCCATGCTGGGTAGGTGTATGGCGGGAAGTATGCGGTTCAGAGTTGTTGGGTTGGTTGCTGACTCTCGATGCTGTTGGAGGTGGAGGAGTGTGTTGAGTCTTCAGTCACATTGGACGCCTCGCTCCAGCTGTGCGGCCGAGGTGTAAACAACGGCATCGTCGCTGCCTCCAATCCAGCGGGACAGGCAGGAAGTGACGGGGAGAAGCGCCTTCTCCTTTAGGCCTTGTCGGATCCTGGACCAGGCAAGAGCGAGGGAGAAGTATACAATCTTGAGCAGGCACGCTCGGCACATGTTTACTTCGCTTCCTGAATTGGGGGATGCGCTTGCCGTTGCTGCTGTTGCCGTTGTTGTTGTTCTTGTTGCTGTTGCTGTTGCTTGCTTGCTGCGAGGAAATGGTGCAGAGAAGAGGAAGAATAAGGTAGTCTCGTGGTTGGTAGTCTCGTAGTCAGTCGCGACATGCTTTCTCGGCGTAGCTCGGGGGTGATGCAAAGAGGCAAGAAATCGCTTCCCACCTCAGCAGCTGGTCGCGCATGGTCGACGCCGACTTACTGCTTGCGGAAGTCGGCGCGGATGGATGCATCTCGAGTACCGGACCACTCGCACACGCTCCCACCGGCATGGCCCGGGCAAGACCCTGGCAACGGTCGACTCTGCCAGGTCCCCAAGTCGACTGCCATCACACAGGTTGGTTGGTGTCCGTCTGGAAGCAGGAACTTGGAAGGGTAAGGTAGGAGTGGAGTGGAGTGGGATTGTGGGATGAGAGTCTGCGATATACTGCAAGCACTCCGGACCCTGCACCGTTCAAGGTTGCTGTGCGTGCCTGGGTGAGATGGAAGCTGCCGTGCTCTCCGGAAGGGGAGATGCAAGAGAGTCAGTCGCGTTAGAGAATGGTTACATGGATGACTTCGAGGAAAGCAGTGTGGTGTCAGTGATGAAGGCGGGAAGGGAAGCACGGCAGATTGGATTGGGAGCGAGCGTCACGTCTCACCTGCCTTCTCTCGGCAGCCATTGCCGCCAGATTCGGGACTGGACGAACGACGAGTGTGCCGAGGGAGATTGCATGTCATCCTGAGACGCCACACCTTCGTTGTCCGTGTCGACAAACTCGGAAGACTTGTCGGTCGACGAACGCTTGTCGAGCAGAGGCCGAGGTTGATTGTGGAGAGGACGGAGGATGCCTCCAGACCTGTACTACAGGGACGACGTGTGGTCAGGTATGACGGACGGGGAGAGAGGAGATGGCAGTCCGTATGTAGGAAGCTGGAGGAAGCTGGAGGAAGCTGCAACAAGCTGCAATGAGAAATAAGCTGCAATAAGAAGAGGGTTCAAGTCTATATGAGACGACGACGACGACGACGACGACGAGGAGGGTGAAGAGGAAGGTGAAGAGGAAGGGAGATGAGGATGGTCCGTCCTGCAGAATTTCGCTGAGGGTTGTTGGTGGTTGCTCTTGGTCTGGATTCCGCGCTAGAGCTTCAAGTTGAAACGAGGGCAAGCGGAGACGTCGCACCTGCAACTCTTCCATCCACAATAATCTCCATCGACGAGAGCGGCGACGAGACATTCTCCATTCCATTCAATTCAATTCAGTCATTCATTCGTTCATCCATTCGTTCATCCATTCATCCATTCATCCATTCACACACTCACTCACTCACTCACTCACTCACTCACTCACTCACTCACTCACTCACTCACTCACACACATTCTCTTCCGCTTCCACCCCCGATCGCCATCGCCTCCCCTTCCTGCTATTGTTGCAGCACCACCCGTTTGCGCCCTCCATATCTGACTTCACCGCCCCCGTTTGAGCGCGCGTTTGATCGCCCTGAGGGCTTCCTTCTCACTCGGGCCCCGTCCAACCGTTGATCCGTCATTTCCAACGTGCGCTTCATTAACCGCCCGTCGTCCCGCACCATTCTGGTATGCCTTCCTTACATCCTCACCCAATGGCCTACGATCATCCACGCCCGCTGACCGTATCGACAAGGAAGCTCCTCACTCGTTTCGTACCACCCAGGAATTCCACTCACTTGGCCCGCTTCATCCCCTCCGGCACCACTTGGCCTTGCGCGACCGTGGCCCGGAGTCACCGCAGTCGCCCACAATAGCACCACCTTCCTGCCTCGATCGCTGCACCGTAGTCCTCCCCTCCGCCGGCGGCTCGGAAGTTGCCTGCAGCTCCCCAGCGCTGTGCGCCGTATCCATTCGTCCTCCAACTTTTCCCACTCCACCCGAGACACACCCATTGTGGCCTGCACGTCCAAACGTGCTGCCGTGACCACGTTGGTCACTCCCACACACCCACCTACCCTCCTCCCTCCCTCGCAATCGGGGAGATGAGTCGCCCATACTATGGCGACGATTCCTACATTCCCGACTACTACGCCGACCACCACTCCGACTACCCTCGCCAACGCCCCTCCGTTCATACCCCGAGTCGCATTCCGCGCCCCGGTCACACCCACCCAGATCGCAACCGAGCTCAGCCTCCTCCACACATGAGGCCAGACCAGTACGCTCCTCCTCCTCCGGCATGGAGTCCGAGGAGAGGCCAGGACCAGCACTACTACCCCGAACACTCGGCCTGGGAAACATCGCAGCACCTCTACGACGGCAGCGGATATGAAGACGAGTATGACCAGTACGGTCAGTACGGTCAGTACGAGCAGCATGATCAGTGGCCTCTGCCACCCCAACCTCCCTCACATTCGCCCTCTGCTCGTCAAAACCAGTCTCCTCGAAGACCACCCCCACGACCCCAACGCCCGGACGAGGTACCGCGGAGAGAGCAGTTTCCCGAGTATCAGCAAGCCAACCGTCCACCGCGGGGTGCACCGCCAGGCAACCGTCAACCCTACCCGCCCCAACCTCAACCCCAGTCGCACCACGGTACCGGCCAATGGACGCGCGACGGTTACACCTTCACTCCGCCCCACTATCCGCCGCCCCGACGACCACTCCCACCACCAGGAGGTAGGGACAGCCCGTCATCATCATCATCGCGACCCTCGATCCCTCAGTATGTCGAGCCCCAGATGCCGCAACAGGCAGCCTACGGCCACGCCAATCGTCGGCCTCCGCTCGGTCCACCTCCTTCGGCGAGACGAGCGCCGGTACAGTACGCGCAAGTTGGACCGGTGCATCCGATCGTGGAAGAGACGGACAGTATGAGGAGTAGCATGCGGAATGCGAGCATACACACCGGAGGGCACGACAGCAAGACTTCTTTTGCCAGCAGCAATGCGATTCCCATCGGAATACCGCAGGCGTATCTGGACCACCATGCGGATCGGCCTAGCACACGCGAGCACCTGCCAGCTTCATCCGAGGTGGACGAGGACGAGATGGAGGTCGAGGAGCAGGACGAGGACGAGGACGCCGAAGCGGCAACGGGAAGGAGATTGGAGCGGTTTGTGGAAACGTCGCCATCACGAGATTGGCCCGATCCGGACGTCTTGGTGAGGCAGGCGAGCGTGGGAAAGAAGAGCAGGCCGACTTTGACCACGGTGAAGAGGACGGTCAGCGAGGACCAGGGCATCTCGAGTCTGCCGAGTCAGCAGCAGACTGCACAAGCTGCGAGAGATTCGCAACCCACTCCTGCAGAGACGGAGCGCTCGCGCACTGCGGCCCAGGAAAAGTTAGAAGGGCAGGCCCATCCCGGCGCGCAAACTTCGGAAGAAGGCGTAAGGGATGCTCACATTCCGGCCGTGACTGGTGATGCCGGATCTCGCGTTGGCGTGATCAGAGGTGGCGCTGGCAGCCGCACACCGGAAGAGGTGCTACAATCCGGCACGGGCTTGCTGGATGCCTCCAGCTCCTCCGAGTCGGAGAGGGACGTCAGACGGAAGCGATCCAAAGAACTGCTGGGGGCAGCGATTGCGAATGAACTCCACCCACACAGGTCTTCCGCTCGCTCACCTCTGGCACCCCGCGACGATGAGAAGGTCAAGTCGCTGTTGGATAGCCTCGAGAAGAGTGGCACGATCACCGCGACGGAAGCCGAGGAGCTTAAGCAGCCCATGGGCGGACTGTCGGAGCGCGCTGGGAGGCGAAGACCACCCCGATTGAATGTGGACATGGTCCGTGATGCAGAAGCTCGTGGCTCATTGACGAGTCTCCCGGATCTGATCAAGCGAGCCACCAAGCTGGCGTCTAATCTAGATCGTGGCAAGACCGCGAGTCGTCTGGGGACCCACTGGTTTGATGGCACCGGCGACGAGAAGCGGCGCTCTGGCAACATCAACGACATGCTCTCGGAATTCCCACCTCCTGGTACGCCAAATGGCACCCGCCGCGACGGCCGATACAGCTTGACTCACTGGTCTTCCCGACTTCGTCATTCCGCCCTTCCCAGCGATAGTGACGCCGGTGAGGTACGGAAGCGAAAGCGGAGATGCTGCGGAATCCCAATGTGGCTGTTCCTCCTCCTCCTCCTCGTACTAATCTTGCTTGCTGCGGCCGCGGTCGTCGTACCCGTCATGCTATTGGTCGTTGTTCCCGATTCGAACAAGGGCAGCGCGAACCAGGTGAGCAGTTGCCAGATGAGGTCAAAGTGCGAGAACGATGGGGCTAATGTTATCGGTAGTGATGGAAAGTGCGAATGCCTGTGCGTCAATGGCTATACCGGGTCGACGTGTTCGGAACATTCGGAGCAGGGCTGTGCATCGGCTGCGATGGGACCGACGAACAACGCGAGCGTGGGCGAGGCGATCCCGAGACTGTTGAGAGGCGCAGACAGCAACTTCAGCATTCCGCTCGACGAGCAGGAGTTGCTCGGACTGTTTTCGAGCTCGGAGTTGACCTGCAACCAGCAGAACGCGCTGGTCACTTTCAACAGTCAGTCCAGCAAACGAGCGCTGATTGAAGTGCGAATACCGACACCTACGCTGGACGAGCGTGCCGACGGGACAGCTTCCCCACTTGTGACGAGTAGTGGTATTGTCGAAGCTAGCGGCACCCCGACGCTTTCCGCGACCTCGAGTGCGCCGACTGCCACTGTGAGCGTCACCGACCGCACCCGTACTGCTCTGGACTTCGCCCGTGTGGTCGTTCTTTACATCTTGCAAGATTCAGGCAGGCTCAACGACGCCGCTACTGCGCAGGAGAACTTGCAGACTTATTTCACTTCTGGACTCACGGACTCTGGCCAGAGCATCAACGCCCAGAATCTTTCCCTGGGGAACGGGTTCTCGTGCGACGTGACTGGATTCACCATCAGTACCAGCAATGGGACGATTGTCGGAGGCGGCAGTCGGAGTACCAATTCGACTACCAGCTGAGCCGACTACTATATTTCACTTCTTTTGCGCAAGCAGATCTCCGCGAGATTTGAATTTGCATCTGCTTTTGAGAATTTTCTCATTCTTTATGCTTTGTCTCGAGCAGTTTTTTGCCAGCGAGTCATTGCCTGCGCACCAGGAAAGACGCACCACTGCATTGACCGTTTCAGCGTCTGCATCACTTCATTCTAGCCCCGAGGGCCAACGAATGAAAAGCTTCCGGGAAGGAAACCCACGACAGCGGGTTTTTGTTCTTCATGCGTCAAGCTTCTTGTCGTTGTCTTGATTTTTTTCTATTCTGGAGAAGGTTGAGTCTTTTTGGGGTGGGATTTTTTGCTTTTGCTTTTGCTTTGCTTTCAGGATACGAAAGTACGGTACATTTAATGTCTCGACGATAGACGGGCCATGGAAAACGGCAGATGATTTCAAAACTGGGAAAGGGGAGTTTATTCTTTGAGCAGCGCTAGAGACGTGGGAGATGTGTGGTGTGGGAGGCGTGTGGATATATGATACGGGGTTCGTTGTACAATTTGAAGAATTGAAGGAGGTTTTTTCAAAAAGTTTCGGATTTCTTCTGTCCAATCTCTCCCATGTTCTTTCTCTTTATAGTATGATACCCAAAACGCATGATTTTTAAATCTTAGGGATGTCCTCATTCGGTTTTCCTATTAGAATAGGTATGTATAGGGTGGGGGGAGGGGGGGGGGGTTGCATTCTTGTCTGTCTGTCTGTCTGTCTGTCTGTCTGATGGAAATAATTCTCGGAGAATACATACTGTACTGTAAGTATTATAGAGGAGAAGAAGAAAAGCGAAAGGGGAAACAGAAGGGGGAGAAGGAGAAGGGATATTCGAACTATCTTATAGGATTCGGATGGGATGGGATGGGATGGGATGGGATAGGATTGATTCTTTTTTTTTTTTTTCTGTGTCCGTTTGTTCGTGAGTTCGTTACATCGGTAGTTCGTTTTTTGTGGGGGGATACGTATAGTATCGGAGAGAGAGAGAGATAAATCTAGGGGATGGATTGTAGTAATAGTGATTGTAATGTGATAGTAAGGTAAGTTTAATATAGAAAGAAAGAAAAGAGAAAAACAGGAATAATATATAAGCTTTTCGAGCCGGAGGGATACGTTAGGATATAAATTTAGGGATGTATCTATAATATAAGATAAAGATAAGATAAAAATAAGATAGGATAAGTATTCTTTCTACGCGCTTATTACTTTTTTACTATACTTAGAATAGAGGGAAGGAGAGTAACGTAAAGGAAACGGAAAAGCGAATAGAGTAGGTAATTCGAAGGGAAGGAAGAGAAAGGAAAGGAAAGGAAAGGAAGGGACTATAGAAAGAAATTTATCTTCTTTCCTCTAATTCCTTATATTATATTTCCCCCCCCCCCCCTGTTTCGGGTTTTAGGCTAATAATCTAGATTCTTTTGCTTATAGAATAAGTACATACTATCAATTTTCAGGATAACTAGACTTAACTATTCACTCTTTAGGCTCGTTAAAGCTAGATATAAGGGCGGAAAAGGGCGAATAAATTCGTCGTCCCCTAGAGTATCTATCGGTCTAAGGAGGAGGAGGAGGAGGACACAGGAGATAGATAGGTAAGATCTCATTCGTATGTCCGTGGACTTAGAGATGGGATTTCGGATTTCCGCGCGCGTGAGACGTAGAGATACTTACTATACGAGGAGATGCTTACTAAACGTAGAGAAACCTCGCCTATAATATTGATTAATCTCGATTCCATTGTGATCCGGGGGTGTTCGTGCGGAGACTCTCTCTGTTCGCATGCCCTACGAGTTCGGGTACGAAACAGTGCTATGGGCTGGCTGGTGGGTTTACGTAAATGTCGATAGGCTAAGAGCATAGATAGAGGATTGGCGGTGGGATGTTTTGCCCATTTGGGGCACGGAAGTAAATTTTTGCTGTCAGTTAGTTAGCAACTTCTGCCACGATCGAGCGGGCCGACGACGACGACATTGCCGCTCTTCTTAAACTGATCAGAAGATTTAGCTAGCACTTCAGGTGGCAATTCACTAGGAGCGGCTGCAATATCGAAGACAAACAATGGTCTGGGTTTGATCTGCCAAAGACCTACCTCGACGGCTCTTCTTGCAATCGACGAAAACGCGTCCCTTGCCCTCGCCGTCTATGAGTCCCATGTTAATCTGAAACATGCCGAACAAAGAGTAAGCTGGATCCTCGATCCTCGATCCTCGATCCGTCTGCTCCGCCGCCCCTGCGGCCTGAGACATACGCTGAGAGCAATGCTATAAGTCTCGATCGAGCGCGTCGGAGAGCCAGATTGCTGGTGTGTTCCTGGGAGGGATGCTATCGCTGTAATAATTCTTCTAGCGTCTAGGCACGCGTGGGCCAACGACATTCAATCACGGCGGGACCAGGTACGCCGGACAGCGTCGAAGTCATGAAAAAAATCTCACTCTCGGTTGATCCAGGTGTGGTCTGGGCTACTGCGGCTTGCGGGAGGGCTATGAAGTTGTTCTTCCGATGACACAGATGAAGCACGCCGAGCAAGCGTTCTTCGACCTTCAACAGCACGTACTGGGTCTGGCATATCCCGAAGATACACGTGGCCGATCTGAGCCTTCTCATACCCACTGTATATCGAATTGATGGTTTCTAGGAGCCCTGCGCTGCTATTCTGATTGATGCAGAGTGTGTCAATTCGAAGGAACTTCCGGCCATTCTTGAAAGCCTGCTTCCTGCTGCTCTCTATCTTGCTCTGGCATTTCCGTGCTTTGAGCTCCTCCCACTGCAGATCGAAGTCGGCAGGCTTCGTTTCCTTTTCGGCAGCGAGCCACGTGTGTGACAGAATGGCATATTCCGTAAGGTTTTCTTCGTACTCGCCGAATACGTTCTCCCAATATCAGGACGTCCACGTCGGTTCGAAGAATTCTCATGGTGCGTGTTTAGAGTGCATGGATTCCAGGAGGCTGCGCGTACTGGAGGATTATACTGTGAGAGGTCTGCGGGAGCGTTAGGAGGGGACAGGCTACATGTAGCCCATCGCGTCTTAGACGATCTCGTTTCTGGCAGGCGATACGGGAGAAAGTGCATGGCGCCTGAGACACGTCCACAGTTCGCAAACGCAAGTCACTATTGAGATGAGCCGTGATGGTGCTTTTGGAATGAAGAAGTTGCAGGTGAGGTTAGTAACCCTGCGTCTGTGCTGTGCCCGACGCCCGTGCACCGATGTATGCCTCAGGCAGAATCTCAAATAGAAAAGCTTCGTCTACAACTTCGACTGTCTACTTCCAAACAGATTCAACCACGAAGCCCACCTCCACTTTGGAACAGACGGCAGACTCGCTTCCAGTTCCACGGTATTCAAGTGTTCATCGAATTTCCCACGCACCGCGTCCAAGGATGTGATCCCCGAGAGGCGCATAGCGGTCTCGAGTTCGTCTTGGAGGACTAGAACGACAACTCCGTCAGCATATTCAGTCTCCTGATAAGGGATGTGGATAAACACTTACTACTAGCAGCATGTTCTACGCCCTCTTTATCGTACAACACAGCGCACTGGAATGGCCTGCCGACGCCGACGCCTCTAGCTCCGAGAAGGACCGCTTTCAGGACATCGGAGCCACGACGGACTCCGCCGTCGATGTAGACTTCCATCCTGGAGAAGACCTTGGGACAATCCCTTCTCAACTCCAGAAGGATGAGAAGTGTCGCTGGAGAATTGTCCAGGGCTCGGCCACCATGGTTGGAAATCACGATGCCTTCACATCCCATCTCCATGGCGATCTTGGCATCTGCAGCGGATTGGATTCCTTTGATCACAATGGGTTTGCTGGTGTGCTTTCGAAGCCATGGTATATCCTCCCAACTGAGAGCCCAATCGATGAAGGACCCTGTTGTTCTGGCTAGACCGCCGCCTTTCTTGTCCACATTCGACTTCTGCTCGCCAGAATAGACTGATACTGTTTCCTGGACGATGAGACGTTCATCAGCTTCTCGCTTGGAGACAACAGCCAAGTCCACCGTAACGAAGATGGCTTTGATGTTCGAGTATCCCTCAATCTTCGCGAGTGTAGCCTCCGTCTTCGCCCTGTTCCGATCAACGTAAAGCTGGAAGAAGTAAGGATAAGTCGGCGGGACACTAGCCAGTATCTCTTCGACGCTCATACTGGCTGTGGTCGACATGCAATGCACGATTCCGGATCCTGCTGCCCCAGAGCCGAGCGCCGCTTCACCTTGTGGACCGGCAGTTTTGGCTATTCCCATCGGGCAAATGTAGACTGGCATGGAGACATCGGCGCCCATCATCTTCGTTTTGGTATCCACGGCTGAAACATTGCGCATGATTCTCGGACGGAACCAGAGACGATGCCAGGCTTGCTTGTTTGCGGAGAGAGACAACAGGTCATTCGATCCAGCCCAGATGTAAACCCATGCTTTCTCGGAACCAGACTTCTCGAATGCGCGCTCGAAGTCGTCGAGGTTAATGAGTGTTGACAGTGGAGGCTTCTCGTTAGGATCTGCCTCCTTCTGCGTTGTTTCTCGTTTCTGGGCTTCGATCCAGGTATCTGTCACCGTCGATTCGTCCAGGTCGCCCAGTTTCTCTTCGGGTGAGAGCTCATCTTCGATCAGGGTGGAGGAGTGAAATTGGTTGTAAGTTTCTGAGCCGTCTTTCCCAGCCCATTTGTGAATCACTGTCTTGCACGTCAAGAAGGCGGACGATATTACGAAGGACATATCGACTCACTATAGGCGCCGCCTGGATGATTTGGTGCGAACTTGGCTACGAAAGATTGTCAACCATTCGGACATCGCGTTTAAAAATCTGTCATACTCACTCAGATCATAGACTTTGCCATTGACCACAACCCAGCAGTCTTGGGCGGATGAATGCTTCGTGATTTCAGCAACAGTTACCTTGCCGTCGTTGGGAGCCATCTTGTTATCTCGCGGGATTGTTGTTTCCTCCAAATATATTACCAACGACACTCTGCCAAGTCTCTGTCCGCCCTCACCAGGATGTTGTTGTCGTGAGGTCTGAGCAAGAAATGTCAGGATACGATTGGCTTTCGCCTCATCATCAACTTCAGGCGCCTCGTGTCGAGGATCCATATCTCCGCACTTCGGGTAGCAGGCAAGGAAGGTGGAGCGGGACGAGAGTGTTGCCAAGCAAAACCTACTAGGCCGGATCCAGCCATCCAGTACCTTGTGAATCCTGCCTTATTACCTATGGATTTCTGCGAGGTGTACTGCTTCACGGGAGAGCGTACCTCGGTATGCCACTGTTGACATTTGTGCTTGGCTCGAATGCGCCTTTGAGATGGTTCTGCATTTCCAGGAGAGTTGCTGGCGGGCCGCAGAATAGCAACTGCTAATAGCGATGCTTCAGCACTTCAACAGAACCATCAATTCACTGTCGTCGATAGCAGAGCAGCCGATTCCCACCTTCTGGAATTGTTTGACTTCAGCTTTTCTGCAAGATCCGGTGACTGACTGAACCGCATTGTTACCGGCAGACTATTGGTCCAAGGTCCACCAATTTTCGAAGAAAGGGGAGTCAAAGCTTGCACGACTGAACAGCCAGACTATCCATAGTCTCCCGACGCCATTCGCGAATGATCCGGAAAGCGACCTGCTCATGGAGGAAGGCCTTCCCCAAAACGTAATCTGCTGCGCGCTGCAGGAGATCTGGCACCGTGGAGCCTACAGAGCAGGACGTGGAGAAGGGGAAGCCAGTGCGGCTTCCTCCTGACTGTTTCTCCTATATTTTGCACGAACTTGACGCCGATGGGCTCGATGTACTGTATACACTGTCGTCGGAGACAGGGAACTTGCTTGAAAATGCTGCGATATTGAGCAAGACTCCAGATTCCATTGACGCATGATAAAGCCTTGTTAGGGGCTCAGAGTTCATAAGGTCCGGTGGTGTACGCGAGTTCTCCATAGCGAGTTCGAGCAAGGAAATTGCTGTCAGGGTTCCATCCTGCAAGCAGGACAATCACTATGCCGCTTATGAAGTCCTCGCTGCACGTGCACCCATTATACCAGCACCGAAACGCTTTGGTATGGTCGGAATCGGAGACGTTAGCGTAATATTCATTCGCTACGTTCCGTGGATCACGTTGGAAGACGCTTGGCCGAACTTGTCAGGAAAGCAGGAGATGATGGTTAAACAACAATTAGACGAGGGTCTTCAACAGGTTCAAAAGCTGCCGCGAGAGGACCGACGCTTAGAATGATCAACCGCGAAGGGGTCTTGGACTTACGCGCATCCAATGACGAATCAGACTCGAGAAATCCATCCATACGGTGAAAGAGTTCGAGGATTTCCTCTTCTCGTGTCGACCGTGGGAGAAGAACACGTGGGTACGATTCTTGAAAACAGTACTTTCCGCTTCGCGTTTCGAGGCGCCTTGTGTCTTCACCCATGGTGCTGCCAGGATCGCCGACATCATGGTCGGCATGGACGAGCGTGGCGTTGGGAAAGTAAGCGGGTCATTTATTAGATCAGACCGCATTCTATCCAGAGCATTTGGGAAGCGATCAAGACGGCGAGAACTTTCTTGGCGGATGCCAAGACCGACTGGTGGTTGACGATTCCGGACTCGATCTCGGCGGCTCGATATCCAACGTCGTAGCTAAACGACCGGCTTTGGGAGAACGTGCTCGAACCTCCTGCAAAAGCGGATGTGTACGTTAAGGAGATGACAAAGGTTATTCGCAACGGCACGGGTACTTGAGACTAGAGAAGGAACTGCAGCTTCTTTGACGGCACTGGATCTGAGATGGAATACCACGACTTGGCCGCTCGAGACATGCGTCTGTGGGCCAAGGTAAGTTATGTCTGTTGCTGAGCGGTAGCGGGAGAGTCCGTCCTGCACGTTGGCGCGGGAATGTACAGCTCTGAGTGTCTCGGTGGCTTGGTGAATGAGACTCTTAGCGACGGCGCGCCATAACAGGGGCGGATGGTGATGCTGTTGATGACGCTGTTGATGAAGCTGTTGATGATGCTGTTGGTGATGCTGTTGATGGGGCTGTCAATGGTGCTGCACTCTTTCGCTCTATGCGCTTTCACATGCGTGAAAGTTTCCATTCGGATAGCGGCAGGGAAGCGCTAGCGTGGGAAGTAGCTTCCCGATCCGCAGCTGGCACCTTCCGCCGACATACACACTTGCCCTGCCCCACGTCAAACGGCGACTTCAAGTCATTCCCAGGGCCAAAGACGACCGCACCTACTGCGCAGCATTCAACATCCCTCCAAAACCGACAGACACAAACTCGGCCACACACTGAGACTCTGCCAGCACATTCTGCCCAGCTCCAGCTAAACACGAGATAGGAACCATTCACGGTACAGCACTCCAAGGTGCCAAGTGAAGTGAAGGCTTCCGCACCGCACGCTCCAGCAGTCGCCGTCACTGCTCCCCGATGCCGCCTCGCCGCCGTCACCGCCAGCCAGTCTCCGCAGTACATCTTCAGAGCGGACGTCTTCCCGTCGGCGCTCAGCTTCCAGGCAGTCAATCTCGTCCGAGCTCGCAGGCCGACAGCTACACGGAATCCTCTTCTTTCCGCCGCGGCGCATCTTCCGATTTCGAATCCTCTTCCGATCCAGACATCCACTCCCACCACTCAATCAAACCTGCTCCTCCTACATCTGCACACATGCCCAGCTCTACCATCTCCGATATTGCAGACGCAAAGCTGCGCCGCCAACAGGAGCGCATACAGCAAGCTGAAGCTGCTCTTCTTCCTCCTCAGCAACACCAGCGACCTTCTTCTCGCGCCAAAGGCAAGTCGTCTTACAAGCCGCTGGACATCGATTGGAATACCTCGGAAGCTCAGCATCACCAAGCCCGCGACAGTATTGCCTCGACTGCTCCCGGCCCTGTGTCCGAAGTTCGCATCAATACTTACACCGCGCGACCCATCAGCTCTCGTGACACCTCCTTGTCTCGCTTCATGTCCCGTGCTTCCCGGCAGACTGGTGCCGTGGAACTCGACCGCTCAGACTCTCTCGCCACCGATGATGGCTTCCAGATCTATAGACGCGGTCGTCAGAACAAGAATGTCGAGCAGCTGAAACCCTTTGAAGACAACAAGCTCGAGCAGAAGCAGAAGACCGTCGAGGCCGACTTCGACAAGCGCCAGATCTACGAGGTCTTCGCCAAGGAGTTACCCGGTCTTGACTTCATTGACAGCAACCTGGGCCGGCACGACGGTCAAGTGCAGTTCATACAGCATCCGAACGGCGATGTCTCAGCTCACATCTGGTCGGATCAGCGCACTTTGTGGGAGAACCTTGGCAACTTCTCCAACATTCGTAAGAGAATCGAGGGCCAACTTGCCGCTGATCGCCTGAAGGGAGAGACGGCCTGGCAGACTTTGCAGAAGCACACTCTCGCCTATTTCCGCGCCGTCGCGAAGCAGCGCGAGTGGGATGCAATGGGCGTACCCTTTGGGCAGGCTGATCTTCAGCAGATACTGCCTCAGCCAAAAGAAGCCGCTGCTGGCAATAGCAAAGAATCTGCTGCGTTACCAGGTCTTGGCTTCACAACCACCAATGTCGCGGGCGATTCAGCCTCCCAGCAGCATCGTCAAGAGGCTCCTATCGTGCAGCCCACGCCTCGCGTACAGGGCATCGAGCGCTTTGGTTTCATGCAGCAGCAGAAGGTCAATGACAAAGACGGAGACCCCTTCACCGCTGCTGGTCCATACGCCAATCTGGCAACTGCGCCTCTGCTTCCCACAGCGTCTCAGACGACGTCAACGCTACCAAAGAACGTCACGTCACAGGGCCACAACGTTGAACAGGACCGCCTCTACTCCAGCCAAATGCCATCAACGTCAGAAACCCCGACATTTTCTCTGTTCAAGCCGGGCTTCCAGATGTTCAACGCTGGCCAACTTGTTCCGCCGTTCAATCCGCATCCATCTGCTACACTTCCGAGCATGTTTCCCTTTCTCAATCCGAGTATTGGCAACAGTTTCGCCCATGACACTGCCAGCCGTCGCCAAACTTCCTTCGATCACTCGGGCTCTCCATCTCGTTCCAAGCCCGTGACGCCTCTTCAGACCCGTGAGGCGATGCGAGACCAGCTCTGGAAGCTTGGCGAGACGGCTAGTGCTAGATCGCGCAACCCCAGTCAGAACAATATTCCTGTTCGTACTGTGCTGCGTGACCCGTATCAGAGATCGAGCGGTGAGAACGAAGCGTCCAGCAACTCCTCCGCCCGTGCTCCCCGCGACGCTCCCTCGTTTGAATCCAAAACGCAGCAAACGAATTCATCTGAATCAGCCATGCCAACCGGTTGGATGGACTCTCAGGCTGCGCTGCCGCAATCACGCCAGGCCAATCCCACCACAAGCAGCCATCAAGCATCTTTTGACGACTGTCTTGCCGACAGCGTTCCTGACTGTACCGCCTCACCCACCGTTGCTAGCAGCAACGGCGTCTCTACGATTGTACCTGGCACAGAGATGGCACTCGTGCCTACTTCCGCTGCCGATTTCGATCTTGATGCTCCGCCGAATTCCATGTTCGAGACCCGTGACGAAGCGCTGCAGCGTTGGTGGACATCTGGAACCAAATTCCAGCGCCATGAGGAGCTCTTCCAGAGTATCAAAATGCAAGCGCTACTTGAGGGAAGCACTGCCACTACCCCGGCTCGCACGAATCCTCGTTCCATCGGTGCTCCACCTGGTCGAACTGTGGCGAATCCATCTGCCGGTGCTTACCAAGCCACGCCGCAGAAGGCCGATCTCGCCAACCAGCCTGCTCCTTTCAACGAGACCGTCACTCGCGCTTTCCTGCTCATTCATGAGAATTTGTCGAGCTACGTTCAGGGACCGACGGATGCTCGTCAGGATTACTGGGCTCCTTGGGTCAAGGCACCGGAGTGGGCTATCGATCGCAGCGCGGGTGGGAATGATTCGTTCTTCGACGGTGGCTGGGGCAAGCCGCCTGCCCGTGTTGGTCGGGATCCGAGATTTCGTGCTCTACCGGGGGAGTTGCGTTTTGGAGGGTTCTTGCCAGGTGCAGCTGGTATCGGCAGTCCGCCGGGATTGTTGGGTGTGAGCGGTGGTGTGCCCGGTATGGCGAGGTACGGCTATGGCAGTCCTGCTGGCAAGTACTGAAGAGATGAGATGTACATTATGAGGTTCCGGTGCACGATGAAGGTCATGGCACAAGCATGAGGAGAATGGAATGGTACGATGAGAACCATGTGCTCCTCGGTGAGTGGGCGCCCTGATTCCGAGATGCGGCATGTGCACCAGTACGGTAGCCTGAGAGTTTATACCCAATGCGAAGCTCTGTCAGCTGAAATCATTCGAGCTAGTTTACGTTCCCAGCTTTGCTTCATTTTACCAATCCTCATACTCTCCTTCCCAGCGCTTCTCTCAGGCTACTCATCCTACTCGCCATCGTGCTCCCGCCTTGCGCACGCATGTTGCTCATGAGAGCATCTTCCAATGCCGATTGCGTCACACTGGCATCGTCTAGATCGCTGAAACTCGAGCCCATAGACGGAGAACCGGTCCCTTCACTTCCGCTTGCCAAATTCGCGCGCTGTCTTGGAGAGAGGGCATTGGTGGCGCGATTCGGTGTGGTGGTGGTCTGCTGCGGCGGCGCCGCCGAAGTAGACGTCGCGGAAGAAGCAGAGGACGTTGTCGTCGTGGTGGTTGTTGTTGCATCCTGCCGGGATGGAGGAGTGGGTTTGCCGGGTTGGGTTTGAGCTGGCGGGGAAGTAGGGAACGTCTGACGCTTGGGAGTTGTAGCAGCAGCAGCTGCAGCAGGATCCTTTGAGGCAGTCGCGAAGGGGAGGTACCCGCCCCCTGAGTCCGAGTCGGAGTCGTTTTGGGACTCTTCGTCGCCGTCGGAGCCGAGGGTTCCTAGGGTGGGTTTTGCTTTGGAGCGGGAAGCTATCGGGGGACGACGGAAGGCTTGGCTTCTCTGGATTGCGGAAGGGGGCTCGGATTCCGACGAGGAGTCGGACGAGTCCAAGGGTGCTTCTTTGGGAGAGTGGGATGTTGTGATGGGGTTGGGACGTCGGCGGCGGGAGGTGGTGGTGGTGGAACCTAATAGCTTGCTTTGAGTCACGGTTACCGCGGATGGAGTTCTGGAGATGGGGACGCGGCTTTGTTGGGGTTGTGGAGTTGAGGTTCCTGGGGAGGAGGTTTCGTTTCCGCCTGGGAATATCGTCAGTTTCGTGATGGCAAAGACGGATCGAGGGTATGTATACCCTTCGCGGCAATTATTTCCGTCTTGCTGCCTCCGACAGCACTTGCAATAGCGCTCCCAGTCGTCTCTCCGGCAGTATTAATGCCAGGGAGTCTTCCGACCTGCTTTCGTATCCTGTCCACGTGTCTCTCATTAAGCCTGTGACACAGATCAGCGATTTGTCTCCGAATATAAACTCGTGATCAATCGCACCAGGCAGCTTGCATCAACAAAAAGCTCAGCTCGACCCCAAAGTCTTGACTCAGTCCCTCCCAGTTCAACTCTCCTTTCCCGGATGAAATGAGCTTCCATAGCCTCCGATCTTTAGTGGCGTCCCACTCTACTGGTGGCGGGTCTTGAAATTCTCCGCGCTTAAATGGTAGTCTGATGAAGACGGTGTAGTGTGGGGAGTTCTGGGCCACTGTTTGCATAGGAAAGCTTGGACTCCCTGGTCTCGATGATGGCTTTGGTAGTCTGGCGGGTTCCTGGAGAGAGTTGTGTCTCGATCTGTCCTTTGCTCCAGACTCTGTCAGTGGTTGTGCTGATGATGAGGGAGACATTTCAACTCCAGCGCACGCCGTTCTTGGCGTGTTGGTGATGGAAATGTCGTTGGCGGTGAGGACGTGAGGTTGAGATACCTCGTAGCTTAGTCAGAGCTGATGCCTCAGGTGAAACACTGCCAAGGAGGTACGAGCCTACCCGTATATACTGTAGAAAGGAAATTGGAAGTCAGAAGAAATCAAGTTCGGAGACGTTTCGTGATTTCCTCAAGCATGCATGTTCGATTCGCTTGCTACGGAAAGGCCGCGAGCATGTCGTAGTCGTCCCTTGACTACCGCTCCTCTTCTGCCTGTGAAAAGCCGATCCACCAAACCACATGCGCCCATGCCCACAAGCAACAACCCATGGCAAAAGCTTCCTCTGCTCTAGATGTACGTCTCGTATGCTATCGGGGCGATGCTCTCTGGCTTGTTGTCCTTGGCGCTGACAGTCCGGGCGTCGCGGGGCATGGCGGGCTGTCTCTTGAGGTGGAGGTGCTCGCCGCTCTCCTTGGCCTTGCGCTTCTTGGCCGCGTTCTCCTTGACACGGTTGATGAACTCGTCCCGAGATCGCGAGTGGCGGACGTGCTCGGTGCGGACGTTGATGCGCTTCTCGATGTAGCGGTTGCCGACCTGGCGGTAGAGGATGACACCGACGGCTGACTTGGTCACGTTGTAGACAACACCAGTCTTTCCGTGGTAGACCTTGTATGGCTGTATATACCGTCAGCCCTGCTCTTTTTTATGCCACTATGGAGCATCCTCCGCGAACATATATGTCCTGATACAATCTGTTCTTTGGGATTGACGTACCATGCCCTTCTGGACGGCACCGTTGCAAACAACATCGACGATATCTCCGACATGGTAGTTCTTGAGGTAGGTAGAGAGCCGGATCATACCAGTCTTCTTGAAACCACGGGCGAAGGCTGTCGCGAGTTGTTAGCACATGCTCTTCCATCGCCTCAATCCATCGTATTCTGCCTAAGTGTTCCCACGCTCCAATTCTCCTCTTGCAAGATGTTTGTATGACTGACCATAGCGAGTGCCCGCTCTGAGACCGGCGGAGTGACCCATTGTGAAGGTGTTGAAGGGCTGGAAGATCGTTAGTTGCTGGTGCAATCGGCGAAGGAGGGGTATCGGCGCATACGTCTGGTGGTGAATTACTCTGTCGGTTGTCAGTACGGTATACCGAGTGGCTTTGGTGTGGTGATATACTCACTGTCTGGGCGCAACGTGCTTGAAGTCTTCGTCGTCGAAGCGTTCGGCAAGGAATTTGGAAGGCGCATTTCGTGTGGTGGTCTGTGCACGCCAAGCCTCCACCCACTTCAAGAAAATGCAGTCCCTTGCCCTTTCCATCTCTGAATTCCAGCGCAGGACTGCGACGCAGCATCACCGACAACACCCAACATGGCGCCGTAAGTCACAACACGATGGCGGATGCGAGGATGCAGCAGCTTCTGGAAGGTACAATACGGCGAGACAGCGCAACGCAATGGCTAGCGACACTCAGAGCACGCGATCAAGGCAAGAGCCAGAAGATGACGATGAGGGCAGTTCGCAACAGAGGGCTTCGGTCAGAACATGCGGTTCATCACAGCCATCTGGCTGGTGATTGCGATTGATACCTCTGGCGACCTTCCTCCTCCTCAAGGCCGCTGAGCCCATGCAGTCTGCATACCGCGCATTGCACCAAACTCGAACTGCTGCATCCCCTCCGACCACCTGCTCCAAGACTGGGACTCTCATGCTAACTCTATCGACAGTCGCTCGTACAGCAAGACCTACAAGGTCCCTCGTCGTCCATTCGAGTCCGCTCGTCTGTCAGTAATTCCCCATGGCCACTGAGCGTGAGCGTGCTCCGTTCAAGTCAATGGTTTCTAACATCCGCCCAGTGACTCCGAGTTGAAGATCGTCGGCGAGTACGGTCTCCGCAACAAGCGTGAGGTCTGGCGTGTCCAGCTCACCCTCTCCAAGATTCGTCGTGCTGCCCGGTAAGAAGCTCCAAGAACTGTACAACAAACTTGCCCTTCTAACGTTCTCATCAGTCAGCTTCTCACCCTTGACGAGAAGGACCCCAAGCGTCTCTTCGAAGGCAATGCCCTCATTCGCCGTCTGGTCCGTGTCGGTGTGCTCGACGAGTCCCGCATGAAGCTCGATTACGTCTTGGCCCTGAAGGTTGAGGATTTCTTGGAGCGCCGTCTTCAGACTTGCGTCTACAAGCTCGGTCTCGCCAAGTCCATCCACCACGCTCGTGTCCTCATCCGCCAGCGTCACATTCGGTAAGATATGCAAACGACACGAGAAGTGTAGATCTTGCTAATTTTGTTTCAGTGTCGGCAAGCAGATCGTCAACGTTCCATCGTTCGTTGTCCGTCTCGACTCCCAGAAGCACATTGACTTCGCCCTCACATCTCCCTTTGGCGGTGGCCGCCCAGGTCGTGTTAGGAGAAAGAAGGCCAAGGCCGCCGAGAGCAAGGACGAGGGTGGTGACGAGGGTGAGGAGGAAGAGGAGTAGACAATTCGCTCCACAGACTTCTTCACGATACCATGGGAAAAGGCATCGGCGATGGCGTACACGAGTACGGGAAAAGGCGGCGATAGATAGCCGCTGCAATCATACCAGCTGAGTCTTCACGGTTCAATTACGTTTTCTGAATATGTCTTTTTCTAATCCTCAACGACTGCACTCCAACTCTCCCTCGCGTTGAGGATTGGTAAGTCATCTCTTGCAATCCGGCGCTACACATTGCCTCAGCCTAGACCAACTACGTATGGATTCTCAGTTCGATTGGTCTCAGGAGTCCTGGAAAGTCGACAGCGTGCCATCGTATTCGCTGGAACAATGCGGGCGCTGCCCGTAACGAGTTTGATTTCAAAGTTTACCGCGCTCTAGTCGGACTGAGGTGGCTCGCGTTTGCTTGATGCCTCAGGCAGAACGCCAACCTTAAGTCTCGCTTGTTCACATGCGCTTTCTTGGGAGTAAGAACTTCTCCAAAGCACCTGCAGCCTCCCTTCTCCACATTCGACATCATGTCTCGCGAGGTGGGGGAGACATCGACGCCACCCGAAAAGCGCTTCATGCGCGATTACACGGAGGTCATTACTGTGCTCGTGGGTCCCGAAGAAAAGAGCTTCATTCTTCATAAGGATGCTATCTGCTCCGGTAAGCCGGCGAACATCCCGATCCAATGACGAGGAAGTTGTGCTAACAGAGACAGAGTCTACAGTCTTCACCAAGGCATGTTCGCAGAGATGGGAAGAAGGCAGAGAGGTATGTTGCGACGAGACACCACTTAGAGAAGGAGGCTCCTGACGGAAGGGAAGGGGGTCGTTCGCTTACCATCCTACGAAGCTGAAACCTTTCAAGCCTTTGTTCACTGGGTCTACCGCAAAAAAACACAACGCCACTGAGGAGTCTGTGAACGCTTTTCCGTCATGGTCTTCGTACGGAAAACTTTGGGCATTGGCACACTACCTGGACCATACACCCCTTCGAGATGCCGTTATCGACTGCATGCTTCAGAAGATCGAGGCACTTCCTCAGCTGGGCGTTAGTTTAGACACCCTGTGCCACATCTTCGAGTCGACTCCTCAGAACAGCACGATCCAGCGACTACTTCTAGAGTACACTGCCGCAAGTATGACCCCCGCGAGGCTGCAGAAAGAAGCGGAGAAATTGCCATTTCCAGTGGTGATATACTTGGCTTGGAAGTGCACGGTCTTTACATCGAGCACATTTTCTCTGCCGAAGTTCGAAAATCGATGGATTTTCCACGAACGCGAAAAAGAGACACTGAGATACTGGGACGGCGTCATGCATGACGGGGCTAGGAAGCTTGCCCTCACTGCCGAGGGATTTTCTTCCTACACCGAACCATGTCCGCAAGCGGAAGAAGGTCGAGATGAAGACTTGTGGAGTTATGAGTCTATCACGGCCGTGCCTGGATATAGAGACCGTAGCTTCGAAGAGTTGAGATTGAAAAGTCTCGCTCAGAAGACTACTGAAGAGGGCGGCGTTTAGAGCCTTTTACGAATACAGATACGGTCTTTGTCTGAGACGCTCCGAGCACTGGGTCAATGCTACATCACCTTGGCTGCGAGATACTGTATGGACCCCATTCTGCCAAAGGCACTATACAATGCAGGCCGCGACGCCGAAAGAGACGATACGATGATCCAGGCATGCAGTTTTGAAATACGAAGCGTATTGGACAAGCTCATATCTTCAGACTAATCTGTCTTACCCAGTATGAGCGGCCAAGAATCTCTGAATCCTCGAGCGCTATTGCTGAAGGGATCAATTCAAAATGCGGATGAGGCAGCGGCACCGTCCAGATGTTATGAGATGGACCTTCAATTTAACCCGCGGCTCCCCGACTGTGCCTGTCCTCCTCTTGAAAAGCTTCACGAGCTTCTCAAGATATCGTAGCGTCACACGATCTTCCACGTCTCGCAAGCCATCGACAACACAGTACACAGTCGGCTTTCCGTGCTGTAGAGCAGCATCAAAGGGCCTCAAGGCTTGGTCGAAACCATCCAACCTTCCTTCCAAGTCCGCAACCGTGGACATATCCTCAGTGCTCTCCGCTTTCGGTGATGAGAGTTCTAGAGCCTAGCGAAGAATGCGAATACATCAAAGCTGCGGCTCCTTGGGACTGTGGACTCACGTTCTGTCCAGAGGTACGAGATTACCGCAAGCTTGGAGGAATCGACGAAACCTACGATTCTCGAGGCCAGAGTACTCATTGTCGACGGACCGAGAGAGTGGGATGATTCGGGCCCGGTAACACAAAAGAACGACGAGTTCTCCGCGGCTGCCCACTCTTGAAGTCTTCCTGTCGCGTCGTTTGGCACGGCGACAAGTGCAGGATCAGCAGCGAAGCGCTCCAAGTATGGATCGCCTGGAGAGTGGAGGCTTCATGCGAGAGCTGAATACTGATGTCTCGCAGGCAAGACTTCTCTGAGGTCCTCACAGTCTTTCTTGGAGAGCAGAAATTCATCCTGCACGCAAGCTAACGTCCGTGCCGTATTTTCTTGATTTAGGGCCGCCTGCTCCTCGATACGTGGAGCGACGGATAGGAAGGTCATCTCAAGCTACCCGACCTCGATCCCGATGGCTCACAGGCTTTTGCACGGTGGATTTATTCATGAAGATTGAGCCTGGAGTTCCTTGATAAAACATTTCGAACGAGAACTACTATTGCCTTATAGATGCTTGGCTGGCAGGAAATGGAGTCGGTGCCACGGAGCTCTGCAACCAGTCATTGACTGTTAACTGGAACAGATAAGCGAGGAAACCTATCTGCTCCCCCATGAAGATACCATGAAGCTCATTCCAAAGGACAAGGACTATGGAGGTTGATGGTTGATCATCTCGCGGAGTTTGGGGGCCTGGAACAATTCGACAAGCAGAATCATAAGTGGCCTCTCGCGCTGTTCAAGGATGTTGTCAGGACGCTATTCGACCACAAAGGAGGAGAGGACATCAATCCCCTCGACCAGGATCAATGCTTTCACCACGATCAACCGGAGGGCACGCCAATGTGTGCTTAAGCCTTCAGGGAAAGCTGCGTTGGAAGGATGAGCTGGGAGAACGCTCATGAGCTGAGTTTGGCCAGTGAGCGAATGGATATGGGGTGGATGGTGTGTGATTCTGCCTCTGAAATACCTTGATCAGACAACAGTACTAGATCAGAGAATGAGGTGGGAAGGCATGCGTGTCTTAAACACCACAAAAGTATGCCTGTTGCACGATAGTCTTTAGAGAACACCTCGGAAGCCAAAGAACTTGAACCTGCTTTACGAGTAAGATGATTGTTGGAGCTGACGGGTCCTAGACCAAGCTTCTGGGGAGATGGAGGTTGCGCAAAGTGTATCGAAGTAATGAATAGCTGAAAGCGAAAGTACACGATCCTCGAATGAGGCGGCATCGTGGTGGTAATAAGAATGAGGGAACGGGGCTCCTAGCTTTGAGACATGTGAAAATCGCAACCCAGGCCCGTGAAGAAGGAGGTGAAGTTGAACACAGCCAGCCAATCGGAACACACCCAATCAACCACGCTTTGCCGAGCTTCGGGAGCATTCTTCGCCATCACAGACACATCTTCGTCTCCTTCCACCTCCATACCACCTCTAACAACCATCGAAATCCCAGCAGATCCATTCTCAACATGCCTCGTCAATCCCGTGGTCCAGCTGCAGCGCCAAGGCGCCCTGTCGCCGCTCCTCAGCGACCAGCTCCACCACAACCCGCTCAGGCCCGTCAAGCATCTACCGTTTCCCATGCTCCACAAGGCCAGCAAGCACACCCACCGACTGCTCCGCCCCAGGCGCCGGCACAGAGCCAAGGACCTGGACTGTTTGGTCAGATGGCGAGTACAGCTGCGTAAGTCCATCTCCAGCCCTTCCAAACTTGCCGCCTTCACTGACATATATTGGGTGTACAGTGGCGTAGCAGTCGGCTCCTCCATCGGCCACGCAATCGGCGGCTTCTTCGGCGGTGGCTCCTCCGCTCCAGCACAAGCAGAAGCCGCTCCCGTCGACCAGTCTCAGTACGGCGCTCAAGCACAGCAACAGGTGAACCAGGCCCCCGCAGTCTGCGCCAACGAAGTCACAGGTTTCAAGCGTTGCATGGACGACAACCAGGGCAATTTGACAATTTGTGGATGGTACCTGGATCAGCTCAAGGCTTGCCAGAGCGCGGCAAGTCAGTACTAGAAGAATGACTTGAGGAGAGGTCATTCCGAGCAAGATGCAGAAAGCGTTGCATACACACTAGCATCGCAAGATAAGAGAAGAGGGTGGAACCAAAATGAGATTTCTATACTTTGTATCGAGCGAGCATTAGACCGGAAGAAACAAAAGGATACTCCGCTCATCACCAGCATTTGCAACAGTATGAACTTCTCTACCGGTACGACACAGCTCGCGACGCTGCGTGTATGTCTCACGCATCCGCAGTCGTCTTTATGACAGGAACGCCAGCCTCTCCGTCTCGATTTGACCTCCACATGCCCCCATCTTCAAACCATTCCTCCTTCCAAATCTCCACCTTGCTCTTGATCAACTCCAAGCACTCTTCTCCTGCTTCCCAAGCAGCTTTCCTGTGAGGAGCAGAGACCGCGATAAGAATGCTTTCTTCCCCGATATCGACGTGTCCCAGCCGGTGCGAAACCGCAATGCCAACCAGATCATGCTTCTTGTGGATAGCGCGGGAGATAGACAGCAAGGACTTGAGGGCAAGAGGTGCATATGTGGAATACGCGAGATGAGTGACAGTCTTCGTTTGGAAAGAGTCCCGGGTACAACCTGTGAGACAAAATGAGAGTAATACTTAGCCTGGAGCTTCTTGGACGTCAGTGAGTGGAGAGGATCTCGATTTGGTCTTGGACTTACCAGCAAAGAGGACTACGGCTCCGGCTTTGGGGCTTTTGACTCTGGCCAATTGGGCTTGGGAGTCCAGAGCGTTGTATGTTAAGGAGACGTAGATATCGTCCTCTTGCAGCGATTGCTCTCCATCGAATTTGCGAGTGCTGAAAGACATTGTGTGAGATGACACTGATGCTGCACACAGCACTGTGAAGCCTGCAGTGAGATGTCGATGTGGAGCGTGTGAGCCGAAGCGGGCCGAAGCCTACCTTGCACCGCTGGCTTCAGCTCCCGTCTCCTGGAAGCAACAGCTCCAGACCTCGACTCGGCATCAACATCAAGAGAAGGTGAGTACAGCATCATCGCTGTCGCGTCCTCGCTCATCACTGACCCTCAAAGCGACAGTGATTTGGCCTTCAAAGTACACCCGAACCCACGCGATCGCGATACTCCCAACCAACAGCTTCCGGCTTGCGACCATCAGCCTCGATCAAGAGCGCGAGGCGATCTCATTCAATCGATATTGCAGGAGATTGCAAGAAGGAACATTGTACTTTATAACTACTGCACCTCTGCTCTGTACTATCTGAAAACGCGAAGGACGAGAGATCTGTACGTATGAGCCATGTCTGAGACGCGAGCAAATGAGCGGACGAAGCCTGCAATACTGGAGATCGGGGAGCCGGAGACAATTGTTGAACAAGCTGAGACTGATTGTACAATAACCAGGCCTGACCTGCTGAACCTTTGCTCGCGGCGTGTACATAACACAAGCAAAAGCAGGAGACTTACCATACACCTGCCTCCCCACCTCTGACTTTGAGTCTCATATTGACCCAGCAGCGGCCTCCAGCGGGCTGAACCACCCGTTATCCCACTCTCGACCGAGCGACTGCCGCGATCATGTCGGGAGAGGACGACACCTTCGACATCGACATCTACGGCGACGAGGGAAAGGACACCCAGCAAGCGAATGTGAACGAGGATGAGGATGAACTAGTATTCGACGACGATCCGCAATACGGCTATGATGGGCAGCAAGACAGCAGCCACGATCAGAACGGAGTAAAGCAAGAGCAGGACAGCGCCTTCCAACAAGCACATGACGCCGGAAACTCGTCAGCACAACCTCAACCACAGCAAGGCACCAAGCGCAAAGCAGAAGACGATGGCTACGATAACTACTCACATCAAGTCAAGCAAGAGACACCTTCGGCCTCCAACTTTACTCAACCTATCAACCCTTCTGCAACTCCAGCACTCAAGATCACGGAACTTCACTGGTGGACGACGGAAGAGGATCTCCGGGCTTTCTGCGCTTCCGCGAATGCCGAAACCCAGCTTCGCGATATCTCTTTTGGCGAGCATAAGATCAACGGCAAGTCACGAGGCGAAGTGTATCTTGAATTCAGCTCCGCAGCCGCTGCCGACGCGGTGAAGCGGGAAGTCGAAAAGAAGGAAACGAAAACCGAGAATGAGGAACCGAAGCGCATCAACAATTTCCACATCTTCTTCACTGCGGTTGGCAATCCTTTCCGCGGAAGAGACAGCGGCGCGCAGGGCAAGAAGGACTTCAACAATGCCTCTGGTGGACGTGGCGGAGCTTATAACCCCAACTTTGGTGGTGGACGTGGCAACTTCCAACGAGGCGGAGGCTTCAACCGCGGAGGCGGCTTCAATAACCGTGGCGGAGGTTTCCAGCAGCAAGGCGGTTGGAACCAGGGAATGGGTGGTGGATACGGAGCTCCTAACCCTATGATGGGCGCGCCGATGATGATGGGGATGGGTGGAATGGGGATGGGGTTCAACAACATGGGACGCGGTGGGGGTATGAACATGGGTCGAGGCGGCATGATGGGCGGCATGAATATGGGGGCCATGGGCGGACGAGGAGGTATGATGGGAAGAGGTGGGTGGGGTGGTGGTGGTGGTAACCTTCAGCAAGGTGGAATGCAGGGTGGATATGGAGGTGGTGGATATGGGATGGGAATGCAGGGCGGTGCGAACAAGAGGATGAAGAACGAGTAGCGGCATGGCGAGGGTGTGGTCGGGATGTTCGATGGAGATGATGAAAGGCCGTCTTCAGCGGGTATGGAGACGCACGTGTGGCTGAGAGGCTTCCTACCTTACAAAAAGAGATACGCAGCTTTGTGGCTGACAGCGAGTTACTTGTAATGCCAGACGACCTAAGGTTTCCTCCGCCTTGTGAGAGTGCTGTCTGCCTACTACTCATCATAGACATCAGCCAAGATTGCAGGAAGCCCTGCTCCACAAAGCTGTGGTTGGCCGCGGCCATGAGTAAGTGCCGCAATAATGCCTTTGCACATATGGACTACCTTATACTTTCGGTGGTCATGACTAAGGATGCCACGTGCCTACGCGTCGAGGAGGAGCCACAAGCCGTAATTTGGGGATCTGCCCCGCGTGATCGGCCACGCGTCGTGATGCGTTGCGCACCTCTTCCCCAACTACCAGCCAACACAACTTTCTCACAACTCCTCCTTGTGCGCCCTTCAGCCAGTTCAATCTGCGTCTCTCCATCATCAGCAGAGCTGCCGATGAGTCTGCCTGATCCCGTCATTAATGCCCTGAGGCTCGAATCTAACCTAATTTCTCGGAAGCCTCGGCATCTGCGCGACGAACGTGTTTCAAGATCCCTGCAGGCAGTTGAAACCTGCATTCGCTCGCGCGTTGCATTATTGCATTGGCTCCACTCGTCCTATCACTCCCTCGCTCAGACGAGGTTTGATTGTGTCGCGGAGAGGAGGCCAAGAAGCGAGGGAGCGGTTGCAACAGGACAGGACACCTGCGGTTTGTTGCTGCGCTGTCCGGACAACCCCACCGCAGGACACAGGTGCTGGAGAGATAAGAAGGCCCCGCGACAGCTCACGTCCAAACATCTTGAAACTGTTTGTGTGACGTCGTTGCTGAGGTGAGAGCTTCCAGTGTCCAGGCTGCCTGCATCTCCTACGCGCGCCGGCCTAGTCCTGGATTGATTTGATAGGAGCTTGCTAGGACGTTAAGGAGGAGCTTGTATCGCACCACATTCAGCACAAATGGCCGCAGGGTTTCGAGATTCCGAGCGCATCGGCCTGGGCAGCGATACCGATTTCACCATCTCCCATCGCAAGCCTCCTCCAGTTCCCAACTCGCCGCCGCTGTCCAGCACTTCTTCAACACCCGCCAGTCCTCCCCTTCCGCACATCGGCGAGGCCTTCACCACCGACGCACGGGTCGCGCAGCAGCAGCAGCAGCAGCAGCAGCAGCTTCTCGACCGACAGCAACAGCAAGCACACCAGGAGCAACAGCAAGCGCGGGTGGTGAATCGCGGGGCCCACTTGGGAGACAGCGAGGAACCGACATCTACCGCCTCGCAGCCCGCTGCTGCAGGTACAATCACACCCAGTGGGGGGAAACGAAGAGGCTCCTTCAGCTTCCTGCGCCGCTCCGCCAGCAACTCGAGCGCGACGTCGAAACACAGCGAGCCTACGGTCTACCACGCCGACAGCGACGCTCCTCCACTCCCCGACTTCCAGCCCCGGACACGAATAGCACAGGCAAGCGCCGACGCGGCCAGCCGCCGTGAACGGCAGAAGCTGCGAAAGGCATCGACCGACTCAGAGCGGAAGGCGTCCTTCACCATGTTGCGCAAGAGCAGCAGACTCAAGAAGCAGGAGCAGGAAGAGGCCGAGCGGCAGGCCAAGGCTGTTCCTCGACAACCTCCTCACCTGCCCTCTCTCACCTTCGTCTCCGACGACGTACGCCCTGACAGCGTCGCCATCTTCAACAACTCCTACACTCACTCCATCTCCAGCCAGCCGCGCACGACCGCCAACTTCTCGCGGCCCGCCGCCATGGGCCCCTCCAGCAACATGAACAGTTCCTCGTCACCTGCTTATGCCACTCGTTCCGGCAGCGGGCTTGCAGGCTCTTCCTCCCCTCCAGCCAGGGCCAATGGCGAGTATGTGGTTGATCCTACATCTCACCGCACCGAGAGCATGACCAATCGAAGCCGCTATTCTTATGCTTCTTCTGTCGGACAGACTGTTAACGTGAACAGTCCTCGCCGAGTCCGCAGAAGGAAAGATCCCACTCCTTTCAAGTAAGTCAAGAAGAACTTCGCCTTGCCGCCCATTACTGATCTTTCCCAGCGTGTTGGTCATTGGAGCCAAGGGCAGCGGCAAGACCTCGTTCATTTCGTTCCTTCGACATTCGCTCGCTCTTCCCGCGCACAAGCAGCCGAACGGAAGGGAACCGCAACCGCAAGTCGCTGGCAACAGATCTTCGTTCACTTCGCAGTATTTGGAGACCGAGATGGACGGCGAGCGCATGGGCTTGACGCTATGGGACTCTGTTGGCTTGGAGAAGAACATTGTTGACTTGCAGCTGCGAGAGATGACGGCATTCGTTGAGGCCAAATTTGAGGATACATTCGTTGAGGAACAGAAGGTGATGCGAAGCCCCGGTGTCAAGGATACACACATTCACTGCGTCTTTCTCGTCCTAGATCCCGTGCGGTTGGATTCGACGATCAACGAGTCGACCGCTTTCCACAAGAACGGATCGCATGCCGGAAGCCTGGATGATGATTTGGATCTGCAGGTCTTGCGCGCGCTGTGGGGAAAGACGACTGTCATTCCGGTCATATCGAAGGCGGACACGTTGACTGTGTCGCACATGGCGTTTCTGAAGCGCGCGGTCTGGTCGGCTTTGAAGGGCGCGAAGCTGGATCCCCTGGAAGCGCTGGAGTTGGAGGATGACGAGGACGATGAGGATGAGGATGAGGATGGGGAAGATCTCGACGGCGAGCAAGAAGATACATTCGAAGGCGACAGCCTACTGGTATCGAAGAAGAAGAAGGCGCACAACCGACATTCATCGCTTTCTCTCGTCAATGGATACATTGCCGACGACGAGACACCATACTTGCCAATGTCCATCATCTCACCCGACATCTACGACCTTCCGCCGTTTGCGCCCAAGTCCAAATCTGGCAAGCAAGGGAAGGTCGGGCGCAAGTTTCCCTGGGGCTTCGCGGACCCGTACGACCCTGAGCACTGTGACTTTGGCCGTCTCCGAGACAGCATCTTCTCCGAATGGCGCGATGAGCTGCGCGGACTGAGTCGGACGAAGTGGTATGAGAACTGGCGTACGAGTCGCTTGCGGAATCTGCCTGGATCAAGACAGCGAATCAAGGGCGGCGTTACTCCTGTTGCCGCGGTACCCAAGGAAGGCCGGATGGGCAGTCAGTCGAGCCGACAATTCTCGCCTACGACGAGCCATGCGGTCCCGAGGAGTTTCTCTGCGATGAGCTCTGCGACGGCTTCCACGCATGCGCAAGCTGCGAATGTTGGAGTCGCGCTTGCGGTTGCGGGCAAGAGTTCGCGGGATGTGAGCGGGAGTAGTCAGACGGGGAGTGTAATCAAGCATCCGCAGTAAGATTTGCGGCGAAGGAAATGCAAGGGGGTGAAGGTTGAGGTAATCAGTGAGGAAGCCAGGAGGAATGGGGACAAAGAAGCACACTGATACGCAAGGAATGCCCGATACCACCGATACCGATTTTTGGAAGAGATGCGATGCGGCAACGTTTCCGTACAGCGAGTACCTACACAGTTTTGAGAAGGAAAAGGCAGGACACACTAGCGAGCAAGCCAGATTGATGCATGGATTGGGAGAGGAGGAAGTATGGTGACTTGATTCTGGCTCCTGCTTTTTTTTTCATCAAGCGGGAGGGAGATAATGTTTTCTTTTCTCTACTGTTGTGTTGTGTTGTGTAGTGTAGATATACCCCCTGATTCGAAGAAGAGGAAGAAGAGGAGAAATGGAAGTGCCTTTTTTTCCAAAAAAAAAAAAAAAAGAAAAAAGATTGGCATTTCTCTGCGTGGTCTGACTTTTCTTTACGGTGACGGTGATGGTGATGATGAGTGAGCGCTGACACTCTTGTTGTCGCTGTTGGTCGGGTGCTTTTTGCGCGTTGTCGCCCGAGCCCCAGCCCCATCTCGGAGAGTGTACCTGCAGTAGGTCACGAAAACTGTTGAATGCAACTCCGCTTTCGAACGGGTCTCTTGGGGTATCGTGGGGTCATTGTTGCTGATTTCATTGGTTCGAGGTTCGAGGACGAGGTAATTGGTTTTCTCTCTTTCTTGGCACGGGCAGTGGCTCCCACTGGGGGGAAGGGGAAAGAAAGAAGTCGACTTCATCAGGCTGACTGATGAGTTGGCTTTCGAGGACCTACCTACCTGGGCAATCCCCTTTTTTTCCATCTCAGATACCACCACCATAACAACGACGTTGGTCAGTTATTTAGGGAGTCGAGTCGATTGCGAAGCGTGGAAATCTGATAAATCGGAAGGGGGCGCATTTACGTCAAGCTTCACACCCCAGAGCACATCTGCAGCTGCAGGAGGTTTTCGAGCGGCTAGGGCCTTTTGACCGCTACTATCGATCGTTTTTTCTTCTTGCGCAGGCGGGGGCCCTCGTGTTGTCGTTGCGATTTGATATGGCGGCTGGCGGTAGAGAAGCGGGGGGGTCGAGCAAGAAGAGGGAACCCAAGGCTTTCAAGCCGAAGCTGTCGTTCTTCGATCTGCCGGATGAGATTCGCAGTCTGGTCTGCGAGCAGGCGGGAGCGTTGACACAGGAGCTGGACAAGATTCTGGGGAGCGAACGGGTGCGAGCTACGGGTGTCTTTCGAACCGGCGCGGAGATCGAGAGCTTGTCGTCGGTGTGCTGTCTGGTGGGCGAGATCTTGTCTGGGCGGAGACCTTGCGGAGTGCCAACGGCCTTGGAGCTCCAAGATCACACCGCCTCTTTGGATGTGAACGATGAGAGTTGTCCCTGCTGCTCGGCCGGGAAGCTACTCGACCTGGATGGAGAGGTGCTGAGGAGTTTTCCTGATGGCGGGGAGGATTTGCATGTTGATGATGGGATTCAGAGATTTGCGCTGAAGGCTGTCGTGGACGAGGCGGAGAAGGTGCTTGCGGCGTTGGATGCTCTGATTCTCTCGGGGGAGGGTGGCGGCTCGCCTTCGCCTGTTGTGCTGAGGAGATCGAGCAGTTTGCAGAGTATGGCTCGGCAGGTTAGCTCTGGACTTAAGCGGCTGGCGAAGATGTCCAAAGGGATGAAATGGCGGAAGAGGAGGTCGAAGCATCCATGGACGAAGCTGTAGATGGTACATTCGGCGGCGTCACTGTGGGTGGGTGCTCAGGCAAGCCAAGATCATGTTTCCTTCTCTGAAACACATCTTGGAATGATCAGGGTTTATCTTTGGTATCCTTCGCAACGTAATTGAAGCCAACGACCCCTGTCCCAAAAGCAACAGGTAGTCCGACGATCCACTTGGCGACTCGCCTCGCAATGGTTCGATGTTCTTCGGAGATGGTCTGTCCCGGTTGGCGAAGCGCCTCCATTCCGGGTTTGGTGGCGCTGAGCTCTGAGATCAAATGGCCCAAGGAAGGACCCGACAGAGATACCTTGTGCTGAGCTCCCGCGAGCGTGGTCTCGTCTATCCGGCGGCGTCGAGCTGACGTGGAGGCTGCACGAGCTGCTGTAGCACCTCCACGGGCAAGAATACGGAGTCTGGGCGAGAACGAGGGCATTGTTGGGTGCATGTAGAAGCTGCAATGTGCATAGAATTGTCCTGTACAGAGATAATGTAAGTTCCAGAGGTCGTTGGATCATGGCAAGGATATCGATCGGTTACCTCATCAATCAAATGGTCCGTGCCCTTATCAAATGTTTCCTTCTCCTGCTTCCAGAATTCCAGCTTCAACATTCACAACCACACTGCCACATGCACTGCATCACGTCCACGACTCGGTAGTGCAGGCAGACGAGCATGAAGCACACTGACAAGATCATGAAGATCGCGATGCCTTCTACACTCTCCATGTATCGGTATGGCCGAACTATTCCGCTCGTGCAGATGCATGCTTGGCAGATTATAGACGCTGTGCTCTCGCCGATCCCACGCTGAGCTCGCAGTGGGTGTGGTGAGATCGAGGTAGTATATCAGACCTCATGAGCCATATCGAGTGCATTCCTCGAGTGAATCGATACGTTGGTTCCTCCTACCATGATGCATCACAGCTGACACTTGCATACCATCCTCAAATGGACGGAGAAGGCGAAGCTGCACAAGCGGAGCTGCTGCTGCAAAGCCTGGAGAGCCAAAAAGAAGCGTACCTCGAGGCGGCGCAAAAGTTTCAAGAGCTTCTGACTCAAAACTTGCTGAGGCCTAATGACACCACATCTCATCTCACTCTCAACAAGGACAAAGGCACACCTCCTCGGACCGATAGCAACGCTCCTAGTCAAGTGGATTCGTCCAGGATTCCTCCCCGAGGCGCCCAGTCTGTTTTCACAAGAGGCACTGGCGAAGAATCAGACGCCGAGCATGAGAGCGATGAGCTTCTTTACGCCCAGAATCCCCTTGAGACAGAAAACTATGACCTCGAAGGACTACGACAACACCTCGTCAACAATCCCTGGGACGAGTATGGCTGGCAAATACTTCGGGATGTCCTGGGCCATGAGTCGATGGAGAACGCTTCCCACGTCAGAGATCACTGGTATCTCCCGACTCAAGCCGGACCTGTCGAGGATCGGAGTCATCTCAGCGGCTACCAAGTTTGGGATGTTGGCCCAGACGGAGCGCCGCTAAATGTAGATGTTTCCGGTGACACTAACACCTCACGAGCCATGTCTATCTGGAACTGCATCAAAGAGATCAACCCACCTAACCGGGAAAGGAGAGCCGTCGGCAGAATCACCATTATGCGAGAACTGAGCCCAACGCTCTTCGGTGCCGTTCATTACACACTCAATAGGACGTTTGACATGGACGAGATCTTTAAGGCTCTAATGGCAGCGGAAGCTTCAAAGGCTGATGTCCATCGAGGATTTGACTTGGACCCCCGCCGACAATGCAGCAAGATATTCGTCTTCCAGTATTTCACCATTGTCGCGGATGACTGCGTTCCGATGGACTGGCAAATGGGGACAAGAGAGTTGGACCAAAACCCCAAGCACATCCGTATCACACGGTGCAATTCGGTCGTCGCGCTGGCTTTTACGGAAAAGCCGATCCGCAAAGTACGCAATCCGGCTCGACGGAACGTGGGACAGAACGCGTACGGCAACATCTATGATCCATGGTCTTCTTGGCATCTACTCAACCTGCAATGCTACCCGGATCTCAACAGTAGTACTGACATGATTGATACATCAAAGCATTTTGTCAACGGCCCTGAAGCCTTCATGGTGTTGTTGCTGGGAGAGTTCAGAGATGCCCAGCGCCGCTTCGAGGTACGTGGAACCTGCTCGACTGATGACTTAGCACGCCTCCGAACAACATGCTAACCAGTCTTAGGATATCAATCGAGCCATCACGAGGCTGATAACACCGTCAGCAGATTTCATGTTCGATGCGAAGTACCGAGATGACCTGCTCTTCGAAGACGAGCACTTCACATTTGTCCGTCGATACTTTTGGGCGTATCAGACACTCGGCATTATGAATGAGAGCATCAGGTCCATCATCGATGAATTCGAGCACAACTTCACCGAGGAGCTCTGGGAAGGTACAGATAAGACACTTTGGCCACTTGTTGAGCCCGACAGTCCGCGCAGCGTCTACTATAAGAAGAAGATGGCGGCTCTGCGCAAGAAGTTCGAGGCTCAGATGGCAAAGTTCCGTACGCTCATTGCCGGGAATGAGGAGCGGCGCACTGAGATTCGAGGTAGGCTATGCTGAGCAGGGACGAATCCTCAATGGTTGACAGCTTCTAGGCTTACGGGAAGAACTGTACGTGGGTACCTCCGTGAAGGAGTCTCGCAAGTCTGTCGAAGCCACCGAGACCACTGTCCAGCAAGGCCACAACATCAAGCTCTTGACATTAGTTTCGATCTTCTTCCTACCGTCCCAGTTCGTCACATCCGTCTTTGGAATGACCAACATGCCAACGTCACCCAACTTCTGGACCTTTGGTGTCGTGCTGGTCGCCGTTTGCGTACCCTTCTTCATCCTGATCGGCTCCTTGAACTCCAACCGAGGAATGATGTTCTGGCGACACCGCGTGGAGTACATGTATATCAAATTAGTCATGCTGTTTCGCTGGCTGGGGAAGCCTTTTGAAGGCAAGCGCGAGATCAAAGATGAACGCGAAAGGTGCGAAGACGACGCGAAGTCTGCCAGGACCGATCGACCACGCCTACGCCGGACGAATGATTCGAGACATGAGAGCTTTGCCGGGCGAGCAGGTCAAGGGCCGCAGTCAGGACAGCATGGTGATCGTGGGCATTTGAGTGGGATCGAAGAGCATGACGAGGTCGAGCCACGGCCCATTCAGAGGGCTTCTTCTTCGAAATTGGCAACCATGATCAAAGGGGCGCGGACGAAGGGAAAGGCTCACACGTCTGAGGTGTAGATGATGAGTCCGCTTGAGGGACACGTCGTACAGTAGAATAGCCAAGACCCCAGACCAGGCGGACATCCAAACGCTTCGTTTATTAGTAGTGTTCATCTAGTAGGGGATATCTCGGAAGTTCTCGGCTCCTTCCATCTCACACCTTGTCAGGCAGCACCATTGGTTTTCCTCTTACACAGCCAACCTAATACTCAGCAACTTCACCCCACGTCTTGTGCATCTGCATTGTGTGCATCATTTTGGTCATCTGATGGTGTACATTCCTGGCGCCCCAAAAGCCAAAGTGACGGGCAGCCTTGCTGATGGCGGTGGCCCGGGCTAGATGGCTTTCCGCTTTTGAGGCGCCAAAGCTGCAGCGCACCTGTGTGCTGGGATTTGCTGCGGCTGAGAGGCTGAGAGGTAGGTCCAAGAATCGTTTCAACTACCGCCGGCCTTGCACTTGCGGCCTCTCGAGCCGAGTCGCTTTCTGCTTCTTCTTTCTTATTTCTTCTTCTGCTTCTCCTTCTCCCCCCTCATGTTCATCACCCGGAGTCCTCAATCAAGATGTCGCTGAAGCCGGACGACCGAAGCCGGCGCGGGAGATCCAACTCGCCTGGCGGAAGGGAACGGTCGAGATCGAGAAGCAATGTTGGACTTCCTGAGGCACCTGAAATTCCGAGGACTTCTTATACTTACCCGGCAAGTCCCTCTGCTGTGCCGTATGGGAATGGCAGTGGCAATGGAGGTGTCACTTCGCCTGCTTACGGCGTGAATACACCTACTGGAAATTCTGGAAATCCGTATTTCCCTGCTAGCCCGAGCGCCAATTCCATGCCGGGATCTTTCCAGCAGGTTTCCATGCCGTACCCGGAGGATAACGGGGGTTTCACGATGGGCGGGTATACGGATTTCCCACCGCATGAGAGGCCCGGGTATGTTCCGCCGGCGGAGCAGTATCCTCCTCCTCCCCTTCCACCACGCAAGAAGAGTAAAGATGATGATCTGGCGTATGGGAAGGATTATTCGAAGCGGGAGAATCTTTCCAGGCATTCGTCGTACTCGAGAGTCTCTTCTGGCCAGTATCAGTACGCTCAGCCTCCGGACAAGATCACCTATACTGCGAAGCCCGTGGGCAGCCAGTCGCCGCCGGCTGTGATTTATAATCAGAATGCGTGTGGGCAGCCGCCGCCTCAGACTGTGAGATATAATTCCACACCGTATGGACAGCCGCAGTCCCAGGAATATGGCTACTCTGTAACGCCTCAGGGGCAATTCCACGAGCAAATGCCGAGCACATACTCTCATAACGCATACGAGCCGGACGCCCATGTTGTGGATATCACGCCGGGTCGAGAGAGGCTCGAGCGACACGGTTCCTCTTCGAGGACCAACCGACTGGCCGTGAACACCCAACCAGGATCATCATTGTCAGCACCACGATCTCCAGGACTGGGACCGAGGATGGATCGACTATCCGTCAGTGGCAACAGGCCCGATCTTCAGGCACTGGGAGGAAGCATGCCGCCGCCGAGTCCATTGCTCGAAGCCTATTATGGAACTTACCAATCCATCTCTCCCATGCCCCTAGCAATCCGTCCCGACGACGATCTCTCCGACCTCGACTTCGAGCCTCTCTCCCCAGCCGTCTCGCGAGAAGCCCGACCAAGCGCCACGAAACCCACCAACGATCGTCTCGCCCAAGACCTCGCCCGCAAGGAAAAGAAACGCGTAAAGCTCTACGACGCGGAAGAAGATGCCAAAGCCATCGCTTCCGCTCTCAACCACCATAAACCCGACGCCGACGCCATCTGCGATATCCTACCCCATCTCTCCCACGACCAGATCATGGAAGTGCACAAGGAATACAAGAAACAGGTCCGAGTGCACGGCAAGGGCGTCAACCTCTCCAAACACATCAACATGAAACTCTCGGGCACCATGTTTGGCAAGGCAGTCTATGTCACCGCTCTGGGGCGATGGGAGAGCGAGGGCTACTGGGCGAATTTCTGGTACCAATCCCACGGCTCTCGCCGGGAACTGCTCATCGAAAGCCTCATGGGCCGCACGAACACGGAAATCCGCATGATCAAGGAGGATTTCAAAGACAAGCGCTATTCCGACTCCCTGGTCCGATGTATGGAGAAGGAACTGAAAATGGATAAATTCCGCACGGCCGTGTTGATGGTTCTGGAAGAGAGGAGGCAGGAAGAACAGGATTCCTACCCGGTGGAATATCTCCATCGCGACGTCGACCTCCTCTATCGCAGTGTGAGGGCGGACAAGGGAGGCGAATCGGCCATGTTGGAAATTGTGATCCGCAGGAGCGATTCGCATCTCCGCGAAGTTCTGAGGACGTATGAGAGGATGTATGGCGAGAATTTCGCCCGCGCCGCGCTCCGGAAATCTAATAATCTGGTCGTGAGTCCCCCATCCCACCCCCAATCCCCATCTCCCTCCCTCTCTCACTAATACCCTCCTCCCCCCCCTCCCCCCCCAACAGGGCGAAGTCATAGCCCACATCCTCAACGGTGTAATCAACAAACCCGCCCGCGACGCCCTCCTCCTACACCACGCCCTCCGCGACATCTCCGACAAGAACACAGCCGACGAACTCCGCTACGAGCTGCTGATTTCCCGCTTGGTGCGCGTGCACTGGGATCGCGCGCACCTGGCGCGCGTGAAGCGGGAATTTTACGACAAGTATCGGCGTCCGTTGGTTGAGGCCGTGCAGGCGGCTACGGCTCCTAAGAAGGGGGATCTGAGGGAGTTTTTGTGTGAGTTGTGTGAGGCTGGGGGTTGAGGTGATGACGGGATTTGATGTCATGTGATGATGTGATGACCTGACTGACTGACTGACTGAGATGGGGGGTGGTTTTTTGAGTGAGTGGGTTGGAGGGAGATGATACCCCTTTGGGGGGGGAAGCTCGTTGTGGGCTGATTTATGCTACGATTTGATGAAGTGGAAAGACCTTGATTCCGGTTTCCGGCTGTTGGAGGTGTTATAGCAGTGCTATCTAGGCACAATGAAGAGAAAGAAAGGACTGATCATCACGACAGCGAGAGGGTTGCAGAAAATGTTTGTTTCGTAGTGGAGATGCTTCGATGCCTCGATGCCGCGATGCCGCTTGCTGAGTGATGCTCATCGCTATGCTACATATGACAGCTCAATCATGGATGTCTTCAAATCGTGTCTTCGTTTGAGAGAGAGAGAAGCTCTCCTGCTTTCTCTTCTTCTGTTCTCGCCGCGCAACTTTAAAGCCAGCGAAGCCCCTGAGATGGAACCCTCTCCCAGCCCCATCTTACCTCAGTAATCCGTCTCCAACCTCGTCGCCCCCCCTACTATGCTCTCCCCACCATCCCCTCCCTCCCCCTTTCCCTTCTCCCTCGCCTCCTTCGCAATCCCAACCCCACCACTACTCCCCAACCTCTCCGCCCCAGCCTCCAACATCTCCACCGCATCCCCCAACGTCCGAATCCCCCCGGACGCCTTGACGTGCATCTTCTTCCCGCCGCCATTCCTCTTCGCCAGAACCTCGCAGCAGGCACTCATCAATCGGACGTTTTCCACCGTCGCCCCGGCGCCATTGAAGCCCGTGGAGGTCTTGATGAAATCGTACGACGCGGCGGCGGCGAGGGTGGCCGCGGCGACGATCTGGGAGCGTGTGAGCTGGGAGGTCTCGAGGATGAGTTTGAGGATCTTCGGCTCGGGCGCCTGCTGGCGGAGGGAGGCGAGGTGGTTGTAGATCTGGGCGAATTTGTCGTTTGGGGAGGAGGAGGGGGAGGAGGTGAGGAGTGCGTGGTTGAGGACGATGTCGAATTCGTCGGCGCCGGCTTCGAGGGCGGAGCGGATTTCGAGGATGCTGGAGGAGAGGTCTTGCGTTCCTTCGTGGAAGGCTATCACGGCTGCGGTTTTGATGTGCGGGTTGCGGGTGTTTTGGAGGTTGCTGGTGCACTGTTGGACCCAGGCGGGTCGGACGCAGACGCTCTGAGTGGAAGTCAGCCTTGCATGTCCTGTTCCTGTTCCTGTTCCTGTTCCTGTTCTGTCCGGTATGCTATGCTGTACTCACCGCAAACCCATGCCTCCTAGCCTCACTACAAAGCTCATCAATCTGCATGCCCTTCGCATCCAACTTCAAAAGCGTATGATCAATCCTCCCCGCCACCTCACCCAAGTCCACAACCCGCTTCTTCTTCCCCCCTCCTTGCCCTTTCCCTTCTTTCGCCAACCACGCTTCCACTTCCGCTTCCACTTCCCGGAAAATCTCCTCCCATTCTGCATCCGTATACCGCGTCGTCATCTCTTCGGCACACAGCACTTCCCCCCGTTCCACGAAACTAGGTGGTAATGACATCGTTTGGGGGTCGCTCGTCGGTGCTGCTACCTCTTCCGCCGCGTGCTCTGCTTCTTTTGCGATTCGGGGTCGGATGGGATCTGGATCGCTGCCGGCGGAGTGAAGTGTGCGGTCCCGGGAGTCGAAGGGGGTGTAGCGTGGTGGTGTCTCGTACATGCTGTCGAGTTTGGACTGCGCGATCGATGCCATGATGTCCCTGGTGGTTGGTTCAGCGTATTCTGGATCTGATCGGCGACGGCTACTTGATTGGAGATGAACAGAGTGAAGGCATTGCAAGGCAAGGTGTGAAGAGGCTACGGGTGTGCATGGTACTTGACGACACGGTATAAGGTCGTAAATCTTACGTAGAGTGCAGCTGAAGTGGGGCTTGAGCTGGGCGACGTTGATATGGAGGCATTTCACGGTCTACGAGCACAGTCACGTGATATCATCGGAGAGGGTTTACGAGACGATCGGATTTTGCAATGTTTTTGATTGTCCTTGTGCCAACCGACATATGCAAAGGGTAGGACTCCTCGACGGGGTATCTTGGTCCTCGCCCAGCGACCAGAACAGAGTGCCAGAGCTCGCAGGCACCACACCATCTCACCTCCTTCCATGCATATGATAGTACACCTTTTAAACGCCCGGTATCAATCAAGATAGAAGCTCCCCATTCCTTTTCGATAAACGGGGAGACAGGAAAAACAAGCCGTCGTAGGAGGAACTGATAGCCATTTGTAGTAGTGTCATTCCGTGGTGTCGAAAGCGCGCATGACCCCTTGCTAGACATAATCTACGTTGACCATGTCTAGCTGTGCAAAGGTCATCCATTGTATCCGGTTCGCCGCCGTCCGTATTCCCCCCTTTCTCATTTTCTGATCGTGGCGAGTCGTTTACTTTCTCCGGAAAGAGCAGCCCTCGGTGAGACGAGCCTTGCCTCCAGTGGGCTGGCAGAGGACCTGCGAGCAGCCGGCGCAGACGACGACGGTTTGTGCGTGCGAGAAGACGGTGGTGATGGTGAAGCAGCCGGGGCACTTGACGTCCATGAAGAAGGAGCGTGGGCCTGGGACAAGGGTCTGTTCTGCAATTAGTATCCCGGATAGGACAATTGGTGATATTTTCGAGATGTACCTTCAGCTTGTGCTTGCGGGCCTCAGCCTGAGGCGTCGGGTTGAGGAGATCAACTGCGAGAGTCTATCATGCCCATGTTAGCCTGGATTCCATCTTCGCATGTCCATATATCCTCTTCAATGCGCCGCCACCCTGTTCGCAGCCCTCAGACCAGGCCTGCGCGGTCGTGTGCCTCCTCTTCCAGACGCCCGACCGAGTGTTGCAAGCGGCCAGGGTGACGAGCATTCAATCGTACTCCAGACGTACCATTTTGGCGGTTGTTGAACGGTGGTGATAATCTCGATAGGTGTCGTGATGGAATTATGGGTTGTCTCGAGATATGGCGATGATGCAGATGCGTGCGCTGCTGGTGTCGTCGAAGAGACCGGGTGCGGAGTCGATTTTGATTTTGCTTGTGGGCGGGAAGTGCGTCCGTGCTTCTGTTCGCTTACTCCCGCCAAGACTTCACTGGTCAGAAGTCGTGGCAAATGAATACTCACCCACGCGCTTAGATTGACTAACTGGATTGCATGCACACGGTAAGTCGTTGTCAGCATTGGATTGGTCTCCGTCAGAGCTCAGTTCAAGTACGCGTCATACCAGATGAGTGAGATAACTGGGGCTGTGCGGTGCCATCGAAGGTTCGAAGAAGGAGTGTCTCGATTAAGTCTTTACTGCAATCTAGAATACGCGTCTCAAGGGCGGCATAGATGTAGACACACGACACAATAAACCGAAAAATTAGGCTCAAACGCCATCAGATCTTCGCCTTGCCCCTTTGATCACCGTCCTACCATCGCCGACGCTAAATGCAAACTCGATCAGCCCGGGCTCCCCAATAGACTCTACAGACCATGCACCTTCTCTTTCGTTGCCTTCTGTCGCCATTTTCCCCCCCATCTCCGCGATTAGTTTCAAGGTTAATTCCATGATGGAGAGTATAATCTGCTCAAAACTTTGGTATAAGTCTGCTGCTGTAGGGTACCCTGAGGTGATAAGTCTTTGGTCGTGAGGCGTCGTTAAGTTTCAACCGATCCCAACACCAGAAGGAGAGACGGAGGTTGGAGTGGTAGGTGTGGCGGTCGAGGATGAGAGAAGACAGTGGCGCACACTACCGTCCAGTAGTTGGTGTGACGCTCGTGAAAGCGCGACCCCGGTGGTTGGGTACACCCCCTCGAGCGTGGGACGGCATCTGAAGACCGGGGAGAATCGGGTCATCCGGATCGTTCTGTGAGACCGTAGCGCAAGGTGCGGGTCGCGCGGACGGTGGTCATCCGCTATTCTTGTGTCGCGTGCTAGATTTGCCACTGCTGGATGTCGTTGCATATTCATCGTCAGGATCCCATTGCTCGGGTTGAAAGTCTGGATTCAGAAAGTGGGCTGTATTGAAGTGGGAGCTTCTCATCTCATTAGTCTGATGTTCGTTGACAAATCGACTGCTTTGGTACTTACTTCCTGAAAATCGAAGTCTGGAACGGCATTTGCGATGTCGCTGACACGAAGTCGGGTTCAAGCTGCCAAGCTGAGGGTCGGAAAGGGCCTCCGCTCGAGTGAAGGTCAGACGTCCCCGGCGCAGCTTGGGGAACGCTGGTGCGTATCGCCAGTTCATGTGGCATGTGCGACGGCGGTGCAACCATGGGTGTGGGTGTGCTGGCAGAAGCATAGACGGGCTGAGACTGAACGTGCGGCTGAGGTGCCGGCGCGGATGGCGTTGGCACTGTTTGGGCACACGACTGCACTGGCGCTTGCGTAGTAAAGAAATCCGAGCCAGTGCCGTAGGTTGATGACATCCAGCTCCCTTGTGGGATATTGGCGTACGACATCCCAGGGATGGAGGTCATGAAGTCCGAGACACCCAAGTCGTACACCGGCTCGTAGCTTTGACTTGCATATTGCAGATATGTCGGCACCGCAGGCTGGGGTGGTGGCGGGGCGGGAAGATCTTCCTCCTTGTAAAGGAGATCGTAGTGGCCACTGCATCACGGTCAGAATCTGAGGAGGCAGGGACAATGCAAATTGCTCACGGTCGATAGAGCAGTCTCAAGCTGCCGATAGTCTGACCCTCACTGTTCACGGGATCGAAGCGGTGCATCGTTACCTCGCGACCCTCGCTGCGGTCGAGGTAGAGCACTTCGAGCGTGATGCTAGCAGGTGACAGGAGGACGTCTTTGAGTGCAGCAAGGCCGACATTGTCCATCTCAGCAGCGACGGGCGTGATCTGGGTCTTGCAGTATTGCTCGACGGTCTGTCCCAGCAGCCAGGGCGCATAGTTCTCCTCATGGGTAGTCATCCACGCAGAGGTGAGGGTCTGGCCGAGGTCAGCACATTGCGGAAAAGTAGCTGCAGCTGCGTTCTACTCACTCGGAGATGGGTGATGAGATAGTTCTGCAACATGTCATCGTTGAAGCGCTCCACCAAAATGTCGTCTGCATCGCCCGTCGCCAAAGCGTTGGAAAGCTCCCGGAGCAGGTTGAACGTCTCTTCAGCAAAGTCTTCAATCAGTATCGGGTCGACGCCGGCCGATTGAATGACATTTCCGAGGGAGCGAAGGCGCGCTTCTTCGATAGCGAATGTGTTGCTATCGCCATGGCGGATGAGCGACTCAAAGTAGCCGAAACCCACAGCTGCAGCATCATCAGTACATGGTCGAGAGGGGTGGATGATTGCATGTGAAGGATACCTCGCCAGCCGCACTTTCCATCGCCGCGGACAGTCCGGTAATGCGAGTACTTCTGTGGAAGCGCCTGTATGTTTCGTCAGTGGAGGTGGTTCATGTCCGTCACGTTGCTCTCGACATACGGCAGTCTTTGCTTGATAGACAGGATCCGCAGAAGCGTACTCGGTGGTGATTGCCGTGCTCGGTTGGCGCTGGCCGACGAGTGGCCCCTGTTGGAGATCAGCAATGGTCAGCGCTCGGATGTTTTTCGTCTCTCCATCGCGCCGATGGTCTGTCTTCACGACCCGCGCCGCAACTCTAAACAGACAGACATGACCTCGCAGACGACACGGGAGGACGGGAAGGGAAAGGGAAGGACACACCGTCGGCTCGGGCTCGTACTTGTCGCTGAGTTTCTGGAGCTCGGCGAGCTGGTCGTCGCCGGCGTAGTCGGCCATGGCGGACTGCTGTTGGTGCTGCGGATGCTGGAGATGAGCGGGTTGCTGTGTCTGCTGCTGACGAGCGGCAGCACGAGATGGTTGCGAGAGTGAGGCGGAATGGTGCTGGTGGAAAGAGGGATGCGGGTGCTGCTGCTGCTGCTGCTGGTGGTGGTATGGCCCGGCGGAGAGTTGCGCTAACGAGAGAGGTGCTTGCTGTGTAGCTTCGGAAGCGGTTGGCGCGTGCTGCTGCTGCTGCTGCTGCTGCTGCTGGCGTTGGTTTGGCTGTGGCAGCGTTTGCTGCTGCGGAGGTAAGTGCAGCGGTCGGTACGCCAGCGACGCAAGGGCTGGGTCATGATAGTGCGAAAGCGAGTGCGTCGTGGGCGGATGGAACGCGGCCGGCGACAGGTGGGCGGCAGCGGCCGACTGAGGGCTGTGGTGGTGGTGGTGGTGGAGGTGGTGGAGGTGGTGGTGATGATGGGCGGCGGCGGCGGCGGCGTATGGATCGAGACGGTGGTGGTGGTGGTAGGGCGACGCCGTCGCGACCGGCTGTCGCTGGTTCATCATCTCGATCGACTTCACCCGGACGGTCCGCCCGGCAGCTTTGCGGGGCACTGCACACTGCTGTCAACCAGATCCGCAAATCCTCGACTTGTCACCACGACACTTGTCGCTTTTCTGCCAACACTCAATCCTCGACCGTAGCGTACCAGAGGAGCTGTCGTCGTCGTCGTCGTCGTCGTCGTCGTCGCTGTCGTTGCGCTGTCGTTGCGCTGTGCTGTACCAGACCTATCGCTCGCGGGCCACGGAGGACCTTCTGGCGATGCACTGCAATGCCTCGGATGGCAGCTGTCGTTGTCTAACGCTGGCGGTCCTGTCGGGCGATGCGTGGGTGGTATCGGTAGCGGCAGCGGCAGCAATAATGGGGCGAGGTCTGCTGGTCTTGGTGCTGGTGCTTGGTGCTGGGAGCGGGAGCCGTGGCCGTTATGCACTCGTTCGTGCTGCTGTCGTGCGCCGTCCGGAGCGGCGACCTTGCGAAATGAATGGACTGACGGGCACCGGGGGTGAGCACACTCGCATGCATGCACACGTCCGCCTCGGAACTGGTAAAGTGGTCGTTGACGATGCCTTGGCTGGACTGAGTAGGCGTGTATGACGATCAACGCGCTCCAAGGGCAGAGCGCCAGCAGTACACCGGCAATAACAGCGGACAAGCAGCGCAGCGCAGCGCAGCGCAGAGCAGAGCAGAGCAGGCAAATCGAGCAGCGAGCGGCAAGCAGCAGGCGAAGGGACTGCTGACGTATAGTCGACCGGCAGTGCGATACAGTATGGCCAGACGGCAGACGGCAGGGCGACGCAGTTAGGTCTTGCTCGGACGCGGACGAGAGGTGCGGACTGTACTGCGAAGGCCTCCGATGTACTGCGCTGCAATGCGCTAGAATGCAAGCGCTGCTGGGCACGAAACAAGAGGGTGCTGTATGTGTTGCTTCCTTGCTGTAGAGTAACCGTCCAGACGACCGGGGTGCTGCAGATGAGGGCGAAGCACTGGCACCGAACCACAACGTGACAAGATTCTCGAACCAGAGCAGGACACCACCAGCACAACCCAAGCAACAAGCCAGCATCTGGCGGATGAGGTGCAGCAGGACGGCAGATATACGTCCCAGCAGATGGCTCCGCCAGATACACATCCACTGCGCCAGATACAACTCCCTCCAGCCTCATCTCAGAAGCGCAGGCACGCCGTCCGACATCAAGCCCGCACACTGCGCGCTGTCTTCACCCGCGGCCAGCGCCACCGCACAACACCTGTGCTCGCCCTCATGCCAGGTACCAAATCCGCGATCCGTTCCCGACCGGGGACTGAGGCACCACAGAGACGGCGACTACGAGATTCGCAAACGTGACGATGCGTGTCCCCGCCCGCCCCGAAGAAGGGAGGGACGGGAGGCATGGGCCATGCGAAGGAGCCCCATCTGATGATGATGATGATGATGATGATGATGATGAGAGGAAGAAGGGACTCCAATCATCCGCACGCGGCACGATCAGATCACGCACTGTCCAGAGAGCTTTTACATGATCATGTCGACCAACCAGCACTCTGAGCACCCTGCGTATCATCAGGAAGCGCAAAGAACGACTGGTCCCAGCGGGTCCTACACACGGCATTGTGTCACCCTGGCCCAAGTAGCCATGTCCGTCTTCTCGTCTCCTCTCTATCTGTTCCCCATGCCCCATCATCAAATTCCAAGCATGCTACTGTACCAGCCACACAGAAACACGGGCGGAAAGAGCCCCAGACAAGCACCCATGTCGACTCGACACCGGGCCGACGGTCATCGCGCGCTAAACAAGGTCCCCGGCAAGCAGCAGACTACTACAGTAGCTGAAGAAGCACAGACACACAGAGACCAGCGACGAGAGCGGCCAAGCCCTTGTCGTGAGTATCAAGCTATCCGGGTGCAGGGAGCAAGCAGCAGCCCGCGTTCTTTTTAAGCATCTTTTCCCCCCTTCGTCTCGAACAGAACGAGGACCCGCAAGGACGGTGCTTCTCCAGTCGTCTTTCCGAATGGCGCACCCCTCCCGCACTGGAGAGGCAGACGCCATGTAGGATTCGGTGCGCGTCCTTTGCACCCCAACGGCGGTTGTCACGGTAAAGGACGCAGCCCTCAGGTGGGTGAGCAGTCGTCGTACTTTGCGCCTGATGATGGACTCTTGTGATGAGGAGTCTGTCTGCTCACTCGAACGCCACCGCGTGACACAAATGAACGCCTCGTACCTTATCATCATTCATCACTATCCACCTCCCACACTCCCCCTTTCTTCCACACCCAGCAGCAGCAGCAGCAGGAGAAACTCTCCTTCGAAGCAGTGAGAGGCTGGTAATAATGAATAGCAACAAAAGCGTAGCGTAGTCATAAGAAATGATCTGATTATTATCTACCAACCAGGATCTCCTTCACGCACAACCCACAACCCCAGCAATCACTGCAATCAAATCATCAAAACCCCACTCCACACGAAAACCACGCCACAGCAGCCTAGTGGTCCATCCATCCCGACGGGTGCCGCTCTGGGTATCGAAAACGATCAGTCGCATGCGCTCTACATACTATCCACATATCCATAATAATCCAATATTACTCTCTGTGCTTAGATAGAGAGTCCCAGCAGTGCGGTCGGACATCCCGGGTAGCGCGTTAATGCACGCTGCAGGTTCGCTTGTAGCACATCATCATCCCCTTCCGAGCACAGACACAGCAGAGGAAGGATTCTGTAATCGGCGACGCGAGTCAAGCGATCCCAGTGGCATTTTTTACGAGTTACGATGGAGGATTCTCCGTCGCTGGTTGTAACGCTCCCTCCCTTGCGGTAAAGAAGGTGATGAGGCGCCAAAACACTCTATTCTTTCGCTGCGCTGCCCATGTGGCATCCATCCATCCATCCATCCATCCATCCATCCCATCGTAGACGCCGTTTCCAAACATATTGATTGATGACAACGTGACGTGACGGAAATCTGGAAGCTCTCTTCCTTCCCAGCCCACGCACGCACGTGGAATTGTCGTTGGCTTCGTCTCAATCTATCCTGTGTATCTACTTGATGCCACATTTCCCACACGGAACAACCCTTTCCAATAGTGCGCCTTACTATCTTATTAAGTGCGTTCGTATCTCTAATAACCACATGTATTCCACGGATTGTTGTATGACGAAGGTTGACCTTTGATCGATCGACTCCATTATTCCCGCTCAGCTACATACAAGCCAGACTCCACTTGGTCGAGTGGTAGTGTGAAGCGGAAAGCTGCACCGCATCGTGCAACAACAGAGCCTAGCGCCGAAGAAGTCCGTACGTGGAGCCCCCCACCCCGGCAACACCTTGCATCAGCAGCGAGATTTCCAGTGCGACGGAGAGGGGGAAGAAAGCTGCGGCTGCTGTGTGCTGCTGTGCATCTCAGCCATGGAACTTTCTTCGATTGGTAACGCTTTTCTCTCCTCCTTCGTGATCATCTTGGTCCGTCGTACCGCGCGCGCGTTCCCTCCCTTGCGGAGCGCTTGAAATGGATGGAAGAAAGTGAGGCTGTCCACCTCACCCATCTCGTGGAGCCGTCGTAAAATTGGAGATTTCGGGCCTTGCGCTTCATCGAACATCATCCCTCGTAGTCCCGATTCATGTGGATATCTCCCAAGCAAATCATCTGCCTGTCCGCGCAGGTTTCTTCTTCCCGCCCCGTCCCCCGGTAAACGATTCAAGGCCAGGCAGATCCGGTGTCGAGGGACCCAACCCAGAAGCCATCGGCATGCTCCCGCTGCCTCCACTACCGCCTCCCACGGGTGCGCCACCACCTCCCTCATCAGTCTTGAACCCCTCTCCCTCGTTGAGAACAAAGGAAGCCAATGATCGAATAGCCGCAGTCCAGTCCGCCACCGCGTGCATACGATCCAGATCGGCGCGGCTCTCGATCTCCACCGTTCCCGCATCCTGGTTGATCTTGCCACGCAGCTTCTTGTCCATGATCAGGAAGCCCACAATATCCTGGACCTCGGGTATCGAGATGTTCAGCCGCTTGGCGATGAAGTCCAGTCGGAAGCGTGTGTAGGGTGCTACGAGCTTGACAACAGCCTTTGTGCGCATGTTTCGCGTCACCTCGTCGATGTTCTCTGCGATGAAGGGATCTGCAAGGAGGTCCTTGTTACGCTGGAGAACGTTTTCGTATTGATGGATGTCGTCGCGTTGGTATGCGTCGACCAATTCGGTCATGGCGGCAATGCGAGGATCGTTCTTGTAAGGCTTCGTCTCCTGCGAGTCGAATGGATTGATGTCCGAGCCCATGAGCATGGTTGTGAGTACAAGGTACTTCAGGACCTGAATCCGCTGCAGCGAGCCAGCCTCGTCGTAGTTTCGGAAGGACTCGAAGAAGTCACTCTGTGCGCTCTCCCAGTTCTCTGAAAATAACATCAGCCTACAGGAACACGTGGAAGACAGCTTCTTGCGCGGTGGCTTACCTTCACTCATGTGCATCTTTCCGCCGCATTCTCGAATGACGCCCATGATCTTGGGGTGAGGCACTGCTGAGCGCACCCGCAGCGCCCGCTGATACAGTCCCTGGATACACAAGTGAGTCCTCTTGGCCTCATTGCATGCATTTCACGTAAGAGAATTTGCCATACCTTCAGCCGCTTGTTATTCCTAGTCTCAGCGTACATTTGAATCTCGAGTGCATATGCTTCCATGGAGTAGGTCCCTTTACTTGGGTCGTCGGTGCCGTCTTCTTTCTGGCATGCCTTGTGCAGTTCGCGGACTTTCTCGGTGAGACGTTCGTAGTCCTTTTGAGCGAGGTAGAGACGTGCAAGCTTCGTGTTGGTCGAGAGCCATAACCGCTCGTTGTTTGTGGCCTGGAAGGATTCGAGTGTCTTGGAGTAGAAGTGCTCCATACACTCGTTGGCAGCTGCATCCTCCGCATTCTTCTCGATGAAGTCAAGCATATTATTGATCGATTTCTCCGAGTAGTTCCGAGTTACAGCGGACTTGACGTACGTCAGAAGCTCCGTATAGTGTTTGACGGCCTGTCACCACCGTCAGTTGTACTGTCCACGAGATGGGTCTCCCAATACTGACATCGTTGTAGCGACCCAGCTTGAACTCCAACTTGATGGCCTGCTTCAGACCTTTGAACCCCCAATCGCCCTTCTCTTCTTCCAGCGCCGGCACGCCTAAGAACTCCTCGATCGCCTCCTCTGGGTTGTCTGTCTTCATTTGTTTGGCGTTGTAGTACTTGTTTTCCACATCGACATCATCGCCCTGGTCCGCATCATCGTCGTCTTCGTACTCGAAGTCATAGCTACGAAACTCATCAGTGCCGGTCTAGCAGGTAACATATAGGCTGACTTACTTCTCCTCATCAGAGGCCTGCATGAAATCGTCATCGTCCGACATGATCGCAAAGCCACGTAGTTTTTCTTGGGAATTAAAGCAGTTGGCTTCGTCGCCTATTTGATGCGGTATGGATGCAAGGGTCAAAGGTCGCGTGTGAGGTTGCTGTCCAGATTTGGGTTGTGGTTTGTCGATTTGATGAAGTATATGTACCTAGGCGGGAGCTCTCAGAATCCCCACAATCGCGGAGAGGTCCGTGCGCTGCGCTAGCAGGCAGACTCACCAGCCAAGTTCATCTTCCACTCTCTTGCCACAGTTCGCCAACAACACCCGTATCCTTCTATCCACCTTCAGACACCGCCAAAATGGGTGGCGATCTCAACTTGAAGAAGTCATGGCACCCGGCGCTTATGACCAATCAGCGTCGGGTCTACAACGAGGAACTGAAGGCTTTGGAAGAGCGCAAGAAGACCGATCAAGTTCTCAAGGAGCGAGCCGAAGAACGCGCAGTCCAGGAGCTGGAGCGGCTGCAGGAAGCCGCCGGAGGAAAGAAGCGTGTGGATCGTGTTGACTGGATGTACAATGGACCTGGCTCTGGTGGACCAGGTGCGGGTGGGGTGAGCGAGGAGATGGAGGGATACCTGCTGGGAAAGAGAAAGCTAGACGGTCTGGTGAAGCGCAATGAAGGGGAAGCACTCAAGAAAGACGCCGGTCAGGAGGGGTTCATGGCTCTCAACGAGAATGCAAACACAGCTAGAGATACCGCCTGCAAGGTTGCGGCTGATCCTATGCTTGCGATCAAGAGGCAAGAACAAGCCGCATATGAGAAGATGATGAGCGATCCAACGAGGAGAAGACAATTGTTGCAGGCAGCTGGTCAGGACGCCGATGATGATCACGAAAAGGAGAGGAAGCACAGGCATCGAAGCCACAGGCACAGACGGCGGGACGATGAAGACGGCCACAGGTCCAAACGGAGACGATATAGTGATGATCAAGACGATAAGAGGCCTTCCTCGCACCGCCGTCGCTCCCATCGGCACAGACACAGATCCCCTTCCGAGTCACGATCGCGTTCGAGATCTCCTCATTCGCGGCGTAGAGACGACCGTGACCGCGACGAGCGACGATACAAATCTGACAACCGACGCGGCTACAGCGCTTCGAGATCTCGCTCACCTCCGAGGCGCCGAGATGACGATGATCGCAACGACCGGCGGAAGTCTTACCCAAGCCCACGGAGATCTGGCTCTTCCGACTCTCGGTCACGCTCCCCATATCGTTCGAGACGTGAAAACCGGTCCTCCAGGCGAGACGATCGACGAAGGTCTTCGCCGTCGCACTTCAGAAGCAGGGACAATGGCCTTCCTAGGTCTCCGCCTGAGGAAAAGCATGGGTCAGACGAGGAATCGGAGCGCGCCAAAAAGCTGGCTGCCATGGAGTCGAACGCAAAGGACCTAGAGGCAGACCGGAAGTCGAGACTCGCCGCACTGGATGAGCGCGATGCCAAACAGCGGGAGGAAGACGACAAGAAGCGCTCGGACAGAGGCAAGTTCATCAACGGAGTCAGGCGGGATGCAGAGGAGGTAGGACTGGGCAGGAGACTTGGAGACAGGCCTCGTATGAGTGGCGATTAAACGCAGTATTGATGGCAGGAAGACCCTGCCTTCACAACACCGAATTCTTATTATTCGACACGTTTCACGCTTTCGTTCGATCACCCTAGTAATAGTTCGCCCGACCAAATGGGCCTATTGAAATAGTCTTCAGGTGGAGCGTTACAGGTCAATTTGATGCACTGTCAGTCAGTCGGCGAGAAAGCTTCCAGGGCTTGGGTTGTTGGAAGAGACCCTGTGTGTGTTTTTTTTCCCTCTCATGATGTGTGAGTGATGAGTAGATATCAATTAGACATCATCATCTGCGGCGTGGGTAGTCTGTGGAGGCAGAGGCATATGTAGCTAGTATGCAATCACCAACTCTCCCCACCGATGCCCGTCAGCCGATCTAAGTTTAGACTAAGATGCTTGAGGGTAGTTTCTACAGCAGCGAGCTCGCCCACGTTCCAGCCTTCAACTTCGTCTCTCGCCTCGCTTTTATTACTTTCACTGCCCGTCTCACGCTGTATGATAACATCGCGCGGTGCAATCCAGGAAAACCCTAGTCGCAATCGCAATATCGGCAGCGGACGGCAGGTCTCAGGTTGGCAGGTGCCGACTCAGAAAATCCGCCGACGACCCTCTTCTCCAATTGAAGTGGTGCAGGCCCGAGCTGGGCGGAGCTGAAGAGATTGGGCGCTTGGTTCCGTCTCATTGCGTGGCTGTTGCTGTATTACCTCATTGCTTGCTTTGCGCCAGCACCAACTTCAAGTCCGCTCTCTCTCTCTCTCTCTCTCTCTCTCTACACCACCGCAATACCACACTCCATCACCCCGACGGCGCATTCGAGGACTGGGAACACCTCTCCCTCCCCCACACGACCACAAATATATCACATCGCACCGACCGCACACGACTCCCACAACGACGTTACCGCCCACGCTCGACACTTGGCGACTCCGCGCTGAGATCAAGGATTGGCAGCTGCGCAAGAGAAACCGAAAGCATAGCACTTACACCTCCGGGTCACGATGCCGCTCTGTGGTGGGACAAAGACCGTCCAGCGAAAGCTGGTTCTCTTGTGAGATTCGCGCAATACACAACACGAGATGAAGGCATACGGAAATGGCTAACGGAAATGCGATGGCAGAGGTGACGGTGCCTGCGGAAAGACATCGCTGCTCAATGTCTTTACGCGTGGCTACTTTCCGACCGTGTAGTACGACAGTCTCTTTCGGCAGCACTGATCGACTTGTTGACTGACTTGGATTGCGATTCTAGCGAACCTACCGTCTTCGAAAATTACGTCCACGACATCTTCATCGACAACGTGCATGTTGAACTCTCGCTGTGGGACACTGCCGGACAGGAAGAATTCGACCGCCTGCGATCGCTTTCCTACGATGACACGCACGCGATCATGCTCTGCTTCAGCGTCGACTCTACCGACTCGCTCGAGAACGTGGAAAGTAAATGGGTTGGTGAGATCGCGGAGAACTGCCCCGGCGTACGGCTAGTCCTCGTCGCGCTGAAGTGCGATCTAAGAGAGCAGAACAAGGACGACGACGAGGAGGGTGCCGCGAGCCATGAACCTAAGCGGCCGATGATCGATTACAAGCAGGGACTTGCCGTGGCGGAGAAGATCAAGGCATTGCGATATCTCGGTGAGTAGCTCCTTCATGCTGCGTGCACAAGACAGCGTGAGACTGACCGTCGGGTTCAAAGAGTGCTCCGCCATGAAGAACCGCGGCGTCAACGAAGCCTTCACCGAAGCTGCGCGCGTGGCACTACAAGTCAAAAACGTCAAGGGCGACAAGTCCGGCGATGCATGCTGTAACGTCATGTGAGCAGCATGCCTCGCCCACCGACCACTACATATCTGGAACTGTGTCAACGATCCAACTCGTCCTGTTTTTACCGCGCGACATTGTTACATATACCCCCGCCATTGGAAGGTTTCGAAACTACTATACCGACATATCTAAAGCCGACTTTGACATATATTCCGCGAAGGCGTTTCTGGCGCAAATAATGGATTCATTGCAAGGAGGGAAGGACGGAGGGAGGGAAGGAGGGAGACTGTGTGCTACCGAGGAAGAGGGAGGATTTGTCCTGAAAGCATTGTTGAATGTGGATGGCAACTTTTGGAAGGCAGATACGCATGAAAAAATGGCTGTGGATGATGGTGTCGATTTTCGCTGCTGATATCAAGCTTACAGATTGGAGTGATGAAATGCATCTACCTCGATTCTTCCAGATGTTTACTTTTCACTGATTCGTTACCGCGCAGGCGCCGATGCAGGCCGTTGCAGTGTTGGGAGATGCGGAGGGGAGGAGAGAGCTGTCGTGTATTCCTCCCGCTCTGCACGCGCCACCTGTCAGCTGTATATGTGGTACGGTCTCGCCACCAAGCTAGATGAACCTGTAACCATCAGCGTCATCTGAATCATGCTCCAACCAGAGATCACAAAATGCCGTGTCTTGCGAGCGTGCCGCGGTCGACTACCTGAGCAACCCAAAGCACGTCGGTACAGGGCCTCTGCAATTCTGTACCAGGTGCAATAATGACTTCGACGCTTCCAACTCCCGAATACCAACAGTCGCTGATGGCCACAGTGACCACCACCATCCTCCCCTTTCCCTTTGTCTCCATTTCTTCCTTAGTCCCTATCAATGCTCACAATGATTCATCTGCAGCGCATGTAAAGAGAGCATCAGAATGCTACTAGGAGCGGGGAGTGAAAGTATGCTCCGTACCGGAAGAGGGGAGAGAGCTGTAAGGTAGTGCAGCACCTTCAGCTCTCTCTGCATCGACGACTTGTCCTCGTTCTGAGAGGCCGCATGTCATTATTGGTAAGGAGACCTCATCCGCAAGATCGATTCCTTTCCTTTCCTCTCTTATTGCCTCCGCGCGCTCTCTCTCTCTCGCGTATCCCCATCACGATTTCGAAAAGAAAAAACTTACTGCATTGAAAGCCATCATGGATTTCCCCACCGACGGACACCCCGGGCGCCTGCAGGACAAGATCGCCATCGTCACCGGCGGCTCCATGGGTTTGGGCGAAGGCATCGTGAGGAAGTTTGTGCACGAGGGCGCGAAGGTGGTCATTTTCGACATCAACCGGAAAGCCGGAGAACAGGTCATCGCCACGCTGCCCGATGGGAAGGTGGAAGTGTTTGAGGGAGATGTCACCAAGGAGGAAGACTGGACGACCGCGCTGGAAGTCGCGAAGAGCTGTTTTGGGAATCTGCATATCGTGGTGAATAATGCTGGGGTGGTGCATAGGGCTGGTGTAAGTTCCGTTTCACATGTCAATCATCACGAGGAATCCTTTGGAGCTCAATAAGAGCTGACTTCTTTCACACCACACAGCCCAGCCCGGAAGTACCCCCCTCCGAATTCCACCGCATCATGAACATCAACATCGCCCCCCTCTACCACTCCGCCAAAACCATCTCCCCGCACTTCAAGTCCCAGGAAACCGGCGGCGGCGGCGTCTTCATCAACATCTCTTCCATCTCCGCCCCCCGCCCCCGCCCCAACCTCGTCTGGTACGCCGGTTCCAAAGGCGCCGTGTCGTCCATCACCCGCGGCCTGGCGGCGGAATTCGCGCCATATGGGATTCGCTGTAATGCCGTGCTGCCCGTCGTGGCGGACACGGGCATGGTGGCTTCGGTGCTCGGGGGCGCGGATAGTGAGGAGGGGAGACGGAGGTTGGTGGCGCAGATTCCGCTGGGGAGGATCTGTAGGCCGGAGGATGTGGGGAGTGCGGTTTGCTTTTTGGCGAGTGATGAGGCGGCGTTTATTACGGGGGTGGAATTGCCTGTGGATGGGGGGAGGGCGTTGATGTAGAGCACATGATGGAGGGAAATGTGTGTGTTGGAATGATGCTTGTGTTCGGAACTGCTGGCAGCCAGGATGGTCTTCTTTCCTTCATGGAATACTCTGCCGTGAGGAGAAGTCTAGTATTTACAATTGTAGCAAAGAGAGGCATTACCTGTCCTCCTCCATCGTTCAATGTAAGGATGTCTTCAATCAGCCTTCAAATACGCCATGCTGTAGTTCAACACCCATGCTGCGCAATATGTGTTAGTGACTGTGGTTTTCAATGTAGTGTCTGTCGATGTGCTCACCTCGAGGCCATCTTCTTCATGTTCTCCTCAATATCATCGTCCATACCTCTTCCCACGCCAATCATCTGTCTGATCTTGGCCCAGTAAAAGACCAAGTCGGTGCTTATTAGTACAATCCTGAAGAGAATGTGTCTGCCGTATTCCTTCCATCGCTGTCCCAGACTGGCATCTCGATCCTCCGCCAGAGCTCGCGAAGCCCAGTATCCCGTGATCTTGATTCTATTGACAGGCGAGCCCAGAAACTGATTGTTGCCCTGCACGATCCTCAAGTTCCGGCCGATGAAGATGAGCTCCTGGGGAAATTTGTCCTGATTGGACAAAATATTGCGTACGGACCGTCGCATGTGCTGCTGCATCTCGAATTGTCGTTCCCGCTGTTCTTTCTTGGACAACTTTCGGATCTCCTGCATCACTTTCTGGTCGCCACCCTCATACGGTCTCATGAGAGTCGCCGAGGCGAATATTTCAGGCGCATTGATGCCCCATTCTTCCCGGGTGATGCGACCGATGGTGTCATTGTCAAATGTCATGAGGCTGCGCCAGAAGAGCGCGTACTCTTTGCGGAACTTGGGATCCATTTTGATGTAAAGGCCGTGATCGATCAACACGAGCTCCGGCTTGCCGTTAGGTTTGCGTCGAATGAAGATGTTCCCGGGGTGCGGATCGCAGTGCACAAGGCCCCAGAGGAACATCTGTGCACTGAAGAGGTCAACCATAGTCTGCATAACTGGTTTCAGCGACAAGCCAAGTCCACCACGCTTGTCACGACCACGCCATGAGTCACGAACAGGCTTGAGCTTCTCGTCGTATGGGTCGTTCGACGGCACCGAGGTCTTGACGGAGGGAGGCGGAGGGTCAAGTTGGACTCCGCCAGCTCCTGGCGAGCCTTTACGCCAGCCTCCTTCCCAGCTACCGGTGATGCCCTCCTTATCCCAAAGCCTGATTCCCTCGATCCACTCAGCCGTCATTACTCGCTTACTGCTGAGCTCGGGGTAGACGTCTGGAATATAGACGCGGTTGCGCAATCGTGGCTCGCTCTGAATGAGTCGTCTCATGTTCCTTCCATTCTCTGCTTCCAGCTCGAAGTCTGTTTCCGCGTTTAGTCTGTCGCATACATAAGGGACCAGGTGGTATAATGGTAAGTCGAAGTACCACGAGTATATCCGGGAAACGACCCTGAACGCCCAGAGATCCCAGTCGACTTGCCTGGCGATCTCCTTCTTTTGTATCTTGATCGCGACCTCCCTTCCGTCCTGTAGCCGTGCCCAGTGCACCTGCGCTACACTCGCAGATGCCCTAGCTGTCCGTTCCATAACACCTTTGGTCACATCACCATCGAAGCTCACGCCAAATACTTCTTCCACGCTCCTGCCGAAGTCTTCCTTTATGACTCGCTCCACCTCTTTCCAATCATTCTGAGGCGCATCATCGAACATCCTTGCGAACATCTTCTGAAACTCCGGCGGGAGAATTGCGCTTTGCATGGCAATCGCCTGACCAATCTTTAGGTATAGACCTCCGTTCTGTCGCAGCAGGTCGAACACTTGCTGGGCACTTCGCGCATGTAAGTCGGCAACGCTATCACCAATCCACGGATCCGGGCGAAAGTTGAGCTTGTAGTCCATCGCAACTACGAGACCATTGTAGAAGGTTCTCACAGACCGCGTGAGGCACTCATCGTAGAGGTAGATGTCTATGGCTCCTATGATGGCCAGGGCAATCGCAACACGTACTATACGTCGAAGCCATTTGCGTGACCGCCGGTATGTCTTCGCGGTTGCAGGTTTGCCCAAGGCCGATGGCGAGGGAGGCTTCAGCTGCTCGAACTGACTTCGCCATCTCTTGATCACAAGACTTGTTCCATCGCCTGGTGGTGCTCGTTGTCTAGGAAGATGGAATTGTCGCGTGCTCGGATTCAGTGCTCGGGTGACGAACGTCCGGTCTGCTGAGACAGCAGATGGATGTCTGAGGGTCCTGCTTGCGCATCGCCAGCATTGCGGCGAGACATATCGAAGCATCTCACTCCGCAGGCCTGTTCCCGCGCAATGTTCGGGAGATGCTGGGTTTGGAGTTGCTCACACGACGTCAAAGAACTTCGGCTATTCAATGCAATCGTCATTCACCGACAGGCCTCGGTCGGCCCCGAGGGCGTAGGGCTGAGTGGGTCTGTCCCGTTGCGGTCCGAATCCGAGCGATCGTGTTTTCTATTTGCTCCACGAAACGTGCTTGCACTCATCGTCTTCGGCTGAAGAGTACTAGGTAGGTATACATGACTGACGCAGGTAGATTCTGCTTGAACAGCAACCAAATGGCGACATACGCGACCATCAAGTCCTGCAAATCATTTTGCCCCTTAGCCGCGATAGCAAGCAATGCCACTTGAATCTGCTGCCAAAATTGGCGAATCATGCTCTTCAAGGACTTTCAGCACGAAATCTGCTGCAGCAGTATCTCTGTGCATGGGACGACATGGACACATTCTGTGCGCAATTTACACAAATTTTCGTTACCGCAACATTGAAGCGGTTCAAGTAATCCTTAGAATGGAGAGGTTCCAGCTGCTAGCTAATCGCTTCTGAAATCCTGACAATGTCTTCCAGCTCTGAAAGCACTCTCAGATCGATTCATGGGAACACTGGCGCTCAACGGGCAACTCGACAGGACGCATTTTTCGGTACAAAAGCAGTCGCAACAGGGCGCCAGAGCAACCGACAGTCCTCACCACTCCTGCGACTACCACATGAGGTTTGGGACAATATTGTTGAGCTTGCAGTCTTGAAGGACCGTGAGCTCTTGATCAAGGTCACCGGGTTTTGCCCTCCTGCCCTGCACTTGACATCCCACCAACTTCGCGATGAGACAGCGCAGATCTGGTTGGCGAAGGACATTTCTATGCTTTATGGTGGATCCGAGAAGATTTTGCAGCAGTTACTTCACCCGGGACATCCTCATTTCAACGCTCTCGGTGAAGAAGAAGAATATAATTAGAAGACCACTGGAAGGCGATGAGGATTCTGGCCTCCAGCTCCCGGCTGAATAAGCAAAGCATTTGAGCGAACACGATGAGCCCTGGTAAACGGAATCTTGGTATGGCTTCATCCACTGGACTGGAATACCATCGTACTTGCAAGTCTCTTCTACGCGCTACTAGGAACTATTCAACTCCTGCGCCTAAGACTTTTCCGCCATGAGGAGAGCCCACTACGATTTGGTCTTGCCTCCAAGAATCCGTGCCGAGCCTTGCAGTGCTTCGCCATCTCGTCGATATTCTGCGCGTCAAAACTTGGACACTCCTTGCAGCGCAGAAGCGGTACCGTCCTCCACGGCTGCTGACCCACAAGCCTTTTGGCCCCGCTACACGCTCTATGAAGCTGCTCGTGTCCGGTATAGTGATGTTTAGAGCAAGTATTCTCCGTCCATGGACACTCTGATCGCCGTCACTGCTCCACCTTGTCTGAATTCCACGCTGATCGGTTGACAATACTGGGCAGGAAGTGATCGGCTTTTTCGCGATGGTTGACTTTGTCGCAGCCTTTTCCGAACCAGTCCGTGCAGGTTGTGTGGAGGTGGGTCTTTGTGTCAGCGACGCTTGTTCGTATTTGGTACATGACCTGAGCGTTGGACACGTTGAAGGGGTTGTCTGTTGACACTCTGCTGTGCGCTCCTTGAGCGAGTATTTGATTCCTAGATAGCAAGCTACTGCTTTGGATGAGAATATATATGCCTTCTCTAACCAACAGCCGCGAACTGTTGATTTTCGCAAAAGATCAGAGGCCCGACACGAACCACGCCCTGTAAGAAGCGACTGCCAGAACGTCCTAGAAGCTGATCAAAAAGGTAAGCGACATTGAAACACGAGTGGTCTGATTGAGAGCAGTGCACATGAGCATAAACAAGCATCAAAGGCGTTGTCGTTCAACATTCACAGCTTGGTGAATGTTGGACGGGCAGAATGAATGCCTGAATCAAGAATGATTATGCGTGGCTGCCTGAGCGATTCAGGCTAAATTGACGGACCCTTGAGACTTCTAATCAAACAGCTTCAGGGTCCATCAATATCAAACCTTATATCGACTTCGGACTTCAATATCCCATTGGGCTTTCCAAGTACAACCCCGATTGGGAAGTGCCAACAATCCGGCAAACACATTCAGTGAGAATGGCAACCTGAAAAAACGACCACAGCTTGAAAGATTGTGAAAAATGTCATCCATGCCTGCTCGACGTCTTCTCTTGGCGAAAAGGTGCCGTCGTAACATTGCGATTTGTGACGAGATTCTTTGGATGCTTGCTCCAAATGCCACGGATCGGATGCCCAGACCGGTGTAGCGCTTCAAAGAAGTCGCAGTGCGCTGCTTAGGGCCGTTCCCTACGAGACTTGGCTCCTGGCTCTTTAGAGAGCCTTCCCTTGCTCTTACCTAAGGGGGGCCTGGTGGAAGCTGTGGCAGCGACCTCCTTACCCTGGTATCCAAGGCACCTGACAGCAGCCTACCACTTTGCGAGGCAAGATTCGCCGGCTTCGAAGTCACGCCTCGGCTCAACCGAGCGGCCAACGAGCACCAAGACAACTTCGACCTGAAATGCCCCTGAGAACGGTCGATCAGTTTTGATAGACATTGCAAAGGGCACAGATGCAGGAACTTACGTACACTTGGGACTTCAATCGTAGGCTCTTGTCACGGTCGCAGCGCTTCTGCGACTGGCACGCGAGATGCCATTTTGGGATGGAGTTTCCCTACCGAGGTAGACCAGCTTTCGGTGTAGAAGTTCGGAGCGTGCTCGGCGCGTGAGCAAGTTCTGGCCCAAAAAATCGCGGAGGTAAGCCTACGTCCCGCGCTCTCAATGGCTGTAGGGCCCGCTTGTGCCCTTGTGACCAAACTCTCTGGACGGCGACTCCGTTGTTTACGGAGTTAGCAGTATCAACACAGGCCAGCACGCCCCCCGGGCGAGGCTATAAAGTAGCAGCTCCTTTCCCCTCCTTCCTTCATTCCTTCTCTCCTTACCACAGCCGCCGACCACCAAGTCACCTGATCCTCCGGGCCTCTTCTCTTCCACCTTTCTTCTCTTCCACCTTCCTTCTCTTCTACCTTCATTCTCTCTGGTCTGCGACAGCACCTCACCGTCCTCATCAGCGTTCGACCTCATCGCCCTCATACCTCACCGGCGTTCGACCTCATCGTCCTCACACCTTATCGCCCTCACGCCTCATCGCCCTCACGCCTCATCGCCCTCACGCCTTATCGCCCTCGCACCTCACCGTCCTCAACCATCCTCGACCGCCCTTTACCGTCCTCACACCTCATCGCCCTCAACACCTCACCACCGTCCTCAACCAGCCTCAACCGCCCCATACCTCTCTGCTCCGACACGACGGCGCCATATCATCATTGGCCTTCCTCACAGACTCAACCTCACCTCATACTGCGCCGACAGCAAACATCTCATCTGTTCATTCACATACCATGCCACTGCATCAGACTACAGTGCTAACTTCATCGCAGGCCGTCCTGGGTACGACGTTAAACTGCATCCCGCCAGCCACCTTCGCTCACGACGCTGGCGCGATCGGACTTCGACTCTCAGCTCTGGCTGATCGAGACGGTTTGATCCTCACTCTCACTCTCTTTCGGCCGCCGGACCTCACCCGCGACGACCGCTTCCGGCCATTTCCTCTCATCACCATCTTTAAGCCGGTCCTGACGAGCACGACTGGGGCAAACCGCTCTATTCCATCCTTTCCCACGACACACTCACCCCTGGTCCATTACTGTCTCCTTACCACCATCGCCAAGCCGGTCCTCACGAGCACAACTGGGGCAAACTGCTCTATTCCATCACTATTCACGGAACACTCAACACTGGTCACTCACTGCTCCTCACCACCATCGCCAAGACGGTCCTCACGAGCACGACTGGGGCAAACTGCTCGACAACATGGCTCTGCTGAGCTTCAATCTCACCGCCGTCCCTCATTCAGAATCCTCACCTTCTCCAAGCCGGTCCTGAGCATGACTGGGGCAAACTGCTCATCGCCATCACTCTACCGACTAACTCTCACCCGAGCCTCTCCTTCCTGGTCAAACCTCCCACCTTCTCCAAGCCGGTCCCGAGTACGACTGGGGCAAACTGCTCACCACCCTCACGGCAAACATTTCCGACCCAACCATCCACAATCATTCACACTCGCGACATCACCATCGTCGAGTCGGTCTTTGAATACGACCGGGGCAAACTATCCGCCACATTCTTTACAGCCGCCGACCTCTCCAACTTTGCTTTGACTCCCAGCATCGCTTCTTGCTGGTTGAGTTGGCGAACGATCTCTGCCGGCTCATACCTCACCATCTTTCAGCCGGTCCCGGCATGACCGGGGCAAACTGCCACCTCCTTCGTTGCACTTACCAACACACCCGACCTTGCCTCGACTCCTGGCTCCCTCTCTTCGCTGGTCGAGTTGGCAAACGATCCTTGAGAGTCCGTACCTCACCGTCTTTCAGCCGGTCCCGGCATGACCGGGGCAAACTGTCACCGCCTTCATCACACCGCCGGCCTCTCCCACCTCGCTTTGACTTCCAGCTCCTTCTCTCCGCTGGTTGAGTTGGCGAACGATCATTACTGGCCCACAGCTCACCATCTTCCTGCCGGTCCTGGGTACGACTGGGGCAAACTACCGTCGCACTCACTGCAGTGACCGCACTTCCGAACTTGCCTTGACTCCTAGCGCCTCTTTCTGCTGGTCGAGTTGGCAATCATTCACTCCGTGCCAACCCACATCACCATCTCTCAGCCAGTCCTCGGCATGACTGGGGCAAACTGCCACCACCTTCATTACAATGACCGCATTTCCGACCTTGCCTTGACTCCCAGCGCCTCCCTCTGCTGGTCGAGTTGGCGATCACTCACTCCGTGCCGATCCACGACACCTTCGTTCGGCCGTCCCAGCAGGTACGACGGGGGCAAACTGCCTGCCTCGCTCGCTGCACGCCGCATTTCCGACCCTGTCTTGACTCCCAGCGCCTCTCTCTGCTGGTCGAGTTGGCGATCACTCACTCCGTGCCGATCCACGACACCTTCATTCGGCCGTCCCAGCAGGCACGACGGGGGCAAACTGCCTGCCACTCTCACTGCACGCCGCACTCCGACCTTGCTTCGACTCTCAGCGCATCTCTTGCTGATCGAGTTGGCAAACGCTCACTACCCGCCGACACACTTCATCACCATCATTCAGCCGGTCTTCGGGTATGACTGGGGCAAACTACCCATCGCGATCTCTCACACCGGCCACGACGGCATTGACACACCATCATTCGACCGTCCGAGCAGGCATGACGGGGGCAAACTGCCTGCGCCCTCCCGCTCACACTGACTCGCCCTCACGGCACCCTGTCATTGTCGCACACCACCTCCACCATCATTCGACCGTCCGGAAAGGCACGACGGGGGCAAACTGCCTACGCCTCTCACTCTCACATCTCTTCACCTCAACGGCGCACTCTGTCACTACCGCACATCACCACACCATCGTTCGACCGTCCGAGGCACGACGGGGGCAAACTGTCTACGCCTCTCACTCACATCTCTTCGCCTCAACGGCGCACTCTGTCACTACCGCACATCACCATACCATCGTTCGACCGTCCGAGGCACGACGGGGGCAAACTGTCTACGCCTCTCACTCACATCTCTTCGCCTCAACAGCGCACTCTTTCACTACCGCACATCACCACACCATCGTCAGACCGTCCGAGGCACGACGGGGGCAAACTGCCTACACCTCTCACTCACATTCCCTCGCCTCAACGGCGCACTCTGTCACTACCGCTCACCTGCCACCTTCATCCGACCGTCCTGAGTACGATGGGGGCAAACTGCTCGCGCCATTCAATTCACTGTCACTGCGGAGGAGGAGTGGAGGATTGGAGGAACATTCGTTGTCTGTGGAGGAGGAGAGGAGGATGGAGGACACTCTTTACTTGTGGAGGAGGCGGGGAGGAGCAGAGGAGCTCTGGTTATCGGGGATTCGTTGATGTCTTGGACTTTCTTTGTATTGAAGGATGCTATTGTTGTGCAGCATGGGACAGGCGCGGGGCATAGGCCATTGGATTGGAATTTGTCGATCGACAGGACAGGACTGGACAAGGCACCACACGCCTTCGCGATGCCACTCTTTTCCTACCACCCGTCTGTGGAAGGTTTTTAATGAGGGCAGGACAGGAACAGGGGAAGAGGGAACTCAGATAGGAAGACTCGTTCACTTCTGCTGAATGGAAATCGTTCGTCGTTCAAGCTGTGCTCATGCCGTTTCTTTTCATGTCTCTGTTTCTGACGTGGAATTATCTCCACATCTCCTTCTCGGCCGGCAGCTTGAAGTAGTCACGTTGCTCTTCGCAGTTCTTCCACATCTCTATAATGTCGTTTGTGTGAAAGCCGAGTGCCTGCAGTGGAGCAACATGCCAGCTGTCCGCGGCTGCTAAGGCACCATGCTGTCGACATTCGGACGCCTGTCCGCAGTCGACCGATCTATTTTATTATCTGTGGAAGAGCAATTATGATCCGGCCAGGCACAATCTCCGTTGCATAGGTTGGTATGAACACATTTACTTCTTCATTGGACTGGCATGCCAATAGTAGACGACAATCGGGAAGAAACTGTGGGCCCTTTTGCACTTTGCTCCTTGATTGCCGTGGTCTTTGGACCGAGCGATACAGGTTGATGATGTATTTACACTTGGACAGCTATCGCTCCTAGTACGTTCGTCATTGCTAGCCATGGTTGAACAGTCTCTTACAAATTTCGATGGAGTGAACATTGACGATCGTCATTGGATCCTTTCAGGTTGTGCGGCAAACGATTCGGTGTTGGACGAAGAGGTGGAAATTCATGACTGTTTTTGTCGACCTTGTCGCAAACATCAAATGATCTCCAACAGAGTGACCGGTAGCTTCCTCCAAGTACTAGTTCATCTATGAAGCCTGCCTGCGTAGCTCCGTAGCTTCCTTCTTTAGTTTAGCGTGCTACTGTCGTAATTAGCCGAAGTCGGAAGTGAATGTCTTTGGCTCTCCTTGCAATCACCTTCTATCTTCCATCTCCATCCTCGATGTTTCTCCTCTATGCCATCTTTCGTGTTACGTGAGAGTACCATTCTGAGATAGCCGCTTATCAGGACCATCCCGAACAGCCTGCCCAATGGCCACGGAAATCGAGACGCCTGCAACACACCAGATCTTGCAACTTTTCTCTTTGAAGAGGTCTCCATGGGCATCTTGATAGAGAATCTTCCGCTTAGGTGATCAGGATCTGGTTTCGTTCGCGGCAAAGGAAGCTCGACGCGGTACAAGAGGCTTGCACCGGTCGAATGCTGGACCAAAATGGCCCGATCTGAATTCAATACTTTCGACACCGTGGAGTACATCTGGCAGCAGCTTGCACTGCCACGCGAAGCTCTGCAGTCATGCAATCTCGAAGAGGCTGGTCACATCTTGCCGTCTTCTTTCAAGATTGGCCACCTTGGACAAGCATCCATTGCACTGTCAGGGCTCGCTGCGGCTTTGGTGGACTCGCATCACAATAAGACTTCAGTGAGGAACATCAGTGGTTCAGCTCAGCATGCTGCTGTTGAGTTTGCTTCTGAGCGATTGTACTCTGTCAACGGTCAGCCAGCATCCAGCAGTTGGGGACCTATCGGAGGTCTTCACAAGACGAAAGATGGATATGTGCGGATGCATGATTCGTTTATCAATCACAGGCTTGCTGCGCTGAAGATTCTTGGTCTTAGAGGTGATGCATCGAAGGAAGAAGTAGCAAGAAAGATCCTTGAATGGAAAGCGCTGGAGTTGGAGAAAGAAGCAATGAAAAATAAGGCCGTGATATATGCGCTCCGATCCTACGAGGAATGGGATGTTCTACCACAAGCCCAGGCAGTGCCAGAATTCCCGATAAGCATTCGCAAAATTAGTGACGAAGGATCGAGTGGTGTACCGAAGCATATGCCTTTGAAAGCCGACAAGTGCTTGCGAGGGTTAAGAGTTCTTGAATTCTCCCGCGTGATCGCTGCCCCAGTCGCAGGAAAGACTTTGGCTGCTCATGGCGCCGATGTTTTGTGGATCACTTCGCCAAACCTCCCATCGCTTTCAACCTTGGACATAGACGTCAGTCGAGGAAAACGGACAATTCAGCTCGATCTTAACGAGACCAGAGATGTGGAAACATTGAAGCATCTCGTGAAGGATGCCGACGTCTTCCTCCAATCCTATCGCCCTGGCTCTTTCTCTGCCCGAGGCTTTGGACCAATTGAACTCGCACGGACGAGACCCGGAATTATCTGCGCTAATCTATCTGCCTGGGGCAACGAGGGACTCTGGAGTGAGAATCGAGGCTTCGACAGTATCGTGCAAACCGTGTCGGGAATGAACGTCAGCGAAGCAAAACATTTCGATCCATCGAACTCCACCCCTGCGAAAGCAATGCCGGTTCAAGCACTTGATCACGCAGCTGGGTATCTTCTTGCTACGGGTATCTCGGCTGCGGTATACAAGAGAGCATTAGAGGGTGGTAGCTGGGAGGTCAATGTTAGTCTGGCTGATGTTATGAAGTACTCGCGGAGCCTCGGGCAGTTGAATGGAAGAGACGGATTTGAAGGCGATGTGGCAATGCCAGAGCAGCTTGTCGCTGAGGAGATGCTAGAAGAGCGAGATTGTAATTTTGGAGCGCTGAAGGCGGTCAGGCATTCTGTTACTGTCGAAGGGAAGACAGTCGGCTGGGATGTCATGCCGAAAGAGTTGGGTGGCGATGAAGCAGAGTGGCTATGAGAAGTTCACGTCAGCCATTCGCCAGTCTTCGCAGATGATGTGGCTTGCTCTACATCATGGGCGCGCAAGATGAGGGACTCGGCGCTTTAACGTGTGGCTTTCTGAGACTGGACGCGGATATGCCACTCATCCTCGTCAGCTATTATTACGAATTCCGTTGCTGCGCTATGCGTTGACATCCGACCTGCCTACCACTATCTTCCCAAACGGCGATTTCCTCGCAACTTACAACAAGCAAACTGCATTTCTCATTATATTTTAATTCGTCGCTTCATGATCACTCCTGGTATTCAACCCTCCGTCGACCCCGAGGTACTATTACGCTTTTCTTAGCAATCCACGACTCAGCCCCCTAGACGGCACTGTGCTTTCGGATGGCGCCTCTCGCGACAAAGACCAGTGCCATCGCGGCGATCGTAACCAAGAAACCGATGAACATGAAAGCGGTGATGGTGTCGAAGCGAGTCCAGATATTAAGCCCCTGGTGATCATCCCAGTGATAATGCGCTCGGAGTACGGCGGAGTTCTGAAAGTATAACCATTAGTATCGCGCAAATCGGCCATGATGGACAAATTCCGGTATATATATATATATACTCACAATTCCACCGGCGAGGTAGAAGAGAAACGCCAGGGCGTCCACACCGAGCGTCACGAACCACGGCACGGCGCCGACCAACGCCGCGGCTCCGAGTCCGACGAGGGCGTCGAGGAGGCCAAAGGCACCCGTGAAGGCTGCGTAGGCTGTGGAGGACGGATAGCGCCCGACGAGGTCCGAGCATTTGATCTGGTCGTTCTTGTCGCCGTTCCTGTAGCAGCCTGTCTCGTGGCTGATGGTGTTGATGTCTCGGGCGAGCGTGATGCCGACTCCGAGGACGACGGCGCCGCAGATGAGCTGGGAGGGAAACAGGGTTCAGAGGGGAAATTCTTGTGGATCAGACGGGAGGATTTTCACGAGTGAGAGAGGAGACGACGACGACGAACCTGTAAAGCTCTCGTGGCGTAGAGACCGATTTTGGCGCCACCCATTTTTTTTTTCTTTTTGGTATTTTTCTTCTTGGATTCTGGGCTGGTGCTGTTATTCTATGAGCCTCTCGTGGGAAACTTCAGGGGAGTCAAAGTACGAACAGTCCTCGAGGATGAAGAAATGGGAGAGTGATAGCAGTGCGACAGTGTGTATGTATTTTCGAACCACGGAGCAGCAGTCACCATTTGTATATTCTCACGGCCATCGACTCACACGAGACCGAGACCGGTGAAGGTGGCACAGCCGCTTCCCTTTCTAAATCCGTCCACGCTGCGACGCTGTGTTATGCCAACGTGGTGCTTAGCGCCCCCAGGTTCTGCCACTGTTTGCCGTCTGGTGGCCAATCCTTTGAATCCTTCGTGTAAAGCTTTTCCCCTCATCAGAGCTCCGCGGCGCAGTGCATTTCATTTCCTGAAGCGCATCCTTAGCCGCCGTGGTATTCATTTTGGGAAGTGTGCATTCTGGCGCTTTTCGGTCGCGTGTGGTTGGCCGGTCCGATCTGCTTGATGAGCGAGTGTTTCTATGATGAAGTGGGAGGCTTTGGCTGGCGATCATGGAGTTTGACGGCATCTTTGAGATACCCTTAGCGCCAGATCGCCTGACTTGGACTTTGTATGACCAGTCCGCCACTCAGTCATTCGAGATGCATACCTTATAGTTCTGTGGTTGATCGGTGAGTGAGGTCGTCCCTCGGAGTTCGGAACGAGTGGTCTGTGCACGCATTTCGTCCTTCACATCTTCCAAATCGATACACTATCGTGCTTATTAGCCTCTTATATCAGTCTAAAGGATGTATCTGCCATCGATCGTGAGCCACGACACGTCCATAAGGCCAATCTCCTTCGCGCCACTGGCCTCCACGAAAAGCTTCACGATGCCGATCTCGCCGGTTCTTTCACTGTCTGAGCCAATGGCAATTCCATCCATCGACGGCGAATCGCCAAAGAGTGCGGCTGGAATCGATGTGCTGCAATCCGCAACGGCGAGGTACACCCCAACGTAGAGCACAATGGAGAGGACGATGCCGCAAAACCAGTTCAAGCAGAACATCCGTTCCGGACCAGTGCCAATGCTGACAGTACTAGCCTCCGGTGATGGATGTCATGCTGCCCGGCCAAAGCCATGCTCTCTATGATCCATGTACCGTCGCCAGAGTTTTTGGTAGGACAAGCAGCGTCTTGGCCCAGAACATCCATTGCGACGTATGCGTCGTCGGAATCGGCATGAGAAGAAATTATAAAAGACAGTACAGGAAGTACGACACCATCCCTTGTGTGGTAATTCTGACCGAGGCGGGCAGACGATATGCCAGAGGAGCGTGGAAAGGCCGGATCGCGATCATCATCTGCGTTGAGCACTTCGCACCGTACACTGGCTGTCTGTACGCCAAACCAAAACAGGGCCAAAATTGCCCGAGATCCGATGCAGAAGGACGAGAGCCAACTTGCGTATGAGGCACGGATTGTAAGCGGAAGGGGAATGTGCAGGTCTGCTCCAATCGCTCCGTGTAGGATCGTTGGTGTCGCATTGCACATTGCTGCGACGAAAGTGATCAAGATTGCATCTGTTGCGGATCGACCGAATCTCCCACTGTCGGCGAACGATGCGCTCATGACGGACCTCATTCGATCATACACGGCACCAGCTCCCTCCGAACTTCAGAATCAAGGGCATCGATCATGTTGGTTTCCATGTACCACCACATGTTCCAGCGGAGGAGCGTGGGAAAGAGGGCCTCAACGCTATACCGTAATCTTCAAATGCCGGAGGGACAGAAGATGGCGCATTGTAGTTGGGTGGAAGAGATAGAACACACACTCGAGGAGAGAGGAGACTATGCCCGAGTTAGTGTTCTAGTACCCCATGGATAGGTATCCCAGTTGGGTACGGTGAAGCCGCAGGACGTCGGTCTGGGGCCGGTGGAAGAAGCCTAGGAGATGTGGGGATGTGGGACGATGATGGGCTGTTGCATCCCAGGTTCTCTTCCGAACCGAAGAATGGGCCAGACGGCAGCGGGATCCGCGGACGACACCCGATGAATTTGTAATCATGCTCTCCAGCCGTGGTATGTAATCATGCTCTTAGCCGTGAGACGTCGTCCAAAGTTAGCACCCAGATTCGGTGGGCAGGCGTGCGAGATTGTGTGGGCAGGACAACACAAGTGGCAGATCGGCCAATTCGGGCCCGTTTTGCTCGAGCTAGTCAAGCTCTCTGTAGTCAAGCTGTCTGTAGTCAAGCTGTCTGTAGTCAAGCTGTTTGCAGCGCTGTGTCACGACACGGAGGGACAGCAGCGGGCGATATGCGAGAAGGCGCAAGGCAGGTCCGGGTGAGACATGGACATGACATGGAGGGGTTCGTCACCAGAAAAGTGTGGAAGGATGAATTACAGTTTGACGGAGTATGCCGGTTGGCGACCGCTCGGGAGCTCGGAGCTCCGCAGAGAGAGGGGCGGGCCGCCGGGAAGCATGGCAGGGAAGGGAAGGGAAGGGGTGGTCCCGGCGTCAGGATGAGAGTGGTCGCACGTCGTGTGGTCGGAGCGGCCGAGATGTGAGAGAGAGAGAACCGGTCGATGCGGGCGTCAAGCCTGTGCACTCACTGTGTGTGCACTGTGTGTACTGTTGTACCTTCCTTATGCACCGTGTATGCAATTTCTTGTGAGAGCTGTACGCTCTCTTGTGCAGCGGGTGTGCCATCATCACTCGGATGCTCGCCTTGTGCGTCGGGCCAGAGTCGAGAAGGGGCGTGGTGCATTGGGGGAGATGGGCGATGGGCGATGGGCGATGGCGGTAGAGGGCAGAGCAGGTCTGAGCACTACCTTGGCTACCTTACCGTAAGCCGTACAGGGGGTGCAAGTGAAACATTGCTGATCCGTGCCCCCTGCCACTGCCTCTGCCACTGCCACTGCCACTGCCACTCTCTATACCTTACCTCACTCATCGACTCTTCCTCCTGTCTTCACTCTCTCCTTCTCTGCCCAAGGTAGACCAGGTAGACGCCCGTCGCCCTTTTCCCTCGCTACCACTCGCCCGGGAAGCCCGTGCGTCCTCCATCCCGTCCCGGATCATGCGGGATCATGTTAGGCCATGACTTCGACTACCTCCTCGACGTGCGCAACATGAGCGATGGCGAGACCGACGATGAGTTTGACCAGCGACTCCGTTCCGAGGCCAAGGAGCTCGGTGTCGACGTGGATGGCGTGGACGTGGACGGCGTGGGCGTGGGCGTGGGCGTGGACGTGGACGTGGAGGAACTGAAGGCACACGACCAGAACATCCACACCCTCGACCAGAACACACTCGACCAGAACACATGCTACCCTCGCCGTTCCGAATCCATCGACGCTTCCATCGGCGCATCCATCCACGAATCCTTCGACTCGACAGCTTCCCACTCCACTGCTCTGACCTCCGACTACTCCCACCGATCCCGCGACCAAGACCACTTCCATGCACACAGACGACCCTCGCGCACCTCGCCGAGCTTCCGCCATTACGATGCTTTCGTCTCACGCCGTGTCCCCGACGCCAGACATTCCATCTCCTTCTCACCCCTCACCACTCCGTCCAACTCCACACCCTCCCTGCCCATGTCGCAGCCTCCCTCCCCCCATACTCCATCTCCCGATCCTCTATCCCCCAAGAAGCACTTTCGTCGCATCCGCGGCTTGAGCATGCTGAAGCTCTACCATCGAACCGCTTCCGATCCTTCTCTCGCCCACCCTTGTCCCCACTGCCCGCACCACCTCTCCAGCCAGAGGCGTGCAGCAGTCCACAAACTACCCTGTGGTCATCGCGTCTGCACCCACGCTCTACGGAACACGGTTCAGTCCGCGACCGCCAGTCAAACAGGACCAGTCCCCAGCTGCTGTGGGAAGCCGATCCCCGGAAGCATGGTGGAGCATGTCATGACGCAGGAAGAGCAGACTGCCTTGCTCGACAAGCTCGAGCAGTGGGACGAAGCAATCTCCATCGCGCCATCCATGACCAGCTCACGACGCGATTCCACCCCATCCGTCCCCCACCGCCCGCCCGGAGCTCCGACGAGTCCCAGTCGAACCGTTTCGGATGACTCGAGTCTCGGCGCGCTGCCTCTCCAGGCGCGCAAGGACATGGAGCAGGTCATGGAGAGGGAAGACTACACGCTGCTCCGAACAGGACAGGCCGAGCAGAGAGATCGGTTCTGGAGGTGCACCGAAACACAACGGATGGAGCTGAGAGAAGAGCATGAACGATTGCGAGAAGAGATGAAGCGCAGACACGAGACTGCTCTCGAGGACACGGCCGAACACCATGCTTCGGCCATGTCAGAAGCCGAGGACAAGCAAGTCAAAGCGGAGGCGGACATGCGCCAATCTCAACATCAGGAACGTCGGGACAACGCCACCGCTTTGAAACACATGGAAGCTTACTGTGCCGGCACCTACAGCACCGGCGAGCCGCACGACCGCACCGTGACGGACCAAGACCGCGCCGAATTGGAAAAGACCCGTCGAGCCCGCGACCAGATGGACACGAAACACGAAGGCCAGATCAACGTCCTGCGCGGCGAGCAAGGCCGCAGAATGCGCCTCCGATCCCAGCGTCAAGACCGTGAACTGCAAGACCTCCGACGCCAGCAACGGCAGGAAGAACTACAACTGGAACGCGCGTGTACCAGCCAAGTACACAAACTGGACCAGAACGCCATCCTGAAGCAGAAGAAAATCCAGTGGCGGTGGGAATTGCAGATGGCCATCTTCGCCAAGAAAGTGGAGGCTGAAGAGGCTCCCGATCTTCTTTTGAATGCGCGGTTGCCTACTGCGGATTGGTACCCACGGCATGATACGACTGCTACCGCCACCGTTGCGACGCGATCCGACTCGAAACATGGGATTTCGACCGGGTTTGCGGTGCGAGCGAGGCCGAGGACGAATTGAGTTTTACGATTGGTGGATGAAAGGACGATACGCCATGAATTTTGCATGTTGGAGGGGAGCGAAACCGATACCCAAGACCTGCGGGGTTTTCCTTTATTTCATCTTTCCTTTTCAATCAAGATGTAATGATGTGAGCGTTTTGCACTGCATTGCATTGGCTTGTGATGTGAGACGATACGATACGATACGATACCACTGTACGAGTCTGCTATGGCGTTCAGGATGAATGGGGAATGGGGATTTGGCAAGTGGGAAGGCGTTAAATGGGAATGGATGGAAGAATCGGAGTGCCACTACTCCGTATGCATGCGATGCGAATGGAATGGAATGGAATGGAATGGAATGGAATGGAATGGAATGATTCAAGAAGATGACATGTTCAGGACAATGCGTTTCTGTCTCTCTCTCGGCAGGACGCCGTAAGAGATTTTCGTTATGAAGCAATGCTGGGCATAGCCTTTCCTCTCACTTCACTTCACCCTCTCTACCCCTCTCTCTCTCCCTGCAGCACTCACCAACGTTCGACTTCATCGCTCCACGTCCCAATCGCTGAAAACGGTTCATCGTGGCCATCCGGATGCGCCATGACACTCGCTTCCAGGTTCGCCAGGCGGTAAGGCTCCAAGGAGAGTAGCATAGCAATGCGAATAGTTGGGCCCATTCATTTATGATGTCGCTCGTGCTCTGTGTGCTGGCAGATCTCGACTGTCGCCATCTGACGCTCAGACGAAGTAGTGCTGTTGGTAAACCTACATGTACCCAGCTGTCGTGCCTGAGGCACCAAACCAAGACCTCAGCGGAGAATTCGTCGTACGAGCAACAACAACTCCAATACACAACAACCAACCAACCAATCAATCAACCAACCCATCAAACAAACAAACATCCCCCATCCTTTCCCAGAATAATCATCTCGCCCCATCTACTTTCACTCCCACCAAACACCAACACCATACAGAAAACATATACAGAAAACAACATGTCCAGCAAACCCCCTCCCGCCCTCCTCGAGCCCTACCTGCACCTCCCGCCCGAAACCTCCCTCCTCACCCTCACCGGCACCCTCGATTGCAGCATCCACTGGCTCACGGCACGCTTCATCGCCAGCGCGCTTGCTTCTTCCTCCTCCTCGCACTCGCAGCAGGATTCGTCCATAGTACTCGTTAGCTGGATGCGGGATTTTACGTTTTGGAGGGGAGAGATTAGACGGACGACTGTGAGTCGGCAGGCACTGATCCCCCCCTTCAATTCAATCCAAACCTCTCGCGCTTTCTCGCTCTTGCTCACGGTTTTTTTTTCTTCCCTTCTCTCTCCACAGGGTCTCGACATTTCCAAATACCCGCGGAACTTCACCTATATAGACCAATTCTCCAATCACCACCACCTCCACCACCACCAATCATCCCCATCCCCATCCCCATCCCCATCCCTCCAGGACCTCCAATCGCAAATCCTCTCCGCCCTCCTCCAACAACAACAACAACAACAACAACAACAACAACAACAACAAAAAAACCCGGACAACAACCCCCCCACCACAACAACAACTCTCCTAATCCTAGACGCCCCCGACGTCCTCCTCGCGACAACCCCAACGACAGCCGACGAACTGAACCACTTCCTCCTACAGCTCCGCAGCCACCAAGTCCACGGTACCACGATTCTAAGCTGCTCGGCGAATCTTCCGCTCATCTCTGCGGCGGCAACGGCAACAACGGCAGGAAACAACAGCAACCCTCCGACGAGTGCGATGGAAACGGCAACGGCGGCCTTCATCACGGCGCAGGCACATTCGTCTCGCTTGGTGATGAGTGTGCGGGGACTGGAGACGGGAGCGGCGAGGGATGTGAGTGGCGTTCTGAGAATTACGAGAGGCGGTGATGTCGAGGGTGGCGATGAGGTGAGAGAGGCGGAGCTGTTGTATCTCATCCAGAGGGACGGAGTGGCGAAAGTGTTTAGTAGAGGGAGTATACCTGTGTCGTGAACTTGTGCGCGCGTCTTAAGACCTGCCTGTTCGGGCGAGACTCGCATCTGAGTTGATTGATACATAGAAAGGGGGTATTTACATGGAAAATGTTCCTGCCATGTCGTCAAATCCGCCACAGCGCCATCGCTTTTGCGCACGCTCAACACCAGTGCTGTCGGTCCTGAGAAAGTACATGAAATGATCAGAGCGAGCCATCTCCCCTCTTGCCTCCGCTTGTGCATCAGCAATCAGACTCGTCGGTATACTTGCGCATGTCAGATGCGCGATGATATGCTCTCGGGACAGGGCTCGAGTTCAACTCGTGCCGATGCTCGTCTTCCCGGTCAATCTCGGCATGCCCGACCGTAATCTCCGTCTTCACCTGGCCCGTCGTCATGCCATGGAGCCCCTTCCCAGACAGAATGGGATCGATACTTCCAGTGGGAGACGGTGGACGCGAGATGATCTGACTGTGAGCCCTCTTGCGTCGGTCGGACGGATTGTTCATCATTTCGAAATCCACCAAAGCGCCTGCTTCGACAGTGACTGTCCGTGTGTGCGTGATGCCTCCTTCCTTGGTCCATTCGTCCGTCCTCCGCGAAGAGCTATTCGGCATCGTATCCTGAAGTAGTTGTTTCCGCGTCAGAGTATACAGGAGAGAGTCGACCCAGCCGCAGGATGTGAGCAGGCAGCCGGCGACGACGGAGAAGACGTCGCTAGTGGCTTGGGCGTTGTGACTCATGGACCACATGCGGCCCGCCGAGAGCGGGAGGGTCAGCAGCACGTATACGCAAGGGTAAAGCGTCATGAGCATCGTAATACGATTCACTTGCTTCAGCGTGTTTGCGCTCGGGCTGTTGGGCGGGATCTTTCCGTCGACAAGGAGGCTTCTCGTCTTCTGGCGTAGGGAGAAGAATGTCAAGACGTAGATAGCGATGGTGCCGAATTCGACGATGAATACCCAGATGTAGTGGCACCACAGGCGATCGGTTTCGTAGGCCGGCGATACCCAGCACCAAGCTCCGGCTGCAGTGAAATACTTCTTTCCGTGCAGTCCTAGACCGACGACGGTGAGGAAGTATACCAAGACCCAGATGGAGATGATGATGGCGGCGAATGTCTTATAACCCACTCGTCGTCCATACACAGCCGTGTAGTAGGTGTGGACGGCAATGGCCAGGACGAAGAAGCCGCTGGCAATGTCTCCGGAGTGAAGCAGCCATCCCTGTGCGAAGCAGGCCGGATTCGGTGACACGATCCGGTCCCGGCGGTACCAATGCCAACTGATCAGGAATGAAGATCCTTGGGAGAGATCTGTCTGGATGTCAGTGACTATCTGCGCCGACGCGATAGGGCTCGCCTACCAGCCAGCAGCAAGTTGAGCACCAAGACGACGTATTGGTTATAGCCAACAAAGGTCCTGTAGTGCCGACGCCACGAATAGAAACGATTGAGGATAAAGCCAATGAGCACGAGGGTGCTGCCGACGGACAGTGCGGCAAGCAGACCGAGCGCTACGAGGCCGTTTCGGAGATTCTGCTGGAGACCTTCCTGGCTGTATGGTGAGGGATAGTACCATTGACCGCCAATCTGGACACGGGGCTCGTATGGGGCTCCCATGTTGGCGAGCGGTCTGTCCTTTGGCGGATGGTAGGTGTCCTCAGCACAGCAGCATCATGCAGGTGCTTGTTCTCGTCGGGAGGCTGCGGCTGTATTGCCCGCCTTGGCTTGGCGCAGTGCGACGCTCTGGCGTGAGCGTGTAGCAATTGTCCTCTGAAGGCCGATGTAATAAGATGGTCTCGTCCGAAGCGCAATGGATGGGAGTGTACGGAGGATTCGGATGCGGGTGACGTTGTTGTAGGGAGGAGCAGAGGAGGTGTCGGTACATGTAGTGGTGAGGTGAGTTGAGGTGCAGTGGTGAGGTAAAAGCTGCAGGTGCCTCGAATTCGGATCCCCACGTGGTGTTGTTGCCGTGCTGTGCAGTGCAGAACGAGCGGATGGAAGTCACGTCCCGGAAGTGTCCCGTCTCGCTCCTGCTGTCGAGTGTTCCCGCTGGCTTTGGGGGGCAGGCACGCTGGGGATAAGCTTTTGACGCGGCGAATCCCAGAATCCACATGGAAGGACCTCGACCTCAACTTCGACCTCGACCTCACCGACCCATCATACACCACCTAACGAAGAAATGATTCTGTGGAGCAGTGGGCGTGCGGAGCCACCAGTTCAGATGTGCCGTGCGCATGGTAACGATGGCCGTCCAAGGGGTCTCCGGGATGCGTGGGCCGCTGCGTTATCCCAATCTTTCGCGCGCTTCTAGCGAAGGACACAGGAACTTCGACGAATCCTTCAGTCGTTAGTCGTCGGTCAGGTCTCCATTTCGAAGAGAAGCCGCCAGGGTACCGTGGAGGCTTCCCGATCACTTCGTGGGCGATGCATGACTACCGACATGGTGCCTGCGTCCGGAGAATTCAACGTCCAAGCACTCCCTCTTCTCTCGCAGCTGCTGGCGCTCGCTTCGTTGCCGGCCGTACGGGAAGGTATGCAGCTCAGGCCTGGTGCGACAGCAGCGCAGCGCCCACGAGACAAGGCGCGCGCTCGCTGCCGAGGCTCCTGTCAAGCGAAAGATGCACACGGGAGAGGGAGATGCGCTTTCACACGCTCCTCCGTAGCGGCCTCCACCGCTGCGTACGCTCTGGAGACGCCGAACCACCTCCGCGTCCTCCCGTGGAGGAGGAGAGTCTTCCCCACCTCCAACTCGTCTCCAGAAACCATGCTCTCGTGCGCGAAGGCGCGATTTCGTCCAAGCCGCAGCATCCTCGCAGCTGCACGCTGCCTTCACTGTTGAACAATACACCGATCGACGTGAGGTCAAAGAATGTAAAACCTTAAAGGCTCAGGAGAAGATCCCGGCAAGACTCGGTTGCCAACCGAAACGTCCACCACTCCCGACTTCCTTTGCTCGATCCACGGGGTTCTGCCGAGACATAACCATACACTCACGTTTGGGGCCGTCTTTCTCTCCCCGGCACTTCTGCCTTGCACATCCCCTACGTACGTGCTAATCGCAGTCGCAGATCTTCTTCTCCCCTGCCTGGACTTGTGTGGTCTTGTGGGTCATGCGAGCGAAGGAACGCGGACCTACTGCCGTTCCTGAAAAGGTACGAGTCGTAGGCGGTGATGAGGCTGCAAATCCCGGAGAGGGAAGTTCAAGGCGACCACATTTCTCTGAGAACGCACGACGACCTACATCGACGTGCGTCCGCGGGGAGGTGATCAAATGCGACAAACCCCCAGCGCCATCAATGCATTGCGACTCCGCCAGGCGCGCGACCATCACAGATTCACAGCGAATGTACAGCCAGCACGCGCGGTCTTTACCCCTTTCTCGTAGCCAAAACCCCGCAGGGCACAGCAGAATGGATCGCGGATGGTGACGATACGACCGTCGTATCACGACGAACGAGCTACTCACGCCAAGCACGCGTTGTTTGCCATCGAGACTACTGCATCTCTGTATCCTTGAGCCCTGCTCGACCAGTGGAGCACGCCGATAGCGCCAGAGCGCTAGTGAACCTGCTAACAAGGACACTTCACGTCGTCTCACAGTACAATGTCGACGGTGAGCACAGCAATCCAAACGAGAAAGAATCGAAGCAAGGTGAAGTGAGTAGTACATTACTGCGTATGATCCAACAGACTAACAACAACCAAGCAGGATAGAAGTACTGTTGCCCTTTTCTCTTTTCTTTCCTGTTCATGTCGGCGCTTAGACGGTCTGGGCCGCAGTATCGTTGGTGCCGGTCACACCGTCGTGATTGACAACGCCATTGTCGGTGCCGTTGGTGTGCTTGCCCTTCTTCTCGCGGACCATGGGCTCGTTCTCGCCGTAGTCGTGGATGTTGAGGCCGAGGGACTCTGCTGGGATGTGACGGTGGCCCCAGAGGAGCAGAGCACCAAAACCTGGCTTGGCGAGCATGTCGAGCACACCGTAGAAGACAGCCTCGCCGTCGGAGGAGATGACGTTTCCACCCTCGGACAGACCCCAGGCGATGGGGTAGAAGGTCCAGAGCAACGCGGTCAGAGAGCCACAGTACAAGAATGCCTGTCCAGCTTCGCGACTGATGTTGTTGGCGTGCTTGCGGGCTTCCCAGACCAGGACGTAGAGGATGGGGAAGAGAGCGACGCAGCCGAAGACGTAGTATCCCCACTTGTAATCCGAAGCGACCAGGGCACCGATGAGACCGGTGATGATCATGACCTCGTCGACGAGTATGATCCAGAGGATCGACGGCAGAGGCATCGCGGCCGTAAGCATCAAGTCCAGCAGCAGCAGAGGGGTGGTGATGACCCAGTCGATGTATCGGGCATAGTAGATCTCACGGGTCGTGCCGCGGACGATGGGGTTGCTGCGCTGGAACTCGACGGTGATGGGCGTCCAGCCCAGGTGGGAGCCCATGGTGAAGTAGGCGATGGCTGCGACCATGGTGACACCCGAGGTGATGTAGTGGAAGACGCGGTCCTTTCGTGGACGCATGAAGGCGAGGCTGATGAAGGCGATGGTCGCGACAGTCATGACGGCGCAGACGGCGAAGTAGAAGTCGGAGCCATGGGTTGTGAGGGCGACTTGCGCGGTTGCTCCGTTGACAATGGCGCCTGTGTGCGTGTGTTAGAGACATATTTCTGGGCGTCGGCCTCTGGGTACGAGCAGACATACCGTTGACGGCGATTGCGTTGTTGCCCATCTTGGCAGACTGTTTCTTCTCTGCCCTCGGAATAGAAAAGGGTTGTCTGCCCTATACAGCTCACTCGCGAAGATCGGTGTAGCGGAATGCCTCTACTAGCAACAACAACAATGGGAGAAACTGAGCAACGCAGCACCACGGACGGGCTCCCACCTTTTTGATCTTGTGCCCGCCCGCTCGCCTGCGCGCACAGAGCCCACCCGCCCAAGCGGACGCAACTCTCGCCCTTCCTTGATGTGAATGCTGGCGCATGACGTCTGGGATCGCTCATCTCCAGATTGGCACTACTCGCTCGTGTGTGGTGTGTGGTGATGAATGGGAAGTCTGCTTGCTCGCCTTCGTGGAACCGTCGAAAGTTTGTGTCCCACCTCAGAGCAGTCGATGCCGCCCCTGCCGGCATGACAAAGGAGCCAATCTGCGACAGCCACGGTAAACTGCATGCGGGCAGCGGAGGGCAGCGTCGTCGTGAACCTTGCTTCGTCGGCGGCGGGCTTCATTTTACTTTGACAATTAGTCTTTGACATGTCGGTGGCACGGCATGTATTGAAAAGAGTGTGTGAGGCTCTGCTGGCCAGAACGGGTCTATCGCGGACACGGCCTGGAATGCTTGTTGAAGTTTTGTCTCCTCCGCTCTCGCCATGCGTGGCGCGAGACCCTCGAGCCTCTCATCACGGGGCAATCTCAGATTCTGGGGTGGTGTGTGTGTGGTGGTGTTGATGAGAGTCGATCGCCAAATGATACCTTGTTCTCGTGAGGTCAGACGATGGCCGTGCAGCCGTTAGCGCCTGGGGCGCCAAACTCTAATGAACAGGACTTGGTCCGATCCATGACCTCACCTTCTTCCAACCCTTCCAACCCCGTGCACCACTGAAGAAATCCGTCTCCCCGAGGACTCGATAGGCTTTTGGGCTTCTCGGTCCCGTCTTCACTACACTACCGCTTCTCCCGATCACGCGGCGGCGGCAGCGGTGGTATACTCCTCGGAGGACGAAGAAGTACACTGCTGCACGTACGTCCTGTGTGATGAGACGACAAAGCTTCGAGGCGCGGTGGAAATGACCGCGTCCGAAGGAAGACATGACATGCTCAGGTCAGGCCAGCGCATATTCGAAATCTTCGCCTCATCATCCTGGCCTATCTCTGCAATAATCAATTGCCTTTCTTCTCCACCGCCGTCGAGATGGATACTTTCTCCCTCTCTCTGATGATGAGTACGTACATACATGCAAGCGAGCGAGATGATGTAGATTTCTCCTCGGAACAAGGCCTCTTCTCGAGCTTCTTCTCTTGCCTAGATACCGCGTTATTAGCCCACAGAAGCAATTATTTTGAGACTTGCATTTCAAAAAGGAAGCATCGACTATGATATGATGAGAGATAAGCCAAGCCGGGCAGCGCCTCGCGAAGAGGAGGACGGACCGGCCCTCGCTCCGATTAATAATCTCCCGAGCCATGTCAACCAACCACTGATGATGCCCCTAAAAAATCCTACTAGCCCACGCGCGACTATCTACTGTACTCTCGAGAACGCCTTCGTGATAATAACAACGGGAAAGAAAAATACGATCATACCAATCCACAGCATCCGACCACCCTTCTTCTTCTGAACGTGTGTGGTGAGATGTCGTGACAACTCATCCGACAATTCCCACAGCTCCTTCCCGGTCAAGCCCGCAGGATGCCGACATCTCAATGCGCGGAAGATATCCGGATTTCGGAAGCGAATAACAAACCACCTCACAGACCTGGCAGTGACGGAGGTAGAGAAAACGGCAGCTAATGCATCATGCAGAACACCCAGGTCGCCAGGTCCCCAGCAGAGCAAGCAATGCTTACTGCAGCGACTTTTGACAGCTAGCATCCCAGCATCAGCAAAGCACAGAGGAAAGCATTCACTTAAGGTCTGTTTCAGAAGGAGGGGCTATAACATCTCGACCGCTCTTTTTGATATTGGTGGCGATCGATGCCCTCTCTGCTTGAGACGGAACAGGAGGGGGAAAAGAAAAAAGCAGGTATTCAACGCAGCATGTGCCGGATTGATCAACCAGCTCAATGCGGAGGACGTTGTATTTGCTGTCCGCGCAGCTATAATATGGCGAGCAGACCAGTTGTTCGGGATGTCTGCGAAAAGCAATCTTCCCAGCCTCTCATTAGCACCTAGATTCTCTTCCCGAATACGTACCACACAAACCACGCCCCAAGCAAAAAGCCGAGAAACCTCTTCGTCCACCACCCAAGCACAGGCTTCTCTTCTTGATCCAGCTTACTTCTGACTTCCATCCTCCACCCCTTCCTATCCCCAGCCTGTCGCCACGGCACAGGTATACCCATATCATCACAGACCTGCTCCGCAACCAGAGCCCCTCCCGCAAGCACAATAGGGACCCCAGTCCCCGGATGCGCACTCGCCCCGACCATGTACAGGCCCTTGACATCCCTCATATCGCCCCTCAGGACATCGATCACGACTTCGAGGATCCTGCCTAGTACACCGAGATGTCGAAGCGTGCTATCGTAAGCCCCCGGTCTCCTAGCCCGCGTAGAAGGGCGGAAGCAGAGGACGTTGAAGAAGGAATGCGAAAGACCCAGGATGGCGCCCTTGTCGAGGTTGAAGGTCTCCTTCCAAATCTTTGGATCATTCGTCCTCTCGTAGATGATATGCTTCGAGAGATCTGCGCCGGTTCGTGAAGCGATCGTCGACAGGATGGTTTTCCGAGCGAGAGACACCATCTTAGGCCAATCCTGTTCTTCGGTAGGCGGGAGCCCTCCCTTTGCCTTTGCATCCGGGGAGGTGAGATGTCCCACGGGCACTAGAACGACGACGCTATCAGCGCCCTCAGGAGCAGCGCTCGAGTCGATTCGAGAGGGAACATTGACGTAGAAGCTAGGTTCGTCCGGTATGAGATGTTTCTTGAAGATCGAGTCGAAACTCTCCCGGTATTCATCGGCGAGGAAGATGTTGTGTGCTGACAATTCGTGCACCTTCTTGTCCAGCGCCCAGTAGAAAGAGATACTGGAGCAGCTGCCCGGGCGATCGGTGAGGGAGGCAGCGTAGTCGGATTCGGGCAGGAGGTTGGAGTAAGCATAGACCAGATCCGAATTGTTCACCACCACATCCGCCTTCAAGACCTCTCCATTCTCCAATTCCACACCCACTGCCTTCGTGCTGTCCTCACTCAGCAATATCCTCTTGACCCCCGTATTCATCCGATATTCCACCCCCTCCCTCCTCCCAATCTTCTCAATAGCCTCCACAACCCGATGGAAGCCACCCACAGGATACCAAATCCCCTCTGCCAATTCCGTATACTGCAGCAAGGAATACGTCCCCGGAGCATCAAAAGGCGACATGCCCATGTACATACTCCCAAAAGTAAAGACTCTCCTCAACCTCTCCGTCCAGAAATACCGACTCGCTCGCGAGTAGATACTCTCAAAAGGATGCAAGTCCATCAAATGTCGCAAGAAGTCGACTCTCAGCATACTCAGTAGGGACGTGAAGTTCTTGAGCAAGACATGTTGCACGCTCAATTCGTAGTGTCGATGTGACTCTTCCAGAAACGCGAGGTACCGCTCGAATCCACCTTTTCCTTCCCACTTTTCGATTTGCTGCTTCATGACCGCAAGATCGCTTGAGAGTTCGAAGCGGCCTCCGTCTCCGAAGTGAATCTTGTAGTTCGGCTCGCATTTCTTCAAGTCTACTCCCTCGGCTTCTAGACTTGTTCCCAGCTCTTCAAACGCCCTCTTAAACAGTCCGGGCAGGAGTAACAGCGAGGGGCCCTGATCGAATCGGTATTTCTGATCCTCACTCCATAAGAGGGAGCATCGTCCGCCGGTGAAGGAGTTCTTCTCGAGTACCGTGACGTGGAATCCTGCTTTCGCGAGGCGCGCGGAAGTCGAGACACCGCCGACGCCGGCGCCGATGACTATGGCGGTAGGTCGCTTTTCTTTGGTAGCCATGACAATCTGGAGCGGAGGGCGTGGATTGTGGAGAGTGGCATGTTAAGAAGAAGTTGAAGGGAAGAGAGAGGTGGAGGTGTGGTGAATGACTGGGAGCCCGTCACAACCATTCACATGCAAGCGGATAGCATCGGGCCAGGGACCCGCACTGCCTCTTTCGGCTCCAAATGACGCTAGGACATTCAAATGGTCCGTGCCCAGACCTGCGGGTCACTTTATGCAAAGTATGGCGTGAGAAGTCAGAGGGCAGTTTTGATGTGTGAATGAGGGTAGACTGGGTTTTGTGTTAATCGCCGGTCCGCTTCAAGGGTATCTCAAAGTCGCTATGCTGCTAAACAAAATGCCATATGCCTCCTCGTACCCATGCCTTTCCATCAACATATTACAGCATCCCGGTTTCCTACTTATGCTTTGGCCCTCGGGCCCATCAATGCAGTCCAAGCAACAGCAATTCTCTTCCATTTCGGAACCGTAGCTCTTCCAGCCTTCACTTGGAACCCAGGCGTCCTCAACTCCCTTCCAATCTGCATGTAGCTCTCAACGGCAACTCGCATCGGTGCGCGCGCCGGCTTTGGCAGCTCCTCAACGGCCCCTATGCTTCCCTCGTAAAAGTCGAACGCCCTGTCCAGGAGGCGCGTGCGGATAGTTTCGACCTTCTTCAGAAAGAAGTCATCAGGCTCCTTTTCTGACGGTGACTCCAGTTTGACGAGCCCAGCAGTGAAAGATTCAGGGGTAAGCTTTTCCTTCTTGAGCCAGCCAGGTGGAACGTAGCAACGGTTGATTGCTGCGTCAACACCAAGATCGCGCGCAATGTTCGTGTATTGAAGAGCGATACCCATGTTATGTCCGGCTAGCATGAGTTTCTTTGCTTTGATCTCTGACGTCTCTGGATAGTGGTGGATCACAAGCTGAATGCAGAGGAGTGCGACGGTGCCGGCGACGCGAGCTCCATACTGATCGAGAACCTCCTCAGATTTTATCGGTCCCGTTGCGTTGCCCTTCTTCTCGGAGAAGATGAGGTCCATCTCAAAGCCCTTGAGTAATTCGTAAAGAGGCTCCTTATCCAGACGATGAGTTGGTAGCATTAGAAGGGCCAGTTGGGTTTCTGGAGGGAAATTGTGTACTGTGAATAAAGTGGCGGCGCCGCGATTCGCATCTTTTGCCCCAATGACAATTCCATCTTTGCTCTGTTGTGCCGCTCCGTACGAGAGATCCAGATACTGCTTCAGCTTCTGAACCCATTTCCGGGCTTCGGCGGGGGACTCGGCGTTATCGATGAGATCGTCCGCGACTCGACAGAAGGAGTAGAGGATGATGAGATCAATCCTCAGTCGGCCTTGAAAAGTGCTACTGGCGAGGAAGAAACTCCGCGACTTCTTCTCCAGACGCGAGACGGCTTGCTGGAGCCCCAAAATCCTGTCATCGTCGTACGTGCTGGCCGGAAGGAGAAGTGCTTGGACCAGCATCACAGGCGAAGGCAGACTCGGCACAATGCGGAAATGCGCTGGAAATGCATTGAGGATTGCGACTGCGTTGTCGAATGCAAGGAGGCCAAAGACAATCAGGCAGTTGGTCAAGAGGAAGAACAAAGCCTCTTCAATCTCCAAGCCAGGCCAGAGAGTCAACCCCGTCTTCGTCCCAGACTCAATCACCCAGGTTCCTCGCTTTAGCGCCAATGTGTCCACGACCCAAAGGTATAGAGTTGGCAGCGCAATCGGAAGTGCTGTGCATGCTATTGGGAGTCGGACAATAAACTGGTATGCCAGACTCCAGAGCAGCAACAGGAAGGGCAGTGCCCAGACTAGAATCAATCCGAGATAGGTGTTCTTGCTTTGGTCCTTCAGAAACCCAATGCCCTGTTTCAACGCCAATGCCATGACCAGCTGTCCGCCAAGCTTGATGTACTTCCATTTCTTGCCCTCTCTATCCTTTCCTTCTCTGAGCAGGTACGTCTCTTTCAGGACCGGCTTGCTCGCGATCAAGTACAGGAGAGTGGTGTTGAAGGTCTGAATGACGAAGAAGAAGACTTCCTCGAGTGGAATGTCAAACAGGGTTGGACCAATGATGACATTGGGAGGGTAAGACCAGACGTTGTGGCGGATGAGGTAGCTGTCCCATGGTATCGTTGAGACGACGGCGACGGTGATGAGGAAGGCGATCTTGTAGAGGTCGAGTCGAGTACACAGGGGGTAGTAGAGGGCGGAGAGAAAGATCGCCGGTGGGATAGTGTATTTTAGGTGCCTATAGATGATGCAGGTCAGCTCTTAAGCTCCTCTATCACATGTCAGAGAAGCGCGGCGCGTCCTACACGACTGCGTATTCGTAGCCCATGTTGCTGGAGTACGAGCGCGGCGATGCTGGCCTTGGAGTGTATCGTGGTGATGTTGTTTAAAGAATGACTTTTTGCGCTGCTGTGCAGAATATTACAAAAGCTCGGCGATTCTCATTGTTCTTCTCGAAGCCCACACATGCGGCTGCGGCTTTAGAAGGGTTAGGCTCTCTCGCGTGTGCCCGGCGTGGTGAATGAGATGGGTTGCTGGAGGGTGAAGAGAGCGAGCGACACAGCCACGGGCCTTTCACGCAGCAGCGGCGCGGGATTGCGGCGACGAACAGCGCGGTCTCACGGCATCCTTCAACGTGTGAGGAAGACGGCCGGCGTGGTCGGTTAGGGAATGCCAAGGAATCGTCCGGGTTCCGGGCCCGTCATGATCGGATGTCGGCTGTTGTTGGCCGGGCGCCGTCTCGCCGATCGAACCTGCCAGAAGTCGAGGCGGTTCCTACTGTATATCGCCTGAGGTAACGTGAGCTGGCTTGAGTTTGCTCCGCTCGAAATCAAGCTTTCGCCTCCCCTCGGCGTGACAGCATGTCGGCGTCATATTCTGTCTGGCAATCGAGCACTCCACCTGCTCGCCAATCTCCCATTCCGGCCCGCAATCATGTGCAACTATGCACGAGAGGTCGGATGTCCGGCCGCGGCCGCCAACGGAAGGTGCTTTCCACTCATCACTGTGATGCTGCGGTGGAGCGATGAAGTGAGGAAGCATGTGAAAGACCCACTAACCGCGGACACCAAAAGCAGCAAGCTTCCGCTGCTATCCTGAAACTCTCTCCAACAAGACGAGACGACACTGAGTTTGTATTGTGTACACAGTCCAACCTCCCTTCCTTACCTTCTGACTGTACCTCTTCATACACCCATTCAATGGTTGGGACTACTTGATTGAACGTTTGCAGAGCATGGCAGTAGCCGGCCAGAAACGCAAGCGGACGGCGAGCGAGAACATCCTACCCACGCCTCAAGCCCAACATCCCTATCTCAGTGGCAACTTTGCTCCCATCCAGCAGACACTCCCGCTCACGAAATGTCAGTACACTGGAAGGATACCGGAAGAGCTAGCAGACGGCGAGTACGTACGAAACGGCAGCAATCCCGTCTCGAATGAGGATTTGGGAAGGGATGCACATTGGTTTGATGGCGATGGCATGCTCTCTGGAGTGTCCTTCACCAAGAACAAGACGAATGGGGATATGACACCGGAGTTCGTGAACCAATTCGTGCTCACCGATCTCTACCTGAGTACGCTGTCGTCGCCCGAGCTGAAGGTGCCGATACTGCCATCGATAGCTACGTTGGTCAATCCATTGGCAAGCTTCATATGGACCACAATACGCATCTTGAGGACAATACTGCTGGTCATACTGTCCCACTTACCCGGCTCTAAACAATCAATCAAGAAGATTAGCGTGGCGAACACCAATGTCCTCTTCCACGATGGAAGAGCATTGGCGACTTGCGAGAGTGGGCCACCTATGAGGATACAGCTGCCAAGCTTGGAGACTGTTGGCTGGTACAACGGTGCCTCTGCCGAAGGCGAACCCAAGAAAGAGGATGCTGTAAAGGAGAAGGTCCTGGGCGAGGAGGGAGGTCTGCTAGGCTTTATGCGCGAGTGGTCGACGGCACATCCAAAGGTCGATCCGCGCACCAAGGAGATGCTAATGTACCATGCCTGCTTCGCACCGCCCTACGTCCAATACAGTGTGATTCCCCAGTCCACAGAATCGCCGGGAGACCCAACAGGAACTTCGCGGAGCAAGTTGCTCAACGTGGGAGTCCCAGGCGTCTCGGGCGCGAAGATGATGCATGACTTTGGCGTGTCCTCCTCGCACACGGTCATCATGGATCTGCCGCTGTCTTTAGACCCACTGAATCAATTGAAAGGCCAACCCACCGTCTCATACGACCCCACCAAGCCGTCACGTTTTGGCATCTTTCCACGCCGAGACCCTTCCAAGATGCAATGGTTCGAGACAGATGCCTGTTGCATCTTTCATACCGCCAACACTTGGGATGACGTGGATGTGCGCGGCTCAGCTACCGCGGTGAACATGTTAGCATGCCGACTGACCTCCGCCACCATGATCTTTGCTACGGGAAACATCGCACCCCCTGTGGAAACCAGGAAGAAAGCCGTCGCCACCGTGAAGAAGCGTATGCCTTTCTTCTCAAAGTACGACGACGACATTGACCAGACATACTACGAGCAAGAGCAATCAGTGTTTTCTGATTCGCCAACGGAGGAAAAGGAAGCGCTTCTTCACATCGCCTCAGCGAAGCCAGACGAGTATTTTGATGACTTGTTCAATGAGGAGCAATGTCGCCTGTACTACTACCACTTCGATTTGCCCAGTCAAAGCATCATGCATCAGTGGGCTCTGTCTGTGATCCCTCTGGAGTTTCCCTCAGTTAGGCCTGACGTGGAGATGCAAGAGGCGAGGTACATCTACGGCTGCAGCACAACCACAACCGACTTCGGCTCTGCACTGGGAAAGGCAACAAAGATTGATGCTCTTGCCAAGGTCGATGCAAAGACTCTGATAGCTCGTGGTTGTGCAAGTCCGCCTCGCAGTGTAACTGGGGTTGTTGACACCCGCAGTGTCTGCCAAATTCTCGACAGCACTGATCCAAACGACGCAATTCAAGTTTTCCGCATGCCGGACGGCTGGTATGCGCAAGAACCTCGATTCGTTGCCGCTAACAGCAATCGCTCGGAAGATGACGGATATCTCCTTTTCTATGCCTTTGACGAGTCGCAGTTGGATGACGGCGGCAACGTTCCACCGGACACTGATAGGAATACCCGCGCTAAGTCAGAACTCTGGGTAATCGACGCAAAGAACATGACGGATATTGTTGCACGCGTACACCTACCTCAAAGAGTCCCGTATGGTCTGCATGGCACATGGTTCTCAGCGGAGCAAATCCGGAACCAGCGGGCCATCGATTCAATCAGAAATACTGCCAAGGCGATGGAAGCCAAGGGTGATGGTTGGTGGATGAGGACGAGGGGTTGGATCGAAGGCGTATTGCGGTAATGCCTAATTTTTATATGATGTTGCACGTGCATATGGGACGGCGTGATGATAAATGGCACGGCAAGGTAAATGCGTCCGGGTTGGCGTATGATTCTGCGTGAGATACCACTTCGTCTCTACGAAGACGTAATTTGGGAATCGGAACCTGCACATATTTTGCAGATAGTCGATTTAGACAAGTACCATTTTAAAACCCTCTGAACGTGCTTCGTCGTTGCCTTGCTTCCGCAGGTGTTCTTCGCTCTACCCTAACCCCAGCTCGCATGTGAATACCTTGCCTCAGGCATTGAAGCCGTCACCCCTCCAACAGCCGAAGGCAACAGCGGGGTCAACAAAGCGAATCCAGCTTCGATATCACCTCCAGAATCGGTATCGTCAACCACCTCGCACGCACTCATGCGAACTCTACCAACATGTCGTCTTACGAAGCGCTCTCCGCCGAAATCGACCGCATAACCTCTTCTCCTTACCCAAGCCAACTCCGAACTCTCCACTCCATAATCCTCCAAAGCTCCGACGCGGACGTTTCCCAATGGGCTTCTTCCAAACCGTGCCTGATTGAACCTTTGGTAGGCTGTCTACTGGAGACACTACAGCAATGGAGCTATGTTCTCGATGTTATCGCTCGGTTTGCAGTGGTAGGGTCCGTAAGAGATGTGATTCTCAGAGGGGAAGCGAGTCTGTTGCATACGTGCGTTGTGAAGAGTATTGGAGATAATGAGAAAGAGGGAGGAAGATATAGGAGAGCCAGCATAGCGCTTTTGAGTACGCCGTTACCGGATACTGTGGCTTTGCCTGCAGAAGCACAGCAATTATTTGTACAGTTGGTTGAAGAAGCGGCTAAGAGACCTTGCGCGGGGACGATTGAGCCGGTTTACATGCTTCTGTCTGGAACTGGGAGTCTACTGCTTGGAGTTCTGTCGAGCGAGATTCTGATCAAGTTTGAGGAGCACATGCTGAGTATCTTGAAAAGTGGAGCTGGAGCACCGGATCGGTGTTTAAGCCTGTACTGCCTTAGCATCATGAACGTTGTCTGTTCATCTCTGGATCCGGAGTTCAGACTTACTGCGAGTTCGTACACCTCGCAAGAGTTCCTGACCAGCACTCCTACTTCTTCAAGGTGGAAAGCGGAGGCCATGCAGCAATTCTTTACTGGCTCCAAAGCGCAGAGGAGTATGCAGCTCATTGTACTTACGGCGCTCTGGGCCGCCGGTAAGAGCTGCACAGAGACCTCAAGCGAGAAGACTAAAGCACTGGTACTCGCCAACGAGGTCATCCTGGCTATTCCTATGGATTTGAGAAAGAATTGGTGTTCGGCGAATACGATCACGGTACGAAAGCTGCAGGAGAAGCTTTGTGCAGAAGGACAAGATGAGACGGTCAAGACACTGGCATTGCGATTTCTTGGAAAACTGTGCGAGTTGGACTCGATGCCACATCCTGTCTTGGAAAGCCTGGAGATGACCTTCTTGGAGCCGAAGAATGTGCAGATCGCTCATATGCTCTGTCCAAGAGTGGATGATAGTGAGCTCTTTTCTAGCGTTCTGGCGAGGGCACCAATCAGTTTGCTGCTTCAAAATGCAGTAGATTATGCTATTCGCGCTGAGTCAACAGAGCTTGCGTCCGGGCTTGCCGCCGTTACGAGAGGTATAAGAGACTCGCTGGCTATCATCGAGGAGCAGAAGATTACGGGTCATGAAATTCGAGCTACTCTGAATGAAGCTGTCTTCGTGCAGAGTCTACAGAAGCTTCGAGATATGGTACAGGAGCCGCAATCACGGCACGGAAACAATCAGCTGTCTGGTTGGTGCATGAAGGCGCTGCATCACATGCGGTCAAACTTGGCTCATCAGATCTCTGATCTGCTTCTCAGGGCTTGTCATAGCTCCTCGATGAGTTCCAGCTCGATGTCACTTTTGCTAAGTCTACACGCTTCTTCTGCCCGAGGTGATCTCGACTGCACACATGATCGGCCAGTCGGACGGGATCATCTTGACATCGAAGACCAGGATGAGAGTATGACAGATGTTGGGGACTGGAGGGAAGCTTTACACATGCACTTCAAAGCCCGAGCGCAAGTGGAGCAGGACGCCGTTACGCGTTTATTTGCCAAGGCATGCGCAAGTCTTGAATCACGATGCGAGAATGTCGAGAAGCCCCTGCGTGAAGAACAGGAGAAGCGTCAAGCTGTGGAAGAGCACAATGCTGATCTTACCCGTGCTTTCGCTGAGATGGAAGCGCGCAATGTTGATATGACTATACAAATTCGCGATCTTGAAGAACAGAAGGATCAGCATGTTCAAGACGCACAAGAGCGTCGCAATGAGAACGACGAGCTTGTTGAGCGAGTTTCGAGACTTGAGCAGAAGTTGCGAGAAGCACATGTGGAAGGAGAGCGGCAACTCTCGGAATTAAACAGGGCTAAGCAAATGACCGAGTTGGACACTGTGAGTGCTATTGCCAAGAAGCAAGAAGAGATCGATGACCTTCAGGATCAACTTGGGAAATCCAACCGGGAAGCTGCTGTTCAAGGACAAGAAATGTCCGCTTTGAAGAGCGATCTCCATAATGCTCAATCGCAATGCGAGCGCTTGGAGGAGAGTCTTAAGACTGCCAAGACCCGCATCACGGAACTGAACTCGACCATAAATAGCCTCGAAAATCACAACCGAGAGCTACGAAGCACGACGTCCAACCTCCGAAGCGAGCTTGACACCGTGAACTCCAACCTTGCGGCCAAATCTGAGGAAGCTTTCGGACTCCATCGACAACTCCAATCAGCACAGTCTGAGCACGAAGGCAATCGTCTCGCATGCGACCGCGAGACAATCGAAATTAGACACAGCTTTGAGGAAAGAATCGAAGAAGCAAACGAATTGGCTCGCCGACTTCAATCGTCCAAAGCCTCTCTAGAATCTCAAATCGAAACCTTGATCCAAGAACATCACGAAACCTGCACCCGCCTGAACAACGACATCTCCTCGCGCGGGAACAAGATTTCCGATCTCAGAAAACGCACCGAACGCCTACAGCTTAAATGCAAAGAGAAAGACCAACAAATTGCTGAAGCAGAAGTGATGAGAAGCAATCTCATGGCTGCCATGGGGTTGCCCAAATCTCACAAACTGCCGCACCGCTCTAGTGCTCAGACACAGGACGACCCGACGCCGCCGACCCCTACTTCTAGAGACGAGAATTGTGAGACTCAAGAGTACGACGCTTCCCTGATCTCTAATATCGCGGAAGACCAAACACAGGAGGAGGATGAGGGTCAAGAAGGAAGAGACGGCCCTACTCCCAAGCGACCACGTTCGCGCTGCTCCATCGTTCCCGCGGTCACTCGCAATGCGCGCGCAAGCACAGGTCGTAATCTGGGTACTGCATCTACTCACGCAACGCAAGCTTCGAGACGACAGACTTTGGGAGTTGTGAGCGGGAATCGCGGTGTGTCGAAGCCTGCGGCTTTCAAGACTCCGATGAGGAAGAAGGAGGAGATTCCTGCAGAAGGTGATGGGGATGAGTCTACGTTCGAGGGTAGTGAGTTGTTCACGGGTACGCAGGGGGCTAGGATGTTGGATTTGCAGGCTGCGTATGATGGAGAGACGATGATGGAGTAGCGGAAGGGTGGCGCTCGGTCGTTGGGTATGTTCGATGGTCAGGGCTACCAAAAGGTATCGGAGGCGATTCAATACCAATTTCCAGGCGTGAGAACTTCGATAAAGCCGCTTTATTTTGGAGTACTTGCTCTACCTCCGGTACAGTTTGGTGAGGATATCAAGTCTACCAATTCGAGGGCTGCGTCAGATTCTACGCTCCCAACCCGTCTTGAGCTGCAGCACTTTTCGAGAATTGCCCTCTCCGCTTGATATCTTCGTGTTAGCGTGCGGGCTCCAGAAATCTGCTCGTGAGTCTTTGTCGACCTACTTTGCTCGCTTGGAGTTGCCGTTGTCAGCACCTTGTGCCTCATTCTTGCGCTTCTTTGCACTCGACATGGTGTGAGGTTGTTGTCTCCGTCAAGAAGTTGTTGCAAGTTGCAATTTGCGAGAATTTAAGGGTAGAGAAAAGGCCCTCTGGTGGGGCTGCCATCAGGTGAACCTTATTTGGAAGTGGCGCTGACATGTGACTGCCGTGTGAAGCTTTAATCAAGGTTTTACGCTTCCAACGACGTAGCGCATCATATTTACGTGGCTTCACGAATTTGGGTGAGCGCATGTCGAGACCGCGCATTCGATGAAGCTGATTCAAGAAGTCAATTGCATTTGAGCAGTGTGTCCTGCTCCAAGTTTAACGCCTCCAACTCACACATCATGGCATTCACATGCGAGTCGCAACTAGAGTTTGGCACTAGCGGCCTACCCGCTTAAGCACAGACCATTGGCGAACAAAAATACTTCAAGGCGGCCAGATCTTCGTCAACCACGAAGCAACTTCGACATTCTCAAACTCAAACAGCAGCGGTCATCATGGCCAGTACGCAAAAGCGCGATGCTGTTCCTAGCAGTGCCTGCGACAAGTAAGTCTCTCGTCACACGCGCGCAGCAGAGCAAAGGCTAATGTGCGACAGGACCGACTACACGAAAACTCTGAGTGTGCTTGTTGGCCCAGAGGAGGTCTCCTTCATGGTCCATGAACACGTCATTTGCGCGAAATCCAAGTTCTTCGAGGTACGTTTGTTTCATGGCGCGCTCGGATACTGCGGCTGTACTGACAATGATCCTTGCAGGCGATCTCTCGGAATGATTGGAAAGAGCGACAAGATAGGGTCGTGAGACTCCCCGAGGTCCTTCCCTACTGTTTCGCTCTGTACATACACTGGCTCTATACTGGAACTATCGCATTCCACGAGCTGGGGTTTGAGCAGCCACTTGACGCAGAAAACAACGAGGAGGCCGAAGAGGAAGATGAAGCCATGGAAGATACCACTGATTCAGTCGATGGTCACGATGAGAAGAAGAGCGCAGAGGAGACGTCTACACAGCCGGATGACGAATCCTGGCACTACGACTACTGCGACTTGTTCTACGCATACACGGTAGGTGACTGGCTGCAAGATCGGACGCTCACCAACTACGCCATGACCGAGTGCATCAGAATGTTCGACAACTACGACGACGACATCAAAGTACCCAATTCGAAACAGATCAGTTGGGTCTGGCCTAAACTCTCGAAGCACTCTGTTCTGCGAAAGTGGCTCTTGGACTTCCATCCCACGTCCGTTTCACCCGAAGAATTCGCAGAGGAACTGTATGAGTATCCGTCAGAGTATGTGGCAGAAGCGGCCCTCAAGTTGGTGAAGGACATCGCGTATGAGTGCGCGCAAGGTCCTACGCGTGCCGACGCGTGCGACTACCATGAACACAGCGATGGCTCGGACTGCCCGTACGCTAAGCAGCCGCAAGGAGACACTGGGGCAGATGACCTGCAAAAGGGAGACGATTAGAATGATTGAAACAAGGATGGGCACGACAGCTCAGAAGTACCTGAAGACGATGAGAAAGCGTCTCGAGGCTACCGCTGAGAGTAGAGACAACCAAGGTCGGGCGCAGAAACAAACTCATCACGGTCTGGAGGGGAAGATTGGATCGCGGAAACAATGAAGAGGTGCTTGTCCGCGACTATGAGTCGGTCCCTTCGGCGAAATCATGAACCATCCCCGGGATGGAATATTGTAAGGGAGAGAAACCAATCCAAAAGCGTGACCAAGTATGCAGATTCCCTGATTTCATTCTCATCAGCTACACGACCCTGCCCTTCCTTCCCGTCCATCCAAGGCGCAAAGTCTCCCAATGGGTATCATTCGTCAAGTCGTTACACATCAGAAGCAATAGTGATAGTCAACAAAGAAGATAAACATCATTTTCCACGAGAATTACCGCCCACCACAACCGCACATCATCATTCTCCAGAACCCACCCTTCCTCTCCGCTCTTCTCGAGCCGTAGCTCGATCTCGAAGCAGTCGAGGAACCCGTCTTGCGCCACGTCCCGAATCTGCGACGTAGAGGCACTTCTTCGTCGTCATCGTCTTCGAAGAAGCAAGCGGGATACTGCCCTGCCGCGGAGACGGTGCCACTGTCTCGGCGCAGCAAGCTGCCGAAAGAAGTTCTCGGGTCGGGCGTGGGTGCCATGACGGGAGACGTGATGGTGTCGTCGGACCAGCGGGATTTGAGGATCTCCGGCGAGGTGCAAGAGTGTTGCGTTGTAGAGGTTGACGTGGTACGGCGGGAGTTGTTGGAGGAAGCCGTGGAAATCATCCTGCTTGACGGTGGAGTGCGTCTATGTTGTTGCCTTGCCCCGGCGATGAGACTATCGTTGCGACTGTGGACGGAGCTGTTGAGGCTTTCTTTTCGCGGTCTATAGATGCTGTCGCTGGGCGGAGTGATGTCTCGCAGAGGCAACGGCGCGATGTGGGTTATGGCTGGCTGTCTGGAGGGTATCAGTACAGTAGGGTTACGCGTGAGAGGTGTGTGCGTGTTGAACGTACCTTGGAGGCGGTGTCACTTGCTTAATGACTGGGAACAGACGATAGCTATTGTTCGTGCTTGGAGCAGGCCTGTCAGGCGGTGATATTGAGATGAGCATCTGCTCTTCCTTTCTCTCAGCGCCTGCAGTGGCATGCTTCGTTGCCGGAGTAGGAGCCGTAGATGGTGTTGGCGTTGCCGGAAGACCAAAGTCGAACTTCTCGATGGCTGGATCTAACTTGGGCGTTGGGGGTAATTCAGGACTGTGTAGCGATGGAGTCCGATCTCGCATGTAGAAGTCGATTATGCCAAGCGAGATTTCAGACTGCCGAGTGCTGTATTGAGAAGTTGTACTCGGTGACTGCTTTCGCCGATTGCGCTGCGCGGGAGAGTCGCGACATGGCCAGTCTCCTGAAGGGTCGGCGTCTACCACTTCCGGATCGCGAGGAGCGTCGCATTGCGATTCAGAGCTTTCTTTGCGTGATGGCGGAGGCGCTTCCAGTTCAGGTGGAGAATACCTCAGTTGCGTGCTTGCTGGAATATTCAGAGGTTTCGGTCGTAGTGCGGTGCGCTCTCTGGTTTTGGGTATCAGGACGCGTTCATGTCTCGGCTCGAGAGTAGCTCTGGTATATGTTGTCGATGTTGTCGCAGGATTCCAATCCTCGTGAGTCAATTTTCTCGTAGCCATTGGGATGCGGTATCCTCACGCATATACCGAACAAAACCGACATGAACCGACTTACCACGAGCACAGCAGCGTGCCGATCAGACACGTCTCCCGCGACATTCTTGTAGCGATACATTTCACCTTGGGAGGGCGGCCCGCGCCAGTGGTGGACGTGAGGAGCGGAATGCAGAGGCCCCTCGATCTGTCAACACGCCAGGTCGGTGCCAGGTGCGTGGGAAGCGTCTTCACACTTGCCGATCGAGGCGAAAAGGAGGAGTCTGGTTCAACGGCGTTCCAGCAGATTCGTGGGGATGGCTCATGCAAGGGGCGAATTTCCAGCATTGCTCGACCTCGAAGACATGAAGAAGATGTAAACAAGGCTGTCATGATGCTGCTGCTGCTGAAAGTAGACATCAATAGTATCTCTTCTCGGGAGTCTTCATATGTGATGTTGTCGAGGCTGTCGTGACCTGGAAGTCGTTTGTCGTCTTCCGCACCAAAAGAATCCTCTTACGCAAGGCAAGTGGCCAAGGGAGGAGGGCCGCATTATTGTTCGCAGGAGGAGCTTCGCATGTCTCGCCTGGCTTCAGTCGGTGTTCCACGTCCGCCAGGGCCATCACAGTGTGCTCTGGATAGAGCGTCACCGTTACATCCAACGCTGGCGTGAAAGGAGGCCAACATCACACGTGCCAAGACATTTAGGCCGATGTCCCTCAAGCACATGCGATTTAATGCTACGTGGTCCAATCAGCTTTCCTCTTGTCCTTCGCGGCTCTGCTGGTCCGTACCTTAGCTTGAGACGGTCGTCTTCATGCCTGAGGCATCAGCGCCAAGACATCCCACGCCCATCCATAACATCCAAGGTTTCAGCGTGGCCGGCAAAGCCATGCGAAACCCCGTTTCTTATCGTAAACAACAGCGAGCAAGAGAAACCAACAGCCAAAACCGCCAGCATGCCGTGCCGTGGGATTGTTGATGAAGGTGTGCAGCCGTTGAGGAAGTCGTTCGGATTGATTGTACGCCGTTAAGGCTCGGTGACGTCTGGCTCTCCCGTGCACGTCGGTTCCCCAATAATGTCCAGGAAAACGCTATTGAACTGAACTGGATTGTATGCGTCACCCGTTCGCACACGCTCCGAGAATCAGTCTTCGCATAAGAACAGCCATCCTCGCGCTTCTCGGGCTGGACGGTGCCCTGCTCCTGGGTTCTCCCTAAAGTTTGCGTGGGCCGGTTTTGTACGTCGTTACCGCCATTCCCTCCAACTTGGATCTATTCTTCTTTCCATCATGCACGACAAGCCCGCAGTACCCGCGCCTGTCAGTGACGAGCCATTCGAAGTCTGGGTCGTCAACAGCCTATATACGAACAGTCTGTAGACGTTCGTCGATCGTGCAGCGACAACACCACCTCCAGCCCGCCACCGGTCAACGAGTCCTCCGCCGGAGTCGTCCGCCATGCGTCTGTGTACGCTCCGCGAGCTTGACAAGGCCGAAGGCACTGTCCAACTTCACTCCGAATCCGGAGATGGCCACCTCATCCTCCATCCGAGACCGAACACGAACGATCCCAACGATCCACTCCGCTGGTCTAGATGGAGAAAATACACCTGCTTCTTTAGCGTGTGCTTCTTCGCCTTCATGACCAACTATGCTATCGGTGGCCTCGCCCCAGCCTTCTATCCACTCAGTCTGCAGTTCCATAAATCCACGACCCAGACGAGCGATCTACTCCTCTGGCCTATCCTGGCACTCGGCGTCTTCAACTTCTTCTGGGTCCCGCTCGCAAACTACATTGGCAAGAGGCCAGTCTTTGTATTCTCAACCTTTGTCCTTGCCGCTGCATATCTGTGGGGAGCACTCGCAGGCTCTTTCCAAAGTTTGCTCTGGAGTAACATTCTCGCCGCATTCGCCGGGTCGGCGAGCGAAGCCCTCGCCGCGTCCATTGTCAACGATGTATTCTTCCTTCACGAGCGCGCGAACCTGATGAGCTGGTATGTGAACGCGAGTGCTGGAGGCAATACCATCGGTCCGTTGATTTGTGGATTCGTCATCACCCATTCGCGCTGGCGAGTACACAAATGGCATGCGTTCGCTCTGGTGGCGTTCAATTTTCTGCTGGTCCTCTTCTTCGTGCCAGAGACTCGCTATGATCGTTCTTTTAACGAAGAAGACATGGCTTCAGACACCACCATCTCTCAGCGCAACTCGTCGGAGCCGAGCGCAGGAGAGGTCAAGGAAGCTCCAGAGGCAGCAGAGACGCAGGATGGAGTAAACTTTGTCGCTACCGATCCACAAAAGCAACAGCCATTGCCCGTAATCAACGCAAATGACCCTGCTCATTGCCACCACAGCACGGAGCAGATACCGAAGAGGACCTTTCTACAGGACCTCAGCATCTGGCCTGGCCTTGCTAAAGATATCAACCCGCTGCTCCTCTTTCTGCGCCCCCTGCCATTCATCTGCTACCCAGCCGTCATCCTAGCTTTCCTCGGCTTCGCCGTCTCCCTAGCCTGGGTCGTCTGTATCAACATCTTGAACAGTTTCGTTCTGCAAGCACCACCGTACAACTTTAGCCCGGACATCAACGGACTCATCAACATTCCCGGACTGATCGGTAACCTCATCGGAGCCTGGATTGGGGGCTGGTGCTTAGACAGGTATAGTAACTGGCAGAGCAAACGCCACGCAGGAACATTCCAACCGGAAACCCGTCTGCACCTCCTCATCATCCCCGCTCTCGTCGTTCCAGCCGGCTGTCTTGTCTGGGGCTACGGCGTCGCCAATACCCTCCATTGGACGGCGCTCTTCTTCGCCTACGGTATGGTTTCCGTCGGTCTCACGGCGGTCCCTACTATGACCATGACCTACGTCTCGGATTCCTATCTCCCCATCAACGCAGACTGTCTGACGCTCGTGGTCGGGTTGAAAAACGTAGTCGCTTTTGGAATTTTGTATGGCGTTGTGCCTTGGGTTCATGAGGCTGGGAATGTGAATGTGTTTGGAACGCAGGCGGGTGTCTATGTCGCGATCATGGCGTTGGCTGTTCCGCTTGTTATCTGGGGTGGGAGAGTGCGGCATTGGAGTGCTGGGTGGAGGATTATCTTGTGAATGCCTCAGATAAACGATGAGAGGGGTATCAACTTTATGATAACGATGAGTGAGGCTTCAGGCTTCATTCTTTGCCGCGTGTGTTATCGTGTCAATACAGCTTTGACGGTTCTAACGGACTGCCGCTTGGCGTGAAGTGTGGGTGCAGGTTGCCCGGGTGATTGGAAAGTCAGTCTGCGCACGGACGGCAGGTTCACGTGCCATCACGTATACCGAACGGTCGATACTTCAATCAATCGTCGAGGATGCAGCGCCCATGGCGGGTTCGGCGCTTCTTAAGGTGATATGATGCCCGATAGGTATGCTAGTCGTGCTGCTAGTAGATCTGTAGCATGCAAGTTGTCGTGGTTTTGGGTAGATGTAGAGATAGATGCGTGGTTGAAGGCATATTTGGAGACGCCTGCCTGAACATGGCATTTGAAGAATAGGATTGATAGTACATATCTCGGTAGATTGAAGGTGCGCTCCATATTCCGCGAACATGCGAGTAGCCGAAAGATGCTAACCCTCATCAACATTCGTCGGCATGCTGTCCAGCTTCAGTAGCGGCCGAAACTTTGCGGCTTCGGCGCGAGTATTCGTCCATTGTTGTTCGGGAGAAAAGTCGACAATATCCCTGTCCACAATATGGTCAGCATTGATAACCCTTCGACTATTGAACCGTGGGCTGCTCTACTTCAGGGCAATAGTATTGTCCTGATTCAGGCGAAAGATCGATAATAGCGCAGTCAACAATACCACCGCCCTTATTGTAAACCCGTGTTGCCTTGTTCGGGACTCTCGTCTTATTGTTATCCAATTGTTAGTCAGGCCAGAACGTCCACAATAGCGCCGTCAACAATACTCTCAGTATTGATGGCGATTGTGCTATTGAATGCGGCATTCTATTGTCAAGGTCCCGAGTCCGAGCCAGTCCAGGTTGCTGAAGCAATATAAGAAGAGACATCCGTCCAGGTTGAGCAGCAGTGAATTGAAACCCCCAGCTGATCTCCTTGTCAACCACGTTGCTATCAATTCCGCGCTTGAGACTTGTTTGCTGGCTTGGCGCTCCTCGACGCCCATTCCCATTGAACAAAGCCGCCCACGCACCACCGACACCAAACAATTTCTTCCTTTTGGACGACAATCCCTATTGTTCCTGCGACAATACCTGTCAACTTGGTCACCTCTTCGAATTTCCTGTCGGTAACTCGAGGAGCATCTACTCTTGCATCGACACAACTCGGGACATTATCGACTTGCCAGCTCCATCTTTTGAACGCGCCCCAAACTCTTCACGAGACCTCCCAACAACGACGTGACGGGCTCCAACAGCATTCAGACTTGCAGCAGAACCGTTTCGACAGCACCGATCTGCGAGCTTCATCTCTTGAACGCATTTCCAACTCTTGACGAGATCTCTCAGCAACGCCGCGACGGAGCCCAAGGCCACTCAGACTTACACCATCGCCACTCGAACAGCACCAAGTTGCCAGCTTCCTCCTCTGAACGCACCCACAAGCTCTCCACGAGATCTCCCATCAACAGCGTGACGGATCTCAAGGTCATCCAGACCTGCCCCGATACCACTTGAACATCACCGACTTGCAAGCTTCATTATTCGAACGCATGCCCAATTCTCCGAGAGATCCTTCCAGAGACAGCGCATCCGAACACCAAGACCATCAAGCATACTCCAACAAGCACTCCGCAGAAACGTCACAGTCCATCGTGTCTCCCACCACTCCAAAGAAGACCACTGCCGTCTCTGACGCCGACTCCTCTCCTCTCTCGTCGCCGCCATCTATCCTCGAGGAACCCAAAGCCATCTCATCCTCTCCACCAGCCGCCCGAACCAGCTCGAGCGATACATCCCATCGCATCTCCGCCGCCTCGATCAACACCGCCCTCGAAGAAGTCGGCTACCAGCCTCCTCCCACCGCCGCCGCCCCAGCAGAGACTTTCTGCATTTGCCTCGCCCCAGCAGACGTGGAAATCGACCAAGAAGAACTCACCCGCTGTAGCAACCGCCACTGCGGCCCGGGCTGGTTCCATCTCAAATGCGTGAAGCTGCCCGACCACCCGCCCATCACGTTCCGCTGGTACTGCGCCCAATGCATCAAGAAAGGCAGGATCTCGGGCGCGGTGAGCGGGTTGGTGGATCATAGACATCCACAAAGCGGGCTTTGCAGAGAGTGGGTGAAGAAGGAGCGCCTCCGTGAGGCGGATGAGAAGAAGATGGCAAAGGCTCTCGAGAAATTGGAGTCGCGCCGTGCCAAGGGAGAGGGCGATGAAGCCGTGGAAAACGGCGATGAAACGGGGAAGAAGCGCAAGAGGGGGCCCGAGAGGCATAGGGCGGTGAAGAAGAAGAAGGGGGTTGAGAAGAAGAGAGAGGCGGCTCCACGAGCCATGAGGACGACAAGGGGCAAGAAGGCCCTATGAGGCACTGTGGTTTCGAGAAGATAGACAAGAATACGAGACGCTTCACTGACATGACTGTCCTGGTTTCTATTTCTCCCCCTGTCACTGACCAAATAGCTCATCGAATGTGGGTATCGAGATTCCGCCGTTTTTACCGTCAATCCATTGCATGAGTGAAGGTAGTTCAAGCTGCTCCGAGTTGGTTTGATCAGGTAATAGATTCGACAACGAAGGCAGCGAGGCATTGTTGTTTGTCGGAAGAGAATGCGGAAAGCCGGGCGCGGGCGTCGGTAGGCTAGATATGGGTTTCGGCAGCTTCAGTGTCATCAAGGGATCGATACCACTGTTCTTTGACGGCTCATGCGCAGCCGCAGTCCGAGCATTATCTGCGCCAGCCCAATCCAAAATGCCTCTGTCGAGCGTGATGGACTCTGGCTCAGCGTCATCATCAGCGCCGTAGAGGTTACCCAGGAAGACATCGTCGAGCGAGAACAGAGATGGCTTCCTTGCGCCAGATGTCTTTGCCTGGGAATCATCTTCTTTGTTCGCGTTGCTTGACATGACGGTGGTGCTTTGTGGAGTAGGCACAGCTGCTGCAGATTTCGCTGCATTCTGGCTTGCACCACCATCTGAACCCGTTTCCGCATCTGACAGCCCTTCCGTGGATCGTTTAGAGCCGGCAGCCACTTTCCCCTTGCGCGGGACCAGCCCCGCTTTGGCATACTCTTCGGGAAACTTGATACGAAGACGATCTCTCAAGTCGGTGGCGGTTCGAGTCGAGAGGCCAAGCTCCTCGTCTTGCTGGATGGAGGCCCAGGATGCGCCATGCTTTCTGAAGCCTACCAGTAGAGCATCATCCTCAGCTTTCGTGTAGCCATGTCGCGAGCGTCTGGTGGTCTTCGCAAACGGCTCGCTGAAGCCCATTTCCTTCAGCTTGCCGGGCAACAGCCGCTCGGCAGGAGGACCCTTTGAAGGCTTCGTCCTGGAAGGAAGTCGATTCTCTGCATCGCTATCATCATCTTGAGAGTTCTTGTTGGCTTTGGAGCGCTTGGCAGACTTGTAGTGATCTGGACAGACAACACGAAACCTGTCCTTCAGGTCCAGAGCAGTGCGATTGGAAAATTCGTAATCAGAGCAGTTGAGGATTTTGGTCCAGCTACCGACTCCAAACCGGGAGCAGCCCTTCAGAAGATATTCAGTCTCCTCATCGCTCCATTTGTTCCGCCCCGTGCGCTTCTGTCGGGTCTTGGCAGACTCCCCAGTCGCTGTAGCTGTAGCTGTGGCTGTAGCTGAGCTGGAAGTCTCGGCACTTGCTGCCTGAGGCACAGGAGCAGCTGGCTTGGCACGAGCTCGGGCGTCAGGCTCTGTTGCAGCAGGCTCAACATTCCTTCTTGGTGGTGTGTGGGGCTTCTCAACATTGATGGATGGGAGGATACCGGCATCTGGCGGTGGTTGATGAAGGCCCGAGAGCGTTGGCGGGAGTCGCTGCCGTTTGACCGCATTCTTCACCGGGAGCTTGGGCAGGTCCAGTTCAATCGGACTATCACTTGGCTTTGATCTCTTGGTCGGTCTCTCGGCAGACGGCTCGTGGAACAGGTTGAAGAAGTCTTGAGTCGATGCCTTCTCCAGTCGTGCCTTGTCTAGACGTGGCGTCCTGTTCAAGGGGTGCTTTTGCGATCCGCTATGAGAGTCCGGCTCGATGGGATTCGGGAGGTTGATGAAGTCCAGAGACGTCGGTCTGTGAGCCGCTGAGCCGAAAGCATCTCGCTCCGGCGGCATAATGGCGATGGAGTTGAATGGCGATATATCTCACATGTGTATGCCGCTCTCCTACAAAGGTCCTTGACCTCACGTTTGGAGACCGTGGATTTGCCGGAGGGAGCGATACCCTACCCGGGGCGAGCTAGTCCGCATTACGTTAGGATACCCGTGTCCGCCCGTCTCCCTTAATCTCGGGCTATGACCAAGTCTGTTCCCCTCTTGTCCATCTCTACATGTATCTTTCACACCCCCGCCGACTTCCCGATCAACACCAGTTCAAGCGAAAGAAATCGAAAGATGCATCGACCGGCTGGATATCGCAACGCCCAGCCTCCTTGTGACAATACGGTGAGCGCCTGCGCCATGTCACTTGCCCGCAGTGGGGCGTACCCACTGCAAATAGCCTGAATGCATGCAGCGTGCCTGTATGGCCAGGAACAGCAGGGCAATCCATATATTCCAGCGCCAGACGGAACAGTCTCATCCGCCATGCGTGGATTGCCGTCGTATAGTACATCCTCATCATGCTGAATCTAATTCTGCCTCTCCTCCTCCTCCTCCTCCTCCTCGGCCTCACCGTCGCCGAGGATGGCCTCCAAGCCTGGCTTCGCTACGCGCCTCTACCAACTGGCCATGATCTTCCCGCTCTTCCTTCGCGAATTGTCACGCTCAATGGCAGCACTTCCAGTCCCGTCTTCACCGCTGGCAGAGAGCTTCAGAAAGGTCTCCTAGGAATCTTCTCTAAGCACGTTGCCATTGGCGAAGCTAGTCGGGAGAATACCTCCGCTGTTGTGGTCGGCACTGTGGACCAGTATAGCTCCATCTACAACAGCACTGCCGAGGATAGCCATCCCCTTGAAGATGGCTTCTCGCTGAGAGTGCAAGGCGACACTGTTCGGATTCTTGGCCAGAACGAGAGAGGTGCACTGTACGGAGCGTTTGAATATCTTTCGATGCTTGCGCAGGGCAACTTCTCAAACGTCAATTACACCTCGAATCCAGCAGCGCCAATCAGATGGACGAATGAATGGGACAATATGGATGGTAGTATTGAAAGGGGCTTCGCCGGAGCATCCATTTTCTTCAGCAACGGCAGCATTGTGGCCAACTTGACTCGCGCGGCTGAGTACGCCCGACTTCTCGCTTCGATTCGTGTCAATGCGGTGGTCGTTAACAACGTCAACGCGAACTATACGACACTCTTGTCGGATAACATCGATGGACTGGGCAGGATTGCGGATGTCTTCCGGCCGTACGGTGTACAATTGGGATTGAGCCTGTACTTCGCCTCGCCAGCCAATCTCACTAATATCGCAACTTTTGATCCTCTGAATCAACAAGTCGTCGATTTCTGGCATAACAAGACAGCCGAAATATACGAGCGCATTCCAGACATGGCTGGATACCTTGTCAAAGCAAACAGTGAGGGCCAGCCCGGTCCCATCACCTACAATCGCACGCTTGCGGAAGGTGCAAATTTGTTTGCTAAGGCGTTACAGCCATACGGTGGCGTCCTCATGTTCCGCGCTTTTGTATACGATCAGCTGAACGAGTCCAACTGGTACGCGGATCGAGCCAAAGCGGCCGTTGACTACTTCAAGCCTCTGGATGGTGACTTTGATGAGAATGTGGTCGTCCAGATCAAATATGGACCCATTGACTTCCAAGTCCGAGAGCCAGCATCGCCGCTATTTGCAAACTTGCGCAACACAAGCACGGCAATAGAGCTGGAAGTGGCTCAAGAATATCTGGGACAGCAGTGTCACCTCGTATATCTTCCACCGCTTTGGAAGACTGTTACAGACTTCGACTTACGTATTGACAACTTCAGCTCAGTCGTACGCGACGTCATGACTGGAAAGCATTTCAAACGGCCCCTTGGTGGCTCCGCCGCAGTGGTGAATGTCGGCCAGAACAGCACCTGGCTGGGCAGTCACCTCGCCATGTCAAATCTGTATGCCTACGGGCGCTTGGCGTGGACCTGGAATCTTGAGCCCGAAGACATCCTCCGCGATTGGATACGTCTCACCTTTGGTCACAACCAAAAGGTACTCGATACCATCGCCGACATGAGTATGGCTTCTTGGCCTGCGTATGAGAGCTACAGCGGCAATTTAGGAATCCAGACGCTCACGGACATCCTATATACGCATTTCGGGCCAAATCCGCAAAGTCAAGACAATAACGGCTATGGACAATGGACTCGCGCTGACGCCAACACAATCGGAATGGATCGTACTGTCTCAAATGGTACGGGCTACGCAAGCCAGTACCCGGCCGAGGTGGCCAGCATGTACGAAGACATTGCCACCACCCCCGATAATCTACTCTTGTGGTTTCATCACGTCAATTACACGCACCGCCTACACTCCGGCCAAACGGTCATTCAACACTTCTACGATGCACACTACAACGGCGCGCGAATAGCGAACGGCTTCGTATCGCAGTGGGAATCCTTGCTAGGTCTCATCGATGATCAGAGGTTTGATGATGTCCTGTTCAGACAGATCTACCAAGCAGGCCATTCCCTAGTCTGGAGAGATGCGATCGTGAACTTCTACCACAATCGCTCTAGCATTTCCGACGAGGCGGGTCGAGTCGGATTCCATCCCTATCGCATTGAAGCTGAATCCATGAACTTGACGAATTACAAGATCTACGACGTCTCTCCCTTTGAAACAGCTTCGGGATCTAAAGCTATTGTGACTACCTCTAATAGCACTACCGGCATCGCCACCACTGTACTTCCTTTCGACTCGGGGATCTATGATGTTGCAGTCAACTACTATGACACGTATGGTGGAAACAGCAGCTATTCTCTCAGCATCTCGAATCGTACGATCGGGACTTGGACTGCTGACATTGTCGATACGGGAAAGCTTGGGCATACGCCTTCTATTTATCTGGATGGGCATTCTGCTACTAGGATTACGTTTCGGGATGTGCAGGTTCAAAAGGGGGATGTTTTGAGGTTGGAAGGGAGGCCGAGTGGCATTGAGCCTGCGCCTGTGGATTATGTTGCTGTTTTGCCGAAAGGGGTTGTGGACTAGGTGGATTTCTGATGGGGAAAGCTCGCTACTTTATCGCATGGAAATTATCGCTTTTCCTAGAAGTGGAATCGCTGAGACCGATTTCCACAAGCTTGCATGACTTCCACATCTGCAAAGCTTGTCACCACTCTGTCTCAACATGGTCAGGACTTCTGCTGGATTTGTTGCCTTGAACTTGACTTCGCATCTGCTCGCCCCTTTTCGACTCGATCAAGTGCTGAACTTTTGAATATACGGCATACGAATGCGGATCGTATTTTGGACGACTATCGATGTCGATTGATCAAGTCAGAACTCCTTTTCCTTCGTGATATCCCATTGATCAGTCTCCAGCTCTTGCAAACTCGCCGTCCTGACTTTGCCTTGGCTCAGAGAAGCGGATAACGTCCTGGTAGCATGTCAGCTATGAGTCTCCTCCACCGTACTCTAATTCTTCAGAGTAGCTCTGACCTGGACAGTAGGCCATCGTTACAATCAGAAGCGCTTTAGTGGCCCTTCTGCATTCAAAGACTGTCGGATCTCCGGCACAGCTTCGACGATAATGGCAGTGAGCAATTCGTCCCACCCAGATGCTTACCCCCCTTTAGCCTGTGTGCGGCTTGATAGATTGCTTCCGATGCCTGGAGCGATACTGAAGTCGCGTATGTCGGTTCAGGCTCTCCGGCAACTGAAGTAAAACAGTCTGGTCCGAAAGTGTTTCCGCAATCCTCGAAGTCGTCTGAACAAACACAGCAGCCTCCTGAGCAGATCGCAGAAGATACAGGTGGAGTGTAGCGCGTTCCAAGGGTGGTCCTGATGTGAGATTCCGTGGGCAGGAGAGTTGTTCGAGCAGAAGCCAGAGCCGGCCGCGAGAGTCAGAGAGGCAGTGATGATGTTATTTCGGACTTTTGTGGAAGAATATTTTGTTGTTTTGTTGGTCCAAGATGTGATCAGGATGAAGTCGATAGTGATTGTTCCTGCAGACTGTTCCTCAGCAGCGAATGTCCTGTTCATATAAGTAGTCCCAGGTACGTGCCATTGACGAAGCACTGCCGCTGTGGTATCTCGTTTCTGGAAAATCGCCGTCATAAAAGCTTTTCTGAGAACGACGCACCTTGGCCAGCGTCTTGCTACCACCTCGGTACCAAGACCGTCCGTATGCTAGAGAGAATGGTCGTGGGGCTGTGAAGACGTCCTGCGCTGTACAGGCTAGTTGGGCTCAATCCCGAGCCTTTGCTTCGTCGATGCTATAATGGGCCGCTTTTCATCAGAAAATCAACACTGATCTATTGCGAATCCGCTTGGGGGAGTGTTTAGAAATTCGCAAAAATACAGCTCGCCGAGGGCTGTGCTTGAGCTTGGTGACCTTTTCGCAATTAGCGCGGCCGCTCAATGCAACATTATACAGAATGACTGTCTGTCGCATGCTCGGGACGATTCGACGAGGATTGGACGTATTGGTGACCGAAGCGGGAAGAGGTGAAGTCGCCCCAGGCGTCGGGAGTACCCTCCCGCGCACGCCTTGGCCTTGTGAATATCGTAAGCAATCTGTGATTGCGTGCCCGCTCTACGACCGTACGCAAACTATGATTCGATTGGCAGATGTTGAAATATGCTATCCCGCTGTCCCGTCATGCCGTCTATACTCCCGTGCAGATGCAAATGCCGTCATGAAGTCGTTCCTCCTTACCCCGTTATGCCTAGATGTGGCCTCAATGCATGCCATTCGACGTCATCTCCTTTCTCTCGTCAACACGGACTACAATGGCAGTAAGCGAAGTCGCGTTGCCATAGTATCTTGTTGCTACAACCGGCGTAACCACATCGAGCACTCTCTTGTCATCCACCTCGAAGCGGGGATAGAGTACAGTTCTCAAAGAATCGGTACTCCTGACCAGGATCAAAGCACCCGGCTTCATGCATTGTGCAACTTTTAGCAACAACTCAGTCTTCTCTTCTGCGCTGTTGCCGATCAATGCTGCGATGTGAACGACATCGAATTGAGTCATTTTCTTCAGCAGAGCGACGTCTTCCTGGAGGAAATTCACGTTCGAAAACTTGCACGTTCGAACGATTTCGGAGCCCAGATGGATAGCTTCAGGATCGCGGTCGATGTTTAGGAATTGGACGGAGTCTGGGTATCGCTCTCGGAAGCAGAGAGCTGTGAATGGCGTAGGTCCAGAGCCAAGGCAGGCCATCCGCTTGACGGGAGGGAGGCCCAGCTCACCAAGAGCTGTGTCGATGGTGTTGCTTTCCATACGAGCTAGTTGGCGATATTGATCCAGGTATGGAAAGGAATTGTACCTCTGCAAGCCTGCACTGCATGTTAGTTTCAGAGGAAGCTCACCAGTCTTCCATTCAGCAGGAGTGGGCGGACTGACATGTTTCAGGCGAGTTCTTGCAAACGATTGACTGAGCAAAGTCCCGCTCTAGACAGTACTCTGCAACTCCCCATATCTCCCTCATATGCAAGAGTACACTTGCAACACGTGAGTCGTTCAAGATTCTCTCGCTCTCCTCCGCTGTAGTCTTCGTGGTGGTGACTAGATCAAAGAGCTGATTGAAGATTGGCACGTTCTCAGGAAGCGGCTCTAAGGTGGGCAGATTCCGTAGCTTGTCGTACAGGGCAAGTATGCCAAGAATGATACGCTCGACGTTGTCGGCGTGATATGGGAGGTCACCATGATAGCGTGAAGGAGCAGTGATGGCGATATCTTGCTTGGGTTGTTCGAAACTAGGCATGGCTGTCCGTGGATGGTGTTGCTGAAGTGCCGAAAAGTCTGAAGTCCTCTATGCTTCCGACACACGAGCAAGCAGGAGGTTTCATAGTGTCCATCAAGGTCTCCCGCCGTGCATGGTCCCATGCGACTCGCGTATTCTTTCGTCACGGGCCTTGGGACCTTCGGCCAAGTAGGCGCCCACGCGATTTCCTTCCTATTACGAGGCATGGGGGTAATAGTGGGTGGTCATGCGTTGTAGAAGTGTGAATTCGGACTATGAGGCGACAGCTGCAAGTTTGCACATGCCTCAAACAACCAAACTCCGTCACCCCACGTACGCGACATCCGCGATAGGCTACGATTTCGGGTGCATTATACCGTTACCGCTTGTTTGTGTCAGCAAGATCTATCAAATGGCTTGCCGTTTGTCACAGAGTCCTGCATCCCGTTTCTGTGCATGCCGCGGCATTCCTCAGAGACACGTTTCTGCCTGAGGCATTTATCAGGATTGCCAATGCAATCTCGTGGCAAATTTCACTTTTCCGCAGACGCCGAGCCGTTCGACTTCCACAAGCAATGGACCCTATTCCGCGCCTTGGCCCAGAAGTGCCCAACAAGTTCGCACTGAGATGCCGTCGGGAGATTTATCCAGGCTGCCGTGGCCGTGATGCCACGCTGGTTGGCTGTTTCCTCACTGCACAACAGGGCTCGGTACGTTCATCTGGGTACAACGGTACTATGCACTGTGGATCGAAGCACCATGCTTGGAGTGGTAATCGAAATGTGAGTCGGCGTCTTGATGGCAGAGACAGAGAGAGAGCAAAGAAGATGAAGTTGCGAAGAGGCAGAAGAGAACTAATTCGAACAGCAGCAAACAAAGATGAAGTTTCGACAGCTTGCACCAAGTGCTGGCGTGCACGCGTCGCCGCTCTGCTTGAGTGTAATGTTATCGAGAAGACTCCGAACGCTCGAGCCTCTATTGTTGGAGGTCGCAAGTTGGAGCATACTCAGGGGCACGTCGCTAAGGTGTTCATGAAGTTGACGGATGAGGTAATCTTCTGCACAGCATGAGGCTACGCGCCCATTTCTCGAGCAGCCAATACTAAACGGTTACTTTGTTGTTGATGGGTTGTTGCTGCTCTATCGGGGCCGTTCGGCGTGGATCAACATTAGTCCGAAGTCATCTACCTGAGACAGCACAGCAGGTTCGTTTGCGTTAGTTCGGCTCAAGCCCCAAATTCTGCGGCGACTACTTTCAACTTCATACCACCGCCGCGTCCTGCAATACTTCTAACGACTATAAGAGAAACAATGAAAGCACGAGCAACGGAGCTGAGGTCGGTTATGTCTGGCTTGCCGAACATAAAAGATGGTCGGCATTTTCTTCCGTCAAGTCTCTCGTTCACATTCACTCACTTTCTTTTCAAAGCTTGATCCAGGATGATCATGTATCACACTCTTTTAATCTCAGCTCTGGCAGCGCTTACACACGCACACCCACATAGACGAGCTACGGCAGCCACGAATCTCTGTGGTGCTCCCAATGCTCACCAGGTCATCGACAACACACCATGGATCGTCTTCAGCATGAACTACAACTACCAAGACATCGACGGCAGCTGCTGTACCGACTACACTGGCCTCTCCACCAGCTCCTCTGGCGAACAAGTCATTGATTGGAAGAGTAGTTGGGACATTGCTCAAGACAGCAATGCAGATCTGGTCAAGGGATACAGCTTTGTGGGGTTGACGGAGAATCTGGAGAATACGATTGAAGGCATTGGGAGTATTCCGGCCAACTACACGTGGAGTAAGAGCAATACCACAGCATACAAGGGTACGTGATCGGTTGAGGCTGGAATCGACGGAGCAAAGGTGATGCTGATCAAGAGACAGGCAATGTGTGTTTCGACTTCATGACCTCCCCGACCAAAGGCGACTCTACCAGCTCCTCTGCCCAGGAACTCATGCTCTGGCTCCAATACGTGGGTGGTCAGGTTCCGATCGGATATTCCGATGGACCCGTCGCAACCATTACTGGACTGTACAACAAGACGTGGAAGTTGTACCAAGGCAAGAACGACAGCACCGGGATCACCGTCAGCAGTCTCGTCGTTGACGAAGACGATCAGTACGATGGCTCTTTTGAGGGCGATATCAAGCAATGGCTATTGAAGATGGTGGACCAGGGGCTGTTCGATAACAGTGTGTATGTCAATGTGGGCAACGCGGGGATGGAGCCCTTCTACGGCACGGTGGATTTTGTCAACACACTAAGTTTGAAGATTGTATTGGCCTAGGGCAATAATGGGAGAAAGCAATTATTCTGCAATGTGATCCAAACCCCTGAAACAATGCAGCTTCCTAGAAGAGCAGCTCGTCCGCCGCTTGTACCTGCGCCGGAAACCCGGAGCGGCTCGCAAAGTGAACCCATGCTAGTCCCGGGCAAGCGAGGGAAGTAATCTTCAACATCCCACCGAGCCCGAAAAGCAGTAACATACACACTTGCACTGCTTTCTACATATTTTGTTTGTCGTTTCACGTTTCCAATCCATCACAGAGCCAGTACTGCGTCGTTGCTCAGGCACGGTGCACAGGAGGTTTGCGTCTTCACTCTTCCGTCAGCGCTGTGCGTGCTATGGTATAGCTCGGCCGAAGTGACCGTCCAACGGCCCGATACCATGCACGTGCAGTGCAATTGAAATGTAAGCAAAGAGTATGTTGTGACCTCCTTGCGCGCCGGGCATAGGAATCCAGGTTCAGCAAAGAATTCCGCCGTTTCATGAATAGCCACGGCTCGTGACCCATCATCATCATGCTCAGCACTCTTGCCTTTGCGCGCTATGATGCGTTGCGATTACTTCTGGTATTGCCCTCCAGATTTACAACACTGCAATCTCATTGCTCGCTTGAACGCAGCACAGTCCAAAAACCAACGCTCTCATCAAAATTGCAATACCCAGTATAATCCCCATCCAACCATCAGAAATATAAATCCAAACACGTCCAATCCTCTCTTCGACCCAGCACCGTACGGCTTCAGTACCCGACTTTCCTGCTCCAGGTGTGGAATGTATCCGGTATGGCAGGAATGAAATTTGAGTTTCGGCGTCCCATCGAAGAAGTTATCATAGTGGCGGTGCATTGCCGCGGTGAGATTCCGTACCTCACGCTTTGGGAACAGGACGGAGTAGGGATCGCGGCAGGTGTCCTGTTTGCACGATTTCAAGACCATGAGGAGAGCGTCAAGCCGAGGGACGAGTTGATGCCAAGGCCGATCGAAGAATTGAAGGTTTTGCATCGGTCCCGTGAGGGTACGGTGCAGGTTGTCCATTTGGTAAGGGTCTGCGTTCATGTCGTAGAATTCTTTCTCGCCGGTGCACCAGACGCTGTAATAGAATGACTGACCACCTGATTTAATCCGCAAAGACTTGTAGGTGTTGTTGTAGTACTTGTTCGCGCCATTCTCGTCATGAGGGAGCTTGCCATGTTTACGTTTCGGAGAATCCCAGAACTCGACTCCGAGGTGTTCGTTTTTGTCAGAGGAGGAGAGGTCCGGTTCTCTGAGTGCAATGGGAGAGCCGTCGAAGTCGTTGCGTAGAGGGATGTCCATCATGGAGAGGATGGTAGGTGCAATGTCAGTGTGGGAGTTGGTGATTGCCGAGGTGATGTTTTGCGGCATGTTGGGTCCGCGGATTAAGAGGGGGATGTTGATGTCTTCTTCGAATCCGCAACGTTTTCCGGGAGACAGGCGATGGTTGCCAATGTGGAAGCCGTTGTCGGAGGTGAAGATGATGTAGGTGTTGTCCAGCACGGCGCGGTCTTGGAGCTTTTGAACGATGGCCTGGACCATAAGGTCCACTCCTGCAAGGTTTCGGAGGCGGTGTCGGTGGAAGTTATCGTTGTGGGCTATCCGTTTGGGGTGTTGTTTGGGGATGTGGAGGATCCAGGAAGCGCCACTAGCTGTGGTTAGGACATGAACACCACGAGAATAGAGAAGTTTCATACCTAGGTTCGTCGGGATTGAAGTTGGGAGATCTTGGCGCAATGCTGTTGTTGAAAGCGCCGACGAACTCGGGTGGAGCTGGGGGCATCAACTGTCGATCTCCACCATGCCTGTTGTAAGCGTGGGGAGCGACTGGAGCTCATCAGGGATGGAGTTCGAAAAGCGTGATCTATGACAAACTTACCAGGTGCTACCATCATGAAGAACTGGCCCCCAGCATCTACGGCTTGGTCGATAAACTCGAGTGCTTTCCGCCGTGTCACGTGGGTCGTGTGGTGGCCGGGAAAGGCAGTAAGATGTTTCCGTGCATCGCCATTCGTCCATGTGGAGTTCCAGTAGTTATATGTCCAGGGGTCGACCAGGAAGCTGCTGTTTGTCCAGCCTTTCGGATACGGTGCATGCCAATTGTGTCGCTGGTATGCTGCACATGATATATCAATGACCCGACTTCAATGTACGGATGCTTCAGTCTTACCATTCATGAACTTGCCCACATAATACGTCTTCGCCCCGGAGGCCTGTATCCATAAGGGAAGGTAGTTGCTATTGTGGCCTTCCTTGATGAATTTACCGTAACCGCCGTATGGCATCGTCAGAGTCGTAACATTCGTATTGTGCGCCGCCTTTCCGGTCAAGAGATTCACCCGCGAAGGACAGCACCAGGCGATCGTGCAGTAGTGGCTATCGTATCGCACTCCTTGGTCCCCAATCAGGCTGCTGACATGCGGCATTACTGAGAGGGAGTCCAGATGTTTGTCCTGGTCGTCGGGCATAATGACGACTACGTTGGGCTTTGCCGCGGCCGCCGCGGTCATGGATGCCAGAGTCCATAACGCGGATATGAGCATATTGTGGGTGGGTATGGCGGTCGAGTAAGTCCAAGATGCGAGTCGCGTGCTTTGGTCCAGGACTCCTGGAATTGCGCCAAAAGAGAATGCCCTTCGTATCTTGGCATGAATATTTTAGGCCGAAGACATGTGAATCGAGGTCGAGCCCGGATTCTTGGCGTCGCGCGTGTGCTGTAGGCAGTCGCGATGTGAGGACCAGTTTTGCATAGAGGTGGAGATATTGGACGCCTCAGACAGCGCAGAGCGCAGGGCGGAGGATCCTAGGACGAGTGTTGTTGGTGGATGTTGTGCTCGGCAAGCTAATATGCCGCCACGGAGATCTCAATGGGCTCGCCTGACACGCGCTTCTTATACACTCGAGTGACGATATACTGCAGGGACCACGTTTCAACACGCCGAGAGTCATCAATTTGAATCAATGTCAGCCAATCGACGTTTCAGTCTGCGTTGGCAGCGGCACACAGACTTCAAGGCCAGTGCAGCGTTTCCCCTATCTTCAACCGCTGCCACGTGCTGAGACGCCATCTCCGTTTTTGCTCCTTCTGCTCTAGACGTCTCATCAACGGATCCTCCAAAATGACCTCTACACAGTCACTGAGCGGCGGCTGTGCGTGTGGCGCTGTGAGGTGGAGACGCATCTCGACATGTGCTACAGCAAGCAATGCCAGCGAATGTCGGGAGCTCCGGTGGTGGGCTGGATATACCTGTTGCGAGAGACGCCTCACAGTGTGTTGGTCTCAAACGGTCCCACTCGCATGCGTTATTACGCCGTCACCTTTCGCTAGGAGAAGTTTCCGGCGGCGGTGCGGCGGCTCGCTGACAATACAGTCCGACTGCTACCCGCCAAAGACGCATTTCGCGGCGGCGACGCTCATCCGCTCCGACCGGAAGCCGACTCAGGTTGGCACGCACATCTTCGTCGCCTCCCGGCCGAATTGGCGCCAGACGCCCGATGATGGAATATGAAGTCGAATGAATTCGACGACGAATTTGATGATGGACTTGTTGATGAGATTCGCGAAGAAAGTTGCCGGAGACTGCCAGGTGTAGGAGAGATGAAGTCGATGCCTTCGCCGGGTTTCACCATGTCAGAGCTCGCAATCACAATCGAATGTGATATTCCCCGCGACATACGACATCATCATGGCTACATGTACGCTGTGGAACTTCTGTCCAAGGCCAAAACTGGACACCCCTATGCAAGCCAGAATCTGTCTCAAAGAAGTCGTCCGGGCCCTTGCAGTCAAGATTCGCAACACACTTGACCCTGCTCTATTTCAGTACCATCTTGAAAACGCAGTCGCTCTACCTTGGGTCCAACCCACCGCCATCGTCACCCTCCTCTTCACTCCCATCGCAGACACAACGGGCTCAACATTCGCAGATCCACTCTCTCCATCACTTCAACATGTTTCATCTCCACGACCTGCCCCAATGGCTCTCCGGCGTGTCCGATTGTCGACTCATCACCATGCGTCTGAGCTCTTGTCTGAGCATGGAATCTCGCTGGCACGAGTTGGCAGACTATGAGGAGCCACGAATCCCTTGATCTTTGGCTTTTGCGGCCCCCGAACGCTGTCAGGTCTACGTGTCCGACGTGTGAGGAAAATGTGTCTGTCCATCCGAAGAAAAAGGATGATATGGCTGTGTTGGTCTGGGGAGACATTGCACAGAGCGGCGGAGACGAGATGAAGTGTTTGCAAAGTGGGCGGCGCACGTGAGGGAGTAAGAGTGCAACATACGCTGTCGAAGTATAAGGTCCTTCATTGTTGTTCCTCACAGCCGCACGCCCCTGCGTCTCTAATTCACAACAAAGCTCACATTGTGCGACTTGTACAGCACACTGCTATCCAACAAGTCGCCCGTCGAGGAGCGATAGAATTCGATCCCCAAATTGTGCGCATCCTGCACTTTCAACCTCGCATAGCTAAAATCGTCACCGTACGCAAATACATTCGTCGAATAGTTATCCCCCACACTGCTCAGGCCCTCGATATTTCCAGCTCCGCCAGCGATAATGTACATTGGATACTTGGGATCGTTCATGCCGGCAGGGTCTGCAGTCTGGTTATACACGGGCAAGAATCGCTGAGAATTATGAACGTGTCCGAACACGCCGAGATCGACGCCGTACTTGTACAAGAGGGATTCGAATGCTTCTTGGCATGGATCGCAGATGTTGTCGGAGCCGCCCGTGCTGTACCAGGGGCGGTGGCCGGCGACTATCAACCAGGGTGTGACGCTGCGGTCGACGCTTGCGAGGTCTGCTTCGACAAACGACAGCTGTTGGCCGGGTGCGCCGAAGGGTCCGCCGTCGAGGTTCGCGGAGCCATCTTGTCCGTCGGGGGCGTCGCCGAAATCCGTCTCCGTGTTGATCATCGTTACGTGTACGAGGCCGTATTCGAAGCTATACCAGAATGGCGGGTTGGCGAGGGACTGGGCTGTGGAGGCCTGGCTTTGGGCGGTCGAGTTGGAGGAGCTGGATGCGAAGGCCGTGGGCATGGTGTGTCCGAAGCGTGTCATGAAGTCTGTGAAATTTCGTTGGCCCTCGGGGCAGAGACCGGAGGTGTAGTCGATTTCGGTGCAGTCTGCTTCGTGGTTTCCGGGAGAGACCATGTACGCCTTTCGTCCGGCGATCGGTGCGAGTTGGTCGTAGAAGTTTTCCAGGATGGCTTGATAGGCGTCACTGCCGTCCAGCAAGTTCTGGAGCTTGAGGTACCAGTCGTCTGCGTAGGCGAAGTCGCCGGGGTGAAGGACGACTTCATAGTCGTCGACTGTCTCAGCAAGCGCGCCGATCGTGCTATGATTGAGGGCTGGCTGGATCTCGGGAATCGTGTCGCGCTTGGTGGTGGTGAAGCCGTCCGCTCCATAGACTCCGAGATCAATCACTACGTCCATGTTGAAGGGGGTGGTGTCTCCTGCTGTGCGTGGGGAAAAGAAATGCTCCACGCTAGAGTTGGTGGACTCGATCTTGTAGTAGTAGGTGGTTGCGGCTTGGAGTCCGGTCAGCGTTACCGCGTTGGCCCATGTTCTTGATGTGCCGTAGGTGATGGATGTGGTCGAGCATGCCTGGGAGCTTAGGGATGTGCTGGAGGTACCGTAGCTGACGCAAGACTGGTTCAATTTCTCGTACGTATTCCAACCGACGGTCATCTCATTCGGTCCTCCGATTGCGAGACGCTGTTGTACTGGTGTGGTCAAATCTGTCGGTATGGAAGGGTAGTCGGCGGCGAGGACCAGCTGGACGGCCGCGGCCACCACGAACTGCGTGAAGGATCTCATGGCCATCTGGTTAGCATATCATGCCCAGTAGTATGCTGTCGAACCAACACAGAAAATCTGGTAAGTGAAAGGCCCGTCCGTGCTCTTTGTACCTGCCTCGACATGCACGGCATGTTTCATTCTGACTGGCTGTCCTACTACCTGCATGCAAAGGCTTGCATCGCACTAAAGCAGGCCTCGTGGCCGCAGGATCCAAAGTGATTGGAATAGACTCATTAGACATCAAGCTTGCCATATAAGCTGCCTCAAGCGAACTACTTCGGGTGGCCTAGATCCGTGCATGCTGTAATCATTGGAGTCGTGATTGGCGCTTTGCCACGTACCTGTCGATCTTGTCTCGGAGACGTTCCAGCCTGAGAGCGCGTGCCGAGAAATTTGGGGACTTGCGAGGCACTTTTGGCACGCATCCCGTTTCCTATCCGGATCCATGCGTAGATCATTCCTGTTCTGGTATGTATTGTTGATGACGCGTTGAGGCCGATATCCGTGCGAGGTCGTCGTTATTACGACCGAGGCACATCGTCACCCGGGCGAGTTGCGGTCGGTCAATCTGTTCGTCAAAGGCCGACATGCGGACCGCGATGGCCGACACAAAAGGTGAAGTCCATACGAGCTGGCGACAGCCTGAGAGAACTCACCTCTTACAAACGTGTGGGGACTGACACTGGTCGTGATCTCGTAACATTCTGACTCATCCGCCCGGTCGTAACTCCCAATGCTCCGCTTCCACCCTCTTCAATCCACCACTCACCGCCTCATTTTCCCACTCTTGCGTCTGTCTTGAGCTTTGCACGGCATCCGCTGAGAGCGTCGTTGCCGAGCTCCTGTCGTGCGAATAATCGAATCGGTCGTATTTCACCAGCGCTCTTTCCGGCTTGGCGAACTCGCTCGCTATCTCGACGTTTTGTTCCACAACCCGAACAACTCTTATTGCTTCGTTACCGAGGCGATTATTGAGTGGGCTGTCGACTAAATGTATCGTATTTTCAAATTCGCTGGGACTGAACGCACGGCGTCGTCTACTGAGCCGAAAGCAGGCGAGGCAACCCTGAGATTTGCGGTCTTGTGACCCCGCTCCGTCGCTGTCAAGTGAAGAGATGTGGCAGCACTGGCAAGCTCGCTTCGTCTTGTGGTAGATTGGTGATCCAGCTATGCGCCCCCGTATACGGGTAAAGAAGGCCTTGAGCGTGGGTAAGCAAGCGAAAACGATTCCAATGTATACTTCGCTTGCGCTGAAGCAAGCCAAGGTCGGGTTATCCCAGGCTGGGTCTTTGGCATATGCGACGACGATCAAGGACTGCAGCCTGATGACAGCAAGGAGACATGGAAGTCCGGCGAGCACAAATACGCTGCCGAGGAGGATCTTCTGCCTTCGAGGGAGACGGAGCTGTTGGATCCAGGGTATGGGAAGCATCGCCACGGCGAAATCGAGTATCATTCCCAGAGTGCTGTTTGCGACCCACAAGTTGATCTTCTTGAAACAGTTGCCGCTTCTGCCGTCCTTTTTCCAGAAGTCCGAAGGCGGAACGCAGGTGAAGATGGTGCCGAATGTTGTCCAGAGCGTCACAATGCCATTGCAAATCTGGGCATGCGTCAGCTGAGTTGTTGGCCGGAGTCTTCCACCTTACCAGTACAGATCCCATCAACCATTTGGCAGGCCCAAAGGCTTCCTGCGGGAATATGCGCATGCACTGGAAGATGATGGCGAATCTCGCGGATCCGACAGCAATATGATAGAGCCATATTGATGCCCAAAAGGCTGTCATGAAATGCTCGTGCTCCGATGGCGAGATTGCATGAGTTGGCTGCCCGAGTCCGAATCGAACTTGCATGCCGATGGCCGCGCCCATGGCTATCGCGAAAACCAAAGCGAGGAGCATGATCCAGTCACTAGACACGCACAAGATCAGCCTGGTCGCGCTGAGGGATGCGTTCGGGGGAACACCGACTCCACGCCGCCATTGTGGACGAGGAAAAAGCGAGAGAAGAGACGGCAGAAAACGGCGACAGCACTGATGGTGGCGAGTAAGATGATTGTGACAACGACTGCCGAAGCGGACGTATGCAGCATCTCGCCTGCCCGCCTTCAACTGTGATGGCGGGAAGCAATCATTGAGAATGGGATATCGTAGTTGATGGTGTCGTCGGTCGCGTTGGAGCCAGCCAGCGAGTGTGTTCACTCCTGTCCTTGGTCAGGCTACCCGGAACTGCCGGGTCCGAATGTTCTTGGAGAAGTCGAACTTTGTGCCGGGATTTGCCTTGGACACGGCGTCTCTGCCAAGGTTGTGAATATCGAACCACTGGTCAAGATCAAGCCATATGCAAAAGCAGAATCAAGAGGCCGACGAGAAGACATGCGGCGGTCATGAGTGCAGACCTCTCCGAGATGTGCAAGAGTAGGGTCTGCTTCCTGTCCAGTCTCATAAGTGGATAGCGTACTTGCGAGTGGACGCGTCCGCTCCCAAGTGGCGGTAATAATGTGGTGAGGTAGTCAGCAGGTGGAGCGACGATCATGGTCGAGACTCGCGCGGGGATGGGCAGTGTGAGGAGGGATCCTGGATCGGCCGAGCCCGATTGGCAATCTCGCCCGAGTGTAATGGCCGGTACTCGCGAGCGATGATGGCTTGATAAGAGGTCGACATTACATGTATTCCTCGAGGGTCATGTCATGATATCGCAGAAGACCAACGGGAGATGGAGAAGGAAGAGAAGTTGATGTGAGGATGACGGGGAACGAGTCGTCGAAGAGAAGTTGAAACGCGAGATCGTCCACGCCAAGTAGCGCGCCGTGCCGCGACCCAGACGGCCCGGTCCATTCCGAGAGCGATGGATCTAATCTGATCCGCTTGATCAAGACACTGCCATGTGCTCGCCGCCCCAGACAACTGAATCTCCGACATGTCCGAAGACGTGAAGAAGACGATTGGGGATACCTACGACAACATCGCGGCGTGGTACTTGGCGTGGGTTGAAGGCCAAGCATCACCGAGAGTAAGATATACCAGGAGACTGCTGGACCAGTGTCCGGTCTCGCCCAACCTCTTGGAACTCGGATGTGGTGCCGGTGTTCCTGTTCTCCGCATGCTCATGGATCATGGCGCCACGGTCACTGGCAATGATATCTCCACGAAGCAAATCGAACTCGCCCAGAGCCGATTCCCGCAGGCTGCGCTCATTGCAGGAGATATGACTGCTCTCATACTCGAGGAGAATTCTTTGGACGGCATTCTGGCCTTCTTCTCCCTCTTCCACTTGCCGAGAGAAGAGTACCGAAGCTTTCTGTCGAAGCTTTTTGCTTGGCTGAAGCCCAGTGGGGTCTTCGCTTTCAATCTTGCTACCGTTGATCAAGATGAGATTCATGGGGAATTCTTCGGCCATGGAATGTTTTGGAGTAGCTTTGGAGAGACCGAAAATCTCACGGTACTCGCGGACGCTGGCTTCACGATTTTGGAGGAAGAGGTATTGGAGGCCGGCGATGGGAAGCTCGAGGAAGGGGATCCAGATTATGGGGTGAAGTTCATGTGGATTCTGGCCATGAAGCCAGAGCGAGCCGGATGAGGCCGCTCGCAGGCATGTGTCATATGTACTCGTCGTCAGATAGTCGAATGACACGAGACCAGAGGGTTGAGTTGGCTGGACGGGCAACGAGAGGCTTGGAATCACTAGGCATGGGCTTGCATGTGAAGACGGCGGTAGAACACAGCACGAGCGGATCCTCCCAGCCATCTCCGACCTCTTCCCCGTCCCGTCCTATTCTTTACATTCTTTCCTCGCATCCTTCTGTCTCTTCACCACCCGACATTACGACATGGCGAAATGCCTCCATCTGTCGAGTGTCTTTCATGTCGCCAACGCACGACTGCTGCCAACAGGGTGGATAGTGAGAGATCGAGAAAGGAGTCACTGACGTCAGGACCACGGAACTGAACAAAGGGGCCGTTGGCTGTTCACACTTCACAGTCTAACATTGGCGCGCACTGGCTGATTGATGTCAACTGACGAGGACTTGTATGAACTCTCGTCTAGCTACGAGATCTCATCTAGGTACGCGCAAAGTCACCATGCCAAAAGCTCCCCAACGTAGTACCAAAGCGGCTCGCGCGGTCGGTCCGGTCAAGGACAGCAGCAAGACGAAAGATCCCAAGGCATCGCACCTCTACACCGACGACAACCCTGCAACGACGATCCACGGCACTGGTTTCAAGGACGAGGCCGCGGCGTTGCGTACGCTGGATCTGATCCGCCAACGCTCGCTCACCTACCAATTCCAAACGGTGAACACCATGTTCCATAGAGCGAAGCACCATCCTGCGATGAAGAAAGCTGCTGAAGGCAGTGGGAGCACAGGCAACATGCGAGCAGCAATGGACGTCTTCCAAACATGGCTGGAGGAAACGTATCCTGCTGAGAAAGAGACGTTGAGGGTCGGAGGCGGCTTCAAGCCTTTGCTGAGCAAGAAGTGCATGGGGCGGTACATTTCCCTGATTGAGGACAGCGCGGATGTTAGTGACGATGGCAAGATATTCGCCAGGACATATGTGAGGCTGCCAAAGGGAAAGAGGCTGGGCAATGTACTGGTCGATGACACAAAGCCCGCCGAGCCTGACTGGGAAAGGAAGCGATATCAGGTTCTCGATGGACTTGTTCCGGAAGGGGAGGAGAGCGAGCCGAATTGGAAATCTTCAGCTCTGTGGACTGGAGATAGCAAGCCTAGTCCACGTCACCTGGAGCTTATTGCGTGGGCATGGAGTCCAGTCAAGGAGTCAAAGCTGCCGTGAAACAGAATACTCGGGCAAACATAGCTTTCCACCGACGACAGAATCGATTTCAAAAGGTGTACCGTTGACCTCCCAATTGAGGGCTCGCTCCGCTGCATATATGCACAGTGCGCATGTGCTCTGCCTGGCTTACTTGAAGGCATTCCAACGCTAATGTTCAGCTCGATATCGTCGGCTGGCAAGAAGTCCCGATCAGGTGTATTGGCCGGTGGGCGCGTATCTACCTGAGCTGCAATGCTATATGGAAAGCCCAGTCCGCAGAGTCCGGCAACAAGTTCCATCTTCGTCTTCGGCCTGGGCGCCTCGACCATCTTACGCCAACTCCGACGACCGAATCCCTCACGGACACCGCGCGCCAAACAAGGTCTTTTTGCAACGTTGTTGCATCAGTCTCCGCGAATGAAACAGCGCTAATCTATGATCTCAACGTCGCTATCGCCCCCGAACTCAAGCTGCATTTTGCCACATTCTCTACGCAAACACTGCTGTAATCCCTCCGTCAACACTTCGTCGACCTCATCCTCGGTCTGGCACCACAGTGTGAGCTTCTCGAAACGTACCACCTCCAGTACCGGCTGCTGTGTCAAGAACTCGATCAAGTCGTCCTTGAAGAAGATGCCTTGGCTCAGCGTCAGGGACTTGAGAGATGGAAACGTCTCGTGGAAGACACATTTGGTTGTCAGCCATGCGTGGGAAGGGTTGTCATCGAGTTCGGCGTCGGCATCCACTCTGGCTGGTATTTCAATGTGGAGTGATTTGATCTGGGCGCTCGCTGCTATGCTGGAGATCAAGCTTGTCGCCAAGTCTGGAAGTTCGAAGAGATGCTCCAAGAGCTCTGCATCTGGCCATATTCGCAGCTTGACATCCTCGAACAGGCAACACCAGTTCTGCTCCCATGCTGGCAGTGGTACTTCGACTCTCACGGGCTGAAGCGGCATGTCGAGAGTCGATGTTTGCATCTTGAAGGTCGTTAGAGATGGAAGCAGTCTCGCGCCGGATATGTCTGCATCGAGTGCACAAGCAATGCCTCCCATGACCCAAGTGGGCGCTAGGAATCTGGGTCCTAGCAAATTCCAGATGCTTAGGCCAGGTATGAGAGGGCGAATGTCGATGCAATGAAGCTGTGCAAGGACAAGCTCTGTTACTTTGTTGTGCTTGTCGAGCCTCTTGAAGAAGGCGGCCAGCAGCTCATCCACGTCGGCACTTCCGTAAGTCTTTGAACCCCACGACAACAAAGAGCACTGGGCCTCCCAGTGCAGCAGCTGTTCGTCGGAGCGAGCCCAGTCGACGATGTTCTCGAAGCCGCCCGGCATGTGATCCTTCCCCTCCGTCCCCATACGCTCATCCGGCTCTTTGAATGCGTCTGCGAAAAGATATATGCTTTGTAAAGCCGGGCCGAATGTCTCGTGGCCGGCAATGTCGATGGCCGCTTGTAGGCTCGCGGGGCTGCACAGAAGGAATCCCTTTTCAGTGAAGTGGACTCGGGTGAATGTTCGAAGGATCTTCGTCTCAACATCGCGGCAAACCAGGCGGAGAGGGAGTAGTTCGCGAGGCTCCAGACATTGGGCCACCGCTTCGGTCACCTCCGGTGGAAGATCTGTGAGTGTAGTCGCCATGGGAAGTGAGTGACCTGCACGCGCCGAGATAATGTCGGTGTTCCGTTGTGTTGACGATGTGGGAGCTGCGTGATCTGCAAAGCACGAGAGGTTGATCAAGGCGAAGTTTGCGTTTGGCATCAATGTAGATGTGATGGCTCGTGCTTTCAAGCGAGGTAGCGCCGGCGTGTCCCCTGGCATTCACATGCAAACAACAACACATAGTCAGCCGACCCATCGAGCAAATCCTTTACTTATCCACGACAAGTTACTGTATGGAGAGAAGTTGCTACAGCGTGACAACGTCTTGTCAAACTTCAACCAAGGCGTCTTTGTCTAATGGCTTTGCAAGTCATAAAGCCAGCACCAAACCTACGCCGTCATCAAGTCGGGACGGAGTGACTTTTATACCTTTATCCGGACACTATCTTTACTCCGTCAAATGCTTTGGAGGTTCGGTGGAAAGTAGTATATGCCCTCGAAGGTGCCGCAGAAGTGCAGCCGAGACGGAACCCGTACGTTTGCGAACACAACTCCCCGTGCTATTTAATCCGCGCTCTTCAAATATGGGTTCGATATCCATCACCACGATCTTTATTGGCCTCATCGCCGCTGCGCTTCGAGACGGCTATTTCAGCGGCATCCTAAACCAACGGATCTCCTCGCCCCAGACGGCGTCTCTGAATCCCACGACTCCAGAAGTATCTCGAATTGCTCTGGAAGCTCACGAACTCGTGCGCGCATTCTGGACAGTTGTTGCTTTCCTGAGTTTTCCCACAGCTACGCCAGGCAGTGCTCGATTTGCGTCCCTTTCCATCTTGCGACTCGTGCACACCATCAAACGCCCCGCGCATATTCTTCTGGTCCCGGCTGACCTTGCTTTTGCGGATTGACACGGCTTGATCAAACTTATGCTCTCTTCACCTTCCGAGGGTGTGGCTGGTGTGGTTGGAATCTTGCTGTTGTCAACGCTGATGCGCTGCGCACAACGATCCTGTTGAAGCTGAGGGTCAAGGAGACAACGAGACCGGTACCGCTGTAACATCGACGTAGCCCAGATTGTAGTAGTCCGTTAGGTTGTGGTTGAAGTTCCGATGTCGAGTACTTGAGCTCAGATGTCTTGTCTGATGAATGCGTAGCTGTAGTAAACTTGCTTTTGTCTCCTGCTTCGCCGTTGCTTCCCAGATATTGCTTCAGCCAACTCTTGCAATGCGTAATCGCTCTGAGGGAACATCGGCACTCAGTGGGGTTGACAAATCCTCGAGATCTCCATTCACCTGCTGCTGAGCGATTGCCGCACGCTATGCGTTTGCCTGGCCCTCGTTTTCCAAAAGCCTTTCAAACTCGTCATCTTGTCTCTGTAAATCTTCATGATTGCCCTCGGGCAGAAACCAATACATGATAGACGTCAAGATGCCAATGCTACCGGCAACATAGAAGGTGCTCGCTGGTCCTGCAGCATCCCTGATCGGAGTGAAGACTTGCGTGCCGATGGCGGCACCCGCCTTGCCAAAGCCTGCAGCAATGCCATAGCCCATGCCTCTGGCTGCAGTTGGGAATGCCTCGCACGAGATCAGCCCAATGGTCGCCCCTGGTCCCATGTGGCCGAGCGCCTGGAGCAAGCCGTACAACACGACGAAGGCGGGGAGAGCATCGTTGGTGAGCTTTGTGTAGAGACCACCGATGATGAAGCCACAGACGACGTACCCGCCCATGAGACCTGCGATTCCGGTCCAGCGGCGGCCGATCTTGTTCACCAGGAAAGCGCCCACGAGGACGCCCGGGATGGGCATCAGAGCCAGGTATAGCTGCCAGAGAGCGACCGTGCGCACGTTCTTGCCGGGCACCAAGGAGTTGATGATTGTCGAAGACATGATTGTGTTGGGACTGGACAGTCAGCACGGACGCAGCACAATTTCGTCAGCTGTGTTTGTACTCACAAGTTCACGAAGTCGTAGAGAAAGAAACAGACAGAAGTTCCAGCGACGCGAAGCCCGTACTGTTTCAGGAGCAGCAAGTAGGGAACTTGTCGCTTCTTGAAGTTCGACTTCTCGAATAGTCTGCCATCCTGCATGCGCCAGCGGGCCAGGAGCACTAGTAGGGGCAAAATCGTCGCTATGGAGTACATGGCATGAAAGGCTACTTTGAGACGATTATGATTCCCGATCAAGGCCATGAGGTACACGAAGGTACATAGCGCTCCTCCCGTGGTAGCCTGCAGTGTTGAAATCAAGACCTGGATGGGCCCTCGCTTGGCATCGAAGTGCTCATTCGAGCTTTCCAGAGCAGCTGCGGCGGACGTGGGATATTCGCCACCTACACCTACACCGGCGGTGCCGCGAGCTATGGTGAGATACCACAGCATATGGTCGGATCCCTGGACTTGAAACGCCAGAGTCGACATGCATGTTCCAACAACGACCAGACCGGACGTGACCAGCATGCCACCCGTACGGCTGAAGCGGTCGGAGGTGTAGCCAAATACCAGGATTCCAATGACCGAACCTACCAGAAGTGCGTTCGAAATCCTGGTCTGTACGGAGGATGTGTAGATATCGCTGCCCAAGACATGCTTCATGACGACGTTGGTAGAGGAAGCCAGACTTTGCTGGAAGCCGTCGGACAGATTGGCCAAGGCGGAGCTGACGATTGTGATGATGCTGCCGAGTCTGCGAGAGGTTTTGGTGTGGGAAGCAGGATTGTGGTGGTCCGAAGAGGCTTCAGACACATGATGGTAGACTTCCTTCTCGGTTTCTACAGCCCGCTCCGCAGCGTTTGTTGCAACATGGTCAGTGGCGGCCATACTCTGGAAGGGCTGTGATATGGGGAAATCTCTGATGAGAAGAGGCGCAACATGAAGAGGAGAGCGAGGGTGAAAAGATTCTCGACATGCTTCGAGTCCACGACGGCCGGACTCCCGGTAGTGTGAAGTGCACTCTGCGTCGAGCCGGCGTCATCGTTGAGTATGGAGAGTGGGCGGAATCTTCTTATCGGCGAGTCGTGAGCAATCGCTTCATTTGGCTTCCAGATTCCGACGTTCATTTGATAGATCTGTGGATCCAGTGGAGCCAAGACTAGGATTCACTTGATGAGGGGCAAAGGTCGGGGAAGGTGGTCCGGGAAGGTACAGCCGAGCGCCGAACGACGCTCTGACACGCCATCACATGTCAGTAAGGTAGCCTCATCGCGTGGAACATCGCTCATAGGTATACTCCGAAGTGCATCTCTATCGAGCAGGAAGAGGGTCCGTGAGCGGGCAACTATGCACAAATGGAAGAACATTACGTCTAATGGCGGTGTCTACCAGGCATTCGGTATCGGGATGCCTTGCCCGGGTCCGATTATGTTTGGCGAGAAGAAGTTGGAGACCGAGTGCAAGGCGATTGGTGCGGGTCTTTGATGTTGAATATGACTGAGGTGTAGTGGACTGGTTCCTGTACATCAAAAGTTTCCCCACCTTATGCGCCATCGTCGTGGATCTCTTCTTCTCGTTGCCATTTGTCTTTCGGTTGTTTGTATAAACTCCAGCAGCGATCAGCTATGATATGTTAGCCGCGGAGGGGGTATGGGAGAAAGAGCACAGACCGATTTTTTCCGGGGATAAGGCCTTCTTGTCCGGGCCGACAACACCGCCGACGCTGTGGGAATGTCAACAGAACGCAGCAGCTCTCAGGCCTGAATTTACTTACCTCAGAAGCGCAACGTGCACATCCTCGCCGAACTTGGCATGTATGGAAAGCACCAAGGCTCGCTGGGCACTCTTGACCATCGATAGAGATACAAGGTCTGGTACGGGCTCCTTGTACAACAATGTGGTGCTTGTCACAAAGAAGGATGGCGCTCGGTCTTCTCCGGAGACTTCTTTGAGCTTGGGAATTGCCCAGAGAGCGGTCTCATACAAGGCTATGTTGGTGAGCTATGAAGGTTGATATCAGTGGCTAGGACATTCATTGGCGAGCTCATGCAACGTTACCCTGAAGTCTCTCTCGAGATCCTCCACGTTCTCCTCCAAAGGAGGCTTTCCCGCCACCCTTGCGGCATTGAACAGCACGCACTCCAATCCTCCAAAGTCGTCGATGTCGGCCAGAGTCTTCTTCAGCTGCTGCAGATCGGAGAGATCACACGGCCAAGTCTTGACCTGGCACGAGTATCCACGTTCCTGGATGGCATCGAGGACTTTGCCTTGGTCTTCTTTCAAGCGATCTTTGCTGCGAGCGACGAGGGCGATGTGGGTAAAGCCTCGGACGGAAAAGTTAGAGGCCACTGCTACGCCAATGCCAGGCCCAGAGCCCAATACTACGAGAGTCTGAGGACAAGTCAGAAGTGATTGAGATGCATTGCGTCATGTTGTGCGTATGCTCGTCCCAGGGACACGGCAGGGATGTTGACAGCTGTGAGGTGCTGATCGAAGGCAGTGATGGGTTCAGTCCTGCCGTGCATGACCATGTGCATATACGTACCTTTTCAGGCATGATATCTCGGAACGGCGGGGTGTAAGTGAATGGAGGAGGAGTGGATTGCAGGACACTTGTGGGAGAGCGTCGGAGAGGTTCGCGATGGGGGAAAGATCGGCAGAGTGTCTCCGATTTGGCCGACGATGCCGAGACCGAGCGAGTTAGGCCAGCTTCTGGTGCGGGAGGAAAACTTGTCCTCTACTTCATCAATACGATATGATATGTTTTTGCATCGCGCCAGCTCACTCCGCGAGTCGATTCTGAGGTCACAGCTGGGACTTCGCACATCTAATCTAATCTGATATAATCTGATCTGATCTGATATGACATGAGATGACTCTACCCCTGCGTCCACTCCAGATTTTCCGGCTGCAGGTGCCGACGGCCGACAATCTCGTAGCTGCTTTCAATCGTATGGACATCGACACCATCATCCCCCTGCGCTCGCCGGATTGCATGCGACATGTCTTGCCCGCTTCCCTGGGCCATCGACCGACCACAAACGAACAATATCAGGCATCCCTTGAAAGGCTGAAGGCCATCTTTCACAACTTCGAACTTACCGCTCATGACATCCTGGAAGATAGAGACGCCCACAGGATCTGCATGTATCTCACCGCCCGTGCTGACACGCTGGCTCCAGAGTATGTGAACGAGTACGTGTGGACGATGAACTTCGACGAGGCTGGAGAGAAGATCACCAAATGGACCAAGTTCACCGACAGCGTGGTCAACAAGGAGTTCTGGCCCAAATTGCAGGCAGCTATGGAGGCCTACACAAACCACAGTGCGCCAACTGGCTGAAGCGCTATGGCGAGCGTCGTTAACGCATCCCTTCCAAGGCCCATTCCGGAATGGGCTGCGCCGCCCCATTCGTCGCCGATGCTGGCTGCTTCTTCCAAAAGGAATCGTACTTGTATGCGCTGCCGGCATGATCGTCTCGCAGCTTCGATTGGCCCCTGCCATATGTTTTCTCTCTCAAAGTCAAGCCATCTTGCGTTCCTTTCTCCGGATATAAACCACGGCGACGCAGTTCGGGAACCAAGAGCTCGACAACATCCTCAAATGTCCCCGGCATGCTGACATATGTAATATTGAAGCCATCGACTCCCGCATCTACCATCCAGCGTTCCATCTCATCTGCCACCGCAGAGGGTGTGCCCACTGTAAGTGGACTCATGCCGCCAATCGCTGCCTTCTCGGCGACGACACGAGGAGTCAGCTCCGGAACTGCCTTGCTTGATGTTGTGAACGACTTCATCGCCGAGGTCACCTTGCTTGCCTCCGTTGAATCTTCTTCGGTGATCTTTCGATCGAGCGGGATCTTCGAGATATCTATGCCCGTCCAGCCGGAGAACAGTACCAGCCCGCCGATGGTCGATGCTGTTTGCCTGAGCTTCTGGAACTTCTCCCGAGCCTCCTCATCCGTCCTGCCAAGGATTGGGGTAAAGGTGCATAAGAACTTCACAGAAGCTGGGTCACGGCCCTGCTTTGCTGCAATTTCTCGAATGGTGTCAATTTTGGGTTTCAAGGTCTCTGGAGAAGTTCCTTGGACGAAGATCGCCTCGGCGTGTTTCGCAGAAAACGCAGATCCTGCCGGCGAGGTCCCGGCTTGAAACAAAAAGGGCGTTCGCTGTGGCGAAGGATCCACGATGTGTCTGGTGTCGATGTTGTAGTACTTTCCATGGTGGTTGATCTCGCGAATCTCGCTCGGATCCCAGTACTCGTCAGTCTCGGGTCTTGCTAGCTTCGATCTGTCACTCCACGATGACTCCCACAGCTTGTACACGACTTCCATGTACTCATCCGCCTGCGCATCTGGAATTGGTCAGCCGAAGTAGCCGCACCGTGGTCTTTGCCGCAGTGCTTACATCTCTCGCCGTGCTCGATTGGCGAATCGATGCCGACAGCCTTGAAGGCAGATTTCTTGTACGATGTGACGATATTCCAGGCAACCCTACCGTCCGTCATGTGGTCCAGCGTGGAGAATTTCTTGGCCAGCAAGAAGGGCGGCTCGAATGTAGTCGAGGCAGTGACACCAAACCCGAGATTCTTTGTCACAGCTGCCATTGCGGATATCGGTATTGTTGGATCCGTGACCGGGAATTGGGCTGCTCGGCGTACGCATTCGTCTGCTTTGCCTTCATAGGTCTCATAATATCCGGTAGTGTCTGCAAGGAACAAAGCTGTGATGTCGCCCTTTTCCAGGATCTTGGCGAGGTCTGTCCAGTACGAGAGCTTTCTGGACTCTGCGCTGCGGTCCTTGGGATCCTTCCATTGGCCTGGGGACATATGGCCGATGGCTGATCGCCGTAGTTAGCTCTCCCTGCTCGCTGTTGCTACTCACAAAGAGCCCGGGTCTACCTACTGGACATTGCAAAAGCGTTCAGGATAACTTGCTTTCTGGGTCCCGAACAATCCCCATTGGTACCGCCAGAGCTGATTGAGACCATGTTTGATGCTCACGACTCCTTGTAAACCTTCGAGAAAATTTGCAGACTCAAAATACCGAAATGCAGCTGTCGTATGCTGTGATCGAGTGTGCTTTGAATGGGTTGCCCGCTCGGCCATCGGCCAACGCCGCCTATCGGTAGAACTCAATCCCAATCACAACATGTTGGCATCGGATGCGTGCTCGATAGTTGTCAGCTTTGATATCCTCCGGACCACCGGATAGGCCAGAGCAGATGTGGACTGTTGCCATGGGGATAGCGTCCAATCTGCTGTTTACCTTATCACAGGGAGGAGGATCCTGATCGCTTGCGGAGTGGGTCGCATAGCGGCTTTTCCGAGCAGAAGCAATTATACGGTACATCTCGTACGACATCACCATCATTATATCGCCTCGCAGGCATCTCAACACCAGTGAGATAATCCTTTTAAAGGAGCCGATACCGGCGCTGCAGGACCTCGGCTTCATTCCGTGAGACTGTTCCCAAACCGACAAATGGTGCTTTCCAGCCTAAAGCTTCACTGCTTCCGAGGAAGATATTTTGTCTTATACCACCTCGCTCAAGCACTCCAGTCTCTCTTACCAGCCGAGGTCCAACGTGCTGTAAGGTCTTGCTCCTAGAGTGCAGCGTCACAATGTTAACTAAGCCCGCCACTATACTTGTTCGCGGAATTGGCATTGGCTAGTAAGCTACGAGAAACTCACCGCTTCCCTTCGCAGGTGTAGGTATATTGTCTAAATGTCTGCTTCCTGTTGCGAAGCGCGGCCCCCTGTTACAGCTCTGTTTATTTTGTAAGCTAGGCCCTAAGTAGAGCGTTAAAATAAAAAAAATAAAAACTTTTATACTACCTAGATTAGGAAGTATATCTTATTTAAGACCTTTAAAGATTTAGAAGAAATATTAGCTTCTAAATTTATACTATAAATTAAGTAATTCTGTACTAGCTATATCCTAAGTATTATCTTAGAATAAGGGAATAGGTAAATAAAATACTATTAGTATAGGGTAATAGGTCTTATTTAGAATCTTATTAGATTTAAGAAGAAGTCCTTATCTCTAAAGTAATACTATAGAGTAAGTAGTAATTAACAAGCTATATTAGAGATTAGACCTTAGAAGAAGATAGTAGATAACTAAAATACTACTTAAATAGAGATAAAAGGTCTTAATTAGTATCTTAAGATTTAAGAAGAAACGAGATTTCTAGAGTAAAACTATAGAGTAAGTAGTACTTTATTTATAGCACTAAAGATAATACCTTAGGAGAAGATAGTAAAGAAATAAAATACTACTTAGATAGAGAGATAGGTCTAATTTAGAGTTCTCTAGATTTTAAGAAAAGACCTTATTCCTAAAGTAAGGCTAGAGAGAAAATGCCTTAAGAGTAGATAATAGATTGATAAAATACTATCTAAATAGAAAGACAAGTCTTATCTAGAGTTCTGTTTCGTTCTCTAAAGAAGACCTTATTTCTCAAGTTATACGATAAGGTAAGTGGTAGTTTATTAGCTAAATTAGAGGTAATGCCTTAGAGGAAGATAGCAAATAACTAAAATACTACTTGAATATAGAAATTTTACGTAAAAAGAGACTAAAGGTCTTAACTAGTATTTCTCTATCTTATCGCTTACTTTATAGCCTAGAAAGAAGGTATAAATACTAATAAACTATTAAGATAGATATAATTAGTCTAATTTAGAGTTTTGTAAGTATTAAGGAAAGGCCTATTATTTAAGTAATACTACTGGATAATAAGTATTTTTGTTACTAAATCTATACTCTAAGGCCTATATAAAAGGTAGAAGTACTAAGTAGCTAATAGAATAGTAGGGATTAGTCTTATCTAGAGATATTATAAATATTAGAGGAAGGTCTGTTCCTAAAGTAATACTTAAAGGTAAGTAGTATATTTTATCTTTTTACTTCCTTTAAGGCCTAAGTAATAGTTAGAAAGACTAACATACTTATAGAATAGTTAAGATTAGTCTAATCTAGGGGTTTTAAAATATTAGAAAAGGGACTATTAATTGAGTAATACTACTAGTAAGATAGGTAGTAGTTCTAAATCAAATTATATACTAAAAGGCCTTAGTAAATAGTATATATACTAATAAACTATTGGAATAGGAAGAATTAGTCTAATATAGAAGTTCTAACATTTAAGAAAAAGAATTAATCTTAAAGTAATATTACTAGGTAAGTAGGTTTTTTCTATCTTATAATATAGTTAACGGTATAGAGAAAAGGTAGAAACACTAATCTACTAAAAAGATATAAAAGATTAGTCTAATTTAGAGTTCTTAAGATATCTTAAAAGAGACTACTCCTAAGGGATTATTACTAGACGAGTAGTATTTTTAAATCTTATTTTATACTAAAAGACCTTAGTAAGTAGTATAAAGACTAATAAACTATTAGGATAGGAAATATTAGTCTAATATAGAGTTCTTTAGATATTATAAAAAGGATTATTACTTAGGTAATATTACTAGGTAAATAGTATTCTAATATCTAATCCTTTACTTAGAGGTATAGATAATAGTTAGTAAGACTAATATACTAATAAAATAGAGAGAATTAGTCTAATTTAAGGACTTAGAAGATATTAGAAAGAGGCTACTTATATAGAAATTCTAATAGATAGTAGTAATTTCTTATTAAAATATATACTTTAAAGCTTATATAAAAGATTCAAAGACTAAGAAACTTATGAGAATAGAGAGAAGTACTCTAATCTAGAAAGTTTTAGATATTAGTAAAAAGTCTATCTCTTAGGTAATACTACTATATAGGAAGTAGCCTCCTAAGTAGATCTATACTTTAAGGCCTGTAAGAAAGGTATAAAGCCTAATATACTAATTAAAAACGGAAGATTAGTTAAAGTTAGAGATTTTTAGATATTAGGAAATAGGCTTATCTATAGATATAACGACTAGATAAGTAGTATTTTCTAGTTAGATTATATACTAAAAGGCTTTAGTTAGAGGTAGAAAGCCTTAAAAACTAATGAGATTGTAATAATTAGTCTAATTTGAAAATCTTAGAAATATTAGAAAGGGGGCTATTTATTTAGTATTACTAGTAAGTAAGTAGTATTAGATTATCTTACTCTCTACTTAGAAGCCTTAAGAATAGCTAGGATAACTAATAGACTAATTAAATAGAGAAAATTAGTCTAACTTAATATTATTAAGATATAAGAAGAAGGTCTATTTCTTAAGTAATACTAATAGATTAGTAGTATTTTCTCTAACTAAATGTCTATACTTCTAGGCCTATGGAAATATAATAACCAAAATACTAGTCATATAGAAAGGACTATTCTAAACTAGGAGTCTTTGAATATTAAAGAGAGGTCTATTTCTTAAGTAATACTACTAGGTATATAGTATTTTGGTATCTAATTCTTTATTTTTAGGCCTTAGTAATATTTAGAAAGCGTAATAAACTAATAGTAAAGGTAAGATTACTCTACTATATAGTACTTAGTAAATTATAGAAGGGACTATATATCAAGTAATACTACTAGATAAGTAGTACTGTATTATTAGATTATTTACTTGTAAGCTAAGGTAATAGTTAAAAAGACTGATAAACTAATAAAATCGTAGATATTAGTCTAATTTTAAGACTTTAAAGATATTAGGAAAGGGGCTTTTTATTTATTTTCAATTCTAGGTAAATAAATTTTTTTCTCCCTTATTATATACTTTAAGGTCTAAGGAAGATATAGAAAGACTAATATACTAATTAATATTCTAGAGAAGTCTAGTCTAATTTAGGGTTTTTTAAAACACTACTAGACAATCTATCTTATAAGTAGTACTAGTAAGTAACTAGTATTTTTCTAGCGACTCGTACGTTACAGCCCCTATATAAAGGGTATATAGACTAATGAACTATTTGATTAGAGAAGGTCGTCTAATATAGAGTTTATTGTATCTTAGAAAAAGAACTGTTTTTTAAGTAATCCTACTAGGTATCTAGTAATTTGATATACTATCTTCTACCTAAAAGTCTATATACGGACTTAGAAACTAATAAAGTAGAGAATATTAGTCTTATATAGAGTCTTCAAATTTAATTAAGATATTAGAAAGGGTATTACTCTTAAAAAAATACCACTAGGTAAGTAGTACTATGTTATCTAACCTTTTACTTAAAGATCTAAGTGATAGATAGGAAAACTAATAAAGTACTAAGATAGAAAGGAACAATTTAATATAGAGTTGATTAGATACTATAAGAAGGTCTACTTCTTAAGTAGAACTACTAGCTAAGTAGTGTTTCTTATCTTATCGCTTACTTCAAGACCTAAATGAAATATAAGTAAATTTTTAGATATTAGGGACTAGACTATTCTTAAGAAAATACTACTAGGCAAGTAGTACTTTCCTATCTAATTAGATGTTAGAAGGCCTTAGTATAGAGTAAAGAGACTAATAAACTATTAGAATAGATAGTACTAGTCTAAGTTACAGTTTTAGAAGTAATAGAAAAGGGACTATTTAATAAGTAATACTATTAGGTAAGTAGTATTTTTCTATCTTATTATATACTCTAAGGTCTAAATAAAAGGTAGAAAAACTAATATACTAATTAAGTATAAGGATTTAGTATAATTTAGAGTTTCTTAGATATTAGAAAAGAGACTAATCCTTAAGTATTACTACTAGCTAAATGGTATCACTTTATCTAATAGTATACTTCAATATCTATATAAAAGGTATATAGACTAAACAACTATAAGAATAGAGAGGATAAGTCTAATTAGAGTTTATTAGATATTAGGGAAAGGACTATTCTTTAAGTGATACTACTAGGTAAGTAGTATTCTCTAATCTTCTCGCTTACTTTTTAACCTATACAGTAGGTATAAATACTAACAAACTATTCGAATAGACATAATTAGTTCAATTTAGCGATTTTAAAGATATTAGGGAAAGGACTGTTTCTTAAGTAATACTAATAGGTAAGTAGTATTATTCTATCTACTAGTATTCCTTTAGGTCTAGATAGAAGGTAGAAAGGCTAATAAACTAATAAAATTAGGAAGGGTAGGTGAATTTAGAGTTTCTAAGATGTTTAGAAAAAGACTAATACTTAAGTAATACTACTAGGTAAGTAGTATCTTACTATCTAATAGTATACCTTAAGGTCTAAAGAAAAGGTAGAAAGACTAATACACTAATAAGATAAAGAGCATTAGTCTAATTAAGAGATTTTTGAGATATTAGAGAAAGGCCTATTCCTTAAGTACAACTACTAGGTAAACAGTATTTTTCTCTTATATCGCTTACTTAGAGACCTAAATAAAAGGTAGGGAGACTAACATACTAATAGAATATAGAAGATTCGTCTAATCTAGAGGGTTTTAGATATAAGATAAAGGAACTCTCTATTAAATAATACTAGTAGGTAAGTAGTACTATTTAAGCTAATGATATACTTAAGGGCCTAAGTAAAGAGTATAAACACTAATAAACTATTAGAAAATAGAGAACTAGTCCAATTTAGGGGTTTTTTAATATTAGGAAAGAGTCGCTTCCTAAAGTAATACTAGCTCTATAGTATTTTAGTATCTAATCCTTTATATTAAGGTCTTAGTAGTACTTAGAAAGACTAATAAACTAATAGAATAGACAAGATTACTCTAATATAGATCTTATAGTATCTTAGAAAAGGGACTATATGTTAAGTTATACTACTAGGTAAGTAGTATTATATTCTGTTATAGTTTACTTCAAGTCCTGGATAATAGTTATAAAGGCTGATAAACTAACGAAATAGTAAAGATTAGTTTAATTTAGAGATTCTTAAGATATTAAAAAAGGGGCTATCTATTTATTATTACTACTAAGTAGTATAAAATTTTCCAATTCTCTGCTAGGATAAGTAAGTAGTAGTTAGAAAGAGTAATAAAATAATCGAATAGAGAGAATTACTCCAACTTAGAGTTTTAAAAATAGTAATAGAAGGTCTGTTCTTTAAGTAATACTAATAGGTAAGTAGTATTTTCTAAACTTATTACTTACTTTAAGGCCTATATATAATACATAAGTACTAGGAACCTAATAAAATAGAGAGGCCTAGTCTAATTTAGGGTTTCTTTAGTATTAGAGAAAAGTCTATTTCCTTGAATAAAACTACTAGATAAGTAGTATTTTTTCATCTTATCGCTTACTTTAAGACCTAAATGAAAGGTAGAGTAACGAGTATACTAATAGAATAGAGAGAGGTAGTCTAACTTAGAGGTTTTTACGATATTAGAAAAGGGACTATTTACTAGGAAAAACTACTAGGTAAGTAGCACTATTCAATCTGATCGTATACCAGAAGGTCTAAGTAAATAGTATAGAGCTGTATTCTATAAGCCTATAACTTCCAGTTAGAGCTATACTTCAGTTTAAAGAGACCTAAATTCTCTTAGAATTAAGAATATTCTAAAAAGGTCCAAAATAGATACTAAGGGAGTAACCCCGCCGCTAGGTAGCCTAATCGGGTAACTAGTGCTTATCTAGTAGTAGCTAAAGGACTACTAGAGCCCTAAGAAGATCTAGGAACATTACCTTGCTAATGCTTAGGGGCGACCCCGCCGCTAGATGCCTAATAAGGCATCTAGCACCTACCTAGAACAATCTAGCTAAAAGATCCACGATCAGGTTTCGAGGTAGAAGTATCGAAAACACGTAGAGAACACATAGCAAACTACTTACATCTTGTATTACGAGCCTGTAATAGAATACGCGAAGATGTCTAGAGGATATATAGAGACCTCTTCCTCCCCTTAAGAGAGAAGAAAGCAAATAACTCTTTCTATACCTACCTACTCTCTACCTACCTTCCTGTCTTCTTTCTTGACTCTACACTACCGTATACATTCTAATAAATCCTCTAGGACCGTCTATAGAACCTTAGATCTAGAGCCTAAAGGTAACTCTAGATATTAGAAAAATCCCTATTATAGAATAAGCTTAACAATTTTTTGAACGTATTATATCGTAATGTATACGGTAGTATAGAGCGTATATAGGCCGAATAAGAGTATCGTAGCTAAGTATAGAATGTCTAGCTATATAAGTCGTAACAGTAGTGTAAGAAGTAGAGTCTAGTATACTAGCTAGACATCGTAGCTAGTAGAAGAGCTTATAGTATAGCTAGTAGCTAAGGTAGTAGGCAGGTAGGTAAGTAGGTCGGTTAAAGAATAAGTAGATAGATTAGGTATAGAAGGAATCACTTATCTTTCTCTCTCCTAAGGGGAGACAGAGATCTCTATATATCCTCTAGATATTTTTGCAAACTCTATTATACACTTAGAATCTAAGACTACGCTAGTGTCCGATATATTAAAAGCGTGTTCTTAATATTTCTACCTCGTAACCTAATCGTGAATTCTTAGCTAGGTCGCCCTAGATAGTCACTAGATATCTTGTTAGGTATATAGCGGCAGGGTCACCCCTTAGCATTCGCTAGGTAGGCTCCTCGCCCTTCTAATAGCTCTAGTAGTATTTCCTACTACTAGATAAGTACTAGATTGCCTTTTAGGCTATATCTAGCAGTATAGTTACACTCTAAGTATGTAGGCTCCGTATACTTATAGCTTAGTAGTTAGTAGTAAGTAGCTAATAAGCTATTAAAATAGCTAGCTATATTTTAGCTCGTAATTCGTATTTCTAAAGTATACGCTTAGTTATTAATATCGATCTACTTATATCGTATCTTTCTATACGTCCGACTAGTATCACTTGTCTGTCTAGAAGATCTAATTAGCTAATAAACTTATAATTAATACATACTCCCAGATATAGAAGGAATAGATATTAAATAGTAATAGGCTATATCTAGAAGCCTTAGAGAGGTAATAATAAGATTTGCTCTTCTATATCTTAAAATACGATATTACTATTACTAGAAGTCGCTAGAAGTTAGATCTAGTAGAGGCCCACTCTAGGCGTATATAGCGAGTAGGCTAGGCTACTTTTCTAGAGTATTTAGCCTTCTCTATACTTAGATAACGCCTAGAATCGCTCGGTAATAGACAAGTAATATCGGTTAGATATATAGTAAAGTACGTTATCTTATAGAGTAGTAAGAGAAGAAGAAATCGAAAAAGTTACTTTTTCTAGTTTCTAGCTACCTATGTATATATCTACCTACTAAATTTGCTATTAAGCTTATTCTATCTAAAGCTAGATTATAGTATAGAGAATACTACTACTAATATACTGAGAGAGGCTTCTATAACTCGTAGTAATATTAGACAAAGGTTGAAATTTATATACTTAGAGAAGAGAAGGACTCTACTCTTATAGGTATCTAGAAGCTCTTCCCTCTAAATATTAAAAGGACTTACCTAAGTAGGTATATTGCTCGCTTATTGTATGTATTCTATATAAGATCTATATAAGAATGTCGAGTCCGATTAGTCCTCGACGAGCGACCACGTGCTTAGCAAAGAATCCGCTTACCTTGGGACTGCGTAGAACGTAGCGTTCGCCGTCGCGACTAACGGATGCTTACCTAAATCGCAACTGTAGGCATCTGGACCCGTAACGACTAAGGTGAGCACAACGAAATCCGTGAAAGAGTGTGCAGCATCTCGAAGGCTATACGTCGTCTATCGAAACACTGAATATCTCCTCGACCTTAGCGAGAACACCGCCCCAGTAGCCAGCCTTCCTTCCTCTCTCGCATACTAGTGGCAATCATCTTCTTTTCTATATCGACTTCACCTCTCGCTTGCTCCCGACACGAGCACCAAGACGAATGAGCGCGCGACCCAAGTATCGAGCTTCTCTGTTCCTGGTCCTATAGGTAGTTCTGGTCCTATCGGCTGACCTATCCACAAATTGTCTCCCGCCTTGCCCTTGCCTTACACACGGAGCCGCGGCTGCCTGCTGTACAGAATCCATGGCATCTTCGCCGCTTGCGCCTCCCTGGGCAAGCACATTGACATGATAATACTCTCCGACTAGGTTTCCATCTACCAATCTCTATCCGCCTGCCATTGAAGCGTGCTTCTCCAATCCTTTTCCTATTTCAACGCCGATGTAATGCAATGCAAACGACGCCCAAAACGCCCTGCTCAAGAGCACCCAGAACCCAAACGACGGCTTCGCTCACGCTAAATCGATAACAATCCTCGGCCTCGGCGGCTCCTCTCTCGACCTGCTCCTCGCCGTTGTCGGTGTAGGTTTCCGCAACCTCAAGATTCGGCAGAAGAGTCGCTCCAGTGGAATGAGAGCGAGCCAGACGCGGTTGCAGAGCAGCGAGAGTGCTACACTGAATGTCGCGACCACCGCGTCCAGCCAGTAATGATTCGCTGTTGCGACGATCACACTCAGCACCAGGAGTGGGTACACGACGCCTGCGACAATATATCCGAAGCTCATCACGGGATTCTTTCTCGTCACGCCTCTTGAGCCTCGGCACGCCTGCAATGCGCCGCTCTGGTACAGAAAGGTGCAGCCGATGATGAATGCGTACGTGAAGTGCAGACTGGGCATGGCAGCAAGCTGGTTCACGTTGTTCCCTCCCGCCCAGACGGATTCGGCGTGGTCTTGTCGGACGGTGTCGCGGAAGCCGAACGATTCCGGGAGCAGTCGCGGAGGCATGCAGGGGTAGAGAGAGAAGATGAAGAAGGATGAGAAATTTCCCAAGGTCATGGTGCGGCGGACGAGGGCGAAGACGTCGTGCGAGGGGGCGCGGAAGTACCACCAGGATAGGAATCTGTGCAGAGCTGGGTCAGCGCCGTCAGCTGGGAGAATCAAGGGGAGCCATACGCTACTGTGCCCGGAATATGCACAAGGGAGTAGATCTGATTGAAGAAGCTGAGGACTCCGAGATGTCCCTTGAGGAAGAATTGCTGGAAAGCCACTTCGGTGACGGGGAAGAAGAGGCGCAGAGGGGTGTCATGCTCCAGAGTCAAGATGTTGATGCCGTTCTCCTGAGCCAGCTGAGTGACCTGGTCTCCGCCGTATCGCGAATACAGCGCCCCTCCTGCCTTCTTGGTCATGGCGTATGCGACGTAGTTCAGCGCCCAGTAGAACATCTCGACGAGGAAGGGGAACTTTTGCAAGATGCGCGAGGGGAAGTTCATCTTGGTGGGATATTCGGTCCATGGCAGAGGCGAGATGCTGCGCGGGACGTCGAGGCTGTCCTTCTGCGTGGGCGGGTCGGGACTGGTGGATCGGGACGATGTTCTGCTGTCCTCGAAGTAGTCGCCATTGCTCTTGATTAATGAAGCCGTGTCGTCATGACGGTTTCGCGAGTGGAAGACGGAAAAGGATGAATCGCGGTTGAAGTAGAGGGAAGCGAACATGATGAGCACGATCAACTACACAGGTCAGCGTTCTCCCGTCTGCTCGCCGGATGTGGTGTGGGTCTTGCTCTGCGGGCATTCGACATGTCTGAAACGTGGTTGCGGTGGGAGGAAGGCAGATGCTTACCAGAGGCTCAAACCATAGGCGCGCCTGCGATTGAGGCCGGCCCAGGTCCAAGTCGGGCGAGGCCGCCATACCGTCGCTCCGATCCATGGCTGCGCTCATTGGGATGGGATTCGGATACGAATGCGGTATCACTGTTGTACACACCAGCTCCGCGCAAAGACAGCGCAGGAGATATATGGGATGTGAGCGGTGGGGTTGACGGAGGGCGGAGGGCGGAGGGCGGAGGGCGGAGGGCGGAGGTCGGAGGTCGGAAGGCGGCGGAGGTGTGGGACCAGGATGGGAGGCGTCGCGTGTGGTGTGCAGGGAGGGACGATGAAGAGCAGCGCAGCGGGAGATGTCAGCCCAGCGAAGAGGTCCGCGAGGATTAGTATTCTGTATAATAACGATAACAACAACAACGATACATGGGGAATGGATGAAGAGGTGCAGAGTGCAGAGTGCAGAGAGTGGACGTGGGGTGGAGTAGTGAGGGAGGTGAATGTGGGAAGAAAGGGGAGAAGTCTCAGGCACAGGCACAGGCACGGCGCCGGCTTCTAGCTATGATGATCACATGACCACACACGCTTCAACTTCTGCAGGTGTCGCGTGTCTGCTTGGCGGCGTTCGGTGGCGCTTGGCGTCCTCGGCTCCCGGCAACGGGAACGGCCTTGGCCTTGGCCTTGGCCTTGGCATTCGCACCGGCAGCCACTCGTCCCGACGTTCCGCACGACTCGACCCATCATGCATGCGTGCGTCTGTGTGTATACTGTACCACCACTGCAAGCACAACAATCATCATGGTCGAATGGAACGCTGTGCATTCGTCTGCCTACACTGCACGCCAGGGAATATGCCGACTGCAAGACTCGCTTTGATCACGCCAACAGGAAACGGCGACAACAAATCTCGGTCAAGATGATGTGAGATTGCCGGGATCGCAAAGAGCCAGTCGGTCACGCCCGGGGCCGAGGAGACGAGGAGGGCATTCATTGGATTCGGAGGAGCCTGCAGCGAGGAAGATGGGATGGCTGTACTCTTGTAGCGCGCAATGATGTCTTCCGGAGGCACGCAAGAGCACGTTGTTGGTGTCGCTCTGTGCTACGGCCGCCGGATCTGACAGCTTCCCTCCGCCGAGCTGTTGCATAGACATGACGAAGAACTGGAACCACCTTGGCGCAGCTCGCCGATCTCGTCGGACAGTAGTGGGAAAGTCCTTCCACAGGATCATGTATAGGTAATTTGCGTTCTTTACTCCTCGCATACCGCATACCACACCGCGACATACCGAATGTCTTCTGGCAGAAGAATGTGTGCATATTCTCGGAGAGCCGCGGCTTCCTACCACAACACCGTTCCCAAAAGGCTTGAAGCGTTTTCCTGTGGTGGGAATACCTGATCTCGGCGAAATGGCTGGTCTTTCGTGTTCGACGCAATCACTACTGGCAGTCAGTGAGATCACAGATGCAAGCGAGACCTTATCCGAGGATGAGCGTGAGCTGGATGTATCGCTGTATAACATATCCGCCAGTTTCGTGATGAGATGGAAGAGGCATGAGGATTGTAACGATCGCCCCGGAAAGTCTCGACCCAACCTTCTCGCACGCAGCCAGAAATTTTCAGTCAGACCTTCGGCACCGCACCGTATGAGGACTCGGCTCACACTGCTTGCATGTGACATTAGTTCGACGTACTGCCTGTACTGCCTGTACCATCCGTCTTCTTCACCGACACGAAGCGCTCTCTCAATCGCGCCAAGTGGCTCCACTTTGGCCTTCCTTTGCTGTTCTGTTCCTTTCCACTGGCGTTGCACTCGCTCTTGGATCTGCGACGCTTCCTCGTCTCCTTCCCATCACTGCTTCCCGTACGGCCTCCTTTCAATCCCCCAATCTGAGTCAGTCACGCCTTTGCATGACGCTTCTAGACACCTGGATACCCTGCAGGCTCCTCAAATCATTCCCTCTCATGTCCTGCAATATGTATTCCTCGCTCGTGCTGCCCGATCCGTCACTTCCTTTCCTCAGTTGCGAGCCGACGATCGTGGTCTTGGCGCCAGTGCGCTTCCCGGAGCCGGTATAAGGAGGCGGCATGCCGGCTGATCCGCGATATCCCTCGCCGCTGGCTTCGTCGAGCTTGATGTTGGACCCGTCCGTGCCGCCGAGGCGAAACATTCTCCGGAAGAGAGGGCGGAGGGTTGCGATGCAGCCGACTACGAAGCCGACGCCATTCTCCGCAACTGGAATCCTGGAGTCAGCATTCGGCGACGATATGTGGTGGGTTGGACGAGACTTACATCCCCAGATCATGACATTGCTCACGGCGTAGAGGTAGTCGTCCGAATTATTGAGATTGACGGTATACTTCAAGCGAATGCACGCCGCTAGGGAAGCCAGCACACCAAGACATAGCAGAAACCCAACGGAGATCTTCGCATTGGTGTTGAGCTTCAGGTTCCAGAGCAGAGGGATCGGAAGTAATGCGCAGAACCAGTCCGCAAGGATGTTGACGGCGGTATCGGCGTAGTAGACATCGGCCAGGGCAATTGCAGGGAGACAAGAGCCTCCCGGTATCGACGTATCCCATGCATAGCTGACCGGATTGCATCGGAAGATGATGTAGAAGAACGAGATCAGGTTCGAGAGGATGAACAAAGATGACATGCCCCATAGAGCCCAGATGTAGTGCTTCTTGGGTCCGGCGACGCGCATGAGCATGAGGGAGATCGAAAGCTTGACGGGGATGATCGCTATGCAAAAGAAGACCTCGAAGAAGAAGAACCACTGCTTTCGTCAGCCATTGGGAGCCATTGCTGGAGGATGGAAGCAGTCGTACCATCATGCCCTGCTCCGTCTCGTGTGCGCTGAGCTTCTCCTTGTGGACCCCGACTCCAAGAAATGCGCTGCCTAGTGAGAAGACTGTGAGAGCGCCATAGGGTATCTGTCAGACTGGTTAGTTGCCGACCCCAAGGCCAGACAATCAGACTTGAGCTTACCACCGCGGCCGTCATAGCCCAGTCATCCCAGCCCCAAGCACTATGCTTAATTCGAGTGTACACTCGCATCGGATACACAATCAGGGAGAAGATGGTCAAGATGAGAATCGTCGCGGCCACATTGGGCGCATTGTCCTCGAAGACCATGTTGAAAGGTCTTCGGCCTGCGTGTAAGGTCCCGCACCAATGCTCCCCAAGTCAAAGGACCTCAATGACTTCTCGACCGACGGTTCCAGGTTGAAGGATAGATCTTGTGTGGGTTGGCGGTGGAACGAAGGCTGGGGAGTCGGGGCAACGGAGAGCGCGTCGGGCCACACAGACAGAGGGAGAGAGAGAGGAAAACGAACGTGTTTGAAGTTGCTTGTCGCGGGGCCAGGGAAGGAGAAGCGAGGAGAGAGCAGGAAGCTCAACTCGTGCGTGCGCGTTTTCTGTATTTCCGACGAAGCAGTTGTGTATAGGGATCCAGGTTGCACAAGCGCAATCCACTTGCCGGGTGCATGGCAAGACGTGCAACCAGCCATGCGGAGGCCAAGCTACAGTATCCACGAGGGACGCCGTCTCATGGGGATCAAAGCCGCCCCGTCGGTTGTGTGACTCGTCTGTTCACATTGGGACTCATGGTCAGAGCAGAGAATTCGCCCGGGAGACGGTGGCGAAGAAGGAGATGCTGTTACTCTACAAATGGTGAATGGGTCCTGAGGCTCGATCGTAGCGTCTGCGGTGGACGCATGTGGTCGCTTGGCAGAAGTCCGGCAGCGGGAAGAGGCTCCGCAGACGCCGTGCTCAAGACGCCGTGTTGCACTTGCGCAGGGGAATACTACTCGTCATACAGACGGTCCGTCATACAGTACATGTAGTAGTATACGCGGGCGCATGCTGTCCGTGGAATCATGAAGGACACATGATCCATTCTCCGGGTCTTAGCGACGCGATGTTGGCGATGTGGTGGTGTTGGATGGAGGAGGGGAGTGGTTGCAGGTGGTGGTCACCTGATTGTGATGGTGGTGTGAGGTGGTTGTCGGTGGTTGTCGGTGAGGCGGAGAAGGAGAGGTCAGAAGTGATAATCAGTGTGAGGTCACAGAGGCGAGCTCGGGCCACCATCGGGATCGGGGCTTGGCCAGATGGATTCTTCTTGCTAAGTTCTTCTCCTTCTCCTTCTCTACGGACAATCCCCACACCGCGGCCCTTCTTCGACGATACCACTCCACTCTTATTATCGAATAAACTGAGGCGGACCAGACTCTATAGAACGTGACGTGGAGTTCGTCACTGCGGACACAGAAGAAGCACGCCGTCGTGGAGGCATCCGACATTGACCTTGTGGACCTCCCGCCTCATACGGCACACTCTCCCGCTTCGGCATCACAGCTCGGTATCATCGCCTTGCCGGATGAACATACCGCCCCTCGTGGTGCACGAGCTCACCTTCCTCTTTCGCCACGCTGTGGCCTCTTCGTGAACTTGGAGTGGCTCCCCTGCATCACTCCCCGGCCATGCGACAATCTTACCTTCGATATATGGGCCGCATGCAGCAACATCTGCCGGAGCGGTGAGCGGCCCTGCCGCCTTTGGTACTGGTCGCATGAGACTACACACAATCCCGGGCCTTGGTATGATCAGCAGTCCGAGTTGGGAGCGGGTTTCCTGCGGAAGCATCCCTGGCATTGACCCATCAGTGATTTCCAAAGACAACAGGCTGGCTACGTTGAACAGCTTCCAGAGATGCCGTCTGGCATCTCTCATCAAGGTTTCGATTTCTCAGATCTACTTCCGTTCGCCGTCCAGCTGATGTCGCTGCTGCTCGACCATGTACCAAGCCACGGGCACGTCCGCGTTGGGCAATATCTCGAGCCGAACCCCAGCCATGCAATTCGACTGCACCGCATCCGGCTCCAATCATGTGACATGCATGCTTAAAACATGTCATGAGGAAATATGAACTCGCTGTTTGACCTTTGAGGTCACTCTCATCGACAATGGCGCTGCTGCGATGCTGTGGAGCTTTTGCGCTTGTACAGTCAGCCTGTATTCTTCCTTCAGGCATTCCAGCCTGAGCTGTTGAAGAGCTTGCAGCTACTGTAGCCAAGCCCTCAAGATCTATCATATGGAGCAAGTCCATTTTCTCTCCCATGGTCAGTATTTCGGCAAGGCTATACCAAGCGAGGCCTACGTAAGCTGGCTGCGCCCAGGTATGACGGCCGCGCCACGCTGCCAAGGAAGGCGCGTCGGCAACACGTATAAAATCAAAGGAGACTCTCTCCACCCGACGGCGTTTCGGCGACTACAAGCAACAATGACGGCAACTTCGACTGAAATTCTGGCTATCTACGACGCGTTGTCTCTCTCTTTCGAGCACGGGCACAAATCTACTGCCCTACTCGGCCAAGACTCGATGAATGTAACGCTTCATTGGCATGCGGACTTGGGTGGTGAATGGGATGAGACATTGATGCTACATGCTTTTGCTTACAAGATTACATTCCAAGGGAAAAGGCCTGCCTGACGTGAGTGGACAGAGACTGCTTTCGCTACATAGGAAGACATGCAGCAGGTTTTATGCCCCTCTATCAAAAGACAGTATGTTGTTTCTGGAATGACGTCAATGATAATTGGAATGGGCGTACATGTACCTTACAGGTAGGGACAAGGCACCGGGGAGGCGGGCGTGCGGAGAAAGGTAAGTCCGAAGAAGGCCAGACTCGGCCCAACGAAGTCTATCCCACAATCCTGCATTGTCCAAAGTTCATGACCGGACCCGATTATTTCATCGTCGCCTGCAACAACCTGAACTCACCTTACCTTACCACGACCTCCACTACGACTGCTGTCGCCGACATGCCCCCTCGGGCCGACCACAGACGTTCTCGCGCACAGGGTCATGTTCGCGTCCACATCGCCGCCGCCGCCGCCGCCGTCGCCGTCCCCGCCGCCGCGGGCGATGGACGACGGCGACGACGATGACGTTCCGCTGCCTGCGGTCGCCGATGAACCGCCCTCGTCCAAGAACGCGACTGCGGAGAGCAAGCGTGAGCGCGAATTCCGCAGGTCAGTCTCCCCGCGCCCCGCCACCCGCTGCTGCTGTTCATTCTTATTATCATTATCATTATCATTATCATTATTATCATTATTGTTATTGTTATTGTTATTACCACGACGCACAATCTCCATCCCGCCGTCATATCTTGCGCGTCTCCCCTACTGACGCGCTGCACGAGCCGCAGGTACGCGGAGGTCGTGCTCGGTCTGCACACGGAGGCCAGTGGCCAGGTCGCCGCCTCCTCCGCCGATGTATCCCTGACCGCCTTCGCTCAGCTCGTCGCCCTGCGTCTGAATGCCAAACGAGCTCTGGTCTCGTTGTTCGATAAACGCTACCAGTACATCCTCGCAGAAGCCACCCAGACCCTCTCTCTCCAGCAGGACGAGGTTCATGCTCAAGACGATGCCCTGCATTTCGGCAAGTCGGTCCGCAAACGCGAGGACGACTTCATCAGCGACACGATCAAAGTCATCCGGCGCACCAAACGACGGCCCAGTGCCAGCATTGATCATGCTGCCATCTCTCTGTTGGATACGGCGAACGATGAACGGACTTCCTCTCATCCGCTGGTCACGGGACCTCCCTTTGTACGTGCCTACGCTGGAGTACCCTTACTAAACCACGCTGGATTTGCAATCGGCTCGCTGGCCATCCTCGATGATCAACCTCGCGAACGTGATCTGAGCGATCCGGAGATCAAGTTCATGCAGGATGTTGCCGCAAGCATCGTCAGTCACCTGAACATGAAGCGCGTGCAGGCATCCTATGATCGCGGACTGCGTCTCGTTCATGGACTCAGTAGGTTCATTGAGGGCAAGGACTCGCTCGATGTCAACGACGGGGCAGGCGACGACGAGAATTCAAATGCTCTGCATGGAAGACAGACTCTTCAGACCTCCACGCTACGAGCTTCGCCTCGAACCGAAGCCATGAACGCTGCTAACAACGCCGAGCGACTGTATGATGTCCGTGAGGCCGAGTTTCTTCGGAGGAAAAGGAGTCCGGCTGAAGCGCGAGGTGAGAAGACACCACGTCACGAGAAACAGACCTTGCCGTCAGAGAAACCATTGTCACGCAAGGCTAGTCATCATTTAACAGCGAATCTCGAGCAGCCGATGCCGGGCTTAAGTCCGCAATCGAGTCAGCTTCAACAAGATGCCATCTCCAAAGACGTGCCGGAGATGTTCGATCGCGCTGCCAAGATCCTGAAACAGGCAATGAAGCTGGAGACCGTGTTGTTCCTCGATGCTACGGCGGGTTCATTCGGCAGCTTGCGCAGCAGTAACCGGGAAGGAGATGACAACGTCTCACATCCCTCTGATAGCAGTTCGGCCTCGACGGTTCGCGGAGATACCGACAACGGCTCATCACCCGGAAGGGGACACTCTCGCAACAAGCCTTGTCGATATCTCGCTCGCGTCTATGACAGCACTGTCAAGTCCGGCGGCGACGAACATCTTCGCCACGGAAACATCCCGGAACGGTTCCTCCGCTCGATTTTGAAACGCTTTGGCCACGGCAAGATATACAACTTTGGCGACGATGGCTTGCTAACATCAAGTGACCATTCGGATGGCAACGATGGCGTAGATCTTGGCAGCGATGTTGCGACCCAGCGTAGGCTGAATAGTCGGAGGTCAGACTCACTCCGACTACAGAAAATCTTCCCGGGGGTGAGATGTGTAGGAGTGATGCCCATGTTCGACTCTCTGCGTAGCCGGTACTATGCAGGCGCGGTAGTGTTGTCGTACGATCCTCTCCGGCTATTCTCCTTCAAGGAGGATGTGAACTACCTCGGCGCCTTCTGCGATGTGGTTATGGCAGAAGTCGGGAGGCTGGATGTACAGGCTGACGTCAAGTCTAAGACGAGCTTCATCGCATCCATTTCCCACGAGCTGCGATCACCTCTTCATGGCATACTCGGTGGTGTGGAATGCCTGCAGGATCAGTCATTCAGTGCTACAGCACGGGAGGAGATGGTTCAGATGATAGACACCTGTGGGCGTTCCTTGTTGGACATTGTGAACAATCTGCTGGATCACTCGCATGTCAAGTCAGCAGAGAGCGAAAGAAAACACGCCCCGGCCCATTATCGACGGCGGAAGCGGAGAACATCAGGCTCTTCTCAAGCAGTTCACGATCTGAGCTTGTTAACCGAGGAGGTTCTGAACAGCTCACTGTGGTCCACACCTACACCTACCCAGCGTTCCAAGACACTGCTCCCAGGTTCTCAAGGTCTAGAGAGGAAGCAACTCCCACTCAAGGTTGCTTTCGACATCGACATCAGTAACCTTCCCAATACGGGGTGGTCGTTCTACGTCAATTCGGGAGCGTGGCGAAGAATTCTCCAGAACTTGACATCAAACGCCATCAAATACACTGATGAGGGCGGATTCCTACAGATCTCGCTATCTGTCGGTGAAGAGCGAGAAGAAGCCCAGACCCGCATTGTAACCCTGCGATGCACGGATAGCGGACGTGGATTCAGCAGGGCCTATTTGCAGAGTGGCCTCTGGCAGGCCTTCAGTCAAGAGGACAACCACGCATCTGGCACCGGGCTTGGCTTGAGTCTAGTCCATGGCTTGGTGCAGGGAATCGGCGGAACTATCGACGTGCAGAGCCAGCAAGGGGTTGGAACTACCATCAAGACGCAATTGCCTCTGCTCCCAGGAGTCAGCCCCGGCGCCGACATGCATGCCGGAATGGATTTGGAGCCAATCCGCGACAAGAGCTATCGTTTGATGGGATTCGATGCATCGGCCGAGCATTCACCACGAGCGGCAGAATCAATGAAGGTCCTTCGAGCATCTGTCGACACCGTCTGCCGTTCACTCACCATGACTCAAGCTGAAGTCGGAGAGGAGCCCGACGTCTACGTCGTGACGGAAGAGGCGTTACTGGCAAAGGACCCCGAAACTGTGCGAGCTTCTTCATCGAAGCCCAGTATCGTTCTGTGTGATTCAATAACGTCGGCACAAGCGGCCTCTTCCTCCAATAGTGGCTTGACGAAGGCACAGTACGTCTCGCAACCGCTCGGTCCTCGACGACTCCTGAAGGCCCTCGCGGCTTGCCTGGCAGAAGGTACTCAGGATGGTGGACCTTCAGACGATGTGGTGGCACAGACGCAGCTGTCACGTTCGAGGACAAAGTCTTTCCCGGCCGAAAGTCCTCGTCCTGCAGAAGATGCCTCCTCTACCGTGCTAGTAGTAGACGACAACCCCATCAACCTTCATCTCCTACAACGCTACATGACCCGCCTCGGCCGCTCTCAGGTCGGCGCTACCAACGGTCAAGAAGCGCTCGATACCTACATAACGTCTCTGGTTCCGATTGACATCATCTTGATGGATATCACGATGCCTGTGATGGACGGGTTGGAGTCCACCCGGCGCATTCGAGCTCACGAGAGGAGCTCGGGGTCGAAGAAGAGGGTCATGATTGTGACGTTGACGGCCATGGCTGGTTCAAGTGCGAGGCAGGATGCTTACAGTAGCGGGGTCGATTTATTTCTCACCAAGCCGGTGCAGTTTGCGGAGATTCGAGCTTTGTTTGAGGAGTGGGCTGGTGGGAAGGTCAGGAAGGATGATGAAGGGGGGGTTGACGGGACCGGGAGTGGAAAGAGACCAAGCTCGAGGAGGGGATGTACCACTTGACAGACAGCGACAGTAGATGACGGAAGCAATTGGAAATACAGGACGCATACGGCTTGCCTTGGGAGAGGAAATGATACACGATGGCGGTTGCATTAGTACTGCTAGGATACCTGAGTGACAGCCGAGTAACGAAACTACACAAGATGGAAAAACACGACTGGAGCGATGTATCAACCAATATTTCTGCTTCTACATGACTATAAGGTATGTTTGCCTGCCAAGCCACCAGCTGGATTTGTCACCCTCGCGCGATCTAGCACCTGGCCTAGCGCTATCCAGCACCCGCATGGGGGGATTCGGCATGCTTCTTACAACCAAAAAGGGCAACAGATTGCCTCAATCTTGCCAACCTGCTTTGGCCTGTGATGGACCAATCTGGAACTTCGGCATCTGACGCCAAGTTTCTGCAGTATCATGAACCCGGGAGTAAGTAGATGTCCCCAGGTGTATGCATAGAATGGAAAATGCTGACAACGACTTCACGATAGTCGTGGAGATTCTGATCATTGTCAGTTTCGTCGCCTTCCTCTGGGTTGCGGGTCATGTCTCCAAGAAGGTCATCCGCGCTGGCATTATCGGACCTATCGCCGTCGGCATCATCTATGGAGAGCCTCTGGCGAACCTCCTGGTTCGAGATTGGCAGGAAACCTTCCTTTATCTGGGCTATATCGGACTGATCCTCCTCATCTTCCAAGGTGGTCTCACCGCTCGAGTTGATCTCCTCCGAGCCAACTTCACGCTCAGTGTCTGCGCAGCCGCTACGGGTATCATCTTGCCCATCGCATTCAGCTACGTGCTGCTGTATCTCGGCTTTGGCCATGGGGCCGTGGAAACGTTCGTCGTGGGAGCTGCTCTCTCCGCCACGAGCTTGGGCACCACCTTCGCAGTCATCTCCGGCGCCTCGGAGGAAGTCGATCTCAGCCAGACCAGAGTCGGCGCTGTGCTCGTCAGCGCGGCTGTCATTGACGATGTCACGGGCCTTGTCATGTCAAGCGTGATTCACGACTTGGGAGATATTCCGACTGGTGGTACGAGTCTCGGATGGCTCATTGGAAGGCCCATTCTTGCGTCTGCGCTGATGGCCATCTTGACTCCAATCCTGACCAAATGGTTCTTTGCTCCGCTGTTCCGCAAGTTCATCGAGCCCTACTTCCACAAACTGGGTCACGTGTCCAACATTGCGTTGATGATTCTGGTCCTATCGGCTTTCATCTCCATTGCTGCATATGCCGGCACTTCCGTTCTCTTTGGCGCTTTCTTGGCTGGCGCATTCCTCACATACCTGCCTTCGAAACATGCAGAAGGCCCGTTTGTCGTTCTGGGCCGTGAGGAAGGCGAGAGAGAAAAGCACAAGAGTCCCACCTTTGTTCATACCTTCGAATACTACTGTCTGGACTTTCAGCAATACCTTCTCGAGCCTCTGTTCTTCGCAAGTATTGGGTTTGCCACTCCATTCTTGAAACTGTGGAGTGGGAAGGCCATCTGGCGTGGCATTGTGTACACTCTCCTGATGCTGGTGGCAAAGTTTGCCGTTGGCATCTGGATTCCCATCTGGGCTCTCGCAAGTCTTGCCTCCACAAAGGACGACTCTTCTGCTTCTAGGGACGAGGAGTCCCTGGATCAACCCGAAGTCGGCGAGGAGGAATCTGCGAGAACTCGTGAGTTGGAAGCGAGTATTTCACCCGGCTTGCTCTTGGGCATGGCCATGGTCGCCCGTGGTGAGATTGGTCTTCTGATTGTCGAGATTGGTTACAACAACACCGACTACGTCTCGCAAGCTGGATTCCTGACAGCCGTCTGGGCGATCTTGCTTAACACAATCCTCGGGCCAGTTGCGGTGGGTGTTCTTGTCAAACACAAGGCTAATCTCATCGCAAAGCCCAGACCGAACCAACCATCCGGCTGAGAGCACGTGGACGAGCGTCGAGACAGCAATCTGCTTGTGCATGCAAGACTCTGGAAATTGATACCAGTTCTGCGACCTCGAGAAAGAAGTGCTCGTGGAGAATTACAGCTACTCTCACGAATTGGACCACTGGCTAGGCTCAGATTAAGGTGAGTCCACCAAACTGCTTCTCCCGGCAGCGATTATCAGCATGCGCAGAATGGCAAGGGAGCACTACCAGAAGCGTGACATGTTCAACCAAAAGTCTCAGAATCAATGATTCGAATGAGTAGAGCGAGCTCCAAAGAAGAAGACGGTGGAGTCCCGCCATGTGAGCAGAAACTCGCTTCAACATTGGAAAGCTCGTTTGCGCAAAGCACATGCTCGAAGCGTTGTGATGTTCAGTGTCGTGTACCTCATGCAGGTACTGTAACTCTATATCAGAGCCTGGCACGCTTGGCATTCACATTACTTCAATACAGCATGCAACTTACTGCTTTTTGGACTGGATGTCAAGCTCATGTCCCGCAGAGAAACATCTGGATTAATCTCATCGGTTTCCTCTTCCGTGCCATAGCTTTGACTTCACACTCACCATGGGCAGCAAAGCCGCATCTAATCTGTCATACTTGAGATCTCATGTCTCTCTCCCAACACACGTTTGGAATACCTCATCTCAACCAGCGACTTGACAATATGCGTTCGTCAACCATGCTCACCACAGCTCTCAGCGCCCTCTCGAGCCTCGCTCCCGCCCAATCTGGCGCTCGCTACGTCTGTCCCATAACTCCTTCACAGGACGCAACCGCCTTGGACATCGCCTAAGCCGCCCAGCGATTCCTGTACAGCTTCTACGAGGCTAATGACAACTACTCCGCTTCTATGTCCGCTTCCTTCCCCAACAGGACTATGGTCGGCAATGCCGGCATGCCTCTCTCAGAGCCGACCTTGCTACAAGCTTCGCTGGTCTGAAGACGCAGTCCACGCTCGGTGTTCAGAGCATTGTCCAGTCATCGTCCATGGCCGGTTCAGAATATCGCCAGCCGGTGTGCAACTCCGGATACCCGCCTGGATTCCAGAGCGGAGCTAGTGCGAGTGGATTCGGTATGAGCGCGCCCTTCATTGAGGCGACTCTTTGACGAACCCTTATCGGTAAGCATCACATGTTCTCCCGTTGATCGCAGAGACATTCTTGCTTGGATTTCTGTGCAGGTCTCGCCGACTACGTTCCGTCAGCAGCTATTCCCAGGGCCCGTCTTGCTGTAGAGCACGGTATTCATGCTTCTTACATCGGCTTTTACATGGAAGCGCCATGGTACCGCCGACCCGATCGCCCTATTTTCCGCCTTCACATCTCAAGAGGTGTTGCAGATGGGCAGCGGAGTCACAATCATGGACGTTAGAAACCCGGGACAGTACATCTCAGCATCTTGCGCGCGCATTCCACCTGCGCCGTGTGGAGGCAACGTTCAGACTGGCATGATCAATGCGATGTACACTATGGGCGGTGTGATCGGAAGCATGACGGGTCCTGCTGGCGCTGCGCCTGCCAGTGGATCTCCTTCTAGGCCTGCTGTCTCGTCTACCTATGCTGCTGGCGGCGCTGCTGGCTCTACCTCGAGGCCGAGTTCTTCTGGCAGTGCTTCGCCTGCGGTCTACCCTGGTGAAGCCATTAGCAAGATGGGTAAATCAATGGCTCTTGTGGTAGACGCTGCGATCGCTGTCGCTGTGGCTATCATTTTAATAAGTAAACGATGACATTGGCATTCCGATCTCGATGGCTTTGGAATGCATGCGAGGAGCTTACCAGTATAGACAGGAGACATTCGTGCAATCAAAATGTCACATGTCGACCGGGCTCTGCTCTTACGTGGAGCAATTCGTCTTGCATGAACAGCTAAGCCTTATATGATAACGTCTCGTGTCGTTCTCCGATTTGGTTTCCTCCTAGAAGCCAAGTCACACTTGCCATAACATTAGATGTCTCCTACCTTCGTCAATAGCACATTAAGCGTGCAAGAGAACCAATTAAAGCGTCATTCACTTAACGGTGCACCGCATCTCATCACGCTTCACATTGTGGTCCTCCGTGGAAGGGCCTCATCTCTTTAAGCAGAAGTTCCGGACATGCTTTTTTGAGACTATTTTGAACGGCCAGCAGACTCCCGCAGCTTACGAGGAGAGATTGATATGTTACCTATTAATGCTCGCGAAGGCACCGTGTTTGCTTATACCAGCTTGAGTATCGTCATAGGTACCATAAATTCCAATTCAGTTATCCCATTGTTAAATGGGCGCGTGAGGTTGAGATGGGAGCGAATTCGAAATACTATATCACACCATCCCTGTGACCCTCGCAAACGTCATCTCAGCTCAGCACAACTGTGAATTTACTCCATCACAAACCAGCATGACCTTCTATGTAGACGTTTGAAATCGAACCTCGATTTCAAGGTCTTTGTAGCGACAAGCGTTACATGCTACCGTCGACATGGAAATCCCCTACAGCAGACAGATCAACGCAGCCTTTGAACAGGTCACCCCTCTGGTCGCCGAAGGCTTCGAGGTGCTGCGAACAACCCGCAACATCACTCTCCTCCTAGCTGGGATACAGGTCCTGACCGTCCTTCTGCTCTTCCTCATCCTCGCTGCGATGGTCATGCTGCTTGTGACGATCAACCCGGATCTCGAGCGGGAACGGACGACGCTGATAACGCCATTACTGAAATGGATCTGTTCCTGGTTCATGACGGGCTCCGGGAAACGGCGGTACGGTATCATTGCCATCATGCTTGTACTGGCGCCTGCCGTGCTGTATGCGCATTGGTATTACTACTTCAATCAGCGGGACGCAGAAGTGCCATCGGGCAAAGTTGACCAGATTGAGGGAAGAGACACAGAATCGGACGAGAACGAGGATACCGTTCGGTGATGATCCAAGGGTGTAGTGCTTCCAGAGACTCCGGAGAACTCTGAAAGATGCACGAGAAGTCTGCCGTATGTGACCCATTTCCGAGAGGCTTCCAGCATCTATCCATATTGAAAGGCTGTTCTGGCGCTTTCCTATCTTTGTATCCGTACGGAGTACGGATACGATCTTCTGCGCCCACCGCTTTGATGACAGCAGATACCGGCGAACCCGATATTGATTCGAATTGACTTCTAGTTCCCCCGCAAAGAGCTAAGGGAAGACTATCCTCTTGGCCCTCTCCATCAATCAAGAACACAGGCAGAGTATTTCGGCCAGTCAAATAGATCCCTCATACCCTGCTCGATATGCCGACGAGACTCAATACTCCGCGGAAAAAAAAAAGAGAATACAACATGGTACATCCCCTTCCAAGGCAAACCGACCAACTACTCACACTTCGCACCCCTCCACAGCAACTATGACGACCCCCTCCGTCACCTCTCTCCTACAATCCGACTCCTCATCCCTCTTCAGCGGCGGAACAATGTGAGAGAAGCGCCTCCAGTGCTCGCACCGCCCTTCTTCTCCAAAAGCAACAAACTAGGATATTACAAGACTTGCCTACGGTCAAAAGAGAGTGATGTCGCACGTACTTGCTAATGATATTTAGGAGCCAACGACAGCCTACCTAGGTATCCGGTCTGAACATCCGAGTCGATCGGATAATCATGGCCAGCACTGATGTCAACGGTCCAGGCAACCGTGCTCATCACCAGCATGAGCGGATTCTCGGCATCGCTGCCCTACGCATATTCTTATTCCAGCATCCTGATTGAGCACATGTAATCAAACCGCCAAGATCCTCCATGATAGAGTACCCTACAGAGAATTCAACAAACAACCTCCCAAATTTCAAGGAGAAAGCAGAAGATCTCGAACTATGATGATACCAGAACTGCAACCTCGACGACGGGAGGACGCCTTACGAAGATATCTGGCCCTCTGCACGATCTTCAGCCTACGTGCTGCTCATGATGATCTGATATCCATCATGCAGACCCAGAATCGTGACGTCCACGGCCCCCCTAACAATCCGACAGTGACTCAGCCAAAATCCTATGAGATACACCATGAACAGCTCAACAATGAAGCATTTCATTTCACGAACCTGCGGCTCCACCCTAGATGCGAAGTAGGTTCACGAGAGGATCAGGAATTTGTTCACGAGGTGTGTTGAGCTGTGAGGGTGCCGGAGAAAGCAAATTTCAATGCATCAAGGAGTTCTTCATCTATCTGCGACTGTACGATCAAGTAGAGTTCGGTGCGCATTGCAATCGCAGAGTCTCGACGTCCTAGGATGATTTGACATGCCGACTGAGCTTTGCATGACCATCAGAATATCCGTTTCCTGGCACATTCTTCTTCTCGTCGATTTCAGGCAAACCGGCAACCTCCCAAATCGATTTACCAGAGTATTTCTCTCTCGTGACTGCATGCTTCTCCTTCACATGAGTGAGAACTTGCTCTCGCCACCACCAACCTGAGATTGAAAGAGTCAGCAGGTAGCTCATCAACGAAACCAGCATACTTCGGATAGACTCACCCAAGCAAAGGGTTGCAGCTGGTCCCAGAGTGAGGGCGGCAGAAGAAAATAACAGAAAGATCTTTCCCCATAAAGTTCGCACCATACCCGCGCTCTTAAGGTCAACGAACAGCAGCGCAAGCCACTGAGTGGTGGCGACGACCGCGTACGCAACATCATGATTCGTCGTCGCACCAATGCCGCCCACTCCGAGTATACACACCCAGTGAAGCAAAGTACTACTGATACTCAGCATGTAAACGCCGACTCTGATGAAGGGCAAATCCTTCCATGGATTTGTCATAGCATCTTCGTGGACATTCGTCTTGCTGAGACCCGTCTTGACGAGGAACCATTGTGCAAGAGCTAGATGGACAGGGATGAGATAGCATGCCCACCCTCGTACCGGGGGCAATCCTAATGCTTGCCAAACCATGGCAGCCAGAGGACAGGCAAAGACGCTCGCCGCCGCAGTCCGGCTGTAAGCGACGTTGGTAAGACGATTGTCGGCTGGTGCAAACTTCTCGATGCTGGAAAGTGTGTAATGGAGAAAGTAATAGATGGGCGCCACGATGCCGACTCCGAACTTCAAGCCGAGAGATGCAAAGACGGACGGGATCTGCATGGGCGTGAAGGCGTTCGCGCGACGGCTCGATTCGATGATCCAGATGAAGTACAAAGTTGCTAACGTGAACTGGAGATTGAGTGATGTAACAATGCTCTTCCAATGCCGGTCGTCCTCGGCCGGTGCGGAAAGGTCCTCCGACTGGGAGCCACGCGTGGCGACCCAGTAAGAAAGATAGATGAGTCCGAGTGCCATGAAGACCCTCCGCAATTTGCTCTCCTTGCTTCCGGTGCCTTGGTGTTGATTGAAGGGGCAGCTACCGTCGAACGCGCGGTCTGGTAAGGGAAGATATTCCAGTAATTCAGCTCCGACGAACATGTCAGTGCACGTGTCCGCGAGGAACTTTTCAGCCAGGCTTGGTGGAGCGACAGTAAGAAGAAATCTTCCTGTCAGACTGTTGCAGCATTGTGCTCGACATACTTCTGCGGCCTCCTTGCATGTGGCTTCGATACGACGACGACGCTTCTCCCGCCAGCCTTGAAGCGCGGAAGAGATGGCCAGGGAGGACGTATCATCTTTGTCGTGAAGTCGCTTTAACGAATTCGCCAGAGCCGTGACAGATTCAATTGCGTTGTTGCCCGCTTGTCCATGATTAGCAGTCATCTTGTGTGCGCTGTCGCCAACGGTGGCAATGCGACCCCAACTCCATTTCTCGAACAGAGCCTCTTCCATTGGCACCAAGGTATACGACAGACGCTGTTCCCAGACCGTTCTGAACGAGATTTTACCATAGCATAGTCGCCATAGCATTTTCTCTGCGAGCTTCTCGGCGTCTTCCCTTGAGTATCTCGGAAAGTCGCTCTCATGGTAGTGGTAGACTTTGTCGAGTTTTTCGAAGTAGAACCAAAATACCCGTCCGTCCTTGCCGCCAATGACGAGGAACGAGCTTCCTTTGCCGTTGACGTTACCAAGATCGCCCTGGTGAATGCCCGGCACGGAATTACTGATGCCGTAGAGGCAGATAAACTCGGCGGTCATCTCTGAGACGTGTCAGCAAGTGCGTACCTCAAACAGCCTCCTCCAGCCCTGCTCAACGCACACTAATGCATTGATTTTAGGCATGTTCAATGCTCAGGACTTGGTAACGCTTCTCAAATCGAAGTGAAATGCAGCGTAGTACCATTTGTGAAGCTGGTGAGTCGGAGAGGGGCGCAACTCACTGCTTCTTTCTTTCTCGGTGAAGTGTTCGGGGTTGTTCTCGCCTGCCAAGCGCCACATCTCTTGTCGGACCTTGGAATGGACGCCATCGCAACCAACGACGAGGTCGCCGTCGTATGACGACCCATCCTCGCACTCGACAACGACGCCTGTCTCACTATGCACGACAGCCTTGACCCTCTTGTTCAACAACAACTTCTCCTTCTGGTGAATCGAGTTTGTCGTGGCTCGCAAGACAAGCTGTCGATCGAGGAAGGCCAAGCTGTATCCGAAGCGAGCTTGCAGGATCTGTACGGAAGGGGATGACGGCATGACTAGTGATCCGTCTGGGCGGAATTGATGGGTCCACTGGATGGGCGTGGTCTGATCCATGATCTCCTGCGCCGCGCCGAGCTGGTCGAAGATTCTCATGGACGAAGGAGCAATGCCAATTGAGGCTCCGACTTGAGGGTCGAGAAGAGCTCGTGACTCCAGCAGGACAAAGTCGATGTCGGCTTTCTCCAATGCATTGGCGAGTGTGAGGCCGGCGACGCCGCCGCCTACGATGATGACTTTCATGTTGGCTGAATGAATCCACAAGTGAGCAGGTTACCGCTATTACCCTGAGCGTTGGGAAGGATGCCGACTCGCTTTTGAGTGACGAGAGCTCGAGCAGAGCCCTAATAAACGAATGCGTTCCACCGTGCTTCGTGAATGATGTTCCGTGGGGTCTACGTGGAGTACAGATGCATCTTGGAGAGACAGGCGGAGCTGCCGGGTCGCATAGGGCTTGGAAAGGAAGTGCCATCCTTTTAGTAGGAAAGTTGAAGAGGGATCCCATCGATTGGCAGGAAAGCTGGAGAGGAGGTCCCATCCATGAGCAGGAAGGTTGGCGAGGACAGGTGTGGTTGAGTTGTTACGACCGTAAATAAAGACTGTGTCACCTCGCAAGGCATATCGTATCCAAGGATCATCGTTGCAACGCTTCGCGCTGCTATATTCGCACTCTGGCAGGCACGTGATTCTCCTCATCGCCATTCTATCCCCAAGGCTAAGGTGTCGAAACTGGTAATTAGTGGAGCGGACATGGTGCTCCAGAAGTCTGATGGCAAACTCTATCCCTTAGTTAGCGAGCCGAAAGATTGTTAATCCTTCCTTTTACGTCCCAATGGATCACTGATAGTCTTACCGCGGTAGTGAAGGAAATGGAGGAAGCTGACCGAGATGCGCGGGAAGGAGAAGTGAGCTGTCGGGACATTCCGGCCGTGCAGCTGACGCCAAGACGCACATTAGGTTGGAGATATATATACGACAAAGGAGTCACGTGCTTCATATCTCCCCACATTGGAGTTCCAAATGCCTTTATAGCTCAGTGGTAGAGCGTTGCACTTGTATTCCGCTGGTAATGCAAAGGTCCGTCGTTCAAACCGGCGTGGAGGCACAGATTTTTTGGCCATCGGTCACGGAATAAACATCGTGAGTGATTCGGTCGTTGCACTCGCCCTCCAAGCTTTCCTTTTTTGCACATGGATTGGACCGTCCAACAACTACTACTCGAGTCTCGAATTGACAACACTCAGTAGGAACACTCGGTAATCATCCACCACCACCACCACCATCTCTTTCATCGCATGTTCAACAATAATTATTGGACCCCAACATCGAGCCGCATGGTCTAGATTCGGCTAATCTCCGCACAGGCGGATTGCGCCATCGAGTCCATACAAGCGATACCGGGTTTATCAATGGCGAATCCGATCCAAACAGGTAAACACCCGAGACAATTTGGCAAACCCTTCAGGCAGAGGTTCAAGTGCAAGACAGACGGAGCAACTCATCCATGCTCCGGTCTGGTTTGGTAAGAACTACATGTCTCGGTACTGCATGAACTGAGACCGTGAGATTGAATGCTGGACGTCGGTAGGACTCAGCCCCGAGCGGTTGAAATACTACACGCATGGCCCCTTCGGCGATAGTATAGATAGATATCATTGCTTCCTCGCAGCGGGTTTCTTCTGGTCGACGTACGTCCGCACGCAAGATGTATTCTTCACTTCAGTTCACACAGGCCGTAGTGCTGCTCGCCTCCCTGGCCTCCGCGAGTCCCCACGAGAAGAGATCGGTGACCTGCCTCAAGGTCGGTGCTACTGCAACCGCAAAATGGACCAACGCAGCCGGCCAGAGCTGCACATGGACGGGTACAGTCGGCAGCAACTTCGGAACGAGCTCCAATGGCGGAGAGTATGTCCTTTCCTGCGATGATACATACACCGAGCTCGCGCTGATGAAGTCGTACAGCTACAGTTGTAACGGACGCTGCGGTGCCGGATGTACGGGAGCTTCGATCGGCAATGCGTATACTCAAGACTGCTTCTCCCACGACATCTGTTCTTGGTTCAACCTTGCTTCGGGAGGCGCCAGGTATGTTGTACTGTGGATTGAGCTGGTTCTGAGGCTGCATGGTTAACGGCTTCTAGTGATCCCAATTGTGGAGCAGCATACACGGCTGCCGTTGATGATACGGCTCTCGGTGTAATCGATGGATGCGGAGAGACAAACCCCTCCAACGCCGCTAGCCCTCCGAGTACTTCGCCGTCGTGCTCTTAAGCTCGGATTCTCCCCTTCGGCTCACTGCAAGAAGCTTACTGCAAAAAGGAAGAGAAACTCTCGCAGCATGACGACTGGAGACTCTCCGCTCCAAGACCAGGATGTGGACTCGTGCGGCTATCGGTGCGGTCGGCGTCTGCAATCTCTGGAAGTCCTAGTCAACCTGATAGCCTTCAAGTCATCTATTACGCCTGGACTCACCCTGACTCCAAATCCACGTCAAAATCTACCCATCAACCCAAGAATATCTTCATGCCCTGTGTAACTTGTGCCAGAGCCCACCGGCTAGCCAGAAGATCGTCGCTCCCTTTCACGGAACCACCAAGCCGCTCTCGTAGCTGCGCACTCAAGAAGGCTTTGCTGATCCGTGCCTTCAGTCGCTTCCAAACAACGCTGAAATGTCGTAGCTATCATGCATGGCCCGTACATTCCAAAGTCGTTTCTCCAACTCACGAAATGTTCCGCCACGAAGACATGGCACGGATTCGATGCTGAGTGTTGAGCTCCCGCTGTTGGAAATGATAGGACCAGCACAGAGATCGGCTCTACCATCGGGAGACATCACGTGTTCTTCCGTCGGCATGTGATACGCTTCGAAATTTCCCACGCTGATAGCCAATACTCGGGGCGGTGAGCATCCGATGAGACAATTGCGCTGGGTCCGGACACCTCGTGTGCTCTGCTTCCGCATCGTCGAGGACATTTGCCCTGAACACGTCAAGACTGAGAAACCAAGTCAAGATCAGACGTCCGTATTTGACGTCCCAGAGGTCCTCACTTTCAACTCTGCGGCGCCAGGACAGGTCGTTAGACTTCTTCCAGGTCTTCGGAGTTGATGCAAGCCTCTCGCGTACCGCTTGTATGGTTCTTGCCCACATCATCGTGGCTCGCAATGGGAGCTCGGCAAGGAGGAATCTGTTCACGAGTCAAAAGCCTATTCCGACAGGGGCAAGGCCGGTGATACTCACAAACCATCAGCTCTGCGATCCAACGTTTCCTCCATCTTGGCCCGGGAAGTCTTCACTCGACAACATCGCTAGTCGCCCGTCGCTGCGGAGAGAGCAGTCCTCGGAAACACGGAGCGGATGGCGCTCCGACGGTACGCTAGATATGGCACCGGATGTCACCAGACTCCTGTGCCCGGATTGCATTTTGAATTCAATGCTTGACCCGGCGCAGCTGGCACTGCAATAATAATGTCGGGGAGGCGGCGTGATGTAATAACGTATATCTGTGCATGATGAGATTTGTGCAAGGGCGTAGATACACCAGCTCATCCCGGATGTCACCTCCAGGCTATGTATGCTTTTGCCTTTGCGTTGCCGCCGCCCAGGAGCCACTGCTATCCTGGATCAGCCAGCGGAGAAGTCGTTTTTTCAGGCTCTGTCCCCTGCACAATATGATTTCCGATGTGTCCTCCGGCGTTGTCCGAGAGGTTGGTAGTTTCGATGCGGAGCAATCTATTTCGTCAATCTTTCGATTTTGAGTTGATGTTCCAAGATGCATATCGGCGGCTCTCGCCACTGCCACTCGACAGAGATGCAGCCTTACATGTGCCACCGTAAGCGGCGTAGTCTCTCCACAACAGAAGCCAAGTCGTGGCCCGCATCAAGAACGCAGCTGTTCGAGTTCCGCATCTTTGCCATTAAATGACCTGGCAGGGCGCGTATCAAGTCGAAGAGTAGCGGCAACGTCCCATTGCAAGTGCACCTCGACACAACGTCCTATTGCGACAAGACGACAGAAGCCTCTCCCAAACCAATGGACGGGGGGCCCTGAATATGTTCATGCATTACTTTACACTATCAATTAGCCTTAGCGACATACAAGCGTGGGCTCCGTCGTATTCTACAAACTCATGAATAACCATGTAAAGTCTCAGCATCAAACGCCTCGCAGCCACCATGGTGCGTCGCCGTCCAAGAACCCCAATGCTTTGAAGCAGAGAAACTCCAAGTTCAAGGGTATGTAGCAGCCCGTGCAAAGTCTTCTTCATCATCTCGCTGCATTTCCATTTCCCAAAGAAACACCAGTCAAATCATCTGCCCTTCCATTTACGTCCTGGGGAAGAGGAGGCAGTTGCTTCATCTCCAGCCCTCCATTATGTTCCCCAGCCTTTGCTGCAGCGACATCATTATCTCTCTTCTTCTCTGCCCTGGGAACCGAGAACCGCTTCTTAAGACCCTCAACCCTCTCACCTCTCCTCGCAGCTTCCAATCTCGCATCCTGGATTCTATCCTCCCTCCTCCTCGTGTGGCCCATCCGAAGGTCGCCTTCCACGTACTTTCGACTGAAGACCATGTAGCTTGGACCTCTGGGACGGCCGAGGACAGCGAGCCAATTCTTCAACAGGCTTTGCTGTGAGAAAGGTCGGTGTCGATCCTTGGGAAGAAATTTGTGGCTGTTGAGGTATTCTCGCGTAGTTTCGCCTCGTCCGACCAGGAACAGATGGTAGCCAAATAGGCATCCAGGATACGGCAGCGCAAAGACGGAATAGATGAACATGGCAAACGCAACGCGCTCTTGGGCTCGTCCCGACAAGCTTTGGCCAAAAGTCAGGCCATTCTGACGACCGTAATAGCCGACGTGCACGAGACTGCAGCTCAGCAGCATAAAAGCCATGACGGTCGCGAACCCGACATATGCAAAGAAGTACCGGTAATTCCTCCGGCCGACACAATTGTTCAACCACACGCAATGGTGGTCCTGTGTTTCGATGCAACCGTCGCAGATTCGACAATGATGCGCTCGAGGCGGCCGCCAGATGTTGCAAGACTTGCAGTACTTTGTCGGCACCTCCATCGCGGTCATCGTGCCTTGACCCTGTCCATTTTCCGCATTCGACTGCGGCGATCGCTTGCGACCTGACGAGAAAGTCTTCACCATCACCCACTCGGTAGTGGCGGGACCAACAGTCAGTGGATCGCGATCTTCGTCGGGATTCGGAGGATGAGGATGGAGATTGCGCGGCAGGATGCCGGGGTCGCTGAACGCAGCATGCAGAAAGGCGGAAATCGAGAGGTAGAAGATGTATGCGAAGATGATGGGTAAAGCCGGCGATACATTGTGCCACAGCCAAGGGGCGCTGAAGCCAAAGAACAGCGCAGCAGGGAGCACTGTCAAGATGAACGTCACCACGTTGAGCGGCTTCGCCTTGGTATTGACGAGTCGTCCAGAGAGGAAGAAGAGCATGTTGCCTGCGTAGTACTCATAGTTTTTGCCCTCGACTTCTCCACTGCGGGGTGGTATGGGAAGGGGCGGCACCTTCTCATCGAGTGGCAGAACAGGCGATTGCGGATTGGAGTGTAACTTCTCGTGCGATTTGGACGGCTTTCGGTCGTGAATGTTCCGGAGACTTGAGTGTTTGGAGCCATGCTTCGACCCATGTTTTGACCCCAACCCAAGTGAAGCCCGCAGAGACCTTGGTGACATGGGGGTCGGAGGAGCACCACTCGTCGCATCTGCATGCTGATCTCGTATTTGCCTGGTATTGAGAGGTGCAGCACTATTCTTGCTCATGACACTACCAGGGCCAACCGTGCTTGGCAGCCCATACCCGTCCGCCGAATCCGATGTGATCGAGAAGCCTCTGCTCGCCGGTAGAGGCGGAATCTCGCCATCTCTTGGCATGGATATCTTCGCATCTCTCTCCGTGTCTACCGAAGCCATGCTGTATCTGCGCGCCTCATTGTCATCCGGTTCTTCCACCACTCGCGTTTGCGCCTGATGCTGAAGTGTTTGCGGGGTGACTCCTCTGCTTGATGGTGGGCTGATAGCCTGGCCTCTCTGCGCCTGGAGCATCTGCGGACTCATAGGCCGGAAGAAGCCAGGATTCGTGAGGCTGGGGACGTGTGTCTGCCCGATTGCTGAGCCGGGTCGGCTTCCGTCTCTGCTGTATGTGCCCAACCCGCGTCGCGATGAGGGTGGAGGGCCCGTCGACGGTCGTACGCTCGATCGCGAGTGGACGTTCCGGTCGTTTGCCGCATTGTTGGTCGTTCGCGAGGGAGGCAGTCCCGGTTCGCCAGCAGGCCCTGTGGTTGATGGAACGGTGCTGTTCCCATTGCTTCTCGCCTCAAACTCCGACGTTGTATTGGAATCTGCGCTCTTTCGCCTGCCATCGCTGTTGCTCGGGTACGGATCTCGCTCGAGGAAGGTGGGAAAGGCCGAGCCACGATCGGGGGCATTGCTGCCGTCGGCCATGGCTATCTCTCGCGCCCGGGGTGTTGGTCGTGCGATCGCAGCCAATTCATAGTCTTGCGCCGGGCAGTCGCGGGAGTCCTCTCTCTATTATGGCGGCGACATACCAGAGTCTCCTTCTTCTCCTGGTGTCTGATAGACTTTTCGAGTTGGGCGAGGTGGAAATGAGCAGGAGCAGCAGTAATAGCACAGTGATGAAGAGGACGGGATGGACCGTGGGGCCGTAAGGAGTCTCCGCGGTCGTCTGCATCGATTCGGGATCGATGCGGACGGAGAGCGGGCCGCAGCACACGGGAACGCCCGTCTCCCGAGCTTCAGCAGCTCTCTGACTTCAACATCACGACCATTGGCGCTCAAGGACAACATCTTCTCCGCCGACGTCCCAATACCACTGCTACCACTCTCTCCACTCTCGCACAACCGTCACGATGTCGATGATTGCCAGGCGAACGGCCACCCGCGCTGTGCGCCTCCCTTTCCAGCCAATTCAGCGCCGCACATACTCTGCCGGAGGTGGTGGAGCTGCATCAGGAGAGGTCGGCGCAGATGGCAAGGAGGATGTGCTTCGCAAAGGCGCAAAGAGAGATCCTGAGCTCTACGTATGTATTCGAACTGGATGTTTAGGTGTATCATGGAAGATGAGATGTGTCTGACTCGGGCGATGTTTGCCAGATCCTCCTCTCCATCATGACCGGTGCTTTCGCTCTCGCTGGCTGGCACTTCAGCCGCAACCCAACATCTTCCTCCTCCGAGAACCCAGTGGCCAAGGCAAAGGATAGCGAGCCATGGAAGACCGGCTCTGAGGCAAGATACCAATATCACCCAGGTGGAGATCCTAGCAAGGGCCGTAAGGATGCACCAAGCGCCTTGAACGAGGTCATTATTCCAAATGTCAACCTGCCAAAGGTGAGATCAACACTTACTAGACGCTCGCAGGAGCAATCCTCGGGAGGCCGCGAGCCATGCGACACTCTTGCTGACAAGGCGGTAGGAGCTGCACGAGAAGTACAACAAGTGGGGCAAAGAGGGCTATTAGGAAGAAAGGATCATACAAGACTCAACGTTGGGTGGAGGATGAGCGGAGAAAGATAGGAGTGCACCAGATTCATGTGCGATAGACGGCTTCGGCATGAGCTGAGTACGCGATTCTCTTTTGTTCACGTGAACCCTTGCCCGTATCGTTCTTGTTGACATGTCGTACTTCGCTCTCACATCCACAGCTGCTCTCTGACCACGCAGTGACGATAAAGACTACACATCGTATGACCACAATTACAGACGGCTCTCTCACCTGCGACTGATTGGATTCGCTATACCTCACGACGCGCTCGCTGCCGTTGAATAGAAAGCAAAGACCCTTGCGTGCCTCTTGAAAGCGTTCAATACCTATGGCGTTACCTCTGCATGCTGAAATCAATCTCAGATTCTCCCGAGGCTCCGTCGCATGTTTCTCCCTGGCGCATGATGGAATGTCCTGCTCTTGCGCTCGCCGACGTTCCTCACATGACTACGTCCCACCTGGCACAGAAGTGACACGGAGTTATCGAAAGGTCCTCACGACTCTTCCATCCGTCGATATCATAATTAATTCTCACCACGGTGGCATGCCTAGTTCCTCAAGTCACGGTGGATCGACAGCATGCCGCCTTGCTCTTGAGCTACAACTCCTCAACCCCATCCGAGTAACTCTCACGGCATCGAAAGAAACCCCGGCACATTGAGATCTGCTCAGTGAGGAACCTCGCCGATGACTCGACCTTCTGCTATTGGGCTTCCCCGCAAGCTGGTCACCCACGGTCCTACAAATCTAGCGCTTCCTCAGTTATCCCTCGAAACCAACTTTCGGCAAGACATCGGTACCACAGAGCTGTTACCTATATAAATGCAGTTTGCGTGCCAGCCAATCACAAAGTAATCCGGAAAAAGAATGGAACGGAGCCTACTGGATTCTCTCCTTGGCCCCGCCGGTCCGCTGCCATCACGAGTTGGGACACTCCTCGGGGGTGTGCCATGCCCACGGGGGACGCCCCGGGGGGCTCTCCGACGCGATTAGGGGACGCCCTAGTTGCGACGAGAGGGTCGCACATCAGCGAGGAGTGTCCCTCCCGCTCGTGATGGCGGGACCGGCGAGGGGCAAGGTCTTTGGCGGGGCAAGGGGTCAATTATTTTTTTTTTTTTTTCTCGCTGGTCTGAATTTCTTCCCAGATTTGCACGATATCTAAAGAGATGTAGGTGGAGGGGTGGAGGGGTGGAGGAGTGGAGGAACGGGACACACTTGATGGTAGCTTGCTCCTCGGGCGGTGTAAGCGAACACTCAGACAGATATACGTCTTACCACATGGCGCATCACGTAGATTTTGGAAAACACTCACTGCCTGTACAAGCTGCGTGCTGCACGTTTGGCTCCTCGTTTGGTTTTCTCATATGCGTGCTATCTTTTTCACATGAATTCTGACTGCGCACGCCCACCCACATGCACGTTTTGCATCGGTTCACATGCCAACACCCACTACTATCTAGGTACTTAATCCGCATCCATTCCAATCTGCTCGCCTTCCAACTTCGACCACACTCTGCATACACACAGACTGCAGTACCACCCACGACAAGCATGGCACCCTTTCTGCCTGTCCCGAATCCAGCAGCCTCATCATCAAAGTCCAAAAGCAACGGCACCAACATGGACCGCATCAGCAAAATCCACCGGCCGACTCCCTCTCCCATTCCAAAATCGTACGCCTCCACCGAGGCAATGCGCAGATGGGCCGTCACGAAACCCTCAAAGATCGCCGCGGACGACACCAAGATGCAGAGGACCTGGGATTTCAGTCGCTCCGGCAGCGGTTGGGCCTACAAGCCCCTCACCACCGCGCAGAAGTACGAGCAATTGGCGAGGAGGGTGAGGAATGAGAAGAGAAAGAAGGGCATTCTGACAAATGCGAAGTACCTGAATAGCGTGAGAGTGGAGCTCCGGCTGGAAGATGCAGGTGGACTGGACATGTCCGAGGAAATGGAGGGGGATGAGGACGATGAAGATGAAGAGGGAGCTGGAAGGGTGCAGGAAGCGGGCAAGAAGAGAAAGAAAAGCACAAGTGAGAAGAAAGACACCAAGCGGCGGAAGACCGAGGGGAGGAAACTTTCACCAACAGGAGTCCTCTCCCGGCCTACCGCAAGAGCAAAACAATTCCGCAGCAATCTCAACTGGGAGGCAACAAACCTCGTCTTCCCACGCGTTCGCGGAACCAAAGGTCGCGATATTCGCAAGTCGGATCTACACGTACCACGAGTCACGCTGCTGCAGCTAGATGAAGGACTCCGCAAGAAGATATGGCGACTCGCGGCTTCACAGCCCGATCAGTGGATCGACATTGGATCTGAGATAGGACGAGAGCAGCCGGATCTTGCGATGGTGAGCAGACAAGTCCGTGGCGAAGTCCTGCCGATCTATTATGGGGAGAACACTTTCGGCATTGTATTAGGAGCCGGCAGTAGGAGTCGTGGAACAGCAGCAGCAGCATTTGGCGGTCCAAGCGGTATCATGGCTCTGAAGGAATGGACCAGCGCCTTGTCCAAGAAGAAGAACGAGGGCGGCAAGTGGTTCAGTATGATCAAGCGCTGGTGCTTCGTCTACAAAGGATCTGGCCCGGTACATGAAAGCAACGAATTCGACGCCGAAGACTCTGTCGTCTCCATGGTCTTGACAAACGCCGGAGATCCACACTTCCAGATCCATCGCCGCGAGGAGTGCATTTCCACCGAGCCATGCGACTGGAAGTTGAGTGATCTGGACCTGCTGTCGAGAATCATGAATACTATCGGCAGCGACGGCAGGATCTCAAATGCCAAGACACTTTCAAAACTAGCTGGAGGACTGTTGGGCATGAAAGCAGAATTGGCACCGATGAAATGTCAGGCAGGATTTTTTCCGGGCCCTGACTTTCCCACGACCAGTCCGCGACCCCCAAATCTCGGACCGTGGCGCCCGACACCCGCTCCAGAGCTACAGCTGCACGAAACGACGTACAAATTCGACGATCCAGACGAGGCCTCGAACGAAAATTGGACGATAAACGGTGACTTGTTGCTCGGCTCCGATATGGATCTGGAAGCCCCGGGAGTTTCAAACGGTGATTGGACACTGGAAGGCGTTTGAAAGTGGCGGTGTGAGTATAGTTCTAGTCGCGAGTGAAGCCCAGGCCGACGGTTCAGTTGATTCCCGCGTGTATATTATTTTCTGGGCAAACTGGAGAGTTTAGCCGTAGGCAGAGATGAAATCATGATGAACGACTCCCGATGTTCCCGGCGCACGCAGTCAGGGAGATGCGTCCGCGCGGCCCGCAGACTCTACTTGCTGCTCCAGCATCCGAGATATCAGGCCTGACGCCCATTGGCTGATTGCTCCCTCCTCATCTCGCCGACCAAGTGCGAGCGGCCGGTCGATCGAAGATGTCAAGGCGTTCCACGCCAAGCCTTCGCATCGGTGCTTTGGAGAAGTTGCCCATACTTATCGGCCACCTTTTCAGCAGTCTTGCATGTCGTCTAGGGGGACATTCTCAGGTATGGTCTGAGGTGTCCACGTAATGCATGCACCTCTTCAACCATCCTTCAAAGCCTTCTTGACCAACTTTCTCTGCTCCTCAACTCCCAAGCCTTTCTCATCAGCCTCCCTCAACAGTCTTCCAATCCAAACCGTCTCCTTCACACTCCCACTGTCAATCCAAACACGCCCGTTCCTCCCCACCGCAACCTCAAACCGCATCTTGTCTCCAACTTCGTCCAGAACCACAACTCCACCCTTACTTTTGCCATCCTTCGTCGTACCCATCATCAACCTCCTCGCGAAAAGCGGCGAAACCTCGAACAGCATACCGCCATTCAATGGGCCCATGCCCTCGGCCTTTCCCGTCTGCGAGTTCACGCATTCAATCTCCACGTCCTCGAATTTGTCAGTCTTGGCCACACGGGCGTAGACCAAGTCTCCAGGTCGGAGCTGTGGACGATTCTTCTTGTTTGCGCCTTCGAAACTCAACTGGCCAAGGAGGGCAAAGCTGGTGTGAGGCGTTAGGGCGCAGCTGAAGGTTTCCGTGGAGGAGTGGTGGACCTGAGCGATGACGAGATCGCCGACGGAAGGGAGGTAGCGGCCATTCTCGTGCTCCAGCCAGAGGGCGGATTTCTTGCGGTCGACGTGGAGGCTTCCTGCGGTGGTGCAGAGAATGTCCGACGGTGGGATATGGCGGAGACCGGGCCCAAGGGTGAGCGTTCCTTTCTTGGATCGGGGTAATTCGTCAGATGGTATTTGCTCGCCGGGGAGGAGGATCGCGGCGGCCATTGTCAGAGAGGAATACACATATAGAAGAGGAAGATTGTGTCTGGAAGTTGCAGGTGAAGTGGAGGGTCGTCGAGGATCCGGGCGATCGCCGAAGATGAGCCGAATTCGAGACCCTTGCCGGCATTTTTTTGGATTATTGCTATTGCTTTCCTGGCTGCAACTTTTCCTCCACCAGCCTCTCTCTACCACATCGCCAGTATGAGCGAAGAAGCAGCCGCGACGTCGAGTCGGACAGCCATCGGCCTGGCCTTCGGCAACAGCTATTCCAGCATCGCCTACACCTCGCCCTCGGACGGAAAGCCAGAATGCATCGCTAACGAGGAAGGTGACCGCCAGATCCCCTCGATCCTCTCCTACGTCTCCGGGGAAGAGTTCTCGGGAACGCAAGCCAAGGCTCAGATCGTACGGAATCCGCGCAACACCATCGCGTACTTCCGCGACTTTCTCGGCAAGACATTCAAAGAGGTCGACCCTTCGCCGTGCCATGCGAGCGCACATCCCGAGGACAAGGACGGCGAGGTGGTATTCAGCGTGCAGGAGAAGGTCAACGAGAATGGAGAGCCTGAGGGAGACAAGAGTGTGCTCAGCGTGCAGGAGGTCGCGAGGCGGCATCTGAAGCGCTTGGCGAGCAGTGCCAGTGATTATCTGGGGAGAGAAGCAAATGCCGCCGTCATCACGGTGCCATCCGACTTCTCGGACAAACAGAAAGAGACGCTCGCTACTGTAGCACAGGACGCGGGTCTGGAGGTACTGCAATTCATCCCAGAGCCGGTGTCCGCATTGCTGGCACACGATGCAAAGGTTCAGCAAGCTGGAGAAGCGCAGCCCGCACAAAAGGACAAGGTTGTGCTCGTAGCAGACCTGGGCGGCACAAGAAGCGATGTCACTGTTGTTGCCAGCCGAGGTGGCATGTATACGACCCTGGCGACGGCACACGACTACGAGCTGGGCGGCACGAGTCTGGACAAGGTACTCATCGAGTACGCGGCGAAGGAATTCCTCAAGAAGAACAAGAGCGCAAAGGACCCGCGTGAGAATGAGCGCAGCTTGTCGAAGCTCACCCTGGAAGCCGAAGCGGTCAAGAAGGCACTGAGTCTGGGAGGCACGGCCGCCTTCTCGATAGAGTCGCTCTCCGATGGCATCGACTTCAGCCTTTCGGTCAACCGCACACGGTTCGAATTGCTCGCCAACAAGGTCTTCATGTCCTTCACTCGCCTGATTGAGAGTGCTGTGCACAAGGCAGACCTTGACATTCTGGACGTCGACGAGATTCTGCTGAGCGGCGGCAGTGCACACGTCCCCAAGATTGCGTCCAGTCTGCAATCGCATTTCCCCGAGGGCACCGTTGTGATCTCACCCAGCACATCACCTTCCGCGGTCAATCCCAGCGAGCTGACGGCGAGAGGCGCTGCCATCCAAGCCTCTCTCATCGCAGAGTTTGAGCGTGCGGACATCGAGGACAACACCGAGGCGGTGGTGACAGTCACCCCTCATCTTCCCCACGCCATTGGCATTGTCACCGGCAACGACGAACTCGCCGTCGTTGTTCCACCCGAGACCCCGGTCCCGGTACGGAGGACAGCTCAGATCACCGTCAAGGAAGGTGGCGATGTCCTCCTCAAGCTCGCCGAGGGCGTGCGAGAGATCAAGGTCACGCAAGAAGAGAAGAAGGCAGCCACCAACGGCGCCAAAGACGAAGATGATGACGACGATGACGACGATGACGAAGACGACGACGAGGACGACGAGCCCGAGGAGATCCGCTCCAAGGTGTGGAAGCCCACCAAGGCTCTCGCGGAGGTCGGCATTAGAGGCGTGAAGAAGGGAGGAAAGGTCGAGATACAGGTCAATGTGAACGTAGACCTCAGCGTGGCGGTGGTGGCGAGAGTTGTCGGGGACAAGGGTGGTGTGAGGGGAGCGCTGGAGGCTGGTCGGCCGCAGTAGACGAACCCTGCTGCGTAGGTTGCTAGCAGGCAGGCAGGATACGGGAGCAAAAGCATGTACGCATAGAGAGAGAGAGAGAGAGAGAGAGAGAGAGAGAGAGAGAGAGAGAGGGAGAGCGCATCAGGAGCTCAATGGCATACACTCATGGTGTGGTGTGGTCTGATGGCGAATAGGGAAAAGGGTACACGTATAGATCGAAAAAAGTACTTTGATGTGGCGTGAGTGAGTGCATCTCGGCTGCTTTCATTTCTCGGTCCAAGAAAGATAGATAGAAAGAAAGAAAGAAAGAAAGATTAGACTTGTCAAGTGTCGCACTGATGATGTCCCGAATTCGACCGACTTAAGCCCTAATAGCCTTGGAGATAAGGTAAATGTGCCCCGTCCCCTTTACCCAAGCCACCCGTCTCAGCCCCGGGTTGCGAGTTTGGCTGTGCGATTCCGGCTTGTCATGAGAAGGGGCCATTTCACGGGGCCGGACGGAAAGATACCTATATTCCGATGGTGTGACTGCTCTGATATAGTGAGAGGGAGAGAGGCTACGCGGAGACGACCGAGGCCATTCCCTTGCCCGGTCTCGCACCGCCTTGCCATTTGCCCGACTCTCTCGACCATTCGACAGTCCCCAGCGACGTCGTCCTCAGCACATTGGCCTTGAAGCTGCCCAGCTTCTCACACTTCTTGGACAGCTCGTCGAGATCATCGGCCGAAGGGAAGGTCTTCTGCAAGACCTGGGAGCGGGTATTCTGCACCTGATGATGAGGCGCAAGTTCGTCTATCAGCGCAGCTCAGAGTGCACGTATCGAAACGGGGAGAAATGTGTAATGTAATATCGTCGGCGTATTCGCCATCGTAGGCGAGAAACAGTCGATCCGGATGAGATGGGGGAGTAACACTCGATCCAGATGAGATGAGATGACGGGGTTGTATCTTACCTCCATGAAGAACTGCAAGCTCGGATTCGCAATGACTTCAATCTGCTCCAGATGCTTCAAGCCGCCCATGGTCTCGAGCAATGCCTTCTTGTACTCTGCTCCGGGCTCGACTTCGGCGGTCACACCCAGGACCATGACGTTTTTCTGTACCTCGAGGATTTTCTTGAGTTGGTCCGGTGTCAGGGTGTAGAGGGTGGTGTTCAGTGCTCGAAGTCCTTTGGGGCATGTTAAGTCGTCGGTCAGAGCTTTCATCAGGGGCTCCGATAGAGTCTTGTTGAATGCCATGATGCCCTCCTACATACAGGAGGTGTGCGATTAGCCAAGTTCCGTGGTAGAGTGAGGCACAAAGAGGATAGGATTGAGGCGGCCGTGTGTCTTCTGTCCGTGGGAGCCATACCTTATTCCCAGATCCAGCTACATTGGTGGGATCATCCTCATCATCCTCGGCCGATTCGGGCTCTGACAAGTTCAGAGAGAGGGAGATCAGACCGGGTCCAATCATCAGGGGTAACTCGGGAGCTTGGATCTTGCCCATGAACTCCTCATCCTCATGTCGGAAGGTGTAGTTGCATTCCAAGAACATCAACCCCCTTCTCGCTTCCCCGGGGGTGTCGGAGGTATTATATCTCAACCACGGAGCGGCGCGTTCAAAGAAATGCGGTTTCGCAAAGACATCCAATAGATGCAGTGCTCTCAAGCCTTGCAGGTTTTTGAAGAATTGGACGGCGTCTTGCATGGAGTCTTGGGTGATTCCGGCGAAGAGTTGGGAGTAGATGACTACGCTCTTCAGGTTTGGGAGCTTGTGGGAGAGGGCGGTGAGGAAGCCGGGTGGGTAGCCCATGGAGAAGAGTTCGAGGGTGAGGGATTCGATGGCGGAGGGGAGGGAGTCGGGGATGTGGAAGGGTTGGGAGAGGAGGGATTGGTATTCGTCGAGTTTGATGTCAGACGTGAGGGTGAGGGCGCGGAGGGAGCGGGCTTCGGGGGGAAAGTCGGGGAGGGTGAAGGTCTGAAGGGGAATCTGGGGGATGATGAATGCATGGTCAGTAGGTGGGAGAAGCGAGGGGATTGGGTGGGAGGGAGAAGAGATACTTGAGCTCCTTGGGCTTGATCGGGAGCGACGGGTTGGCCGGGTCGGAGGGCGGGATCTGTGGTGGCCATTGTGCAGATGGATAGGTAGATGGATGGCGTGTGACGGCGATTGGGAGGGAGAGGAGAGGAACTAAACAGTTATAGACAGACACTTGCAGATAGTTGGAGAGAAGAGAAGGGGTGGAGAGAGGAAAGGGGTGTGTAAGAAAGACAGGAGGAGAGAAGTCATGTCGATTGGAGGTGTAGATAGATGGATACTGCGGCTGCAAGGTACCACTGTCCTGTGATCTGTCCGTGAGCTGTAAGTATTATTGAGATGATGTTGTGCGTGAGGGGAACTAGCGCAGGGATCGAGCGAATCTTGTTATTATTAATAATCAACCGAATGCGGGGAGATAACTTCCGGCCACGGCCCGACCCGGAGACGGCCCGAGCTGATGCCTGAGGCAAGATAAATGACGTCTCTGCGCGCTCATACAACACACACCAACAACATTGAATCCAACATGTAAACAACTGATTTCCAACTTCCAACAACAACAACAACACTCTTCTCTCCCCTACATCATGTCGGACCGGATCAAGGAAACGGCCAAACACGAGGCCGAGGCCATACAGCGGATTGCCGACCAGGGCATCCGATCCGGCGCCTACGTCTATCCGCTCCAGGGCATCTTCTACCTCCTCTCCCACCAAGAACTGCGCAAGCCGCTCCTCGATCGCCTGCTGCCCACCATGGGCCTCGGCTTCGGCGTCACCGCCTTCATGTTCGCCTTCACCTATCTGCCCCAACTCGCCGTCCTCGTCTTCACCTCGGGCCCCGTCGCCGCCCTCACCACCGTCCTCCTCGTCCTCTCCGAGTCCAGCACCCTCACCATGCTCCTCTCCAAGGCCCTCCTCATCGAGGACTCCCTCCTCGACACCTTCGACGCCACCCTCGTCGCGCGCGGCCACACCTCCCTCGTCGCCAAGGAGCGCCAGGTCAAGTCGTCGGGCGTCGGCGATGCCGTTCAGCGTCTCGGCAAGTTGGCCGGCAAGCCCTTTGCCAAATTCACGCCCACGGCCATCGTCCGCTACTTCATGTATCTGCCCTTGAACTTCATCCCCGTCGTCGGCACCGTCATGTTTGTCATCCTGCAGGGCACCCGCTACGGACCACACGCGCACAGCAGGTACGTATCATCATCATCATCATCATCATCATCATCACGTTTTCGGGAGAAGAATATTTCGTTGACTCTACGGCAGATACTTCCAACTCAAGGGCATGAACAAGACGCAACGGGACCGTTGGGTCGAGCAGCGCAAGGGCGCCTACACCGGCTTCGGCATCCCCGCCGTCCTGCTCGAGATGATTCCCGTCGCCGGCATCATCGCATCCTTTACCAACACCTGCGGTGCTGCACTGTGGGCTGCCGACATGGAACAGGGAACCGAGACCTCGGCTGGTCTGCGCGAGCAAGCAGCAGAGGCGGCGAAATCGGAGTAGAATTTAATCTCTTCATGGAGCCGCCACATCGACAGTCTAGCATTACCTAGTCAGAACAGCGACAGAATCCCTCCTCTTATCTATTATCCTCATCAATTTCTTTCCTCATTGTCCTCTGCGTATCGGTTTTATCCCAGCAAAGTAGGTGCTGACCTTGACTTCACCCCCTCCCCACTCCCTTCCCCAAGTCATGGATCTCCATCTCATAATCCTTTCCGAATTATGCTGCAGATGCCTCTCCAACACCACCCTCTCAAACAGCGAAACATGTCTCGGATGAGCCGCGACTCTATACGATATTCCCGCAATCTCCCATTCTCCACAAAATGCTAATATCGTTCCTGCTCACGCATCTCCACACCCATAAGGTAGTATCCGGGTTGAAAATCGTCCATTGTAAAGGATGTGATTCGGAAGAGGATCAAAGAGGCCAGGAAACCCAACGGATGCATAGTCTCTCGGTCGTAGGCTTGCTCTGTGGTCGAGGAGGAAAAGCGTAGCCGCCCTCGATTCAATCGCAGCCGACGTTGATGAATGAGGTTTATCGAGAGCCAGGGATTCGAGGAAGTCGAAAACACAAAACACTCATGTTCCATACCAGGCCTACTTCCTTCCATTCTTCTCTCTTCGCATGCATTTCCAACATTTGGATTGATTAATACGTCATGAATCGTCTTCCGGTCGTTTGCTTTGTGGGTGCGTCGGATCAGTAAAGTAAGGTAAGGTAAGGGATGCTATTTCCTTTCCAGCGTAAGGAAGTAAGTATCGTCAGGAGACAGATTGCCGCAGCAGCGAAGAGTAGTAGAGTCTCCGAAATTTCCTTTCTGGGAATTGATGATAGTTGATTGGAAAAAGCCATGTCGCGCGCGGTTCGTTTGCGCCGGGAAAGGAAGACGATACCGACGACGAATGTGGGAGGTTTTCTTTCAATCGTCTTCGCCTCGCCGAGGGCGTTTGATGGGACCTTTGGTTGGTTGGTTTGTTTGTCTGGGGCGGGCATGTGTGATGATGAAATAAGAGAAGAGAGAAGAGAGAAAGAGAGGAGATGGGGAGAAAGAAAGATGTCGAAAGTTTACAGTCGGCGTGATACTTGCGTATATTTGTACATGTGTGTGAGATTACTGACTACTGCGTCGACGTACGTGGTAGGAGGATGCGCATGGTCGTCAACGCTGTCCGTCGATGGGGAACACATATCTGCACAACGAACGATGAGGTGGGAGGTGATGTGCGGAGGAGGATCTCCGTTCCGTTTACGTGGGGAAAGCTTGTATCGGCGTGGTGGTTGAAGTGGAAGAGATGCAGCGGCGAAACAGAAGATGAGCAAGAGCACGTGTGTGTGTGGACGAGTATGTATGTTGCGGTACAGTAGGAGAATTGAAGTGAGGTCAAGATGCTTTGACTGATCATGACAAAGAACCGTATGGCCTGCCGTAGTCGGTCGGTCACGGCGCCACGGAGACCGGGATGCCGATCCAAATGGTCAAATGTTACGCCGACAACAACCAGCTCCTATCGTCAATTCCGTGTTGATTCTACTGTGCCCTCTTCTCGAGAGATATATAAAAAGCGTTATGACCTCTTTGCTACAGCCCGGCATCCTCTCTTCCCCTACCACATCCACATTCCACAATTTCCGAATTCAACTCCAAGAATCTAAAAAGATCCATCCAACATGCATCTCCCACTCACCGCACTAGACACCCTCCCCATCATCACAGCCTCGTTCCTCTCAGGTCGGTAAAACCCCATCAACCTGCAGTGCATTTCCCTCATCTCCCACTAAGCTTCCCTCCTACTCTTCTAGGGGCAATCGCATCCGTCTCCCTCCTGACGATCCCAGTCATCCTCGAAACATCCACCTCCGCCAACCAACTACTTCACCAATGGACCCGCATCTACCAACGGGGACACATCCAAGGACCTATCATTTCCTCGGTCACTGGCCTTCTCTACGCCTACGCAGCATGGCGTCGGCATGATGCCGGCCTGCAATCGACTGCCGCTTGTCTTACTGTGGGCATGATACCGTATACGTGGATCTTCATGGCCGGAACCAATACGAGCTTATTCGCAGCAGCCGAGAGAGGAGGAGCAGCGGATCGAGTCGAGGCCGAGAGGTTGGTTGGTACGTGGAGGTTCTTGAATTTCGTGAGGGCGCTGTTCCCGTTGAGTGGTGCTGTCGTTGGAGTTCTCAGTCTGTTCTCGTAATCAGTAAACACGAATGAGATGAACATCATCACATGCAGTGTTAGTGAGAAAGAGAGAAGAGATGGTGCGCCTTTAAACTTGTATCATTGCAAGGGGATGCAGTGCACTGTCTCTTTCCGTCCTTGCCTTCTACCAGTCTCCTGCCACCGCTCACGGCATCAATCGACCCGGGTCGCGCGGGAACAGGCTGGCCAACCGCACATTCGGCAGTCCCAACCACAGCATCACTATCCTCTCCAGACCGATCCCCCCACCAGCGTGAGGCGGGCATCCATACCGGAAGCAGTCCACGTAGTCCTTCAACCCGTCGCTCTTGGGGTCAACAGGCGTAACATGCTCTTTCATCCGCTTCTCCAGATATGTCGCATCATGGATACGCTGTGCGCCAGACATGATCTCCTGGCCTCTCATGAAGAAGTCGTACGAGTTCGAGTAGCCCGCGTTCGGATTCGCAGGGTCGTATTTCTGCTGTGTCTCTACCGACGGCATGGTGTAGAAAGGTCGAATGGCGAGCGGGTACTTGTCGAGGACATAGAAGTCGGTGCCGTATTTCTCCAAGACGAGAGCGCCCAGCTTCTTCTCCTGCGGTGTGCTAAGGTCCTCAAAGTCGTCAATCTCCACTCCGGCATCACGCAGCATCTTGATACCCTCGCTGAAGTGCAGCCGCGGGACTTTGCCAGCTTCCGGTAGCTTGAACTCCTCGACCTGGTAGACAGTGCGCACGTGGTCGGTTTCCTTCTTGTAGCGGGTACGTAGGCCGTTGAAGATGTACAGCATCAGCTCCTCCGCCAACGAGACGACCTCGTGGTAGTCCTCGTCGAATGCCATTTCGAAATCCAGTCCAGTAAACTCTGTAAGATGGCGAGCAGTGTTGCTGTTCTCGGCGCGGAAGACGGGTCCAATCTCCATGACCTTCTCGTAGCGGGATGAGATCATCATCTGCTTGTACAGCTGAGGTGACTGGGCGAGGTAGGCCTTGGAGTCGAAATACTTGACCTCAAAGACACTGGAGCCTCCTTCCGAGGGAGCGCCCAGCAGTCGAGGAGTGTTGATCTGAATGAAGTCGCGTTGGTCGAGGAATTCGGTGAAGAGCTTCTGTACGCCTGCCTTGATGCGGAAGATGGCATGGTTGAGATTGGCCTTCAAGTCGATCGTGCGGTTGTTGAGACGGGTGTTGAGCGAGACAATGGGCTTCCCGTCCTCTCGTACAGCGTTCTCCTCGCCCTCGGCAGGAATGCGTCCCTCGGCGTCGGCCACCTGCAGCGGCAGCTGTGATTGCGCCTGGCAGAGGACATAGATCTTGGTGACATGAACCTCGAGGTTCTGGATTGTTGTGCTCTGCACCGGCTCCCGCGGCTTGTTCAGCACGCCATGCACGACCACCTCGCTCTCAGTCGGTATTTGTCCAGCGAACTTGACCATCTGCCTGCTCAACTTCTCGCTCTCCGCTACGACTGCCTGTATTGTGTTGCTCTGCTGGCTGAATACCAGAAATGACAATTTCGCGCTCTGTTTTCTTGCATTCTCGACTGTCGCTCGGAAGACAACCTCCAGTCCCTTCTCGTCGGCGGACAGCTTGGTCTCGTACTTCTCCGCCAGGTCGGCCAGCTTCTCGTGCTTGACGCCGGAGGATTGCCGCACAAGGGGTAATTGTCCATAGTCTTCCTTGCTGGTATCATTGGCTTCTTCCTGCTTCTTGCGCTCCGCTTCCTCTGCCGCTCTCTTTGCTGCTTTCTCTGCCTTCTCCTTCTCCTTCTGCATCTTCTTCAATTCACTCTTGGAAGGGCCCTTCTTCTCCCCTTCGACACCCTCTTTGGGACGCTCGGGGAGCGACTCCTGCGCTTGGTCGGCCATGGCAATGTGTTGATTGGTACAGAGGTTGTGTCGTGTGCGAGGGCTTGCTGTTATTTGAAGTGGGCTATAAAATGTTTTGGCGGGGCAGGGACGAGTCACACACTGACTCAAGCGGAAGGTGTCCCGAATCGATCATGTGACTGACGACGGTGAGGTCAACGGAGGCATTTACGTAGGGGAAGATACCAATGCAATTCATGGGGCTTATCTCATAGCACGCCACGATCTTCATGTCTACTATTGATACCCCTCCCGCTCTACCGAGGCCACAGGCGGCACGTACTCCTTTCTGTCTCTCACCACGCAGTACAGCGCCGCAAAAGCCATGATTCTTCCCTACATTGCCACTGCCCAATCCATGTTCGCTGGCGTCACCGACGTAGCGACGGCAAAGAAGATGGAGACGTAGACCATGACCAGGAAGGATAGCGAGATGACGTTCACAGCCATTCCGAACTTTCCGAGACTCCATTTTCGATAAGACAGCGGCTGATCTCTGATGCTGCAAACGGCACAGCCGATGACAAAAATGTGACCAGACCAACAGCACCATTGGATCCAAAGGACCACAGCATGGCTTTGGGAAGGGTCCGACCTGGATCTTTGACTTCTTCTGACATCTGCACTGCGTTGCGAAGCTGATCATGCTGATGACAGGGCTGAGCAGACCGACCGTGAAGCTCGCGCGTTCGGATTCCCAGCCTCTAGTGTTCGTGAATTCGGTGAGAACGCCCTTGGCTTTGGCAGTCGGCGCAAGAATCCTGGGGGTAACAATTATGGCAAATGGGCCAAGCACATGCAGAACACAAGAAGTAGTCCTTCCCCCTTTGGAAGTCACTTTGCAAGGACGGTGTTGCATGAGATCGCGAGAACAGCCACGGCGATCACTAGGGGCGTGCCATGCTTATTCTCGGGGACATAGCCGTCCTAATGATTTCAGACAATCAGGCCTTGAATGACTTTCCCCGTCAAATACGTGATAGACGTTATGGCGCACTGTTAGCCTACAAAGCAAAGTCAGCCAACAACATAGCTCAGCAACCAGTCCATTGAATTGCGCAGTTGGTTTGGAACGCGATGTTGCCAAGGATCTTCAGCCCTAGGGCTATGATAACCCAGAGGCGATCCATGGATGCTCCGCGGAACAAGACTGGGCGGGGCTGAGGATGGTCGTGCTTGGACAAGACTGCGGTGATTTCGGGTGAGTTGTCTGCCAGGATGAACTGTTGGACGTTGGGCATGTTTGGGATGCGAAAGGTGGTTGTGGCTGATACGAGGAATCCGCGATAGCTGTCGCGGACACATGAGAGTAACAGCTCGACTCGGATGCCGTAGTTTTTGCGGATGGAATAGAGAAGACGTACGGTTCTGAGATCGCGTCGAGTAGGAATCTCAACTGTCGGTTGTTGTTGAGACGCTCTGGTCGATCAGAGAGTAGCTCGACGGAGATCGCATTGGCAGACATGGTCGTACACGCCGCATGGACAGCTCTCAGTAGCAACTCTACCACCGGCTCATCCAGCCGCAGGTCCGCAATTCGAGTTTCAAGCGCTGTGAAAAGCATTGTGGCTCTGCAAGCAGACCTTGCGCAACACACCGGCCGATGTAGATCCACGTGGGGAGAATGCACTCAATTGCAGACATGACAGTAGTTTCCGGAGCTATCGATGACGCTGACGATGTTGATGTGCAGATGTTTGAGAGCCAGGTGTTGTTGCCCTTTGACCAAACCCACATTCGTCTCGTGTGCGCATAGCCTAGCCTTGTACCTCGGCCATTACAAAGCAGTCGACTGGGCGCTGTTGACAGCGACGCGATGTTGAACGGCATATGGGGACGAGAATGCCAGTCAGTCTTGATTTCAACGACGTGAACGCAGAATGATTCCCTCTTGCCGTTAACAGGAACAGTGGTTTGAACAAGTACGCTTTTTCCGACATTCACACCAGCTGCAAAACGCTGTAAGTGGTTGGAATGTGTCAATGGGAAATGCATCCCGACAGTGCGATCATCGACCTCCTCAAGATTGTTTAAAACTTCGTTCGGTAGGCTCATCACCTCTGACTCGTCCGCAGAGGCGTTGGCGCCATCAATAATGAAATCAGAGAGAACGGCCGAGACGCCAGAATGATCGACTCGCTGTAGCCTCAGATGCATCTCCTCCAGGCTCGCTGCCTGCTTTAACATGGCGGTAATCCGCCTCGCAAAAATCCTTTGGCAGCTTCAGGAGATGGCGTTACTGGAAGGTTCAAGACAGAGGAGAAATGCTCGAGAGTGTTCAAAGTCTCCAGGTCGGCGACATCTTGCTGCCACAGTTCATCTTGAACGGTAGCGATGGATGGCGACTCCTCGGTCGCAAGAGAAGTGAGCTTCTCGCACAGCTTAAAGCCACAAACTTCAGATGCTCATCAACAGCCTCACGGCTGGGAACAGCGTCAGCGCTCTGATCATCAAGGAGCACGGCGGCCATCTTGTCCACTCTTTTGACGCCATAAGTGCCTCTGCAAGCTCAGACATATCCCACCCATCGCCAACTTCGCTTGACCAGAATTCATCCCTCCGAATGGCAAAGATAGGATCTGTAAGCATCGTCTTCTTTCGATTGTGGTACTCGCGTCCGAAAAGTTCAAGCTCCATATGCATGAAGGTAGTGTTCATGATATCAATCAGCTCCGATGGTAGGGCAGTTTTGACAGCTTCTGCACGTTTGCGGACTGCATTGCAGATCTCGTTACGATCGTCACTGAATTCCGAACCATCGAGCGTTGGCCTGCACGTCCTGTAGAGCGAGCTTCAAGGGAGACGGATCACTGGTTCTCTTCGCAGGAATGCTGTGGGCTGCTGGACATGGTTTGGCTTTAACCACGGAGGTGAAACGTCCTTCGGAGAGGGCTGCAATATCATGAATCTGTCCTGCGATCACTAGATCAGAGCTCAGCATGTTTTGGAAGCCCATCAGCGCGTGGTGTAAGCTACCAGCATCTGAGCGCAAAGCTTCGTAGCTATTTCCCAGCTGTTGTCCACTCATCAAGCGAGGCAGCTCAGAAGATACATTGTCGGCCTCGAGCGGCTCGATAAGTGGTGAATTAGGCGTGCTTGGTTGTGCCGGCTTCTTCGAGGCCAGCCGGGTTGTTGCCGCAGCATCTCGAGGAATGATGTCAAGAATTGCTCTAAAGACTTCCTCATCGGCCGCCTCGATCCATCTCAAGGCCTTGCACTGCCGAGCCAGGATCTTTCGTGCTTCGCTTGAAGCAGAGTCTCTTTCGATTGTCCCCAGTAAGCCGCCCATAATGGTGAAGTCTGCCGGAGAAGATTCCGCGAATTGCCAATCTGACCCATGGTGTGGTCTGACTAGCTTTTGTCAAAAAGAGTCTTGATCAGTTTTGATGGAAGAAGGCCTTCTACACAGTATCAAGAAGATGGCGATCAAGGAGGCGCTGCGAGCAGTATTGCGTTGGACGTGAGGGCGACCTCGTGCGAGCTTGATGCGCGAGCGCCAACCAGATCATGGCAGCAGAGCATATGTACAGTAGCTCACGACGTGAAGGCTGAGGTATATGTGTTGTTGTTGGTCATGAGACGAGACGAAGCAATTGGCCGCGGCGCTGATGCCTAAGTTATGGATATATGACTGTGCTGTAAGCATCATTCTGGATAACCCATCTTATGGTAACGCAATCACGGGACAGCGCTGAGTCAGCCGGGTCATAGTGGTATCGCCAGATTTGGGTAGTGGCTTGGCAGGCACACACGGTCCTTAGCTACACTTTCACAGCTAAGATACGAGAAGGATTCTGACATCGGACCTGGAGAAGCGACTCATACTTCGCACCTAAAACGCTGTTGCTGGATTTGTTGACCACTGCTGACGAAGTTGCTTCGCAACATGGAAGACGGGAGATCTATATCTATATATGTCTGATCGAAACGGAGGCTTTTTCAACTGGAGAACTCGTCCAAATACGTCCTCAGCGACCGCTCCAACGCCACGGCCAGCGGAGCGACGTGGCACCTTTCAGCACCCACGGAGACGCGCAGGAATGGCGCGGATCCCTCTGCCATAGACGAGCTGGCGGAGATTCGGGAGGTTGAGAAGCCGAAGCTGACACCTTTGGTGATGGGCACTCCCTCGTTCTTGGCATTGGACAGGACGAGCTCGATGCAGGCATCCAAACCCTCACGGTTGTTCAGCCCTTGCTCCGTGAATTCAATCGTTACCACCGCCCCGCCGTGTCGCCAGCCCAACGCCTTCCACGGCGGATATGCAATCGTCGCTTCCGAGGACGAGAAGCCCGCCGACACCAGACGAACCAGTGTCATGGCATTCTCACTGACGAGCGTCATGCGACGCTGATAGAGGGCGAAATCCAGCTGCGGCAGCAGGTGAATGCCGCGCGAATACATGACTGCGCCCAGGTCTCGCCGGATCTTCCACATGTCCGCCTCCAGGTTGCTTCGGAACACGACCACGCCGGCCATCTGAAGATCAAGCCCCAGCTGCGTGTATTTGCTCGCACTCTCCGAGTATAAGACCTGCGGCGCATGCGGTCCGTCAAACCAGTCAAACACACGGAGACCTCCGGACACCATGGTGCCATCAATCACCACAGTCCGCTTCTCCCACCCTTCACGAGAGGATACAAGTTGTGCGAATCGCTTGATATCGCTGATGGGAAGGCCTACCACATTGGCGACGGGATCTAAGAAGACTACTCGCGCGTCCCGACTCTCGGCCTCGGAAGCGATCACCTCCACATCGTAGCTACTGCATTGATGCAGTTGGAAGCTGCCCGCCCGAGCGAAAGACTGCAGTTGCTCCATCGCCTCGAAGTAGATATACGGCGAGAGAAGTACGGTGTCGGACTGGTGGAGGCGCTGCATCAGATAATGCTGGAAGACCTGATATGCAGCCATGCCGCTCGACGTCAGCATCAAGCTGAGGTTGACATCCTGTCTTTCACTGGGCCTGAGAGTATCTAGGAGCATGCGCTCGGCATCGCGGAGCTGGATTGCCCCGTAACGATCGTAGTTGACCATGGCTGAGTTTTGGTGAGCTGCATCGCCAAACCAGTCCGTCAGGGCCTGATCATACGACGGACTGGCCCGCTCAAACAATGAGCATGCGGTTGAGTAGAGCTGGAGGATCAGGCGGTACCGTTCTTCCGCCACCCAGACCGAGACACGACCTTGTTCGACGTCGGTTTTGAGCGCACTGGCCAGAGTGCGAACTTGGGAGAGACTGTCGTCACCGATGCTCTCGCACCATGGATCACGCCTCAAGGCAAGCTGCACGACCAAGGCACGATGCTGGGCCACTATCTCCGCGTGTTTATCTACCTTCTGCAAAAGGCGATCAATAAGACTGTGAGTGATTTGTAAACCGGACTCTTGCTCCGAGGTCGTAACGTCTTTGCCGACACTGCCATTAGCAGCATCGAGTAGGTTTCCAGGGCCGGTACCGTTGTGGCGGTTTGCGGGATTGAAAATATTCGACAGTCCAGCACGACGTCGCATGTCGGAATCGTCGATGTTCTGGACCAGCGCCCGAGCAATACTTGTCGGGGCGATATTCTGTCCTGTGAAGAGGAGTAGAACGCGACCTGAGATACCGCTGGACATCTGATGAAGTCCTGCGATGCTGGCTGCTGCAGAGCCCTCGAGAAGAAGCGATTGGAAACGCAAGGCCTCAGCTACTGCCGCCATGACTTGCTCCTCCGACACTGCAATGGTGTGTTTGATCAGGGCATCCAGAACGCCTGCTAAGGGACTCTCCTCCACCCACTGAACTGCGAGTCCGTCGCAGACTGTTGGATTTGTAGGTCTTGAGAGTGCCGCGGAGATGGACTGGTCATCCTCTATGCGCCCAAATATCGCTGGGTGCGCAACGATGACTTTGGTACGGGGCGAATGCACAGCACACCACGCTGCCACGCCCGCCGCAAGCCCTCCTCCGCCGAGAGGAACAACCACAGCGTCGAATTCCCCCGCGTCAGCCGTGGATTCCATCATGATACTCCCCGCGCCCGCGGCGACATCCACATCGGCAAATGGTGACACGTAATGATCTCCTCTGGCCGCGGCTATCTTCTTGGCTGTGTGCGTTGCTTCGAACAGGTCTTTCCCGCTGAAGCTCACTTGATCGGCTTCCGCCATGATCCTCTTCGCCTTGATCTCCGACACACCGGTAGGTAACACGATGTGCGCTGTCTTTCCGGTGGCCCTTGCAGCCGCACACAACGCCAAAGCATGGTTGCCTGCGGATGCCGTGACGACTCTCTGGCTCCCGCTGCGGACCAGAGCATTCAAGGCCCCTCTGAATTTGAACGATCCGCTGTGTTGATGGCAGTCCAGTTTTGCCCAGACCTTCAAGCCTTCTCCTTCTTCTCGGTCCAACCATGGCAATCTGACGACCGGTGTTCGTACCACTTTTCCACGAATCCGCCTTTCAGCTTGCTCCACCAATTCGGCCAAAGCTTCCGCATTGATCATTTGATCGGATGCATGTTGGTCGCTAGTCTGCTCTAGGTGGACAGATTCCAACGCCTCTTCGAGTCGTGCCGGCGCCATCTTCTGAAGGGTCAGACAGAAAGCAAAAACAACGAGATTTCATACGCTTCGACGTGCTGCTCGCTAGCTTGCTGCCTTCTTCGTTGAGTAAGAGTTGCTCCGTCACTCAAATGGAACGGGTACTAGGAGCTGTATATCTCTTACGCAAGATCTCCCTTGGCCCTGGTTTAGAGACATGTCGTCCTCGGCGGTCGACCTCAGTGAACCATGTTCGTCTCATGTTCGTTAAATGCTGGTCTTGAGTGATATTGTCACAGGCCGCGGCAGAATGTTACCCTGCCTTGCTATTCCTCATTGGATTAAGCACTTGGAAAGAAGCACGCTCACTGGACTCAATGTTGTCTCCGAACTACGCCCGATGCATAGCCATCACTTCGCGCCCTCTTGCTAGCCTCCCATCTCAATCGATATCAACTTGTGAGCCTACAATTCGTTGCTCTTCATATCGGAGGAACTGTACACCGAAACCGGGTCAGCGCGAGGACCTCATTCGGTGTGGAGTTGACAAGCTCGGTGTGGAGTTAACAAGCTTGATTGTCTTCAATAGTCTGTCTGGGGCAGGGGCAGTTGTTCCCAACTCGTGATCTTCGTTTCCCGCTACCACGGGACAATATGGCTGTTTTACTATGTGATAGTAGCGTCTTTTGCGCAATGCCGTAGGATCCCGGCTCTCGGTACTACTGTCTCGTACTGACACCTTACCCTCGCTGACTTACTATCGCCGTAGCTCCGTTAGACACCTTACAGAAAGGTCGTCGGCTCCCATTAGATATAAGTCCGGAATATGTCAAAATACTTGAGAATTCAAAAAGTCTTCCGACGTAGCATAACTGTCAGTAGCGTTAGAACTCTCGGCCGTAATATCTGGTAGATATCAAGGTAGAGAAAAAGTGAGCCTTTCAATATAAGGTTTAGCCTTACTTTTTGCCGAGTTTACATAAAAGCTAGAGTAGCAACCTGTTTAGAGTGCTATAGTCTTGCTCTTTAACAAGCCTTACGCTTTGTCTCAATTGACGACAACGCTACCAAACCTTGCCTAGGGGCATCGCCAGGATGGATGTAGGCTTAGGTAAGTCAAGTCTTCGTCTTCCTACTTCCGACACTTAGGCGCTTCTTGTTTCCGGCCGAAGCCGTCCTAGTCGTTCCGTTACACGTATTGTAGATGGGCAGTCGCGTTCGCTAACACTTAGCTTATTGGTGCAGAGGGCTTCGGCTTCAAAAAAAGTGGGCTTAAGACAAGTGAGCTCGATTGGTTTATAGCGTGAGACCGTGAAGAAAAGAGTGAATTCTTGTTTACCTTTAGGCACTTCCTTAGCTGAAACAATGTGTGACCTATAGTCTCCCCGTATAGTGTCTCACACAGATCGGCCGCTAGAATATTCCCCAGAGTAAGACACTGGGTCTCGTTTGAGTCAATGATCGTTGGAGAGCGGTAATAATGAGAAATCAAAGTCTTTCTCGTCCAAGGATGCGTCCACCGTCAGACGCCAAGTGACGGGGCTATACAGTCAGTTGCGCAGAAGTATCTGAACAGTACTTGTCACCCGACTGCTATTGCACCCACACAGTATCCATTCCCTACGAGTCTCTGACAACACAGCCGCTGACCACAATGCTCCATGTACGATCCGCGCAGTGGGAAGAACTCCCCTTCCTAGCCTCGATTGGCGTCCAAGCATTCGAAGAAGACCCCTGCTACCAGCACTTCTACCCTTTCCGCAAGTTATTCCCCGAAGACTGGCGCAGTAGCTTCCTCCGCAGGCTCCAAAACGCACTGGCTGATCCGTCACAATACCTCTTCGTGGCACAACGTGTGGACGCAGGCGACCCTACGAGGTATAATCCGGAAGATGTCATCGGATTTGGCTTGTTGAAACGACAAGGTCCGGGCGCAGCGGCACTGAAAGCATGGAATCCTCCCAAGCCGGACGTACCGCCTGAATTTGTTAAGACGGGTGACTCGAGAGGTAAGTGCCAAAATGTCCCTTCTCATTGATACCGCTCTGTCCGCTGAAGACTGTTCTACTACCAGTGCAAGTAAAGGACAGAAGCGTCGACGAAGCTACCATTCAACGCTTCTACGATGAAGAGGTGGCTATCCTCGGAGGCCCTGGCATCACCGTCCTTGAATGCACCACTCTTGCCGTGTTGCCAGGTCAGCAGCGTTCGGGCGTTGGAAAAGCCCTCCTGGAATTCGGCTTCGATCAATCCGAGCAGGTCGGATTGCGAATGACCGCAGATGCGTCGGCCAAAGGCATCAATTTGTACCTCCGTATGGGCATGTCGATTGTGGGCAACATTCGGCTGCCAAACAAGACGGCACAAGCCGTCGATGCCGACGGGCGGTCGGTTGTGGTCCAATTACCGGAGGTCAACATGCCCATCATTCACTACATTCCAAAGTCAATGTCGAGGGCAAAGAGTCAGCTCGAGTCGTGCATTAGAAGCGCATAAAAGGCGGGCTTTCGAGACGTCTGCTCTGAAAAGCTATCCTAGATTAGGTCTACGGCTCTCACGTACTCTCTCGGTTAGGGGGGAGGGGAAGGGGGGCCCACACTAGCAGGGGAACTTCGCACCGTTCCCCGTTGTTTCTGCCAACGGATGGAACATCCAAGGGAGCCTGAATATCTCGAAGGTCTCAGGCATCAAATATATCCCGCACTACGCACACCTATTCCATTGAACATCTCAGGGCACGAGTTCGATAATAAACCGATCTTAACCGAGTATTGTCTCAGGAAGAACACAGTGTCTTGCTTCGTGGGAAACTCTAGCGGAACGGTGAGAATCTCGGCTTTTCGATCACCTACAGGTTCGATCACCTACAGGCTCGATCACCTACGGGTTCGATCACCTACAGGTGTGCCCTCCCCTTACAGCAAGCAAGATCTGATCATTTCACTTGACAACTTCAATGCATACGCTCGGTACGGCCATCATCATCTTCACGCTCTTCCTGGCCTCGTTCGTTAGCACGTTCGGCAGCTCCATCGTGGTTGGAGATGAAACGACAATCGCAGCCCACTTCAGGGTCTCGTCAGACTCTACATCGTCCCTAGTGGCGACATACCTCTTCGGCTGCGCACTTGCGCCCCTCGTCTTCAGTCCTCTCAGCGAGAGACATGGCCGTCGGTTCGCCATATGGGGTGGAACTGGCATCATGGCCATCTTCAACATGGCCTCGGCAGCAGCGCCCAATTGGGCAGCTCTATTGGCATTCCGCTTCTTCGCCGGCTTTGGGTCCAGTGCTGCCATGGTAGTGCCCAGCGGAATCATCGCGGACATCCTTCCCAATGTCCACTTGAGGGGGCTTGCGAGCAGCTGGATGATGGTCAATACGACTCTAGGATCGGTGTTTGGGTCGATCGTATCCACAGCCGTTCATGCACGCTGGCCCGGGCTATGGAATGTGGCCTACTGGATCAACGGCGGGGCGAGCGTGCTCGCTTTCGCTCTGCTCCTGGCCCTGCCCGAGACGCGGAAGAAGACGATTGGCGAGAAACACGAGTCGCCAATCAAGCTGAGCCGCGTCGAACAGCTGATACTTCCCATCCGGATGCTCTTGTTGGAACCCATGGTCACATTTTGTTGTCTGTTCCTCAGCACCATCTATGGCATATACTATCTCCTTTTCCAGTTGCTTCCGCCAGCCTTCACGACCGTATACGGCTGGGAGGGCAAGACTAATGATGTCACATTTGTGCCCCTGGCCGTTGGAACGGTTCTGGCTGGTATCGTTTTCACGGCCTCGAGCCCCGCCCTGTGCAGATGGGCGGAAGGTGAAGGACGAGCCAGATGGGCTCCAGAGAATCGTCGACTCCCTTTGGCCTGTATTGGAGCAGGCTTCATCATCCTCGCATTGTTTGTTCTTGGGTACGCAGTCCGTGAGGGGACTTCGTCTTCCCTCGCCTTGGTAGCAGAAGGGGCGTTCGGCCTAGGCTTTCTCCTCGTCTTCATGTCCTTGACCAACTATCTTGTTGATGCGTACAAGGTTCGTTCACCGGCCTCAAAGTCCTCCTGACGGCACTGATACTTCTGCAGACGTGGGTTGTCTCCGCATTGGCGCCCTCATTTGTCTTTCGAAATGTGGCGGGCGGTGCTTTAAACTTCGCGGCAGCGCCCCTGTGGAAGTCGTTGGGCTCGGACTGGGCGTTCTATTTGCTTGGGCTACTGAGCCTTCCATTTGCCTTGCTTTCGGTTTGCAGTTGGATGCTCGGCCCTTGGTTACGACAGCACAGCAGATTCTGTCGAGCAGTCAGCTGCGAGGAAGGCCATTGACCCAGCCAAGGCATATGATAGCAACTGACACCCACAAGCAACTTCAACCCTTCTCTGCCTACATCAACACATGAATTTCTCTTGGAGGGCTGCATCGCTGTGTGAGCTGCGCTCGAGTGCTCTGGGTCCGGAAGAATTGTCAGCCCGAAGTCTGATGGCGGCACACCACTGTGGAATGAACTCAAGTATCTGCGTGTAAGGATTACCCGCAACTGAGCAGATGCGTTGGTGTGAGGGATACCTTGTAGGAGACAGCTTATAAGTGGAGTTATTTATTATTATTATTATTATTATTATTATTATTATTAT